CCATAAAAGGAAATCGCGAAAACGGAAAACAGAAAACAGAAAGAAAAAAAGAAAAAAGGGGGAAGGCAAGAAACAAAGACTCACACTTCGTCAGCAGCGTCTTCGAGAAGATCTTCTCAATCGGCACCTCGTGCGTCTTGCACCACGCGGCCGTAATCCTCGGATCCAAATAATTAATCTTACTCGTCCCCAGCGCAACCTCCTTGCCCGCCTCGCGGTCGTCCATCTGCAGCTTAAACGTCTTGATCTTCTCTCCCAGCTTCTGCACCGCCTCCTCGAGCTTCTCGGGGGGTCGATCGCGCTTCAAGCTCGCCTTCTTCGTCCCTCGCTCCTTGGCGAGCCGCTTGAACTCGTCCTTGATGCTGTCGACGCGCTCCTTGAGCACGCTGTCCTTCTGCGCTGTGGAGCCCTCCTCAACGAGCTTCTCGTTCTCCTTCGCGAATTTCTTCTCGGCCTTTTCGATCTCTTTTGCCTTGAGCGAGTCCTCGTGCTGCACGACAAAGTCGTCGTCGATGTCCGACTCGTCCTCCGCGAACCCCTTCTTCTTCTTGTACTTGGGGTCCATCGCGAACAGCACGTGCCGCAGCTTCATCCGGTCGTACTTGAACCCGCGTAGCTATTACACATCGCCCCTCGGTTAGCCCCTCCGCATGATCGTACAATGAAGAAAAAGGGTGACGCACCCGCTCGCGCATCTTCTCCATCGACTGCTCGTGCGTCTTGGGCGCGCTCCGCTGATGGTTACACAAGATAGCGACCATCCGGTTCGCGTGGTTATACGCGTTCAGCTTCTCCTGCACCGTCGCCTCCTCCGGCGTGCCCTCGTCCAGCTGCTGCTGGAACGTGATCGAGGCGTTGTACGTACGGAACACCTTCGCCGTCAGGCCCTTCATGTACGACGCCAGGTGCTTGTTCAGCAAGCTCGTCTGTATCAACGTCCCACCATCATCAGCGCCAGATCCTCATACGACATATAATACGGGGGAAAGAACGCACATTAACCCGATCAAACAGATTATCGCTATCATCCTTGTTATCCTTGAACAGCCTGATATTCTTGAACACCTGCTGGTCGACAGTGACGCGGTTGTAGTACCGGATCGAATCTTTGCCCAAAAAGTCGAAGATGATGAAGTTGGGCGCCTCGAGCGTGACGTGCTCGCACCGCAGCGAGCAGCAGCCGACCGTGTCCGCCTCGTCCTCGCCCTTCTCGTTGCCCGCTCGGAGCGCGAGCCGATCAATGAAGTACATCGCCGTCGCGCGCTGCCGGTCCGCCATCACCTTGCTCTTGAGATCCGCGGTGTAGTCCGACCGGATGCGGTCGACGTGTTTCTGTGTGCGGGTGTGACAAGTCAAAAACCATGGGCAGCACTGTGCGCATCACACTAACTGACCTTGAGCTCCCGCGCCTTCTCAAACTTGGCCATGTCACTCTGGCCCTTGAGCGACGAGCCCGCGGCGAGGAACACGTACTTGTAGTTTCCGTTCACATTCTCCACCCAGTTCGCGAGCCATGTCACCGTCTTGTCATGCACGACCTGTTTCCACTGTCCAGGCATGTTCGGCACAGGTGTGGGTACCCCCGCGCCGATATTGATCGTGATGTCCTCTGGCCGCACGCGGAACTACCAACACAACCCAAACACCCGGTTAGTTTCCAGTCCATTATCAAGCGTCGCTCAAACGCTCACCTTCAAAGCGCCCTTCTTCGGATGGTCCCCGCGCCCCCGGAACAAGCCTGGCGGCTCAACGCGGAAGTTGCCCACCTTCTCCTTGCGCCCGTCGAGCACGCACGACGTGTACTTCTCCTCCAGCGCGTCCTTCTGCTTCTTGATCTCCTTCTTCTCGGCCGTGCTGAGCGATTTCTTCTTGGCCTTTTCAGACTCGAAGTACTCGAACATCGGCCTGAAGTCGCAGTCTTCGAACTTGGTGATCTTGATGCCGTTGCGCTGTGCGAGAGGAAAGTCGGGTGGGCATGGGTGGGAGGTAAGATGCAGGAGTGGTACTAACAGGAGGGTAGTCCGCTAGGACCTTGAGGAAGTCGGTGAAGAAGTTCTTGTTGAACGTCGCGTCCTGCGCGTGGTCCGTCTCTAGCATTGCACCGTAGAAGCCAGCGACTTCCTCGGCTTCTGGCGTGAGGACGACTTCCTTGCCTAATATAACAGAGCGTAGCACACAACATACCATTAGCACAACCGTAGTACGACAACGAAGTAAACAGGATGTACTGACCCTTGTACTTCATCTTCACATTCGACGGCAGCGACTCGTACGGCGGCGGGAATATAACACCATTGTGCTCGAGGGTTTGCCACTTCTCCTCGCCATCGCCGCTGTTGGCCTGCTGCGCCTCCCACCACTTGTACACCTCGTCGGCCTCGCCCTCCGCAAGCTCGTCCTTGGCAGTAGCCGACTTGCTGCGTCCCTTCTTGGGTTTCACGTCAGAGGGAGACTCGTCCTTGGCCTTCTTCGTCGCGCGCTTCTTCTTGACGGGCTTTTCATCTTCGTCGGCGTCGCTCTCAGCTTTGACCTTCTTCGACGCGCGCTTAGCGGGCGCCTTCTTCGGCGTAGTGACAGCGAGGGGCGCGTCGTCGTCTGAGTCATCATCATCCGACTCCCGCTTGACCTTCTTGGACGGGGGCGCCTTCTTGCTAGACGCCGCCACCGGCTTGCGCTTGCGCTTTGGCGCCGGGGTGCTGTCGTCCTCGTCTTCGTCCTCGCTTTCGGGGTCGGACTTGGGCTCTGCCTTGACCTTGGCCTTGGCCTTGGCCGCTGCCCGTCCGTTCCCGTTCACCGACTTGGCCGAGACAGTTGTTGCAGCTTTGGCGCCTGGCATGGGTACGGCGGCTGACTTGGCCTTCTTCGGTTTGGCAGGCGAAGTGGCGAGTGGCGTGTCGTCGTCGTCACTCGACTCGTCCGAAGACGCGGCGGCGCGTTTCCGGCGGCGCGGGGCAGGTCTAGATGCAGCACTGGTACTTTGAGACTACATAGAATCAACAATAAATTTTTAGTCAGCCTTTGAGCTCGACGGAGAAGAGGAGGGAGGAAGGAGAGAAAAGGGAGCCGAAAAAGGCATAGCCATAGGGGCGCGGGAGACTACTCACGAGAGGGACGTCCTCGGTCTCGCTCATCGCGTCGTCGTCGTCGGGCACGCGCCCGTTCCTGTGCTTGCCGTTCTGGGACGCCGAGGTGGCTGCGGCCTGCGAGCCGAGAGGCATGTCATCGTCCGAGGAGGACATGTGGACGTCGACGGCCATGATCGGTTGAGCTGACAGAGGGAAATCGACGGGAGGGCGGTGGGGAGAGGGGGGGAGGGAGTAGGGAGGGGCGTAGGGGGAGAAGGGAGAGAGCAAGAGGGGAGAGAGTGAAGAGAGACAGCGAGGGCTGGGGTTTAACAGGCTCCCCTCCCAGTCAGCCAGGGTTCATCAAATCGAACCAAGTCCGCGCACACCGGCCCTAAACTCTCCCCTCTGCGCCTGTTCCCTCTTCCATTCACTCCCGGCCGCGGACTCGATCGCCGGCCGAAAACAAACGACCTCCATCTTCCGGTGAGCACCGCAGTCCATTCACAGACATACAAGTCTCCTCACGACACACAGCATCACCACCAGCAACAATGCCCAACCTCCCCCTCTTCCGCGACCCCTGGGCCAGACGCGAGGCATGGCGCAAACACCCCATCTTCTCCAACCGCACAATGTTCTCCAGCATCTTCCCCGGCTTCGGCATCGCAGCCGTCGCATTCACAGCCTATGTCATCGTCGACAACCTCTACCTCAGCGCAGTGCCCCACTCCACTGAGCACAAGGACCACGCCTCCCCCCACTAGACTCGCAACGCAACCTCTGGGTATCACGGGGCCGCCTTATGCGCGATCGTCCAAAGGTAAGCAGTGCTTACTTGCGCTGGCGTGAAGAGTGTTTCGTGCCGCTAACCTACCATCATGTGAAAGACAGGTCTAGGCTGGCATGACATGCCAACTCCCCGCTGGGTGCACCCAGCGCTCTTCGCGTCACATTCAATTCATTAGAGCCTTACCTCCCTCTGTCGTCCAATTGTAATTCCCGCATTGCACCATCGCAATACTTAGACGCTGTCATAAAAACGCACCTTCTTGGACCTTCCTGCATGGTCACCAAACGGCCCCATGACGTGCATACTTAGAGCATCCAATGTGAATAACTAGCTCGAGTCGTACGTTCAGAGGCAACGCGGACGTCGCAGCGTCCACGCCGCTTCAATAGACAACTCGCTTTAGGTAAAAGTCCATCCCATTTTAAGCGCTGAATGTATGCACCGTGCGTCACCACCATGTCACCTCACGGGCTTAACTTCGCGAGCACCTGCATTATGGGTGCTCAGCGCTCAACGTCAACCTGAGGCCGTTGGGAATATGAATTGAAATACATCCACGTCACTTCCAAACGTCCTCCCTACTATCCAAGTCATAGCATTCGCACTCGCCGCACCCAAGAACTCGAGCAAACCTCGTTACACTAATCATAAGTCCCGAAGTCAAGCCCGCACCCTGCAAACGATACAACTGTCCAACATTCAATTAGACACGACAACTACATAGTGATATAATAAAGTATACGCATTCAACGTTACTTAGCGTTAACGTTAGACAGACGTCAGGACAGCACCGCGGCACAGCTGTCCGCCCCCGGGATATCCCATAGCATAGCATAACATAGCACACAACAACAGGACGAGACGCCGAGGTCGGCACGGGGCGGAGCAGCAGCGAGAAGAGGAGGAGAGTATAGAAGTCCGCAGCGCAGGAGGAGACGGAAAAGGATGGGAGTGGGGAGATGGGGGAGGCGAGGGAACCGTGGAAAGGGAACGCCGTCATGACACTTGCTGCTGCTGCCTGCGCTCTCTGCTCTTCGCGCCCGGCCCAAACCGCTCCTGGAACGAGATAAGCTCCTCCATAAGCTCCTCCATCATCTTCATCGTCGACGGCGAATCCGCACTCTCCTGCGCCTCCCCGTCTGACTTGCCCTCTCCCTCCCCTCCTACCTCCGCCCGCGTCTGGCGCTGCGACTGCGGCCGAGCAGACCGACCGAACCCCAGCGCGCGCTCGAGCGCCTCCCGCCGCCGCTGCCGATCGCCCGCGCCCGCCTGCTCGCGCCCGACCCACTCGACGAGCGCGCGCACGCGCTTGTTCATGTCGCCCACGCTCATCCGCTTGCTCGGCCAGCGCACCTTGACGCCCCGCTCGACCGACACCGATACGTGGTACTCTCCACCGCCGCCGCCGTTGCCGCCGTTGCCATTGCCATTGTCGTTGCTGTTGCCGTTACTACTGCCATGGCCATGGCCGTTGAGGCCCGCAGACGAAGGAAAGCCCAGCCCGAGCGCCGCTTGCGAGTCGTTCGCATTCGAATTCGCGTGGTGGGACTGCGAATGCGACGTCGAGTGCGGGCGCGAAGAAGAAGACGAAGAAGCATGATAATGCGGATTCGATAATAAAAACGCCGAAGACGAGCTCGCGCTCGCGCGCACCTCGAGCGGTTTGGGCGTCTCGGACGGCAACATGTGCTCCAGATGCGCAAGATAGTCCGGCAGCCCCCACGTCGTCAGCAGCGGCTGCTGCGCGTCCTCCGCTGCGGCCGCTGCAGCTGCAGCTGTCGTCGCCGAGGAATGGTGCTTGTATGACCGACTCCCACCGGCACCGGCACCGGCACCGCTACTGATATCTTGCGGTGCAGAAGGCGTACCCGCGTTCCGGCGCGTACCGTGTTCATGCCCTCCCAAGCCTGCGGCAACACCATTGGCCAAAGAGGCAGCAGCAACAGCAGGAGCATCGTTGGCACCAGAAACAGGACCACCACCGGCGCTCGCCGACGTCTGGCGTGACAGCGGCGGGCGCTTATTCTGCGATGTGGTAATGCTCGTCTTGGCTCGGCTGGACTTGGCGGTGGCGGCGGCGGTGGCGGCTGCGGAGTTCGGCACACCTATAAGATGCCGGATGTAAATTAGCGCCGGCGAGTCCAAAATGATGTGCGTGGGCTGTGGGAGCGGGAGCAAACGCACCTTCCTCGCCGTCGCCCCCAGCCGGTGTCAGTCCTTCGTCCCGGTGCGATGACGCTGCCACGGCTGCTGCTGCTACTGCGGACTGTTTAGTCCGTGCGCCACCGCGGCGGTTCCGTGACGAGGTCGACTTGCTCGATCGCTTGGTGGGTGGCTGAGACGTGGCGGGCGAGTCCTCGGTGTTGTGGGTGTTGTGCGCAGTGGTGTTGACAAGGGGACCAAGTGGGCGGTCGGACGCGCTCGAAGCAGAACGGGAGCGTTTCGTGGGTATATTTCTATCGTATGTTACCGAGTGCATTCCAATGATGACGGAACATGTGCGGCGAGAGAAGAGAAGACGTCAGCGCAGTCCATAAATGAACCAGCACAAAAAAACAGACATACACATCATCCTCCGTCCGCTTCCGCTTCTTATTCCGCAGATGGGCATGCGACACGCTGTCCTGTTCCTCCCCGCCCTGCTCCCCCACCCCCTGCCCTGAAAGCCCAGCCCCACTACCGGCGCTCCCGCTGTTCGCCGAGCCCGATCCGCCACCCGGGCCCTCAGCCACAGGCGAGAGCGACGCAGCCGCCTCAGCTGCCGTCAGGTCCATCACCTCTTTCAGCGCCTCGTCGAACGCGGCGTCACGGCTGTTCATCGTGTTGCGCCGCTTGGGGGGCTTGAGGAGCGCCGTGGGGGAGTGCGATCGCGAGACGCGCGTGGTGCTGTTGTTGTTGTTGTTGTTAATAGTGTTCGTGTTGGCAGTGCCACCGCCGGACCCAGTTAGGGGGTTGTTGGGGCTGGGGCCGGACGCGGAGAGGGGCGTGCCGGCTGTGGTTGCCGAGGACTGGCGTGCTTTTTTGGCTAGTTTTCTGGAGGACATTTATGGTTATGATTAGTATCTGTTGCTCGATGTCGTGGTCGTGTGTAGGGTGTGTGGGGTGTGTGGGAAGCGAGGGGATTTAAGAGACAGGGGGGAAGCGAGAAAGGTGCGATGCGAAGGTGCAGGGTGCGGTAGGTGGGAGGAAAGGGCACGGGGGACAGGATGAAGAGATAGAATGGGAGGAGAGGCGTACTTGAATAGTTCCTGGTGGAGCTCTGGTCTGCACTGCTCGCAGTAGTAGCTCTCCTCGGGCAGGGCGTCCTGGGACGTGAACCCCATGCAGGCCCCGTGCTGCCAGACCTCGCACTGCTCGCATTGAACCATGAAGCCGGCCCCTTCAGACTCATCCTCCTCTGTCGTAGGCAACGTCGTGTGTCATATGTTGTCAATTGTACGTGTACGATGCGTGGGCCGAGTCCAAAAGCACAAGGACATGGTCCATTGATGGATCAAAACGTGCATAGGGTGCAAGGGGAGGGAAGGATGCCGGTACGGATAGGTTGAGCATAGGCACGGGATGGGACAAGCAAGCAAAGGGACCACGGACCGTTCATCCCACATATACAACGCGTGATACCACCCTCGGCATCGTCTTCCTGGGGCTCGACGCTTGCTGCGCCAGGCGTCGACGCCGTCTTGTCCTTGTCGAGCGGGTCATCGGCTGCAGCCGCTGCAGCGGCAGCGGCGCGTTGCTCACGCTCCCTATCGCGATTCTTGTTCTTGCTGCGCTTGCTCCTGCTGTTCCCCCCGGTGCCGCCACTGGAGCGGGACGAGGTGCTGCCACCGTGGCCATGACCATGGGCGGTGGCAGACCCTGAGGATGCGGGAACGGCTGTATCGTCGGCGGTGTCCTCCGTCTTGGGACGCTTGGCGCGGGATGAGATGGGGTGGGAGTGCCGGGTGGAGGAGTCGCCTCTGTCCTTGGTCCTGGAGCTGGGGATGGAGGTCGGGATGTCGTCGGGGGATTCTGGAGATTTGGACGTCGAAGAGGTCGAGGGCTGCGAGCGGCGTCCTGAGCGACGTGTCTCGCGCGGGGAGTGGAGTGGGCCCATGGCGAGCATGTCAATAGTGGACTACTGCTATGGTACGGGGAGGGAAAGGAGGTGCTGGGTGGCCGGTTATGGTTTAGGGCTGGCAGTGGTGCAAAGGAAAGCACCCTTGTCTCAACCTTGTCGGTTGACTCTCAGAAAGCTTACACCAGATCACCCCTTTACTTTCCCACTTGAGCTGCGACACATGCTCCCTGTCATCACTAAGCTCATCACCGACCGGGACGTGGCATTTCTCAGTGGGACTGGGGTGCAGCTTCAAAATCGCAGCTTGCTATGATCATCAGACATTGTTCTTCGCTTGAAAAATGGGCAATGAGACGTCGGATGTGCATAAGACAAAGTGTGTGCAACGTGTAGTCAAAGTTTGAGCGAATGTAATTTACCCTGGCCGAGTCATGCTCGTGTAGATAACGCGTCCCAAGATCAGACACGCGCCTCGAGTCACATCCCCTCCACCTCTTTTTCCTCCACCACCCATGTCCGCCTCCGCCGCGATCGAGTACGCCTCCGACGCCCCCGTCCCCCTCTTCCCGCGCCTGCACCCGCACCACCTCGCGCCCGACAAGCAGCCCGACTACCTCAAGCTTATCCTCACTTCTAAGGTGTACGAGATCCTCAAGGAGACGCCGCTCGTGCCCGCCCCGCTCCTCAGCGCCAAGCTCGGCTGCGAGATATGGCTCAAGCGCGAGGACCTCCAGGAGGTGTTCAGCTTCAAGATCCGCGGCGCGTACAACTTCATGGCACACCTCCCCGAGGAGGACCGCTGGAAGGGCGTCGTCACCTGCAGCGCCGGTTAGTGTGCGTACTTGCGCTGTGTGGCGGGGATGTCCTATCGAGCTGATCTTGACTCTTTCCCTCCCTCTTTGCTGCTGGATCCCCATCTGCCACACCCAACTACTGCTATCCTTTGCATACGGTCCATGTATGCGCCCAAATCGCGATGCACAGGCAACCACGCCCAGGGTGTCGCTCTCTCAGGCGCAAAGCTCAACATCCCCTGTACGATCGTCATGCCGCACGGCACGCCCTCCATCAAGGTGCGCAACGTGCAGCGCCTCGGCGCCCGCGTCGTGCTGCACGGCGCCGACTTCGACGCCGCCAAGGCCGAGTGCGCGCGCCTCGCGCAGGAGCACGGCCTCACGTTCGTGCCGCCGTACGACGATCCGCTCGTCGTCGCCGGCCAGGGCACAGTCGGCATGGAGATCCTCAAGCAGCTCAACAGGGCCGAGACGCTAGACGGTGTGTTCGCCGCTGTCGGCGGCGGCGGGCTCGTTGCGGGCATCGCGGAGTATGTGAAGCGGATAGGCAATCCGCGGACGAAGGTGATCGGTGGGGAGACGTTCGATGGGGACGCGATGGATAAGAGTTTGAAGGCCGGGGAGCGCGTTACGCTTCCTGAGGTCGGGCCGTTCAGCGATGGCACGGCGGTGAAGATCGTGGGCGAAGAGCCGTTTAGGATATGCAAGAACCTGCTGGACGGGATCGTGAAGGTGGACAATGACGAGCTGTGTGCCGCGATCAAGGATATCTTCGAGGGTTAACAAGTTCATCTTCTGTTCCCGTCTCTTCTGACTTGGCCTCTTGCCTACAGAGACGCGTTCGGTAACGGAACCAGCTGGCGCACTTGGCCTTGCATCGCTCAAGCGCTACGTTCTCGACAACGACCTCGTCGGATCGGGAAAGCGCTTCGTCGCCGTCGTCAGCGGCGCCAACATGAACTTCGACCGGCTCCGGTTCGTCGCCGAACGCGCCGAACTCGGTGAGGGCCGCGAGGCGCTCTTCAGCGTCGAGATCCCCGAACACCCCGGAACGTGTGTCCTCTCTCCCGTATACCCTCTATTGTCCTGACCCAAGCTAACCACGGTACCACACTGCAGCTTCTTCGCACTGCATAACATCATCCACCCGCGGACGACGACCGAGTTCATATACCGCTACAACTCGTACAACGCCCCCGCGGACGTCGCGCACATCTTCATCTCGTTCTACCTCCAGACGACCTCGTGGGCCGAGCGGCCGCGCGAGATCGCGCAGGTGCTCGAGACGCTCGAGCAGAGCGGGATGAAGGGCGTGGACATCTCCGAGGACGAGATGGCGAAGAGCCACGCGCGGTACATGGTCGGCGGGTGCGCGGCCGTCGAGAACGAGCGGGTGTTCAGGTTTGGTGGGTGTTTTATGTTCGTGCCCATGCCGGCGCGCATCGGACGGTCGGGGAACGAGAACTAACATCGGGCGGCCTTGTTTGCGTGCAGAGTTCCCCGAGCGGCCTAATGCGCTGCGCAACTTCCTCCTCGGCCTCAAGTCGGGCTCGCAGTCGGGGTGGAACATCTCCCTCTTCCACTACCGCAATCACGGAGCCGGTACGTTCTTTCTTAAACACCCAGCCGCAGAGGCATAAGGCAGAGCGGTGAGCTGATGGCAATGCTTTCTTTTCGCCGCCTAGACATGGGCAAGGTCCTCGCGGGGATCCAAGTCCCGCCCGCAGAACACGCTGATTTTGACAAGTTCCTCGACACGCTCGGATACCACTACGTCGAGGAGACGGAGAACCCGGTGTACAGGCGCTACCTCCTCGCGCCGAGCGGTTCGAGTCTACCCAATGGCAAGGCCGTCTAAGCCAGCGGGGTACTGAGGTCTGAGGTGCCATGGTGCCAAAAAGTAGAACAAAAGTCGCTGTACTGGCGATGTGCTGTGATTTGCTTGCTGCTGTTGTACTATAGATGAGTCGCCAGCAAGTGTGCAGCGATAATGATATATCCAAGGTCTTCATGAATCAGCACTAGGGTGCTCTGCCGCTGGGCCTTATTAGGACGAACAGGGCATGCACGAGATCTATCAAGCTCAAGGGCCAAATCTTGGACTAGGTTGTATTTTGTATTTATTCCGTTTCTGTCTCTGCATGCTGACCTGGGTCGTGCTGCCACGCGCCATTATGCATCTATCATTATGCATCTATCCTTCCTACGCACCATGTTTTCGTGCTTACAGCAACAAACTTGTACATTAGCGCAGCGCTAATCCCCCCTCTACCAAGTGCTTGCCTCCTAAGTTTTGTCAGCCCCCTTCAACCGCCCTTGTGTCTCACCTGAGATGCTTGGCTCACAAATCCTGCGTTGTGTTGTTTATATGGTTTGTTCCGTCAGCGAGATAGCGAAGGGAGTTAACGTTGTGGTAAGACCCGCTATTGAATATTGAAGTGCGATGTATACGATGACTATCTACCGTTGGTGCGATAAGGGACCGGGGCAGACATGATCGTCGGCGGGCGGTGCGAATAGGCCTAGAAGCTCACCGGTCACTGATCTAGTGCTTCACCGCCACAGCAGAGGAAGCGAAGGGGACCGGGGGAAGGAGGGTCAGCCTAAATCAGGATGGGCGAGGATATTAAGCTGCTGCAGAGCGAATGCTTTAAATTAAGACAAGGATTACTGTATTCTTTAGCCAGTCCTCACTCCAGACTACACGTCCACGGCTAAGGTACGATAAAGTAACATCCATAGTATTCAGCGCTGTTACAAGTCAAAACGCTCAGTCTTGTAGCTTGTCTGCTGCATATGTAAGAAAAGATCCCACATATCAAGTCTGAGGTCTTCTTCAGGGGTTCGATCAGTCTTCAAGTAAAGCGCAGCATCAACAGAGATCTCTACAGCACTAGCACGGGCAAGGTCGATGACGTTCCACTTGTGGACGCACTGGTGCAGTTCACATGGTGTCGCATTTGCGGGAGCACGGACGAGATTGGGCGGGCGCAAGTCCCCATGCAACACAGACGCCCGCGACAGGTCGTCGAGCACCGCACAGACGTCTTCCCTGCGCAGACGGGCGTTCAGCGAGCATGTACACATCAAAAGCGACACAAGGGTGGGACATACTGCGTGGACGAATCCCAGTGGTCCCTCTGCGTGTACGCCGGACCACACCCGGACATGACGAGGACAGCCAACATGGGGGCCTCAGGGTCCGGGCGCCATTCGCACCACTTTGAGCCGTCTCTGCCCCCCAGGCCGTCGATGGGGCCGTCGTCGTCCGGTAAAAACTCGTCCTGCGTAAGATCGTCGTTTTTCAAGCGCACGAGGTCTTCTTCTGGAGGAAAAGGAGCCTGCGTCTCGGACAGAGACGCGGTGAACAAGCCGTAGAACTGGGGCGAGATGACGCCTCGCAGGCCGCCGAGCTTCCTGTACATCCACGCTTCCCTGGCGAGTGTACGGCAACGGTTGGGCCGTGCCACCTTGATGCAAAGCTTCTGGTCTAGGGGAAGCGGGTGTGAGGGAGCGACGCCGCTTTCCTTCGTGCCGAAGGTTAGAATCTCTGCCTCATAAACGACACCGCCTCCACCCCCGGAAATGCGCTTCCCCAACCTCAGAGATAGGTGACCTGCTCCTTGAGGGCCCTGCGATGAACCCCACTTCCCCATAGACACATAGCTCCCAGTTACGAGGTCGAACTGATGAGGTGGGAAGTCCTCCCCTCTGTTCATCGTTATGGAGCTTATGTTGTTGATGCCAGTGAGGGTCAGGGTCGAGAACATGGACGGCGTCGTGTTCTGTGCGGACCCGGAGGTGGCTTGAGAACCTGCCATAAGTCCTTCCAAGCGCGAAGAAAGAGATTGTTCCAGCTGGTAGGACGAATGGAAAGATAGGAACAGAGTCAACAAGATGACTTCCCCCCCTCTCAGCGCCAATAGAACGTGAACGCTTGAACAATCGCGCACGCGACGCATGCGCAAACGCGACGCGCGCACTTTTGATCAAGGGTCATGTGATAACATTGGGGATTATATTTGATTAGTTTAGTTTGGACTTAGTGGTGATTTGATCTCCTGACAGCGAGACTACAAAGGGCTACAGATTCAGAACACAACAGCGAATCTAAGCTAATGGATGGCATAAACGTCGTTATTAGCTATAGGTCGAAATTTTCGGTCTCGTAGCTTGAACGCTGCAAATACACAAAAATATTCCAGTGTGAGACCTTCCTCTCTTCCTCGGGAGTTCTGTTGTTCTTCAACAAGACCGTACCATCGACGTCGACGTCCAAAGCTCGAGCGCGAGCAAAATCAATGACGTTCCACTTATGGATACACCGGTACACATCACATGGTATCGTACTTGCGGGGGCGCGAACAATGTTAGCTGGACGCAGGTCTCCGTGCAAGATAGAAGCCCGCGATAAGTCGTCGAGTACAGCACGAACGTCTTCCCTGAGCAAATAAGGGTTATATCAGGCTGCGAGTTGCCAGTGAAACGATAATTGCGTGTGACGTAGTGTGTGGACAAGTCCCAATGGTCCTTCTGTGAGTACGTTGCCCCTCCTCTTGACATGACAATTACAGCCAGCATCGGAGCATCGGGTTTTGGGCGCCACTTGCACCACTTTGAGCGGTCTCTGCCTCCCAACGCGTCCAGCGGCTCGTCGTCCGGTAAAAACTCGTCGCGCGTCAGATCGTCCTCTTCCAAGTGCACGAGATCCTCGCTTGGAGGAAAAGGAGACTGCGTCTCAGACAGCTCTGCAGTAAAAAAGCCATAGAACTGAGGCGCAATGACGCCCCGTAGGCTGCGAAGACGCCTGTACATCCATGCTTCTCTCGCAAGCGTGCGACACCGGTTGGGTCGTGCTACTTTGATGCAAAGCTGCTGCTCCAGAGGAGACGGGTTGGAGACCGCGACATTGCTTTCCACCGCACCAGAGCCCGCAACCAATACCTCTGCCTCATAAGCGACGCCGGATCCGCCACCAGAGATGCGCTTCCCCACCCTGAGAGACAGGTGGCCCGCTCCCCGAGGACATTTCGATGAACACCACTTCGGCATGGCTAGATATTCTCCTTCACCGATATGAAATTGGTGGGGCGGAAAGTCCTTTGATCCAGTGAGCGTTGTAAGTTTTGTGATTTTGCCGCCAGCGATGGTCAAAGTCGAAAACATGGACATGGTTTGTCCCGTATTCTATGTACGGCAGATGGTAATAAGCTGCGATAATGAGGTTTGGGCGCTGACGGACCGTTGTGGTGGCTTGCGAGTTTGTCATGAGTATGATATATAATTCCAGACGCGAAGAAAAGGCACACTCCACTATGATATAAATGAAGTTAGTAAGGTGTGCGGGTGCGCGAATGACAGGTGGACAGAGTTAACAAACAGCCGTTAGCGTGGTTCCATAGGGGTAAACACCCGTTCAGGTAGATTATTCACACGGTGCTGCGAAGCGACTGGCAGCATAGTAAGCAAGACGTTTGAAGTTGCTAGCGCTTTGCCTTTAAAATCGACTTGAGTGTGCCTAATATGATGTGCTCCGATTTCTCTCTACGCACTCGTTTGAAACTGTCTTTCGATATGTAATAAATGTTATGTGCTTGTTCAGGGTCTACTTATCCATGTTTGCTCCGGAATCGGTTCCGATTTGCCGTTCACATTTCTTCCGCACGACTTCCATCTTGTCTGGGCGTGTCATGGCGACACCATCCGCGACCAAAGGAGCCTCGTCGCTCAGCTTACCCGCAGAGCTGTGGATCGAAGTCTTCGCACATGCCACTCATGTGGAAGGAGTCTCTGAACGGGACATCCGCGATCGTGTCAAGTCCTTAGGACTCTACGGCGAGAGAAGTGGATCAACGGAACACGAACCCGCACTTAGACAGTCCATTGTTTCCACGAGGCTACATCTTCCCCTGGTCTGCAAGACGTGGTACGAGCTAGCTACGCCATTCCTCTATCAGTCAGTCTGGGTCGACAACAGGAGCCTGCCATCACTGCTCGCGGGTCCACTCTTCAGCTCACCCTCCGTGGCACTCAAAGGGAGCGCGGAGCCACTAGGGGCGCTCGTAAAGCGCGTGGACCTCATCATGGACCTTTCCCGTATGCCAATGATAGGGCCAGGCGTCGCTATTAAAGAGTACTACGATGACCTTGGAGACCTCTTGCAGTCACTTCATAACATTTCCATCATCGATATTTCCATCATCCCTCCTCGTCCCATCGTAGCAAATGCGATGTCCTTCCCCATCCCCAATTGCGTGATAGACGCAGCGTGTAGTCTGGGACAGACACTCGAGGTCTTCAACATACGCACGGAACTTGCGATCTTCGAGCGTTCTCAAACCATAAAATTGTTGCACTCTGCTCCAAACCTCCGAGTACTGTCTTGTCGCTACATCGAAGCCCTGAACTCAGGAGTGACCTCCTCTCAGTCCATCGAGTCTCTTTCTTGTGGCAGATGGTTAAGCCTGTCAGGATCGTGCCGCGATTGCTTTCCACGCTTGCGCCATCTCACCCTCCGAGAGCACGATTCGCTGGCCAGCCCCGATATGCAAACGTTCTTAGAAGGCGTCGGTTCTAACCTTGAAACCGTGTGCTGTGCACAGGGACATACAGTGTATCAATCGAGCTGGTCGGTCATAGCCAGGACCTGCCCTCGCTTAACTCGCATAGTCCTGTCCGTTCCGGAGGACGCTCTTTTCCAGGACGACATGTTCTACTTCTTTCAGCTTCCGCCCGTCAAGTACCTCGGATTCAAAGTTTACAGAACCCAGTCAAGTACGGAGCCGTTGGAGGCAGCCCAGCTTGATCGGACGGCAGGATACGGGCGGATTTGGCAGAAGATTCAGATGCTCCTCTCTTTCACACCGTCCATCCAGGTCGTCGAATTCTTGACCATAGATCGCCCTCACAAGGAGGGGATCGAGGCAGTACCTCCAGAGCTAGCAGGACGCTTGCAGTTTCGATACGTATACCAAGATTAGATCGTTACATTGTGACTTTGCAACTTTGCGGATCGGAACACTCGCTAGCTACAATCGTCGCTGATCCTGAAGGATGCCCAACTGCCTTAGACTAATGTCCTGGTTTCCCTCGTTGCACCTGATACGTACATCGCCTACAAACCTGATTAATGATTATTCACGAGGACTTGATGGAGCATAATCTTTTTAGCAAGCCGCCTTCATTCGTGCTGACATCACACGCTTTGCTTGATCTCTTAGTGCTTTCTAGGTCATATAACAAGACTTGAGAGCTTTACACTGGCACGAAACTAACATAAGGTCGAAGTTCTATAGCCGTAGTTACAATCTTACATATGCGCTGCACAGAATGACTTCTGCTGGACTCGCTAACAGCTAGTACTATGTTCGCCACTCTTCGGTACTCGAAGGTGTTCTGATATTATATATCTACACAACGTATCCCTAGAAATCGAAACTGTAGTGTTCTAAGCCTATGAGCTGCACTTTCCGAACCGTCTCCCTTATCTGATTGATTCGCCTCTCAACGACGTCGTCCTTGTTATGCCCTGGTCCCTCGCTACTCTGCTTGGTGCTCTCTTTCCACCTTCTACTGAGGTTACCGTAGTCGGTGCGAAGGGACCATGCGAAATCGATCATGTTCCATTGGTGGACACGCTGGTGCCGGCTGCACAGCACTGTGCTCGCGGGAGCGCGAACCAGGTTGGCGGGACGCAGGTCACCGTGCACAACGAGAGCGCCAGACAGGTCGTCTAGAATCTCGAGAACGTCTTCCCTGTTTGAATTCGGGGCAAGTTGACGTGAGTAATCGATTCAGTGGCAGTATGAGCCATGGGCATACCTTGTGGCCTCGTTTGAGTGGTCGTTGTAGGTATAGGTGGAGCCGCCACGCGCCATGACTATTACAGTCAAAAGGGGAGCATCAAGGTCGGGGCTCCATTGATCCCACTTCGAACATTCTTTCCCTCCCAATCGCTGCTCACCATCCAGGCTGCGCGTCTCCGGAACGGGTCCATCATCCGGTAGAGGGTCATCACAGGTTGGGTCATCCGCTACGGAGCCATAGCCCAAATCCGGGGCGTGCATCGGCTCGAAATCTTGACTGAACCAAGGCGGGAAGGACAACCGCCCGGGAGACATGGGGGCTGCAAAAAAGCCATAGAAGTGGGGAGCGATGACACCTTGCAGTTGTCCATCGTCATCAACAGCAGCGTGGTCAACTGTTTGCGATTGCCGCCACGGTGTGCGATCACGAAGCCGGCTGTAAAACCATGCTTCTCGCGCCAGCGTGCGGCAGCGGTTGGGTCGAGCCACCTTGATGCATAGCTGTTGATCCACGGGGAGAGCGTATGTTGGTGCAGTCCCAGTCACCTCAGGATCAGCTGATATGACCTCTACGACGTATGTTACTGCACTTCTCCCTCGAGAAATGCGCTCGCCTAGTCTCAAAGACAGATGACCAGCAGTCTCGGGTACCTGGGATGAGCGCCATGTTGGCTTCCTCGTGCATCTTCCGAATCTAGCTTGAAACCGATGAGATGGAAAGTCTTCTTCTCTGGACAGTGTGACAGGACTGGAAATGTCGTCGCCTGCAATGGTCAAGGTAGAGAACATCATTCCCGTTTCCTGTGCAACGATAGCTCCGAGTCAGCAAGCATTACAGGGGAAGCTACAGCACATGCATTGCAACGGGCGAACCATTGTAAGTTTGGGAGAGCAACGGGATAACAGCTGAGCAGCTTTTAAGGTCAGCGGCTGTACAAGCTGAACTCGTAGTAGAAATTTACGCGTCGAGGTCTTGTGTCAAGAGCTAAAATGGCACTTCGCGTCAGTCACCTGCATTCATGTGGCTGTGCCTCACCTCACACTTTCCGTTAGGAAATTCAAGTACAGCGAACTTGAAGAACCTGAACTTGAAGAAGATGACAAGTAAGATTCCTGGGCGAGTGATTTACCCGATCAACTGGTGTACCATATTGATATGTTGGAGACTACGGGTGCCGATGATTCCGGATGCTTGAAAAGGTATAGCTACCTCAACCTTGGGTTCTGCTTTTCCGCGTTGCCTGTAGCACGTATGGCACCGACAATCCACCCACAAGCTCAGTGTTATCGATAATTTCACAAGGCAGGAATCTGTGGTGGGAGCCTTCAAAGCTGCACCCCCGTTGACATCATTTGCTTTGCTTGATCACGTCCCAATGCTTTTTAATTTCGCGCCTTGAGTCTTGCCTTGAATTCTCTACGAAGTTGGCGCGGAATGTACCTAAGATTAATTGGGGAACCACAGGCGGGCCCGCCAGCTCTCCAACCTTGCGTGCGCGCTGCATATAATGACTCCCATTCGACGTTCGCACCACTCATCTAATATTGAGAGCCGTTGTTTTAAAGTTACATATTTATATAAATCACCACTCAGAAGTCGAAATTGTGGTGTTCGAGACCAAATAGTTGCAATTCATGAACCACATGCCTTATCCGAGCAACTCGCCTCTTAATGACATCTCTACTCTGCTTTGTGCCGTCTTTCCGCTTCTGTTTGAGGTTGCCATAGTCGTCGCGGAGGGACCAGGCGAAGTCGATCAAATTCCATTGATGAATACGTTGATGCCGTTTGCAGAGCACTGTACTGGTAGGAGCGCGCACCAGGTTGGCGGGACGCAAGTCACCATGCAGGATGAGAGCCTCAGATAGGTCGTCCAGAATCTCGCGAACGTCTTCTCTGTGAGATTTCATAGTGAGTCAGCGTGAGCTAATAAATCAGTGGCATATGAGCCATGGACATACGCTATAGTTTCATCCAAGTGATCGTCGTATGTGTAGGTAGAACCTCCGCGCGCCATGACGATGACGGTCAAGAGGGGCGCGTTAGGGTCGGGACTCCATTGATCCCACTTTGAGCATTCTTTGCCTCCCAAACACTGCACACCATTCAAGCTGCGCAGTTCTGGAAGGGGTCCGTCAGCCGGTAAACGGTCGTCATGGTCTGGGTCATCCGCCACAGTACCGAAGCCGACGTCCGGTGCATGCATCAGCTCGAAATCTTGACTAGACCAAGGTGGAAAGGACGCCAGTCCCGGAGATATGGGGGCTGCAAAAAAGCCGTAGAAGCGGGGAGCGATGACACCCTGCAGTTGTTTTTCATCATCAGCAACAGCCTGGTCAGGCTCTCGCGGTTTTCGCCACGGTGTGCGATCACGGAGCTGGTTGTAAAACCATGCTTCTCGCGCCAGCGTGCGACAGCGGTTGGACCGTGCTACCTTGATGCATAGCTGTTGATCCACGGGGAGTGGACGTGTTGGTGCAGCCCCAGCCACCCCAGATTCAGAGGATATAACTTCTACCGTGTACGTTACTGCACTTCTCCCTCGCGAGATGCGTTCCCCTAGCCTCAAAGACAAATGGCCAGTACCCTCGGGTACTTGGGATGAGCGCCATGTTGGCTTCCTCTTGCACTCTCCCACTCTGAACTGAAACTGATGAGACGGGAAGTCTTCTTCTCTGGATAGTGTGATAGCGCTGGGAATGTCGACGCCTGTGATGGTCAAGGTAGAGAACATCGTCGCTGTTTCCTGCGCGATGATAGTTCAGCATGCATCACCACAGTCACTAGACCTTATACGTCACGGAAGGCAAACCATTTTAATTTTGGGTGTCGATTAGCCTGGTTGCTGTTGAAAAGACGACTGGGTGAACAAGAAACTAGGTGAGAAGTGGAACTGAGGTTGGGTTGAAGTTAGAAATTGACGCGTCACTGGCAACGCGTCGGGCTCGTGACCACGTGCACCCTCTGGTCGCCGGCCCTAGTGTTGCCGCATTTGGCGAACTTGCGGGAACCAAGCCCACGAAACTTGCACTTGCACTTATTATCAGTTCGGATAACACACCTCGTCGCCGTGTAGAGGCTAAAAACCGCGAAGATTAACACATTGTTAGTCGGTATTGTGGCATGAAAGGGTACTTCAAGGAGGCGGTTCGAGCTGGTTCCTCGAACCGCGGCAACACTAGCCGGCCCGAACGGTCCCTAAAACTAGTGAAGACCTGCGGGTTGCGATTAATGCTTCGCCAAGAGCTTCGCAACTCGACAGTGTAGTATTTATTCCTATTTATTCCTGAGATATCCATGCTACTCCGAAGACATAAGGCGGTGATCCGCTGGCTCGCCCTCACCCTCGTTATTCTCCGACAATTGAAATGACGCACCGACAGCTCGCTCCGCATCTCACGGGTTTGCTGCACCCCGCTTCCGGGTCTTCATGCACATGAGTTAAACTGGCGCGTTCAACGTCGACGTTCACCGTCATCGCCGGGCCGCTGCCCTGGCCGTCGCGCGAACGGCGCAGCGGTCTGTCCAATACAATGTTGCAGTCTACCACGTCTAACGCTTGGCAGCCCGTCCTGTGGGACGAGCAATTTCAGGACATTGCATATGGACTCACTCTTCAAATGCCTGGAATCATGTTATGCAACGTACATTATGAATGAAAACGAAGAGACTGCCTTCGCAGCCGTATTCCAACGAAAATAACCAGAGACAGCTGGGTACAGTGACGAACGTGTGGGTATGGAATGAGTGTCAGTTCTCGTGATCGTAAAGGTACACATATGTACACTCCTCGCAGCCCGATTAAAATCAGCGAACCAACGCAACGCAGACACACAGCCCACGCAGCTTTCCTGCTCCTACGACTTCTCCTCGAGCTCGCTCAAGAACGCGAGCCACGTCTTCTTATCGATGACGCCCTCGTCTGTTCCCAAAGTCAGCTCTGAGCACCGGAGGGAAAACGGGCAACTCACAATCCCCATCGACATCCGTGACAACAACGTACTTGGCGCCGAGCTTCGCAAAATGCTGATGCAGCAGCTCCATCGGCGCGTTCGACTGGATCGTGAGCGGCGCCTGGTCCATGTACACGCTGAAGTCGAACAGGTCCGCCTCCGCCTGGACGTCGCCGAAGAACGACGACGAGAACGAGGCGGCCATCTGGTGCTCGTACGTCGACGACGCGTGGAACTGCACGGGCTCGTCCGCGTCGTCCGCGACGATGGCTAACGGACGCATGCAGCAAGGTCAGTCGTCGTGGCTTACGTTGATGCGTGGGGGGATTAGATACGCACATAAAGCGTGCTCGAGCTCGCTCGCGCCGATGTACCCGACCATCCGTGTGCCGCTGCCGTCTCTGGTCGGCTTCAGGATCGGGAACCCGCCGTCGTCGTGGCCCGACTCGAAGAGCATCTGAAGCTGGTCGCGGAGGCTCCTGACGGTGTTGGTGCGTTCAATGTAGATCACGTCGACGTCGCGGTCCGTCTGTGTTGAGTCGTTAATAGTGGCATAGCGCATGCAGGCTGTACAGAAAACTTACGACTTCGCTGATGGAGACGTTGTTCCACATGTACTCGTGCTTTGCTTCGAGGTAGGGGAGCTGCTGGAGACTGTGTGACGGTGAGCGATGAAACGTGCTTGGACGATGACTGGGGACATACTCGATGACGAGATCGTAGATACCCTTGGGCTCGAGCGCATCAGCCACGGTCTTGGCGACAAGAACAGCAAGCATAACAGGCACAGCGTACGTGAGCGTATCAGTGAGCTCAAACATGATAACAGCAAGCGAAACCGTCGTCCTCTACACCCACATTCCAAATCAGAACAGCTCATTCCCCCACAACAAACCACCCACCGTAACACCAGACAACGCCGCAGCCGCACCAACCATCGCATACAACCCCGGAATCACACAATCCATATCCCCTCTACACACCGCAAACACCGAACTCGTCGGATACCGCCACTGCGCCCACTGCACCCCGATCCCCAGAATCCTTCCCGCGCACGCGCCCACACCCAGCGTCGGAATAAATATCCCCGCGGGGAGCTTGATCCCAAACGTCACGATCGTGAGCACGCCCTTGACGAGCATCGCGACGAGGATCGCGCGCACGATCGGCCACACGTGCGCCGCGCTGCCCGGGTCGAGCACGCACAGGCCCGAGTGGGAGCCGGCGGAGCCGGTGCGGCATTCGGAGAAGAGCTCGTAGACGAGCTCGGTGCCGCCCATGCGGGTGTATGGGTTCAGGAAGCAGAAGAACGTCGTCACGAGTGTGATCTTTCGCGTAAGCGGGGGTTAGCAAGGAAGGCGGGGCTGTGAGGTGGTGCGACTCACGAGGACGACCTCCGCGATCGGGTGGGTCTTCATCCAGGTCTTGTTCCTGACGTCGCGGCTCCAGCGGTAATTGAGCTTGGAGAAATAGGCACCATAGATGCCCTGCATGCAGCGCGGTCAACACCAGCACAGGACAACGAACAAACGTAGAACGCACTCCGATGGCACCGAGAATAACAAAAAAGATCAGCTCGTACGCGTGCCAGTCCTACATGCCCGCATCTCCATCAGCCACAACGCTACATACTCGCATCGCACAAAAACACCCCACCTTATCGTAAGTCACTTGGAAGAGCACCAGCTTCCCAGTCCCAAACGGATCAAGGAACTTGAGGGTGATAGCGGCGATCATCGCACAGAAAAAGCTCCTCCACATGACCTACATGCACACACAGAGTCAACCAGACACATCCCCCCACCACCGGAACTTGGGCTTCTCACCTTCGGAGGAAAAAAGTACGACACCTCCTCCAGACTGAACAGCGTGCCCCCGATGGGCGCACCGAACGCGACGGCCACGCCCGCAGCACACGCCGCGCTCAGAATCTCGCGCCGCTTCGCTGAAGGGTGGGGGTTAGCATGTGCTTCCTGAGTTTTTACATTCGGTTAAAGCCGAGCAAAATGCGGTACCTTCGTTGTTCTCGTACTTGCGCGTGATCCGGCTGACGATATTTCCGATGCAGCTCGCGATGTGCACGAACGGGCCTTCCTTGCCTGTTTAGATTATAGATCAGCAAGAGAAAGAAACGAAGGAATGAGGAAGCCGTGTGAAGGGCGCTGGACGAAGCGAATCGCTTACCGAGCGAGAGCCCCGATGCGACAGAGAGAGAAAGCCCGACGGATTTTGTGAAGAGCGTTCTCCACCCAAGGTATCCGTGGATGACGAAGCCTGCGATTAATTAATGGTTTGAGTGAATTATGAAGATGGCAGTATCGACGTCAGCTACTCACCTCCGAGGATCGTCTTGATCTCCGGTATCCCACTCCCCGCGGCCTGTGATAGTCACACGACAGTTGAGAAACAAACAGCGTGTGAAGCAAACGTGGCGAAGCGTACGTAGTACATGACCTTCCACTTGGGCTGTAGAGCGGTACTAGAGGTGGCCTTTCCGTTGCTGTCGAACTGGGGTCCGAGGACGCCAGATTCCTTGCGCGTGATAAACGAAGTAGATGAAGTGAGATAGATCGTAAGGACTGTGGATATTGTCGCCCAGAGGAGCTTGAAGGTTCATCGTCGCGTGAGCGTAGCTCGGCCAAAAGAAAGACGAGCAACATACCGCGATGACGGTGTACGCGATGTACTCTGTAAAGTCCGTCTCGTCCCCGCGCGTCGGCGCCCTGTTCTTGATGTGCTCGAACACCTGGGACCACGTCCGCCAGTCGGAGCACGTCCCCCCGCTGAGCCGCATAGAGTCGTCGACAACGCCACAGCAGAAGCGCTGGGCCTTGTACCAGCCCGTCGAACAATACCCGTCCTTGATGTGGAAGAGCCACTGCTCGCTGCGCACGACGAGGAACGCGACGACGGCGGTCAAGAAACCCACAATAGTGACAATGATCCAGCCCAGACTCTTGTCGAACAGCAGCCTGAGGCGCGAGCGGAGCGACTTGCCGCGGCGGAGGCGGGAGAAGCGGACCGAGTCCTTGACGGCATCGTGCAGCCAGTCGATGGAGGTGAAGGAGGAGTACCAGACGCGAATACCGTTCGTGCGCGCGTGGACGTCGCCGTCGTTGTCGCTCCCCAGACCGTCGGCGGCGTCCTGCGGGGTCTTGGGCTTGACGAGGAGCGGCTCGTCGTATGCGGCGATTGGGCGCTGGGAGATGTGGGACAAGCGCTGGCGGAAGGTGCTCCGGAGGGAGGAGGGGGAGAGCGGGGGCGTCGCGGGGTTGGAGACGGCGCTGCGCGGGAGGCCGGAGCCGGGGAGGGCGGGGAGACGTCCCTTGAACCTGTTCACTCTGCCGAAGGTCGCTGAGTGAGTGCGGTTGGCGGCGCCGTAGGCCGGTCTGGGTGTGTGTTCGCCGAGCATGGAGCTCGTTTCTGTAACTTCGGCTGCCTCATCTGCGAGTGATGTGGAGTTGGATTGGAAGGTGCCGGATGCGGGCTCGGTGATGGTGTTGCTGCTGCCGATGCGAAGAAGCCTCGCTCTGCGCCATTCCGGGGTGGACGGACCGCTGAGAGGGCCAGTAGGGACTTGGGGAGAAGGGGGTCTGGAGACAGAGGAACCTCGATAGGACCGCGGCCTGTCGCTGGATGCCATCGCTCTGCCCGTAGACGAACGACGATCTCAAGAGCGTTGGGTATGTAAGCAAGTCAGCGCAGGTATCAGTCCTCGGATCCCGTCCCCAGCCGTGTCCCCTCAAAGCCAGCAGGACTCGTTGACGACTGCCTCCGACACACGCTTGGCAGCAGACAGGAGTTTTCTGCTTTCGTCCATCTGTTTACGTAAGCACGCTCAGTCGGGACCAAACACGCGTCAACCCTCTGCTCCCCTTGCGTATCCCCTTCATCCACACAAACGCACAATGGCTGGGCTCGGTGTGCCCGTCAAACTTCTCCACGAGTCTCTCGGCCACGTCATCACCGTCGAGCTCAAGACCGGCCAGCTCTATCGCGGCAAGCTCGCTGAAGGTTCGTCGTCCGCTAAAATGATTTGGGCCACTCGCATGCTGACCTGACATGCACGATCGCGTTGCGTTTCTGCTCCATCAGCCGAGGACAACCTCAATATCTCTCTCAAAGATATCACTGTGACTGCCAGAGACGGCCGTGTGTCGCAGCTTGACCAGGTCTACATCCGCGGGAGCATGATCAGGTTCTTCATTGTCCCCGACATGCTGCAAAACGCCCCCATGTGCGCTTCCTCGCTCGTGCATGCCCCTCTCGCAGCAGACCACTCATCTTCCTTTGTACGTGCAGGTTCAAGCGCGTCGGACCGAACGCGATGCGTGGACGTGGTATCGGTACAGCTCGTGGTCGCGCGACCATCATGCGCGGTGCGTCCTTCCCTGCAGTCCTGCTACTCATCGAGATGTAAAGTACTGACTTATACCTCCCCATTCCTCCCCGTGCCTTGTACCTTGTCTTGCCGCATACAGCAAATGGTAAGCCGCACCTGCCTCACTATCACAATCCGCCCACTAATGAATCCATCTTCCAGCCCGTCGTGGTCGTGGTGTGCCTGCGGCCCGTGCCATCCGACGATAAATTTGGAGAGGCCCTCGGTCTCCGTATTTGCTTTGCTCGAAATCGAAATCAGTAGGTACACGTCCTATCGCAAAAATAATGTCCGCCATAGCATTACGCATCATTCTTGAAACTTAGCTTTGTACCTTGTCCATGCCCATCATCGTTCCGTAGATGTAGCGATCGGATTCCTGATTCATTGCAGCTGTCGTATCATGCTGGGTCGTGTCCGGCTGGAACCTGGCTGTTTGGGCGCTCGAAGTTAAGATGATTATGCCCCTTCGAATCTCCGCATTCTGACTGGGCTTGAAACAACTTTTCACGTTCCGTATATGCACAACACGATGAAACACCGGAGGATCGATTAGATGTCCGGACGTTCGAGAAACTGTTTCGAAGCAACGCCCAACTTCACGAGCGAATGAACGAGCAGACAAACGGGCTTCGGGAAAACGGTTCAAGCAAAGTTGTTCATTAAGCAGCTCCTTCTAAGACAGGCCAAAGTGGTCTAAAGCGATAAGTGATGAACACAAAGGGCACGGATCCCGAGGGTCACCGGTCACCAATTGCACACTAAGTATACAGCGCGGTTTCTAGAAGTCCGACACCCGCCCCTTGAAGCTCCAGTCCCCGCCGTCCTCGCCCCACCGCCCGACAGGCTCGCGCTTCGGCCCGCCCCGCTCGCCCGTGCGCGGGTTGACGTCGCCGTCGAACTCGGGCGGGATGGGCTTTCGCGCGTCCGGGTGTAAAGTGAGCTCGGCTTCGGCGTCGCCCCGCGAGGTGCCGCCGCGCGCGAGCGGGGCGGCGGCGGTGCGCTGGAGTTCTTCGAATTCGCGCTGCTGGGCGCGGGGGAGTGGTGGGGGCGAGGGGCGGGCGAGGGGGGAGGAGGACATCGGGCGTCGCCATGGGGGTGTGTTGCTTGGGTTGGCGGGGGTGGTGCACCGACGAGAGACGGTGCGGGTTACTGAGCGGGCAAGTCGCAAGGCTGAGGGTGTCATCTTTCGGATTCGGGTTGAATGAGAGCGGGGTCCCTGGCGATTATGCTGCTGCTGATAGGGGAAGAGCGGTGAGTAATGGAAGGGGCGACAGCCATGCGTTGTTATTGCGGCTCACGTTAGGTTTGATGCTCGGAGGGTGAACCTTGTAACTCGTAAGACGGAAGTTTGCGACTGTGAGCGAGGAAGGAGGGAGGAGAAGGACTAAGCCAGCCAGCCACTGGGTCCGCTTACTTAGAGGGAACGTGATCGTCGATCGTATATGGCATATGCGGACCAAATTTAACCCCCGCGAAGGAGCCCCTTGCACGGACCCGGAAGAGCCTTCCCGCGCTGCAGCCCACACCTTCGAGCACATATACGTCTGGAAGGGCCTGGAGGGGGTCATCTGGTTAGGCTTTTGGTTAGAGTGCTTCTGCAGCGGCTTGATGAGGGGGGATAAACCATTTATGAGGGACAAACATAGAAGGGCGTCTTGGTAAACGATGGACATACATGTCCAGATACTCTCTCAAGATCACGATGGGTGTATAAAAAGGCAGGCACACGTCGCACAGACGAATCAGCAAACAAGCTTTAGTAGCCGCGCCTTACATACTGGGGGCAAGTGGATGATTAGTGGTAAAGTGCGGTGTGTGAGGGTGGTGGATCAGAGGATCGCAAATCCGAGGAGTCCGGCGGGGAGGAGGGAGGTTCACGTGAAGGTAATAAGACCGCTGTCATGCGTTTGTGAGGATATCTTGACGGATTCAGCAGCCCGAACAGCGCCAGAGTCGTTCGTGGCCTGCACAACATCACACGGCCATTCAACCAGCGAAAAAAGCGACCGTCTCAATCAAGCGAGCCCCCGTAGGAAGACGCCAAGGGTGCTATGTTTCCCTTTTAGTGCGCGCTATCGACCGAGCAGTTTTATTTAGATTTCTCGAAATACCAGCCGCCTCTTACCCCGACAGGCTGTGGTTCTTCTCCCCTTTTTCTGATCCATTCACGCTTGCACTTCATTGATCTGTCTTTGACCTGCACCTTGCTCTCTCCACCTCGAAACCGCATACATGCACAGCGTTCGCCCATACTACCCCTCCGCAACGTACCACCACCCCACCAGCAACAGCCTGAACATCATCGAGCTCGGCGACCCCGCCTCGTCCTCTGCGTCCTACGCAGCGTCCGCGCACAACAACCCGTACGCCAGCTCCTCCTCGACCCTCAGCCTCCACCAGCAGGCCGCAGCCGCGCAGCGCCATGGCGACTCGCCGTCGCACATGTACAAGAAGCGCAAGATCGAGCGCGCATGCGACGCCTGCAGGCGGAGGAAGACCAAGTGCGACGGCCCGCGCATGCCCGACAATATATGCACCAACTGCATACAGAACCGCAAGACGTGCTCTTACGTGTGCGTGATTAGCGTGCTTGCACCTCGGCTCCGGGTTCGAGGGTGTATGTACGAGGTGCTGACGTTAGATGGTGTTGATATGCAGTGAGGCGTCCAAGCCACGCGGACCGCCCAAGGCGTATGTCCCTGTGCTGTCTTTTGACTGAGACGATCGGCTGATGGGGTGCTTGGTTGTAGGTATATCACGAGTCTCGAAGATAGGCTGGAGAAGATGGAGGCGCTCTTGAGACGTGTAAGCTATCTCTTCATCCTGAGCGCCACGAGCCATCCGCGCCTTGTGCGGTCCTCTTGCGTGCCTGTGCCCACTGTCGCCGGTCCTTACCGTCGGGCAGTCGCTCGTGTCAAGATATCAGGATCTCTTTAGCTTCATTCTACATCTAATCGTGCAGCCCGAGCCTAGTACGCTGACCTAATTCTACGAACATAGCTTCGACCCGAAGCCGACTTCTCCTCCGAACTCGGACCCCCCGTCGTCCGCGACTCATGGAAGAGCGACACTCACCCGTCCAAACAACACACCCCGCACGAGAAATCGACATCGCCCTCCGCACCGCCGGCGCCGCCACACACCCAACGATCCAAACCGTCCCCACCGCGCGCGATCTACTCGGTCGGCGTCGCAGGCAACATCCCGCCGTCCGCGGGCCACGGCCACGGCACGGGCGCAGGGGGCATGCGCGGCGACAACACCGACGACGAGCAGCTCTCCTCCGAGTGGGACTCGTCCGAGAGCGAGGGCGTCGGCGAGCTGAGCCTCTCGCGCGGGATGAAGCGGCTCACGATCCGCGGGCTCGAGGCCGCGCTCGACCCGGATGTGCTCGCCCACGGCGGGGTTGGCGCGGGCGCGGGCGCGGGCAGTATCGCGGTGGCGCTGGGGGACGCGGCGCATGCGCATCTGATGGATAATCAGGTCCGGTTCCATGGGAAGAGTAGTGCGTTTAAGCTTATTGAGCCGACGCGGAAGCTGCGGGAGGAGCATATTACCAAGGTTGGCGGTGGGGGTGGGGGTAGTGGGGCGGCGCCGGGGGAGAGCGAGGGAGGGGGGAGGGCGGGCAGCGGGCTGTCGCCGGATGCGGGCGGGCAGGCGTCTGTGAGACGCCCGGAGTTCTGGGTCGTGCCTCCTGTAAGTCGGCTTCTTGGCTTTCGTGCTGTGGCCTTTTGGACTTGTACCGCGACGGTTCTCGCTCACATGTCCTTTCTCCCTTTCTTCCATTCTTCCTACCCGAAACCATCGCCCAGTGGGAACTCGCGTTCGAAGGCTTCGAAAACCGCCTCGGCGGGATCTGCCTCGCGCTCACCGCCGAGTTCCCGCCAGACGACCTCGCCGAGTCGCTCATCGCGCTCTTCTTCACGCACATCAACCTCACGTACCCCGTCTTCCACCAGCCGACGTTCGAGCGCCAGTGGCGCGCGGAGAAGCTGCACACGCGCGACCCGTGGTTCGCGTGTCTGTGCCTCGCGACGTTCGCGGTCGCGAGCCGGTGGAGCGAGGACCCGCGCGTGCTTGGTGACTACCATTCGGATCTGCCGCGCGACGAGCGGCATGTGGATGAGGCGACAACTAAGTGGCAGCGCGCGGGGTGGGGGTACTTTAATGCCGCTGTCGGTGAGCATCTCTTGTCTGCGAGTGCGCGCGGTCTATGGGTGTTCCGGTATCTGACGTTGCTTTCATACGTTGTTTCGACTCGACCCGCCCACACGACATGACACGGCGCAACGCAACGCAACGACCCCACATATGCTGCTGTGGTGTCATTGGTGATGCGAACAGATGTGCACCGCGATTCCCGCAGCCTGTTTCATCCACCTGGGCTGTTCGAGGTCCAAACTATGACTGTGCGTTGATTTTTCGCACCCTCTTTTCTTTTCTTTTTCCCGCGGACGCACGTACCCATCAGGCACTCATCAATGACGTTTTTCTCTATGCTTCCCCAGCTTCTCGGCATGTTCCTGCATGGAACCGCGTTCCACCCGGTCGCCTGGCTCTTCGTGAGCATCGGACTGCGAAAGGCACAGGACGTGGGAGCGCACAGGAAGAAGGTGTACGGGGCGAGGCCGACCGTTGAGGAGGAGCTCTGGAAGCGGGCGTTTTGGTTGTTGGTGCTGTTTGACCGGATCGAGAGCAGTAATATTGGGAGGTCGTGTTGCTGTGGGGAGGAAGAGTGAGTGGTGTGATGTTGCGTCTTGTGAGGGTGTTTTCGTGTTTGGACGCTGATGGTACCTCTTATTGTAGCTTCGATATTGAGTTTCCGCTGGAGGTCGATGATGAGTACTGGGAGGCCGAGGATCCGGAGAAGGCGTTCAAGCAGCCGGCGGATAAGCCGTCGACGGTTTGTGCGTTCAACGAGCTGCTGAAGCTGAGCAAGATCGCTGCTTATGCATTGCGTACGATAGTGAGTCGCTTTTATGTCATGCTTTCCATATGTTTTCTCAGGATGAGCGTTCAGTACGTGCTTGATCGATCAAAGCTCTCGGAAGCATCGCGGCCGAGGTGGCGAGAAGTTCTGACGCAGCTGAACAATGCTCTGGGAGATTGGGCCAGCCAAGTGCCTGAGCACTGTATGTATTCCCCGCTCGTTGCGCGTAAGAGCATGACTGAAATGCCGCACAGTGAAATGGACAAACAACCCCACGAACGAGTTATTTGCGAACCAGTCGACGCTTCTCTATACAACGTACTACGTCATCCAGATCGTCATCTACCGGCCATTTCTTCCTGCCCATCTTAACTCGAGCCTCAATAAACCTCCGCATACCTCCATGCCCATTCCGTCAATCGCTATCTGCGTCAATGCGGCTCGTTGTTGCGCTCGTATCATGCGCCAGCAACTATCCCGAGGCATGAACAATACCTACAACCTGTTCACCACGGCACACGTGGGAGCGGCGATCTTGCTGATGCATTACTGGGACATGAAGTGGCAAGAACGAAACAGGATCAAGGCGTCTTCTGAGGATGTCAAGTCGCCGTACACTATTCTCATGGGCGAGCTTCTTGACGACATCAACGTCTTCACTGGTGCCCTTGAGATGGTCAAGAACAAGTGGCGAATAGCAGACCTGTACCTGTGAGGCAATTCCGCTCCCCATCTTCCCATCGCTCACTGACTTCGCCGCCTCCCCAGCAAAAACCTCGGAGCATCCATGCCCCACAAGTCGGACGACGCCGACTACATGCCTTCGAGCCGCATGAACGACTACGCGATGCAGCCGGGCTTCTCACACGAAATGCCCCCGCCGGAGTACCGCGCGCACCCGCCCGAATACCGCCGCTCGCCGCCCGAGTACCGCGGCATGCCGCCGCCGCCGATCAACACGTACGCGACGTCGTACGAGGTCGAGACGCCGCAGCCGAGCCCGCACTTCTTCGAGCACTCGCACATCACGCGCGACCTGCACTGGCTCCCGCAGTGGGCGCCGCTCCCGATGACGTGGGCGGACGGGTCGGGGCAGCCGGTGTCGCAGCCGTACATGGGCGCGGGGCCGATGTTCGCGGCGCAGCAGCAGCAGCAGCAGCAGGCGCAGGCGCAGGCGCATCCTCATCCGCCGACGGGGCTGTCGGTGACTGCGAAGGATTTCCCGGTGCCGCCGATTTCGGGGAATAGGCGGCAGTCGGTGTCGAGTCTGCATTCGATTGCGAGTTTCCAGTCGGGCTCGTCGAGCGTGTCTGTTGGGCTGGATGGGCAGCCGGGGCCGGTGCTGTCGCGCCAGGTGTCGCCGCATGGAAATGTGTATGCGATGCCGCCTAGTGCAGGAGGGGTGTCGGTGCCGCAGCAGATTCCGGTGTCTAGCGCGAGGTACGAGTTGGGAACCTTTGATGTGCGAGATGGTGTTGAGCTAAAGGATGGTTACAGGTACGAGTGGACGCAGCAACAACAGTCGCCACAGGATTGGAGTAGGGATGATCCCCGCTGGAACGCTATGCAACAGTGAAGGTTTTCTGTGGGATGAATCGCCAACAACGACCGCCCTCAACGGGGTTCGAATGTGTAGTGTAATTTATGACGGACTGGAGTGACGCTTTCATGCTTTGGAATTGGCTTACCCTATGTATGTGAGGCATTCATTTTTACGCTTTCGCTGTGCTCTGTATTTGTCCAGTATATCGTTAATGTTCTCATAGTTGCTTTTGATATGTATAATGATTCGTTCCCTATACAGCATTGATTCCCACTCGATGTTTAGACCGCCTGGCCAGTCGTCTACAGTCTCGTCACGGACCATTGCAACCAGTACCGCTTTTCCGCTACCGAGGCCTCAGAGAGGTCGGGTCGTAGATATGCTGTTGCGTCCAACAACTCCGCCTCCACACGCACCGTGCCTTTCTCAAATACCTGGCCGTCCCACAGCTCACGCCAGCTATCAGGCGAGTGACTGAATACTCTAGGCTTCCCCGGGGTTTGCCGCTCGCGCTCGCCCGCGACGCGCAGACCTCCATGAATCCCGAATATCACGGACCCAGGCTCGGCGCTCAACAGGCCCACGAGGCGCGCAGCTAGCGCCCGCTGCTGTTCCTCACCGAAGAGATGGAAGAATGCCGAGGTGTGGATCACGGAAACGTGTCCCCGGAGCGGCGCGAGTGAGGTCAACGTGCGCAGGTCGCCGGGGCGCGCTTCCCCCGGGCCGCTCGAGCTGCCTTTCAAGTCTGATGATTCGCGGCCGGCCGCCGCGGGCAGGGGGATCGGGACGGGCTCGAGCATCTCGAAGACGTCACCGGGGACGAAGGCGGCCGCGAAGGTTTGTGGGGTTGTCTTGAATAGCTCGTGTCCGAGCTCCCAGAATTCTGATCGCACGCAAACCAAATCAATGCCGCGCCACGTCGAGCATCAGTGTCAACAAGGGGATCGGGGGGCCGGGGAAGGGCGATCAGGGTCGATGGTGAGGTAAATGTGCGCGAAACGTTAAATTAGTGGCAATCGTTGATGTGGCCGCTCGGCGGCCATGTCAGGGGGAGAGTCCACGCACCCTTGTGTAGGTCGGAGCCAATCACGTTTTCGACAGGAAAGCCGTCTGCGACGGCCTTTCGGGCGTCATTTCCAACTTGTACGCGGAAATTCAGAATGACGGCTACACATGGACCCAGGATCACTCACAGCAGCAACCAAGGTCAAGAAAGATAGCGCCGGGCCGCTCACGTCCTAGCTTAAGAGCGTGGCTGTAGGCAGGTAGACGCGATATTCTCAGCCTTTTCGAACAACGTCTTATGGTAAGTGCACGGTAAAATAAACCACAACACGCTGAGACACATACGAAGTGAAGGAAAATCGCATGATGCAGGAGTATGGATGAACCTGGGGGATTTTTATCACTCTCTGAAACGTACAAGAACAGGTGACTCTTTACCTCGTACGCCTTCGCTTGCACCTGAAGAACGTGCTTCTTCAGCTCCTCGTCACTTCCGATCCCCGTCTGGTCTTTGAAAAATTCTGCCTCATCGGGCTGCAGGCTGTAGAAGCGCTCGTCAAGAGGCGGATTCCCTGAGGTGGACATCTTCCCGTATAGACTCTCAAGTGAAGGTCTGGATACACGGCTGAGGTATATATACGTTGCGATAGTCAGCGACGTGACGTCGACGCACAATTCTTCACGTGGTGTAAGGACCGATAATCACTCCCGCTCTTCAGCGCGTCAACTCTCAGCGACCAGAACTAGCGAGACTCTATCCCACCCCCCGGAAGATAATAGTGCACTCAATACTACGCAGATCAAGTGTCAGAAAGTTCTATCAACCAGGTAGTTTGAAAATGCCAACCTAGCTTCGAAAATGGAACTGGCGACTGTTAGGTTACCGGTGTTTAATTATTATCAATGCTTATGAGTAGCTGGATGACCTACCGGCCCCAGTATGCGGAAGTAGGCCCAACCTTTTGGATTTCGACCGACTGGAAACTGCGAACTTCGAAGCAACTTCGAAGTGGAAATCAAGTGGAAATCAAGAAAGCTAACTGCCAAGTACAAATTCTCACGATGTCGGCACGTGTCGTCCACGCGTCGCCACGATCTAACGCGACATGCATGTACACCGGTACCGACACTGACTTGAACCGCAAAGTCCTATTTTACCCCAACACCTCCCTGATCGCTACGTAAACAAGCGGAAGTAGTCAAAGATAGGCACCGAAGCCACTCATACCTGAAGTTCGGAGAGACTCTAAGAATGGTACGTGTTTGTAGACTGGGCACCTTTTCAGTTGAAGTTGTTGAACCATACTCGTGGCTTTACAGCAAACGCCGTCATCCATGTTTTCGACTTTGACCCTTACTGGCCACAACATTCCGGAGGCTTTAACGCTCTCAAGGGCGGAGGATTTTCCATCTCATCAGTTTGACCATCTCAAGGGCGTGTATCATAGCAAGCCAACATGGCGTCCTTCGTGGTTTCCAAAAGACGCTGGCCATCTGTCTCTTACGCTGACGGATAATTTGTCTGGAGGTCGATCCGCAGTTACCTACGCGGTAGAGGTCGTTGCCACGAATTCCCAAGAAGGTGGAATTACTGCCTCAAACCCCCTCCCCCTCGACCAGGAACTTTGTATCAAGGTAGCACGACCCAATCGCTGTCGCACCCTCGCACGGGAAGCATGGATATACGATAAGCTCAGATGCCGCAAACCAGGCCGAGAAGGGTGGTCGTATGATCAGGTTCCCCAAAGCGACAGACTACAAGGTGTTATTGCGCCTCACTTCTACGGCTTCTTCGTTGCCGACCAGGTTTCCTTTCCCCCTTGGGCCACCGAGGACTTCGAGCTCGATAGGCGGTGGGCAGCAACCGTTGATGTGACGCGTGACGACCGTCTACTTGACGATAAATTGACAGGCAGCTCTGGAGGCAAGGACTGCTCCGTCTGGAATGATTGGCGCCCAGACCCGTCTGTTCCCATGCTGGCTATCATCGTCATGTCGCGTGGGGGAGAAACCTGCAAACATGTAGACGGGATGGATACGTCTACAGAGTAAGTTGGATACTCGCGTAGCCAGGCGAGTCGCTCTTTCTAACTCAATGTTTTCTTCAGGAAGGATATTCTTGAGATACTCAGCGATTTATCGTTGGCTTCCATCGTGCACGGTGACTTACGCCCGGCTAATATCGTGCGTGCGCCAGTGAGTACAGCTCTGTGCGAACGGCACAACCGCATTCACAAGTGGAACATCATTGATTTCTCTTCCGCTGACATTGATGACTACGATGTCGAGGAGGCGGAAATCAAAGGCACTGGTCACTACAAAGCCAAGAGGGCTCTGTGTAATCTGCAGCAAAGGAGTTTTGGCGAGCACATATGGTACGCGTAGTTGACCGCCTCCTAGGCCCAGTAAACGTACCTTTCTGTGGTTATTGCTACTTAGCGAGGGCAGGACGAACATACCGTGACTCTATCACGTCCAAAGCTCCGCCTTTACGTGCATCGTTTCCTTTTCGAAGATCTCGCCGTCCCACAGCTCGCATCAGCTCTTGGCGGAGTGACTGAATCTGTGAGGATTTCCTTCTCGTTGATATTTGCGTTCGCCCCTCATAGATCAGCCTCCGTGCAGCCCAAAGATTAAGTATAGTTCCGGGCTCTGGGCTCAGCATACTTGCGAGGAGCGCGACGAGAGATCGTCGCGCTTGCTCACTAAAGGTATGGAAGAACGATGAGTCATGGATCACGGAGACGCAACCTCCGAATTGGCACGAGTGAGGTGCGTGTGTGTGTAGGTTGTCGTGTGGCGAACCCACCGAGTTTGTTGCTATTGACTGGCAACTGGCCGTCACTGGGATCGAATATGAATAGGCTCGGGCAACTAGTCAAAGACGTCGGCGCGAAGGTTGCGACGTTCTTTTGGGTGGTTCATTTCCAAGATCCCTGAACTCTGATCATCGTCAAACCCGCATCAATGCCATGCCAAACGCAGGGTCGAACGGCCGACGTGACAGGTGGGACAGGCGAAAAGTCAATAAACCTTGGTGACGACCATAAATATGATGCTTTCGTACACGCGCTTCTGTGGAGGTCCGTTCCATTGATGATGTTCTCGACGGGAAAGTCGTCCATGACTACCTTTTGTATGTCATCTCCGACTATTTCGTGCTAGTCAACGAAATAACAGTGTTGTGCCGAATGGATTTTGAGCTCACAGCAGCAGCCAGGTCGAGCTGTATAGTCCCTGGTCATTCCCGATCTAATATTATTGTAATATTAGATCATATTCGCACGCAGGAAAGCTTGGATTTTGAATCTTCAAAGTGACACCGCTATGCGCAAGGATTCGGGCGCTATATGGAAGCGAACAGAAAAACTCACGAATTTAGCACGAAGCGTAGGATGCAGAAGTAATAATACACCTACTAACAAATGATTCGTCAGAATATCCTTGAGTCTAGTCGAAGAAATTAGTTTGACCTCACATGCCTTGGTTTGTATGTTCAGAATACGATTTCTTCTTCGCCTCCTCATCATTGCTGATATTCGTCTGATTCTTGAGGAATTCTGCCTCCTAGTGCGTTAAAAGTACTGATCGAGAGGAGGGACACCCTTTGCTGAAGTGTCATGTTGATGGCATGAATGTGCCAAGTGAGGATTATATACTCATTGTGTTAGTCAGATGTCACAATGTAGAGGCGGAGGAGTCGACGTTGACAGTTGTCGAGAGCTTTGACAACACTAATATTGCTGGCTCATACATTCTGAAGCCGTTTGAGAAGGTGTACCTGTGAGATCTGATAATAGTCATCGGGTTAGCATCTCCGCTTTCTCACGTTCTGCGCCCTTATCAACAGCCCACAGGTCAGGAAACCATCTCCTCCAACACTCAATATTGTCGCATATGTCTCCCCACCCAGACACAAAAGGAGGAAACGTAGTACCCTCCGTTGGTGGTGATTATTGGTTCGTAAGGGATGGTAGCCTTGTATATGATCCGAGGACAGGGGAACCCGCGCTGTTATTGGCCCGAGGCCAACTGGACGCGGTCACGAATGTGATCAAGAAGAGCCAGCCAGAATAAGTTCGTAAATCGCATTGGATTGCGTGCGTCCATGCGCCCCATCTGATGAAGCCGACAGGTTTCGAAGACACGTCCTGGTCCTCTGAAAGCACTGAACCAGCCTGCTCAAGTCAAGTCATTGCGGAGTTCTCAGCCCCGCAGGAATGTTGCTCTGATGCTCCCTTGAATGACGGCAGCGAAGACCCGATGCCGACTGTCGGCGGTGCGTCAAACAGCCTCTCATGTTTGACTTAGCTATGACATCGAAGCATAGCTTCGTGCTCCATAAATCCTGTGACCCATAAGGTAGATGAAGGTGACGGTGACAAAAGAGAGGTCAGTAAGGTCAGCGACAATTGCAAGCTCAATGAATATTTCTTGTACCATAGGACGTTAATGTTACAAAGTTCACTCCTTGATACCTCAGTCTGAAGAGCATCATTGGCCTAAGATGGAACGGTCCGCAAAGTAATGGCTGCACATCCGAAAACAGGGTCGCCTTCAAGTTGTTCTGTAGGGATCGCGACTCGGACTATGTACTTTGACGGAAGTTTGGCAGAGGGGAGCTCTCTTAGTTCGTTATGTCTCTGCCAAGAGTCAGTTAGCAATGGAGGAGACGGGAAGCGGACATGGCTTACATGTTACATACCAGAGTGCTTGGGTTGTTTAAACTGCGTGAATAGCTCGCTGACAGTAGCTTCGGCAGTAAACTGCTCCGATGTGGCAGACATAGGCTAGAGTTGGCGGTATTGGTTGATTGCAATTAACGTGGATTCAAGGCGAGAGGGTTGCCATGAAACAGGTACTCGCAATACGGTGGAATGAATAAGTAGCCTCCGCCATCAAGCGCGAAGACAGGACTCGCTGCCATGCGAGACTTGGGAGGAATCGAGTTGTTTGTCCGTGTTAGCCCGAGAAGCTGAAGCCATTGAACGCTTTCCAAACTGAGATTGAGGGAGCCGCGACGCGCTATGCAACATGCCCAGAGTCCTCCTGTCAAATCCCCGGACCCCTTCGAACTCGAGCGCCTCGCAGAGGAGCTCGCCGAACGTGATGCGCTCCATCCTCTAGATCTAGACTCTTCCGACGTTCCCGACTTGCCCGACTTCATTCCCCTCTCTCATAATGACCCCTTCCTCACCACAACATCATTCAATGTCGACGACTTCCTCCTGTCACGCTCATACACGTCGCTTCCAGACTTACGCTCTGAACTCAAGGACTACCTATCATCTTTGAAGGAAGAACTAGTCCAGCTCATCAACGATGACTACGAGGCTTTCATCAGCCTCAGCACAGATCTCCGGGGAGAGGGCAAGCGCCTAGAGAAGATGAAGGTGCCATTATCGGTGCTCAAGACACAGGCTCAGGTGAGCTATTACTCCATCAATGCCCTTTATGTGCTGACACACGTAGCTCGCTCGAGAAGGACTACAAGTGGTTCAAACCGCCATTCAACAAAAGCTGGATGCGCGCTCGAAGATCAGAGAGGAGAAGGTGAGCATTCATACCGCTAAACTTCAGATAAGGCTGTGAACGCCCTCTCAATTAGTCTGTGATTGAATAGGCATACCTTCATATGCTCATCAAGATATCCGAATCCGTTACAAAACTAGAATCGTTGCTGCACGTCGCACCACCACCTGGGCAAAGTCCAGGAGGCGAAGGCTCAGGACGACTTTTTCCTTCTCAATGGCCTGGCGAAAGTCCATCGGAAACACCAGACCTTGCGTGAGTGTATCATTCCTCTCTAAGTTACGCAGTCATCCTAATTCATGCCAGGGCGCGAGGCAACCGAGCGAAACATCTCTCTCGAGCAGCCGCAGAGTACAGCCAGCTGACGTATCACGTATCGAAGGCTAAGGACGATGACTGTGCTTTTATCAATGAGATTCAATGGGTATGCATACTCTAGGTCCTGCAACCCTAGGCTGATCCTCACTTTCCGTTTCTTCAGAGAGTAGACCGCATACAATCAACGCTATCGTCGGACCTCGATCATGTGTTTTCTGCGGCAGTAACGGTAATGGCAACGAGCAAAGACACCAAGACATCTGAAATCGAACGTACCAAGGCGTTCGCTGACGTGTCGGAATGCCTTCGTATCTACGACAATTTAGGGCTTTGGAGGAACTCGGAAAATATTCTTCGGAGAGATCTAATGCAGGATTTTCTACGAAAAGTGAGTCCCCGTTTTTCTCGAAAGTTTCTACTTGAAATTGAACTTTGCCCCCGCTTTAGACTGTATACTCCGGTGCACTGAGCGTGCCTCGTTCTCCTTTAATGCCACATACTCCAGCGCTAGCCGTCCCCCAGCTTGTTGAAAGCGGAAACAATTTCCTTCGGACTCCTTACACCCCTTACACTGCCTTCGCTTCGAAGAAAAACCCTTTTGAAGCCCAAATGAGTAGTGGGCCAGCGACAGCGTACCTCTTGGATGATTCGGACGACTCGCTCGCGGCATTCTACAATCAGATACTCCGTTTTGTCGAGCGTGATATGACGCGTATCATGGAGACCGCCGATAGAGTATCTCTCAAGTCAACGGCGGCGTCAAAGCTGAAGGACAAGAACGGAGCCGCGGCTATGGCTGCGGTTTTTGCAAGTCCTAAGAAGGAACGAGGATACGTCGAAGGGTTCGAGATCATGTCGAACGTCGTTTGGGCGGAGGTGGGGCAGAAGGTGATGGATGAGCTGGGGAATGTCGTGTTCGCAGCGGGGAATCCTGATGAATTTCGGAAAGTGAGTTTTTGCTTGCTTGAAACGATGGTGAGGATCGTTTCTGACTAATTACCCCAGCGGTATGAAACAACACAAGCGTTCATTCGGTCGCTTGAATTTCTAGCACCGTCTACCCACGCTGTCGAAAGTATGCGCGTACACCCAGTTTACGCTACCTTCGAGCGACGATGGCAGTTGCCTATATATTTTCAGCTGCGCTGGAAGGAAATAGTCCCCAAGGTTGAAGATGCGCTAGCACCATTCACTAACAGTGGTCTAAAGCATGGTACGTGTCAAAATAAAAATATCGAGACAATCCAACTGAGTTACTTTGTAGAACGTGGACAATTTATAACCACTCAATCTAACGCTGTATGGACCGCAATAACAAGCTGTTGGAGCGCCCAAATCTATATCCCCGAATTAGGATTTCGGTTTTGGCGACTAACGCTTCAGGTACTAATTCTCGTTACTCTAAACGAATTTATTTCTCATGAGCCCTAGCTACTAAGCAGATACAAAACTTGGGTAAAGAAGAATGCCCCCGGCCTCGAAGACGTTCCTCGCAAGGGCAAATCTGGGCCAGGCAGTGACAAGGTCAGAATAACTATGCTGTTTACGGTCACCCAGTCGAATAATTAATTGGTATTTATCAGCTGTCGTCAACGCAGTCCCCCACCTCCCGATCCTCTACACCTGTTATCGGCGATAACTCAACTCCCGAGTCCACAGAAGCGGACAACCAAACAATCAAGCAGTCTGCTGCCTTGATGTCTGACATTTTGAAGCTGGCTGACCTCAGCAGGACGCTGTGGACCCAGGAGATTAGTATAATGTTGCCTGATTTCCACGAAGACGTCGGCCTCCCGGAAGGTGCGCTAGGCAACGATGCTAATTTGATCCTCAAATTTATCACTCAAAATATTCGTCTTAGATGCGCTCCGACAACAACTTGCCGACCTAGAGGCGTTTGTCCCCCTACTCTCTGACCAGGTGGTGCAAATATTGTCCAGGCGATGCTGCGATGCCCTCCTCCCCGTGCGGTCTATCCCCTCGCAATTCCGGGCAATGTCAAATAAGCGGCCTCCTGCCGAGCCAAGTTACTTTGTGCACACCATCCTCCGACCCCTCAAAGACTTCTTCGCTGGTTCAGGCGAGCGTCTCAAGGAAGCGCATATGCGTGCATACGCGACGGAGATATTCGACAACGTGTGCCAGCGGTACATCTACTACCTCTCCGCCATGAAGAAGACGGAGGAATCGCTGCGGAGGCTGAAGCGGGGCAAGAAGCAGACGACGGCGTTGTCGTTCTTCGGAGGTGGGCAGCAGGATAATGGCAGGGACGAGGAGAGGATACGGCAGCAGATGATATTGGATGTTGAGGCGTTTGCGAAGGACGGAGAGGGGCTGGGCGTGGATACGCAGGCGCTGGATAGTTTCAAGATGCTTCTGGATATGGTGCAAGCCAGTTTGTTGGAAGGTATGTTGCTTTTAATGTCGAAAACTTCCCGCCTCCTAACAAATCTGCAGATGCATAAGTTCTTTTGCTCATGTTGAAGCCCATCGTTACGTCGTATTATTTGTCTGCATTTTGACCTACTATAATATACGACGACACATATGTACAGCGACGTATTCAATACGTGGTGAATTAGTAGGGTGTGTCGCTCCTCCTCGCTTAGACATGCACTGCAATGGGTTTCAATGTCATCATACGATGCCATTATACAATTCAGTGCGCTACGGTAAAAGAATAGAAATACACGGATGAAAACGACGAAGATCAAACATGAGCGGGTTAGCACTCCATGCAGGAACAGACGTAAAATAAGGTGGTACAGGAGTGGCTCACGATAGGTTGGGTATCACGGAGCTAATCGAAGGCAAAGTGAAGTCCCAAATCCTCAATTAGCAAGGAACCACATAGCTTGCTCCGCCTCTGGAATCTCGAGCTCCTCCTTAATCCTCGCCAAAAGTTCGTCCTGCCGTTTCTTCTCTTCATACTCATATATGCTGTAGTTGTCGTATAGTGCAATAGCCATCTCGTAGTCAACCAAGGCACTCTGAATAGGAACATCAAGAAGCCGCGGGCACTCCAACGCCGTCGAGAGGTGCGTCCTTGCAAATAGACAGATGACCTCGAGATAGTGCTTGCGCTTCTGACGATCCTTGATTGTGAGCAGCTTGGCTGGGGAGGTGCGACCTCGTTCGAATATCTCAGGGTGACGACACGCATAGAGGAAGAGATCTTTCATAAAGATTCCGTAGCCAAAGCAGGCCTCTGGAGGGTGATTCAGCAGCTTTTTGGAAAAGCGACTGCGGCGGACGACGTATTTTGGTGGAAGCTTGACAGAGGGGAGGTCCTTTGGTCCCTTACGTCTCTATCGGTTGATCAGGAAACATCAGGGGCGGTGGTGAAAGGAAAAGACTTACATACTGCACACCAGAGTGCTCGGGCTGTTGGAACTGAGTAAGCAGCTTGGCAATGGCCTCCTTGGAAAACTCTGATGTGGAAGACATAAGCCTTAGTTGGTTGGGGTCGTTTCCGGTGACTAAATGACGTTTCAAACAACAAAGGTAGTGGTGACGACTCAACTCCAAACTCCGACGCCATTCTCTCTCACGCTCACTTCAGGCTTGAGCAAAGCAAAAGACGAGGCGACCAAGCAAAACACGTTACGCACCGTACTCAGGCTAGTGACTAGTGCCTCTGTAGCAATACCCCAGCTCTGCTGTCTTTGAAGTTACATAATCCTAGGGACACGTATGTCCATCACTGACAGCCTGAATGTCCATGTACGTGTGGTATTTAATTATGTTTCACTAGTCTTGTTCTTTCTTGTTCTGTGCATGTAGAAGTGGTCTTTTGATATTACTGTATAGTAACAGCACCGCGCACGAGTCCTACTTTCCAGCAGTGGCTCCTTTCTTTAACTCTTCATTCAAATACGTATCATCAAGCAATTTACTAGAATGGCCAGCCAACTGCCTTCATGATATTATTGGTGGCTCTTCCGCTTACCTAGATCTCTGCCAATGAACTGCTATACTACGTGCTGCTGTGCTAGCTCAGTGATAAGATCATATTAGATCTCATCATCAGGCTGTTTGGAGGTTTCATTAATTGAGGCCTTGAGGCCTATTGAGACTTTCCCAATCACGATCAGTGATTTGATGCTTCATTGTACTCCGTGTTAGATAAGCTTGTTTCTCGTCTTTGACGCATCCAAGTCTGAAGGCATGTCTCTTGCGTTGAACTCCCACCCTCTTTCCTCACGGGGCCTGGCCATGCGGAAGATTTTTGTGGGCTTTGCTTTCTTCACGCATAATTGGGCATGCGAAGCCTAAATAGGTTCCCCAGAGCCAGGATTCACTCAAGCGATACAAAAACCTGTATCACTATGCGCGGAAACACCATCGAAGAGAAGCGGCGCTATATCCATTGCTCAATCGCATCTTCTACAAGCTTTGCGAGCAAACCCCCGCTCGGGATGATGGCTACTTCATTAGCTGTCATCCTCAGAGTACTGTGGCAGTTGCAGCTGATGTAGGTAGGACTAAAGAACGCCGCATTATCCCAGACTTTCTCTTTATTCTTACTCAAGTTGATGATGAACTTGAAGACGAGGGTGGAGTCGAGAGTGGAGGTGAGGGTGGAGGCGAGGGTGGAGGCAAGGGTGGAGGCAAGGGTGGAGGCGACGATGAAGGCAAAGATAAGGATGAGAGCCTGATCAGCATCTCTGAACTGACAAAGGACGAACGCGAGTATAGCTGATGGAGTCTATAAGAGCGCGAACTCACCGGGCTGTTAGTGTTGAAGGTTGAGTGAGTAGCTTGGTAGCTGGTAGGCTGACGATGGTAGTCGTTCGGTGGAGAGAGAAGACTTAGATGATATTCATGGTAGCGACTGTATATATATGACAGGAGCGTGTGAAGTCACTACCGTATTCGTAACTACTATGCAGTCCAAGTCCCACGGTAATGCAGGACGGCTACGTAAGCAGAACGTGGCCCTATGCGATGAACGCGGAGCCACACGAGTGCGTAAGCGCTTAAGGTACCGCTAGGATACTAAGCGCCTGAATAGACGTATGAAGGCGATGTTTACTTGTAGACCTCTAGGAGGAACATCGCCGTATAGGAGGCTTCTGGATGAACCAATGAAACCGTAAAGGGTCGAATACTAGACGTAAATCTGACATGAACAAACCGGCTTCTTGGTGGAAGGGAAAAGGCTTTGGAATGAGCGAGATCCTCAAAAGTCGGGCTGGGACGAGAAGACCTCACCGAAGGCGTCAAGCGAAGCTCTGAAGGCGATCCCACAGCTCAAGGCTCAGGCTTGGCGTATCCACCTGCAAAATCCCACCTTGGAAGTTCTCTATGCGTTTCTCATTGTCGGCCCATTCTTCAGTCTACTGAAGTACGAACTCGTTGGCTACCCTACCGAAGACGATCTTAGACCACCCACAGTAATCGCGTGGAACTTGTCAATGCTCACTGTAACATGCAAATCCTTTGATCGACCCATCGTTCAAGCCATTAACCTAGTCATGAACCATCTGGGACTTAAGATAACGGACCCGGCGTTCGATTTGACAAACTTTCCCGAAGTGCCTTCTGAAGAGCGCCTGTTAGAAGAGGAAAGCATTGTTAGTTATCAAGTGGTTTTCCCTTTGGCTCAAGGTCATGCTAACGATCAATTTCCCCCGTCACCATTAGACAGACATTCAACTCGAAGTCGACAAGAAGTCCAGACACACCCTAGATCTTGAAGAAGAAACTGAGGAGGCCATGGAGGAATCACCTGAATCTGATGAGCCCGATCTCAAGTCTAAGGGCAGTATGGCGTACAAGTTTAGTGGCCCGACTCGAAGCCTCCCGAACCTTGGCATGACGACCCGATCCAAATCCCGTTCTAGTCGAGCAGCCTCGTCGCAAGCAGACGCTCTGGAGGCTGATAGCTCCAGCCCCCCGGAGACGGACCTCGAGCAGCCTGAGAGCGCTGACGGCCTAGCCGGTGACCCGATGGAGCTGGAGGACGTCCCGGATCAGTCCATTTCCTCAGGAAGTGTCCGCCGACAACAGCCCAGTAGGGCTGGTTCCAAGAGGCACAGGACAAGTCCCGCAGATCGGGAGCCTCGTCAGCACTCCCAGGACATTTCTAATACCGCTGGAAGCACGGACAGCAAACGTGCTCGAGGTAACCCAGAGGTTGAAGATCACACGTCCAAGCGCAGAATTGAACGTCGGCGGGGGCGCGGCGGACGTTGATTGCGCTAATTCTGGAATTAGTAAAGCAACTATGTAGTTTGTATCACAATTAAGCTGACCATGTTTCTTGTGTTTGGATGTGTGGAGTGGATGCGTATGAAATGAAAAGCGACTTCGACTCGCAGGAAGGCTTCTTAGCTGTGGCTGAAATATATTAGTGACCAATGTAGCTTATAAGGACCCGACTATTTTGTAATGACGGGATGAGATGCGGATTTGAGGTGCTAAGTTAGGTATGCGGGGAAGGAGAAGTCCGAATGAATCGACTTGGGAACAGATGCATTCCTGATGTAAATGATGACGATACAGTAAATAATATCTACGGTAGGAGAACAATGAGGTTCAAGTTCAGGTATGTTGTGGACAAGTCGCATGACATATTGTGCCTGCCTTCGAGACTATAAATTTGACCTGTTGCGTGCCCGACGCAGCTGCACCAGCGCGCCTGACTCCGAGTCCGAAGAGGCGTGTAGCGGTCGGGACTGTGTTCCGAGGCTACGGTAAGAGGTCGGATCTGCTGTTGGACCCGCCTACTCATTTTATTCTGTCTTGTTCGATATGATTCTATCCCGCCTATGTATCTGACAGCTACTATTTCACGACATTCTATCCCTCATGGTCTCTCGTTCCATAGCCATGTATCGTATAAAAGGGTCTTTGTTGCAATAGGAGGACCCATATCGAATTTTTGACCGATTTGATCTACTTTAGAACGATTCTCTCTCCGTCTGAATTTTCCATGTATCGGTGGTACCTTTAGTCAGGAACTACAAGGTCGCCGTCACAAGGCGACTTACGCGTCACGCACACGTGCTGCGCCGCGCGCCAGCCCTTTTTGCGCTCCTTGGCAATTTCCTCCATCGTGTCGAACATGTCTCGGTCGACGAGCCGGCGCGAGATGGCGAGCATGTCGCCGTCGGAACGGTACGATTCGAGCATTCCGGTGAGGATGGCACGGAACTCGGAATAGGACGTGCTTGACGAGGGGTAGGTCTGCTTGACGAGGCGTTTGAAGAGGTTGGGGAAGGAGGCGGCGCGGGTGGAGGAAATGGAGACGAGCGCGGAGAAGGTGTCGCGCACGAAGGAGCGGAGGGTTTGGAGGACTTCGGCTGTTGGAGGCGAAGGCGAAGGCGAAGAAGTTGCGTCTTGTGTCTCAAAGGATTCTAAAGAGACAGCGAGATCCTGCGAGAGAGCGCAGAGATACTCTACGCAGAATATCTGGCTGTTGAGCAGCTGAAACCAGATGTCCTCGAGCTGAACATCGCTTGGCGCCTGAAAGCGGGAGTGCTCGAGGCAGACCTCGATACCGCGTTTGCCGATCTCTCGCAGCTCCATGGTCAGCCCAGTGCACGTTTCTTGCTTTTCGTCCTCGTCTGAGGGGGCGAACAAGGAAAGCACTTGAAGCTCCTCCGCCATCTGAGCAAGAACTGTACGCTAAGAAATGATGCTAATTTGATCCTCGAAATTCTGACTCAAAAGTTGTCTTAGATGCGCTCCGACAGATGCGCTCCGGCAACAGCTTGCTGACCTGGAAGCGTTCGTCCCCCTACTCTCTGACCAGGTGGTGCAAACATTGTCCAGGCGTTGCTGCGATGCCCTCCTCCCCGTGCGGTCCATCCCCTCGCAATTTCGGGCAATGTCGAAAAAGCGGCCTCCTGCCGAGCCGAGTTATTTTGTGCACACCATCCTCCGACCCCTCAAAGACTTCTTCGCTGGCCCAGGCGAGCGTCTCAAGGACGCGCACATGCGTGCATACACGACGGAGATATTCGACAACGTGTGCCAGCGGTACATCTACTACCTCTCCGCCATGAAGAAGACGGAGGAATCGCTGCGGAGGCTGAAGCGGGGCAAGAAGCAGACGACGGCGTTGTCGTTCTTCGGAGGTGGGCAGCAGGATAATGGCAGGGACGAGGAGAGGATACGGCAGCAGATGATATTGGATGTTGATGCGTTTGCGAAGGACGGAGAGGGGCTGGGCATGGATACGCAGGCGCTGGATAGTTTCAAGATGCTCCTGGATATGGTGCAAGCCAGCCTATTGGAAGGTATATTGTCCTTTGATGTTGAAAACTTCCTCGTTCCTAACAGATTCGTAGATGCATAAATTCTTTTGCTTGTGCTGAGGTTCCTGCCCGCCATTACGTAATATTGTCTGTCTGGACTCTGGTGACCGTGATTAGCCATGGACATAGGCAAATTCGGCGAAGCACGAATACGTAGTTAGTTAGTAGGGTATCTCCCTGGCCCTCGATCGGGTCAAAGTCGTCGTAGGACATCATTATATAATTCAATGCACTACGGCATAACAATATTCATACAGGAATCATACATGACCATGAATGACAAAGAAATACGGGCGGATTGGTACTCCATGTAGAAACGAACGTAAACTAAGGTGGTACAGAACGAAGCACGCGATACGCTGGGTACTACGAAGCCGCTCAAAGACAAGGCGAAGTCCCAGGCCCTTAATTTTCAATGAACCACATAGCTTGCTCCGCCTCTGGAATCTCGAGTTCCTCCTTAAGCCTCGCCAGAAGTTCTTTCTGCCGTCTCTTCTCCTCATACCTGTATATGCCGTAGTTGTCGTATAACGCAATAACTAGTTCGTAGTCGACCGAGGCGCTCTGAATAGGAACATCAAGGAGTCGCGGGCATTGCAATACCGTTGAGAGGTGTATCCTTGCCAGCAGACAGATGCCTTTGAGATAGCACTTGCGCATTTGACGACCCTTGACTGCGAGAAGGTCGGCTGGAGAAGTGCTCGCTTCCTTGAATATCTCGGGGTGGCGACACGCATAGAGAAAGAGGTCTTTTAGGAATATACCATAGCCCAAACAGACCTTTGGAGGCCTATTCATCGGCTGTGTGGAAAAGCGATTGCGACGGACAACATACTCCGTCGGAAGCTTAACAGAGGGGAGATCTCTTCGCTCGTTGCGTCTCTAATGGGCGGCAGTTGATTCTAGGGAGGAACGTGTAAAGACATGTCGACAAGACCTACATATTGCACGCCAGAGTGCTCGGGCTTTTGAAAATGCCTGAGTAACTTGTCGATGGCCTCGGTGGAGAACTCCGAGTCTGGCGTGGTAGACATGCCAATGAGCTGGAGTTTGCTGGAATGAATCGAGTTACTAGATGACTGAGGGAGGGTTTCGGACAAAAGGCACGGCGTTTTGCATGGAGCGTTCCGAGTGCCGCCGGAAGCCTGGGTATCAAGCGAGTGAGTCACTACTAGGCTAGGTCTGTGAATGAGGCCCGACCCTCCTGGTCTTCGAAGGTCTTGACAAGCTTATTGAACAGAAGAAGGCTGTAGCTCGCGCGTTACAAGCCGTCGGAGACGCCATAAATGGTACGTGCTTACAGACCAGACATTGCTTTGACTGATACAACCTACGCCTACTAAAGCAAATCCCGCCATTCATGTTTTCGACCTTGACCCTTACGGGTCACAACATTCCGAACGCTATAATGCTCACAAGGGCAGAAGACTTACCTTCTCATCAATTTGACCATCATAAGGCTGTTTATCATAGTAAGCCGACGTGGCACCCTTCACGGCTTCCAGAAAACGCTGGGCATCTGTCTCTTAAGCTAACGGAGCGTATATCGTGGGGTCGGTCTGCCGTTACCTACGCGGTGGAGGTGGTCTCTACGACTTCCCAGGAATCTGGCGTCACTGTCTCAAACCTCCTTTCCCTTAAACAGGAGCTTTGTGTGAAAGTGGCACGGCCTAATCGCTGCCGCACCCTCGCGCGGGAAGCGTGGGTTTACAACAAACTCAGATGTCGTAAATCAGGCCGAGAAGGGTGGTCATACGATCAGGTTCCCCAAGCCGATAGACTTCAAGGCGTTATTGCGCCTCATTTCTACGGCTTCTTCGTTGCCGATCAGGTATCCTTTCCCCCATGGACCAGCGAGGATTTCCAGATCGATAGACGGCAGGCAACAGCCGATGACATGACACGCGACGACCCGCTCGACGATGATCTATTGGGCAGTTCTGGAGGCAAGGACCACTCAATCTGGAGAAACTGGCGCCCAGACCCGTTTATACCGATGCTGGCTGTTATTGTTATGTCTCGTGGGGGGGAGACCTGCAAATATGCAGATGGTCTGGATACGTCTACTCAGTAAGCTGATTCAGCTGAACCCTGAAGGACTGTTCTTTTAACCTGTCTTGATCAGGGAGGACATCTTTGCGATACTCAGCGATTTATCATTGGCTTCCATCGTGCATGGCGATTTGCGGCCCGCCAACATTGTGCGTGCGCCAGCCAGTACGGTACTATGCGAACGGCATAATCGCATTCACAAGTGGAACGTCATTGATTTCTCATCCGCTGTAATTGATGGCTATGATGTCGAGCAAGCGGAAATCAAAGGCACCAGTCACTACAAAGCTAAGAAGGCTTTATGTGGTCTGCAGGAAATGAGCTTTGGAGAACATATATGGTATGCATAGTTAGTGCAATAGATTAAACTCGACGAAGTTTTGAACATGTCTTGTGGATCGAAGCTATACGAGAGTCTAGGTAACGCAAAACTTGGTAAAACTGGCTCGGTGACACAATCATATATACAGTAACGTATTTCGCAAGGGTTGGATCCGTGGTGGGTTAGCAGGGTTAGCAGTGTATCATATCGCCCTGTTTCTTGACGGCACTCTACACCACTGTACCCTCTGTATTCCGTTTTGCTTGACCGTACACTGGATTGGAATTCGGTGGTATCATTATACAGTTCTAGGCGCTGCGTCAAAACAGTAGAAATACCCGGATGTAAACGACGAAGAACAAATACAAGCGGGTTGGCACACCATGCAAGAACAGACGTACTAAACGAGGGTGGTAAGCAAGATAGTTCACGATAGGTTTGAGTTTTATAGATCTACCCAAAGGCATAACGAAGTCCCAGATTCTTTAATTTTCAATGAACCACATAGCTTGCTCCGCCTCTGGAATCTCGAGTTCCTCCTTAAGTCTCGCCAGTATCTCGCTCCGCCGTCTCTTCTCCTCAAACTTGTGTATACTGTAGTTGTCGTATAACGCAATAGCTAGCTCGTAGTCGACCGAGGCGCTCTGGATAGGAACATCAAGGAGCTGCGGGCATTCCAACACCGTCGAGAGGTGCATCCTTGCCAACAGACAGATGCCTTCAAGATAATACCTACGCATTTGACGACTTCTGACTGAGAGCAGGTCGGCTGGAGAGGTGCTCGCTTCTTTGAACACTCCGGGATGGCGACACGCATAGAGGAAGAGGTCTTTAAAGAATATCCCATAGCCAAAACAGACCTTTGGGGGCCTATTCATCGGCTGTGTGGAAAAGCGATTGCGACGGACGACATATTCCGTGGGGAGCTTGACGGAGGGAAGATCTCGTAGCTCGTTACGTCTCTAACGGGCGGCAATTGGTTCTAGGGAGGAACGTGTAAAAACAAGACCCACATATTGTACACCAGAGTGCTCGGGCTCTTGAAAATGCTTGAGTAGCTTGTTGATAACATCAGTGGAGAACTCCGAGTCTGAGGTGGTAGACATGATCATGAGCTGGAGTTTAGCTGGAATGAATCAATGTAGGTGAGTGATGGCGGTTTCGAACAAAAGGCATGGTAACCTATACAGAGTGCTTCTAGGGCCATCGGAAGTACGGGTATTAGCAAGCGAGCTCGGGACGAGTCACGGTGGCCAGTCTGTCAATGAGGCGTAAGCGCGGCGATCCTTTGATTCCCTGAGCCATGATCTTTCTCATGCAAATGGATATCTTGCCTCAAAACCGAACGCATCAACTATTGCGAGTTGAAACATAACTAGCGACAGGACGAAGGATCAAAGCCATACCACCTAACCGCCAAAAAACAGAAGATGGTTCCAGACGTGAGTGATAAATATACAACTAATGTCATCTAAGGTACCGAAGAAGGTGGAAACTAGGTATGCTGCGGACAAGTTGCATGACGTATCGTGTCCGCCCTCGAGACTACAATTTTGACCTGCTATGGGTTTCGATTTTTTGGTAAAACTCAGTGCGCTACAGTAAGAGTAGAAATACATGGACGAGAGTCGCGATGAGTACTAAACATGAGCGGGTTGGCACTTCATGCAAGAATAGATGTAAACTGAGGCGGTACAGGAGTGGCTCACGATAGGTTGGGTATCACGGAGCTATTCAGAGGCAAAGCGAAGTCCCAAATCCTCAACTAGCAAGGAACCACATAGCTTGCTCCGCCTCTGGGATCTCGAGCTCCTCCTTAATCCTCGCGAGAAGTTCGTTCTGTCGTTTCTTCTCCTCATACCCGTATACGCTGTAGTTGTCGTATAGTGCGATAGCCATCTCGTAGTCGACCAAGGGACTCTGAATAGAAGTATCAAGTAGCCGCGGGCACTCCAACGCTGCCGACAGGTGCGTCCTTGCAAATAGACAGATGGCTTCGAGATAGTGCTTGCGCATTTGACGGCCCTTGACTTTGAGCAGCTTGGCTGGGGAGGTGCAAGCTCGCTCGAATATCTCAGGGTGGCGGCACGCATAGAGAAAGAGATCTTTTAGGAAGATCCCATAGCCATAACAGACCTTTGGAGGCCTATTCATCGGCTGCGTGGAAAAGCGATTGCGACGGACGACGTATTTTGGCGGGAGTTTGGCAGCAGGAAGGTGATTTGGTTCTTTGCGTCTCTATCGGGTGGTTAGAAAACTCCAGGGGAGACGGAGTGGAAATCACTTGCATACTGTATCCCAGAGTGCTCAGGTTGTTGAAAATGCTTGAGTAACTTGGTGATGGCCTCTTCGGAGAACTCTGATGTGGTGGACATGAGTTAAGATTTGGCAGGAGTCGTTTCAGGCGGCCAGATGACGGTTCCAGGACAATAAGCAGTCGCGGCTTGCGTCGACCCAACTCCAAACTCCGACTCATTCTCTCTCATCCCGCCTTAGCCAACGCAAACGACCAAGCAAAACCTGAGCGAAAGACGACACACACCATGTACATTAATGTGTGACTAGTCCCAAGGCTGCACTCTCATCACAGCAATATTTTATCTGCAGTTGCATGAGCCTAGGTACTAATCTTGGGTTGTTTAGTAGAGGGAAAGACGTCCCCTTGCTTTCACCATGTGGCACACTACATCTTAGTGTCAGTATGCGAATTGGCTATTTTATCACATTGACTTACAACACCCGCGCGCAGAAGCCCAAGCTTCCTCCTATTTCATTGTTTTGTCGATACAAACTAGTATTACCTGATCGAATATGACTACATGGTCATCAGCACGGGTGGCGGACCGGTTTTGGCCCCTTTGTGCGGCATTCGCCGCCACGGTATTACAGATATTCTCGCCGTATTGCAAGCGGGTTACCAGTACTGGTCGTGCGCGCGCAGCAAATTCATCCATCTTGATTCGACCATGTACTATAAAATACTTCACTAGTATGGCCAACTGATTGTCTTCGTAGTAAGTGGCTCTTCAGCTTATCTGTCCCACGAGCTGCTGTATGTGCGTGTTCCTGTGCTCACTTGGTAACGTTTTGATCAGATATACATCATCAGGTTGTCTGCCAGCTATATCGATCAAGGTTTTCCCATAACGTACACGATGAGTGTTTCCATCGATGTGATGCTTCATTTTGTTGTCCGACTCAGGCATGGCTGCTATCTATAAGCACTGGATTCAGCCTGCATTCCTCGTCCGCGACGTACCCGAAGGGTCGTCTCTTCCGCTTGAAACCTGCCCTAATCTTCTACGGGGTTTGACGATGCAAAACTTTGTAGGTTCTGCTTTTCTTATGTCATATTGGACGCATATGATCTAACTAGGCTAGAGCCCAAACTCGCGAAAGCGATACAAGGATCTGTATCAGTATGCGCGGAAACACCGTCGGAGAGAATCAGCCCTATATCCGTTGCTCGACCGAATTTTTCACCAGCTTTGCGAGCAAACTCCCGCTCGGGCTGATGGATACCTCGTTAGCTGTCATCCTCAGAGTACCGTCGCTGCTAAGGCTACGGATGATGTGGGCATGAATGAAGAACGCCGCGTTATCCCAGACTTCCTCCTTGTCCTTACTAAAGCTGATGAAGATGAGGATAAAGGCGATGATGAGGGCGAGGATGAAGGCGAAGAGGAAGGCGAAGAGGAAGAGGAAGATGAAGATGAGAAACCTATCAACATCCGCGAACAAGTCGGCTTTTTGGTGGAAGTAAAAAGGCTCTGGAATCAGCAAAATCCCAAAAAGTCGGGCTGGGACGAGACGATCTCGAAGAAGGCATCGGATGAAGCTCTCGACGCAATGCCACAGCTCAAGGCTCAAGCCTGGCGTATCCATCGACAGGATCCCACCATAGGCGTCCTCCACGCTTTTCTCATTGTCGGCCCATTTTTCAGTTTACTGGAATACGAGCTTGTGGGCTGTCCTACCGAAGACGATCTCAAAGCACCCGCAGTAATCGCTTGGAACTTGCCAATGCTCACTGACAAGTACAAGTCCTTCGATAGACCCTTCGTTGAAGCTATTAACATAGTGATGGGTCATCTAGACCTTGAGATAACGGACCCGGCGTTCGACTTGATAAATTTTCCCAAAGTATCTTCTGCGAAGCGTGCATTAGAAGAGAGTGTCAATGTTAGTTGCTAAATGGTTTCCTCCCTTGTCGCAATAACATGCTAACGTCCACTTCCCTCGACGCTTTCAGACAGACATTAAACTCGAAGTCGACAAGAAGCACAAAGATACCCTGCATCTCAAAGAAGAAACCGACGATGTCATGGCGGAATCTCCTACATCCGACAAGCCTAATCCCAAGTCTAAGGAAAGTTCGGCGTACAGATCTGGTCGCTCGACTCAAAATCTTCCCGGTTTGGCCATGACGACTCGATCCAAATCTCGTTCCAGTCAAGCACACTCGTCACAAGCAGACGCTCCGGAAGCTGATAGCTCCGGCCTCTCGGAGATGGACGTCGAGCAGCCTGACAGCGCTGACGGCCCAGCCGGTGACTCGATGGACTCGGAGGACGCCCCGGATCAGTCCATTTCCTCAGCAAAGGGCCGCCGACAACAGCCTAGTAGGAAGAGCTCCACGAGGCACGGAACAAGTCCCCCTCCGCGGCGGTCTCGTCAGCACTCCCAGGACGCTTCTAATGCCGCGGGAAGCACGGGTAGCAAACGTGCTCGAGGTAACTCTGAAGTCGAAGACCACACGTCCAAGCGCAGAAGTGAAGGTCGGCGGGGACGTGGCGGACGTTGATTGTGCTGGTTCTGGAATTAGTAAAGCAACTGCGTACTTTGACCACATTTGAGCTGATCATGTTTCTTGAAATATTTGGTTATGTGGAGTGGATGCTTGTGAAATGAAAAGCGACTCCAACTCACAGGAGGGTTTCTTAGCTGTGGCTAAAATATATTAGTAGCCAACCGATTTTACGCGCTTTGAGGACCCGACTGTTTTGTGATGACGGGATGAGATGAGGACTCGAGGTCTAGGTAATGCGGGGAACAGAAATTCCAACTCGATTGACTTGGGAACAGACGCATTTCCGAATATAAATGATGACCGTACAGTAATTGATATCTAAGGTAGGAGAACAACGAGATTCAGGTATGTTGTGGACAAGTAGCATGCCGTATCGTGCCTGCCCTCGAGACTACAAACTTGACCTGCTGCATGCTCGACGCAGCTGCACCAGCGTTTCCTTGCGCCTGACTCCGAAGAGGCGACTTGCACGTCGCACACACGTGCTGCGCCGCGCGCCAGCCCTTTTTGCGCTCCTTGGCAATTTCCTCCATCGTGTCAAACACGTCTCGGTCGACGAGCCGGCGCGAGATGGCGAGCATGTCGCCGTCGGAACGGTACGATTCGAGCATTCCGGTGAGGATGGCACGGAACTCGGAATAGGACGTGCTTGGCGAGGGGTAGGTCTGCTCGGCAAGGCGCTTGAAGAGTTTGGGGAAGGAGACGGCACGGGTGGAAGAAATGGAGACAAGCGCGGAAAAGGTGTCGCGCACGAAGGAGCGAAGGGTTTGGAGGACTTCGGCCGTTGGAGGCGAAGGTGGAGGTGAAGAATTTACGTCGTGGGTTTCCTCCGAGGATTCTGAAGGGACAGCAAGATCCTGTGAGAGAGCAGATATGCTCTGTACGCAGTATATTTGGCTACTGAGCAGCTGGAACCAGATGTCCTCGAGCGGAACGTCGCTGGGCGCCTGCGAGCGGGAGTGCTCGAGGCAGACCTCGATACCGCGTTTGCCGATCTCTCGCAGCTTCATGGTCAGCCCAGTGCACGTTTCTTGCTTTCCATCCTCGTCTGAGGAGGCGAACAATGAAAGCGCTTGAAGCTCCTCCGCCATCTGAGCAATGACGTCCTGCTCGAAGGAGACGACCTTGGCGATGGCCTCGCGCGGCCGGCCCATGCGATTCTCGAGCCAAACAACAGCATCGTACACGCTATTCTCCTCGCAAATCCGCAGCGCTGCAGGGAAGTCAAGCAACGGTGGCGCGCTGTTCTGCAAGGTGTCGATGACGGAACCCGGACGGACATGGCAAGTAAGAGAAAGGAAGACTTCGCGAAGGGGCTCGGAGATCGGGTGGCGGATGCCCTCTGAGGCCTGGGAATTTGGCGATGATGTCGAGGCACCGTCCTCCCCGAGGTAGGGCTGCAGCAGTCTATGCAAATACGTGTACTTCTGATCCGCCCTGGTATCCGACAGCACCGCGAGGGCCGCCTCATGCATCTCCGGCGAGTGTTTGTTAACCAAAATTGCCGTCCGCTCGACGTCAATTTCTAGAAGCCGTGACAACGAATCTTTGAGGACACTCGTGACATCGTCCGGGAGCAAAGCGCCCCGCTGCTCGCGGGACGCGCTCACGAGCGCCTCCTCCGCACCCTCGAAGGTCTCCTGCGGGCGTAATGCTGGATCGGCAAGGCACGTCTCGAGCAAGCGAGCCCATTGCTTCTCCTGTCTCCGCCAATGCGCGACGATGCGGAAGAAGCCCGCGCCCCAAAACAACCTAAGCAGCTCCTCGCTTTCCGACGGCGTGTAAGCCGACAAGAGGTACTCTGCCGCGAGCTGGCGATCCTCGCGCGTGTCCTCAGCGTCGTTTGCCGATGCAAGCGCGATGAGAGTGTTTTGCAGCACTGATGGCGTGAGCTGGATAAACTGCGGGTATTTGGGCACGTTGCGCGCGATGAAAATGTTGACAAATGTCGCATCCGCCGGGTCAAGCTTGCCGGGTGAACCATCAGCAGCGGCAAGGACGTCAAGGAGGATGAGCACGATCTGCAGCCGGCTGATACCGCCACCCGTGTCGTTTAGGTACGAGTCTTCGAACGCAAGATCGAGGGCATGTAGGAATGCCTCCGAGTCCATCTTGAGAAGCGCGCGGACGTACGGGTACGTCGGCTCCGGCGTGCCGTCATCGGGCGCAGTGAGAACGAGCCGACCGCCGTTTTCTGGCCAAGCGGAAGTCGTACCGCTAAAGAGGAACTTGTAAACCTCTTTGCGAGCCTCCCCAGCGTCTTCCGGCGGCGATAGCGGCTCTTCGCTAGGATAAGCAAGACCGCAGAGGAGGGCGGCAAGATAGGGAAAGACCTTGTATGCGTTTCCGAGGGTCTTCGCCATCTCCTCTCCTTGCTTCTTCGACATGGTGAGCGTGTTACCTCTCTCGATCGCCCCTCGCTGGCGCTGGCGCAGGCCAAGGACAGATCGGACGAGGCCGAGGAGCTCAACGAGCGGCGAGACATAATCCCTCAGCCCGCGCGTGTAGACGTACATGAGTGCATCCCAGAGCCCGTGTCTCCTGCAGAGCGTGATCGCCTGGTCGATATCGAGACAGGTCGGATCAATGTGCCAAATCAACCGCTCTGCCGCGCCCGGTTGTCCCTTCTCTTCGTGCGCCGCCACGAGCCTCTGTGCGATGCGTGGTGGGACAGCACTAAGCGCACCGTCGAGCACGAACGGCTCGAGCCGCGCGAGGAAGATGCCCGAGATGCCCGCCTCGTCGTAGTACGCGAAGAGGTCCTCGAACAAGAAATCGAAGCTCTCGAGCGCGAGCGACGCCTTCACACACGCATCGATGAGCCCTTCAAAGAGGGACGTTCGATCGACGCCGGGTCCACCGGGGGCACCATGCGTGCCGTCCGTCATGCGCTCCTCCGCAAATGCGTACCGGGCGCTCGCTACCATGAGCTCGCCGAGCTTCTGGGCGATCGCGGACTGTGCTGCGGCAGGGTCTGCGGGGAGGCCATTGCGGTTCCCTGGGGCAGCGCCAGTGTAGTATAAGCGGGTGAGGTCAATTGCACTGAGGAAGTCGCCGGTCTCGACGAAGGCGAGAATACGGTCGGCCCAGGTGAGCAGAGTCCCAACAGAGAGGGAGTCGCGGCCCTGTGCAAGAGGTAAGGGTGAATCACACAAGCAAGAGCGAGACATTTAAACAAAACCCACGAGGAGGAAGATCTTGCCCTTGTAAGTGCGTACGCTGTGGGAAATGTCTAGAGCCGAGTCCCAATAAGATAGTGCGCCGTTGCTCGTGTGACCCAAAGTAAGCGACGGTGAGGTGAGCGAGGATGCCTGGAATGCAACCTGCTCTACCAGGCGAGCCGCATACGCGTCGTAGACCAACACATTGCTTGCCGTGAACAGCACGATTTGCTAACATCATAAACCGCAGTTAGCCCGAACTTAAAAAAGAGCTGGTGACTTTGCAGCGGACTCACGTTGGGATTCATCCACTGCGCCGCGAGGACCTCCTCGTCCAATACCCACTTTGTCACATCCTGAAACAGAAGCGTGCCCACATCGATCTCGTTCGTCTTGCCCGTTCTGTTGTTCACCACCTCCTGCTTAATCTTCGTTTCCGATATACGCATCAAGAAACATGCCGGCCCCCACGCATAGAACAACACCGGGTCCGTCCCTTGTTTCTCGCCCTCCCCATCCTTCACCTTTTTCTTCCCCTTACTCTTCTTCTGCTCCTCCACCGGCGCACTCGCGTCTACCACGCTCGGATACCATGCCAACACGCCCCTCGCCTTCTCTCCAGGCCTCTGCGACCTTGGGGCGGCACCCGGGCCCTCAGTGGGGCGCGACGCCTTGAGCCACGTCTTCGGCGTCGGCTTGAGGCCGACGACGACGAGCTTCGTAGGTGTCAGCAGCGCGGTGACATTGTACCCATCTAGCGCATGCGGATTTGGTCCCAGGGGAAGCGTGCTCATATCCACGATCGTATTACGCGACTTGGCGCGCCGTGCGCGGCGGAAAGTGAGCGCGTCCGCGCCGCCAGCGTGTCCCCGCCCGAGAGCGGCTGGGTCGACCAGGTTACCCCGCGTGTGGCCGTGTCCGGGCCCGTGGCCAGGAGCGGGACCAGGTCCGTGGCCAATGGGAACGCTGATGCTCATGCTGCCGGCGCCGCCGAGAGAGGCGAGGGCCCCGGAACTTGAGGGCTCCTCGTCGGGATAACGGCCTAGTATCCGGAGTGTGTCGAACGCGTCAACGAACAAGACCCTCCCTAGACTATGGAAGAACGCGAGTCCACGCTCGTCGGCTGTGACGAGCGCGTGATGTCTTCCTGCGACGAATGCGACGCTCACGATACGACTGCCGCGAAGGTGTCCTTCCTTGCGGCCGGCAGCGATCGCATCCGGCGCGGGCGGTGCTACGGAGCGCGTTGCCGCGAGGGGTACGGTTGCAGAGGAAACGGGCGTGGAGGAGGTGGAAGCAAAAGAAGGCGAGATCGTTAGGTCAAAAAGTTGGACGTGTCCCGTTGCATGTCCCGTAGCGAGGAAGGCATGGTCGTGCGAGAGTGCAATCGCAGAAACAGGTCCAGCTGTATGAGCTGTAGAGCAGCGACAACAGTCCCATTAGCACAGCATTTGAGCATCCACGAAGCCTGAAATGCATACTCACCAGCCTGATCATCCCCACATATACACTTCAACGTCTGCTTGAAATCAAAGACAAAGACCCTCCCGGCGTCTGTGCCTACACACACGAGTCCATTTGCAGCCAACACAGTCGGCATACCCGCGTTCGGCGTGCCGAGGATCGCAGACGCTTTGGCGGACGCGGCGGTGCGGTATACATAAGTGCTCGCACTTTGTAGCGGTGTCCATCGGAAGACTTCACGCTCAGAGCTAGTCGCGGTACCGCTCGCGTTGGTGGTAGGGAGGTTACGGATGTTGGATGCGGACGACGCGCGTGAGGTGTCGGAGAGATGCGAAGGAAAGGGCGAGAGGCGGGCTTCGCTCAGGGGGCCCGGTGTGCCGGCTGCACTGGCGGTGTTGGAGTTGAGGACATGGGACGATGACACGGTCCGCGAGATTTGAGGCGTGAAGGAGCGCAGACGGGAGACGGTCGCCGGGAGGGCGGGCCGAGGAGGTAGGAGGAAGGGCTCCGCGTCTGCTGTTGTTTCTGCGTCCGCATCGACAGACTCTGCTGGACGCCAAGGGGACGGTGAAGGCGAAGGCGAAGGTGAATACGACGCAGGTGTCTCGAGGATGCGTGTTTGAGTCTACGTTTATTCAGTTCATACTTATGATCCTCGATGTAATAAGAACAGTTACTCACCTGCTCAGAGTCCTCAAGTTGCCCTGGCCCATGCAAGAGACTCCTCTCCACAAACCGTTCCTCCACCAAATCTTCATCCTTATCCTTTTCTTTTCCCTCCTCACCTTCCGTCTCCACTTTTACTTCCTCTTCCTCGTCAGACTCGTGGTCCAGCCCAAGCACATCCCGCAGCCTGTCCCCATAGCTCATAGACGCAGGCTCAGCATCGACACCTTCGTAGACAAACCCCTCTTCATCATCGCTCCCGTTGCCCTCTTCCTCTTCCTGTACACCTCCGTTGATCCCACCCTCCTCGTCTTCATCGTCGAACAACTCTCCCATGCGCGTCGCGTAATCTCCCGCGTCATGTTCGTCTCCGTTCACCAATGGCGCAGGGGTTTCTTCGTCGTCTTCGCTGCCGTCACCAAAGTGTAGGGATGTCACTTCTTCATCGTCCGACGACGGGACCATGGGCGCGTACTATTCCGCTGCGGGGTGTGCGGGACACAATGGAAAGTGTGCGGCACAGCCACAATGTAGGCGACTGTGACGCGGGATGCCATTTTAGCCCCTGACACTGCGACCATAAATTTCTCCTGCTTGAACTTGTATAACCTCACGTCCCAACAGCCGCTCACTTGTTGCCCAGCCGTCTTCTAGTTTGTCACCAAGGTTTCTGATACTCAAAGACTCAAATGATCTGTCTGCTGCGACGCATGAGCTCAAGATCTAGCTTGGATGCTAGGGCTATCTTCACGCAGGAAACGGCAATGATGTTCTCTACCTCGACCATCACAGGCGACGGCATTCCCAGTCCTATCACACTATCCAGAGAAGAAGACTTTCCTTCTCATCAGTCTCCAGCCAGATTCAGAAGGTGCACGAGGAAGCCAACATGGCGCTCATTCCAGGTACCCGAGGCTGCTGGCCATCTTTGAGGCTAGGCAAATGCATCTCTCGAGGTAGAAGTGCCGTAACTATACCACAGAAGTTATATCCTCTGATTTCGAGGCGACTCAAACTACACCAACACACCCGCCTCCCATGGATCAACGGCTAAGCATCAAGGTGGCTCGACCCAATCGCTGCCGCACCGAATTGCGCGAGAGGCATGCCATGATGCTCTCGTCGTGCACGGTGACCTGCGTCCCGCCAACCTGGTTCATGCTCCCGCGAGCACGGTGCTGTGCAGACGGCACCATCGTTTTCACCGGTGGAATGTTATTGATTTCGCCTGGTCCCTTCGCACCGACTACTGTGGTAGCCTCAGTAGATGTGGAAAGACGGCACCAAGCGGAGTAGCGAGCGACCAGGGCATAACAAAGACGATGTCGTTCAAAGCTGAGTCCAGCGGAAGTCATTCTGTGCAGCGCACACGTAAGGTTGTAACCACTAATGCAGAACTTCTTCGACCTCAGGTTAGGTCCGTGCCAGTGTGAAACTTTCAATGCTTGGAATATGAGTTGGAAAGCACTGGGAGATCAAGCGACGTGTAAGATGTCAGCAAGAATGAAGGCTGCTTGCTAAAAAGATTATACTCCATCAGGTCCTCGAGAAATCAGGTTTGTAGGCGGTATATGTGTCGTGTGCAATGAGGGAGGGAGAGAAAGAGATTTCTACATTTATACCCCGCGTCAAGCGCGTGGTCACGTTAAGTAGCGGCTAGGTGCTGGTATAAGGTAGTCTGGGGACATATGCAATGAGGGAAACCAGGACATTAGTCTAAGGCAGTTAAATGCGCATCCTTCTGGATCAGCGACCATTGTAGCTAGCGACTCTGTTCCGATCCGCAGAGTTGCAACGTCACAATGTAACAATCTAATCTTGGTATACGTATCGAAACTGCAAGCGTCCAGCTAGCTCTGGAGGTACTGCCTCGATCCCCTCCTTGTGACGACGATCTATGGTCAAGAATTCGACGACCTGGATGGACGGCGTGAAGGAGATCATCATCTGAAGCTTCTGCCAAACCCGTCCGTATTGGGGACCTGCTGTTTGATCAGGCTGGGTTTCGTCCAATGGCTCCGTACTTGACTGGGACCTGTAAACTCTGAATCCGAGGTACTTGACAGGTGGAAGCTGAAAGGAGTAGAACATATCGTCCTGGAAGAGAGCGTCCTCCGGAACCGACAGGACTATGCGAGTTAAGTGAGGGCATGTCCTGGCTATGACCGACCAACTCGATTGATATACTGTATGTCCGTGCGCACAGCACATGGTCTCAAGGCTGGAACCGACACCTTCTAAGAACATTTGCGTTTCAGGGCTAGCTAGCGAATCGTGCTCCCGGAGGGTAAGATGGCGCAAGCGTGGAAACCAATCTCGGCTCGATCTTGGTAGCAAGCTTAACCAGCGGCCACAAGAAAGAGACTCGACGGAGTCAGACAAGATGGGCCCTATAATTAGGGCGTCGATGTAGTGACAAGACAATAGTCGGAGGTTAGGGGCCAAGCGCAACAGCTCCATAGTCTGAAAACGGTCGAGCATTGTTGATTCTGTGCGTATATTGAAGACCTTGAGTGATGGTCCCAGACTGCAAGCTGCGTCTATCACGCAACGGGGGAAAGAGAACGTCATTCTATGTTTTACGAGTAAGCGAGGACGGATGATGGAGATATCGATGACGGTAATATTATGAAGTGACCGTATGAGGTCCGCGAGGTCATCATAATACACTTCTTGGGTATTAAGTTCCGGCCCTACAGCCTGAACGCTGGAAAGGTCCAAGACAAGATCCACGCGCTTTACTGTCGATTTTAGAGGTTCCGTGTTCCCATTGACTGCCACGGGAGGCGGGCTGAAGAGCGAACCGGCGAGCAGTGATGACAGGTTCCTATTGTTGACCCAGACTGATTGATAAAGGAATGGATTGGCCAGTTCGTACCACGTCTTGCAGACTAAGGGGAGATGTCGTCTCGTGGAAACAATGGACTGTCTGAGTGCAGGTTCGTGTTCCGTTAATCCACTTCTCTCGCCATAGAGCCCTAGCGTCTTGGCGCGGTCGCAGATGCCCTGTTCAGAAGTGCCTTCGACATACGTGGCATGGGAGAAGATATCGATCCACAGCTCTGCGGGTAAGGTAAGTTGTGAGGCTCCTTTGGTCGCTGTCGCTGTCGCCATGCCACGCCCCGACAAGATGGAAGTTGTGCGGAAGAAATGTGAACGGCGCATCGGAGCCGATTCCGGGGCAAGCATGGATCAATATTAAAATAAACGCTGAACCAAATACGTAACGTTTATTACATAGCGCGCGAAGACAGCTTCAAAAACGAGCGCATGAAGAGCAAATGGAGTACGTCGTATCAAACACGCTCGCTGGGAAGTCGATTTCTAAAGGCTTTGAAAGTGCTAGCACTTCATACTGTCTTGCTTACTGTAACTACCGCGCTTCGCAGCACCGTGGGAACAGGGTTATTTACCCCTATGGGTCCACGGCAAGTCCATGGTAAGGGCTTTTTGTTGACTCCGTCCACCTGTCCCTACTCAGAAATTCCGTTCACTGCATATGGGTGGCAAGTGGGAGGGATTTGATCCAGAGCTCCGTCGGCAATGTGAACGATGAGGGTTCCCTGCCATGGTTGCTGTTGACATGATGCATACAAGAAGAGGATGGTTGTGCGGGCGAAACCTGGGTGAGCAGGATCTTGGATCTGGAGTGCACTACGGAGCAAACGAGGATGAAGAAAACCATATCTTGGAATATAGGGTTACTGTAATTCTATCGTAGCGTGGCTGGCCGATCCATGCGCTCAACATCATCATAATAAATGTAGAGCCTGTCAACAAACGAAGGCACCATTTCTTATCTTCTTCAAGCCTCCGCCTCATCGTCGTTCATAACTTCCAAGCCATCAATGTGATACACCAGCCGATCAGGAAACTCACTCGCCCACATGTCCTCCTCGTCATCTTCCTCGGGCTCCTCGCTGTACTCGAAGTTCCTATCGATGTGCTGCCCAAACCACACCTTCTCCTCGTCCGTCAAGACCGTCCGCGGCTGGTAAATGGAGAGATTATCGATGTAATTTGGCAGATCGGCGGATCCCACAGCGTTTATGAGCTCCGGGGACATATCCTTCACCTCAGCGCGCTCTGTCAGTGCCCTCTGCATTGCAGCAACCGAGAACGAACAGTCGATGAGCGAAAGCCGGTGCGTCTTGCCCGCCAAGTAAAAGTGATACCTGTTCTCACCCCCGAAGACCCGGAAGAAGTCGTCGTCAAGGCATGTGCAGTGACGCAGGACCAGCTCAAATCCTTGATACCTGTGCAGAAGCTTGATGAGGTCATGCCCGCAGACGGAGTTCACGGTCAACGTCGACACGCCTTCCCACCAGTGACACAGGCCCGCGACACCGCATCGCGTTACTGTGGCGCTAGACGAGGCGAACTGGAGTAGAATCGGCACGGCAAAGCCCTCGAGGTCGACGAGGTGGATCATAAGTTGGCCCCTGTGGGATATATATGGAATTGAGGATCTGTCGGTCTCCTGGAAAGCAACGCTGCGAACGGCAAGGAAACGCAGGTTCGGCTGAATGCTGCCAGTAATGCACCTCAGGAAATCGTACAAAGAGACAGCGTCTCGGGGATCAGGGGGCTGGTACGAGGACGCAACCAATGTGCAGTACGGGTGCTGTAGTTGATGCAACCAGCTAACGTTCGCCTCGCGTACGTCGACGAGGCTCTTTGCGTCTATATGAAGATGCCTGAGCTTGGGGCATGAGAGATCCTCCAAGCCCACAATCGACGCAGCGGTGTCCGTGATGCTGGAGTCGAGAGCGAGGATCTGGAGGTGGGGTGCGCCACCGTGCAGATGCCTTGCTGCTGCTAGTACGGACGACCTGTAGGTAAGGTCCAAGCGGATGCTCTTGCACCGATGGATGTGGGGAGCGAGCTCGCGCATGATAAGCTCGATGCGGGCGTTCTCCGCGATGGAGCCAACATGGCTTTGCTCCGCGGGACGATTCCTATACGCGATGCGAACGTGAATGAGCTCGTCCCTTGACCATGAGATGTAGTCGCGGAGGTACGTAGAAGAGGCATCAACATCGTCGAGGAAGATAACGAGCCTCGTCCAGTACGCCGGGTCGGCCGCGAGCACTTGTCTCCATTGGCGACATGTATCTGCCTGCGGGAAAGGGAAGAGTGTAGGAGACACCCCGATCTCGTCGAACGTCCACCTCCAGTACTCCGAGTTGCGAGTGTCCTGCGTCTCGTCTAGAGCGTTGACGTCCACAACATTACTGCTGGGGAGGATAGGGGTTAACTCCTGTTTGAGCTCTCGACATTCATCGAAGGCAATTCTGAAGATGTGAAGGAGGATCTCGTTAGGAAACACCAAGGGCCTCGGCGTGTAAGTAGGCATGGCAAGTCAGCCGACTGCAAGCCGGTGAGGTCGCTGCTGCACGACTTCAAGCCACAAATTGGCCATTTCACCAAATAACCCACATTCTTGGCGCTTCACTCATGACTGATCAAGAGACCGCATTGGCTGGAACATCCCGAATTGAAACAAACAAAGGCGGCTGTAGATTGCCTTGATGTCATTTGCTCGCTCAAACTTAATTGGCAATATTAGTCTGCAGATGCTCAGCGTAGGATTGAGCGGGAATCAAAGCTAGAAAAAGTTTACCTCACGTTTACCCACCCTTGCCTGCTCGCTTTCGCTGCGTCCGCGTCTACATGAAGTCGCCCAGCCTTTCAACAGCTGGCAGAATGTATAAGAGAGCATATGAAAAAGGCGAAACCCGATCACAGGATGACTCTCATTGCAGAGTTGAATCTGATTGGACGTGGTGAACCCGGTTAATATTATCTTATGCGAATCACAAATCCATTGGCCTGATGGCGTAGTTGGTTATCGCATCTGTCTAACACACAGAAGGTCCCCAGTTCGAGCCTGGGTTAGGTCATTACTTTTTCGTTATTGGGAAACTGTTCACACCCATTATCTTGTTTTTTGTTTCACCATGCCAACACTCTGATATTTTCCACGGACCATGGGGGTACTTGCAAAGATTACGACGACTAAGACTACAATATAACGGAATCAACCATGGACGTTTAACGTTGATATGCATTGAATTATGACGAGTATGCTACAATTACCGAGGGGTATCACGTACAGATATTGTTTACAGGTATCAAATGCGAGGGGTATGCAGTACGTGGTTTATCATTCATCAATTGCGACTTCGCTGCCGCCTCTCGCGAACAAGTCGTTCTGCACCCTTCCACATAGAAGCTTCGTCCCACTGGCGGAAAGGGAAACGCGGCGCTCGCTCAGCGACGATATGCGATTCACCGTCATTCCACGCATTGATCTCCTGGCGGTGCGCCAAATCGCCCATCCCAACAATCTGAACTAGTAGAAGCTGCAGCTTATCTGTCTCCACGAGCGGCCGGAGCATCTCGGCGACGCGCGAGCGAACGAGGGCGGGGTGGGGCTTGTAGTGTACGCAGAGGTGCGTGAGAGCGGGAAGCGTCGTGAGCCGCGCGATGCTCTCGCGTGACGTGCAGAGTGTGATCTGGATCTTGAGGTGCGTCACCGCGGGCGAGACGAGCGAGGGCTCGGGCCCGTCCCGGCTCGCGAGGCCGAGGAGATGCTGTTCGCGCGGTGCACTTGCGAGGTGCACTACGGCGGGGCCATCCGCGTCTTCCATATCTGCCGCGTTTGGGAGGGGCTCGTATTCGCGCTTGAGCGCTTGCCGTGCGGAGTGCACGTACGATGCGGCGGAGAAGCCGCAGAGGAGGCGGCGCACGGCTGTGCAGCGCGAGAGGACGTCCTGGATGGCGTCGATAGGCCCGGGAGCGGTGATGCTCAGGGAGCGCACGTGGCGCGCGGGAGACGCGTCGTGGTCTCTAGGAGCTGCGAGAGCTGCACGAAATGCGACGAGTTTGGAAGGCGTCGGGAGAGCGACGGAGGTGTAGAGGGTGGGCTCGACGTGTGCGCGCACCCAGGAAGACACGCGGCATAGGTTGAGTGCGGAAGCGCGATCAGCTTCGACGGCATGGGTAAATACGTCGAGTATGAGCTCGATGGGGAGGTCGGCAAAGATGCTTGAGGTCAAGGAAGCCATTAGGATGCGTGAGGGGGCGTTTGCGTTGTGCAGGGGAAGAAGGTCCAATGAGACATTTTACATGCTTATATACGAGCTGTGCGCTTCGGAATTACCTGGCACCCTTGATAGCACTGCCGAGGGGGAAGATGATGTCGGGAAGGGGTCATAAAGTGCTCCACGGCGGAAGCGGCTTGCAGGTGGCATGGGGCGCTTTTGGGCAAGCCATCGATGGCGAGGTGGTCGAAAGGGACTGAGGGGTGTCATAAAGTCGGTATGATGGACAAATAAGGCAAGCCTCGCAGTGTCCTCGCGCCGTGGAAGGCTGTGGAGCGCTTCAAAAAACCGTCGGGATTGAACAAGATCAGAGCCTCCCGCCTATTTCTGTTCCATGTTGGCGTGGCATCTGTCCGGTATCTGTCCCAATTCATTCCTTCCTGTGACGTCAGTCCAGCCAGGCCCACTCTATCATGTACAGTACAACCTTTCTATGTTTGATATAACTGTATAGCATTGTGCCTACTTCAAATGAACGAACATCCGACCTCCTCTCACTCCAAAGGACAAACTTCGCACATCCAATCCTTTTGAGAAACGAATGAGAAGATAAGCGATGGGAATGGCCTAGGGCGACGATTTTAAGGGTTCAAACGTTCAACAACACCATCATGTGCACAGCTAGCCCTCCCACATGCAGGCTCCCTACCGAATGAAGCGCCATATTAATGGCTTTCAGCCCAGGAGATACATCATATGCCATGTCCGTGCCCATCGCCGCGGAGGCGCAGATAACCTGCTGTCGCAAGCTACGGCGAATCAGGCACCAACGTTGAAACCCTCTCACCCGGGTTCGAGAAAGTGAGACGACTGCTTCAAGGACCGTTGAGTCGCGATACATCGTTCGTCGAGCTCTGGGTCCGACTAGACGGTAGTGCGGTGTCCGAGCTTATTCCATCGTGTCCGAGAACCAGGTCCTCGGGTCGTCCTATTCGCGCCTCTGCCTCGCGTCGGGCCGACCGTTTGCGCGCTGCAGCCTCGGACAATGCCTGCTGCTTTGTCGCATATGTCTGGGCGAACAGGGCAATCACCGTCTTGTTCAAATTCACGTGTCAGCAGACTGATAACCTCTTGAAATAGAGGAAGTACGGTACTCACCAAGAGCAGCCCTCCCACAACAACCCTCTCCGTCCACCGTTCGTCCGCTTTCACGTCATCAAAGTACGGTCGTCTCCGCGCTCTCGCGCTCGGCGGTTCCCGTGCCCGCATACCAGCAGTCGGATGCGGCGCGTCCATGCCGTCCACCAGCGCCCCACGCCCTTGCAGAATGTCATAGGCGCGCTTGATCGCCTGAAAGTGCGCTTGAGCGACGTCGGGTGGATGGTGCCGAGCGATAGCAGAGTCGGGGTGGTATATGCGCACCAGCTCGAAGTCTTTTCCGAGAGTGGATGTGATAGGTTATATGCGGTCTAAGCCGTGAGCCCAGGTCGACCAAGGTATAAGGTACAGGACGTACAGCGAGCTTTGATATCTTTCTGCGTTGCCCCGCGCGGAAGATGGAAGATATGATGCGGGGTAGGATTCGCCTGCTTTGGGAATGGATATGGATTGCTGCTCATGCCGGCATTGGATCCTGTCGCTGCAGCCTGCACTGAACGCGCGGAGGCGAAGTACCGCGCAAACGATTTACGGCAGGTGAATGCGCATCTTGGGGGGACCAGCAGGCTCTGCATCCACTTCTTCTACGTGTCTGAGATTATCCGGGACGTACAGCAGGGAGCGTTGAGCGTTGTAGCCTCTGCGTGGTGCTGAACCGGGGGATGTTCGCGGGACGGAAGAAAGGGCACCACCGGCATCGGCGCCGGAGGCTCGGAACCGGTTATCCGGCAAGTGTTAATGATCAGTTTGACGTCCACCCGTCGATCCGCCGATGGTCGCACGAACAAAGTCAAATTTGACAAGGTCCACAATGTTCATGATGACCAGCTTCCATCTGAATCTTCCGCTCCGTTCCACCATTTCTGCCTCGACCTATGACTCCGCCGGTATTTCCAACTGGAAATTAAAACACGCGGGGTCAAACTGTTGTCTGGGAGACTCGCACTGAAGCACCACCGTGGGGGCACAATTGCCTCAGTAGTATGTGGCTCTTTGCTTCTGCCAGTGGATCATCGCCGTCCAATACGCTCCACGCGTGATTGCTCATCTACAAACAGCTTGGAAAGGGCTCTAGACAACAGCAAGCCGACACAAGAGCCGACTCGTGGTAATTCGGAATACAGTACGTCAAACAAAATTAAGTACTCTAGTGGGCGCAGGTTATCACCGCCGGATTCACTTGTGTCTTTCAATGTCTTTGTCGCGGATCCACCCACTGCGAACTTGCCGAAGCGCGTCCATTCGTGTAAATCTCGATCTCGAGTCCTTCATCATTTCTAACTCGCGTCGATCATAGATTGAGATCTGGATGTCGAACTACTTGTGCATGGCATGTGGGTGCCAAAGTCGCGTTGGTCAGCAGTGGGATCCAGCGACACCGCTAGGCGGGTCATATCGTCATGTAAGTAGACTCATTTGAACTTGTTTCGCTGTGCTTCCTGGGTTGAAGTCTAGGTTTCAAGCTCAAGTCGCGGCGTAGCTTGACAGCCGAGAGCCATTGGGGTGTATGCCTGCTGCTTATGTTCGTGTATGCAATGACTATGCTTATAAGCATAGTCGTTGTTCAACGCCAGGTTCGAACTTTCACGAGCTACGGTTTTCCCCCGCTGAAGCAAAGCCCTGGTGGCCGTATGCCATGGCATTGTCTTGTCCAACTGCCTGGTGTGTCAGGCTCGCGGATTTCGACTGTCTTTTCTTTTCTACAACCGAGTTCATCGCTTTTGCCAATGCGAGATTTGCGAGGGTCTCTTACATGTTACCATGGACAGTATATGACGGAAAAATCACGTCCGCCGAGGTAGCCACGTTCGCCTTGCGTTTGGAAGATGCTTTAGTATCGCGCAATTTATTAACACCGGTGCTGAATTGTGGTACATCGTGTCTAGACATGCAAACGAGGGGTGAGTTGTCAATCAAACTTGGAACACAGACGAACCCCTCATCACCATTTTGTCAGTGGAGCACGATGTGCCCGGCGAGCACTTTTGCTCCAGGGTCTATTCTAATCGTGGCTGGTTGAAGACGACCTCGAAGGCTGCTGTGTTATCATTCCGGACTCTGTCTTCTGCCTTTGTGCTTCGCGATGCCATGTTGATGCCATGATCGACGTGATCATGCTATTTTTCGGAACCGTAGAAGGCAAACAATAGCCTCGCGTGCACCATAGTGTGCGCGACGACCTGGTGCATCACCGGATTCTCCGACGTCTTATTTTATAGGTGTGAATGTCGTGTTGCAGACTATGTTGACGACGATGACCGGTCCACGGATGATGATCAGCCTTCGCAGGAACTTCGCGAAAGCCTTGAACGCGGGAACGGCTGGATCGAACGAGTTGACAACCTTAGTATTCACGAGGGCGCCGCAAAACGCTGAAGGCGAAACTTTATCAGCTTAGCAGGGATTTCAAGGATGCGAATCAGCCGCGAGTTATTAGACAAAATGTTCAATTGAGACAACGCGTCGTGGTAGCCGCGCAATCGTAAATACTCGATATCTCGGGGCCGCGGATGTTCGCTAAGCACCTGAGCGTAAACGACACAATACAACGTATAGATAAGCAATGGTATACAAGCACGTCCTTCAGGTATAAACACCCTCGACTTCATTGGTTGTTTCAGTCACGACCGTTACATCACCGCGACAAATCGAGGTGAACGATAAGCACCCCCGCGTTTTTGGGGTCGACCTCGGTGGGGACGTTGTGCCTGGACAAAGAATTAGAGGCTTATCGCAAGGTCATGCGTGAGAGGGAAGACTCACTGTTTCATCAACTCCTCAAGCGCGGGCTTGATCTTGGCGACGTGACCTTCAGAGTGAAGACCCTTGCCTACAAAGACCATGTATTTTATTATCGAACATAGCGCAACGCGGGCACAAAGCACGTACCAACGATAAGACGAATCTCAGCGTCACCGCGCGCACGCGCGTCCTTGATGGCCTTGTCCGAGAAGGAAATCGCCTCCTTGACGTAGAGACCGTGCAAGTCGACCTCACCGGGCTGGCTATCCTAAATACACCGAAAAAGTCCGTCAGGAGACCGTCGACACGTGGCATCGTGCATGAACGCGTACCGTGTTGTTGGCTAAACCATGTACATGTTCCGTCAGTATTCATGTTGATTCGTGTCGAGTCCGACAAAGGGTAAAAGGGGCGACGCGAAGGACGGGTGAATGAACAGGTATAATGTAGACGCACCTTGGAAGATCCACTCGCTGGCTTCCTTGTTCAACCGCTGCATCTCCGCCTCGTTGCGCTTGCCTTCGTTGGAGAGCTCCTTCGCGCGCGCGCCGTTACCGTTCGAGTACGCTTCGTGGCTCTCCTGGAAGCACTTGGACATCTTGTCGCCTGCCTCGTTCGCCTGCGCACGCAGCGACATGTAGTGTTCATTGTGTTGGTTGACCTGGTTCGGGTCCTAGCGTTCATTGGGGCGAGGTTCAGCATGGCAATGAGAGAGCGGAGAGTATAGGGGATGGTTGCAGGTGTAAAGCAGATGGTTGGGTAAGAGGAGAGAGGAGAGCCTACCCCAGAGTGATGCTTCTCAGGTGGGATGACATGCGACTCGAATGGCGCCTGTTGGACAGGCTCCGGGGATGGCTTGGATGGTTTCTTCTCGTGCTTCTTCTAAGATATGACATGTTTAGAATTAGGTTTGCGCATGGCCAACAAGGCACAAATAATTGTTAATTGCCACTGACCTTGTGGTGTGGCTTGGGTTTCTCCTCCTCGGCGGGAGGTCGTGGCGCCTCGGCCTGAGACGCTTGCGGGGGAGGATACGCAGTATAGCCCGGAGCCGAAGGCCGGCCCTGGTAAGGCTGGTCAATCTGCTGAGCCTGGTCTTTCGACGATTGGCCTCCACAGAGCGCCTGGATTAGGCCGATGATGAAGTCTCCGAAGCCTGGCATACTGTACCTAGGAAGAGTAGAGGGATTGGACCAAAGAACAAGAAAGGGAGCATAATCCTCACTTTACTTATGGGTAGGCTTTTGCTGTCGGGCGGTTGTTAAGACCGCTGCTGAGCACGCCTCGAGGCAACCACCCGCCCCAGCGCCTCGTTGCCTCGTGGTCTACAAACCTCCTTTGTACCGAGGTGCTGTGCACACAGCCGTACACATACGAGCAAAAGACTATATATTTATTTTCTGAGCCTATATCCCTGCAAACAAAAAGACTATGTACATGAAAGGAAAGACCGATACCGCCCATTACTGGTTTTACAAGGCGTTAGCGTGCACCCTTCAGATTTCCAGCCCGACTAAGAGGTAGGCAGGGTCAACCTGGAAGGACGGTTTAGTAACAATGCTTCCTCCGACATACATCAGGGAATGAAGAATCTCGCTCGTGGAAGGAGATGACTTATTCATCGCGATGATGAGGGAGGAGCACTCGAGTTGTTCGTCGGCAAGGTCAAGGAGGGCGACAATGCTAGGAGGATATAAGAGGGACGAAATGCAAACAGGTCTGAAGCAACACACCTTTCGCGAAGGCTGACCGCTCCGGCGTTCTTGCCATCGACGTACAGCGTCTTGGGTTTTCCCGGTAACGCCACCACGACTCCGTCGAACGAGGTGCCCATGTTCGGCGCTGACACAACTACACTCTTAGCGTACGGCAACAAATTCAATCCATCGCGAGGGAAGATGCTCAAGAGCAGATCCAAAGCGTCCTTGGGAGGCGGAGTGGAGACCCTGGAGCTCTCGTCGCCGCTATCGGGCGTGAGCGGGGGAGTGGCCAAGTCGTCGGGAGAGACCGACTGCCTCGGAATGTTTTTGGGCGAAACGGAGGTGCGGTAGGGCGAGAGCGGGGAACATATAGGCGATTCAATCGGTTTGCAGGGAGGCGAAGGAGGAAACTGAGAGGAAGGAGAAAACGACGCCAGACTGCCTGTCACACAGTCTGACGACCCTCGGTCAGGAGGGCATTTTGCATGAGGGATGTCAAAAGCGCCACTGGAAAGAGAATGTTAGAATAAATACGAAGTTTAGCCTAGATAAGAGGAGACTCACCCCTGGTCCGCCCGAGAACGTGGTAGAGTAGTAGTACATGTCGCTGGTGCCCTGGACGCGGCACACAGCAAGCACACTGGGAGTCATGTCGGTGTAGAAAGCCCCATCCCCAACGGTTTGACGGCCGTTGCTGCAGGGATGTATCAGTGTCAAGTCATATATGTCTCGGCGGAGAGGAGTGCTTACGTGGGGCAAATACTAAATTGCTGTTTGGTTAAATTTGACATTTTTGTTGAATTCATTGTCTGCCAATTTGATAGGGGTGTTTGGACGGTGAGCTGGTACAGCATTCAAAAGAAATGTCAGCATTAATTTGGTGGCACAGATGGCGGGACGGCGCGTACCGTAAGACGGATAGAAAGTTCTGAGACTGACTCGATTCTGCGATTGGGCGGGAAGGAGACAAGGGTTGGGGGTCTTCGGAGCGAGCGGATCATATATACAGACTGCTCCCTCGCCACACCAAGACCCCTGACACGTTGAATAAGCACGTTCGACCCCCTGTATCACGTGCGGCTTGAGGGCCGGTTGCGATAACGCACGCGGCACAGGCACCCACAACGAACAAAAGTCTCTCGACGACAAGCTCAACGCCGGCAAACCTCAAGAGGTGAGTATTCTTCGTGTCCGTGCTGCAGAACTATGGCTAGGCATCGTATACATCGCGCTTGGAGAACTCGAACGGTTTCGATACGCGAATTTTAGGCTGGATGCGGAACGCCACTTTGCGATGTAACGGCGGCTCATCTTCTCTCGCCTCGCTTCACGCTCGCGACGAACACTGAGAACTGACTCGTCCTCCTTTCTCAGTACCTCTCTCCGCCAACAAATAAAAAATGGCTGACGCTGCTCCCCGTGGACGTGGTGGATTTGGACGTGGACGTGGTGGTGGCAGAGGCCGCCGTGGACCCCGCCGTGGAGGCCGCAAGGATGAGGAGAAGGAGTGGTATGTCGGAAGGGAGACTTATCTCAATTTGCGTTAACAATCCGTAGGGTCCCCGTCACCAAACTGGGCCGTCTCGTCAAGGATGGCAAGATCAAGTCGATGGAGGAAATCTACCTCTTCTCTCTCCCCGTCAAGGAATTCCAGATCGTCGACTTCTTCCTTCCCAAGCTCAAGGATGAAGTCATGAAGATTATGCCCGTCCAGAAACAGACCCGCGCTGGTCAGCGCACCCGCTTCAAGGCCTTTGTTGCCATCGGTGACTTCGACGGTCACGTCGGTCTCGGTGTCAAGTGCGCCAAGGAAGTCGCTACCGCCATCCGCGGCGCTATTATCCTCGCTAAGCTCTCTGTCATCCCCGTCCGGAGAGGTTACTGGGGTACTGCTCTCGGTGAACCCCACACCGTGCCCTCAAAAGTCAGCGGCAAGGTCGGCTCCGTCATGTGTCGTCTCATCCCTGCACCCCGTGGTACCGGTCTCGTTGCTGCTCCCGCAGCGAAGCGTATGCTCCAGCTCGCTGGTGTTGAGGACTGCTACACGCAATCAAAGGGTTCGACGGCCACTATGGGTAACTTCTTGAAGGCTACCTTCGTTGCCGTGCGTCCAATGTACTTTATTCTCCAATCAAGTCTAATTTTGCTTGCAGATCACCAAAACTTATGCGTTCCTTACGCCTGATCTCTGGCGAGAGATTCCTCTGTCGAAGCTGCCTTATGATGAGCATAGTGCTCACCTTCAGCTTACGGCTAGCAAGCTGAAGTACTAGTCGCTCGTATTTCTTTGACTTTCTCCATGTATTTTTGGCAATGACACGGATTTGTCCTCCGGTCTGTCGGTTCTATTCCTCAGGTGTGATTTTTGCAAATACTAAGTCGAAGGTACGATCGAATGTCATCTGGACATTACTGTAACCGGGGCCGGCGACGCGAGGACGATAGTAGGGCGATTGGTAGAGCCAGCCGTTACGCCAAGCTCGGTGTGGTGAAATTACGCACAAGGGCTCATTATCATATTCGCAGAATTTCCAACGATCGGCCCTCGATCGTTGGCTTTTGGCAGCGGCGGCAGGATCCGTCATGGAAACAGCTGTTTCCAGCTGTGCAAGGGTTCAAACGTCCAAGGGATGCCATCGCCTCCCCCCCACGTCGTTCGCGTGCCATTGACAATTCCAAGGTCGGCTAGGTGCGTGCTGTTTGAATTTATCGGGACCAATCATCTTGTGTCTTTGTTTCTGGTACCATTGTTGAAATACCCTTAGAATTGGCACGTCACGGCTCCGCCTTCAGCCTATTCTGTGCAGTTCCTCGTTGTCCTCCTCGTTATTAGGCGCACCTCCACTCGTTCACCCAAAGTACCTACACCCTCTCCCAGAGCCATTCATTGCAGTTTTCATTTCTGCATCGACCAGGACATGTCCTCCGGAGCTTGTTCGCCCAGCGTGGAGGTACCACTGTTTCTTGATAGCCCGCCGGTCCTCGAGTCACCTTCGTTCACTCACAAATCGCGCCAGTCAGCCTTCGCTGATGACAGCTTCCAATCCTCCGCATTTTCCTCTCTAGAGCAAGCACATGCGCTCGCATCGCCCGGTTTTCGCTACTCATTCCCCACAACTCCCTCAAATGAACCTACGGAGCTGGAAGTCGACGAGCCCGAATCGCCCGCGTCGTCCCTAAGGTCGGTAGTTCCTGCGTCTATGGCGATCAAGCCATTGCTAATTTTCCGCTCATCCATGTTACTGTTAATTATTACCGTCGGTGACCATCAACAACAACAGTACATCATACTCAAACCCCTCGACGGTCCAGGACGCTGCCTCTCCTGTCACCCCAGAATTCCAGTTCACTTCTCTCGAGCCGGCCTCGTACACCCAGCCCTCTCCATCCGAGGAGCTATCCCGTTTCTACGGCTACAGAGGTGCACCCCAGCTTGAGGGAGGCGGCGACGATGACACCCATCATGAGCTACATGGTCGCTTTCCCTTGGGGTCGCAGGATTCATTGTCGGATTGGCGTAGGAAGAGGCATCCGGCGGCGCCCCCACAACACCGCCGTCATGGATCGACAGGTCGTTCAACAGATCATGACCACGGCTTCTCGGCCCTCGACTCGCGGCCCTGTGCCACTTCCACACCCTTGGCTCGTAACAGGGTAACGCGTCCCGTGCCACCGCCGGTTTCTACGCCCGAAAGATCTTTGGAAGACAGTTATTGTTCTTTTGCATCTCGACCTTCCCTCGCTCGTCAGTCAGATTCGGCGCGTACGATCGTTCCATCGGCCGTCCTACGGGACCACCAGCGTTCTTCCTCGGAGGCAGACGCACCACACCGTTCGCGGCTCCCGACTGGGGAGTCACAGCAGGACTCGATCACATCGAGCGAGACGTGCTCGCTATCGGATTTTCCTATTGGGCTTGATTTTCCTCCGCCGCCGGTGCCTGTGAGCAGTCCTGCTACCAGCCCATTCGACCCACAACAGGCTGCCGACGTACGAGAGGCACTTCGTGTCTGGGGTGGTCAAACCCACTGTGCCCCTAGTACCAGCTCTCGTCCTGGTACTGGCGCCGGCACTGGCGCCGGTCCTCTGCGAGCTGCTGGAACTGGGGTGCCGACGCTCCGTACATGGAGGAGCGAGCATGGGATGCGTCCGACGAGGGTGGATCGGCGTACGAGTGACGATTATTCGTACATCGCGATGGACGTCCCGGATAGCTATGGTGGACATGGCAGTCCCCGTCATCTTGACTCCCCTCGTGTCAGCGAAGCGTCCGGCCGCTCTGCGCTCGTCGAACGTTCCGGAGAACCTAGTCAACATCGTCTACAAATCGGCTCCAACCCCAAGAACGTCGCTGGGCCTTCCAAGGTGAAGGGCGCCAACGAAGACGTGACGCCCATGAACGCCCTGGCGAGGTCGTGTGCGATCAAATCTAAAGCACACCAGATTCCAGCTTCAGGTCCAGACCCGTCTTCGCCCAGCATCCGCCCTGCGCTCCGTCAATCCGCTCGACGCAACGCACACATGCGCTCTCGCTCTGGGTTTCCCACCTCCCCTCCCTCCTCAGGCCCTTCATCATCATCAACGGTTGCACCGCATCCGATGGACAAACGCGCTCTGACCGAGCCCGCGCACCGCGCCATTGCCAGCGCCGATTGTGGATCCGGACTCTCACTTGCGCTCATGCCCGGGCCTGCACCCGTGAATTCGCCAGAGACGAAGCGGAACGGTGTCGTCCTTGATTTTGGTGAGCCGCGGATGCCAATGCCATTTCCGCGGCCAGACTGGACGCCACCTACGTTTACAAGGTCTCCGGATATCATGGACTCGCGTCAGGCTTCCATCGGTGCGGCTCAACCTACGGTCTCGGGTGTCAAGTCGAGTGCGAGCGGTGGTGCTGGCGAAGAAGAGTTCTTGAAGGGTGTTTCGGCTCTCGACCGACTTGAGATCAGCATGACCAAGCTCATGTCGCACAGCCCGCAGCAGCAGAGAACGGCCAACTACCCTATAGGCAACGACAGCGGTGCTGCCCCCAATCGCAAGCTCGAGCGTCCGCGGTTGAGCCAACATGTCACTGAGCCAACGTCGAAATCTCGTCGCCTTAAAAAACCGTCAGAGAACCCCTCAGCGTGGCACCCTCAGGCGTCTCCCTACCCCGGCTCCAGATCCGGCTCACGTTCAGGCTCAGAGACAAACCTCGTTCGCCCGTCATTGGTGCACAAGAGCGCATCGACGACGTCCCTCCCGAAGGACGTCGAAAAGTGCTCCACACCGCGCCCAGCAAATATCGCGCGCAAACACCAGTCCTCCGCTGCTCTCCCTCGCGTCCCGCCCGTGCCGCCGCTGTCCCGGAGGCAGCTGTCACAACGCGTGCCCAACACGCGTTACGACAACAAGAGGAACGAAGAAGACGAGGCGCTGGTGGGCGCGAGCGCCCACTCGACGTCGATGCGCTCGTTCATGGACATGGACACGACGTCAGCAGGCGGCAGCCCGGCGCGCTCGCTCAGCTTCCGCAGGAAACTCGCGAACAAGGCGTCGCGCGTCGTTGCGTGGGGGAAGAACCTGGGCAAAGCCCAGACGAAAAGCCACACCTTTTGATCCCATTCGACCTTCGTTTATCTCCATCCCGACGGACTGACCAACGCAATTCGTCCCTCCACCATCATGCCTTTCGCACACACGCTATCCATGTATCCAACTCGCTCTCGTCATCTTCGTTTGGTCGTCTGTCGTCCGTCTCGTTACTCACTCACTCCTTTCACGTTTATCCATCGCTTTGTAGCCTTAATGTATCCTAGAACATCAGATCCATGCACAACCTTTCGTGGACCAGTTCTGTATTGTATCATCTCATTACTATATTACACTTTTGATACTGAATGTATGATACATCCCACAAAAATAGCTATGGTCCTCGCGGGTCTTCACGGCTGAGCCGCTTCACTATAAGGGGGCACTGGCTTCCCATCTTGAATTTTCCGGATACATAGGGACGCGTTAGAACTCTGAAAAAAATCTCATAAGTGAGAGATCGAAGACGGAAAAAATACGGGGGCGTACACATTGGCTTTGTATATGCGCTGGTTAGTTTCGGAAAACGAAAAGTTGGTGAGGAGGGTGTACAGAAACGTTTTCATCTCGATCATGGAGAAACGCATTCCGATGCAGGACTAAAATAGGATGAGCCTCGGTTAAATGATGAGCACGTAGATTTACTTACCCTCGGACCGGCCGAGAATGTAAGTAGATTATTGTACAATCCAGGGAGGTTTCGCGCGGCCTCGGGTAAATTATCCCATCGATCTGGGCTAGGATATATTATCAGAGAAAGCATCGTAATTTTTTTAGAATGACGTACTTAAATTCCCAAGCGTCCTCACCCCACATCCCCTTATCGAGGTTGAATGCTTCGATGGGGACGTGCACGAATGTCCCTTTCGATACGTGGAAAGATTTTTGCTCCGATATCGACCCATCGCGAAGGCGGACAGGGTGCGAGACCGGGACCTCGTCATCTTGCATTGCAACTCGCAGGGAAGAATGGACAGGCGGGATTAATCGTAGTGATTCTTTGCAGATGTTGTCCAGGAAAGGCAAACTTGCGAGCGTATTGTGCAGCGACTCGATCTCTTCTGAGGAGAGCTGGGATTCTGGTGTTGGTGGGACGACGGCGAGGAGCTCTGAACGCAACCGGGACTGCAGATTCGGGTTACGAGCCAAGAGGAGGAGAGTCCAAGTCAATGCGAGGGAGGTGGTGTCTGAGCCGGCGAACATGAAGGTATTGATGTTATGTAGCACATCTTCGTCGGATAGTCGTTGGTCGGGGGAGAGGTCTGTTGCGACGTTCGATTTTACTTCAGGAAATGAGTGAGCGGGTAGTATTTTCAGATGACGGTGATTCACGTACGCATCAAACTGAGTAAGTCATTCCCGGCGTAACTCGATCCCAACTTCTCTCCCTCCAAAATCTTCTCTTTCTTCTGCTGAATTAATTTGCCCGCTACGCGTTCGATAACGTCTTGACATTTCATAATTGTGCTCGCGCGTTTGTCGGGCTAAGAGTAATTATTTAGGGACAAGAAAAAAATATAAAAAGTACTACGAACAAATAGGTTATTCAGGAATGGCGAATAAATGCCGAGAATGACACGGAAAGACTGGCTTTGCGAGACAGAAATTTCGAACATCTCCTTGTATGCGGAGAAGAGCTCATCGGATTCATTCTGGATGGCGTTGAAGTGATAACCAAACCCTGGAGATTTTATTCGTGTTAAGGACTATCAAGGAAAAGTCAAGAATGGTAAACTCACCTGCTAGCCCAATGACATCGAATGTCGCTCTGCTTATCCAATGACAGACATCTATTTCCATGCCCTCGGATGCATCCTCTCTATGCACTGAAGGAGACAATGCGGAGTCGTGAAGCATTTTATCCCATTTCTCTTTGAGTTCGTTCCCTTTTCGAAACACCAGGGGTACGAGGGCCCGAAGGTTCTGGATAGAGAAAGAAGGAGTTGCGACACGACGTTGACGCTTGTGCACGGCTCCTTCAGCTGCGAGCATGCCGCAGCCAATGAGACTTGTGATAAGCCGTCGGGATTGCCAAGGTTTCTCGTATATCGTGGTGTTCTTCAGGACGTGGGCGATCGACAAAGGGTCGAGGGGTAGCAGGCGGTCATCCCACTGCATTAACTCATTAACGTCCCTAAGCTTTTCAGAGGATTACTTGGAACGTACGGGTCCTAGCCCTCTTATCCTAACAGCACGACCAAACTTGTTCACGAAGATGTCATGGGCCTTTGGTGATCGAAAGGGACTGGAAGACCATCAGTGGGAGAAGACCAATGATAAAGTGAGATAGCGTACTCGAGAACCAGCGACATATGATTGTCAAATAGCCTTCGGACAGGGGGACCAGCCAGCACCCGGAGCGAGCTTAGGCGAGGCACGAGAAACAGGTAGTAGACCACAGCCGAGGCTATCGAGAGGGGTATGCAGGCGACTAAGCCTAGCGGTAGCTGCCATGTAGATGATAGCATGAGCGAAGGTGGCCTCGAGGTGGCCTTGTGCAGAGTGTGAAAAGCGGCATGGTTGACTGCAGTGTATGGGAGGAAGACAATAACGGGCCGGACCCTATTGTGTCGCGCGAACTGCAGCGCGTCGCGATATTGCGGCTCAGACGCGTCTTTTCAGATTTCCGTCGCAAGCCCACCCTGGTACACACTACATTAATCAGCCTTGTTTTCAGCAGGTTCATGTATCCTAAACATTTTGGATATATGCTATAGACTAACAAGACCGAAGTAGCTATCTCACTCCCAACTGGAACGTGAACTCTGACAAACTCAAGCATCAAGTCCTGCGATGCATCACTGTCTTTCCACTCCCGAGCTACTCCAGATGATTCTCTATGATTTTCGGAACGAAGAGGCCTATGCCACTCTCGCCGCGCTTGCGCAAGTTTGCAAAGCCTTCTATGAGCCTTCCTTGGACGCTCTCTACGAAAGGTTTATAGGCATTGAATCGGTTTTGAAGTTCCTCCCTCCCAGCTGCTGGACTTTGGAAGACAATGTTTTTGTACGTCATATAGTTAACCTTTTGCCTTTCGGTCCCTGCTTACTTTCCAATTCTTCATCGAAGCAATTTACTAGACCATTAACAGCAAGCGACTGGGCTATTTTCAACCGTCATACCTGGCGCATAAGAGAAATAGCTGGACCCGCTACCGATAGCAACGTCACCATTACTGTATCAACGTATGAAGCTGCCTGCTTATCCCCTCAATCGCCTCTGTTGCCCAACCTTCAAAGACTAGACTGGTCTGATGGACAGCTTCATGGTCCATTTATTCGACATCTCTTGGGGCCAAACTTACGCCTGCTGAGGCTGGCCCAGATGACAGCGGTCATCTTTCCTCTGCTGCCGGTTATCGCCGCTTCTTGTCCGTCCCTGCAACAGTTCTCTGTATCCGAGAAATCTGAAGACGATTCATCGATGTTAAGCACTGCTTTGCAGGAAGTCCTACCATCCATGAGGACCATAGAGGGACTCTCATGCGGACAACTGTCCTTCAATGGGCTCTCCGCCGTTGCCGAACTTCCTTACCTGAAGAGAATCCGTTTCGTTCCTCCTCTCAAACTGTCTCAGCCTAGCTCAGCGAAGAAATCCGCGTCCCAAAAGCGCAAGGAAAAAGTAGTAAACAAGGTTAACTCCAAGTTTCCTTCTTTGACCCAATGCTCTCTCTTGAGTCGACCAATGGATTCCCACCAAGAGTTCTTTGACCGAATTGGCTACTTACCTCGACTTCGCGAGCTCTTATGCGTGACGTCTTCATATACCGTTCAGCAACTAGCTGCCTTTTTCGACACCTTACATTCACACATTAACCCCAGCGAATTGTCTGTTATATCTATCATCGGCTGCAATAAAAGCATAGGAACACAAGTGCGGGACTCCGACGTGTCTCCCATAACTATGTCAATTCTTCGCCCATTGTTATCATTTGCGAAGCTAGAGAAGCTGGTTATCTGGACGATGATGACGTTTTCGCTCGACGACGATGATATTGAGGCCATGGCACGGGCTTGGCCCAAGCTTCGCTCCCTAGCAATCACGGGCTACGAGGGCTGGCTCGACAACCAAAAGATCTCGCTATGGGGCTTGGCTTCTCTTGTGCAGCATTGTCCGGAACTGGAAAATCTCGAAATCGTCCTCGATGCCACTGTACATCGGAATTTACCCTCGCCCAGCATACCCGCTAATATGTTGGTCACTGGCATCTCCATCGACGACTCGCCTATCAAGGATCCTTTCTACGTCGCTTCGTACCTCTCCCACATCTTTCCCCGCCTTAGTGCAATTTACTGTTGGAAATCAGCAGATTTGCCGGCTCGCGAGAACGCGGACAAATACGAGAAAAAGTGGGAAGAGGTTGAGAAATTCCTCAAATTGCTCTCCTGCAAGCATCAGTATGAGAACTTTTGGAGGAACGCTAGCGGGAGGCGTTGTCACCTTCCCCGGCCTTCAGCTAAGGCCGCGCCCACGTACACGTTCGTTGCGATGGAAGAGTTGTGGGACGGGACTCTGGTATGTCCCTAACGAAGTGATTACTGCCTGGAGCGAGCTTGGCCCTTTTCATTGGGTTGGAGTCTTATATTCTGTATAGAAAATTAAATATATAAAAGCTAGTAACGGCAATTTTCGCCGAATCTTGCAACGATTCCCATAGTTATAGATTAGACGTATATCCGAGTCGGTCTTCAGCGATAGGATGGTGTACAGCATCTATAGTCCGTTTGGAGTCCGAGACTGCAACATATCATTAGGGGCTATTATTCCTCCTTCAGGAAAGCAGTCTGAAAATCTGACCAACGTCAAACGCGTGAGCGCAACCAGCTAGATTCTTGGGCGAGATCTGAGCGTTGTTCCAAACTTCCCTTCTTACCCCACGACCACCACCATGCTGTTCATCGCCGCATATATTGCGAGCTTGCTATGTTTCGCAGTAGCGGCGCCCACGAGGAACGTGCGACCACTTGTTATATGGCACGGCCTGGGCGACACCTACGATTCGGCGGGTATGACCCGTGTTCAGGAGGAGGTCAAGAAGATGCACCCAGGCATCTTCGTCCACTTGATTCGCATGAACGAGGATTCGAAGGAGGACAAACAGGCAGGATTTGTGAGTGTCTCGGTGGTCATTGGTAGACTTGATGTGCTGAATCTTACGGTGCTGACTAGTACGGCAACGTCAATGAACAAGTCGCGCTCGCCGCCTCTCAGCTTGCGAACATCTCAGAGCTCAGTCAAGGATTCGATGCCGTCGGATTCTCTCAGGGTGGCCAGTTCTTGCGGGCTTACATCGAGCGTTATAACGAGCCTCCGGTGAACAATCTCGTCACGTTTGGATCGCAACATATGGGGATCTCGGACTTGCCAGTATGCAGTGCATACGACCTACTCTGCCAAATTGCGCGGCGGGCGACAAAGGGTGGGGTGTACAATGAGTGGGTGCAGGAGAACTTGGTGCAGGTACGATTCGGTTTCAAGACTCCTTCAATCTCACAATGACGTCCGCTGCAGGCGCAATACTTCCGAGACCCCAACCAGCTGCCGCTGTATGTTACATCCAGCAAGTTCCTCGCGGACATCAACAACGAGGTGCTGCTGCCGAGCGAGCGCAACGGGACGTACGCAGACAACTTCAGCACGCTGAGCAACCTCGTGCTCGTCAAGTTCGAGAAGGACAGAACGGTCGTGCCGAAGGAGAGCTCGTGGTTCGGCTCGCAGGCGCCGTCAGACACCTCGCTTTACCAGAGTACTGAACAGGTTCCCCTCGGAGGACCTCGCCCGTCGCGAGTTGACGACAACCGCGAGATCATAGGCATGGAGGAACAGCCTCTCTATCAGGAGGACTGGATTGGCCTTCGGGCGTTAGATGAGCGCGGCGCTGTCACGTTCAGCACATGTGAGGGTGAGCATATGGACTTGACTGGATGCTGGGAGGACATATTCGCCGAGTACGTTGGTGGCCTTTTGTAGTGTATGTTATTTCTATAATTGTGACTTTTGTACATCATTCATATTTATATCATTGCGACATATCATCTTGCTTTCTCGCTAGCTCCTACAGACGTTTCACAGACCACACCAACGTGAGCGCCTTCGAGCCCGGCGGAATATTATCATACCCATTGGCGCGGTGCCGCCTCGCGTTCTCGAACAAGAACGCCTCCACCTCCACCGTCCCCCGCTTGAAGACCGTCCCGTCCCAGAGCTCCTTCCAGCTCTCGGGGCCGTGGCAGAACATCCGCCGCCCGCCCCTCGACTCGTAGTCCCTGTGCCCCTTCACCTCTCTGCCTCCGTGGGCGCCGAAGATGATCGAGCCAGGTTCGGGGCTGAGCAGCCCCGCGAGGCGCCTCGCGAGGTCCAGCTGCTGCTCTTCGTTGAAGAGGTGGAAGAACGCGGAGGCGTGGATGGCTGAGACGTGCCCTCGGAGGAGGTTGAGCGAGGTGAGCGAGGACAAGTCTGGTGCCGGAGATGGTACGGCCTGGGGCTCGTACAGCGGGTCCACCGCTTTGAGTTTGGAGTCGTCGAATGCGTCTGCGGGGACGAAAGGGGCTGGGAATGTGTCCTTTGTGTCTTTGAAAAGCTTGTATCCGAGCTCCCAGAACTCTGAGGATGCTGAGCATCCAGTGGTTTGGTGGGGAGAGGAGGATGGGGCCTTACCTGAATGTATGTCGGATCCGAGTATGTTCTCCTTCGGAAAGCCATCTGCGACGGCCCTTCTCAGGTCGTTTCCGACTGACAACGCTAGTCAGCTTTCGCGTAGAAGTCAGCTTATTGTGCAGGACACCTACAGCAACAACCGATGTCCAGGAGTATAGCGCCCTTACGCTCGCGGCCTAGCTTCAGCACATGGTCATAGGCAGGCAAACCTGATATCTTAAGGCTAAGTTGCGCGAAGGAAAGTCCAATTTATCAAAGTTTGCAAGGATGTATAGGCATGGATCGAACTCACGAGGTGAACCCGAAAGACCTGATGCACCCATAAGGGAAAACCTAGTATTCCCTGTCAACGAATGAAGATCTCGGGCAGAAGTTGTCCACTCGCCTGATAAGCCTCGGCCTGTACGTCTATAATATGCCTCTTCAGCTCATCTTCGTCGCTGATACCCGTCTGTGCCTTATAAAAAGCAACCTCATCCGCGTTCAAGTCATAGAAGCCCTCGTCGAGAGGTCTCTCCGCGATTGTCTCAGTCTTGGTCTTGGTGTCGTTTGGCATTATAGTGGCGAGCGCCATGGCGGTGCTATCAGAGTGCCAGTGCGAGGGTCACAGTGCCTTGTCAATGGCGCGCTATTTTATGTCTTGATAACGGCTCGAAACATCAGGCAAGTCCGAAACATGCCGAAGGTGACGCTTGTCGTCTTGGACTTGCGTACCTGATGGTGGGGGGCTGTTTTTAGCACTGGCCGTAGGAGGAGCATGGCAGGTATCGGCGGAGACTGTTCGATTGGTCCTAAATCTCCTGGCAACTCAGTGGCAATCAAAGGACGCGCTTTCTAAGTTTTCCCGAAGCATCCACAAGAGGTCGAGTGAGCCAACAGAGATACGTAGGAGGCATACGAGGTATTGTTGGTTAGGCACTACTCTGACATGGCGCCATGCCAGTAACTTGGACAGATCGGTCAAGTACTGTTGAGAGAGAGTGGTCATCTGAAAAGCACTGTCACCCACAGAATGTTTGTATTTGTCGAGTTCTGTCAACTGTAAACAAAGCATGTCAGAACGAATCCCATGACGTCCAGGGCGAGTGTCATGGGAGGTCATGGGAAAGGGGGCTGAGCAAGCTGGAGCACGAAGCCGATTTCGGGGCAGAGGTGCCGAAGCGACGTCGGTGTCATCACGCTTACCCCCAACATTTGTTTATCTTTGGCCTCCATTTCTTCCTCGCGCACCCCAGTCAGAGTACGCTCTCACCGTACGAGTCAGACAGAAACCGTTCCCCTCCCCACTCAATCTTTTCCCCCTTCTCCTTCTAAAACTCTATCAAGATGTCCGGAGCAGCAGCCTCAGCCGGCGCCTCGAAGTTCCAGGCGTTCATGAACCACCCCGCAGGTGTGTGCTCATTACGGCTTCCGCCGGTGGCTCCCAAAGCCAAAACCATGTGTTTGAGCGGTTCTTGAGAGAGGATGAGGAACTTATGCTAGTTTTCTACAGGTCCTAAGACGGTGTTCTTCTGGGCTCCGATGATGAAGTGGTGCCTCGTCGCTGCTGGCGTCAAGGACCTCTCTCGACCGGCAGACAAGCTGAGTGTGTCGCAGAACGTCGGTGCGTAGCTTCTATTCCAAGTCGCTTTGTTCTTGTGCTTATGGGATCATTCTGATTAGCTCTGGCTGCAACGGGTTTCATCTGGGTGCGCTATTCGCTGGTCATCACGCCGGTGAACTACAGTTTGGCTGCGGTGAGTCTCCACATCGTCGGGTGGTGTCTGTGACGGTTCTCACTGTTCCTGCAGGTCAACTTCTTTGTCGGCGCGACGGGATTGAGTCAACTTGCTCGTATCGCAAAGTGAGTAGCTTGACGTCTATAAAGTTTTTGTCGGTTAACGCAACCGACTAGCCACCGATTCAACAACCCAGAAGCCAACAAGGTGTAAAAGACACGAACCGAGATGCTGCCCTTCTTTATTCGTATCCATACCTTGTTCTACGGAGTCGTTCTGATTATAATACATCGCTATTAAAATTCAACACATGGCTCGACATTACATTCAACCCATAAATATCCCAGAGATGTCACCGTGACCTAGAGCTTCTGCTCCCCTCGTTCTCTTGCGTATCTGAATCGGCGTCGCCATTGCCGCTATTGCGCCCCGCAAAAAGGCCCTTTGCGGTGTCCCACCATCCTCCATCTAGCAGCACCTTGGTCGCGGCGCCCGCGATATCCGAGATTATCTGCTGGGCTGCGTCCCCCTGGTCGCCCGCCGCCGCGTTCTCGCGGTACTGCCAATCGCGGTGCTCCTCGAATGACTCCCACGGCTTGGGCCTCGATTTGCGTTCGCGCTGGGCCTTGCTCTTGGAGCGCGTCTGGCGCGTAGATTGACGTGGCGCGTAGTTTCCCCCAACACCATTGCGATTGCCGCCTCCTCGCTGGGTACCCGGTACGTTGAGCAGCTCGGCGAGCAGGCCGCCGACAGCGCCGAAAATCCCGCTGGGGCCCAGGCCGAGGTCGTTGCCGCCCTGGTTGCCTGCGATGTACCCGGCAAAGCCGACGAAGAAGCCGAAGATGCTGCCCCACTTGAGGAACCAGAAGAGGGTGCGCACCATCCATGAGGTGGTGCGGTAGAGGCTGAGGAGGGCGAGGTAGGCGGCGAGGAAGGTGATGAGTGGGGGTATGACGGTTTGGGCGTCCCACTCCCAGGGCCTGGAGGATATCAGGGAGGACGTAAGCGATACACCAGCGGTGACGAGAGCGAGGGCATGGGAGAGGAAGCGGACGAGGAGGGAGTAGGCTGGACTGGGGAGGGCGTCTGCGAGGTAGTCGAGCAGGGGGTCGAGGATGGGCGGGAGCGGGATATCCGACGGGTCCATGTCCATAGCGCTCGCCTGAGCTGTGGTGTGAGCTAGTGTAAGCTGCGAAAGTTCTGCGCGCTTGCCCGCTGTGGACTGGAGGTTGACAGGTTCACAGCTGGTACGTTGACGGTGTAGCGCCTTTGGTGTTTTGTTCTGTGCTGGGAATGCGAAGTGATCGCGAATGAATGGACGTGTCGTCAGAGCCCTCGGATTCTCGCGAGGCCGTACTTCCGGGGACTTCCTGTGTGCCGCAACTGGCCACAAAAGGACCTGCTTCCAATCTTTCCACGACGAACCCGCCCTGGCCACAGGCGTGACACCCGGCGGTCTCGACAAGCGTGACGGAAGCAATCCCTGTTACTCGAGTTTTATTCCCTGACAAACCTCCTGAGAACTCCTTCGATCAAATTTACCATAACAGGCAACGTGAAACTGGGGTTCATCTCTTGTCAGCCAATCGGCGGGCGTCGGCATGCACCGGAGCACACTCCAAAAGGAAATGCTTGGGACCATTTATCCGCTCCGATTGATTTCGAGCTCCGCGAGCGTGGACAAATAGGTTCAAACTCGTCCATTATAAGACCGAGCAGGAACCGGTGGATCACTCCCTCCTCAGTCCCATCTCGTTCTCGCCGCATACCTCCCTCTCCAAAAAGTTGCCTCAGCTTGTCCCTTGTACCCCCACTCATACTCCTTCACCATGGCCATGAAGCGCAAGTTTGATCTCGACTCCGAGGATGTTGCTCCCCAGGTACGCTATATGCCTCAGCCACATGCTCCTATACAGCGTGCTCATGCATACATCCACCAGGTCTCGAAGCAGCAAAAAATGATTCCCTTCCCTGCTTACGAGCCTGACTACGATGTCGCCATGTCTGACTCTTCTTCTGACGCGGACATGTATACTCTTGCCGACAACCACCACATTCGTCTCTCGTCTTCGGCTAGCACTACGAGCGTGTCCTCAGCTTCGTCCGACGGCATTGACTTCGCGTCGCGTAAGTTCTATGACCTCATTCATATAATGTTTCGACTCATAAGCGAGCATCCCTTAGCTTTGTTCCCCCGGTATAACGCTGGCAATGCCTCTCAGAGCGGCTATGATTCCTTGACCGTTGGCCTGCTCCAGCCTGTCAGCTCCTTCACTCATCACGGGTAGGTATTTGACGCGTTTTTATTTATGAAGTGGTTTTTGGACGCGTTGCTCATCTCTGTCGTTGTTTCTCTAGGACCAGCTGCAATCAAATACCCAAACTTCGTGTCGCTTGCTCAGCCGGTCTCGACGGTACCCGGACAATGTGGAGCTTCTGCGAACAATGCGGCGCTATATCTCAGGTCGACTCCGAGTAGACTGGTAACCCGACTCAAACCTCCGTCCGCGAACGAGCTGGCTTTCTTATTCCTCTTTATTGCGCTAATTTTAAAGCCTCTAACACAACAGCAAAAAAATTGGGCCTCGATATAACTCACTGACTGCTCGATATTGGCACTTTGCGATGGCCGACCTCTTACATTCCCCCTTCCTGTGACACCATCGACCTCACTGCCCTCTTATCCTCTTGCTTTCTTACTGCTATCGTCACCACCGTTCCATCCGACATCGCCTCACATCGACCATCGCATTGTAACACCACGAACTCTCTTACCTTACTGCCGCTGCGACACACTCGATTTCTCCGTCTCGTAGATATTCATTTGATCATGTACTATATACCTTCGGGTTCGCTGCTATATATTGTGCCAAGAAGCCATGTTTTGGTGTGAAAGACGATGAGCAAATGTCGAGTTGAGAAAAGCCCCCGCAACAGGAAATGTTCCGAGGTCAGCGGTTGATGGAACAGCCTTGCAAACTAGACCACATAAAGGCTTATATTATTGTATGGGGAATCGCAAGGTTGCTCAGCAAACAACCATACACATGATTCCACACCTTTGCTCATGACGCAAACAACGCTGCTTCAGTATGAAGCCCCCTGTAAGCATATACGCTAACGACTCGGCCGTGATGCTCATCTAGACGTCGTCAGGGCCTGTCCATGCCCTTGACTGGTGCAAGTCGGTTGCCCCGGGTCACCAATCACGCGCACGATCAGCCTTTCGATTAGGGATAGCCTCGTTCTCCGAAGACTACCGCAACAGGATCGCGGTCGTGGGCCTGCAGGACGAGCGCGTGCTCGTCGAGGACGACTACACCGACTACCCGGACTTCGTCACGCTCACCGAGGCGGGGCACGGCTACCCGGCGACGAGCCTGCAGTGGCAGCCCGCGAGCACGAGCGGGTACCAGTGGTCGGGCAAGCACCCGTCGACGGAGCTGCTCGCGACGACGGCGGACGCGCTGAGGGTGTGGGAGTACAATGGAGACGCGCCCACGGCGGGGTCGGCGTATGTTGGGCGGCAGCCGACGGCGGGAGGGCACAGGTTGAGTCTCAAGACGGCGTTATCGGGGGTGCGTTCTCTATCACATCTCTTTCCTTTCCATCTATCCTACCCCAGCTGCATACCCCCATCTGATCACACTCGTACTCATATTTGTGCTTTGTGCTCGGGAACGCGCAGCAATCCAAGGTGCAGAACCAGTCGGCGAGCGCGCCGCTGACGAGCTTCTCGTGGAACGAGAAGGCGCCGGCGCTGGTGGTGACGTCGAGCATCGACACGACGTGCACGGTGTGGAACATCGAGACGACGACGGCGATCACACAGCTCATCGCGCACGATCGCGAGGTGTACGACGTCGCGTGGCTGCCCGGCTCGACGGACATCTTCGTCTCCGTCGGCGCAGACGGCTCCCTCCGCGCGTTCGACCTCCGCTCGCTCGAGCACTCCACGATCCTGTACGAGACGCCCGCGCCCAAGGGCGCCGCGGCGGCGGCCGCGGCGCAGTCTGCCAGCGGCGGTGCTGGCAGTGGTAGTGGTGGAGGCGGCGCGGGGGGAAGCGGGAAGCTGGCGAGCTCGCCGCTGCTGAGGATCGCGTTCAACCCCGCGGACTCGAACTACATGTCCACGTTCCACATGGACGGATCCGATATCCAGATCCTCGACATGCGCAGCCCGGGCATGCCCGTCATGGAGCTGCGCGGGCACCGCGCGCAGGTGAATGCGATGGGCTGGAGCTCGCCCGAGAACCCGCTGCTCGCTACCGCAGGTGCGCATACCCCTCCCTCCTCTCCCGCACCAGCGCGTTCATCGTCATTTCATTATGTCCGCTTCATCGTGGCCGATCCCGCTAACGCTCACTATGTGAACTTTCTTCTGTCACAGGCGACGACTGCCAAGTCCTTCTCTGGGACCTCGCCGGGTACACCCAAAACGCGACCTCGCCGCGGAACCCGAGCGGCAGCGGCGGAGGCGGCGGCTCCTCGCGGCTCAACTCGCCCCGCCCCGACGTGAAGAAGCGCGTGATCACGGACCCGGTGATGGCGTACTCCGCGCAGGGCGAGGTCACGAACCTCGCGTGGTCACCGCAGATCCCGACGATGACGATGAATACGGGCCATATCACGCCGCCGGGCGAGTGGCTCGCGCTCGCGAGCGGCAAGTCGATCAAGGCGCTTAAGGTGTGAGAGAGGACGAGAGACGGGAGGGAGGAAGACGGAAAGAGGCAAGGGCTTAGGAAGAGAAAATGTCGAGAGTGAGATGAACGGTGGGGTGCCCCAAGTCCTGACTAGAGCCCACATTTAATGTCCTTTTTTGCTAAACGCTAAACCTCTGGCACGCTTGTAGAGAACTTTTGCCTCGAGTTATAGCCTTGACTGATTGAATGCGTAGGGTGACGTCTATACCCACATATGTTTTGCAGTATGACATTGATGATACAAAATTTAACAAGGCAATCTGAAAGAAAATGCGGAATAAGGAGGCTGAATTGAATCGAGCTCGAGGGTGATGAGGCAGACAAAAAGAAAAATAGAAGTTAGCAACAACTCGTTTCGATCGAGTGACCTCGGGGTTATGAGCCCCGCGCGCTTCCACTGCGCCATGTTGCTATGATAATATGTTCCATACGTGCATATATATCCTTTATCTGGTCAGCCCTTATCTCTCTGCGCTGCAAGCTACTGCAACTGATGAAGACAAAGTCCTGTTGCGTTATGCCAGATCAGGGATTCTGGCTCGAAGCCGTCCAGGTAGAGCCGACATTGTTCGTGCCACCAGGGTGCGACCCAGATTCGGTAGTTTCCTACACTCGTCAACCTATCTGCCATTCCGCTGATCCGCCAGGGAACCGCACCAAAACGGGCATCGATCATGACCAGACCAAGATAGCGAGTCAACGATACAGGCCGATAACAATGCTTTCATTTTCTAAAGTACAAACTACAATGTCCTTTTATCATACAGAGCGATCCAATTTGTTTACTTAGTAGTTGTAGCAAAGCACCTGGTAGCTCTGCAGAACACATTGTCGTCAGCCATCGCGTCATCCCACCGATATAATCAGGCAAAGTACTTACGCTAACTTTGACCTCCTTGTTGCCGAAGGGGATGAAGCACCCGTCGCCGTAGGCGGGGGACGCCTTGCCGGGGTGCTCCGCGTTCTTGTGGTATGCTTTGGCGATGTAGATCGGCGTGCCGTTAGGCTCCTTGCCGCCCTCGACCGGGCGTGCGCCGAGGTACTGCACGTTCAGCTCGCCCTCGACGTTCACCCACCTGACCGCCTTTGGGTCCCCGACGAGGATCTCGTACTTGTCGAGCTGGTGAAGTCAAGCGTCAGCAGGGACGTCTAGCGGACGATCGGACTAGGAGACGCACGTGGATCTCCTCGTGCTCAAAGCCGACGACAGCGCCGAGCTTGAAGACGGACGAAGCCTTGCCGACGACTATAATGGCATCAAGATAGATCAGCCGGTAGATCGCTAACGATCGGATACGCGAAAGCGCGACACTCACGCAGGCCGCCCTCGTAGTACGCTCTGGAGATGTACAGAATCTGCTGCCCCTCGCGATCGTACGTCTCCTGCCCACCAGCAATCGCATTCGGCGGGATATTCTTCCCCTCCGTATAGATCCACGTCACCGGGCCCTGCGTCTGCCCATTGTAGTACGCCTGGGTGCGCGCCTGCGCGTCGCGCAGCCAGTTGTTTAGCGCCCACACGTGCGCCTTCTTCTCGTCCTCGTGCTTGCCGTGCTCCTTGTACGCGACGTAGCCCGCGCCGAGCGCGGCGATGCCCGCGAGCAGCCCGCCGCCGACCTCGAGCTGCTTCTTGCGGTGGTCGTCGAGGTCGTACCAGTGCTTCTCCTTCTCCTCCTCCGTCGGGTGCTCCTGCGTCTCCGAGGGCTGCGGCGCGAACTGGGGCGCCTGTGGGGGCGCCTGGTTGTACGACGGCTGGTAGCCGCCGGATTTCTCGTCGTTGCCGCCGCCGCCACCGTAGCCCTGGTCGCCGTCTTGCATGCGGCCCCAGAGGGCGGGGGTCACGTCGGGAGTCCAGTCGCCCTGCGTGCGGTCGATGATCAGGGTCTATGTGCGCGCATATCAGCAAGATCAGCGTACCTGGGATCGGTGAGGCTGGATGATCTTGTAGTTGTGGCCTGTCAAGATGGAGATCGCGTTGAATTTACAGTGCGAGGATGCATCGCTGGTAGCCACCCACCATTGTAGGAGACCTCGTCGCCATAGTTGTACTGAGTGCCGGGTTCCCAATACTGAGGCATGGTGATGATAATAGTGGACTAAATGAAAATGAACAGAAGATGTGGTTGAGCGAAACCTGCAACGAGACTGGAGGAACCCTCGCGCTGCAGCACTCCATCTTATATGCCAGTGCCATGACTTGGAACCCATTCACATTCCGGCAGTCTCCATTAGATCTCCCACTCGCGTAGGTGTCCAGCCTCCGCGAAACCCATGGAACCGGTCCCTAGATTCCACCGGACACAGGATTAATGTGCCATGCCCTTGTCAGTGCTCCAGAAGGGAAGCCAAGATGTCACGATGCAAATCGATTATCTGCATCAAGGACCCCCAAAGCCTGCGCAGTTGCTACGACCAAGACTGCAGAGTGCCGGCATGATGACATGCTGTGTCCCCAGCCTCGTTTTCGATTGAATGTGACAGGAAGCACAACTTGAAGCGGATGTAGGGACGGATGGCATTGGATTGTGTGCCCGGCTGACGTGCGACGTAGAGGGGTTTACCTGGACGGGCAATGATTCCATCTCGATAACCGTTGGACCCAGGGTTGTGAGGACCTTGACATGGACACCTTGCTCTTCGTTTCCGGCACCTCGCATGGTTAACTTAGCTTAGAGACTCTATGTATGCGGCGATGTGAAGGCGAGTGTCACATCTCACGAGCAGGTAGATCCTGCTATCATGATGTAAGTTTGAGGAGGATGGATGTGTGGCACGGAGTTTATGCGACCCTGAGCAGGAGGCAGCAGCGAGCGTCCGAGCCGACAACTTGGTGGCATCACCTGTGATGTCGATGACGCCGATTGACAATCAAGACAAAGATTGCTGAAGTCGACGCTCTCAAGATTTCCTCAGCAGCCCGGCTCCCATGGCCATCGATGGTGATGGTACATAAATGCGACGTCGGGTACACGCCTGGTCGTGGTCGTGTCCGCCAGTCCGCTTTAACATTCACTCCACCTCCTCCGCGATCTTATCGATTCGGCCCAAGAGCAGTGTAACCCCTTAAACTTACACCCACATCATCTACATTATCATCGTCTCTAGCCTGCACCAGTCCCTTTTTACGTCTAACCTACCCTACCAGTCAAGTCCCTTCCATGGCCGTCGACCCCGTCTTCCGCATCGCACCAACCAGCCAGTCGTATGACTGGGGCAAGGTCGGCGACGACTCCAAGGTTGCCCAGCTATCTGCCGGGGCGGGCATTCCGGGCTTTACCGTCAAGCAGTCTACTCCATATGCCGAGGTCCGTCTTTTCTCCGTGTTACTGCCTGCTCGCTCACTAAAACGACGCTCCCTGTAGCTATGGATGGGCACTCACACCAAGTCGCCCTCTGGCGTGATTGGCTCAAGCAACACCCTCCCTCAGTTCCTCGCCCACTACCCACAGCTAATCGGCAAATCCGTCTCGACCCGCTTCGACACCAAGGACGGCAACCTACCCTTCCTCTTCAAGGTCCTCGCCATCGAGAAAGCACTCAGCATCCAGACCCACCCAGACAAGGAGACGTCCGAGCAGCTGCACGCCACCGAGCCCGACATCTACAAAGGTACGCATATGTCGACCCCTGAGTGTAACTGGCAAGATACCCTTCTCACTCCTCACCTTTCATTTCCAGATCCTAATCACAAGCCCGAGATGGCACTCGCCCTCACGCCGTTCAAGGCGCTCTGCGGGTTCATGCCCCTCCCCTCCATCCAGGCCTACCTCCACGCCGTACCCGAGTTCGCCGCGCTCATCCCGCCCGCCATCTCCCAGCCCTTCCTGCTGCTCACCCCATCCTCGCCCGAGGCCGACCAAAAGAAGCTTCTCCGCGACCTTTTCGCCGCCCTCATGACCGCCGACGCCGACGAGTTCCAGCCGCAGCTTGCCAAGCTCGTCGCACGGTACGAGACCGCGTCCGTCGCAGGCGGTGCGGTGGCGGGTGGCGCGCTCGAGGCCGTGGAGGAGTGCGTGCGCGAGCTGGTGCTGACGCTGAACGAGCAGTTTCCGGGCGACATTGGGGTGTTTTGTGTGTTTGTGCTTAACTATGTGACGATGGCACCGGGCGAGGCGATCTTCCTGGGCGCTGGGGAGCCACATGCGTATGTGTCTGGAGGTGCGTGGATGTTTCGTTTCACTTTGATCACCATCTCACATCGCTCATCAACTCCACCTCCACTTCATCTCATCTTATCTCGCGTCACCTCGCACATTCACCTCGCGCCTCTTAATCACCGTTCCTCATCACCACAACACACGTCCACGGAACTACTTCGCACACGCACGATGAATCCAAACAGACATCATGGAATGCATGGCCAACTCAGACAACGTCATCCGCGCCGGCCTGACCCCCAAAATGCGGGACGTGCCCAACCTCGTTTCCGTGCTCACATACGCGCCCTCGGCCGTGTCCAAGCACATGGTCCAGCCCACGCCGTTCGCCGGCGCGCACGCCACGCTGTGCTACGACCCGCCGGTGCCGGACTTCACCGTGCTGCAGACGACGCTCGCGCCGGGCGAGCCCGAGGCGCACCGCGCGATCGCGGGGCCGTCGATCGCGATCGTCGTCGAGGGCGCGGGCGCGGTCGAGTGGGAGGGCCAGAAGTCGCTGGATCTGCATTCGGGGAACGTTATCTTTATTGGGGCGGGTACGCCGGTGAACTTTAGCGCGAGGTATGGGACGCTGGTGGTGTACCGCGCGTTTGTGGAGGTATAGAGCTGGGCAGGGGTGGTGAGGTGACCAGATCGATAGAAGAGGGAGGGGAGGAGTCGGTGTCTTCAGGCAGACAGGCAGACAGGCAGACAGGCAGGCAGGCAGATGGAGGTTACTGGTTTTAGTTTATGTATTTTGTATCATCATTCATCGACACTTTTATCGAGGGGAGTTTAATACCTTACCCCGACCTCTTTTCCACGTGGACACTCGGTCGAATCTCAACAGTGCAAAGCTCGCGGGCAACGCAATCAACATGGAATGATGATATCAAAAAATCCCCAATAAATCAGAAGTGGATAACATGTGGCGCCACGACCGAGTCGAACGCTCTCCACTCGTGCGGGTTGAACCCCGCGCACTTGCGCACCTCCAGATACAGCGGCTCGACACGGTGCGTGCGCTGTGCCCGCTCCAGGATGCCCTCCGCGAGCGCCGGCCGACCGGGTTTGGTGCGTCGGTGTTCCTCAAGCGTGCACCCTGGCCCCTCGTCCGCCTTGACGCTCCAGTGCTTCTCCTCTGTTGGCGGTCCAGGTATCATCAAATCTGAGTCCCCTGGGCAGCACCGACGCGAGTGCGTTTCTTGACTCGAAGGCGACAGAGCCGCGACGAGGTCGTCCGTGCGCCCGGCTGCGAGCCTGAACGCGCGCAGCCCGTCCATATGCGCAAGCAGCGCCGTGAGCGCGAGCGCGGGAAGCCCGCCGCCGCCGCCGCCGCCGGTGATGCCCGCGCGCACGACGCCGGCGAGCGCGAATGTGGTGTCCGCGGCGCTGGCGATGGTCGTGAGTGCGTGCTGGGGCAATGTGTAGATCAGAGAGAACACGGGGCGCAGCGAGTCGGGCTGGAGCTCGGGTGGGGTTGGACGGTGACGCCGGCTGCCACCAGCGGAGACGAGGTGGTCGAATAGTGTGCGCTGGGCTGATGTAGTGGTGTGTGGCCATGCGGAGAACGAGAAGGCGGGACGCATGTCTGCATCGGGGTGTACGAGGAGGCTGAGTGTGGATATGAATCTAGCCGGGGGAAACGCAGGTTCCGTTATTTCCGAGACGGGTCCCGTCCGTAAGGCCGATTCGTTCTCGGGGGAACCGGAACTTGTGTTTGAAGGTCCGTTTTATACACGCATGTGCTGCAGCAGCTGGTGAAGGAGGGAAAAGTCCTGCTGGGGTGAGTAAGAGTGTTCGTAGTGCAGATCGACGTGCACGAGCGGCGCACAGAGCCGGAGATGCGATACGAGTTGTGTACACTGCGCAACTGAGCCCTTCAGGCTGATCTCCCTGAGCCGCGGAAGGGCCACAGAGGGCAGCGGATCGCCACTAGCCCCGTTGTCCCGCTGATTCCCCAGGACACTCCAAAGCGGATCTGGATCTTCCACGGCAGACAGGAAAAGCGTCTTGTGCAGCGCGAGCGCCTCCAGCAGCGGCATCCTTGACAGCATCGTGAGGAGTATGTACATCGTCGGATGCGACGAAGGCGGGACCTCGTCGATGTCGAGCCGCGTCAGACGTTCCAGGCGCAGACGAGGCCAGTCGACCGCGCACCCCCTCAGCGAGAGGCTGCGCAGGTTCGGCGCCGCACCGCGCAGGAGGTGCGTCGGGAGACACGCGACGGGGTGGTCCTCGAACCGGCCCTGGATCTGCCGCATCGAGAGCATCAGCGTGTGCAGCATCGGCGCCTCCACCTTATCAGTAATCGCTCTCGCTCCCTGGGCCTCCTCGTCTTCGCCTTCGTACCGGCCCAAGTCCCCGAAGCCAGGCTGCGGCTGCGGCTGCGGCTGCGGCTGCGGCAGTCCCCGCGTCATCGCCTTAGACAGCTCCCACATCTCCGCCGCCGACGCGCCCACGAGCACCACCTCGCCCGCGTGCGCCACATGCGCGAGCGCATCCGCGGGGTGCGTCCACGAGAACCCCGCGTTGCGGATGTGCGCGTGCACCTTGGAGCGGACGACGAGCGGCGCGTGCTTCGCGCGCCTGAGCATCTCCGGGGCCCAGTGCGGGTGGTCGAGCACGAGGTGCGTCCACAGTGAGGGGCAGGCGAGCGCGGTGGAGCGCCAGAGGGCGCAGACGTGGGTTGCTGTGGTCCAGGAGAGGCAGCGGATGGTGCAGGTGTGGTGCGGGGCGCTGTCGGTGTGTGCGAGGTCGACGCAGTGCTGGAAGATGTGCTCGAGGACATCTGGGAGTAAAGGTTTAGATGGCGACACACGATTCGGAGAGTCACTTGTACTCGTCATGGAACCTAGTAGGAAAGGGCTTTCTATCACATAAAAATCTAGCGTACAAGACGTTCAGAAGGAGACTCACAGCAAAGGCAAACCAGAGAATCCGGATGACCTAGGGCATATAAATAGAGGCGTCAACGGCGTAATCCGAATCCGAGTCGGACTCCTCAAAACCCTTTACCATGAGAAGAAAAACACACAGCATCGCCAGCATCATATCAAGGGACCAAAGAACCAGAAGATACGTTGGCATCGGGACACGTAAAAGAAACAGTAGTATCACACTGGCATGTAAATGGTATAGTAGATGTAGGAACGATCGGCGCTCGTGCATGTGGTCTGAAGAAAAGGCAAAAAAAAATACGGACGAACCATCCAGAACCAGCCACCAAAATTCACATCGTCGGAATACGCGTCGGCGGCAGCGGAAAGTCGCCCAGACTGAAGCTAGACGTCAACGTCCCGGAAGACATACACTCCCTAAAGACGCTAACACCCCCGCCGCCGCCCGTCTCCAGCGCATCCAACAGATCCGAGCTCGGCTCCCTAGCACCGGAGGGCGGCGACACCGAGAGCAGGCCAACGCTGCTGTCGCCGTCCGTAGCTTGGGTACGGTCGGGCGAGCCGACAGAGACGAGGTGCGCGCGCTCGGCTTGGAGCTGCACGCTGCGCGTCTGCGCGCGCTTGAACTCGTACAGCACCACGGCGTCGCGCGTCGACGCGCAGTCGTCGTTCTCGTTCTCGGCGGAGTGGCCGCCGTCCCACGAGTCCATGCCGAACGAGATGTGGCTTATGGACTTGCTCGGGCTCATGCCGCTGCCGCTACCACCGCCTCCGCCAGAGGGCGAAGGCGACGTCGGCTGGACGAACGTGCGTGCCGAGGGCGAGTCGTATCCGAGTGTTCGAGGCGAGTTCTCAGCCGTAGAAAGACGGTGATGATGATAGCGGGGAGTAGGATGGCCCACGAGCGTCCGCGGAGTCGGCGGCTCGCCTTCGAGCGTAGAGACGAACGATCCATCCGCCTCTTCGCGCTCCGTGCCAAAGTACGTCCGATCAAGCGCCGGCAGCGTCCACGGTGTGTCCCCGGCCTCCGCCCGGTCCATACCGCGGTCGTCGAGCTCCTGCGTGCACATGCTCAGGAACGACCCCCGCCGCGAGCCCTCGTGCGAAGGCCTGCTCAGGCTCGAGTGGGGCTCGGGCTGAATGTCGCCCTCCAGCGACCCAGACGCAGTCGTAGACGAAGAAGACAAAGAAGCCGATGTAGTCGCGTGGAACGCCTGCCCAAGGCGAACTGCGATCTCGCTGGCCGTCTGGCTCCCCGTTCGTTCGTGCGGCCGGGGGCTCCCAGCAGTAGTGGCGATATCAACATCAACACCAACACCAGCAGCAGCAGCAGCAGCAGTCCCAAAGCCCACGACACAGAAATCATCATCGCCGTCGTGGAAGTTCAAGTACTGCGCCTCCGAGAGACACGACGAGGCCGTCGTCCAGCTAGACGGGTTCGCAGCCTGCAGCGCGCGCAGCGTGATCGTGTGCGAGACGCTGTCCTCGACCTCCGTGAAGCGGCTGCCCGGCAAGAGCGACGCGGCTTTTTTGCGTAGGAGAGACGCGGCCGAGTCCGAGCGCCTCGTGGACGCGGACTGGTGGTGGAAGATGTCCCGCGCCGCTGGGGGCGTCGGTGTCGGTGTGTTTGGAGCGGCCGATAAGGGGCTACTGGTGATGCTAGCTGAGGAGGGGACAGCTGTCGTCGTCGGAGAAAGGGTCTTTGAGTTCGGGGCCTTGAGCTCCTTTGAATCGGAATCGGCGGGGGGTGCATGTGGAGGAAAGGGCTTAGGGCGGGCGAGGCAGCACCTGAGGGAAGCGGCGGTCGCGCCGTTGCCTTTCCTTCTGTATAGCTGGGAGCCGACGACAGCAGCCAAGAGAACAGCGGCGAGGACGACGATGACGATGGCAGAGGCTCCTATTTGGTTGGGATCATCAGGCTGATATCCGCTGGGCACGGGCGGACTTGGGCTAGAGCTTGAGTCGGCGGGGTGTGGAAGCGTGCTCGAGGGAGGAGAAGTCGCGGAGAGCGGCTGCGGTCCTGGAGAGCTGTTCGAAGTGTCCGTAGACAAGCTAGCGTAGGATGGACTCGACGCGAGCTGGCTAGGACCCGAGGGCGCGGTACCGTTAGCGTCGCGAAGCCTGACGCGCATGAACCTGCCACGATGGTTCGGAGGTTGCAGCTGGTGGGCGTCCGGGTGCAGGCCGGTGGAGACCATGAGGGGAGGCGTCTTGTACGGGGGCTCAGAGACAAAGAAAAGATACTAGGATGTTTGGATAGGATAGTCTGTGCGAAGAGGTCGAGTCGTTTGAACTGAGCGCTGAGCGGCTGGCACCCAGAAGGCTGACGGACGGGCAATGGCGAAAGTCGAACCAGCGGTGCCGTGCCTTCAGCATTCCTTCCAAACATACCAAGATCGCGAGAGACGTCGCCGCCGAAAAAGAGGATGCGATTTCTCGTGCTACAGCCCACCATTGTACCGCCAGAGTTTTTACCATGGTTGAGGTTGACGAGAGGTGGACGTCGACCATAGCCGTTGCGGATGAAGGAGTTGCGAAGGAAGGAGAGCACTTGTAATTCCGGTGATGCGCGCGGTGTCTGAATCGCTAGTGTTGTGTGAACTTGTGTTGCCCCGAAGACATCCAACGCTTTTTAGTCTCATAATGATAACCAATGCTTCTAGTTAACTATCGTAATCCCTTTTGACCCATTGCAAGGTGAGCAGACGAAAAGTGGAATAGAAGGATGTTCCGTTGGAGAGTACATGCTTGAAGCTGAGCTGGCCGAAGCCCCTATCCGTAGACTCGGCACTTTTCTGACATTCGGACCTTGTGCTGCTCGCGAAGGATTGCAACCAGATTCTCGACTAAAGATCATTTCTTGATGGGCGGATGCTTGTGCATAGGTACTGTGATTCACCGTCAGAGTAGACACCACCGTCAGAATAGACAACTCGCTTTTGTGCCCGTTTCCTTGGCAAATCATTCGAACTAAATTCATGGTAATTACGAGAATATGCTGTAATTTATGCCTGAACATGCGATTGGCGAGGGAATGTCTGGATGTGAAGCTGCAAGCCTCAAAGCATGAAAAACAGGGTGTTGTAAAAAATTTCTTAGCTTCGGCGGATAACCAGCTGTGAACATGCGACACAGTGTGGATGATAGAGCTATTGTATGTTGTAATGACATCTTTACCCTTCGTTGAAGCAATTTTGGACGCTGCAAAAGGCGACAACTCTCAATATGTCGGAACGATGACAGAGTGTCCTCTCGAGCCTTGCCATAATCTTATACACAGCGGGAATAGCCCGATAAGTTCTCGGGACTTATGGTGGAAATATTGAAGACGTATTTTAACTTTGTTTTGCAGGAAAAGCGAGACTTATTTGGTACTTAGCGGGGAGATATTCTGATTAAATTATCTTTTGTGACCAAATTGGCCGTGTCAAGGGCAGATAGGTCATACGGAGGGGTTGGCGAGCCGGAGGCGAGCAGAGAAGCTCCCGAGGGGTTCAGCCTCCGGGAGGCCCAAAAATGGCAAGGGGCTGGCGATTTAGGAGCTGTCACGTGACACGGTCTGGCTCGCTTGGCGGAGAGACTTAGGTGCTTCGGAGGCGACCGTCCAAGTATGGTAATAAACCTACTTGACCGATTATGACCGAATGGACCGAATGGACCGAAATTAGGTGGACCCCTCCGTATGGCGTAGCTGCTGTGTCAAGTGTGAATCGCCAAAATTTATTCAAAATGCGTCCTTCGTAAGTTCCAAAATAAGTCTCGCTGTCCTGGCAAAATTTCATTATATTGCATCCACAATATTTCCACAATAAATTCTGAGAACTTATTGGGCTACTCCCCCTGTGTATAGCCGCTGTAACGGCGATTTCGGCTCAGTGATAACGCCCTGACTTTCCTTTTTGAGACCGGCTATGGTGGACGGCCTGCCTAATATGGATAATCACCACCCGCGCGGACTGTCTATTCTGACGGTATTCGGCCTAAAACACTGATTCGTGCATTGCACATGCACCCTATGCTTTCTTCACTCAGCGATTTTTTGTAAGGTAGATCGCATACCAAGGATATCTCAAACCTAAATTTAAGCAAGTTGGGCGAAGGAAAAATATTCCACACGCGTTGCACAAAAGTCTGTCTATTCTGACGGTGAATCACAGTACATACCTTGGCATATGCAGTCCTCAGTACAAACAGGCGTGCAGGAGGAAAATCACGAAGAACCGAATCCGGAGGCAAACAGGGCACAGTTCTGGCACAGTTCTGAGTCCAGATTAATGTGTCACTTTCCAACGGCTACAAGACCTCCAGTCTCCAAGTCGCAGACGGAACCAGTATCGGGGCACTGCAGAAGGTTAGAAGGCCGGATCCTCTCCCGCAATCGTTCCAAATATAAAGTTCACTGGGCGGTGCTTATCGTTTGCAGTTGGTCGCGTGCGCTCAGGTCGCAGTCGGAGGTAAGTAAGAGGCGACATGGAGACACGCTTGTGCTGATATGACATATCTTGTGGCATTCCAGTCGCCCGCGGCTTGAGACAGAGATAGAGCAACGATATGCGAGAGAGCGAGTGATGGTGGCCTGATGCTAAGGAGGAAACGGGGCCTGAGGACGTTGCGGTTTGACAGCTTATCTCGTCGCCCGGTTATGAGAACCGCGTGGTTCCCCGCGTCCATATGCATAGTACCCGCTCCTCCACACAAATCATATAAAAACTTGATCCAGTCCATTATCCACCCGCTTTGCCTCGATTGCTGCCCACTGCGCCCCTCGGCGTCAGCCCCGTCGCTGCCCTTCACTCATCCTTCATCCTCCCTCTGACACGCCATGTCCGAGGTTGAGCAGGTCGTTCAGCGCAAGCCCTCTGGGTCGTCCTACTCCAAGGAGAAGGAAAAGCACCCTGCCGACGTCGAGGAGAACAACGGCTCTCCCGAAGACGAAGAGGAGTCCAAGACCGGCAAGATGGACGCCCTCCGCAAGAAGATGCGCGTCATCGTCCTCGTCGCGCTCGCCGCTCTCGTCCTAGGCTGGTGGATATCCGCAACCATTTTGAAGGCAACTAGGGGCAGATGGTGCGTTCTGAATATCTCTCTGCGTCATGATGAACCGTGCTGAATTCTGACACCTATCGATATCCAAGGCTCGTCCAGACCATCTTCGCTTGGTTCTTCCTCTTGTGGGTCACCATGTCTCCGTCGTCATAATAAAACCCCCGCCCGCTGACCGGAACCCGCACACGCATCCAGGGTCATCCTCTTCCGCTTCATCCCCGCCTCGGTCATCTCGCGGCCCGTCTCCGCTGTATGGATGCCGCTCGTCCAGGAGCCATGGTACAAGCTCCCGCGCCCCCTGCGCCTCACCATCGGCTGGCTCTGCCTGCTCGGCATCATCTTTGGCTCCGCGTTCGGCTTTCCCCTGCCCGCTGTAAGCATCCGTCGTACCCGTTGTTCCCGTATGACCGAGTGCGCCACAGGGCACGGCCTATGGAGACCGTGTTATCTCTATCCTCGGCATCTTCGTGTTCCAGTGCTGCTTCTATGCGAGCTCGACGAACAGGGCTGCGGTGCCGTGGTGAGTCTCATTCGACGTTCTGGCGGATGATGTGGTTGTGACTTGGGAATGCGATGCGATTTTCAAGGCCTACGGTCATCGTGGGGTTGTTCATGCAGCAGGTCATCGCGCTGTTCGTTATGAAGACCGGCGCCGGCTTGAAGCTATTTACGTACATCGCCGACCTCGCGTTCGACTTTTTGACGCAGGCGTATGTCGGCGCTGCGTTTTTCTTTGATAGCGAGGTTATTGCGCAGAATTTCTTCTTCGTTAACACGCTGTCCGCGATTATCTTCTTCGTCGCGACCGTCCAGATGCTGTACTATGTGAGTTGTATGCATCTTCCTTTCGTATTGTTTACTCATTGTACCTTTATAGCTCGGAGTCATGCAATGGATCATTAAGAACTTGTACGTATTTGCCTTTCAACTACGAATTCTGTTGTTAACATTGACATGATTCCCCAGCGCCTGGTTCTTCTTCAAAACAATGAACGTCTCGGGCGCCGAAGCCGTCGTCGCCTCCGCCTCGCCCTGGATCGGCCAGGGCGAGTCCGCGTGCCTCGTGAAGCCGTTCGTCGAGCTCATGACGCCCTCGGAGATACACCTCGTCATGACGTCGGGCTTCTCGACGATCTCGGGCTCCGTCCTGAGCGCGTACATCTCCATGGGCGTTCCCGCGCAGAACCTCGTCACGTCCTCGGTGATGAGCATCCCGGCGTCGATCGCGATCAGCAAGCTGCGCATGCCCGAGGTCGACGAGCCCGTCACGCGCGGGCAGGTCATCGTCGACCGCGGCTCGGAGAACGACAAGGATAGGCCGTCGAATGCGCTGCATGCGTTCTCGCGGGGCGCGTGGTTCGGGCTGCATATCGCGGGGCAGATGATGTGGGTGTGTTTGCTATCGCGCGTTCGCGCGTGCTTGATGTGGTCCGCGTGCTGATGGGGGTGCGCTCCAGTGCGAATGTGCTGACGATCTTGTCGCTCGTCGCTGTCGTCAACGGCGTGCTGACGTGGGTCGGCCGGGGATTCGGCATTCATGCGCTCACGCTGCAGCTCGTCCTCGGGTACATCTTCTACCCGGTCACTTTCTTCCTCGGTATGCGTTGGCCGTCGTTTGCACGCGCTAGAGCAGTCGCTCATCTGGGCGTCACACAGGTGTCCCCCGCAACGAGATCCTCACCGTGTCGCAGCTGCTCGCCACACGGCTGATTGAAAACGAGTTTGTCGCATTCAAGGGTACGCGTTCCGCCCACCCGTGCCTGCCCGCCACATCCTCACCACATCGCCTTGATTTCCTTATTGTATAATTTTTTTTTTTAAAAAAAAATAGCCCTCGAGGCGATCAAAGCAAGCGCCACCCCGCTCTCCTACCGCGGGTACACGATCGCGTCGTACTCGCTGTGCGGGTTCGCGAACCTCGGCTCGCTCGGCATCCAGATCGGCGTGCTGACCGCGCTCGCGCCCTCGCAGGGCAAGACGATCACGCGCAACGCTACGTCTGCGCTGATATGTGGGTTTTTGTCGACGTTGCAGACTGCTGCTATTGCGTGAGTCGTTTTTTTTTCGTGGTGTGTGATGAGTGATGTTGAATGATTGCCTTTTTTTTTGACTGGGAAGGGGGCTGCTTGCTTGATACCTCGGATCTTGGGGATTGGAGTGTCGGGATTGGGAGTGTATAGGATAGGATACCGTTGGCTGTTGCCTTATTCATAATGTAATGGGTTTTATGGCTGTTGATGCCATGTCTCGATCGTGAACACTGTTTGTCGTTCCACTGTCCACCCTGAGCGCCCCCTGAGCGCCTCAAGAGCGCGTAACCCGTTGGAGTACCAGTAATACCAAGCACGCACGTTGGACAAACCGGCCCTGAACTAAGCATCATGTCTCCCACGAAGCTCTGGTCCGGACCTCGGACTGAGACTACTCTGCCCTCCCTGTTCCGACGACCTGAACTCAGAGAGAGTTGTCTTGCGTCCGCGTTGGACGCGTTGGTCATATACTTATAGTAGGTGGAGAGGGCCTACTGCGAGCTGAGCTTGATTCCGGACCGCTTCCGCGTTGGCGACTTCTTCAATTCCTAATCATGAACTCTGTCAGTGTTTGCGTTGTAATCTCGCACCAGCGGCTCCTTTTTTGGCGGAGCTCTTTGACGCCCCCGATCTAGGGCCAGCTACTCCGAGAAAGGAGCGCCTGGTTCGAGGCTACATCTGTGTGGTTACTCGTTGCAAACGCGTTCTTGTCTCTTGGACAGACTGAGATCCTTGTTTGTTCGAGATAGCCGAATGAACAATACGGAACACGTTCCGTGCCATGCGACTTACGCAGTTATAGACGATTCTTTCTTGGTCTTAGCTTTGAAGACGTCGTGAGTTTCAACTTTGCCACTCGAACGCTATCCTTCGACGCTCATGACGGCGCCGCTCAGTTTTTTTTTTCTAGAGCAAGGCTTGACCTACTTTCGGACCAGGCCGTCTGTAGACGCGGGGCATAGACGCGGTTGAGGATAACATTGACAACTCCGCTGACACCTGTCATTGGCTGGCCACAAAGTGCGGGGTTAGGAAGCGACAAAGCGAACTTTTACGGCTAACAAAGGATCAGTGGCACCAGTGGCATCGCTCAGCCCTGAGCGAAGCTTCGCCCTTTTTTAAAGCTTTGATCTCCTCCCCCATCGCCTCTCCCACCTCCTCTCCCAGCTCTCGTATCAACTTCAATGGCCCCCATCATCATCGAGTCAGAGGAGGTTACCGACAAGCGGATTAAGACTACTCTGCTGCTGAGCCTGACCGGAGACTTCTCCGGTGCTGAGAGGCAGTGTTACTTCTCCAAGAGTTGTGGATTGGGCTGGATGTGCGGCATCGTTGTTACGATAAGGTCCGTCCATACGCGGTACAGCAGTATCGAGCGAGCATCTAATAAAGTGCCTAGTCACCACAATAAGTGGATGATTGTTGTGAACACTAGCGGTATTACGGACTCGGACCGAGGTTCGGAGGTTCTTGGTCTCAATCTACGCTTCTCAGTGCGGTACGCATAACTTCATCATTACATTGCAAGAAGGATGTTCGAGGCTTAACCATGTTATAGTGCTCAGTTGGCTACGACGTCCGAAGGGGACACCTCGAGACTTGATGATTTCTCTGACGACGTTATGATTGCCATGGATGGGGGATGTCACAGAATCCTATCGAAGACTTCCGACGAGCTCCTGTTGTGCAACGTATTGCGTCTCGTCATAATAGCGCTCCCGGAGGATGAGAATGGTCGATTCCCTCTGAGACGGCAGCCACATTTGAAGAGTGTCCCGATCATGACTGACGCTGTGGCCAGACTGGTTGTGGACAACATGCTATGCACTGATGCTCAGGAAACAATTTACTTTGTATATTCACAAAGACGCTTGAAGCCCGACGGGAGCGTTGTTTTGACCACTCCACTTCCTCTGCGTGTCGCTCCCAGTGTAAGTAGGGTTATCGTTGAGAAAGCGAAAGGTGCGTACTCCTACAGAGCCTTATTTCGACTCGACGGGCTGACTTTCAACCAGAAATGCTGTACACTTTGGCGGGCTCTGATGCTCCGAACGAACTTGAAAGATACGCCTACGAGGAGGACAGCGACCTTGACGATGTGGAGTTCGGCGGCACTGCGGGAGCTGGTTTTTCTCGGCAGAGTGCCCAAGTGGCGGCTTCGGGAGGTGCGCATAGTCATTTTACCTGCCATGTTCTGTCAGTTCCTAAACGGACTACGTTATTGCACGGCGTCCCAAACCGACGACATGTCGCCCATACCAGCGGCCGAGCCATCTGGGGCCCGGGTGGAACCTATCCAAGGTCGAAATTCAGTACGCGTGATTGGCGCAGCTTACCGAACGTCAGTAGCCGGCTGGTCCTTGTCTACTATTGCATAACTATGAACGTCTTTCACCTAGCTGGGTGGCCTTGATCTATTTTCTGTATACGGGCCAAATCCATTTTCTGCCGCTCAAATCAACAGGCAAGAGGTCCATCGTCCTTGGAACTGAGCGAGCATCGCTCCCCATCTGCTCACCGAAATCAATGTATGGGTTGGCATCAAAGGTGACTTATGCTCCGTCGAGGTTGTCTCATGGGGAGTGCACCTGTCACTCCCGCATACCGGATCTAATTAGACGTGATGTGGGCATGACACGTCACATCTAATTGCCTATAGTTGAGGCGATTCCCCCCTTCCCCCGTTATTTCTGAATAATTATGAGGGGACTTGGGGCATTCCCTCCAGTATGTTCCCCTCCCGGCATCTGTCATAGTCCTGTCACAGTCCTGTCATAGTCCTGTCATTTCCTGTCATCCCTCCGCGTGTGGTATGACATACGGGAACTCCCGCCCGTGCCCGCTGTCAATAGTCGTGCCCGCCCCCGCCCATTCCCGCCGGTTTCCCGCCCTCCCTCGGATGTTTTCCGGCCAGTCCCGCCTGCGGATCGCCTTGTCACACTACAGCGAGTTCATCCTCGCCGTTCAGAGACGCTCCTGGACGTAGGTCACGGCTCCATTGCTTTCGCTACATCACGCATAGTTCATTTAAAGCACACATATATATAATTTGAAATAAAAGAAAACATATAAAGCGTACGAAATAGGAGAATATACAAATAAATCGTTATAGGGGCTAGGCATCCTCCTCGCTGGACGATTCGACGATCTCAGCGCTCTTATAAGCCTGCGCACGGGACGCCTTCGAGGCTTTGGATGGGCGTCCAGCTTGGGAATACGGGCCCCGCTTCTTGCCGATATCAGAGCGTTTCTTCCGGGCCTTCCCGGTTGTCTCCCCGTTGGCGGTTTGCTTGGCTTCGAACTTGTGCATGTGGTCGGCAAGCTCCGCCGCGGAGAGCTTGACCCACTTGCACTCCTCAGACTTCAACATAGCGCGCAGGCGCAGGGCGTCATCGACGTTCTTGAGTACGCGAGAGAGGTTGCCGAATGGGATGGTGTCGGAGGGCCAGCCCTCGAGTCGGACGCTGTAGACCTTGACAATGAGGGTGTGGTAGTGCTTGTAGTGCATTGCGATAGCGGAGTTCTTTGTAATGAAACCTAGAAAAAGTCAGTGTAGCACGCGCAGAAAGGATAGGGGGGCTTACGGAGTCCTTTAAGGATGAGTTCTACACACTGCTGGCGGACATCAGGGAGATCGCTGCGCTCGACGATGTCTAATAGCAGGCGGGTAAGTAGTTATCGTAGGGGTGGATAATAACGCTTACTTTTCCCTAGGGCAACCGCCCATACCTCGAAGAGCTTGCCGACCTCATCCGCGGGCTTTTTCAGCATGTCGGCAAAGAACCTGAGGGCATTGTCGTTGCCGTACCACGTCGTCGAGATCGTGTCGTGGACATGTCCGCGCGTGAGGAAATAGAACCCGTAGGTTCCGGTGCGAAAGGCGAGGTCGTCGAGCTTGGAGAACATGAGTGTCAGAGGGTGGCCGAAGCGATGTGACATACCCGATCTCTCATCCAGTCCGCCGTGGCCGTAGCATCCTGTGCCGCCTGCTTGTTGGACGCCCGCATGCCCTTCAGCTTGAGAACCCGATGGTCCTCAAGCTTCGCCTTCAGCTCCACCTTCTGCTCGTCGGTGAGGTCTTGGATGTTGTCGTCGTTGGCGATCATCTGCCGGATCTCGGGTAGCCGAATCCGGTCACCGTACGTGCGATCTAACAAAGAAGTTAGCGCAGCACGAGATGAGAAGAAAATGCACACCTTTGTTAGCCTCGACGGCCATCATATGAACCTTCGCATTAGCTAGATTGGCCTTCCGACGCTTCACAAAGGCGGAGTTTGCAAAGACAAGCTTCCTGATCTTGGTGGGTTTTTCGTCGATCTCCGCGGCTTCGGCGAGGATCTCGCGCTCGAGGTTTTCGAGAATCTTGACGAGGCTGGCGGCCATGCGCTCCTTTTTCGTTTGGGCGGCTGGCTGGGTGTCAGCGCGAGCGGCCCTCTCTGCTGCGGTAAGCGGGCGGTTCTTGCGAGGTGGCTGGACCGGCTGGCCTGGGTTCCGAATCTCCCAGGAGTGCGACTTCGCGATCTGGGTGTCGTCTTGTTGGATAAGGGTGCGCCGGGTGAGGAGGCCGAGGGTACCGCCGCTCGTACCCGCTGCAGCTGAGACTCTATCGCCCTCGTCATCCTCGTCGTCGTCGTCGTTGTCGTCTCCAAGGAAGAGAGGTGGTGCATTACCCCCATCTGCTGCCTTGTCGTTGGCCTCTTCGTCCTCGCCTCCATCTTCGTCTTCGTCTTCGTCCTCATCGTCACAATCGACGAGGGGGGACATTGTCAACGCGTCGTTGCCAGTGAGGACCTCCGTCAAGGTGGCTGACGTCTCGCGAGACTCGGCATGGATCGTCGTGGGGGTGTAGGGCAGGTCGTGTGTCAGGAAGGGGTGCCGGGATGACTCGCGCGAGGTGTCATTGAGATTCGCTGACGCGTCGTCGAACGCGTGATGCAGCGCGTTGTCGACGCGGGAGGTCGTGTTGTCGTCACGGGATGTCGCGTTGCCAGACGTGCCTTGGATCCCGTTCGAGGGATCTCCGCCGGAAAGACCAGCCGAATGGCGCATGGTTGGGTACGACACGTAGACTTCCGATGGCACACTTGACTGAAGCGTCGAAGGAGGGAGATAGTCGGAGAATGCAAAGGGGAGGGTAGAGGCACTAGGCTCCAGTCGCGATCCGGGGAGAAGCAGGTCGGCATGAGCCTAGTATGAGCTGGGATGGAAAGGCAAGGATGGAGACGACGACCTAAAAAAAATGTCGCCCGGATGAACCGAGGCGCGCTCCTCTTCTGCAAGGGCACGAAGAGGGTTGTTAGCCTCGTACTCCTCCATAGAAGGGTACGTGTAGCCACTGTAGTCGCCGAAGTTGAAACTATCCATGATGAGAATATGCAAGGCGCCAGAAATGGAGACGGTGCTCTCCTGGAGTGTTAAAAAAACGCAGATCAGTGCGTTTTCAGCGAATTAACGTGAAGGATTTTACCAAAAAATAAATAATCCTTGATTGATTGCATGCTAGACAACGCGCTATGCACGTGCTGCACCCTCACGTGACGAGGAGGTGTAGGCATCAAAAAAACGACCACAGAAAGCGCCCAGGTGAGTACATAACAAGCGTCTATCCAGGATAAATGCCGCACAGAGGATAAGGTAGACACAGGCCAGCAGCACCTTCTAGGTGCGGAGCAAAACCTAAATACCAACCGACAAAATGATACGTTAGTCAAAGCCCGCATAGAAGATATGTATAGTGCTCACCGTACGGCCACTACTAAGGGTCAAGAGGACTAGAAGTCAAATTTTACGCCAGTGCCAGGTATACTGAGATATGCCATGCTGCCGTCTGTGCTGCGACGTGATACGTTGGACGCACATGAATGAGAGCCCTACATAAAGTAGCAGTGCTCTGAAAGCAAGTCTGAAAGCCGTTGTTCAAGAATCAGCATAGTGCATACCTCGCGCAGTTGGCTCGCAAGCAAAGGCGCGGGACTCAACTCACTACCGCCGCCAATGCTCTCTCCATCTCGGATTGTCTACAGAACCTTGCAAGACCAACGTGCTGTGAGTCGTCGTCGGCGAGTCAACAGGTGAAGGACTGAGGGTAGGTTGGGGCTCAGTGCTACGCAGATGGGGCTGACGTCCTCAATCCATACCCATGTAGATGGATGGCAAGCTTTGCGGGTAAGCACACCAAAGGTTCGAAGTGGACTGATGAACAAACGTACTTGTGAGTTTAAGGTTTGCTTCCGCGCCCCACAGTGATTTTGCTTCCGCTGTCACTGCTGTCACGATGTTCACGCTGACACGATGGTGCACAGCCACGTTCTGCTCCAGCCACCGCAAGTGCCCGGTGATTTTAAAGACCGCCAGCCACCCTCAGCCACCATCAATCCCATCGATGACTAACGATTGTCACTGCTCCCGTGTCCTCACTCTATGACAACAAACGCCCGTTGTGAGAAGCAGCGCGCGGCCAAGGAACGTTGGCTTGCGGATCCTGAGTAAGCACCTGCTAGCTTCATCTCTGTGCAGCTTCACTTACGCTATCAGGGTCCTCGAGAGGCAGAGGCTTCTGGGCCGACAACGTGCAGAGAGGTAAGTTTTGTTTCGTCTCATCATCTCTGTGCCCATGCTGAGGATGTACATTCCTTTAAGACAACGCGAAAGGTGCTTCAACAGCTACAATACATCGCTGTTGTAACGTCTAACTTCATATAGGAAACGTGCGGCGAAGGCAGAGGGCAAGATTACCTCTGTAGCCTTCCCTGCGCCCGTTGCTGTTGACCCCGACCGGGTAGCTATAACAACGTCGGTTTCCGATATTCGTGCTGAGATCCAGGGGTGGAGGCTGGAATGGGGACGGGATTCAGACTTTTCGAGGGAGTTTCACCGCGAGCTGGAACGCTCGAAAGAATACGGGTCAAAATCAGTTGATAGGTGGATGCGGGAGCTTGATGATCATGTTCGTCACGGGCGAGATATACTAACTATGCTCAAGAACGTCGACATCTCGCCCTTCTGCAGGTCGCCAACTGGCGCGCGGGATATCTTCTTTCAGTGTATGGAGTTGACTCACATTGTATTAACGGAGGTGACAGCGATCTCAGTCAAGCTTGATGAATATGCACCACCCACGTCTAACTGTGCTGTCTCAAATGCTCGTAGCTACACCCTTGATTAATCTATACAAGCACATGCAGTATATCCATTACTTATATCAACTTTTGCTCCTGCAAACCCCTTCTGAAAAAGCGTGACTTAAAACGCACGCCCTGCGCCAATGGCGTACCAATAGCGTACTCTCCTATGGTATTATGGTCACTTATCATAGTGTATGGTAAGCTTTTGATCAACTGAAATCTAATTTCGACAGTAGCGTACACAAGCGCGCGTACGCTATTAGTACGCTATTGTTATCTATTCTATGGTTGGTAGTTCATTGCAGCCAAATGTCGTCGGGTGAAGCAAAAATATCAGCATGGAACTGCATGTCGGTTATTACCTATGCCCTCAAACCAGTCAATAATGTGGTGTTGCGGGCTTAGTGTCGAGAATGAGGCATGAGTGTGTATGCATGCTCAATGTAAACTGAGACGCGACTTAGTGCTTTGACGCGCATACTTGCAAATTTACGTGCAACTCATACAAACCTTAGCACCACTTGATGTCGTTTACTACAGTCAATCTCGTTCCAAGCATTAAGATAATAAGACGGTCGCCTGTAAATTTATTTCACAAGCGAGAAACTACTGGTAACTACAAGTGACCTTACTATAGACTAATTACGTCGATGAAAGTTACCGGCTGCCTCGTCTATGGAAAGGGATAAGATCAGGTCTGAGATATCATCCTCGGGACTAACTACAACTTCCTCGTTGGCGTCGACAGGAGGCGATACAGGTACTTGAGGCCAGAAGGGCCCATGTTGAAAGGGAGAGGCACGGACTAGCCCTTGCTCGTACTGGCGCGTGTAGTCGGCAAGTGCCTCTTCGAACGTTGGATGTTTTCTCATTGAGCCCCCTGACACCTTTGAGGTACGGGCATCTGCATCACCCCTTTCGACAATGAGAGAAGGTTTGACCACAAATGAAAGTAGGTTGAACGTACCAACTGTAGAATAGACCCACTTCCTGCCCGCGGTTGACGACGTAGTTCCCCTCAACAGCTCCTACGGGCCGCCTGAATGTGCTCGGGTGGGGTATGCTGGGAATGAAGTTGGGATCTGGACGCAACGCGGGGGGTGGACGAGGTTGCGAGAAGGTTGAACCACGGGAAACCGGAGAAAGAGGAGGATCGGGGCTAGGCGGTCGAGAAACTGAACGCGAAGATAATGTTGGCGTGGTGTATGACCGTGCATCAACGGAAGGTAGACTGTAGCGAGAGCCGTGTGAGCGGGGTTGGCGAGGTGTTGACGGAAGTGAGGGAACCAGTGAAGGCGTTGAGGGGATGGATCCATGGAAGCGAGGCGGCGAAGGAGATGCAGGTGGAGGGGCATGATAGGAAGTGGTGGTACGCGTTGAGGTCCGAGTAGTTCGTGACCACCTAGGGGACGTTGTGGTTGTGACAGTTGTTGTCCGTGTGCGAACGACAACTGGAGTGCCGGGCGCATGAGGCGGAGGCGAAGGTGCTCGACCTGGATAAGGCTCGAGGTCAGCTGGTAGGATCAAGGAAGAATAGATACGTACTGATGGAAGACTCAGTGCCAATCGTTGACAAAGAATCAACGCTCCCGCGACGGCTGTATCTTTGAGACATGTTGAGGCCGGATCGATGGTGATTGTCGTCGAGGTGGTGCAGCCAGAGCTGAAGCTTGAAGCTCGGCGAAACGATCACGTGCGAGTGTCTGACGCACCGGGCTTGTTGACATACGACTCTGCAGCTCAAAACATCGCAGCAGCGCAACCATGGGTAAGCAAACAACAAAGAAGCAGAGGAATAGGACCTCCAGCTCGCGAACATATCGTGTCCCACAGCCCTCGCGCTCGGCCATCGGCGCCCCTGTGCCAAAAGCAAAGTCAAAACTCATGACCCCTAGTGCACTACTCAATTGGGGACGCGAGCAGGAGGAAAAGAGGCAGTCTAACATCAAGGATGAGTACTGTCCATTGGCTGGGAGATACTGAAACCGACCTGAACGTGTCCTTAGCGATGTCGTTGGATGAACGTCAGCAGCTCCAGAGCTTGCGTGACATGGTCTTGCCTGCTGATGAAGATATGGTGTCTTGTGAGAATTACGTTGATGCCGAGCAGGTTATCGAGGGGCACGAGTCCATCGACATTAGCCATGCCGGTGGTGAACTCGAAGCACTTACTCGTGAACTGCAGGGCCGCCTGCTTGACGTGTAAGTCCAGGAACTCCCAGCAGAAATGTTGTCTAACCTTCAACTAGGCTAGGCAAATCGGGCCACGGCCGCGTCGACTACCGCACCAGACGCGATCGGACTCTGCGCCGGGATCATGCATTCCTGGCGCAGCTCTCAGCTATGACGGACGCGTATATGGAATGGTCGTACCTTCGCGATCAGTCAGGAGGTCGGGGTTGGCGCGCGTGGAGCCTAGTCCCACCAGAAGAGAGCAAGGAGATGCCATCCTCACCAATGGGCGAGGATGATGGTGGGGAGGAAAGGGCAGAGAAGGATGCCGAAATCCGGGTCGTTGACTTGTACGGTGCGTGGCTATTCTATTTGTGGATTGAATACGACGCAAATGAATGCATGCAGGCGCCCACACAATCCGCATTACTCTCCCCTCCAACTCCGCGCCATGTCCCACACTACTTCGCCTGGGTCTTGTGCCGTGCTCCCCCATTCACCCCAACGTGTGCATCTCGGCGGATGTTCTTGAGCTCTTCCGCGTCTCTCGCCTTCGCTGTCCCCACTTTTCTATCCAGGCATTTGTAAAGACCATCTGCGACCTCCACGCCACCGCTTACGCCACCTATCTCACCCGGCAATTCACCATTGCTTTCGACGTGTATCAGCAAGTCCTTGCGGAGGTCAATATCAAAGTCCAGTGCGCCCTTCAACGCGACACGCCGGACTGGAGACTCAAGAATGCCTGCCCTGCGTGTACATATAAGTTGGAAGATGAGGACGACTTGCGTTTTGCCATGCTATATACAATGGACGGCAACGACTCAATGAAAAGGTACCGTCGGCGCACTTCTCAGGCCGATTCGATGGACGCGTCTACGTCGGCAACTGCTCCGGTCTCGTCTGAGCTCCCAACAGCCTTCAAGCTAAGGACTGACCGGTATCTGTCTCGCGAGGAAGTCGACATGTGGGCCAAACCTAATGCAAAGCCTTTGGCCCAGGACGAGGTGCGTGACGATTAAATGTCAGCTGCACAAGATTGATGGCAATTATAGATCGACGATGACGACAACCCGTGTGCCGGCCGATGGAAAAATATGCAGAGCGACAGCACGAAACGGATGTGGGGGATATTCGAGGAGACGGGGGTGTTCGTGGCGCTATGTCGACACGGAACGTCCCTTGTCATTGCGGACATGGTGGACAGCGGGGAACAGTATGTCACCCACCACTTCTTCGGCAGTACTCATCACTAACGTCTTGGCCTACAGGTCGAAATATGGGTTGGCAGTTGTCAAAAAGATACTCGATACCTTTGGACCCAAGCTCGGCGGCGGCTACGATATAGGCTGCCACTTCAAGACTACGCTCGCTAATAGCGATCTCGGGCGTCTGGCTGCAGAACTCAAGCACGAGTGCCTTGTAGGTGCATTCCACGGTCACGCCCATCGGCGCCTCTGCCAGCTCGTCCATCTCGCCACGTATGTGCAAGGCCTTGGGCTCGAAGATCTGGAGGGGTGCGAGCGGCTCTTTTCGAAGCTGAATGCGCTTGCCGCCGCCGTGCGCTATGCTAGCCCACTCCGTCGACGACAGGCAATAGCGTCGTTCCTTGAGCATAACGATGGCTTCGAGGTTTATGCTAATCTCAGTAAGTAGCCCTGACACATTTCGGAATCCACTGACATTCATGTCCAGGTTTATTCCTCCTCAATAACTACAAGCAGGCGCTCAAGATATTGTCGGAAGGCGAGCAGGCACTGGCTATTGCCATGCAAGAACTCGGTGTTACGAGCACGGGTGATTTCGAGGCCTGGCTAGAGGAGGAGAGGTCTTACTTGAAAGGTCTCCAGCGTGAGCCGGAGCACGAGACACTGCAGATGCAGTACTGGGAGCGTCTCAACGCTCTCCAAGGCTGCAGGTAAGTCTTCATTCAGAGTTACTGTGTAAGCTGGGTGTATTAACATTGCGTAGTGACCAAGTCGCCAAGACGGCGGTCTGGCAGGTGGACACTGCGGACACGATGGCACAGAATCCGCGCGATCAGACCAGTACACAGCTCACCGCACGCCGACACGCGCTTGAAAAGTACGACAAGGAGCTCGAGATCGTCCATTCCCTCGAACGGCAGCTTGGCCTAGACAAGCGATGGACGCCAGACATGCCTGAGTGGCAAGAGGCAGCTCGGTTGGTGGGGCGTCGCAAGTACCAGCGGGCGCTCGACTCCCTCGAAGGCTTGCTCGTCGCGCGTGTCTTCGAGCTCACCAAAATGAACAGGTCCCAAACCGGTGGGTGACTCGCTCGCAAAAGTTACTTACTAACCAACATATATCATAAACAGGCTATGCGATGCGGCAGCACATTGGCAAGGCCCTGAAGACGCGCTCCCAAGCCATTCGCACCGCCCTCGAGCGTTTTAACAACATCGCGAAGGCAACAGGCCGGTCGCCACTTAACTGGGACGAGGTGATACAATATACCTTCCTTTCTGACTTCGACTTGCTTCGAGAAGCCCGCCAGGATATTCGTACGCGACCGTGGGCAACACCCGCAGGGCGCATAGCCATGGATGAATACTTCAAGATGTGTCGGGCCCGAGAGGAGATCGTGCGACTCAACGTAGAGATTCGCCGCGTGGCAACCTACCTGCACGATGAGATGAACTACTTACGCGCCTGTGAGGATCATTACCGGCCGACAAACGTTGTCCTTGCCCACCAAATATCCCTGCATCGCCAGGAACGCGAGCGCTTCAGTGCGCTTCACCGACGCCGCCTCGCGGAGATCGCCGCCCTCCCGAAGTTCGGCGGCAATGTGACACCCGGCGTTGCCGCCCAGCACGAGCGGGGAGATAGCGCCGGGCCGCTTCCACCTCCCGTCCTAGATTCGCTGACCACAGACACCGTTAGCAGTAACAACCGTGAGGGTATGGAGAGTGTTGACAGCAGCGAGGGCGGGAGAGATGCCGACGAGGATGACACCGAGGACGACGAGGACGACGAGGAGGACATGTCGGCTGTCGCCGAAGGTATTACCTCTATACTTAGTATCACAGGCGACGGGCGGGAGGAGGGCAATGACATATGAGAGCTTATTGCTTTAGAAGGTATGATATAACGGATATGTTATGTCATTATGTCATTCAGGACTGGCCGGAAAACATCCGAGGGAGGGCGGGAAACCGGCGGGAATGGGCGGGGGCGGGCACGACTATTGACAGCGGGCACGGGCGGGAGTTCCCGTATGTCATACCACACGCGGAGGGATGACAGGAAATGACAGAACTATGACAGGACTGTGACAGGACTATGACAGATGCCGGGAGGGGAACATACTGGAGGGAATGCCCCAAGTCCCCTCATAATTATTCAGAAATAACGGGGGAAGGGGGGAATCGCCTCAACTATAGGCAATTAGATGTGACGTGTCATGCCCACATCACGTCTAATTAGATCCGGTATGCGGGAGTGACAGGTGGGGGAGTGCAGCTCACCACCATGCCAAGCTTAAAATAGACTTACTCCAAGAGAAGGCATTCTCGGCGATTAAAGGCGACCTGTCGACGTCAAACATTATTGAGGAAATGACCTCAAAGTTTACACGAGAGTGCGCGAACGAAGAGTGATTGATGTACTTGCGTGGAAAGCTGATTTCGCCGATTATACAGGCTCTATCCCGAAACTATAAAGAAGATGGAGTCAGACTTTTTTGTTTTGCATCGTGATGATCCACGCGTCAAACGGGACTTTTCTGCCAAGTTTGATCAAATGTACCCAGGTTGCGGGTGGATGACCGACGTCGCCGCGGAGTCTTCGCAGGAGAAGGACAAATAAGTCTGCAACGTCAAGTAGTACTGCTGTGTAGCAAGTACTGTTATCTCCAGTGTGGTTCACTTAATTAGCTCAACGAGCGCTACTAATCGCAAGTTTTACGATGTCATCATAACTTTAATAGTATCATGTATGCAGCAGACTCGGTCGTTTCTCGACTACAGTCGACTTCCTCTAAAGTCATATATGCCTCTAAAGGCATACCCCTCCAAAAGGCATACCTCCGGGGTTTCCAGCCTCGTTTAGGGACAACAGGATGTAATTACAGTATGATGTACGCAAATGTAGGAAGAGTAGGCACTGAAAGTTGTATCGAAACCACTATGAACTCGCTGAAACACTCAAGGAGAGCCTCAAGCTCCTCGAACGTCAGGTTGCAGCGCGTTGAGACAGCCTCCTAGTTCGTCTCAATGTTGGACAGTCACTCACTCCGGAAGAAGAGCCCTGGATTGATCACGACACCAACCTGGTTGACGAAATAACCCTCGTTTGCATACTTGAGGAGACCCCGGACCTCGAAAGCTGAACAATACATTGCAGCATTAGACGATGCCAGGCCGCTGCCCGCCTGCCATCCCATGGCACGGAGGCTGGAGTCTCTCCGAGGGGGGGGGGGGGGCTGAACCGCCAGCTTCGCCTTGAAGCAATATTGAAGCTAAAGGACACATGGCTAACAGATTGTTTCAAATGTACATAGGTTGTATAGTCTAGTATAGAAAGAGTCGATAATATGCCCTAGAAATTGAACGCGATTTTTAACCCCTATTTTTTCGACGTTCTCTCTAATGCCATAGCATGTCTAAAGACATGCCCTGGCTTTTCCGAGGGGTAAGTATGTCTTTAGAAGGAGTCGACTATACCCCTTCTTGGGCACCGTCACCAAGTTCCAGCTCATAGTTCTAGTGGAACATGCGTCTGCCACAGCGAGACTCGAACTGCCCTTTGTCTTTGAATTCCTCTGCCGCAATGAGCGCTTCAAACATTGTTGGATCTGAAAAAAAAATCTAGGTGAGCTGAACTAGCCTGGGACTTTGTTCTTCGCATTTACGGTCGACAATGACGGAATATGTATTATTGTCTCACATTGGACAGAGGCATGCCTCTGCAACGTCCTGCTACTGTATAGCAACATGTATTCCCTACATCTTCTCGTACTAGAAGCACTTCTCAAAGTATGACGAGCTTTTGTGAACTCTGTGCTTGTGCGAGAAAAATGGGTACATGTGTGCTATGGAGTCAATTAATTATCGCAGAAGACAAAGTGTGTTGCTAAGCGAACAAAGTGTTTTGTTTGATGGTTACGAGGTCAGTGTACGTTGATCTACGCGACAAAGAAGGGACGCGTCGGTCACATGGGGAGGCCGATATAATCCCGCGCGTGTTTTCTATTATTTGTTATGTTCGAGGAGGGACCTTCCGATTGTGGAAGAATAAGGTGGGCATCATCGGGGGCAGGTGCGAAACACGAACTGACCGGCGCCAAAGCTAACGAGCCAGCCATAGGCACAGGCCCAGGCATGCAGGATCCAACCACACCCTACTCCTCCTCCCGCCCACGCCTCAGGCTATCCAGAACTAGCCCAGCAGCCAGCCCCATGGACTATACCCCCCTCGCAGGCCCCTCCCATGCCCTTCTCCGACCCCCATATGGCGCACACCACGAGGCCACGAGCGACGAGGACGTCCCCACCCCGCGCATGGGCACCGTCAACATGCTCTCCCCCGCTCCCTTCGCCAACACCATCGATCTCTCCCCCACCGCAGAGACACAGACCCCCGCAGCCCGCCTCCGCGCCCTCCTCCGCAAAGACAAGGAGATGTCCGCGTCCAGCACCCCTCGCCCCCGCGCCCCGTCGTCCGCATCTGCGTCCGATGCCGAGTCGGATATGGACGTGTCCCGCGCGAGCCAGGGCGCGAGCCTCGCGCGCTCGTCGCTCCGCAGCCTGTTCAGCCATGCCCTGCGCGACGACACGCCGAGGAAGAACAGGGACAAGGATATGCGGGGAGGAGGCAGGCCGAGGCGCAACAGTGCCGACGACAGCCTCGATTTTACGCCCGTGGCGAACGGGGGGAGGCAGAAGCTGAAAGGGAAAGGGCGGAAGAGCATGAGCGACGAGGAGGTCGACAGGTCTTCGCGTGCGTTTTTCCTTTTCTTTTGCGCTTGTTTGTGGAGTAGCCGATGGAATGCCCGCTTACCCTCTTATGAATCACAGATTCCATCCAGGCCTCCGATGTGACGCGCAGCTCGAGGGCGTCGACGTGGGATGCCTTGCGTGCGCGCCTTGGAAGGTCCAAATCCCAGCTTCTGGAACAAGATATGCCTACGGGCATGTTCAACTGTGCGTTTTCTCATTTTTGCATTTTTTATATATGCCTTTGCTGATATGGGAATGCAGCCGACATGTCAACCTCGGATGCCAGACTCGACTCGGATGCGGGTGACAGTCGGCGACCCCCTCCTGCGCCGCCCTCGGAGCCCGAAACAGAAACAGAGACGGAAACGGAAACAGAACCCGAGCTCGAACGTGAACGCGAACACCACGAACACCAGCGCAAACACGAACCGGCCTCGTCGACACCGAACGCGTCCTCCCCGCCGCGCAGCCCGCCCACGCAGTCGTTCCACTTCTCGCAGTTCGCCGCTCGCTCAAGTGAGTTTTATAATCAAACCGCCTTTACACACCCGCCAACGTAAATATTGATCTCCGTCGACCAAAAAAGACCTGCTGGACCAAAACTCGGAGATGCACAGGGCGATGCACGATCTCGACAGCGCGACGGCGACGAACCCCGGCGAATCCGACATCGACGTGCCCGCGCGGGCGCGCGCCGCTTCTACCACCCCCGCGAAGACGCCCGCGACGGAGCGCGTGCGCAAGCTCTCGGCTGTTAATGCGCTCTCCAAGCGCAATAGCGCGGACTTGTCGAATCGCCCGAGTACGTTGCGGTTGAATTCGGATAAGGAGAATAAACGGATGGGGGTGGAGGGTTTGGGTGCGTTGATGTGTTTTATTTATTTATCCATTTATCCATTGATGATGATACCAAAATATTGATCTGTTGATTTTCTGAAGCAGGATCTCGACCCGGATCCGCGCTGTCTACTCGTGAAAGTGCGTGATATTTTCGCAAACCAAAAATCCCCGAGTTCACTGACATGACGCAATCAACCATGTACACTCCTCCAGCCTCGACCCCCACGCACGGCCAAAACGACATCACACAGGAGCGCGAGCGCGGATGGAACCGCCACGTCTCCCATGGCGCGTCAGCGCACAAGCACGGGCCTTCTTCCACTACTACCGCCGCAGTGTCCTTCCCCGGGAGCCCCGCCGGCGCGGGAGGAGGGAGCCGCACCGGCTCGCCTGCGCCTGCGCCTGTTGTGTCGCTCAATGAGGAGACGCTGCACCGGCGGGACAGCAATGCGTCGTTGCGCAGTCCGATGTCGGACGCGGGGTCGAGGGCGGGGTCGAGGCTTTCTTGTGAGTGTCCATTTTCTTCTTCTTTTATTTATTTTAATTTGTTTTAAAAATATTTATCACGAATAGTCCACGAGACGAGCCCGAGAATCAACCCAGAGCAGCAGCGCAACAAGCAGCGCGAGCGCGAGTGGAACAAGCGCACGACGTCTTCCCCCGCGGTGGCGACTTCGACCCCGGCCCGGCCCGCCTCTGTTTCTTTATTTGGGGGGAACGAGTCGCCGTCGCATTCGCGCTCGAACTCGAACTCGAACTTCAACAGCAATAGCAACAACAACGCGCACTCGACACCGCACAACCACGTGCACCCGCGCGCACACTCGATCCCCACGCGCCCGACGTCCACGACACCGTACACGGCGCCGACGTTCGCGTCGCTGCGCAGACAGTCGTCGAGCTCGTCTATGAATGGCGAGTTTAGCGCTGCAGCGTCGTCCTACCCGTACCCGTACGGGCCCTACGGCGGTGGCGGTGGTGGGATGGCGGACGGCGAACACCAGCGCGCGAGCTCGCCGACGGGCTCGATCGCGAGTATGAGCAGCAGCCGCACGTCGTCGGTGTCGGTGTCGGTGTCGGTGAGGGAGGTGGAGGACGAGGAGCAGCGTGTGGTGGCGAGGGAGCGGGAGAAGAATTGGAATGCGCGGAGGCCGGATTGGAGGGTGAGTGCGAGTCGGAGGAGGGTGGTGAGTGGGGGGTTTGCGGGGAGTGTGAGTGGGGCGAGCGATGCGGGTGGGGGTGGTGACGGTGGTACGGGTGGGGGTGGGGGTGGAGGGAGTCCAGGAGGGGGGCTGGGGTTGGGGGTTGGGGCGGCGCCGAATTCGTATATGCGCGCGAGGTCGGTTTCGCTTGTGAATGGGAGCGGCAGTGGTGGGGGGACGCTGAGGCGGAAGTCGAGTGGGCTGGGGATGCGGGTGGGCGGGGACGTGAACAAGAGTACGCCGGAGAAACAGATGAATCGGAGGTCGATGACGCCTGCCACGCCCGCTACGCCGCCGCCGCCTGCGAGATCGGCTTCAGCCAGAGGTGCTGTTAAACCTGGGACACCGGCTACGCCTGCGACACCGCCGAGTGTCAACGGGCGGTATACGCCCAAGACGCCGGAGACGCCAGAGATTGGAGGAAGCGCGTCTCGTCCCTCGAGCGCTGCAGCGTCCAAGTTTGGATGGCAGTACTCCCGGTCCCGGTCGCCCCTTCCGCCGCTGGAGAGGGAGCATCTGGATAGCGTCGGTGCGAGTAACGGTGCCAGTCCGACGCCGTCTACTTCTTCTGCCAAGAAGGGCGATCTGTCGACGATGACGGCCGCGACGCCTGCGGGGAGCCCGCAGCGCGTGCGGAGTTCGCCATCGCCGGCGGGTGCGAGGAGGGTGGTTAATGGGAAGGGGAGTATGATTCCTGTTCCGCTGCATTTCAAGACGCAGGCGGGGCGGTCGGGCGATGCTCGGGCACGGCAGAAGCAGAAGCAGAAGCAGGCGGCGGCGGCGCAGGACGAAGAAGATAGCCTGTTTGAAGAGGGTGAAGGCGAAGAGGAGCGGTCGATGGATTCGGGAATGGAGTCGATGGATATGGATCTTACGGGTGTCGGGCAGCATGTGCCGCCGCCGAGGATCAATCTGACGACGGACGAGGGGCACGAGGAGGATGTGCTGCGTGGTGAGTCACATTTTGGATGATGACGGAATGGAATGCTGATGCTCCATATAAGCCTCCGACGAAGAGTCGGCTGAGCGCGACTTGTACCCCGACTCTGAATCTGAGGTGGAAGCTGAAACCGAACCAGAGCCCGAATCTGAGCCGGAACCAGAGCCCGTCGAGGTCGACGAAGACGGATTCCTGACGGAGTCAGAGATAGCGCTGCCTGCGTCCCCGCCCGAGTCGCCGCCGCCGCGCAGAATCTCCGTTTCACCCGAAGACAGACAGGTCTCGGACGAGGCTAGGCTGCAACGAGCCATTGGTGGTGGCTCGGCTAATGCCCATGCCCATGCCCATGATAATATTGCGACATCCAGAACTAAAACCCGAACTCCGCCTCTTTCTTCATCGTCTCCTCCACCTCCAGCTTTACCTCAAACTCGCACTCGAACGCGAACTCACTCGGATACCCCACCGTTCGAAGCGGTCCCTCTTTCCATCCCCTCCACACCCCCAATGCCCGTTCGCGCCCATGCCCACGCTTCTTCTATGCCTATGACGTCCACGCCGTCTGGCTCGCCGCCGATTGTCGGCGAGGAAATCATGTCCCCGTCCATCCTTGTGACGCCTCCGCGAAGGGGGGACGCGTCGCTGAGCGTCATGGAGTTTATGACGCCGTCGCCGCCGCATGAGCTGCCCGGGCCGCCGCTCCCGCCTGCTGTGTTTTCGTCGGATGAAGACGAGGGGAGAGGCGCTGGCGCTGGCATTGGCGGCGGCGGCGGCGGCGGCGGCGGCGGGTGGTATAAGCCCGATTCGTCTTCTGAGGATGAAGCCCCGGCCGAGGTCGACGAGAGGTTTATGACGCCTGCGCAGCCGCCCTACGAGCAAAATCCGAATTGGACGATGATGAAGACGCCGCATCCGCCTGGGTGGTGGGCGCCGACGCCTGTGCCTGCCGCGCGACAGAATGTCAATCACGATTCCAATATGAACGGGAATGGGAACGGGAACGGGAACGGGAATGGGAATGGGGTCGAGCAGAGCATGTCGGCGGAGTCGACGCCCAAGATGAACTCGCTCGAGCTCCCGCGGATCAACTCTGACTTGTCTCCGTCCGTGGGGAACGACTCCGACTCCGGCGACAGGCAAGACAGCGCGTCTTCTCAGGTTGGCGAAAACGGTCTCCTCACGCCCGCGCAGTCGCTCTCGCGCGCGTACACGCTGCCCATGTCTACGATGCGTACGCCCGCGCCGCCCGGCGCGTGGATGGCGACGCCGGTGCAGCCCTCGGCTGCTGCCGATGCTGAGCAGAGCGAGAGGCGGTTGCGCAGCGCGATGAAGGTCCGGTTTGACGTGACGGACTCGGAGATGTCGGCGGCGGAGAGCACGATGAGCTCAATTAGCCCTGCGCCGCCACAGCAGACGAGGACGCCGCCGCCGGACGAGCCGGTTACGCCCAAGACGGCGGGGGTAGTGAGGGAGGGGGTGGAGGTGCAGCGGTCGCCGAAGAAGTCGCCGGGTGTGCATCTTGTGGACGAATATGGTCGGCCACGGGAGAACGGGGTTGCGAATGGTGCCGCGCTCGCGCTGGAGCAGGCGAAGGTTCGCGTGGTCGATGCGATGGGGCGAGAGATCGTCGAGCCTCCTCGTGAAGAGCCCAAGATCAAAGTCGAGCCCAAAACGGAACCAAAACTGGAACCATGCACGAAACACCTCACCCGCGCGGCCCACATCCGCGTTCCCTCCGCAGCGTCGATGTACGACAGCGACGCGTCGCTCTTCTCGGACGGGCCGTCGATGCACCTCACGCGCAACGAGGCGCTCGCGCGGATGAAGCAGCAGCTGCGCGAGCTCGCGAGCGGGCTGAGCGAGGCGGACCGCTCGGCGGACGAGCTGTCGCTCGACCGGAGCCATATCCAGGATCTCGAGGAGGTGTCGAGGGCGGCGCGGCGCGCGCGGGATGTGCTCGCGCAGAACTTGCAGGCGGTTGCTGGGGGCGCGGATACGAAGGGGCGGTTTGGCGCGGTGAGGGCGCGGTTGAGGAGGGGGCTTGATCCTGTGAGCTTTGTTTTCTTTGGGTGTGGCTTGGTGTGCTTATGAGTGTTTTTTTCGGGGATGGTAGAGCAACTTTTTGGGGTCGAAGGCTTGGGTTGTCACCTCGATATTCATCCAGGTTGTTCTTGTATTCATCATGTGGCGGTGAGTCTCCCATATTTCCTTTGGGGGTGCAAATTGCTTCGCTGTGTCTTTCAATGGAACTTGACGGTCTTCCTGTTTATAGATTCGCCCACGCAGAAGCGCGCAGGCTCTTCTACTCGACTTATTATGATCCCTTTTATCCCGAACTAGATACCCTAACCCCACGACGGCCCTACCCATTCCCCGAGTCTTCGATCTTGAACGCGTACGAGGTGGTTCGCCGCGAAGGGCTCGCCGAAGCCTGTCGCGTGCTAGTACGCACATTTAAGCAGCTGGGCAACGATGCGTGGCAGCGCTGGGGCGAACAGCCTTATACAGGGGTGTGGCCGCCGTCGTGATTGAAGAGCTGTTTTTGGGAGTATTTATCACATTATTTCGTTATCTCTTTTTTGTTTTTTCTCTATTCTTCTCTATATCTCCTCTTTCCTATCACCTCCCATCTCTCACCGACCCCCGACGCTCGTTTAGCTTCTTCTATCTTATTCCTGGATATATCGTTATCAAAGAGCAACCTCGACGTAGGACCGCCCAACTTGTTTTCATTTCCTGTTTTCTATCGTTGTTTTCAATCATGCAAACTCTCTCGTCTGATTTATGATTATGATTTTCTCTCTCTCTTGTTTACCGCTACTGAGCTCTGCGAATTATGACGATCCTACTTCTATTACCACTACAACTACGTACTGTACATGTTGTACATACATATGAACAGTTACGAGACTGTATCACGAATCTCTATTACCTCGGTGTAGGGCTTGCGAGCTCTCGCTAGGGCTTTACATATGTGCAAGTGTCCAAGCCGTGTATCTAGAAAACAAATGTTGCTGCGCTGTAGGGTAAAGCGATGTCGACGTACTTGTGGTTCTGTAGGCCCAGATAGTCGAGTCTATGTAGCCGGGGCCATGACTTGTGTTACGGGAACAAGCACTTCAAGCATACTTATGTCAAGCAGTGACGGTCGTCGTCGAAGAGTAGTCTGCGGGAACTACCGCAGACGCGTTGCGATGCGGGATTTGCCGTGAGGATGAGCGAGTGACGCGCCCATGTCTTCCTCCTCCGCGCCGTCGACGCTGCTCTCCGCGTTGCACTCCGCCACTGTCCTTGACGGCCTCAGAAACACTGAAAATGCACATCCGTTCTCGGACTCGTATGCATCCACCGTCGCGTCTCTACGATCTCTCGTCTCGACCACCGAGCAGCTGAACCAGTCCATCGCCCAGCTCTCCACCGTCCCTCCTAACGATCCCAAGCTTCTCTCACTCCTTCGCCAACAGACTGGCTTTGACTACCCACGAAACCAAGCGTCATCCACTGCCACAAACTTTGCGTCGATAGCGAAGAACCGACCCCTCTTTCCCGAGCCTATCCCATTCTCCTCCGATGGAAAGCTACCGATAGACTACGTCCTCGCTCGCATCGCACAATGGGGGACGTCACTCAAAATGGAGACATTCACGGAGCGCGCAAGTTCGCAGAAGGCGACGGTCCTGTTGGGAGGAAAGGTCATACTGGTCGATGTGGAGCTGGACGCTGTCGCAGTCGCGGTCGTGTCTGTTAAGACGTCCTTTGCACTCAACGGCGAGCACACCACCGAGTCGTCCCCCACATTGGAACGCTTCCTCTCTAGATCTATTGGCACGTGGATAGAGGTTGTCAGGAGGGCTGTGGACGTGAACCAGGTGCTGGGCGCGGACGAAGAAGATCCCGCTATGCTCGCGTCGCGGCTCCATGACGCGATCCAAGCGCACTTCAAATACATACTGACGCTCGATAGTCTCGCTGCTAACACTACAAACGGTGGAATCCGGTGGTTTACGGATTCCGAGCGCATCCGCGAAGCAGTCGATAAGCAAGTCTCCGCTGAGTGAGTAGCCACTTTACCTCATGATTGCTCATACTAACCTTGGCTGGAGCCTCCCGCCGGATCCAACACTAGATATCCTCCTCACTCGGAAACCTGTTCCACTGAACTGTGTCGTATCTCCCGCACTATCCTTCCTTCTCTGGCTGTCACCTCGGGCGTACCTCTTTCTGCTTCGAAATACACCATCTGGGAAAGCACCCGCTCAAGAACCTCTCGGCGACATACCTCGCAATCAGCTCATGTCCTCCCTCGTAGACTCGTCTGGACAGATACTCGAAGGAGCAACAGTAGCTACTCTGCGGCTCGTCTTAAAACAACCAGGTGAAGACTCTGTGCTTGCTATGTCGACTCAGGCCATCGATGGCGCTCTTCCGGAAGCACCATTACATCAGTGGATCCTGGACTTCACTGACAACTCGTTACGACGTCGGCTTTCGCTCGGCAACTTCCGTCTCCAAAAAGAGCCAAGAGGAGTCGTCATGTCTCAGTCAAGGATGCGTGCTCTGGAGCGGGCGCTGAGAGATAGTGGGGATCCGACACATTCGATAGATATGGGAATAGGCATGCATTCGAATTTCAACATGGGTTTCAATGGACCGAGCTGGTTGGACGTGCTCGTAAGTGGCAACGGCTGGCTATATATCTGATTCGCTGAGCTGGAAAACAGCTTCAAGGGGGACCGAATTGTCCTTACTCTGAAAGGTACACCGCGACATATGTGAGTTTATCCAGCGTGTTATATTGCACAGCTCAGAAATTCAATGTACCTCTCCCTGTGTCTCTTATCGCTGCGTGTAATATCTGGAACGTGTGCTCGAACCTCTTGATAGCGTTCATCAAGTGGCCCTGCAGCTAAGCTCCGTCTCAACTCTCCGTTTGAGCCTGGGTTTTTACTCCAACGCGTACCTGTGCGACGCATAAGCGATATCCCCAAGATCCTTGAGGTTCGTATTACGAAAGCCCAAAGATAATCTATCCTCACCGCTCCTTTCTCTAGGTCGTGAAGGAACAATGGTGGCTCAACGAAGCCCTCCTCAGCGTAGACTGGGTCCCCGAAAACAGCCAGCCCCAACTCCAGTCGGATGCAAATGGCGACGACGCAGAGGGCGCAACGCCAGACATGCTCGACGCGCTCCTCTCCGGCTCGTTCGAGCCCAAGTCCATCGTGATCAACGTGTTCCTCCCCAAGTCCCCGTTCCACCCCTTTGCACAGCCCGTCGCGTCCCCAGAGCCCATTGGGGACGACCTCGAGGCACTCGCGCACGCCGGCGACTCGGCGAACAAGAGCCTCTTCGGGGACGTCGATATGGACATGGAGATTCCCGGGCTAAGTATGGGCAGTATGGGCGGAGGCTTGGGCGGAGCTATGAGTGGAGATTTGGATGGTGGTATGGGCGGTATGGATCTCGGTGGTTTGGACCTGGGTATGAGTGGCGGGCCCACGGCAGGCGAGGACAGCGGGATCGCGACGCATGCGCAGCCGGTGCAGCCTGAAGGGAGGCCTGTGCCAGCGATTGCGATGGCTATTCCGATGCGCTCGGGTGGGACGACGGACGTGAGGGTGTCGTTTGTGGGCGGGGGGTCGGCTGGGACAGGGAACCAGGCGGCAGGGAGCGGCAATGCGAATGAGGGGACGAGCACGGGTGTGCGCGTGGAGATCGCGGGGACGACGAGCTTGGAGCCGGCTACGCTCGAGGAAGTCGTGCGCAGAGGTGGGATCTGGAGTTTACCTGGGAGAGTAAGGGCGTCGCACAAGTAAAAGGGAATTCGGAGCTTCATGCTTCAGACTTCGTGTTTTCGTGGTTGTTTTTGCGTTGTCGACGTTCTACTGCAATGCATACGCTAGACTTTCTGCGCCGCAGTAAGCTTCGCTCGTTCTGATCGTCGGATGACTTAATTACGTTTATGTTAAGGAGCAAGCCTTTGGATCACGACATGGTCTATTTGGGGGTCAACCTCGCTCATTCGGCCGTAACTTGATGCGAGGGGGAGTTTATAAAGCACATTCGCGAGCGGTATAACGTCCGAACTCTTATTCTATCGCTCTGCCGCCCTACCACGATGTCAACCGATACCAAGACCAAGGCTGAGACGATTGCAGAGCGCCCTCTCGACGAGAGCTTCTACCGCTTGACCGCAGACGAAGCGAGTTTCTACAAGGCCCAGACGGGCATTACTGACGATGATGAGTTGAAGAAGCACATCATGGCTGTGCAAGCCAAGGCGTATCAGGTGAGTTGACCGCGTTTCCCTCGATAACTAGTCTTACATTCGTTGACGACTGCAGGTCTTTCCCTACAGTTGCATCAGATCCTTCGGATTCAGTGTGTAAGTCCGACACGGGCCATGTGTCTCCTCCTTAGGTTGATTCTCATTTTGATTCCGCTCAGTCTCAAGGTCTCCAAATTACCTGCCTATGACCAAGTCTTGAAATTGGGTCGCGAGCGCAAAGGCGCCATACTCCTGGACATTGGCTGCTGCTGTGCGTACGGATCGTACGCTTTTCTCATGAACATAGTCGAGTGATCTTTGTCGTTCTAGTTGGAACTGATCTGAGGAAGGCTGTTGCCGATGGCTTTCCGAAAGAGAACGTGGTCGGATCAGACATACATGCAGGTTAGTCCCGTTGACTCTTCAGGACTACAAAGTCTAATAAACCCGTCAATCATCTTCTCCAGACTTCTGGAAACTTGGATACGAGCTCTTCAGAGACACAAAGGACACCTTCCCCGCCCCTTTCGTGGCCGCCGACGCATTCGACGACGAGAAGCTCCAGCCAGTCGAACCGTACTATAGTCCTGTGTCTGTGGCGATCCCACCACCGGATCTTTCCTCCGACTCGCTCACCTCCCTGAACCCGCTTCGCGGTCACGTCTCGGCGCTCCACGCGTCCGCGTTCTTCCACCTGTTCGACGAAGAGCAGCAGCTGGACCTCGCCAGGCGCCTCGCGGGGCTGCTCAGCCCCGAGCCTGGCTCGATCATCTTTGGTGCCCACGGGGGTAGGGAAACTAAAGGGCAAAGGGAGTTCGAGACTCGCGGTGGCAGACGCATGTTCTGTCACAACCCCGAGAGCTGGAAAGAGCTTTGGGACGGGACTGTGTTCAAGAAAGGAACGGTGGAGGTGGAGGCGTTCTTGTTTGAGAACAAGCGGAGTCGGATCGAGGCTGGATACGATAAAGTTCCTAAGGAATTGAAGGCGCTTACGTTGGTGTGGTCTGTCAAGCGTCTGTAGCAACGAGAATTATACTACACGGTCGCAGTCAGATTGCAGGAGTATCAGTAGTTATAAGACATTTTGTGGTCTCGTTTACCCCACAACGTAGCCATGATGGTGTTCAAAACCTCTTTGCAATGCGGCACTTCACCACGGACGATCTGATCCATCTTCATAGAAAGGTTTTGCAAGATGACTGGATTGCCGCGCAGCGCCAGCAGAAAACCCATCTCCATCTGAAAGATTTTGGGATGCCTGTAAAGCCAACGAATTTAGTTTCTGAGATCTCTGTGAATCGACCTCATTGGCGTACTCGGATGTAAACTTGGACGTCACTTCATCCAGGATATTGGACGCTGAAAGATCACGACTGATAGCCTTGAAGGCATGCTCACGAAGGGTGCGCAACTCGAGCTAAGAATATTCAGATATTTCTAACAGACGAGATTTAAGTAGAAATCTTCACCTTATCCGCCAGACGATACATAGATTTTGGTGAGCAAGGATGAGAAGATGATAACTCATCTCCGACACCCTTAGGTGAAGTCTTTCTGATACCAGTAGAGGTAAGGGGCAAGAACTGGACATTTCCGGTATACGAATAGTTAATTAATGCCTTCCAGCTGAAGTACAGTGGGCGAGAAACTGATTAAACACATAGCGCCGACAAGGATGCAGTGACGAACGTTTGATAAGCCGCGCCTGTCACAATCATTGTGTCATTCGACGAAGTGACTCTTGTGCTAGTTAGGCTTCCTGTTGAAGCGAACGGAGAATTATATGCCTCGACTGAGGCAAGGTCCACATAAGGTGTGTTCATTGAGATTTCAAGTCGAGTCAGCAAGCACTTTATACGCACCTTCACGTTCTCGTGTGCGGGATAGTCCAGCAGAATCGACCTCCTCGATAATAGCTTCCTCGTCGGGATCAAAGTCGCTGTCATCTTCGTAATCGTAATCTTCTGGCTGAACAATGCCGTTCGGATAACCCTCGGAATTCACCAACAACCCTGGTGATGAGTTTTGAGTGATTTATTCTTGCTCAGAAGCTTCTAGTAACGCATACCTTTCGAGTTTTTCAGAAGTACATCCATGAACGAGGCTGCATACAAAGGGAGTGGACATCTCAGGAAAACACGCCCATCAACCAAGCGACGACGGGTGAATGCCATGTATGTAGTGCATCCAAGACTTCCAACGAGTATACTGTCTGACAGCATCCTCAGCGCGTTGACCAAAAAAGCATTCTCAGAAGGCACGGGTTGCGGAAGACTCCAGTCCTGTTCACTCTCTGTGCGCACTTCGATAGTAAGATGTGAGTTATGCAAACAATGGCGAAAGATGGGTGCGGGGAGGAGAACATGGCAAAGCCCGTCCATAGGAATCGTCGTTTCGTGAGAAGCTTCGCCAAGGTTTGAATCTTGGCCTACGATTGCCGTAAACGTATGAGTACTACAGCACGATTAGACTCGAACCCCATTTGAGGATACTAGATTCAAGCTCACGAAGAGAAACGGAGCTTGAGAGAGCGAATCACGGGATCCTCCACACAGCCAGTATCCACTATCACATCCCAACGTTCACTGAGCAGGGAAAAGCGACGTTAGTTGTAGTATCAGTTAAGATGGTTTGTTTCGTACTGTTTGAAAATGGTTGGAACCAGACCGAAGCGTAACCCCATGCCGCAGCGTGTCGAGAAGCACGGAAGACGGGATTCTTTACCAAGCTGGCTAACGCGCAATACGATAGAGATACAGTTTCCCTTGCGTTCTTCTGTCTGAAGGTCGACGGAGTACATCGAAGCCATAGCTGAGCGTGAGCGGGGAAGTAACCACCTTGCCATGAAGTGGCACCTTTTTATTCATGTTGAGTGTTGAGAAGACACTCGAGGAGGAAGGTATCTTGAATCAGCAAGGGACTAAGCCAGAATGTAATTGTCAACACGTGTTGAAATCTGCGCTCTGGTCATTAGCCTGAGTGGGAGACACGAAGTAAAGCAGCCCAGACGTGATCGCAGAGTTCGGGGATTGGTTGAGGTACTATCGAAGACTTCGGACATGAAATATCAATCTTTGGCTAAAAAAGGAACGAGCAAGACCGTATTTTGCGAGTAACTTCTGCGAATCAGCTCATAGTCGGCAAACGCACGAGGTCGTTTAGACTATGCGCGCCGAAGTTCCCCGAAGCACCTCCCAAATTCAAGCCAACCTTGCCCATTTTAAAGACTTACTGATTACTTGAGGGATGAAATTTGCCACTTGGAACCTCAGGCTATTTCGTGGCATATAGGCGAGGAATGGAGCTTCAGCTTCAAACTCCACGGATGTAAGCATCAAGAATGCATAACCAAAGAGTACTTAGATTTGCCAACAGAGCCGAAAGAGTACTTCGGCGGATTACAAAGTGACCCGAAAGCGAGCTTCAAGTTTTCAGCTCTTCGAAAACAGATGTTTAGCGTGAATTGCTGTTGAAAAGAAGGGGCAAGAGCCTAGCTAGGCTGTCCCATCACGATTGCGAGCTGAAGCGCTGACATCAGGTCAGAACGTGCTTCTAAGGTAGACTATCATCAGACACGTTTTGTAGGCCTTTCCCAAAGGAGCCTCCATTGCCCAAAGGTCAAACGCAGGGTTGGGATCAAAAGAGTAATGAAAGAACCTAGATTCGAACTATATGACAGGTCCTCCGAGGTCTGTCGATAGTTGGCAGTGTGAACTTGAAGTACCAGCTAGAAAGGCTATCTGTTTGAGGTTTTTGGAGAAGATATGCACCCTCTCGCGTTGCTTCTCAGACAGCTTCTCGAGTAAAGGGGAGAAGAAGACACAAAGGTTGTTGTAAACTTGGTCCAGCGAGCTCAAGGCCTAGATGCACGGGGGTGAGTTCCTGGATCCGATGGGAGACAGGTATAACGAAGAAGTTTTGCCTAACCTGCGTTCTTCCCGGTCCGGTTGCCGCTGCGGTCCGCATCCCGTTTTTCCGTCATCGCTCCATGCCCGTTTTCGGTGAATAACCCCTGTCTCTATCGTTTGTCTTTGGTGTTCGACAAGCGTTTGATCTTTCCTCTCGTACTAACTTTATGTAACGTATACCCTGACGTCAATGACTTGCATCCTAGCAAGATAATTTTTGTTTTCAGGATATCACGCGAGGCATGAAGTTCGTGACCTCGTTCCGCATCAACCTGGCGTTCCGACCTCTTTGCCTTTGCCATTATTCAACCGTTACGTCTCATCATCAAATGAGACATCAGTTCAGGTGATGAAGTTGTCCGCCTTTCGAATCTCGTGTTTTAGGATGACTGTCATATTCAGAGTCATCCCCGATTGGTATTCAAATTTCTTGTCAGTAGTTAAGCGTTGGTTTGATGATGACAGAACCAAGTGGCCGCACATCAAACCACTGCATGCCACTTATACACCAGCTCAAGCACGGTTAGAGCTATATGTTTATAATAACTGGCTCGCTGAGCCATGGAGTTGCTGTATGCTCTATGATAATGTGGAGAGATTCTTTTGGCAAGCGCTGCTGGTAGCTTACTAGTAGGTATGGAAGTCGCAGACCGACGCTAACAAAAATGTCACCCCAGAGCCACTCTTACATGACGGAGGGCTACCTTACTCTAGGAACTTCGGATCCAGGTATGCCCGTGAGGGCCGTGTTTATCAGAAATTACGAGAAAGCTGATGGAAAAGGTTTCGGAAGACTCCGACTCGGAGATGTCCTGGAAGCGGAGTTTAGCGCGCGCCTTTTGCTCCTCTGATATCGACAATTCGTATATTGCAAGTTGCCGCAATCTCTATCACGTTTTTACCTTGAGGTCACGGTAACATCTCATTCGGAAGGGGCTATCCTTTTTATCTCGCTCACAACTTGCGAGGGTTTTCCCACGAATTTATTAGCTTATGTGAAACATATCCAGAGGCCTTCCAGGCTGTGCCTGAGGTTGATCTCGGCCCTGCACTTAACCTATTTCTCAAATGGAATTATTCTAAATCACTAAGGTGGTGTATCAAGCTGGAACTCACCAGTCAAATCAACCGTTATTTTGAGCGTAAAATGTCAGCTCTCACATCAAGAAGCCCGCTGCGTGCGATCATTCTAACTCCTTGAACCCTCGGGCCCCAGAGATAACAGCTTCGCCTCATCTCAAAGCCGGTGATGCTTGAGAGTTCTATGTGTTCCGCTACTCTCTCCATAAGCTTGTTAACGCTTCTACCACTTGATATTCCTCGGTCATCAATCATGGTTGATTGGATGCCTGTAATTTTAGCTAGCATCACCACATGCGTGTCACCGCCGGAATAATATAGTCAGAATCAAAGAGATCTTCAAGATTTCCAACCACGCATTTCTGCCTCGGGATTCAACTAACAGTAGCAGTGAGAAAGATTCTTGGTCGACCCCGCAATTCATAGAAGCTTGACGACATCAGATAGCTATAGGACTCATCTCATGTCCTCTGTTTCCTCAACTCCCTCGCTGTTGAGGAGGCAACGTTATTTCCTGCCATACAGCCTCACATTACTCACATCCGAGAACAGAAAACGGGATAGGATTTTTTGCAGACATCGAATTCGTCTTGCGTTCTATGGAAAAAGCCATGTACTACTGTAGAGTGGCAGAATTATTTGTCTTACTGTTTATTTGTCTGATGTTACGCTCACTGGCTATGATGTGCTCGGTGCGTACACATCGTTAGTATTTATACGCCCTACTTACTTCGACTAAACAATTAACGATAATTCACCAGACTAGCTTTAGACGAAGACAGCCCGCAGACTAATATCTGCCCGAGTTGCTTTATGCGACGATCTGAAACGGCAACGTCGGTGGCGCAGAGTGGATGAAGCAGCAGCTAGGCCTGTTTTGTGGAACCTTTTGTATGATACCAAACTATCAGGTCCTATGATTATCTTTGCCTGGGCTCGTAGCAGGCCTTGGAGTACAATAGGCTGTGGGGTTCTACGTGGCGCATCCACCGGCATATTGAGTATCGATGACACGAAGCATACAAGATCTCTCGAGGGCGTTGACATTCAAAATTAAAACAAATATCCTGATTTCCTCCGTCGCACGAGTCGGGGCCGAGAAAGTTCATCGAAATAGCTGCAATTTCAAAACAAGAACACCGTGACATCTCAGTACTCACGGGCGCAAGCATAGTGTCACCGTCACCGTGTGTGTCAGGAGGCCCAGCTTATCTATGGTGCCGCCCTCCGGTTCCGAGGGACCTCGCCTGAGCGGCTCGGCGCGTCATTCTGGTCACATATGGCGAGCGACGTGCGCCCAGCACTGGCGCAGTACTGTCTCCAATTGCTTGTACGCGGGAGGCAGCGCGCACACGAGCTCTCTTCAGCTCGACGTCAACTGGCGTGCTCCGGCCATTAGATCATTACCTATCTGTCAATCATTCTGAACGACCCCTGGTCTAATGAAGGCCTCGGGGTTCGTCGCAGTGACAGCGTACGGTCAGCAGACTCTCAATTCCTGATGCGTGATGCCTGGCTAGAACGATTAGTATCGCACTGAGGTCCCTCGCCGTCACAAGCTCAAGGCCTCATGAGCCCATCCCCCTATCTATGACTGCTGCGGTCCCTAGTTCGTTCGACGTTCGCACGTCGATTCCTGCAGTTGCGTCTGTTTGAGTTTCTGCTGCTGCATGCAGAGGCCTGCGCCTCTCGGCGGTGCCTGCGCCAATCTCCATTGCAGACCCTTACAAACGGGACCCCAGATGGCGCAAGCAAACAGAAGGCATATGTTTCTAGATCTGCGTATTCTAGAAGCATTGTCATGATGTCAAGCCCCAACGCAATGCATCGAAGGAAACGCACATTGCCGCGACTGTTGCAACGTTGAACCCGCGCAAATACGGTGGTGCCGAACAACGCCCAACTCCGAACAACGGAGACCCAACTCGACGAAGAAGAAGCAGTGAGCAGATTGATCGGCGGAAGGCAAGTCGTACATACGGTCGACGCCTTGATCATCTGCGGGGTGGCACTGGTGCGGTAATAACAGGCCACAGTCATGATGCATGATATAAGCCTAAGCTTCTTCGGGGCACCTCATTGTCCAGGTGGAGTTGAGCGGGTGGAACACTGCTGCTGCAGTGGGGCCTCGGAAACATATGACATTCAACAACGATGCAACGGCAGTGGGTCAGCGGTGGGTCGCCTCAGCCGCAATGTGGAACTTCCCTTGGTGGGACTGAATTCACGAAAAGCACGCTTGGCAAGGAACACCTCGTGTCGGCGCGAAGAATAGCAGCGAACACCTGACGGGGCTAAACGTGTGGTCGAAGGCGTGAGTAGCGCTGAAGTGAATGGGTCGCGGGCCACTGGCCCAACTCTAACTCTAATCCGGTGTACGGTACTTACAAACCCACCTTCATTAATTTGCACGCGGATCTATGTTCAAGTCAGCAGATGTTTACCAGTGACGATTCGAACGGAAGCCACACCCAGTCAACGAACCATTCCCACTGATAATACCTTTCGATCGACGAAAAAACAACACATTGTTGAATACACGGGGTGAGGAGGAACTCCGAACTACCTTACTGAACACTTGTGAACGAGGGATGGGATGGGAAAAAAGTAATAGAAAACAGAAACAAAGAAAAGAAAGAACACTGGAATAAAAAAGCACTAATTTCAACCGTGAACGAGCGTAAGACAAGCTAACAGCCTCTCCTTCGATGCATGCCCTGCCGCCCGCCATATTGTATGTACAGTAACGTATTGTAACCACGACCGCTTTGAACATCTGCATCTCTAAAAGAAATCTCTTCTGCATATCATCGCCAGCCGTCTGATAACGGTGCGCGATATCCCCTTTTGGCAGATCTGTCTGCTTCGCACTGAAGAGAAGAAACATACGCATGGAAGGAAGTGAAAGAGGGCCGAGTACCAGTATGTAGCGTGGGAGGAGTGGGAGGGGGATTCGGGAGTCCGAGGTGTGGTGCGAGAGGGAGAAGCAAGTGTATGTAGCGATAAATGTCCTTGTGTTGAAGGTAGGCAAGGGGGGACGGTGGAATTGCAAAGGAGCGTAACGGGGCGAGCGCGGCTCGCCGTGAATGACGGTATGTATGTAGCGGGTACTAGCGTAGTTGGTTTGTTGCGACGAGTTATGGCATTGATTGAAGGGGTTGTGGTGAGTTGGGGGGATGCCCGCGAGGGCGATGTGGAATACATATGCTTGAGGTTTATGTTATGTTATATGACGACAGCGACGATGTGTATGACAGGTTCCTGAAAAAAAAACACGTTGTCAGCATCCATGACCAAAATGACGACCAAGGGAAAAGGTGCACATACCGAACAACTATGGGCAGACGACCAGAATAAAGTACAAGAGAAGAAAAAACGGCAGAAGGAAAACGAACACCGGAGCGCAGCATCAGCCAATGTTACCGGCGGAGCGCCGACAGCATCTTCGCGAGCGCGTTGATCTGGCCCCGCTGCACCTTCTTCGGACCGTCGTCTTCCCCATCGCTGAGGTCTGTCGTGCTCGTCGCCGCGTCGCGTCTCACATGCGCATAGCCAGCCGGGACCGGGCGCTCGCTGATCGTGTCCAGCGTCCCCTTGCCCGAAATCTCGTTCGCCAGATTCGACTTGCGCGTCCGCACCTTGCGCGGCTGCGGCGGCGAGCCGAACACCGCGCCCTCCGGGTTCGGATGCAGCTGGCGCGGGAGCTCGTACAGCTCCCACGGGACGCCGGTCATCACTGCCGACTCCGTCAGCACGAGCCAGCTCGGACGAGGGTCAGTGCGTGACTCACTCTTCACGTTCTTGGGGATGGGCTGCCCGTTCGGGCCTACGGGGGGTGGTGCGGCGGGCTTCTGGCGCCACGAGCCCGCGCTGCTCACAGAAGTTGCCGTGGTGGCCGTAGCCATCGTGTTGACGGAGCGCATGCTCGAGTTCGAGTAGCGCGTGAAGGCGGACGATGACGTTGACGTGGTCGAGTAGGTGGCAACGGAAGCCGACGAGGCCTGAGAGGATCGCCAGGTTGCTTTCTGCGCCGGGGTCGGTTGAGGATGCGGATGAAGAGGACGCTCCGGCGAGCGCCTGCTGCTGCTGTCGGGAGAGCCCGCAAAGCCGAGCGCGCCGTTACCCTCTTTGCTCCAGTTTGCGCCTGCGCCATTGGGGCGGGGCGCATGTTGCTTGCGCCCGCGATGCGCAAGATCTTCTTGCGAAGCATTCTGTGCGCGCCATTCGCGGCCAGTTGACCGGCCGCCATCGGAGGAAGCGGAATGTTGAGAGCGGGAGGAAGAGTGGTGGGAATGTTGAGCGGGAGCCGGTTCGAGCCCCATGAGCAGGGTCGCGACGTTGCTCGACATCCCAGAGGTAGGGGAGGGAGGAGCATGCTCCTCGTGAGAGTTCGAGCCTTTGGAGCCAAAGCCAAGTTTCCACTTGGACGGCTTCTTGACGGGTTCGGGAGCATGGGTCTGAACAGGGACGGAAACAGGAACGGGAGGTGGCGGTTCCGACACTGCAGAGATAGGGATGGGCCTCACGATACTTGATGAGCGGGAGGCTGGTGCGCTAGGGCGACTTTGGCGGCTAATCTCACGGGCGAGAGTCTGCGATGCGGAGGCGAGCGTCTCAAGAGTGTGGTCAACGCCGCCGTTGACAGTGGAGAACGTGGGAGAAGTAGGCGAAAGAACAGTCGACGCCTTGGACTTATTCCGAGCACCACGCTTGCCACGCTTCTTCGTCGACCGACTCCGCCCATCGTCGCCCTCACCATCCGCCTCACCATCGTTCTCATCGGGTGCCTCGAGCTCGGGCTCCTCGCGGAGAACTGGTCCCATAGAGCCAGGTCCCATACTTGGGGCACGCGACAACGATCGCTGACCAATGATCGGCGTCCGCATGCCAGTGCGGGAGCTGGGTCTGCTTGATGGAGGGCAAGAGTTGATGATGTGACCAACAGTATGCGCGGCACTGCTTGTGGAGATGGTGCGAGTGTGGCCTCTGAACACAGCAGGGCTCATGAGAGGTGATGGTGGATTGGAGGACAGGAGTGATGGGAGATCCTTAATCCAGGTACCAAACTCGCCAGCAGTAAGGGGGTTCGAAATGTAGGGGCGCATACGGAAGACGCGGGTAGCGAGGAAGTCCGCGACGACGCCAGTCATGCCGGTGAAACGCTGCATGAAGAAAGTCGCGCCATGGGCGCGGAACAGGGAGAAGGACGAACACGCTCCCTCGGCGGTGTCAGTCCAGGGGTTGTAGTGGTACAACCTGGGAGAGGGATCATTAGTAACGAGATAACAAGGGAGTGTGTCGCGATAAGCAAGGGGCAGGGGTTGCGAAGTCCAGGAATAACAAGTAGAAAGAGGACACCCGATAAGGAAATGACGCAACGGTGACACGTATACGGAGGCATCGAGCGCGATAGCAGGAAAAACAAATGATGTCTAGACTCACATGTTGATCAGGACGATTCCAAGACTCCAGACGTCTGCCTCCGCGGTTCTATATGTCGGTGCGACGTTGTTCCTGCACTCGAAGCTCATGTACGGCGCGGACCCGCAGTCCATGTCGCTGCTCTCCGTGTCCGTCGTTGCCAAGCCAAAGTCGGAAAGCTTCACAATCACCCTGCGCTCCTTACTTGAACCGGAGACGGATAGCGAATCCGTTACGATGAAGTTCTCCGGCTTGATATCCCGGTGATAGACACCCTGTTCGTGGCACGCCTGAACGGCGTCACACATCTGCCCAAACATACTCGCCACCAGCCGCAATCGAGTTGTCCCCAACAACTGCGACGGGTGCAAACTCGCCAAAAGGCTTGGCGTCGGTGGCGTCCGACTTGGCGAGCCCATTCCAGTACCATCGTCAAAAGCCTCATCTTCATGATCGCGCGACTGCTCAAGAAAATAAAACAGATCTTCTCCAGGTACGAACTCCAAAAGCAACAAAAGGAAAGCCGACGTCTCGAAGGTGCGGTGCAGCGTGACAATGTTGGGATGCGACCGCAGTGATTGGTGGATGGTGACCTCGCTAAGCTGTGCGTCAAGCGCCTCGTCGTCCAGGTTGGCCTTGCCGAGACACTTGAGAGCAAACTCCCGACCGTAGACAGTGCGCTGAGGTGGGATGTCGAGGTCGATAGGGCCAAGATGGCCATCCTCTGAAACAGGCGGCCGGGAGAGGACCTCGCGAACGAGGTAAACGACAGCATACGAGCCGGAGCCGAGGCGTCGTACGACCTCGAACTCGGAAGAAATGGAGAAATCTTCGAGAGTGGGTGACTGTATGCGGGCAGTCCGGACGAGTTGGCCCTGTAAGGGGATGCCGTCGCCGACGATATCGCCGGGAGCGAGAAGGTCTTCTATGGCGGAGCTGGGAGAGGTCGAGCGAGGGGGTGTCTGGGGACGTGCGGGAGGGGTGGGGGTGCGGTTGACGAGAGAAGAAAAGGGAACATGCTTGGACTTGGGGGTAGGGGGAGTGGGAGCGGAGGGGGCTAGAGGAGACGTTGGCTTGTTAGAAGGCTGGCGAGAAGAAGAGTTCGTAAAGCGTTTGTTGAAGATGCGGAGAGCGCTGTCATTATGGTGATCTGTACGATGCTTGTTGGCGTAGGCGGAAGACTTGAAGGGGAGAGGCTGGGGGATGGGCTGAGCGTTGTACTGGAGCATGGTCTATACGCTTCACTCGCTCTCCGGCAACAGCCAGGACGCTCCCGTCGTCTTGGTGGTCTGTATGGCAGGAGAGAGATGAGTGTGTTGGATGCGGGATATTAAGAGGGAGGGGACATACGCTGTGATGGGATGGGGAGGAAGGAAAGGCGGCTCAGAGGAACATGTGGGTGGGCTCTCACCGTCTTTGAAGAACACGCTTCTCGATTAGTCGATTAGTAGCTGGGGACAAGTGTTTTATTGCACCGCACGCGTGTCACAACTACCAGCAGTCCATGTGCTCCCTTTCCCATTTCACACCCCGCGACCATCTCCCTCCACATGCTACCGCCCCCAACCAGTTTCCCCGACGTCCCTCCAACCAGCCCACCTCCCGCCTCTTCCGCCCCCTCCAGCCTCGCCACGGGCCAGCCAGCGTCCACAGCACACCGCGAGAGCTTTTTGTGTCCCTCCAGCTCCGTCCGTTCGACCCAGAGGGCGAGTGGTGCAGCACGGCTGTGCTCCGCAGCATCACATACATAATCGGCAACACGCTCTCGGCCCAGGCTCCCCCGCCGCGCCGTCTTCTGTCCATCTATCGTCACAAATATTTTATTAATAAAAATAATACATTCAATACACTACTGTCACCCCGTCCCTGACATCGTGAACCTCCCCGTCGCGCCGAGAACGGTGCCTCTCCTTATCCCACCGGCGTGCCTGTAGAAAACTTAGACAAGCCCCTGTTGATGTTTGGCGTGAGCTTGACCATGTGTGTCGTCGCAGTCGACCCCCGACAGCGCCGACTCCCCTCTTCCAGACCGAGCTACCGTCTCGTCGTGTCATATTCTATCGGCCTCGTCCGTCCGTCCGTCCGTCCGCCGCCGAACGTATGATCGACAGACAACACTCAGCATCATAGGCCGTGCGGCCGGTATCAGCCGCGGCCTCTCGATCACCAACGACCTACTTGTTTCGACCAAATCTTAGCTGGATACTCCAACACGCGCTCCAACGAGATTGCCATTTCTCCTCTCCTTCTTCCCGCCCGAAATGCATCACTGCTTCCGGCGCGAAACAGAAACAGCGTGAAACCTAAAACCAACCAGCAGCAGTCCATCACCCGCGTGTTCTCACTCCGCGCGATTCGATTGAGCGCAGCACATTGCTATGCAACGCCCACCTGGGACACCCTGCTTCTCTTATCTCAAAAGTCAATAGGACCGTCGCTAATTGCGACACTCGGCGACGACACACCTCGACACACACACCGCGACACGTCCCCGCCTGACGTCTCCGTCGTTGCGTCGAGATTGAACCAGGTGGTGCCGCCGGAGGTCGGGTCCTCCTGTCTTGTGCCCTTTCACACATGCTCCCGCTCCACGATCATCTCAGAGCTGGTCTGGGCCTCTCCCTACCGCATGACGACTGTATCATATGCTGACAAATTCAAACATATGACATCTCCTTGCTGAGATTCCCTCGAAAGGCCACTTGGTCCGTTCTCGCCGCCAAATTGCGCTATTTTGGTCTGTCCCTATCACCACGCTCTAATTCAGTCACATCTGCATCGTGTTGATCTCCCCAACGTTTTGTCAGTTTGATTCCCTGAAGGCAGCTTTGGATCTGTCCTCTTTGTGTTCTTTGTCTCCTGTGCTCTACGATCGAAAGAGGCTCTCGTAACGTATGTATGTATCGCGATCGCGATCTCACTACAGCAGCTAGCGTCCTGTCCTTGCTGTCTGCTGTAGGACCACAGCGAGCTGCTGCAGCATAAACGACCCCTCCAGACCCCTCCCGAGGAATCCACGTTCATGTTCTATGATTCACCACCCGTGCCTCGTCACACCATCCCATCCACATCACACGGACTAATGGTACTGGCACATCACGCCTGGGATGAAAAGAACAGACGGGCGATGCACGTATGCACAGGGACGATCGACAGCCCCCTCTTCGTCACGGTGCGTGGGCCGGGAGCACCGAACGGCCTGTAAGGCCTGTGCAACACGTATGGACGGCGCATGCCCACATCACCAACGGCAGACAGCACAGCGTGGCCCGGGATGGCCTCGGAACGTCGGAGATGCTGGCCATCATCGGACGGACGGCTTCATACAGCGCAGCCGCGTGGTCCCGTCTTGGTATGTCCCGGAGCAAGGCGCAGACGTGTTCTGCCACGACAGTTGGTCCATCGGTTATTTCTCCTGGCACGTCGACTGTCGGCATGTTCTCGCACGTTCGACGGTCTTCGTGCTCCGTGTCGACCGGAACGGCGTTACTTCTCCTGAATATTGCACGCCGCCGGTACGTACAAGCGAGCCACCATGTGCATCATGTGTTCTTATTTCTTAAGCCCGATCTGAGACGTCAAAAGCTAGAAGCGAAATACTACATAGGGCACATCCTAGCACATCAGAATGGAGGCGTAGTGTCTGCCATACGAGCGTCTCTGTATGCGCGTAATCGGAAAGCTCTTTAAAGGCGTTTGATTCAATGATAAGTGGCTTCGCGAAAATTTTCGAGATGTGTGCATGCATGATGTTCCGGCGGATTCTGGCCATCCAGCATCTGCCTCTGCCATCAGAACCGAGGGCGCGCCTCGAGGCTCTCGCCTCCGATCTAAAAGGTCTCGCGCTTGTTAACCGGAGCGAGGCGGAATGCATATCGTAACCTGTTTGCCATTCCGTCGAGGCTTTGACAGCGGGTCTCGCCGTCGCGCCGATTATCCGGTGCTTCTTACCGTTCCATGGCGGTCAATGTGCGTTGCATGCAGGAAATCCCTTCTCCATTGTGCCTTTATTATGATTGTTGAAAGAGCTCAACAATAGAGCGCCGCCAGACGCCGCTCTTTCTCGTACGCGCACCGCGGCTGGTACCTTGAACGCGTGCACAGGTCGTCCGTGTGCAAGTGCCGATGTACTGTATTCATTTCGGATCAAGAGGGCAGAGACATGCTCACGCATAGACCAATTCCACAACCTTCCACAAGCCTCAAGGAACGGGAACAACGGCAGAACGAACCTGCGAATCTGATAGAAACAGAAACCCCGTCTATTGTTAGCTCCGAGCGGACCCGCTGTCGTTTGTGCAAGTTGCTCACTCTCTCTTGAATGAATAGCGAACTCCAAGTTCTGATCACGACCCGTACATAGACTAAATACTAAGCACTCAAAATACCTGTCCGGGCTAAGGTTAACGTTCAGCGCGAGCAAATACACAGGGCTCTCAATATGTTTATATCACTGCGCGATGCGTTCTCAAGAGACTGAATGCGCGAAGCAGGCTCGAAGTGAAGGTAAGTCAAAAATAGGGGGTTGTTCGTCGCGTCCGTGCGCACGCCCAAGGTCAGCTGGTTCCTGCGACCTGTGTGGTCCTCCCGAGCCAGCGGTGAACGGTGTGCGCTGTCTCATGCTGAATTCAGAAGAATTGTTGATTGACTTGATGCTCCACTTCGTGTAGCTCGATGCAGCGTTCAGACTCGAGCCGTCATAGTGCACCGGCCCTGCCAGTGTCACAACGACGATTGGGAGAGCTACTAGCAATCTTAAACTGAGTCTGCATGGCTCAAAGAGTGCGTTTCATCGACAAATATTGTACAGCGCATCTCACTTTTCCCAACGAGTATCGTCTGTGCACAGCGCAAACAACTAGAGATGCTAGTGGTCGCTCGCCCAAGCCTTGCAACACCGGCACTGGCAGAGCCTTGCCTTGAAACCTTTCGCGATTGATCTTGGGCATTGCCACCAGGGGTAGAACTTCAAGACGAGTACTGCCCGCCATCTCCTGAATTCATCCATAACCAGGGCCGTGATCCCTGATCAAGGCAATGCAGAGGCAAACACAGTCCAGACACTGGTTAGCTTCCGCGGTCGGTGATTTAGTCGCTGCTTAAGCTGTTGTGTCGATGTCGGGATCAGGCCTTGGCGAACTTGGAAATGACCGAATCAGGTCCAGAGCAGGACCAACCGCGCCCACACACAAGGCATCCCCAGAAGACCGACCGGGATGCGGAACTAACTGAAACACCGGAGCCGGAGTCGGGGTGCGGCTCCGGCCCCGGCTCGAAACTTTCCTCCTGCCGCTTCGGACCGTTTACTCGGATGATCGACGGGCTCAATTCGACAGCGTGGGCGTTCGACATGACACGTGGTGCTGCTTAGCCGCGTCGACGTCTGCCGACATAAATATTCCCCACAGGCTGCGACAGCGTCGGTCGATGAGTGGACGTCATGATGCGCGTCTCTCCGTCTCGCTGGTCAAAGACTTGAAACGCTTCTAGCTGACTCACAGGTGCTCTCAGATATTCCTGGTTAGACTGTGCACGACGCGGACTGGTGTCAGCACGCGCGGCAGCGAGCGACGCGCGCGCCTCCCAGCAGGACACGATGGTCCGTGATTCTCTGTGTGCTGTCCCTGCTGCACTACCTTGTGGACGTCTGATGGTCGTCGTTCTGCAAGCACAAATTACAACTTCGCGTGGATGGGTCTGGACTGGGTGTGGTGGGTTTTCGAGTGACTGACGCCTACTGATGCAGACTGACAGAGAGTGACGCACGGCTGCCCACAAAACGCACCCACTTCATTTTACTTCATCTTACCGTCCTCGGCTATCTTGGTAGCTAGCTGACAGCTAGGAGCTTTTGCGCTCCACTGATGTCAGCGGTCTGGCGGCGTTCATTGATCTTTCTTACCCCAGGATTTCACGTCCATCAGCTTCTGTCTTGATTTCGTTGGCCCATCACCGAAGTTCTCGCTGGGGATGTCGATAACGAGTGGAATGAAAGCCTGGTGGAGTGCACCTGACTTCGCCACCTACGTCAAGATCCTCGTTACCACACCTGGTTTCCCCCTTGAATGTTACCTTGGCTAACGAGATCGTCCTTGTTCTCCGTAGTCAAATCCCTTCGCCCTGCTACACGCCCGGCCTGGAATGCAAAGGCACCATATGGGTGGGTTCTAAAACACGCTATAGTCATTTCAACGCTATCAAATTCTCCATCTTCTTCAAGTTTCACATTCCGGTCGCCCGCAACGTCTTTCTGACCAAGGCTGTGGAAAACACATTGTTTTCATCAAAGTCCCTCAGGTGCGCAGTCATATCCGCACGACGCAGCTTTGCCTCGGCGATAACCTCCCGCACCACGCTGTTCAGGGGCCCACGCTCTTCGGACGTCTTTTTTCTCTGCCAAAAGTCTTTTTACTTCGTGCAGCTGCGTGGTGCAACGTTTGATAGGGCACTCATCTGCGTGTCTTTGATAGTCTCTTGGCCCCTCTTGGCTCTTGCTTGCGTAGGCTTCTCGTAGATGGCGCCACCGCTAGATGAGCTCGACGTTCCGCTTTGGAGGGGATAACTGAGCTGGCGGCTGGTCACGCACTCAATCGCGGTTTCGAACTGTCTGTCTTTTCCCAGATACTGCTTCCTATCTTCAGTGAATTGACGTGGCTCGTGGTCAGGTGCACATTAGGCTTTCTTTTGCTCTCAGACATCGCTATTTTTATCACATTCCCTGTAAAGATCCTAGTTGTGGAAGTGCAATAGCTCAAATGTCGGAAAATGATAAAGTAGCACGACGGCGTGCCCTCTCGCCACATGTCCATTCTTTCCAAACGACAAGGGTGGGTGTTTACCTCCATGATTGCGAGTCACATTGTATATGATATCAGTAAATGAACTATCAGTACCGTACTGCGATGAAGGCAACCACATTCATTTCGTTGTTCTCCTTTCGTGTCTGAGGCGAGTCCAGAAGTCTATCTTTCTGATTTTATGATCGTACACGAGCATGCTATGTGTTACATGGTTGATGCATATTATTGTATGCAGCTAGTACTAGAGTCTTTATAAACAGAAATTTGGAGTGTTGCTTGGAAGTCAGAAGCGCTGTATGGGCACTAAAGACTCCGAAATCATGGAGCTCAGCGCTTGAATCCCTTGATCAGCCACTGCCATATCAACCGGTCACGGCCTCTCATGGAGTGTGCATCTGTCTTGAAAAGCAACTCTACTAGACCACCACCTCAAGAGGGGTCTAGAGCAGTTAAGCTCGTTGTCCTCGGTGATGGTATGAGTCGCCGTGTTCTGAGCCCTCATACTTCCTCGGTTTCTTCTGACCACTCTTCTTTTCCACTAAAGACGGTGCGGGAAAGACATCTCTCGTCGCCGCATACGCAGATAAACGCTTTTTGAATGATGTAATGAGGTTTCATATCATGTTCTGGGCGAGCAAACGTTCATACTTTCGTCTTTCTAGGACGAGCGAAAAGATATCTACGATGCATTCAGCGTTGGAGTGGACATAGAGGGTAAAGCGATAGACTTCCGAGTCAATGACACAGTTGGCGAAGAAGGCTACGACAGACTTCGCCCCTTGGTATATCCTGGAACGCACGTCATGATCCTCGTCTATTCTGCTGGGTCCCCTGACAGCCTCCGCAACGTCCAGACAAAAGTAAGCCATCTGAGACAAAGTCACACATTGCTAACTATCGGCCCGCGTTCTTATTGGCTGCCCCCACAGTGGCTTCCTGAAATTGACCACCACGCTAGTATACGGGTGCCACCGCTGGTGCTAGTGGCGAACAAGACGGATCTGCGTGGCGACCACGATAAGGAAACGCTCGTAACCACAGAACAAGGCAAAAAAGTCGCCCGCAAAATCGGAGCAGAACACCTCGAGTGCTCCGCCAAGACCGGCGAGGGAGTCGAGGCAGTGTTCGACGTTGCCTGTCGTCTTGGTGTTGGGGAGTCTGACAGGCCGACGCTGAGACCTATCTGTAGAGGGGGCCCTTGCATCATATGATGTGCTCCAGAAGAGTTGGATTCCAGAAGCCTGCCACTCGATTGGTCATATGGTCAGAGAATGGGGCGACGGCTCGAGTCTGCTTTTTGTAATGTACTCTACAGATTGTCGTGTCATATAATCAGCTTCCTGCACACGTTCGATAATGTTAAGGTCGCCAAGAGTCCTAATAAGGCCCACTGAGATGGTGGAAGCCCTTCTTCGATGTTCACCGCGCGTGCTCGGCCTGCCAAGATGAAAGGCGGCGACGTCCACTCTGGGTGAGTTCTCGCCTAATAGTACATCACCTACTCACCGAAGCACCACCGAAAGCATAAGCGTTGAGCCCAGAAAGTAGCGCCCAGGTCCAAGTAAAGCCTACATTGGGAGCCTAGCTCAGCCGTGCCAGTGTACCGCGTGGTGCGAAAATAACATGTCTCAATGTCGGTGCCTGGCTCGATAACCAGGCGAACAGATGAGAGCTAGGGTCTCTGATTGCAAGAGATGAATTTGCGAAGCAGGTACACGGCCCAAAGACGTGATACGACTTCTGATAGCGTCCTGACACTATCGTTTTTATTTCTTCCTGGCGTGCGGGGCAAGAACACTGCCGCCGGCGTTTACCCCAGAACCGGCTTGTATGGCGAGATAAGTACTCTTGACAATGTCCCCACGATCTACCGTATCTTCAAAATGTCGACGTGGGGCAGAGAGAAGGCGTAATGATTCTCGTACGTGCAATAACGTCGTTGGATGATAGTGAATGATTCTGTCCTGTTTGGGCCTAGCCTGCCGGCCCTGTTCGCGGCCAGCCAAACCCGAACACCCGCTTGAAAAACACTAGGAGCATGTGATTTGTGCAGCCAAACATAATGAGATTCGAAGACTAGACACGCACGGAGTGTCCGCGATGATGTGAGTGCCATGATATACCATACGAGACATTCGCCTTTCACCCCTTAAATAAACTGATACAACCCCGCCGTCAACGTCTTAACCAGCTGATCTCCCATTGATCTCCCCTTGTTAACTCGGCCCCGGATGATTCTGACCTTGATGGCTACGTGTCCTCCCAAGCGACTCCTGGAGGGCAGCGAATGCCATGTTCTGCTCGATGGTAGGGCCTTGTGGCACCTGAGGCGTGAGTGTCGCGGTGTCAGGGAGGATGGTGCCTGTTGATGGGGGTCGCACGCCCTGAGCTTGTGCCTGCATTTGCAGTGGGCTCGGTGAGCGTGACTCCGCGTCTCCGCTATCCATGTCTGCGTCACTGTCCTCCGAAGTTGAGAAGGATTCTGATTCGGGGATGGTGAAACGCGCGGCAGAGTCGGTCCGGACGAGGTTGATGTAGTACTCTTGAAGAACCTCACGGGTGCACTGTTGAGACGGAAAAAAATAGAAGTCACATTATTACATCATCAAACCTACGAAGAGGTCGTGCCTTGGGAATGGCGAGGGGGGAGACGACGGAAAACAGTCATGGAGGGAGGGTGTATAGAAGAAAGAAGGCTAACCGTCAACCGCCAGTCAATGCCCAGGAGAAACTCGCGCTCGAGGACGTTCAGCTCCGTCAAAGATATTCCACCAACTCGAGCGTAGAGGCTATTCGTGCAAAATGTGTCGCATAGGCCTTTGCTTGCCACGGCGATTGAAGCGATGATAAAACGATGCGCGGTGAGGGAGGAGAGAGTGAAGAGCGGTGTGCGCGCACACATCTGGTCAACATAATGCAATGTTAGCAGAAGGATACTTTTCTGCTTGACATGACGAGGGTCAGTATCAGCATGCCAAAGGGTGAGTGAATGGCGTGCCTCGACTTTCGTGAACCTGACTATGCGACGGAGATATTCTAGCACGCTGATCCCCGGTGCACTTCTGGAGTGAAAGCGCGTCAAGCTCTCGCTGGGACATGCGCCACGAAGGTTAACGGGGAGGCCATCGACGGTGTAGGAAGGCGAAAACGCACGGTAGCAAGGGTATCCTGTCATTGTGAGCCATCAGCCGCTCCAACATATCCGCTTCCAGGAGAGGGTTAGAGCACGTCCTTTACGGGGAGACACGGAAGCCCAGAGACCGCGAATGTCATACCTATGAGCAGCGCGAGATGGTCTATATCCGCATCCTCAAAAGCTGTGGGTAAAACGACCCTTCCTGAGGAGTCCATCCACCCATCGCAGTCGATGCCCAGCGGCGCCGTCTAATCTCAAGTCGCGATGTGATCTTGGACGACCAGTTATTCCGGGCCGATACCACACAGATACAAACAATCGTGCCACGACGGGCCTTCGTCCCGAACATCTGTACAGTACCATCGTCGGCATCTGAACTCTATTTTTCTGCCGCGGCGCGCTCCGTCCGATAGCCAGGCAAGCTACCGCTCATCGAATCCACGTTCCTTCGACTCAACAATGGCCCCCAAGCTCGTCAGTATCGCCCTGCACAACCCTCATGCTGTCTAGGAAAGCTGACGTATAACCAGGACCCCAACGAAATCAAAATCATCTACCTGCGGGCCACAGGTGGTGAAGTCGGTGCTTCATCTGCTCTCGCACCCAAAATCGGTCCTCTTGGTCTCGTATGTCATACATGAGAGCGTCGTGTTCGATATGCTAAGCTTGCATTGTAGTCGCCCAAGAAGGTCGGTGAAGATATCGCCAAGGCTACCGGTGCATGGAAGGGTCTCCGTGTGACTGTCCAGCTTACGATTCAAAATCGTCAAGCAGCAGTCTCTGTTGTCCCCTCCGCCTCCTCTCTGGTCATCCGTGCTCTTAAGGGTACGTCCACATGCTATGCGCAGCCGAATACATCTCATCAGTCTGTACAGAGCCTCCTCGTGATCGCAAGAAGGAGAAGAACATCAAGCACAGCGGCAACATTCCTTTCGATGAGATCGTTGACATTGCCCGCACGATGAAGTCAAAATCGCTAGCGAAGGAGCTCTCGGGTACCGTGAAGGAGATTCTCGGCACTGCCCAGAGTGTTGGCTGCACAATCGACGGCCGGCCAGCTCATGACGTGATCGACGCGATCAACTCGGGGGAGCAGGAGGTGCCAGACGAGTAGACGGCCACTCATGTATTTTTTGCCCTGCATTATCACCATTTTATCTGGCACATCCTCACTGTTGCTCTTGTAAAAGAATACCGCAACTCCACGGCGGACGACTGCCACAGCGTGTATACCATTGAGATGACTGATACGACTCACTCAGTGCTTCCTCGCATCAACTTGAACGTCTTCAAACTTGTCGTGAATCTTCGACCACGCTAAAGTTGTCGCGAGCGCGTTCTCCATTGATCATTGAAATGGCTGCCTTCGTACTCAACGAAGGCTTTTCCTGGATTATCTGTGGACAGCCGAACAACGTCGTGGTTAAGCATCACCAGTATCCGCATGTGACGGCAGAGAACTTAATGAAGCCTTGGTCAGTTACGCGCAAACGAGAACAAGGCATCAATACATGGTATCGGGATCGTAGGGTGGGCATTTGGTTTCCGAACTCAATTGCCTTATGACTAGACCCTTGTGCCCATGAACGTATCGTTCCCATCGCCCATTTACCATAGTTGATACCCGCTGTCACCGACTGAAGGTGCTCCGTGGGCGCCCAGCTAAGCGCTGCTCGATCAACAAATGCTTGTCCCTCTGTCAAGCTTAAAGGGTAAGTATGAACACTCCAGCGTCGCTCACACCTTTCTTCTTCAAGCTCTTCTCCTACACACTCCATAATAGCTGCCAAGCACACCGTCCTCATCGTGCATGGCTCATGGCATGCTCCGGCGCACTACGAGCCACTCGGTCGATCCCTCGAAGAAAGGGGCTATGATGTCGTTTGTCCTCAGCCGCCGAGCTGGCATAACGACCCACCCACGACAGCGCTCAAAGCAGATGCGGACGCGATTCATCGTCGCCGCGCATTCATCTGGATGTGTCATCGCCTCCGAGGCGATCAGCGCTTTTTACGGGCGTAAAGCGCGTTCTGGGGAACATAAAGAGGGTGGGGTGCTACATATCGTCTATATGTGTGCGCTTGTGGTCGAAGAGGGCATGTCTGTGGCTGACCAGTGGGGTCTGGTTCCGGAAGGGCTTACGGACGGTTTGGATATAAGTGCGATTTGAATTATGCATCAACCATGGTTTCTTTCTTTCCACACAACGAGGTTAATTTTCACTGGTTAGCCAGAAACTTTGATATGTTCGAGACCCGGCGCAGCAACGTCTTCGATGATGTACCTAACGACGAGCTGGAGCGTTGTCGGTACGTCCAGAAGCTGGTTCGTGGATCCGTAAAACCTGCCACCGACCTGACCACATACGCGCGGCTTACAAGCATTACCCTGTGACGTATGTTTTCTGCACCGAGGACAACGTATGGCCGCACGACTACTACCAGAAAGCCTCTGTGCGAAACATCCTCGTTGAATATGGAGCGGTAGTGGCGGAGAAGACCCTCGGGAGTGGACGTTCGCCATTTATCACTCATCTGGACGAGCTTGTGAACATTGTGGACGAGATTGTAAAAGTGGCTTATTAGAAGACACACCCCTCGAAGTGTATCCGAGCCCTTTCTACCTGACGGACGCGATGTGAATGTGAATGCCACAAGATGGTGATCCTTGTACCCGTTTTTATTGTACATGTCATAGGCTCTATCACGGTAATATGCCCCTGACGAATCGATGGCAGGGTTGCGATCTGGCGGTACTAGTCTCAAAGAGACACGTAGCAGAATCCTTTCTCATAGCAGCTGATCAACTATCTCCATCTCTCAACAAGATCTGAGACCCAGATGGTCTACGCAGGCGGTGTTGGTTGTGATGGTTGTACGGATAACAAGGCCATAAGCACAGGCTCAGCATGAGCCATTTCTCCGCGCACTATCTTCTGGATTTTAGCCGGAAGTGACTGTAGTACCTCGGGCGCATGGCGGTGCTTAAGTAGAACAGTCGATGTGACTTCGCGAACTTGCGGATACCTATACGATCATCGGATGAGCAACGACGTAGACTGAGCGAGAAAGAATCGTGTTCACGTCGCAGCAAATTTCGTCAGAGACTCGTCGAGGACGTTCTTTGCTGAAAGCTTCGATTCAAAGTTGCGAAGTGCTTCTTCCGCCAAAGCAGGCATGTTAAGCTGTCAATCGTCAGTTGCTTATATCAAAGGACAAAGGAAGCACGGCCGAAGCACCACGCACTTTTATTGCAAGGCGGTACATCGACTTCGGTGAGCAAAGTGGTGCATCAGCAGGAGAGTGGACGTCCTGCTGGACACCCGAGGAGGTGAGTGAAGCGAAGCTTATTTCTTTAGTGTAGGTATAGTAGACGAAAGCCCTCCACCTGCAGCTTCGCGTTAGCACATATCGTGTAGGGTGGACAGTCGGAGACTCGCGTGTTATAAGCGGCTGCGGTGACAAGGTAGGTTGGGAAGCTCTGAGCGTCTTTCTGCTCTGGGGACTGTGCTATATGATAAAGGGGAGATTTTACATGGGATTCGTCCGACAAATGATTCTCCTTGATGCTGTCAGAATTATACTCTAAGGGTGTTTGCGAGACAGAAGGCTCAGGTACAAGCTCTTCAAGGATTTGGGGTTCGTCTTCATCAAGATCGCTGTCTTCCTCATAATCGTAGAGATCATGATGCGAGGGTGCACTAGCACCAGGAGAAACATGCGAACACATGCTGCATTCGCCTAACAAAGTGACATTCAGCCAGCTCATAACAAAAGCACGCGAATATACGAACCAGAGGCTATGTCAACGCCCATGTCTTGAAGGACTTGATTAGTTGCATAGATGGGCACAGGGCGCAACAGGGCGCTTGTCGCGCTTCTTCGGCGGGTGAACGCCAGAAACATCACGTCGAAGAAGGTCCCTGTCATCATGGACGTTGAAAGAGTACTACGGGGACTGTTGAACATCCGTTCCGTGTCTGAGCGAGGGACGGAAGGTGTGAAAGTTATGGCATCATCTACGGGGGATGTTGCTCCACCGGCGGCTCGGATTGTTACGACAACTTCGGTGTCTGCGTCTAGCTCGTCGGGGTATGAGAAGATTGGTCGAACAATGGATTTGCGAACAACGATGTTTGTGAATGTTACCACAGGAGCCTGAAGTTCGCTAGGCGGCCAGGTAGTCTTCCGTCTGGATAAGGTCGACGATAAGACAGACGCGCAAAGATGACTATCAAGCCATAGGATAACGCACGCTTCAATGGCTACTTCCTGACCAACCAGGTCCCGAGCTACATTCTCCGTATCTAGATATATGAACGTCGATATGGACTGGGCAAGCCTGATCTTCCTTCTGGGCGGTGTGTGTATTCGCTGAACACAAAAGCGCCAGCCGTATGCCGGGCTAGCCTCTGAGAAATAAATGTTATGAGATGGCTGTGACTTCATATCACCAACTGTGATGAAAGACTTGACATCGGAGTCGCTTTGCTCTTCACGAACGGTGAGCATCGCTTGTGGTTGAGAAACTTGAATGGGGGGATGCTCGAGAACAGAGCAGACACGCGTATAGCCCCAGGCTACCCTCGGGGCAGCCACCTGGGACAAACAGGAGCCCACAAGGGCAAAGGGAGGATGGGAATTGCCTTTCCTGACGCTCGCAAGCCCACTACTATTACGAGGTATACAGCATACCAACGCCACAAATAGAGTCCACCCGGCCCCGTGTTCACTGTAGCATAATTACAGCCCAAGCGGACCAAGCTCGCTCTCCCCACTAAAAGGCCCCGAAACGACATCCACCAGCCGCTGCTTAAACCCCTCGTCGCTCAAGCTCTCCCTCAGCGCCTTATTGCGCGCCCTGATCGCCTCGGGATCCTCGAGCACCCTGCTCTCCCCGCGCTCGCGCGCGCCCTGCACCATCTGCGTCGTGCGGTGCAGCCGGACGCCCTCGTACTCGGCAAATGCCTTGCTTAGTGTTTCGGTGGACGGCTGGCCGGCGTCGGGGTTGAATTTGTACAGGACGCGCACGAGGTGGTAGACGTCTTCGAAGGACTGGTTCGCGCCCTGGCCCAGGTGCTGGTGCGCGTCTATGTCAGCAAAACCGGATAGCAGAGGGGAGCATCGATACTGACCGGACTCGTGGGGTGTGCGGCGTCACCGAGAAGGACGATCCGCCCCTTGTACCACGTCTTGAGCTCGGGTCGGTCGTACAGTCCGTACTGCAACAATTACGTCAGTCCCGCTAAGCGTCGTAAACTGCCGATGGGCATCTTACTTTGATGATCTTCTGGGCGTTCGTGACGAGGTCGTTGGCTTTGGATGCTGGTCCCCACTGTGACAGGCGACTGTTGGGGTCTTTGACGGCGTTCGCGATATGGTCATCCTGCGCACGCCAGTCCTCTTTGTGCTCCTCCTCACAGGAGGTGATCCTGGAGTTACATCAGCTAGCGGTATGATGAGTGGGAGAGAAAACGTACGCCCAGGCGTTCATGTGGTCGTTGTACGAGTACGACACCATGTGCTTGCCCTCATGGTACATGTCCAGCATAGCATCCTTCTCGAACGCAAACTTCGATGGTGTCAAGCCACCTGTCTGGCAGAGGACATGGCTTCAGGACGGAAAGTTCACTGAGTGTACCAGCACTTACCTGTACCACCCCCAGGAAATCCGCCTTCTCGTACCCAAACAGCGACGTTCGGGTGTTACTGTGCAACCCATCGCAGCCAACCACGAAGCTCGCCGTGTCCTTGAATCCGTTCGCGAACCCGACGTGCACCTTGTCCTCTTCCTGCTCAAACGACACGGCCTGGTGTCCCCACCTGACCTCGATCCCGTGCTCCTTCGCGACGGTGAGGAGTAGATCGTGCAGCACGGCGCGCTTGATGCCGATCGTCGCGAAGCCGGCGTCCTTTTGCAGCTCGGCGAAGTCGATTTCGCCGAGGACGTTGTCGCCTGCCCCGGTCGCGTCGATCTGGATCATCTTCTTGAGCGGGCGGCCGGCGTTCTGGACGCGCTCGAAGAGGCCGGGGATGAGGTTGAGGACGCGGAGGCCGTTGGCTTGCATGCTTTGAGACGTCGCCATGGGTTAACTGGTGTGTACTGAGCAAGATCGAGATAGTACGCACGCATGAGCAAGACCGGCGTTTGAGAACTCGGGAGATCTCTCGTAGAGAATGGGGTTGTAGCCTTTGAGCTTGAGGAAGGTGGCGAGAACAGGGCCAGCCATGCCTGCGCCGACGACGATCACTTTGGTCTTAGTGGTGTCCATTGTCGCGTTCGGTGTCTTGATTTTGACTTTACAATGAAGATCGCTGAAAAAGTGAGTAGAAGGGAGCTGGTTCTTCCTGGAAGGACTCCGTCCACTGGTTTTATAACAGCTCTGAACATGACACTTGCCACAGCCCCCGGTGAGAGCCCCTATCCGGAGATGCAGACGGCTCAGCGGAGCCGTACCTACGCCGTTGATCGACGAAGCCTGATTCACTCCCAATCAGTTGTGACTAGACCAGTGTTCAACGTTCAGTAGAGCGCGTTAGATCGCGTAAGACCGTTTAATCGGAGAGCCATTGCCGTCAGTAGCGCAGGGAGAAACAAAGTAAAAGTGAGTTGTAGTGGAGGCTGGTTACAAAAGCCATTAATATTGGGCGGTGAAAATATCGCCAGGAACCGGTCACGTTCGGTCATCTCCGCGTGTCCCCGAGGCCCGAACCATCCCCGATGCTCAGATGTTCTCACGATGACTTCTCGACGGCGGTGAACTCGCTCGCATACAATCTGTTCTTCACCCTTTTCAACTCTGTGCTGGATTATCTGCAGTTGTGGGCAGCTAATTGTACGCCGCTATCGCCTTATTCTTCCTAGTGCAAGGCAAACAAACAACATCCACCAACATGCACAATGCTGGTTGGACGACGCTTCTTTGCCGGCCCTCGAGTTCGCCTCTTCGCTCTCCTGCATCCGGTTGATCTCATTCTCTCCAGGTCCTTGGGCTCCAGTTTCCTACTACCATGACACCTCCGCTTTGTCGGAAGGAGGTGTCAAAGGTGTTGACTTGTGAATGCAATATTCCGGTGTGCTAAGATGGTGGCTAAAGATGGGGCCTTACTGCCTTAGATGAAAGTGAAGATATTGCCAGGAACCGGCGGCATCCCATTACCTCTGCGTCGTAATCTATGCATCGACATCAGGATACGTCTTGAAGAAAACGGTCCCACTTCGCTCATAAGTAACCAATGTAGGTTCTTATTGCCTGTTGTTTCATCGTCCGCACTCTGTCATGATCCTACTGTAACAGGTACTGGCGACAAATTGGCAGAACATGCATTCGAGGTAATTTCGTGATAAGTGGTACCGGGCTTCGACGGGTCCGAGGAGTCCCCGTATAACATATTGGCCTCGTTGGGCTCAAACGTCCATTCAAGTACCCGAAGTCATAGGGTCCTGGGGAACTCCGAGAAGCGCGGTCAAAACGCCCAACGAGGGTGCCCAAAGGTGCTTGCCTCGTGTTCATTTCCTCCTCTCCCAATAATATCCAAGTCTTCCAAACTCAGTTTCCTTCCTGTGGCTCATCCCAAAGAAAGAGAATGGGCAAAGCTTTGGCCGATGGATTGCTCGCCTCTAATCCCTGTCAAATACCGCCTTCGTTTTGTTCATTCCTCAGCTTCTTCTTCCAAGCTGCTTGCTGGATGGGACCTGCTGAGACTCGCAGTCGTGGCCTCTGACCGTCTATTTCCGTTGACCGTCGATGATGTCTTCGCTGGAAGCCTCGGTGTTTGCGCTCCATCCCCTCTCAACCCGAAGCGTTTGACAGCCTCGTTCTCAAGCACCACTCGATTTCAACAGTCCGTTTGACAGCGGACCGTCTGATGGTGCCGTCCCTTCTACTAATAGTCTCTGTCTTCCGTGTTTTGGGCTTCTCCTTGGATCACGGAACCTCCGCCGTCCATCGGACATGTGTATCCCTATCTTGACGCTCCACGGTCACCCGTTAGGAAGCAGTGCGATATTAACCTCCACCCTGCGCTGGCCGTCTCGCCCTGACGGACTCCCTGCCCTGCCACCCCCACTCACCCACTGCAGTGGGTTATTATCCCCGAACCGCCTCAAGCCAGCAAATGCAGTTCGATAGCAAGGCGTCGGCTGTGACGTCTGTTATCGTGGAGGCGGCGCTCTATGGGCTGTCGTTGCCCATGTGCGCGATCACGGCGTGGGCGTTCAAGTCCGCTCGCTTTACAGGGCGCGTCAACCCCCTGATGATTACGGCCTCTGCGCTCCTGCTTCTACTGAGCACAGTGGTAATTTTGCTCTACTTTGTACGAAGCCTACGATCATCGTCTCATAACTTTTCCGCCGGCAGCACATTGTCACGCACGCATCATGGGTGTACATCGGCTTCGTGACTTCGGACGACCAGGAGACGTACTTCGCCGACCTGACGAGCCCGTACACGACGGCGAAGAACATCGCATACGTGCTCGAGACCGCGGTGGGGGATGCAGTGCTCGTACGCGAATCCTCTGCGGATCCTCATCGCTGACGATCGCTGATTGAGCCTCCCTGTGCGCTGCACCCGCGCGGACCTCAAGATCTACCGCTGCTACGTTGTGTGGCGCAGGCTCTGGCTCGTCATCCCATTCGCGGTGTCCGCCGCCTGCGGAACAGGTGCGTATTCCTCCCCATCCCGATCCGACGTTCCGGACTCTCCAACACACACACTGACCTAAATGGCACTGTGCGTTATGCATGCAGGGCTGGCGCTCTGGACGATGATCAACATCGGGCGGTCTGATCAGACCGAATACTTCGGCGGGACGACGTCCAAGATCTTCTACGCCTCATACTGTCTCTTCATCTTCAGCAACCTCACGCCCACGTGTCTGCTCTCCTACAAGCTCTGGGCGACGGACCGCGCCGCGCACCGCTTCCGCCACGGCGGCGGCGTGCTCCGGCCGTTCATGCACGTCGTCGTCGAGTGCGGCGTGCTGTACTCCGTCTCGCTGGTCGTGATGATCGCCGTGTTCAGAGTAAAGAACTACGCGGTGTACGTCGTCGTCGACATGGTACGCTGTCCTTCCCCCTGCCCCTGCCCCTGCCCCTGCCCTTGCATCCGCAACGAAAGCTGACTCGGATCACCCTGACGATCACACAGCTCGGACAAATCATACCCATCACATTCTACGCCGTCATCCTCTGCGTGCGCGCATGGGCACCGCGGGGGAGCCAGGTACAGCCAGAAGAGCCCACCGCGTTGTCCCCCATCTCGGCGCGGTTCAGCCACCCATCGCGCATCAGCCGGTCGAGCCGGTCGGGCATGCCGCCACTGCAGGTCCACCTGCGGCGCGAGGAGGACGGGCCGAGCAGCTTCGACACGGACGACGCGAAGTCGCCGCAGTCGTGCATGTCTGCGTCGACGGCTGGTGGGATCAAGTTTGCTGATCTTGATGTCGGTGGTGATGTCGAGGGGCAAAGTGTGCAGGAGGACGCATCGGTGGTGGGGGCGGCGATTTAGAGAGGGAAAAAAGGGAACACATTGTATGCTAGATTGTGGATCTATAAGTACTGGGATTTAACGGAGGACTTACATATGTACAGTACATCATTTCGCACATGTACTTTTGACAATCAAGAAAAGTCAGAAGCCCGAACTTTTGCAGAGCGGTAAACATGCACGCTTCGATCGACCCAGCCCGCTGTTCTCTTCAATCCTAGTACAACAGCAACACAAACACCTACAAATCCTCGTCCTCATGCTCGTCCATCGCCTCCCTCTCCGTCCCCGCCTTATCTAACCTCTCCTTCCACTTCCGCCTCAGCTCCTGCCTCGCGCCCTCGTCCAAGTCCGCCCCGGCCCGCTCAACGACCTTGCTCGCCTCGTGCCCCTGGCGCGCTTCGAGCAGCCAGCTCGCCCACGCGAGCGTCGCGGTCACCGGCTCCTTCCCGCGCCACCAGCCGTACACGGCGCTGAGCACGTCCGTGCTCGCTCCTGCCCCCGGCTCGGTGCTGCTGGCATCGCGGCGCGCTTCGCACCCAAAGGCGGCTGCCCAGACGATGGAGGAGGGCAGGTACGCGCTGGCGACGCGCGTGAGCGCGCGTTTGCGCTGTGCTGGGTCCGCGGGGCCGCCTGCTCCCGGGCGGCGGTAGAGGACGGTGGGGATGTACCGGAGCAGAAGCGTCTCGTGGACGTGTTGGAGAGAGGCGTCACGCATGCTTTCTCTCAGAAGGTTCTACACCGTAGATTAGTTGAGGGTTCTGGAAGAAACACAAGCCGAGGCGATACAGGAAAAAAAAACACGCACCTCGAACGTCTTCTTGATCTCCTCACCCTCGGGATCCAGCCAGAACAAGAACCCCCAGACCCACACATTCTCCACCTCCCTCGGATCCGCCGAGCGCACGCACCGCCGGGCCTCGGCCCACGCTTTGTCGACCTCGTCCGCGCTGGGCGCGAACGCACGCTCAGTGTTGAGCCGCTCGAGCCAGAGCGTGGGATCGCTCGCACCGCCGACCGCGGTGTATTTACGCGCCTGCTTGAGGACCTTCGCCTTGTACTCCTCCGAGGCGCTTGGGCCCGCGGCCCTTAGGAGCTGCAGATGCGCGGTGCGGAGCGGGGAAGGGTGTGCGGATCTACGGGCGGCGGATTGGAGGGTGGCTACGAGGTAGGAGCGCTGGTGGTGCGTGCTCTGGGTTATTCTTGCGGTTATACGCGCGATGTTATAGGGAAACGCACCAGGCTTTCGTTGGTGGCCAGCTTGTCGTGCCATTCTAATACGAATACAGTGTATTCTCTTGCGAGTGCCAACGATGAGCTGGCGGTGTTATGGAGGGCGGACGTCATCTCGTCGTTCGCGCCCCGAAGCGCATCGACGAAGTCTTCGCTATCCAGAATGTCTTTTGCCTCCAGCGAAACGAGGTCGTTGAGTCTGCGCGTTGCGTGCATTTTGATGGCGGAAGCGTCATTTGGAAGCGCCTCCCGTAGGAGATCGTGCAGATAGTCCAACAAAGAGGTTCTCAGAGCAAGGGATACGGGATACCCTCGAATAAGCGTATCAAGCGATTCGAAAAGCTCAACTTTGGGCAATGCTGAAGGAAATATGAGGTTGCGCACTAGAAAGGAGAGTACAAGGCCGACGCACCTGACGCAGCGCTCGACATAGCAGACTTGACGATCGCGCCGTCCATAATAGCCTTCCGCGCCGCTTCCCCCTCACCGTCCTTCTGCTCTGCCGCCTTTTCTGTCGGCTCCATCTCGCCCTCTTCATCCACCACCATCGCTCCTCCCCCGCCGTCCATGCCTACCGCTGATGTGATATCTTCAGCTACAGCCACAGGCTCGTCATCGAGCGACTTGCTGGATCCAGAGACGGAGATGCCGAGGACCTGCCAGCGACGGCGAAGCGTCTCGATGAAACCGAGCTCCATGCGGACATACTCGCGCCACATGTCGACGCTATCGGCGTTCAGGCGGAGGCCGCGCTGGAGGAGCGTGCGCGCGGCGGAGGGGGAGAGGTGCGTGAGTTCATGCGAGGCGGCCATGATGTAAAGGGAGGGGGTCGTTGGGTGGAGCTGGAGAGCTCTGCATAGGTGAGGAATTGTGAGCTTGGCTGAGGAAGAACGTGAAATGGGGCGTACCGTGCTGTTATCCGTCCTACGAGTGCGCGGGCGCCTTCGCGCTTTGCTACTTCGATGTATTGGATCCAGAGGCCAACGTCTCCCTTGAATCGCTTGAGGGCGCGTTCAAAAATTTGGAACTGTCTCCGAACGAGGGCATAGTCGGATATCGAATGGAGACTTTTGGGTATTTCTAAAGAGACGATCAGCTTTTTTGCACAAGAGTCTATGGGTAAGATCTCACTTAGACGCTCGACGCGTTTCCGACGTAATTGTTCCAGGCTCATTTCGTAGGCGGCGTAGCGAAGGAAGTCGGACCGGCGGGGGATGCGCCTGACCAGGAGAGTCTCGAAATGGGTGCGCTTTTTGAGGATCTGCTTTACTTCTGCCTAGACGAGGAATCCTCCGTTATAATCAGTTGTCGTAGATAAGCTAATGGCGAAGATTCAATTACTTGTGTGAAGATGTTTTTTTCGACGAGGTCTTTGAGCTCAGAGAGCATCTGTGGCCATCGATCAGCATACATAGTGCTAGTACAGCGAACCAACTACCTGCTCCTGCTCAAACTGTACCCTCTCCATGCTGAGTTGTTAGTGGGCGGTGACAAGGATTGTTGTGTAGCGGCAGGGCCAGAATTTGACGCGGACGAGGGAAATGGGGTGAGGAGAGTCGGGAATAACCGAAGGCTTTTTCATGGCGCCTAGCAAGACACACCGTGCAGGAGCCTCAGGCCTTCAACGCTCCCACTCTCGCACCTCCACGTCCTCCAGGCTCGGCATCAGCAACCTTCAGCTCACACAGAAGGAGCCCAAGCCAGCAGACAGGTCCAAGAAGAATGGCCACACCCATGATGTCCGTCGTTGATTTGCATCAGCCGAACAATGACTGACATCTCACACTTGCTCTCCTTTTCGCTTCACAGGACGCCGCGTCAAACCACTCAGTCAAACCCCGTGGTGTGCAGCGGGTAGCCAGTGGCTTCCGAGCTGAGCGCGTCCCGTCCAGGGAGCAGATGCAGCATGCCGCACGCTACGCAGCCAACCAGAACCAGCAGCGCGGTCAGAAGGCCAAGGCTGGCTTCACCATCTCGAGCCCCAGCCCCGGACAGGACGAGGATGACGAGTGGGTCTCAAGTGAGAGCGGTGCAGTCAGCCCCACCAGCAGCGAGAGCGAGGACGAGGACATCCCAGAGGCCAGAGAGATACTAGCGCCGCCAATTACGCCCGTCGAGCCGCGCAAGTCAGCCCAGCCATCGATCGTTCTGCCCCCGCCGCAGACCTTTCCGCCACCAGCGCAGGCGCCGGAGCATATGGATTCTCCTATACTTCCAGATACACCCAGAGCAGCACTCGCGGACCCCATCTCATCCCAGGCGACAGCCGCTCGCCCGCCCGAAGTGTCCGTCATCGTGCTCCCAGCTGCGTCAGTACCACGTGGGCCTGTCACTGGACCGCCCAAGGTCACGGAACAGCTCTCCATGTTCGAGCCTCCAGCCCAGCAGCAGCAGTCGTCGCACCTCGTCGCACCAGCACCACCTCTGGAGACGCGCTCGGAGAACACGTCTCCCGTGCAGCGCTCGAAGCAGACAACGCTCTCGCGCCCGACGTCCATGCACGGCACCGCCGCGTTCGGAAGAGGCGACGTCCCCCTGCGCCCGCACCCCCTCATCCGCGGCCAGTCCTTCGGGCAGCACCTCCCCATGTCCCAGCGCGTCGGCCCCCTCGCCCCTCTCACCGTGCGCTCCGACCTACCGCCCGCACAGATCAGCGCGTCGCCCCCGCAGAGCAACACCGCCGTGTCGACCTCCCCCTCCAACGCGAGCATCAAATCGACCTCGCACTCCCCGCCGCACCGCCGGCCCTCCGTCTCGTCCGCGCGCAGCGTCGCGACCCTCCCGAGCGGTGCCGTTGCGCCCGCGCAGACGGGGCTGAGCAAGCCGCAGGTGGACCGGGACACGGGCCGGAACCGGACGCTGTCGACGGCGTCGAACATGACGAGCAGCTCGATGCAGCGGCTCTCGTCGCTCGCCGCGCACTCGCAGACGCGCCCCGCGACGCCGCAGTACGTGTCCAAGTTCCCGCCCGCGAGCCAGACCGCGGGGCTCGAGGCCGTGCACCCGCTCCTACCCTCGCCGTACCTCGGCGCGCACCTGTTTATTCTGCCGTATCGCAGTCCGCTGCGCGAGTCGTACGACCGCGTCGCGGCGGCGAAGCAGCGCCTGAAACGGTAGTCGCTCTAGAGGAGCGGGTCTTGCCAGGGGATCTGGGCAGGAAGCGAAGAAATGCGTGCTTCCCAAAGATCTGTCTCAGACTGTGCATATGTGAAATAAGTGGTGGATGTACGCCAGCGCGAGCTGTTTAACCACTCGCCTTTCCACACTCCTTTGGTCTTTTCTTATGATGGGTGTCCTCACTCGCTCGTGGAACCGTCCTCCATAACTTATCTCCAATCAACCAACGCACCAATGCTTTTTCATAGCCTATACCACTCCGCCATGCTTCATCACCGGACTTGCTGTGCATGGCTGCGCGTTTTCTGTTGTATTAGTATGTTGTACTATATCTTCTTTTCTCTCACTTTCCGCTACAGTGGCAGCATGCTTTTAGTCCTCCCTCATGTTATTTAATGCGCGTTTTAGACGTTATGATGAATGAAACGTGACTATAGCGCTCCTAACAGATAGTCTCTGAACTCTAGGCTACTGTGCAGGAATGTGTAGCGTTTACGCGCCCGGCGAGTACTTAGTACTTAAGTTGCTGCTTTGGTGAAAAGTTCAAGCCCAAGCAGTACCTTTGCCCATGGAACTTTTCCAGCCGAGATGTTGACATAGTTGCAAGACGTTGGATCGCATCAAGTCGTACTCTCGTAAAACCTCTGCTCCAGTCCCAATTATACCAGCTTTTCGGAATATTATCGCAAGTAAATAACGAACGTCATGATGATACAAAGTACATTAGTAATGAAGCCGACTAAACCGACTCTACATACGCCACCAGGCTCTTCAGCGCCAAGCTCTCGCATTTTCACCAGCCCCTCAACCATCGAGTTTTCTTGTTTAGCCTGAAATTTCAGAGGCTATGCCTTTGAGGCTTCCTGGTCTTCCGACTTGTTCAGGTCTCTCGGTGTAGCAAAAGCTACAGTGGTCATCTGTTGGTCACTGAAGCCGTCACTGATACCACCTAATCCGTCGTAATAGCTTCTTCGGAGTCTGAGAATCGTCCAAGGTCCAACCATTGCATATGTGACATCCTCTAAAATGATGTCTATGCACTGGTATATTACCGACTAAAATCACGTATTGTCAGAATATCCAACAAGATCAAACAAGATCAATCGTTTCTTACACTGGATGCGCTGTCTGTTTGGTCTAGACTGCTGACAATCATAGAGGATAGAACCCTGTATATGTGATAGAATGAAAGTTAATTGTATCGCGGGGTGATAAGCAAGACTCACACAAAAAAGTAAACCAAGTTATCGCGTATAATAACTGTTACTAGAGTTTTGGCGGAGTGGGTAGGGTTTTTCCAAAAAGAAGCGTGAACATGCTTCCTCTCATAGTACAAGACACAGATGCAAAGGATGACCTCGTATGATAGCAATGCCATCGCAGCCAGGTAGGTCCATTCTACGCTTGAAGGAATATCAAAACCACAGAATGATATGTCACCAAAGGTGTAGACAACTTTTGGCAAACTTTAGTAGCATTATCATGGCTGTTTGGGCTTCGTTCAACTTGCCTGGATTATTGATTACGCTTCTCATAAGAATGGAAACGGCCGAAAGGTTTGCGACTTGGCACGCTACGAAGCAAAGGAGTAGAACAAGGAGAGTCTTGAATGGTCGCCCGAAAAGTACGTATACCCGTACTGTCATCATTGCTGTATTGATGAGTGCCTAATTAGCGATTCGTGAAAATAGATGATACAGCATATATGCAAACCTTGTAAAAGAAATGTTATAACCAGGATAACAATCATGGGCAGCATCCATATAAACGCACCTGTGTAGAACCCAGAAATTATATGTAGTGAGTACATTTCCAATATTATATTTATGGCTCTGGTGATATGGTATGTACTCACAGCTTCAGTGGTAGAATAGTAGTGTCAGGTTTAGGGCACTAGAACTCAGGCGAGCTAGCACGCACCTCTATGAAAGTTTGGGCACGCGTTTAGCCTTGTCCTTTTTACTCTGACAACGATTCTACTCACTTGAGCTGAAAGCGGCAAACTGTTGAGGTTGCTGACTGTTCAAAAATATGAAAAACGTCAGCGTACTCTATCCATCAGACTGCCACAGCTAAGACATACTCAGAGCCATGCTAGTTTGCCGGTTTGGCCTTAATGAGTGCATCACTAACAGGCTAGCAAAGGAATATAGCGCACATCGGAAAAACCAGTCCCATATAGCGTATCTTTAGAAACAGGGTATTATCAGCAACGTAAAAGACGGATTTAATGGCGTTATATTACCACAATGTACACCAGAGTTGTCACGGAGAACTTCTTGCTCTAAAATCTTGGGTTAGCGAAGCATTATGGATAAAGTTGCGCTTGTCCACTAACCCAAATTAATTCCACCTAAAACGGTTCGCCTTAAACTCAACAGTAGGTGGTACTATGAAGAATGAAACAAGTACCTCGGACGGAATATTTAGGACTAGCACCAGTCAAGTCTTAGTGAATCTTTATACAAATAGAAAACATAGGCTCACCATAGTCGTAAACCACCATGGCCATCGCAGCAACTAAACAATAAGATACGGTTTAGTATATAGCAATGCTAGAGACGTGAAGGAACGTTCCTGTGGCATATTCTTGCAGTATGCTTTGTTGCGTTAGAGACGCAACCTCTTGCTCAGTGGTGCTAGAAGAAGACATTTGATAAAACTAGGATAGTCAATCGAGATATATATCGAGGGAAATTCAGGCTTGGGCGCTCAAAAAGCAAAATGCGCTCTTTGATTTTGAGGTCTGACGGCAAGCTCGATGGGTATTTATCCACGTCAACACAGCTAGCATAGCCTTTGCCTGAGTGGATCTATGCAGCAAGTTCAGGTTGAATACAGTATGTAGCATCTTGATGCGTCTTTATAAGGTGGCAATTGTAACACGCTGAGTACTAACAAACTACACGATGGGACTATCCATCTTCCAATCAAAATCAACATCAAGAAACTTAACCTAAGCTTGGATTGATGAAATGCGATTGGATGGAGAAAGTGGGCTGTTAGTATCCGTGAGACACTGCTTCCGAATACTAGGACAAGGGAGATCCTACTTCAATCCACTAGAAAAATATTCCAATACAATTTGCCAGTTTAGTTAAAATACCATGGCCGAGCAGTTTAAATAATCTTTGCATACCTGTCCGAAAATTATTCGATCCAGGCACCGAGTTTTATTTGAAATAAAGTTTGTGAAAGTATGCTTATGATTCTGTGACGGGTGACAGCAGATATTTTAAATACAATCTGGTATAGCAGCCGAGTCATGAACCGGACTGGGTTGTCAAACGTGGCTCAGAATCTGAGCCGATTGCGGATTTTTGACAGCCCAGAAAGGCCATTAGCCAATAAAAATATGAGAAAAGGAAAATCAAACAATTTTCATTGGGCAGCAAACCATTAATCAAACGCCTGTCAAACGCCTGTCAAACGCCCGGCAAACGCCATTCAAACGCCCGTCAAACGCCCGCAAACATCATCCCAACACCCGTCAAATACCTGTCAAACGACAGTTAAATGCCAATCAATATAATATAATTGTTCAATAGACTGGCATTTAACTGGCATTTAACTGGCGTTTGACAGGCGTTTGATGGGCGTTTGAATGATGTTTGCCGGGCGTTTGAATGGCGTTTGCCGGGCGTTTGACAGGCGTTTGACAGGCGTTTGACAGGCGTTTGATTAATGGTTTGCTGCCCAATGAAAATTGTTTGATTTTCCTTTTCTCATATTTTTATTGGCTAATGGCCTTTCTGGGCTGTCAAAAATCCGCAATCGGCTCAGATTCTGAGCCACGTTTGACAACCCAGTCCGGTTCATGACTCGGCTGCTATACCAGATTGTATTTAAAATATCTGCTGTCACCCGTCACAGAATCATAAGCATACTTTCACAAACTTTATTTCAAATAAAACTCGGTGCCTGGATCGGATAATTTTCGGACAGGCATGCAAAGATTATTTAAACTGCTCGGCCATGGTATTTTAACTAAATTGGCAAATTGTATTGGAATATTTTTCTAGTGATCCCTTATTCGTGATCTTTATTTGGCATCATGATGCATATGGTAGAGGCTATCCCCAGTAGTGGGCGGGGATGTTGCCCTTTGGAAACAGCATCAGACAAGCTTCCGAGAATATCGAACTTCTATCGATACCCCAAGTTCGAGAGCAGTGCTTATTTCATCTATCGGAGTTTTGTGCATCAGGAAAAAAAGGGAATGACAATTGGCCCCATGACCTCCAATTCTGCATCATTGGCAACTTGTTGGCAACCGCGTACGTCCGCTGGGAGTATCCACATGAATGTTAACACTGTCTGTATGCATCGCACCTGATATTAGCAACATATCAAGCAACAGTATAGTCAACGCTTACACTCGGGGGAGAAGGCACTTTGAAGTGGGAATAGAAATAAGCAGCGCTTGGCGAGCTTGAAGCTTAAAGGCTATTATATGTATGAGCATCAAAGAGGACGAAAATGGGGATGTAGCGATGATGGATTATTTGCATGTAGTACGTTAACTGATGTTTGTCCCTCTCTGAACTGTTTATCAGATTTCACAAATGACAAGGTAAATACCGTGTTTGGACTTGGCTCACAGTCGGGGATGCTCAAAGTAAACCACCGAAGAGAAAATTGCTGACACGACAGTTGATTTTCTCGTTTTCCCAGATATTGCTTGAAAACGCGAGCCTCCAATATATATTGATGCGGGAAATGCAGTTCGCGAGCTCGCCATTCAGTGATTAAGTTGGCAGTCATCGAGCGAGCATTATGTCAACATCATGTTTGTGTTACTCTTGGTTTGTGGAGCCATCTCACGTGTCTCGAATGAGAATCTTCATTAGTGCAAGCAAGAAACGTCGCTGCTCAAAGGCCAGATTTTCAGTCAATCCTATCTGGCTTCAACGCACTAGTATCAACTTGAAGCGCAGATACCGAAGTTGTGTTGGCCAAATGGAAGGTCCGGACCGTTGCCTCGTGGCGTTAAGCATTATGTACAACACGGTGGTTTAGGTAGGCTTGGCCGTTGTGCGGGAGTACATTCCCTTGATTCGTAAATAGTACGATTACCAAAATGACTCATTCTTATCATGGTGGGTCGCTCAGACATCATGATAGAAAAGAAGTTCGATGACCCTGGTGACATTATTATAGGCCCCCTGACGACCGGTGTCTTCTTCGACGTGATGCTGGGCTCAAGAGGAGGGAGAGGAGGAAGAAGTCGGAGAAGAAGAAGAAGGTGGAGATGGAGGAGGCTGTAGTATGCGAAAGAGCATCCGTAAGTTGTCCCTCGACAACAAAATAGAAGAACAGCAATTTATGAGTGTAGATTGATGGAAACTACGGAGTTTATTGCTAGCCGAGTAATACACTACTGAGTCAAAACCCCAGTCGACCTCCGGTCAAGTTCGAGTCGTCGAGCCCTGCTCATACGTTGATCACCGCTTTATAATGTAGTAAAATGATGCCGGATTCGTCATTGGAATGAAATACAGTGCTCTTTATCAAACAGCCTCTGGTCTCCGGGTCACCGCGCAGCAATCACAGAACGATAAGTTTCCGAAATTAAAGAGGGCTATTGGTTTTTCAGTAAACGCAAAGCTGCCTAGGTTTCAAACGGCATGCCTGGATTATGATGCACGCACAGTATGTGAATATTTCTCTAAACCTATGTAAAGGTAACATGTAAACTAGATAACTTACCACTGTGCTTAGTACGAGCAGGAGGGCAGAGGCTGCAATCATCCGAGGATTTACACGCCCCGGGAAGCAGGTGGACTTGAATGTCCAGTCGTGATTGCATACATGCACAAAGAAAACCCATATAGTGCGGCTTCCACGATGATAGAGATAACTGTTGACCCCTTCCTACAGAACTGCATCCCTGGCTCTAGGCAGTTCGGGATGAGTGATTCGGGAAGAAACCCCACTTGCAGTGGGCGGGTGCAGGCGAAACAGTCGGGGGATGGTTGAGGTTACAGTTGGTTGCATTGCGATATAGCGGCAACCTTTGCTCATTAATCATTTTACATAAGTGATCAGTGGGTGAACTTACGTTGCGCGTAGTCCACAAAAGCTATTGGGTTTGGAGTCTAAAAGTGCTGATGCAGGCTCGTTTAGGGCCGGCTTGTTCATTGTGGCGGATATAATACAGCATCTCCTGAGACTGCCCACGCACGTCCCCTATTTACGGCCCCTAAGTCTTACAGGCTTCGCTCGCCCACTTTTCGTGAGGGAATACCCACCATCGCCGGCACTACATCTTTCCGTTTTCTGCCCTTCGTTCAAACATGGAACAGGATCAGAAGTTCAGTGGCCCAGATGACATTCTTGCAGCTTCTCTGATGACAGGAGCCTTCTTCGACGTGATGTTTCTGGCGTACACTCGCCGGGGGAGCTCGACAAGTTCCTTGCTGCATCCTGAACCTATCTACGCATCCTCTCGAGTCCTTCAAGGTGTGGGTGTCGATGTAACATCTGGTTCGTACTTTTCCCACGCTCTGTGAGACGGGTGGCTGGAGTTCGCTGCCAGATGAATGCAGCATGTGGACGCGGGTCTCTCCCGGCGGTGCACCCTCTTGCTCCAAACTCTACGACTACGAGGAAGATAGTGATATTGATGAAGATGAGCAACAAGTTCTTGAAGAACTTGTCCTCGAATCATTCGACGTGGATACACTGGCAGACCACGTCTCTGACTGTATCACTGTCGAATCTTCGTCGATTGATTCTTGCTTAACGCCTGACCTTGGTTCCATACAAGGCGTTCTAAATCAGAAGCCCACTTGTCCCTTGCCAACATATCTTATCACCGGTGCTTCTCACAGAACGTAAGCCTTCGTTCTCTGCTTTTTTCAGTCTACTAATTTACGATGCAGATGGTGGGCCTTCATCTACTACTGCTATACCAAACAGGTCAACTTCGCCCCGCTTTCCTCTATGAGAACCCAGACAGACACGCAAGCATCTGCGCAAGCGCCCACGTGCTCACCGAAGTCCATGTACCGCTTGGCGATGAAAGTACGCAGACTCTGAGTGCCTTTCTCGCCAGGGGCGCTAACAAGGGGGGTTCGGTAGCTTAACATGCCAGATCTGGCGGAACAAGCACTTCACAATTTCAAAACGAAGCTTTCGGTAAAGAACATCCTCACCGAGTCATTGACAAAGTTTGCTGCTACGTGAGTTGTATCCTCCTGAAAATATCACAGTGAACCCTTAGCACTCGTGTAGACACCCGAAAGTCCGTGAGATCACCACAAGTCTTCTCCTTGAGTGCCGCTACGCATCCGAGGTTCTACAGTCACTTCCAGTTAAAGTCGAGCAAATGCTGAGCGGAGAGATGCCTCATGTTAAACCTGTCCTTCTCACTTTACTGTGCGCACAGCTCGCAGAGCCGCAGGAGCACCCGACGCAGGAAGAGAAGGAAAAGAGTTGGTACAACCTCGACGCCCACCGCAAGAAGCAGCTCGAGTTCGGCGGCGGGCTGCTCGCGGGCATCACCGCGCTTGACGCAGGCTACGTCGCGTACAAGGAGGACGGCAGGCACAAAGAGGATAAGAAGGCACACGTGTGGGCACTCAGCAAATGGCTGCGTGACGCGCAGGCACGCAGGCAGGCGTACTACAATGGGCAGACGCAGGGCCCGGTGGCGTGGATCTACACGGAAGGGAATAATATCCCGCAGAATGCGATTCCTGGTGGGCAAGAGACGTACAATCGCGAAGGGCGGCAGATTCTGTATATCTGCAGGGCGTACTACGAGGGCGGCATGTGTGAGTGTCGCGTTTTCGCGTTTCCGATGGTTGGAGATCTACTGGCTGACCTTTACACTGATTCTAGTTGTCGGCAAGGCCTCATCCGTCTTCAGGCCCAGCGCCATCGTCGGTTTCATGCACGAGGAGATCCACGTGTGTCTTCTTGTCCAGTCGTTTGTTGTATGTCCCCGCTGACGCTTGATTTCAACAGCTGGACAAGTATGAGATCCTCGTCGGGGACCAGAATGCGGTCAGGTGGGTAAACGTTGAGGGCGAGTTGGATTTACAACACCTTGGTGCACGTCCGGTCGAGGGTGGCAAGGAGCCCCACGGCACACCAATATACATTGCCAAGGCGTACCACAATAATGCAGAGCACCCCGGAAAGGCATCCACCCACTATGGCGACGGGTGCTACATTCCGTTTGGTAACAATGAGGTCAGATTGCGCGTGAGTCATTTAGCCCGACAATATTGATGGGGTGACTCGATGGCTGACAACAATGTGTTTCTGCAGAGCTACCAGGTACTTTGCTACAACGACTGAATAAATTGGTTCTCTCTGTATGATAAAAGGACATTTTACTTTGTACTGTAGCAAATGAAAGCATTGTTATTGACCTGTATCGTTGACTCGCTACCTTGAACCGGTCAAGATTGATACCATCTTGACAGTATCTCTGCAATAGAGACAGTATTCACTGCTCACTTGAAAAGAGCGGGTAAACTCATGTCGAGTGTAACCGCCTCCCTATAAACACCCTCATTTATGCTCACGTTGGAGCTGATTTTGGGAAGGGGCGATGTCTCTTCCCACTCATCACGTTCGTGGAAAATCATTAACAATGGTTATAAAGTCCAAGGAAAGCCATCGAAGCTGGAAGGTCTGGACCAATGCCTCGAGGCAGGTATGATGAAATGGTTCAGGGCCGGCTTGCCCATCGTGGCGGATATATACAGCATCTGCCCTTTGTCGTAAATGTAAGTTCACGTCCCCACTGCTTATCGTGGTCGCTTATCAACATGGATTGGTCCACTGTTCATGAAATCATGCCTACCGTCATCGCCCCCCCGCTTTTTCCGCCCTCCGTCTCTCGCTCAAACATGGAACAGGATCAGAAGTTCAGTGGCCCGAATGACATTCTTGCAGCTTCTCTGACGACTGGCGTCTTCTTCGATGTGATGTTTCTGGCGTACACTCGCCGGGGGAGTTCGAAGAACTCGTTGTTGCGCCCTGAGCCTATCTACGCAACCTCCCGAGTCCTTGAAGATGTGGGAGTTGACGTAACATCTGGTTCGTACTTTTCCCACGCTCTGTGAGACGGTGGCTGGAGTTCGGTGTTAGATGAATGTAGTATGTGGAAGCGGGTCTCTCCCAGCGGTGCACCCTCTCGCTCTGAGCTCTACGACTACGAGGAAGACAGTGATGTCGATGAAGACGAGCAACAAGTCCTCGAAGAACTTGTGCCCGAACCAGTTGACGCTGATACACTCACGGACCACGACTCTGACTGTGTCACGGTCGAACATTCGCCGACTGATTCTTCTTGCACAACGTCTGATCTCGCTTCCATACAGAAAGCTTTGCACCAAATGTACACTCAACACTTGCCAACATATGTTATCACCGGTGTTTCCCACAGAACGCAAGTCTTCATTCTCTATTTTATTTATTCTACTAACTTGCCATGTAGATGGCGGGCCTTCATCTACTATTGTTACACCAAACAGGTCAACTTCGCCTCACTTACCTCTATGCAGACTCAAATAGATACACACGCATCCACACAAGCGCCCTTGTGTTCACCGAAGTCCATGTACCGTTTGGCGATGAAAGTACGCGGACTCCGAGTGCTTTTTCGTTAGGCGCACTGACAAGGATGGTTTAACAGTTGAACATACCAACTTTAGCGGAAAAAGCACTCCGCGATCTCAAAACGAAGCTTACGGTAGATAACGTCCTCCCCGAGTCCTTGAGCAAGTTTGCCGCCACGTGAGTCGTATCCCATCTTGCAGTCTTCACGACGAATCCTTAGTACTCGTGTAGATATCCGGAGGTCCGCGAAATCACCACGAGCCTTCTACTCAAGCACCGTTGCACGCCCGAGATTATACAGTCACTTCCTGCTCAAGTGGAGAGAATGCTGAGCGGAGAGATGCCTCATGTCAAACCCGTTCTTCTCGCTTTGCTGGGCGCACAAGCACCGTCACCAGTAATCAGCACCTTGCATCAAGTCATCTCGTCAACGGCTCCGAAGCCATTCCAGTCCAGTTTCAGCTTATTTGGGGGTCGGAACACTGAATCATTTAGGACCATCCATCCAACCGTATCTGAGAAAACAGTAATCGCGTCTATGGGGGAAAATGGTGAAGACAAGTTCGACAGCACGAGCGCCTATGAGCCGAAAGTGGCCGATGTGGCAGCAGCGGGAAACGTGGCAGCTGAGTTTACCCCAACAGACGATGTTGCCAAACCGCTATTTGATCCAGACTCTACTGTAGAGCCAACGCCAACGCTGTCGCATACGGATACAAAGAACGACAGCTTGATAGATATTGTACCTATTTGCAGTGCCCCCGCGGAAGTCAAGAAGAAGAAGGAGAAAAAGTCAACGAAGGAGAAGAGCCCACGTCAGGAGGAGGAGAAGAGGAGGAAGAAGAATAAGGAGAAGAAGAGGGTGGAGGAGGACATCAGACGCATGATGTCATCCGTAAGTCGTTCCTCGACCAAAATCAAAGAACAACAACTTAGCAATATAGATTGACGAAAACCACGAATGAATTGGAGGCTGTTACTAACCGAGTCAAAATATCAAGTCAGAGACTTAATTGGCCTCCGTCCAATTTCACGTCGAGCCCCGTCTATACGTTGAGCCCTTGAGCCTCGCTTCATAATGTAAAAAAAAACTCCTTTTGAGCCTCGAATACGAAGAGTTCATGTTAGCACCACTTCATCTGCTGTACCCTCCTACTGATTCCAAGTCGATTATCGGATTTGCGTAAACTACTAAAGAGTTCGGACAGGGGTTCACTCGGGACGTAATTATGCAATGAGTACTTTGTTATAATTCGTTGTCGCCCCGTGCTAATGCAGGATGGTCAGCGCTAAGAACTAAAGCGCATCGTAATCATCATGCAAAGGATTATTATGCCGCCACACGAGTCCTTTGCAAGATGTATTCCTGAACGCCCTCGTCGTTCCGATGAGAAAGCCTATCAGTTAGCTGTGTATCTCGACGTGAGCGACGAGACCTTAGCACCGCTTTATTCGTCATCGAAAGCCTTGCACGATACTCGCATATTGGAAATATGAAAACCATCAATTGATCCAACTTATCGACCTTTGTCAAGCTCTAGGAATATGTAATGCTGACCCTTGCGCTCCCTTGTACTTCGGAGTTGCCCACCGACATCGTCGCAAGCGCGGACGTAGTCCGGGTCAACGCCAGTCGCCAGTTCTAAACGTGCGTCTCTATAGAGACTTTCCTCCCTCTTCTTCTCTTCCATTCCTACTTACCTGCGTGGAGGCCGCGCATACTATCACCACCGCCCACCGTCACGTAGTGAACAAAGGAGACCGCGACGACGCGTTCTCCACGAACACCCAGTGTATCTTCCTGTGCAGTCTACGTCGCATAGTACACGGCGGAGTACAAACGACACGCTGGGGCCGCGGTGGACGCATCATCGGCATGAGCTCGCTCGCGAGGAGGACAAGGTGTTGGCAGTGTGGCAAGCACTACCCTTCTGCACGGCTATTCCGAGATCATACCTAGCTCACCTGTCTGAACGTTCGTTGCGTGTGGCTGCGGTTGTGGTAGTTACAAGGTCCGCGTCTTGCGGCACCTACGTTGCCTCGTCCAGCTTCAAGTTCGTCGCCGCGCGTGGCCCGACGCAGGTCGCAGCTGCCGGGCTCGGTCCGCACGATGCGTGTGCTTCTGGGATGCGCGAGTCTTATTTCGCTTTTCGCACGGCGATGAGCAAGGAAACCGAGAAGTCAGTGTATACACAAGAAATTCCGTGAATGAACCTCCGAGACGGCTTCCCGCGAAGCAACCGACAGAGACGCTCATTTTCTCGGTGCGGTGAGATCCCGCGAAGCACATTGGCTTGTGAACGAACCAATCTGAAAGGAACTTCACAGCTAAACGCAGGTCTCCGCCCCGGGCAACAAAAGCGAGCCCAAGGACGTACGCATCGCAGATTCAATGCCGTACCCAGTGTTGAAAGAAACGCGGTTCATGATAGGTGCAGTACATGCGCTGCGATCGGGGCCAGCAAATCCGACGTCGGTATACGCCACCAGCAGGCCAAACCGTAATCACTGACCGAAGCTATGTATGAGGGCTGATAATGACTGCGGCTTCTAGCTGAATATCCATCGGCGGAGGTTCTTACTTTGATTGAAGTGGTTTAGTGATGATTCGTCAAGAGATAGCATCACCATTGTGCCGGCGGAGCAGGAGCATCAAGAGCTAGCTCGTACCGACAGAGCTTTGGAAGGCAATAGGAGGTGAACTAAGAAGGCTGATTGAACGGCTGGAAGCCGAAATATCTGCTCAGGGGGCGGAAATGAAGTTCGCCGCTAGCGCTAACTATCACTACATCACCTACTAATATATTAACATCTAAAGACTCACCAGTAGTGTTGCCGCAGTCAGAGAAACCAGCTCAAGCCAGCTCCTCGAAACACCCGTTATAGCCACAATACCGACCAACAAAGTGTCAATCTTGGCGGTTTTCAGCCTCTATACAGCGACGAGATATGTTATCTGGAGTGATAATAAGTGCAAGTGCAAGTTTCATTGGGTTGGTTCCAGCCAGTTTGCCAAATGCGGTAACATTACTCGCCAGCTAAAGTGAACCCAGAGCGACTGATCTAAGCCAAACTCGACATGAAAGCTCCAAACGCATTTGGCCGCCAGCGATTATCGGCTTGCTGTTGGGCACTAGAGTGGCGTAGATGATTGGGCGCTGCTGCGGAGGTGCCTTGGCTACTGGGGAAAGAAAGGTGATATGCCAGCTGAGCACAGCAGCAGACGTGCGCCTTTGCCACCGGAGCGTCAGTCTGACTGAAGCTGTGCGGGCGCCTATCGACTTGAACTTGTTCCGCATCCGAGTCCCGCGAAGCGCGGCCGCGCGCTGTTCGAGTCACTACGCTTCGGGTTCAAAAATCGTGCGTTGCCTCGGTGATTCAGCTCTTCTGCGTGTGTTAAGTCGAGTACAACAGACTCGTGGTGTTCTGAGCTTGGTTCTGAGTCTCTGTCGCGGGGAACAACCGGTGATTCACGGATTTGCGTGTGATCGAGCCGACGCTGTCGTGGGGGTTTGCAATGATTTCCTGGAAATAGCCGGACAAAGTGCAAGTGTGCCAGAGTGCAGGGCGCAAAAAACGCGGCCATGACATCCACACTTGGCTGCGGCGCTCTGCTCGCCCGTTGCTTAGTAGTGAAGGGCTTAGTAGTGTGCGGTAGACGTACAGTCAGCTGTGCGGTGCCAGATCTGAGTCAGCTGGAGTAGGGAAGATGGAGACCATTCCTTAAGTCGCCGGGGGTGCACTCAGGCCTTACCAGCAAGTGATGCCCATTCTCTCGGCGTGATACCCGGTGGCTGCACCTCAGGTCTGAGTGTCTGGCCTCACGGACGAAATGCGGCAGATATTTTTAACGCCGACTGCGGAATAGCGAGGGACGAGCACTGAAAGGGTATGGCAGAGGTCAAAATAAACGCTAGGCTGGCACCGCATGGATATGCAGAACGCGACAAGTCTGCTGCAGAGAACGTGTTCGTAGAACGTGGAAGGACTGAATGCGGATCGTTGTGGACAATGCACTGTATTTGGAGCTGGAAGCAGGTGCTGGAAGGAGATTGATCGATCGTGTGCATGGGACTGAGAACGTACTACTGTAGCAGATTAGCGCCCTTGTGTGTGTTCCAAGTCACGGGTTTCGACGACGAAAGAGCGTCCGGGTGAAACGTGAAGAGTGTCGGGGTGATGTCGAGGACAGCAGCGGCGGTTGCCAACGAGAAACCGATCAGAGAGAACGAGGTGAGTACAAGGAGATGTTGCAGCGGCCCGATGGACTCGGGGAAGGGCCAGGGCGTCGGAGGGAGTGTGGGAAAGTTGTGACGTGCGGAGGAAGCTGACACAGCATTTCTTTGTCAGCGGACGAATTCCTCTTGTGGGTTGTTTAGGGCGAATGCGGTGCGAGGGTTATATGCGCAGCATCGCCACCGTCCCTCGCCCGTCATCTCCCCCTCGCCAGCCAGCCGACGAGACTGCGGATTTGTCCACCTGTTTGACCCACTATTAGCTGTTTCACCTCAGCTCAGCTTGCCTGCGCTCATCTCTTGTCCACGCCGAGGGACAAGGCCGAGAGAGCAGAGAAAAAGAGTCGATCAGACGGAGGGGGCTGTGCATCTTTTTCGGGCCTGTGATTCGAGCGCTCATCTTTACTGGAGGGGTTGACCGTAAAAGGCGTCGTTTTCTGACAGAACAACCCTCCTTCCTCGCGTACTCCAAGGCCCAAGGGCACGCAAACATCCAATTGAACTTCCCCGCGCCTAAATAAGCTCGCTCCCCATTTCATCACCGACACATATAAACACCCACTCCACCACGCAACTATGGACCTCGACGCCACCACCTCCGCATCCCGCCTCACCCCTTGGAATCCCTCCCTCCTCGTACACTCCTCGCCTGCAGACCCTCCTACACATAACAGACAACATCCATCCTCTCACGAAGGCAGCTCCACCCCAAACCCTTCAGAACAGCAGCACAGCGAATCGAACCAGCCATATTCCATCCAATACCAGATGCCTCCCCCGCCCCCACAACATACTCAGGGCCAACAAACCTCTTTCCAGGCTGGCACCCCAGCCGTAGACCCCGCTCTGGGTGGACACTATCCACCAGGACACGCCTTCCGCCGCGCGCACAGCAACTCGCCCTTCCGCCAGACGAGCCATCCGACGCCATACCCGCTCCCCGCACCACCGCCCTCGCACACCTCTCTCGGCCCTCCGCCTCCGCCCGGCGGCCTCGTCGGCACAAGCGGCGTCTCCATCCCACCACCGCCCGGATCCGGCGTTGGCCCGGCAGGCGCAGGCCCGAACGTCGACCCTGCTCTCGCGGGACTTTCCTCGGGCCCACAGAAGGAGGCGATGTACGCGCCCAGCGCCGCCGAGCTGTACAACCAGGCGATGCAAGCGGGTCCGAACGGCGGATCCCCCACAAGTAGCAGCGCTGGAGGGACAGGCGGCGGAGGAGGAGGAGGACCGGGCGCCACGGAGCGGTTTCAGGCTGGGCCGGGCGGGAGCATGACGCGTCTGCCACCCATATTGCAGGTCGAGAAGAAGCAGGTGACGACGAGCGCGACGCAGGCGGCGAGTGCGAGCAGGCGGCGAAACGAGGCGCACTTTGTGTGCCCCGTACCTGACTGCGGGAGCACCTTCACGAGGCGGTTCAATCTCCGAGGTGCGTAGCGTTTTGGTTGTTTCATTTCCAGAAGTGTGATCTTTTGTGATTATTCTATATTCTATGTGTGCCATGGGGAATGTGTGCTGACGCGACGTGCCTTTTGTTCTGATGTTTTTGGATATGTGGGGTCACGCTGCTGCGGATTTGGCGATGCAGGCCATCTGAGGTCTCACACTGAGGAGCGACCGTACGTGTGTGAGTGGCCGGGGTGCAACAAGGGTTTTGCGCGCCAGCACGACTGCAAGTGCGTGCCACTTCTTTTCGTCCTTGTGTATCGATCGGTTTACTAATCTCGGTGCGATTCATCACCCCCTTCACCGCATTTTGCACATCTGCATCTTCATCTGGTCCCCACGTCTCACCCCACGTCCCGTGTGCTTCGCGTGCCTTGATTCCTTGGCACCCTCAACCTCAACGGGCTACTCACCTCAGACGTCATCAAGCACTGCACGCGACGCGTCCACAATCCAACATATGTCCAGGGTGCAAAAAGACGTTCAGCAGGCTGGACGCACTCAACGTGAGTCGAAGCTCCAAACCCCCTGTTCTTACTGCTTACCATGAACTTTAATCTTACGCCTCCCTTTTGGCTTTCTTTGCCACCTGTTGACAACTGTCCAAACGTCCACCGCGGGTTTCACTTGCGCATGTTTGATTTTTGCGATTTGTGTCATGCAACGAATCCAGCGGCATCGTGAGTTCCCCGCTTCTTTTTTTACACCCGCTTCGTCATCGTCTTTTTTGCATCCTTCATTTCGCGTCATCATCTTCTCCCGCTCTTCTCGGCTCGGTCCGAACGCCGCGGCATCGCCACACATCGTCACCGCGGCACAGTAACAGGTGGCACCCAGCTAACCAACTCTTTTCTCTCCATTTCCTTGAGTCTCTTTGGCGTTTCGTCTGAGCTAACGGCGTAACATTATTGCTCATCATCGTTTCAATTATGGTTCTACAGTCCGATCAGACGGGGGCGCCGAGTGCAGGCAAGTCGCCGCAGTCAAAAATGAAGACGGCAACGGTGCAGGTACAGGTGCATCCGGGGCTGGCGAGGGTTCGAGCGCCAACGAGAGGGGCGGCTCGCCATCGTCGTCTACGAACGCGACGACGCCCCAAGACGGACCGAGCAGTAATCCGCCGAACTCGAGTTTTCCGCCGCGGTCTGCGGCTGTGGTCGCGGCGGAGCATCTGCATCAGATGCAGATGCAGATGCAGCACGAGCAGGAGCGGGAACAGGAGCGGGAGCAGCGCGAGGTCGAGATGCAGGTGTCGCCGGCGCAGTCGATGTCGCCTCCTGGGTCGGCGGACGTGGGGGACGAGCCGCGGGCGGGGTCGGTCCCGCCACGGCATTGATGCATGATGTTCGATTATGAGGGCTTGGAACGAGGGCGGACGGGTAGGGCGGGATGCGTGTGGCGCGTTTACTTGACCTCCGTAATCATTTTGGCCTTTTCGGCCTTTGATATTTCAATGGGTTGTTCGTTGAGCTGGTGGTTGCTCCGCGTCGCGGGGGTTGTTACGGTGGCCTGCGTTGTGCCCGTCCGTTGTTCCCCTCCTTTGGGCTTAATAGCGATATCCACCCCGTTTATATCTCAAGCTTTTCCCTCTAACAGGATTACTCGTTTCTTTTTTCTACTTCCATCATTTTGTGTCGTCGTCGTTATAATCCGTGTTTTTCTACGATTTCCAGCTCAACGCTGTGTATCTGTATCGTTACCTCCTTTGCTTTTGCCTCTTTGTTTTCATTCTTTTCCCTTAGTACTTAGTTCCGGCGCGCGCCCGCTCCGCGTAGAGACCTAGGCGCGTCTGGTGCTTTATGCATTGGTTTATCGGGCCGTTTGGTGGTGCGGAGGGGTAGCTGTTGTCGGCAGGAAACTCAGTTATCTTTCTGTTTTTGTTTTCACAGCATTATTTACTGCGTGTGTATTACTACCTATATCCGTCGCCTAGCTGGGAGGCTTGGCGCTAATAGAATGTATAGGGTGGTGAAGTCTACTTTGAAGTGAACTGGTCCATACACGATATACTGTACCATTTCGATCGTAAGTTCGCGGTGGGCGTGAGAACTACGAAAATCAAATTCTACCAGTCCACCTTGATAAGTTCGAGGGGCCGGCGGACTGGTGGACATTGTTTGCAGCCAAGGGTCGCTCCATGAGGCCTGAACGAGAGGACCTTGGTCGCAGAAATCAATGCAGGGTTCTGGCCAAGCGTTATGACAAATACATAGGCCACTAACTGTTGTTTGTAGTGCAGCACATGTTTTTCATACATATACACGAGTTCTCGAGCTCGTACTATATCACGAGTACTAGTGCCCATCCAATTTAAGCTCAGTTCGGACCCCGAGTGGACAGGGGACGAACTTACGGTCGAAATGGTACAGTAGTATTGTTGGCTCTTGGATATCCTGGTAGACTGAGGATTCTTCCCACTTCGAACTCGGTGGCTTTATAAGTGTATTTTCGGGTATGAGAAGGATCGCGCTAGTGTGAGGTGTTCGCGCTTCGATAGCGCTTTAGTTACGTTTCTGTCATCTTTTATACATATTCGTATTTTAGGAGTAGCTAGGTCCTGTATTTCTATTGTATTGATTCTAATGTTCCGCGCCTTGGCTGAAGGCTTCTGACTGATCTAGTATAGTTGTCTTTCCGACCTCTGTGATTTCTACCGCTACAGGTTTAAAATATTTAAAATAAAATATAAAAGTTCTATTCTATTCTACGCGTCGAGACGCCGTCTTCCCGACGCTCTCGTGTTCTTTCTCTCTCGTCTCGGCGTCTTACGCAACGCCGCTGACGCGCTCGTCATCCCAGCACGTATGGGCGCCGCGCTCTCCGCGCCACGGGCCGTTCAAAGTTCAACAACGTCAACGCGCGTTGTCACCAGCTAAGCTATCGCACCGGCGGCTTATCGCATATAAGAAGCTTGACCCGCATAGTTAAGTACTTATCAGCTCAGCATGGTCTGGCACACTTCTTCTTTTCTGCCGACATACCCCTCCATCATGTCCAACAGCCTGAAGCCCACTGTCCTCATTGTGCATGGCTCGTGGCACGCTCCGGCGCACTACGAGCCTCTCGGTAGGCGTCTCGAAGAAAGGGGGTACAATGTCTTTTGCCCTCCGCTGCCGAGCTGGCATGCGGATCCGCGCGCGACGACACTTCGCGCGGACGCAGACGCCATAGAGCAGGCGTTGAAGAAGCTCGTTGAAGATGAACAGAGACACGTCGTCGTTGTTGCGCACTCGTATGGCGGTATCGTCGCTTCTGAGGCGGTCAAGGCTTCCTACGGGCGCAAAGAGCGCGCCGTGGAAGGTAAAGAGGGCGGGGTGCTGCATATCGTCTATATGTGTGCGATTGTGGTGGAGGAGGGTAAATCCTTGGTCGACCAATGGGGGCCGCTTCCGAAGGCACTGGTGGCGGGTTTGGATGTGAGTGCGTTTGTTGACCGAATATATTTTTCCTTTCTTTGCTTGGGCCATAGGATGTTGACTCTGCTATTATCAACGAAGCTAACGATCTGCTGTTTGCATGTACTATGTCCAGCCAGAAACCTTGATCTGCTCGAGAACCGATGGTGCGACGGCATTTTTCAACGACGTGGCTAAAGACGAGCTCGAACGGGGCCAATATGTCCAGAAGCTGGTTCGTGGCTCTGTCAAACCGGACATCTTTCCAACCACGTACGCGGCGTACAAACATTACCCCGTAACGTATATTCTTTGCACCGAGGACAACGTGTGGCCATATAAGGCCTGCCAGGAGGTTGCGGTACGAGACATTCTCGTCAAAAACGGGGCCGTTGTGGCGGAGAAGATCCTCAGGAGTGGTCATTCGCCGTTTATCACATTGCCGGGGGAGGTTGCCGAGTTTGTGGATGAGATTGTGGAAGCGACTTCATTGGATAGATAGCTCGTCGAAGTCTCTCCTTCCTTTGGGGAGTGATGTGAATGGCTAATGCCGAAATAAATCGTGTTTATCATACCGCCAGTGTGTCTATTGATTGAAATATTGATCAACAGGAAATTCCTTGTATTATATATCCCATTCGAATTGATACCAAGATAGCTACACAGTGCCATAGATATATGACAAATGTACACGACAGACAAAACGGCAAGCACTTCGCGGGATTGTAAATTTGTACCTACAAATTACTAGGTACAGTTATCTTTCTGTTTTGTTTTGCTTTCTTCTCGGGATTATTTACTGCGTGCATGTACTACTACCTATATCCGTCGCCTGGCTGGCAGGTCTGGCGTTAATAGAATGTATAGGGTGATGAGATCTATTTTGAAGTGAATTTCGTCCCATGCGGTGAAGTATCGTCGTCTCTTGGATATCAGCTGTGAATTGGTGATTATTATGACTAGTACTGCTTCGAACTCGGTGGCTTTATAAATATATGGGCGCTCGCGCTCTCCGCGCCACCTCTTTACGGATGTCAACAGTACGTCAACGCGCGCTGTCACCGGGTGGTGCTCCAACTCGGGCGCCCACCGGAAGCTGATTGATCCACAGAAGAAGCTTGGCCCACATAGTTTATCAGCATGAGCATCTCGGCGTGGTCTGGCACGCTTCTTCTTTTCTGCTGACACACGGGCCCCTCCATCATGTCCAACAACCCGAAACCCACTGTCCTCATTGTACACGGCTCATGGCACGCTCCGGCGCATTACGAGCCTCTCGGTAGACGTCTCGAGGAAAGGGGGTACGACGTCTTCTGCCCCCCGCTGCCGAGCTGGCATGCGGATCCGCGCGGGACCACGCTCCAGGCGGACGCGGACGTCATACAGCGGGAGCTGGAGCGGCTTGTCGGAGAGGAGCAGAGGCGTGTCGTTGTTGTCGCGCACTCGTGGGGCGGGGTCGTTGCTTCTGAGGCGGTCAAAGCTTCGTACGGGCGCAAAGCGCGCGCTGCGGAAGGTAAAGAGGGTGGGGTGCTGCATATGGTTTATCTGTGCGCGATTGTGGTTGAGGAGGGCAGGTCCGTGGTCGAACAGTGGGGGCCGTTGCCGGAGGCGTTGACGGCTGGTTTGGATGTGAGTACGTTTGTAAACAGGGTTTATTTTTCTTTTCCAGCATCGGACGCTCCGCTTCTACCGACCGAAGCTAACGGTGTGATGTTGTTTTGTATGCAGCCAGAAACCTTGATCTGCTCAAGACCCGACGGGGCGACTGCCTTCTTCAATGACGTGCCCGAAGACGAGCGCGAGTGGGGCCAGTACGTTCAGAAGCTGGCTCGCGGCTCCGTCAAACCAGCCACCGATCCGACTACGTACGCTGCGTACAGGCATTACCCCGTGACGTACGTGCTCTGCACGGATGACAATGCTTGGCCGTACGAGCATTGCCAGAAAACTGGTGTGCGAGATGTCCTCGTCAAAAGTGGAGTCGTCGTGGTGGAGAAGACACTCAAGAGCGGTCATACACCGTTCATTACTTTTCCGGGGGAGATTGTCAAGTTTGTGGATGAGATTGCGGAAGCGGCTTCATAGGATAGGTAGTTCGTTTGAGTTATCCTCCCCTTGAGCAATAACGTGAATGGTTAATGGTAAAATAAATAGTCCACACCGCCAGTATGTCTATTCGAATCGATGCCAGGGTAGCCACACAGCGCCATAGAGTTATGAGACATGCGACAGATATAAAGGCAAAAACTTTGCCGGATTGTTCAATGATATCTAGAAAATACCAGGGACCAGCCTCCACTTCACCCTCTGAGCATATCGATCCCACTCCTCTCGAAAATGCTCGCGCAAGAACCGATCCTCAATCACAGGTCGCACGAGACTGGACACTGTCCCGTATCCCGCCATTACAGTCCACAATCCCAGCAACACACGACCTGTTGTGGTATCGAGCCAGCCTGACGTGCGGAGCCACGAGCCAGGGCTGAAGTACGCGGCCATAATGCCTCCCATCGCTATCAGCCAGCCGGCGTAGCTCGGGTGACGCACGACAGAGTACGGGCCCAAGGTAATGAGCGAGTGGTCCTTGCGCACGCTGAGCTCGAAGGTGAAGTGTCGTCCGAGCACGCGGAAGCAGAGCAGACGAAGCTGACTGCCTGCGATTGCGAGGAGTGCTCCAGTGGTGAACACTGCGTCTGGCTGGAGCGAAGGGAGGGTTGAGCCGCGCACGAGGGCTGAGACTGTGCCTCCGGGGAAGAGAGAAGGGTACCGCGCGGCGAGAATGGTGGCAGTTTCGGCTGATGCTATAAGGATGAGCATCGACTAAAGGAAACGTGTTGTGAATGCATATTAGAGCGAAGCTGAGTTGAGAAAGCTTACCTTTCCTAGAGCAGGTGCAATGTTGATTCCGATCTTCTCCAACAGACCCACTTTGACTCGTTCCCCATCATTTGGTACACTGGGAGGTGTGAGGCAAGCGCTAACTGAAAGGGAAGAGGAGATGAGAAGAACACTCTTGATCAAAGCCATTGCTGGTGTAGGTAACTTGTAAATCAGAGGAACGCGTTCTTATACCTTTGAAGTTGGGGAGATATCATCGCAGTTGCTAGAGAGAAACGATCTCAGACTATAAGCAGCACCAGAGAAGGTCATGCATATTATGAGGAGCCTTCAAGGGGTCAGCAAAGTAGAACCACAAGGCGTGCAGATGTGAGCTGTTCCTTTGTCATTGTGGTGTCGAGGTAATGACCATTATGCCTGGGCATCATGATAACCAACCCCAGATGAGCTCAGCATCATATGGAAAGGAGAACTAACGAGATGCCGACCTGCGTCGCAAGACGGGATAGCAAGCAAAGTCTAGGTTTTCTGAGGAGACGATGGACTGCTCACTTACCATAAAGAGCGTTTTTAGCAAGTAGCGAGCGCAGTAGCGAACACAAGGCAGTGCACCTCAGAAAAACGTCAGAGATGGAACATATGTTGATGTCGACTTCGTCAGGGTTCATGACCATCCACACCACGTCGTTGATAGTAAAGAACAGCATTCAGGCGAGCTGGGGGCCGAGATGGTCCAGCGCAGGTCGTGGTTGAGGTCAAAGGGAGAGCCGGTGGCTGTAAGGCCGTTACCCCGACGCGCGACGCGTTCACTGGCATCTTGTCCTCCACTTCCCCTTCCACCACCTACCCCCAGTCTCATATTCTTTAGACTACCCAGTAATGGCACCCTCACGAGGTCCCCAGCCCCTTGCACGAACACTTCATAAAACACTCTCCAATCACCGCGGGGCTGTCCACGTCGTCCGTTACGCGAAGGGCACCGCCAAGTATGTGCTGAGCGGAGGGCAAGATCGTACAATACGCCTGTGGAATCCAGACACTGGCGCGGAGGTCAAGACCTTTTCCGCCCATGGTTATGAAGTGCTCTCAATCTCGGTGTAGGTCCTTGCCCTCTTCTATGGGCTAGTGTGCACGAGCTCAAGATTAACGGATTTGTAGGAGCCACGACAATGCCAAGTTTGCGTCTGCTGGAGGAGACAGAACCGTCTTTCTGTGGGATGTGGCCTCGGGAACTACAACGCGGAGGATGTCGGGACATATGGGCAAGGTGCATACGGTAGAGTTTAACGCGGACGCGAGTATTTTGGCATCAGGTGAGCGCCTCGTGATATTCTTTATGTTGGTGGTGGTATGAATGTATGCGTGTTCAGGGTCCTTCGATGCAACAGTCAAGCTTTGGGATCTTCGGTCAGCAACTCCTTGCCTTCTATCTAAGACTCTTTAACCAAGAGATACCCTTCAGCTCTCCCCCTCGGACCCCGATCCAGACGCTGAACGAAGCTCGCGACGCGGTTCAAGCCCTGCATGTTGATTCTACCTATCTCGTCTCGGGCTCCGTCGATGGTTATGCCCGTACCTACGACCTACGTATGGGCGAGCTGCGCGAGGACTATGTTGGTCGTGAGTGATCTCCCTAATATAATCTCGAGTGTATTGAAGCAAGAATCGTCTCAGCGCCCGTCACCTCGGTCATCCCCTCCGCAGACTCCACAACCCTTCTCGTTACGACGCTTGACTCTAACATTCGATTGTTTGACAACGCTACGGGCAAGCTGCTGAACTCATTCACTGGTCACAAGCACGCAGAGTACCGTTCTCGTGCCTGTTTTGGGCACGGTGAAGCGACCGTCGTCGCAGGTGATGAGGATGGCCGGATATGGGCTTGGGACCTTGTTGATGTGAGTTTCGCACTAACGCCCTCATTTGTCCTCACCTCATCGGTGACCAATGTGCTTGATAGGCGAACGTCCTTCAGCCGAATCCTCCTCCAAGGGTGCATGATAAGGTCATAACGTGGACAGAACACCATCCTACGGACGCCGGAGAGATGATTACTGCTAGTGCAGATGGGAATGTGAAGGTCTGGAGACATCCGTCATAATTGAAACTCTGCTGCGACAGGAAAGTGAGTCACCAGCCGACAGTCGACTGAACGTGATGAGATGACAGTATATTGTAGAAGCCATCTAACAAGTATAATACGCACCGTCCAATCCAATATATGTAGCCCGTCCTTGACAAACGACGCGTTTGTAGAGCGCTTTCTTTCATAGTCCGTACGGACCGATCCCGGAAAACACGGACCGACAGTCCGCCAGAAGGTCCCCACTCCCAAACTACCTTCCGTCCAATCGCAGTATCTTATCGCCGAAGAATAGAAACCCGTTGCTCATATGACACGCTGAGCCCACCTTGGTTGGTGCGAAAACGCATTTGCCAGCGCGTTCGGCCGTCATTTACCGGACATGTGAGTATAAGATGTCACTGCGCTCTCATGCACCGGAAACAGACTCATCGATGGCTCCCAACACGAAACCCATTGTTTCTGTCAATCAGCTCTTCCGAGAGAGGTTGCGCCAGTACCCCGACCTGGAGATTTTAGGCATTCCGGATAAATCGTTTAAGGTTCGTCGCCCTTTGTCGTACAGCTTTGGGTGGTGTGTGAGCTGTGTGGGTTTGTTAGTACACGAAATATACGTTGGCACAGCTCGACGCATATGCCTCCCTGTTCGCCCATCATCTCGCAGACACTAGGCTTCTGGTTCCTCGCGCCAAGGGCGATAGCACTACACAACTCACCGTAGGCATACTCGGCGTGAGCAACTTGGACTATGTTGTCACGGAATTCGCGCTGTTCCGCATGGGATACTGTACGTTTTTGCACAAGCTCACATGCGATTACACCTAAGCTCCTTGAAGGCGTCTTGTTCATCTCTCCAAACAACTCGCCACCTGCCATTGCGCACCTCATCAAGACGACGAAGTCTTGCGCTGTAATCGCGCAGGATGGTTATGCCCCCGCGGTTGAAGCCGCGCTCACCCACCTCGATGATCCATCCTCGGTCAAGATCATAAGCCAACCAGTGTCTGACGTTTACGGGCCCGGCGCGCAAAAGGCACACCCGGAGAAGATAAAGTGGGACCCCATTCTGGACCCCGAGGAGGAGATAAGGATGCCGGTGACGATCATACACTCCAGTGGCTCGACCGGGTACCCGAAGCCCATCTTCGCGACTAATCTCGCCTCCGTTTCTAACTCAGCGAAGAACTTCAATATGACGAGTCTGTCTACCCTTCCGCTGTACCACGTAAGCTCCGACGTCGTCCCTCCATCGTCCCACGCGCGCGAGCATGTCTGAACTGGGTTTGATAGGGCCACGGACACTGCAATCTCCACCGAGCCATCTACTCCGCGAAGCCGGTCTATCTCTTCCCCACGGGATCCATACCCCTCACTTCAGCTAACATCATTAAGCTGCTCGCGCAGGCATCGGACGTGGAGGCGCTATACGGGGTTCCGTATGCGCTGAAGCTCATGGCGGAGACGAAGGAAGGTATGGAAGTGATGAAGAGCCTCAAGCTTGTCACGTTTGGCGGAAGTGCGTGTTCGGACGAGCTGGGCGACCTGCTTGTGAAACAGGGAGTGAGGCTCGTTGGGCATTATGGGCTTAGTGCGTTTTTTTTCTGCGTGGCAACGTATCGTTTGGCTAACGCTTCAACCTCGAACCGAAAGCTGAGATGGGCCAGCTTATGACGTCTCAGCGCGATTTCGAGACTGACAAGGGCTGGAACTGGGTACGCGCCCGTGGGCCGTTCGCGAAGGGGAACGTCGCGGACTACCTTAAGTTCGTCCCTGTCGGGCATGACACGTACGAGCTTTACGTGCTGGACGGGTGGCACGCCAAAGTGAGTGAAGCTTCTTCTGCAGCTTTCTATATATCTCACATTTTCGAAGGTTATGACGAATCAGCCAGATGGCTCGTACGCCTCGCGCGACCTCTTCATCAAGCACCCTACCATCCCTGATGCTTACAAGTTCATCGGGCGCATAGATGACACTCTTGTAATGGTATGGTCATTGCTACACTGTCCAACCTTTGCGTTTCCTTATTGGGGCCTACCTCGTCTTAGGTCAATGGGGAGAAGACCAACCCCGTCCCCATGGAACTCACCCTTCGCTCTTCTCCCTACATCGCCGAAGCTATCATCTTTGGTTCAGGACGTACACAAACTGGAGCCCTGCTCGTGCCCACCGAGGCTGGCGCCTCCCTTTCTCCAACAGAATACTTAGAGGCCATTACGCCCATCCTGGCCCGCGTAAACGCCGAAGCGCCGAGTCACTCGCAGCTCGCGGCGGAGGCTCTTGTTGTCCTACCCTTCGGCACGGCGATTCCTAAGGCAGACAAGGGTAGCATCCTGCGTCCGAAGGTATATTTGGAGTTCGCGAATGTGATCGAGGAGACGTATGCGCGCCTTGAAGGAGAGAGCGACAAGGGCGGGAGGAAGATGGGGAGTGTGAATGAGGCGAAGCAGGTTATCAGGGAGCTGATGGGCAAGACGATCGAGAAACCGATTGATAAGCTCACGGATGATACGGATCTGTTTGAGTTTGGGTTGGACTCTTTGCAGTCTTCCAGAGTGCGAAATGCGATCCAGAGGGTAGGTGAACCTCGCATCAGCCGTATGACAGAGGGTTGACAGTCTGTTTCGATATAGGAAATTGACCTCGGAGGACAAAGGCTTTCTACCAATGCCGTGTTCGAGCATCCCTCCATCACGAAGTACGTATATCGCCTATTCTACTTGTATCATGCTCTCAGTCTCATATTTAGGTTGGCAAAGCTTGTGGTCACCCTTTCCGAAGGCAAGAGTGCCGAGCAGATCAGCACTCAACAAATCATGCTTGAGCTCGTCGAAAAGTACAGGCACTTCAATGTGCCCACTCAGGTTGAGGACGGAGCGTCCAATGGGACGACCAATGGCACCTCGTCGCGGGTCGTGAGTACCATCCAATTTTAATCGTGTTCCACTGTAAATTCACTATTAAACAGGTTGTGCTTACCGGCGCTACTGGCTCATTAGGCGCCTACTTGCTCGATGAGCTGTTGGCAGACTCAACAGTTGCGACTGTATACTGCTTGTGTCGCGCAAAGGACGATGCAGATGCCAGGCGGCGGGTCATCGATTCGTTGAAGACGAGGAAGTTGTCTCGTCATATCGACACCGCGGGCGAACGGATCGTTGCGTTCTCGTCCGACTTTGCTAGCGACAGACTTGGGTTGTCTCGGGAGGCATACGAGGAGATATTGAGACGAGTGACTTTGGTCCTTCACGTGAGCTCACATCTTTTTCTATTAAACTGATCTAAGCAAAGTGATGTCCAGAACGCTTGGGCAGTCAACTTCAATCTTGGAATATCCAGGTACGGGTTAAGTGGACGCCAGACATATTCCTGATATTCACCCGATCTAAGTTTCGAGAACAACATCCGAGGAGCAGTAAACTTGATGCAGCTTGCGCTCTCCTCATCACGGCCAATCCCTGCGGACTTCTACTTTGCGTCGTCCGTCAGCGCCGTCGCATCCTGGCCCGGCCCCAGTGCGGTCCCCGAGGCCATCATGATGGACCCATCTGTTGCGCAGGGTATGGGATAGTGCGTATCTTTTCGCCAACCCCCAGACAGAAGGCTGGCTGCTTACCTTTACCCAGCGCTCAATCGAAGTGGGTGACAGAGAAGCTTTGCGAAATCGCTTCTGAGACGACGCCACTCGATGCCCGAGTCCTACGTAAGTAATGCTGTCTTGGATCGTGTATGGGCTTACTGATTCGCCTCGTTCAGGTATTGGTCAGATGGTCGGTGATACCAACAACGGTGTCTGGAATGAGACCGAGGCGATCTCTCTCATTATCAAGGTACACCCTTGCACACTATATACTTTCTTTCTGGACTTAAGCCATCTTCAGTGCGCCGACACAATAGGTCTCCTACCTGACCTCGACGAATCAGTCTCCTGGCTCCCCGTGGACTACGCTGCGAAGTCGATCCTCGACATCATCAGTTGGTCACACAAAACCTCGGATGACCTCGTCTACCACGTCCTCCATTATCAGCTCGTCAAGTGGTCATCCATCCTCACGTCGCTACATCACTCTGGCCTCAAGTTCAAGATCGTGCCGCGGCATGAATGGCTCGCCGCGCTGCGCGCGAGCCCCGATGACGAGGTGGCGAACCCGAGTCGCAAGCTGCTGGTGTTCTACGAGAATAAGTATGGGAAGGCGGAGGTGGCCACGCGGTACCCGCTCACGACGGACAAGACGCGGGAGGCGAGCAAGAGTTTGAGGGAGGCGCCGGTTGCTGATGATGTGCTTGTAGCGAAGTGGGTGCAGGCTTGGAGGGATGGTGGGTTTTTGCGATAGGCGAGAGGTGATCAAATATAAGTGTGTAGTGGAAAGGCGTTTCTTGTACAGCGTTAGATACTGCCTGTATTATCGTATATTGGTTCGAAGAAGAGTTCACTGACAATTCAGGGCGCCAGGCGGCTGGCAATTGCAGTGGTTTGTGGCAATGTTCAACGACCGCTTCCGAGTCCGACTCGCTCGCAAATAAAATGCGTTAGGAGGTTGATGTCGTTCTCTACTTTCGACATGCATTGTTGCCTGAACATTCCTGAAATCACATACATCGTGTGCGATGACCTGCCCAAAGGTTCTCTGATGGCCCTCGCGCAAACATGCAAAACCCTATCGGGACCCGCTCTCGATGCACTATATGCCAATATGAGCTCCCTTCATGATCTACTATCTTGTCTTCCGAGAGACTTGACGACGAGAACGACATCCACTCGTGGAGATGTCCTGGTAAGCTCTGATTGATTCTCGTCCATTTTATACATCGCTGATAAACACACCCCAAGACATTCTCGCGCACAATTAGCTCGAGTGACTGGACCATATTAGAACGTTATTCTCGTCGTGTTCGAACCCTCATCCACAACAGTGCTGTGCACATTCTTGAAGACTCTGTTCAACTTGCACTAACGCAATCCCCCGCGAAACCTCTTCTTCCTGCTCTGCAACGTCTTGACTGGACTTTTGGCCACATTTCCGGAGAATATGTTCTTTTTACATTGCTCAGCCCTTCTCTGATTGAACTCAGTATAACCGGCGTCTTCCACACTGGTTCCTCCTTGGTGACGTCGCTTCCATCACTGGCGCCTTCTATTCAGAGACTTATCTTCAATCTATCACAAACATCGGCTCGTCAAAGGAAGGAATTGAATCCCGTACACGCTGCAATTAACGAGGTACGTCCCCATTTCCCGCGACTCAAGAGCTTCACATGGTGCAGTCGAGTTGGGGTTGTAACTGTAGCACTACCTTCGACTACGGTAGACGTCTTAACACTCATTCCGTCCCTGGAAGAACTGAGACTTGTGCCAGCGCCTCTCTTGGGTGACGGTGCTAACGGGCGACTCGGAGGAGTTGACGTCAATTCCTCCACGTCAAAGTTCCCTCAATTGCGTTCTCTGATGATATCTGGGACCACAGCCACGTGTTCTTCCTTTCTACGGCATATTTGCAGCTTCCCTAACGTCACCTCGCTCGCCATCATGTTTGAGGACGTCCAACCGCCCATTGATCTCATTGAAACCCCCACCTCCTATTTCTCGACAACGATGCTTTCTGAACTACACCTGGACATCGGCCGGATGAGGGGACACGCAGAGCCGGCGCCGTTCCTCGGAGAAGTACTGCTGCCCTTCACCCACTTTCAGCATCTCCAGAAATTATGCGTTCGTCAACGTAGTATGCATCATCTGCGCAATGCGGATATTGCGACCCTCATGCCCGCGTGGCCCCACCTCCGCGTTCTCTCGATTTGGTCTCTGGGGTGGGAAGTCAGTATCAGGGACAGAGACACCCTGGGTTTTGTGGGTTTAGAGATGCTTAATCAACTCTGCCCTTTGCTGGAAGAGATTGTGATTAACCTCGACACGGACTCAGCAGCGCTTCCCGCGCACTTGCTTGACCCGCTGCGAGCTGTCGCTTCCAATTTGTGCATGGCCCGGTTTGTGTGGCAGAATCGGTCATTCATGCGATCCTTCGAAATCGATTTAATGGCCCTGAAAGCATTGAAGAGACTATATCCTCGGCTCACTGACATTGATTATGAATTCTGAGATGAATTGAGGAAAGGTTGATCAGTATTGAGGAGCCAACGTCAATAAACAGTACGGTTTATCATGGTCTCCTAGCCTGTCTTGGATGCCTTTATAGTCACTCTAGCTCATTACAACAATGATGTTTGCTGTATTGGCTTGTTGTTAGCTAAGTTGTAATGCAGACATTCGGTGTCACTGCCAGTGGCCCGCATTGTCGCGACAGATGCCTAGGCGAGAAAAAAGTAACTGGAAATACATCGCGTCGAGATCTAGTCTCGATCGTATAGTTACTTTCATATGCCTTAGAGTGATATTATCTCGGTACAAGTGTGCCAGCGAACAAAGCAAAAAATGAAGCCGCATGGGCGCACTCGCGAGTCGCGAGTTCGACAGCAAACATAAAGATGGAGAGGTACTGTGCCGAAGGCTCTTCTGTAGAGCTGTTCTTCAAGAAAAAAAAAAGGCTTAGCCCATATGCTTCTTGACCGTGGATGAGGGAACGGTGTGGTGACGGCTGCGGGTGAACTACAGTACTCGGGGATCGGTCCGGAGGTCTCGGGATCGGCATCCGGATCTTTTCCTTGAACACCCACGCCAGTAACACGAGTCTTGTAAGCTTGAACTTGTACGACCTCAGATCCTCCAGGGATACAAAGAAACCACCAAACAGTGTCAAGGCTCATGCTCAGAATCATCTCTACATCTCGGCGGTGACGAAGATCATCAGTTTACCCACAAAACGCCCGCCAACATGACCACCCCATCGGCTTCGTCGAGCGCGATGCCAAACAAGGTCCACACGTCTCCAGCCAAGGTAGGTGTTTACATCAAGCTCCCGTTCAATTTCCGTACGGTATTCCCCCAAGCCCTCCGATATCAGCATCGATACTGCTCGTGATGACTCCAGAGTCAGCGCTGCTGATAAACTTTCCCCATCCATCTCCACGAAGCATCCCTTTCCATGACAACTGCGAACCCCAGAGCTGCACAACCGTTGTTCTGACCTCCACCTGACCATGCTGACGCACCTCAACAGTCGACAGTGGGCCGCACATATGATGCAAAGCTCGTCTCACGCGAAATGCACCGACTCGGCACACTTGTCACACCCGCATCCTCCACACTCACCCTGCCAACTGCCGCACCCTCACTCTCCATATCGCATTCAATGTCGGGTGTCTCAGCGGGTGCCTCGCCCGGCGCAAGCTCGATGAATACCAACGGCGGCTCCTCGGGGGTTGGTGTGTCTGGCCTCAGCCCAGGTATGGTCGTCGCCGCCGCGGAGAAGGACAATGCATGGGGGACACTGCACGTGCATGTACTACCGCTCTTCAACGACCTCCCATTGCGCGTACCCATGTGAGTGCTAATCGTGACAGCCGAGCATGCTCATCTAAGGCACAACGCAGAGAAGACCTTAATGCCCTCGTTAGCCGGCACATCCAAACAGTCATCTCCGCCTCACCGCCCAAGGCGCTCTCTGTCCTCGAGTCAGATACTCGGGAGCTCATAGGCGCTGGGATGGTCACGCTCAATGCCAAGCTAGTCAACCTCGATGACCAACTTATCACCCTGCGAGTTGTAGAGATGTGGGAGTTCTTCTGGGACCAGATCTTACCATACATCGAGGCCGTATGTATTCCGCCATTGTTTTCAGTATTCCCGATTGTGCTTATGATGTCTGCTGCCAGGTTCTGTTACCGCTACAAAACGACAAACTACTATCTTCCCTTCGCCACAAGCAACCCGTCCGTGAACATGGGCTACCCACGCTCACTCACACGCAAACGTGCTCGTGGATCCACATTCGCGACATTGCCCTCCGTGCTTTGCGCGATCGAGTTATCCTTCCTCTTCAGAATCGGCTACGTCTTCGCCTCGAGGCTCCTTGGACTAAAGATACCTGGATCCGCCTTGGAGAGTCGGGCCAGCGGCGATACCAGCAAATGTGAGTTCACTACCTTTTGATCTTCTGTCATAAGTTCACCACAAGCGCCAGGTTGCTTGTCCTCTCCTCGCAGAAAAACCGTATCCCAGCCACCAGTCTCGCACTCCATGCTCCCCGACAAGAGCCTACGGCAGGCGAGGCTGCCATCTCGGAGCTTCTGGCCGCCTTCCGGCTGAATCGCCCGACGATGCTTCCACACGCGTTTAACTATGGCCATTCCGCTTCCAAATCGCTCAACACCCTCGGCTCTATGGGGAGCGCTGGCTCTCGCCGCGCCAACACGCCATCGTTCCTGTCGTCACGCGAGCCACGAGATAGACGCGGGCGCATCGCGGGCCGCGGTGTGCAAATGGCGGGTGTTATATTCGGCCCGGGCGGCTGGCCAGGGTACGAAGGCGTCAACAGCGTGGAGCAGGAAGACGCGCCAGACGCCGAGGAGTATTCGACAGGTGACGACTACGAGAGCGACGAGGACATGTTCAGAGGCAGTCATAGCCTCCGGCCATCGACCGAGCTCGAGCACGCACTGTCATCCCATGCACACTCGGAGGCGTTCAACCGCGCCGATGGACGTGCGTGGCGCACCGGTACGGATCTCCTTGACGAAGATGGGGACACCAATGGCACGAACGAGGGCGGCGAGACGCCCCGCCTGGGTGGGATGGAGAGTGCCGCGCCGCGGTTCGCGCTCGCGATGAATGCGTTGAGGCACCGCCCGTCGTTCGAGACGCGGCCATCGTACGAGAGCCGGCCGAGCCTCGAGTCGCGCTCGAGCGACGGCGGGGCGCGCAACAGCTTCGACAGCAGCTCGCTCTCTTCTGCGCGCCTCAGTCTCGACAGGGACAGGGAACGCGAGTACGCGTTCACGGACAGCGCGCCGAACTCGGCGAATTCGGCCAATTGGTCGGCGAGTAGGACTGCGCGGCCGAGTCTGGATGTACCACGGCGCAGTCTGGATACGGAGTGGGATCGGGATAGAGACAATGCGCCGCGCTCTGCGAACTCGTTCGGCTCTGGTACTGCCTCGGGATCCGGGCGGACGACCGCGCGCCCGAGCCTTGACGTGCCGCGCCGTAGCCTCGACGCTGCACTTGACCGACCCAACCTCACTATTAATAACAGTGGCAGCCGAAGCCCCCGCCGGAGTGCGGACATGCTGCGCAGACCCAGCCCGAGCCCGAGCCCCGGACCCGGACCTAGCCCCACCCGACCAAGCATCGACACCCGCCGCCCGTCGGCTACAGCTGCGAACACCGAGTCGATCTCACCCCGTCCCTCGCCGATCGACGAGCGCCGGCACGGCCGTCCGAGTCTGGACGTGCTGCAGCCTGGATTGCCGCCGCCGCCGCCGCCGAAGGACTCGAACTCGAGCGCGAGTCTGAGAGAGGAGCGGAGGCGGAGCCGTACGGAGGACGTGCGTAGGCCAAGCTTGGATGCGCGGCCGAATTTGGGGCATGAGAGGCACGAGAGGGGGCACGAGCGTGCGAGGACGGCGGATGGGCTTTTGAACGAGGAGGACGGGATGGATTGGGATAGTGCGCAGGTGGGTTCGTCTGGCTCTGTTTCTGGTTCGGCTTCCGTGTGAGTGTGGGCGGTGCTGATGGGTGTGGCGCGACAGGCTGTTGTGGAACGTATGGTGGGCATGAAGCCGCATGATGCGGGTGGCGGGGGGTCTTAAAATGAATGTGATTGGTTACGACGAGATGAGATGAGTTTGTGTTGTGACCTGCCTTTCTTCGAGGTGCTAGAGCTGCTGGGCTCTGGTGCTTTTTGTATATCCTGTGTTACTTGTCAAAGTGTATCATACCTGCATCTCAACTTATCACGACATATGTAAACCTCATTTACCCGTCAGCTATCGGTAAATCTTTGGTCCAACCGGATATGTCGGATGTGTTGGTACGGGTACGGCTGTCTGAGGTAGGTCTTTGCTGCTAATCCATACAAGCATGCTGGGCAGTATAATTTGGTGTACGAACCCTCTAAATGGTAGACCATAGACTAGTACGGGACAAGATAAACCGTGTGTCTCTCCGATAGGGCCTCTGTCAGACTTGCTGCGAGCCGAGGTCCCAATACACCCTCCAAGAAAATTCCAAGGACAACAAGCACCTGCTGCAAACACTCCTCAGTTCGATCACAAGCATAACTCTGTCAAACAAACCTCGAAGTCACCAAAATACCACAGCGACACAGTTTGGACTACGACCAGCACTAGCATGCTGCAATTCAAGTTATCAGCTCGATTCGGGTTCAATGGCAATATAAATTCTACATTAAAAAGTAGAAAACGCCATCGCGTAAGACGACAGTTACCAGTGACTTCCATCCTTGTAGCCTCGTGATGTGACGCAGTGTCGTCCGCAAAAAAGTTAGCCCGTGTAGCAACAATGTCAGTAAGAGGCACTCGAAGGCCAGGATAGGAGTGTTTATAAGCAGAACTTTGCCTAATTTATGGAGTTTTCTATCAGCCTTCACCGCTCTACCCAGACTTCAAGCTTCAAATTCAAATTTGAGCTTACTCGTTACGCTCGATCCCTGACCAAATACGCCGTAGAAGGCCAGGGAAATTTCGATCAAAAAGAGTGAGCTGAGAATCCACTTGATGTGCCTTTTCCTGCCATGTATAGCACAGACTCTAAGCAATATTACACCTCCATTGACCATCAACAAACTTTGAGTTAAACCATCAAAATCCTTTGTAGCCATATGACAAACCTTGGATAGCGGGCAGAAATGAGACTAGCCCCGCTCGTTGGAGTGTAAACATGGCATCTCTGATCTCTTGAGGGTGTGTCAGAAGATTGCCTTTGAGGAACGTAATTGGCACGTACTTTCGGTGCTACAGATAATTTGGAAATCAATATTAAGTGGGAGAGCAAACGGAAGCCAAGTATAATGACCTAGTAGCAAAATCCTTGAACAATACGTAAGTCAGATGGAGTCCATGTCGGGGAGAACTCGTGCTTGACTCACCTCCAATAATGCGCTATCTTATAAAGGAAGCGATCAGCTTCTCCACAGCACGATCACCTTCGCACGAGTAACTCACTCAAGTCCACAAGCACATCATACCTTCAAGTTGCAATCAAGCGACAGTAAGTGACTATTTGAAGTAACTCTATACACCTTTTAAGTTGCTCACTTTTTCACTCCAGACACAGCGACGGGGATCCTGATAAGAAAATTGAGTTTTGCGATGGTTGGAATCCTTGACATCTCACGTACATAAGGTATGCGAGCCCCATGTATCGACACTATAGGTTTTCATCAGGAATCTTTGTAACCTCCCAAGGAAACCTTGCTCACGAATAAGTATCCTACAGATGATATAGTCCAAGGTTTTTGCTGGTGATTAGCAGCATGTAAGGCGAATTTTGGACCCTTCGTGAATGTAGTATATGGATAGATTGAATTTAGTTACCCAGACGAGATCAACTTCTTCGGGAAGCGATCCTACTGTCAAAGTAACTGTAAGAATTTGATTACACGATCCAGTTCTTTAAGTTTAAGCGTACCATAATCATACAGTGCTGCAAATAGTAGTGCAACTGGATGGAGATAAATTAAGAATAGAAGAACATGCCGCTAGTCTCACGAAACAGCGGATCTTCAACTTCATCGACGACTTGCGATCCTCGAATAATAGTAAACGCGGGCTTGTCAAATATCTGAATAGCCATTCAAGAGACGGAGCGGGTGGGGGTTTAAGTAGTGATGCGGAGAACCAGCCCATATATACCTCTCTGGTGGATCAAAAGTTCGTGATGAAGTAATAATAACGAGATATTTGCGAGTCAGGTTTCAAGAACCTTGCTTGACCATAGCACTGTGCATTGATCATCACCTCTGTGATGTGTTGGCGATATACATATCATGGGAGAGATGGTAGAAGACAATGAGAATAGATTTGATGAACAATCTCAGGTTTTGTTTCAGTAAAGACCAGTGGTCAAAGCTGAAAACGTGACTCGCCACAGGGTCTGGTGCTAATAACAATGATCAAACCAGATTAGTAGCCATGTTCCCGTCCAGATCTGAGAAGCCCATCCTGCACACGAGGGTACGAGGGCGTCGGACGGGCCTTGGAATGGTGAAGATGGGATGGATTGGGATAATGCGGAGGTGGGTTCAGATGTTCATCACCATCTTTTCTGTTTTGGATTCCTGTGCTAAATATTGTGGCGTGATAGGCTGTTGTAGAATGCACGGTGGGAATAAGACCGCATGATGGGAGTGGCCAAAATGATTAGAAGGAACGTGATCAGTAACGGCATGCTAAGCTCATGTTTCGATCCACTTTTCTTCAGGGTGTCGTGTTGTTGAAAACCTACTATGTTCTGGTTCTTTCTGTGCATCCTATGTTGCGGGCTCGCAACAACATTCACACAGGTGCGTCTTTCTGGGACGAGGGGGTCCTGATTGAATGGCAGTAATTCGCATGAAGATATGAGTAGCTACAACAGGCCTGGTTAAATACATAAATGGATCTCGGTAACAATCTAGCAGGAAAATGAAACTACGACAAGCATGATGTGATCAATATCGGAACACTCAATCCAACATCATCAAGTGTCCGATAGATGTACAATTTTCTGTGTGTGTTAACAGAGCGTTTAGAACCATCATCGAGGAATCAGTACGGGATTAGATAAACAGTGTTTCTCCCCGACTGTACTTCGATCAGACTTGCAGCAAGGCGAGGTCCCAGAACACTGGCCACAAAAATCGTCAACACGATAGTAACTCTCTATAAAATAGTTCAGACGTGCTAGAGATGCATTTTAAATAGACAAACCGGTACAATAGCATCAAGCCCGGCATACCACCCCGACACAGTATTCACTATATCCATTAGTGCCACACTAAAACTGTTTGTTAGCCTTTTCTATTACCGAATAGTGCAGTGACAACAAAGCATACACGACAAAGTAGACACAGCCGTCACGGAAAATAACCATCAATAGTGATTTCCAGTTCCATTTCGTTATGTTTTGACGTGGGGTTATCCGTGCACAGCGTAACCCACGCCATAACAAAGCCAGCAGGAGGCACTCGAAGCTCAGTATAGGAAGATTGGAAAGCAAAGCAGTATCTGAAAATATGGACTCAGTCTTCCTTGCTCCATCAGTTCATTACTTTTGAGCTCACCGATAACTGTATATCTCGGTGGGTGACCAAGTACTCCATACAAAGCTAGGACCGTTTCCGTCAATAAGAGACAGCTTAAGATCCTTCGCATCCACTTGTTGTTGTCATGCAGTGCACACACTCTCAGTACGAAGATACCTGCAATTTACAGCGTTGAGTCTCGTATGAGTCCAATTTCTTCCTTTGATAAAGCATGGAGCACCTTGAATGATGGCCAGCAGTGTAATTGCTGCTGCTTGTTGAAATTTAAACATTACTGATGTCAGGGCAATTCCTTCAGATTTTAGTGACAAGTGGTTAGAGATTTGCTTTCCCTCGGTAACGCATATCCTGTATAATACCTTGTGTGGTAGTGATGCCTCGGACTCCAGACGCCACAACAGGAATCCTATGAATAAACTCATCACCTGTAAAAAGTGACAACTGCTGAAATACCACATACGTGAGGTACGCAATTCCGATATATCGACACTATTTTCGTCAGTCATTGTTGCTATCGCTATAGAATAGGGTTCTCACTAAAACGTATGCCAAAGAAGATACGGTCTTAGATCCTTGCTAAAAGATTGCGTCATGTCAGTAAGTCTCAGGTCTTTGTGAGTGTAAGGTATGAGTGGTTTGAATATACTAATCAAGTCGAAGGTCCGTTGGACCATACGATCGGTGACCGACCTGTATTCTCAGCTTATTTACATGCAGTCGCGCTCTTGGTTGGAGCACTGTATGATTATCTAATTGTATCTTCAAACTTATGACACGAACGGTGTGGTTGTGTTTGGTTGCGGCTCCTGTCGGCCCGCACGTTGCCCGCTTTTGAATGTCTCCCCTGTTTTCGGAATGTAGGTCGGTAGTGGTTCTATTCTTCAACGCGAGTCCCTTTGTGGCGCAGGTGCTGCGTACGCGTTGACCCTTTTATTTTGAATGAGGTTCGCCCTATGGTCCTTGCCGTTCAATAGTTATTCTCTCCTTTGTTATATGTTACCCGCCTTTGTATTCCATACTTTTCTGTCACCATACATCCATTGCTCGATCTCCCTCTCTGTGAATATTGCCGTGTGGAAGCTATCGACCCTATCTTAGCTTATAACGGCGGCTGCAAGGCATGATTTTCTCATTCTCGTCTCCCACAATCGCATCGTATCCATTCGTCTCATTGTTTCTGCCGCTCACGCATCATGCCCATTGCTTTCAGCCTCGAAAATAGCGACCGTCGTGCTGAGCATCCTAGGGAGCAGCTAGATGTGCTCCGACGCTTCTCCCACCTACATTCGAGTTTATATCCATTTGAGTGATTTTAACCTACACAAGGACACACCTTTCAATGTGGTAAAAGATTGCCTTTGATTGCAAGTGCCCATCCCTATGTCAGAATAAGTAAGCAATATGGTACAGCACAGCAAGGCAGAGTTATCCTCCAATCCGGTCCGCATCATAATTAATGACTGCCTTTTTTCAAATGGTGTTCAATAGTTCAACCTCAAGGCCCCATGGTGGGTTACCACGCCGACTCTCACCGTAAATAGCAGCGTTGGCGTGCTAGGCATGAGCATTTGAGCACTGCGAAAGGTTTCGACGGCTACATTCAATTTGAGCTGGGTAACCGGAGGTGTTTAAAACTCTCAAGCGAGAGTCGCTGACCTGGGTAGAATTCTAACTCATCTAGAGATTGTTACCCTGACGGCATCTTTGGCTCTGTGGCGTCGCCCCTCTCGGGAATCGCACTGCCATGTCGTGCTTAGTGGCTCTATCCCTGAACTGTACATTACTGCCTTGGTCTGTGGCATTTCCCCCTGTCACAATGCTCGACTGAATTGTGCTTAATTTATTTTTCCGCAGTTATCCGTTATTCGATGGGTTAAGACTCAGTGTACATTAAGTTGTGCATCGATGTCCCTCAGACACTACTCCTCAAAGGAGACGGAGACGATACTAAAACAGATGCAAAACAGGAGGTTCAACATTTCACTTCGAAAGCACGGGCAGCAACTTATAAAAGGTTGACACGTCCAAAATAACATAAAGTTAGTAAAATATAATGCACAGGAAATACCCTAACCAAACTCTGACCTTGCTGCACCAAGTGTGCGATGTAACGCGAAGTCAACATGAACAGGATGCTGATTGATGGTGGTGTCATTGACTGTGACATGTCTCCCTGCAAAGGGCATTCTGAGCAAGATGTAGAGCGGCGGATCTATCCGCAACCGCGTTTTTAATGGAGCGTTCTTGGCGACGAAAAATATCCCTTCAGTCCTTAGCTAAGATGTGGAAGGGTAAACCTGCGCATTGAGATGATTATACTAGATTCAGCATTGAAAGTAGGATCATGCAGGAGCATATAATTTATGAGTGAGGTAAAATACTTCAACATGCGTCCCTTTAACCCTATAACAATTATCACGGGGATTATCTACCCTCTCTCATCTTCCGGTGTTATACTTATTTATTTTGTGTTATGCACCGCGTGAAAAGTATTTCTATCTACCTTTGCCATGTGACCTAAAACTGTATGCCGTTGGAGCTGGAGCGTTTACGCGACGGCGTGTCTTGTAGTACGTCAACTTAACTCCTCCCTCACAAGTATCTACATGGTGCATTTCTCACGATTACTCACAGTAGGATCGCTCCCGGCAGAAATCGACCTAGTCTGGAAGACCTGTGAAATCCAGACAGTAGAAAGCTTGATATCGCTGGGATCTTGGCCAGGCATTAGAGTGGAATGTTGCTAAGCACAAGCTAAAGGTAAGCTGGCCTTTATATCCCCTTCGGTGTCTGGGGACTTAGGCCATTGCATGTCACTACCACAGCCTTTGGCTATGCATGAAGTGGCAAAATCATTGCTTCAAATCATTTATTCTCTCCCGCCCTGGATGTGCGACCCGCATCACAGATGTTATAACCAGTGAACGTACCTTAGAATGAAAAGAACGTTTCGGCAGTGTTTCCCATCGCCTCTCCAGCCCCTCAGGCTTGTGGTCGCACAAAAACTCCATCATTACTCTCATGTTTTTGCAATTATTTGAAAAATGTACTTATCTTTGGATATGCTAGTGATCGTACTCGCATGGGTATGGTTGCCCATTGACGGCGCCGACCTCAGCTGCATCTCGGCCGCGTGAAATAAACACTTGGCCAAGAAACCTGTTGTTGTTACAGCGAGGGCCCGGGTATGTTCATACTACGAGCTCTCACAGTGGAGTCGCGTTGTCAAGAAAGGCATATGTCATGGCACAGAGGGATTGCGCAGCAATGCGTTTGTATGCGTATTGGGTGGGAGGTGTCTTCCATAAGCCACGGGCTCGACTAACCGTGCATTTGCTTTTCTGATAGTGGCGTTCCTCCCACTATTTCGCGCTCTCACGACTTGTCCTTACGCAAGAGGTTACATTCTGAGGTTTAGACGCAAGACACCCTGGGGCTAACAAAACTACACGTACTTATAAATAATATAACCCCTGATCCTCCCCGTACTCAGCCCAAACACATCCCGTGCTCAAAAAGGCTCCTTTATCCCTTTCCACATATATTTCCAGGTGTTGCGACATTTTCATAATGAATACTAGCAAGGCGAGGCACCATGCGTTTTAGCACTTGTGGACAGTGTACCGGTCATCGACTGCCGAACCCACTAATCCAGCTGTGTAATGAAATATTTACGAGGTACATCTCGGGTCTCATCGAAAAACCCTTCCTCTGGTTCCTGGCAAACGTCGAAGCTGAACTTTAATAATTGTGGCTAGTTTCAGCATTTAAGGAAGGCTATCCATTACCACAAAAGTCCGCCGCTCTTTTCACAACCCGTCCAGTGCACGCAGAACAACATGCTCGAAAGACACGAAGTTGAGACCACGCAGGTACCATCTACGCTATGTCCACGCCGCAAAAGTGTCGACTGATACAGCTCGATGTTCTCCAGGTGCGAAAAGCACACGAAGGGACTAAGGGCGTTTCACACGTAGCCATGCTGACGGAAGGTGTTTTCCAAGCCGCCACGAGTGACAGCAAGCTTGAAGTTGAGCTCACGCAGCGTCGACGGTGAGAAAAAGGGTGTAATAGACAAGACATGCCGCGCTCCGCTACGGCACAGTTGAACGTTGAACGCTGAGCGCTGATGGGCAGGGGCGTGAACGATTAGGTACGTATGAACTTTCATCTGGTACATTACTTGAAGACAAAGAACAATAACCCATCCTAACCCTAACCATGTGACAGCTGTCAAGCAGGAGCAATCAAAAGCCGGGGGAAATGTTGAAGATACGGGTAACTCCATGAGCGAGATGGGCTCATGGACGCCCGAGAAATCGGCAGCGATGGACGATACCCTGGGGAAACTACCAGCACGAGATAGAAAAACAAAGACAGCTCTCTGCCGTACCGCAGATGGTCAAACGTCTGAGCATTGGGAACACCGGCGCAGTGCATTTGAGCCCGACAATTCCGGCTGATGTTTCATGACTCAGCTCGGGCACCGGCATCAGGATGAATCCCTCCAATGAAGGCAGAGAAGCTGCAAGGTCTACAATAGATGGAGGCGGCCTGCTCAGCATAGGACCGGCGCACGTCAGCGCGAAGTGCTTTAGCCGGCCCAAACGCGGAAGCACGGCGCTGAGAGCGTTGAAGTTGAGATATAGGCCGTCCAAATTATTCCACGTGGAGAGACAGTCGCTCGAGCGAGGGTGCAGCTGAGGGTAGGGCAAACCTCAACGACGGGCTCGACATGGAGAGGATGAAGGCGACTTCTATGGCGTCTGTCATGGCGTTTCAGTCCCAGCGAAAGACACGCGACGAGGGTAAGAGAGGTCGGACGGCGGACTGGCATAGTGCACGAAACACGGCAGAGCAGATGGACTCGGTGGATCTGGTGACACTGTGGTAGCTGAGCGCCCGGACGCGCCGCGCATACTGCTGCAAGACGGTCAGTCGCTTTCGGCGAGGGCACGCTTGAATCCCTATCAGCAATTGTTTGTATGAGCTACAGAAGCTGAGGTACGGTGCAGTGGCAGGTACCTACCAAGCAGCTTATGTTGTCAAAGCTTCGTGTTTGGTAATCCACCAAGTCTTGAGGAAGACATCGTAATAGAGCGACAGACGAGTTAAGATCTGCGTACAACGTGTCAAGAGCAGGCTCTGATTGCGTCTTGCATGTTCTTGAGAGGTTGTATAAAGGACCCGGGGAAGGAAGGAGCAGATAATGCCCGTGATGCCGGAAACGTAGAGACAGTGATGCATGTCGAAAGTCAAATGCCGGCGTTGGTCCAAACCATCAAATCAGCAGCGTGGACCGTTGGCCGTGCCGAGAGCAGCCAACTGTAATGCTAACCTTGTCAAGCCCCAAGCACAAGCTGGGTTCTATAGGCATACTACTTAGCAGGATTGACACGAGCATTACGAGAATATTTACAGTCCTGTATGCATCGGAGCGCAGACGCTGCCCTTGCTGTCTTACCCCAGCATTAGCATGGGCCACCCTCCGTTTTTTTCTCTCAATCACCTCGGGATCTAGAGCCCCTTCTCATCTGGAATATTTCCTGCTGCCTCAACAGCAGCCCACGCAAAATGCAATGCCATGAACTGGTATGGGTTCCTATCAGTCATGTCATCTGACAAAAACGTATGGCAGGATCATTATCCAAAAGTACCCTACTACCATCAAACAAAATAAGCACCGGTCCTTTACACAGGGCGCATGAAGCAATAAGTAGGTACCAATTATGTCAAAGCTATGTCAATTTCCGTCCAAATGATTAAGAAATAAGTGATGGCAGGGTATGCCAATTATTCTTCGAATGCACATGTGATTCATCTGCCAAATTTGAGGACAGGATATTCCAATATTATGTGAATGAAAAACTATATAACTATGTAATATAGTTTGGAACAAGTTTGGAATAGTTTATGAGCATTTTTGCACTACCTCTTCTGAAAGAACAACCACATGTATAATCAATATATTTGTTAAATATTCAAATGTAAGAAGATTACATTTGCATCACTGGTATGTTTTACCAGTACTGATGCTGTGCAAGTATAATCTACTTAATTATATGTGGTCGCTTTTTCAGAAGAAGTAGTGCAAAAATGCTCATAAATTATTCCAAACCATATTACATAGTTATATGGGTTTTCATTCACGTATTTTTGGAATATCCTGTCCTAAAATTTAGTAGATGAATTGCGTCTGCGTTTGAAGAATAACTGGCATATCCTATCATCACTTATTCCTTAATCATTTGGACTAAAATTGACATAGCTTTGACATAATTGGTATTTAGTTATTGCTTCATGCACCCTGTGTTATGCACATGTTACCTCAGGGTACGCAAATGATGTGGCGCAGCAACTTCAGAGATGTTGAGGCACGTTGATGCGAAAATCAACAGAGAAAGATCTCGACTTATAAAGGATGCGAGCGCGGCCTCGGTTGTTCGGAGTACTGGGGGTACAAGAAAATGTACATGAGAAAAACTGCCGTAGCCGAGACTCGAAGCAACTTAAACCTCCCGCACGGCATGGCGTATATACAAAAACAGCATCGATTGTATTCAAAACGCGACAGACTAGCTACGTACTACCGCTACAGAACATCATGTCGTATATCTAAGCTTAAACGCAGAACGAGACAAAAAAAAAAGCAAGATAAACGGTAGTTGGGAGTTGGGACAACGACGACGTTGTCGGGGGATAGCAATGTAATGTGTTTCTACCTACCTAAACTGCTAAATAACCAAGACATCCGATATTTCCACCGTCGTGTGCATCCGAGTCTGGAGTAGTAAGTCATGTAAAACGGGGTAGAGAACAAGAAAGGACATAATCAAAAAGCATGAAAACAAAGAGAAACAAGGGAAACAAAGGAACAAATCAAGATCCCAGCCCCGAAATAATCGACGGCGCCGCCGACGCGTGCCTCTGTCGGTCCCACAGCCTGTCCTTCGCGCGCACTTCGATGTTCTCGAACGCCGCGGGCTGCGAGAGCTTTATGCAGTCGCGCGTGCCGAGCACGAGCATCTCGAAGAAGAACGCGCTCGCCGCGCGTCGCGACGCCTTCTCGGACATTGTCGCGAAGCTCATCACGCGCTCGCCGCTCTCATCCGTCGTCGCGCGCGTCTCCATCTCCCCGTCGCCGAACGACTCGTCCGCGGCCTCGGGCGCGAGCTCGCGCCGGATGATGCTGATCGCTTTCACGGTGTTGCGGCTATACCCGCTCCCTTCCTTGCCGCCGGCCTCTTCGGGCTGGGTCTGTGCCTGCGACTGCGACTGCTGTGACGGCCGCTCGTCGAACGACGCGATCGGGCACGTCAGGTCCGCATACGTCTCCTCGCCCTCCTCCTCGCCCACCGCAGGCGTCGACATGCGCGTGAGCGTCGACGGCGCCGCGCTCTTTGACCTCGCACGGCCGGGCCCAGCCGAAGGCCCCATGGCCCCGAGGTCGTCATGCGCAGGCGGGAACTCGCCAACGTCCATCTGGAAATCGTCCATCGGCGCGCCCGAGTCGGGGAAGTCGAGGCCCTCGGGTCCACCGAGCATCTCGCTGCCCAGAATGTGGCTCGGCGCAGCGCTACCCGCTCGCCTTGCCTGACCAGGCAGGTCATTCTCCTCTTCTTCATCGACCTCACCACCGGTCTTAGGTTTCTTCCGCTGGCTCTTGTCCGGCGACGCCCCGCGCTTCCGCGAAGCAAGGTTGTTGCCGACGGGGCGCAGGAACAGATCGTTTAGCTCCGGTGCGAGCCCGGGCGGGCCCGCGTAGAAGAACGTGCCATTGGGGGTGGTCTTTGTCGGCAGGAAATGCGCGATGGGGTCGTCGCGGATCTCGAGCAAGCGCATCATCATTGCTGAGCGCGGGAGGAAGTGCTGTTCGGTCACGATCTCGCTTACATCCTGCGTGGTGGGTGCGCCGAGGCCTACGCCGCGCCGGCCGCGCCCACCGGGCCCCGGCCCGTCTTGGAGCTCAATAACGGAGTCGATGATTTGTTTCTTTTCTTTGGGTTTGCGGCGTGCTTTGGCATCGGCTTCAGCCTGGGCCGCGGCACGAGCGGCGGCACGTGGTGTGAGTTCGACATCGGGAGGAGGGGTGGCAGGAGGCTCAGTCAAGGGAGAGGCTGTGCAGTATGCTTGAGCCGAGATGAAGTAAAAATCTAGACGGATGAGACTTACACATTCTACTGGGTGACCTGGTCTGTTCTGGAGTCTTAGCATGCTCGCTGGGAGGCGGCGGCGGGCCATCACCAAAGTCAATACCCAGCTCAAAATCCACACCCGCGATCTCCGGCCCAAAGCCGGCATCCAAATCCATGTCGTCAATGAACGGGTTCTCCGACGCCTGCCGGCTCTTGACTGAGAAAAAGTCCGCATCGTCGCCACCGACCCGCTCCAGGCCGACTTCCCCCAGAAGGTGGGAGCGCACAGACTCGCGAGCGCTAAACGGCGTGGCGGCGTCTCGTCCGACTTCAATGCTTGCCGCGTCGTTTACAACACTGACCGGCCCATCTCCCCAGTCCAATCCGAGGTCTATCTCGCCGAAGTCCTGGGAGCCTATGCCGTCTGAAGGACCAAGGTCGAAGCCGTATCCGGGGTCGTCGAGGTCGAGTTGGAAGTCATCGGCTGAGGGAAGGGTGATGTCTGCCCTGCGGGCTACGTGCGCGCCTTGCGGCTCGGCGAGTCGTTCTTCAAAGTCGAAGTCCCTGTTGAAACTGTTTGTAACCGAGCTAAGGATGCTTGTTGGAGGACCCACCAGTTGATATCCGGGAGCATGATGTCCAAGTCCATGTTTCCGCCCTGGAGCGTGATGGCATTCCGGTTCACGACCAACTGGTCCTCTGACATGTCGACAATTCCTGGGCGGAACGCCTGAAACATAGCAACGTGAGCATACGGCCGAACGCCACAGCCTGAAAGCGCACCATCTTAATCTTGAGAAGAGCTTCATTGCAGTCGTCGAGGAGGTACTTGGCCTTGCGACTGTAGATGCGGACGACACCGAGGAGCAGCTGGCCACTGAGACGGAGGGCCATGACCTCAACCTCCTGGCCCATAATGGCCCCTATTTCACGCTATAAGACACCACACTTCAAGGTATAACGCGTTGACGCACCTGCAGCCTGCTCAATGTCTGTCTGTAGTGTCTGTGTCTTTGAAAGCTTGCGTTCCATGTGGGCCGCGAGCCATACTTTGGCTAACGGCCCGCGCCGGGAAAGAATGGCCTCCGAGTAGAACTGTATGGGTCAAGACCAGTAAGACTTCAAGACAAGATGGTTTATGAGGCCATAACGCACCATGTCAGAGGAAAAGAGAAAGAGAGAGCCCCTGGGTGTGTCGCGGTTGTGGCAGGGAAACGCGAACAACGGCTTGGTTCGACATGACTTGTTGTCTTTTGTTTGTCCTCTGCCTTTCCTCACCTTCCGCGTCCCGACCCCCGAACCCCCGAGCCTCCAAAAATTCGTGGGCAACACCGCCGTCCATGTTGGCCTCAACGTCCCGCGCAGCGCTCAAGAGAGTCCCCAAGAAGTCTCCAACATGTGCTCAAGACACCTCAAGAGCGGCTGAGGTCTTGAACGCGTTTTTCAGTCAGCAGACGCGCCTCTTAAAGTCCTGTGTTCAGTGCTAACGGGGTTCCGTTTATTCTAGAGTCTCAGAGACATGGCATGGCCACCGCTGCGCAACGGCCTCGAACAGGCGAGTTTGGGATCAAGAACAAGCCCTGGACCTTCACGCCCGACACGACCTTCCAAGGGGCGTCTCGCAGGGGCGCGCTCTTCCGGTACAAGAACGAGCTCGAGAGCCTCGCCGAGCGGGGCAAGCTCGCAGCCTGCTTCGACCTCTGCGTGCGCATGAAGGCGGACGATGTGAAACCAGACCTCGACTTTTACAATACCCTCCTGAGCGGTCTGGCGTATGAAGCGCGCACGGTCGAGGCCAACGCGGTTGTGGATGACATGCAGGCGATGGGTATCGAGCCGGATAGGATCACGTATCATCATCTAATAGAGGTGCGTTTCACGTTCCTGGCCTGTGGAATGTAAAGTTTACCTGGATGCGTGCGCGAAGGCCCATCGGTACCGGCCGTCCAAGTTCGCCTGGGACCTCATAGAACGAATGGAAGCCGCCGATATAAAAGCCAATGAACAGACGTTCAGCCTCCTCATTAAACGATTTACAGACAACGAGAACCTCGAGATGGCGTTGCAGCAGATGCAGCTCCTCCTCTCGCAGAAGAAGTCACCCGACCTGTCGAACGTGCAGGATATCATCGTCCTCGCATCCAAGCTCGGCCACCCTAAGCTCGCGTTGGACCTTGCGAGGGAGTTTGAGAAGGGGTCAATACGGCGGCTGGACACGCAGACGTGGATGAACGTCCTGATGGCATCGGCTGACTCGTTCTTTGTACGTCCCCCACTCTCTGGGAACTCGACATATATGCTAACGGTGCCGGCGACGGCCAGGCGGAAGGTGTCACCCAATGCTGGAACAAGCTCGTCGGCGAACTGAGCATCCTGCCCGATGAAGGCCTCTGCCTCTCCGTGCTGCACACCGCGGGCCGGCACGGCCTGCCCGACCTCGCCGCGGACGCCCTGCGCGTGCTGCGCGCGCTCGACGTCTCATGGGAAGAGCACCACTTCGCGCCCGTCATCGAGGCCTTCTGTAGAGTGGGCAAAATGAAGGAGGCCTTCGGCACGCTCTCTGTCCTGCGCGCCAACGGCGTCACACCCGTCAGCGACACGGTTCACCCGATCTTCGAGGCGCTCCGCGCGGACGTCGACCGCATCGACGACTCATGGACGACGCTCGACGCGCTCCGCACAGAGGGCAAGGACATCGACACCGCCGCGCTCAACGCGCTCGTCCAGGCGTGCGTCGCACTCGGCGACCTGCAGCGCGCGATCGGCGCATACCAGGCCTTCGGCGAGTACGGCGCCGCGCCCGACATCGAGACGTTCAACGCGCTCCTCGCGGGCTGCGTCTCCGCACAACACCGCGCGCTCGGCGACCGCCTCCTAGGCGAGCTCAAGGCAGCGGGGATCACGCCCGACGCGCGGACGTACGAGCGCATCGTGCTGCTGTGCCTCACGCAGCCGCAGTATGAGGACGCGTTCTTCTACCTCGAGGAGATGAAGGCGCAGAAGTTCATGCCCCCGCTGAGCGTGTACGACACGCTCATCCGCACGTGCTACAATGCGGGCGACACGCGCTGGCAGCTTGCGTTCGCGGAGATGAAGGAGTGCGGGCACCCCGTCACCGACGGGCTCGCGAAGTTCATCCGGTCGTCGGTCATCTCGCGCGGTCGGAAGGCGGGTGCCTCTGCACCTGAATCTGCAGTAGAAAACTCTGAATCGGACGCGGCTTCGGGGCAGTCGGCGGCTCCGGCTCCACCATCATGATTATAGATGATCATGCCCTATACCGTATTATGGCGGGGTTTACATTCGTTATACTTACATCGCAATTTAGACAACTGGCATATAATCCCACTATTGCTCCATCTCATTCGTTCAAGAGTGCTTGAACAATCGATCTCGATGATACTAACAATGTTAAGCCAAACTTTGTCAGAGTTTCCCAAGGTGAAATTTCCAACGGAAGCACGTCGAGCAGCTATAATAATCCGCATGCGATGACGAGAGCGTAATGCGTGCCTGACCGTCCCAAGTATCTAGAGTCTCGTCAGTCTGCACTAATATTATCACCCCCACGGACAAAATTCCTCGGCCCAACGCGATCAACGTATGCAACTCCCGCCAATGCCCCGGTAGGCAGCCTCGAGAAGTCTATGAACGAGCATGTGCTCGAAGTCGAGCTTAGAGGCTAAGCCTCGACCACCACTGCGTTCCTAGCTCGACCCCGTGCCCTCTCGACGTCCAATACGAGCCCTCCAAACCGTTCCTCAACCAGACCAACCCCCCTCGGACCGAAGAACGATGACCTCCTCGAGGTCGAGCATCTCACATGGTCCCCAGTCAGCGAACGGGACGGCTATGTATAGTCAAAATCGACAATGCATTTCGCACTTTGGCTTACTTATAACGAACGAACAAGATGTAACACAGAGAAGGAAGAACCACGGACGACGACCACTAGACTAGTACTAAGGCTGACGATCGAGCTCGTTTAATCCACTTCCCCTCGCCTCCTTCTCCCCTTTCACTTCTTCCCCCGCCCCCGTTTCCCCGCGTATCCCAGATTATTCGCCCACCTCTCCAATCCCCACACCCACACCCATCTTCCCCGTTTGACAGCCTACAAAAAGCACACGAGACCACAGAACAAGACCAGCAAGAGAACGGCACGGACACAGCCAGACGCAGCACAAACGGATCGCCGCAATCGCCGCAACCCGCCCGGCTCAGACCGCATTAAACCTCCTTGTCCCCGCCCGCACTCACACTCGCACTCGCGCTTCCGCTCCCCTCGCTGTCCTCGTCCTCGTCGCTGAACGGACTGAACTTGAGCTTCCGGATAATCGGCGGCGCAGCAAGCCACGCCGGCAGCCCGCCGAGGCTGAGGCTGTCCGAGAGCCCGTGTCCATGCCCGTTCCCGAACCCGCTCGCAACGCGCGATTCGTCGCCGATGAGCCCGCGCACCTTGCCTGTGCCGGCAAGCGCAGCTGCGGCAGCAGCAGAGGACAGCACAGGGGGAGGCGGGACAGGCGACGACGGGATGCTCCCCACGTCGCTCAGGCTCGGCAGGCGCTCGAGGCTCGTGTGCGTCAGCCCGCCAAGGGCGCGGCGCTCAGCGCGGGAGGGCGCGAACGCGCGCAGGAGCGACGAGCTCGTGTGCGAGAGCGAATGCGAATGCGAGTGGCCGTGGTGCGCGGCGAAGAGGTTCGCGAGCGTGTGGCCTGTGCCGCTCGAGGCCGCCGCTACCGTCGATGGGTTAAGGGCATCGAACGACACCGAGCCGCCGTGCATGGTCACGTTTGCAATGACATTGCCATTGCCGTTGACAGCAGCACCCGTCTGGGGCTTTCCAACGCGCCTCGAGAAATGGAACACCTTGGCGTCTGGGTTGAGACCCTTCTTCGGCTTCTCCTTCTCCCTGGCCGAGGTCGAGAACCACCTCCTCGGCGCACTCGTGGCGGGAGCAACCGCAGCGTCCTCGCTGCCGGAAGACGCCTGCGTGGGGTCCGAGTTCGTACGATACGGAATCCCCATACTCTCGAAAGCCATACGCGCATCGAATGGTGAAGGCGTATCCAGCTCCGTCGAAGGAGGCGACGGTCCGCTAAACGACGCCGCCGACAGCGACACGGGGGACGTCGAGAACGTGCTGCCGGCCGAGTCGGAGGGAACGAGTGTGTGTACATGGAGATCCGACTGGTTCTGCTGCTGTTGATAGAACGGGAGGCACGCCACGCCGGGGGTCTCGAGTGCAGAGTCGAGCACGCTAATGAGGCTGCTTGGGATCAAAGCTGCAGAAGACTCGCAATTGTCGCTCATCGAAGGGTACGTCGAAGAGGATGTAAGACCGTTGGTGGGGCTTATCTGCGGTGCGCATAGCAGGGAAGGGACCGAGTGGGACGGGCGATGCGACAGGGAAGCAATGTCGTCGTCAAAGATGGCGTAGCCCTTGGACCGGAACTCTGCTGAGCCATCGTTGTCGGGGAACGGTTTGCTGCTGAAATTGGATAGAGCACCGAGAGAAAGCCGAGCAGGACGGGGAGACCGGGACAGGATAGGGCTCGTCGACGAGTCAGCGACAGAGCGCCCTGGTGAGGAGAGTACATCATCCGTGACATCAAAGGGATTGAACGTTGATGACCAGGGCGAGATTTCGTCGATGGCGGATCCATGATGATGGAAGTTTGCGTCGTTTTCAGAGCTGCTACGACGGCTGAAGGCATGCGAAGAATTAGTGGACAAGTCATTCTTCGCCGCCTCGGCACGCTCCCTGGCAAGCCTAAGCCTCTCTTGACCCTCCGCGATGCGATCTTCAAGCTCCTTCGCGCGCGCGTTAAGCGCAGCCACCACATCCTCCGCCACCTTCACTTCCTTTTTCTTCTCCTCCAGCTCCTCCATCACTTCCCTTTCCTTCTCATCGACTTCCTCCTTCCCCTTCTCCACGGCATCTCGATCTTCCTGAGCATTAGCGCTCAGCCGCCCCATCTCCTTCTCCAGCTCCTCAATTCGACGCCTCGCATCCTCCCTCACCCTCTCCGCCCTCTTCAGCTTTTTCTCCGCCTCCTTTTTCGTCCCCTCCGCACCCCGCTTCGCCTCCTCCAACGCCTTCGCCTCAGCCTTGCCCTTCGCGCGCCTCACGTCATCGGTCTTCTTCTCCTCCCTGAGCACCTCAACCTCCGCCTGCAGTGCACTATGGCTCTGCGCAGCAGCGTCCCGCACCTCCGTCAGCTGCCCCCGCAACTCCGCAATCGAAGTTTGCGTGTTTGATATCTGACGCAACACCTCGGCAATCTGCGGTGAAATCTGTGCGGAGTCCTGCGACGGATGCGGAGTGGGCGTTGCCGTTATCGTCGACGCAACCGGCACTGCCTGCGGCGTTGGCGTGTGCGCACGCGAGTGCACGTCCGGCTGGCGGTGTTGATGGTCTGCATGCAGCGGCAGCGAGGCTGACTTGGGCAGCGGCGGGGGCGTCGAGCTACGCCGCGCCAGCAGACGTGATGTCGATCTCTCCCTGTTGCGGAGCTTCGGGGCAATGCGTGGAATCGAAGATGGCAACGTGCCCGCAGAAGCAGAAGCGAAAGGGAAGCCTGTCAAAAAAAGCGCACGTTCAACGTGTTTAGCTCCTAGGATTATACAATCAATTACATACGGTTGTAATCGAGTTTGTCGAGGGCCTTGAAACCGAGAATGCCAGAGCTCCACCCCTCGGCGTCCTTGGAGTGAATCATTGCATGGTGGTACCAAAACTCGACAAGCCCACCGCGCCACCAACGGCCGAATGCGCCGATAAACCAAGAATCTGAGACCACTGATCCGTCTTGATCGACACTAGCAGAGGAATTGTGATGGTGCGCGCTGCCATTACCACGGGTAGTGGCAATAGTGCATATTCCAAAGCTGTGGAAAACGTGTTTTGGCGTGCGAAGCGAGACGGACGCGCGGCTCGCGAAGTGGAAGGGGAGGGTAGCGTTGGGTCGTGTCCGGGGCAAGCCTGGGTCAGGATCCGATACGTCATCCGAGGGGTCGTCGAGCCTGCTGAGATGCTGGCGAAAGGACTGTTCGGTGAGGTAGGCGCGGAACGAGGTCTCTGACGGGTTGGTGAGGTAGGCTGATGGAGTGGAGATATCACGTTGAGGATTCGTGTGGCACGACCATTAGGGACATGGTCGGAAACGTGTAGTGTCATACATCAAACACATGTTGGGAGATAGGCCATCGATGAGACACAGACAACAGGGAAGATGACATTGGATACTCACCGAGGATGAGGACGACGACGAGGATGACTAGAGCGAATAAGAAGGACCTGAACTCGGACCGTGCGTGGACATTGTCTGACCAGAGGAGGAGGGGAGTGCTGAGGGAGAGGAGACCAAAACCACCAACGGAAGCACTCATGAGCCAAAGGAAAGGATGGTGTATGGACCTGGCAAGCACGGAGGAGTGCTGCCTGGTGGTGTTAGTAGAGGAGGATGAATGCGGAGGGAGACGGAGTGGGGATTCGTGTGTGGATGACAGTGTTGCTTGAGGACGACTGAGTCGACGCCCCCGATGAGCTGATCGTCGTTGGTTGCGATGACGAGCCTGCTCTTGGGCAGGCCGTGACGGCGTTGGCGATGGAAAGAAAGAGAAGGAGGCGACGGCCAGTGGCTGAGTAGATTTGATGCACACCACCCATCCTCAGTAATTCATTCCCACGCTCCAACTCCCTCGCCGACCAGTCCACCGGTGGCAGTGCCATCTTCTCGGTACCGCGTCACCAATTTCGACACGACAACGACCATTCCCTTGTCATCCATCGATTGTGTCTTTAGCTCAGACTGACGCTGTGTTTCCATCCGTACAAACAAGAGAGCTATGATTGTTTTCAGCTCGAGACTAGGGCTACCCACGTTCATTTCAGCTGTATTGAAGCGGCTTTACTGATCGTCTCCACTCCTCCATTGCCAGTCAGCGTGTTTTCGGAGGGCGCGCCGGGACACCGGACCTCCGGTAAGCGCGCTACTGATTCAGCCAACACTTGTCAGCTCTTGTCTCGCCCTCTCCGATTCGTTCTCACCGTCGAGACGCACCCTGCCGCAAGGCACCGCCCTCCTCATCACCACCGGCGGCGCGACCAGCGCACAGGCCTGGGGTATCAAACACCTTATCGCCCAGATGGCCCGCGGACGCTGTTCGTCTCCAGTGAACAGATAACCTTCATGCCTCCCAACTCCACCCAAACTCTACCCCGCATCGTCGAAGCCTCGCACCGCTTTTGTACAAGGGTTTGCGCCAGCGCGAATATGCGTCATGTGGTGACATCTGCGTGTTACCACTCGCAATCATTACGCCGATAATTATAGCCTGACATGCCGATCGTATACATTTCATGCTACATATTCTTCCCTCGAGAACCCAACTTGTCCATGGCGTGCAAGTATATGCATGTATGCACCGCGCCCGCAACCGAACTCAGGTGCGCTATCACCGAGTTGATAGCCTATAGCGCTCTGGTCCTCGGTCACCACCTCAGACCTCCTCAGACCTACGAGCCTCGCTGAGCTGCCCACTTTCGGACTGCAGATTCAGGCGTTGGGAGAGGTCCAGAGGAAAACTAGAATCCCTGCGTGGGCGCCCATGGACTTGAGTTACCCTCGTGATGCCATTCTTTAGCTTATCGCGGACTCTTTGGAGCAACTTACAACTGCCAAGCCCTCCACGAATGTCATAGCATTTCTAGACATGCTTCGACGCTTGCTAATCACCCCCATCCATCCCAGCTCAATGTCCGAGCTTTCCCCCCGATGTTTAGGCATTAATCTTGATCTTTGCTATCAAAATCTCCGCTGACTCGCTAATAGCACACATCATTCGGAGCGCACCTGTCGCGGCGACGCCGTCTGACAGCCTGCTTCTGTTGAGCCGCCGGCGATGGACTGGCTGCATGTTGATTGTGCATGCACATTGACAGATGTGGCTCAAGAACCGCGCGCCCTGCTTTGTTCGAAGGATCGTTATGCGGAGTTTACTCCCTTGTATCGATCGAAGCAAGGACTGCACCCGTGCATATATCACCTGCGTTTGAACCAGCACGCCACTCGCAACGCTTCTCACATCCTTTCTCAACCATAGAACATCGAAGCTTTCATCTGATAGTCCCATCACAGAACCAGCTCTTATATCGCCTTTCTCGACACCTTGTGAGCCACCGCTATACAGCGCGCGCGGATCGGTCACTTGTTATTTTCTATCAGTCGCTATCTGAACTCTATCCTCTCAGAGCAAATCTTGACACCTGTAATGCGAGTAGAAGTTTCTGTGGCGGCTCTCCGCCCATAATCAAAGAACAGATAAGTGTTCCATCCGTCTTAGGAGAGCTGGGCGGATGTACTTACCAGCGGACCGGCGTTTCTCGGCTCTAAGTCTGAAAATACACGCATGCTTCCCCTTCTTTCAGTCTCACCTTCTCTGGGTTAGCCAAGCCAAAGCACTTTTGCTCACCAAGCCCGGTCCGTCGCCGGTATTATGTCTTGTGACACAGTTAGAGATCACAGCATCTCATACCCTGCCTATTCTGCTCTAACCTTCGTCGGGGTTGTAATGATTAAGCTAGTGCCACCATCCAGGATGCTTCGGGAAGGCTGGCGCTTGTTCTCTTTCATCTGCTGCGCATCTCACGGATGAAACTGAGGCTCTCATGTAGTCCCAACGGTTTCATTGGACTTGGACACAGGCTAGCCTTACACTGGAATATAGTGGCTTTCTGTACAAGCGATACCACTGTAGCTTCGAGCTCCTGTGTTTTCACTGCTCTGGGTCAGCATGCAATGACTGACCTGATAGATAATGATATTTAGCAGAGACCTAAAGTGCTCCAGAATGTGTAAATATTGAAACCGCACTTCAGTGTTCGATTTCGTGTTAGGTTTGAGGCGAAAGCACAGAAATAGCCCCTGAGTATAATGTGAGCGCCACCCTGCACGTGAGGAACAATTTACGCGCCTCGCGAGCGGGCGGCGCAGCTTCCGTTCCATCGTCAGCTACGGCGACGAGCGCATAAGTCCCTGTACCTCCCAACCAACTTTAGAGCGTAGGCATTGTCAGCCTCGCCTCCCCGAAATACAGCACGATTGACATGAACCCTGCCTCATAAACCATCATCACGGTAACGCAAGATGGAGAAGGCATCCCACCTCTCCGTCATTGTCGACCTCTCCCCGACCCAATGGCACCTCTCTGCGCAGCCGTCAAACCCGTACCCGCTTTCCATCCAGTCCTTCCTCTCCCAGCTCCTCGCGTTCCTCAACACGCACGTCGCTGCGAAGCATGAGAACACGCTCGCGGTGTATGGGGCGTTGCCGGGTAAGAGGTGTGGTCTCTATCTCTCTAGTTCTCAACATCGACCCAGCTGACTGGCTATATGCGACTTGGCTCGCTGCAGCGTGCTTCTGTATTCCTCCTCCGACCCTGCGCCTGAAAACGCACCCGCATCCGACGCGAACGCGTTCACCCCCTTCAAGCTCGTGGACGCTACCGTCGTGGACCGCATCATGCAGGAGTTCGAAGCGGTGTCTGAAGCCGAGGAAGAAGGTACTGTTTCCTACCCTCGCGCATTGCCTGCCTTTCCTGAATGTACTCACTGCCCTCAGCCCCATGTTCCCTTGTCTCGGCGCTTGCGAAAGCCCTATGTTGTCCGTCCCTTCCCTGCTTGCTTCGCCCTGGTGGCGCCTAACGACCGTGGCTGGCCTTGACAGACATCAACCGCATCACTCACCCTTCGACCAGCGCTGGCCCCGAAGATCCAAATGAGCTCCCCGACCCGCGCATCCTCATTCTCTCCGTCTCACCCGACCTGTCCTCATCCTACATCCCGATTATGAACTGCATTTTCTCCGCGCAGAAGCTCGTATGTCACTCTCGTACTTTGATCACGCCCCCTAGATAACGTTCATTGTGCTAACGCATAAACCAGAAAGTAACGATCGACGTATGCAAAGTATACGGCCCCGAGACTGTCTTTCTCCAGCAGGCCGCGCATCTCACAGAAGGGTCGTACATACACCTCGAGCGGCGCGATGCGCTGCTGCAGTACCTCGTCGTGAGTCCCCACTCGTCTTCATAGCCAGAGAGATACTGACGGCGACTCGCCCAGATGTCCTTCCTCGCGCCTCCCTCGGTCCGCGGTGTCCTCGCGGTACCCCGACAAGAACGAATAGACTTCCGCGCTGCATGTTTCTGCCACAAGAACATCGTAGACATTGGCTTCGTGTGCTCCGTCTGCTTGTCGAGTGAGTGCTCCGTGGACGAAGGCCGTTTGAGCTGTCGCACTTACCCCTCCCGCTCGAAGTCTTCTGCCAACCTGTCCCTGTCTGCTCAACGTGCCGGTAAGCCCTCGATTTCTGTTTCTCTCTTTTGTGTGTAGACCACCCCTTCAGAACTAAATTCCCCATCAAAACGCTCCAGCGACTCAACGCATCGCGTCCGCCTGGTCCGCCGCGCCAGGCGACGCCGCAGACCTCGCCAGCGAAGCCTAGCACAAATGGTCATCGTGGCTTTGGTCCAGAGCTCAACGGGAGGCCATGACATAATGCGATACAGAGAAGAGGATGAAAATATCGCGAATTTCGTTCCCGTCACAGTATCCATATGCTGATGACGCAGATTTAGCATGTGCTGCCAGCGCCCTCGATGATATATGTCTGTATCAAACTGTAATCCTCCAATCTAGCCTGTGGGTATGCAGCGCTACCGTCCTCCGCATCGCGTTAGGTAAATGTAGCTATGGGTATCAAATCGTTCAGGGTCACATGAAGGTCAATCGTATCTCAGGGTATGGTAATACCGCCCCATTTCATGGCTATGGGTTCAAACTGGGGAGGGCTGCTCCTTCTGGCGGAAACACATGCACAAGCTGTCCATGCATGCCTTTAGACACGACCATAAGCCTTCCCAGCACGGACACAAGCAGTCTAGCCAGCAAGGTCTCCCTTCATCTTCTTCAGCGGGCTTTTCCTCACCTGTAACTGGTGGGTTATCCAACGACTGCCTGCCGCTATCACTCGGAAAGTCAATCCGATCGGGCGGAATAAAGGGCGGGCAATGTCCATCGTTGGGATCACTGGGCGGTCTCCCAGTTGTTATAATAGGCCTAGATCGCGTGGTGTGACTACTTCGAGGCGAGTCGTCTCTTTGCGGTGTTGACGTCGAAGAAGGAGAGGGAGAGTCTTGATTCTCTCCACTCGGTCTGGAGTTTGGAGGGGTCGGTGCGCGGGCAAGGCGCTGTAGGGCTGATTACGACGTGAAGCAAGACAGGCAGGTGGGGGACGTACTTCTTTTTCCTTCGCTATCTGGTTGATATCAACTGAATTTCCTGGCTTATCTCCAGCATAGTCAAGGGATATCGTATTCATGGGCTCAGCCACGGCTGATGGCTGCCGTAATGAAGCTTGCGAAGTGCTCATAACTGGGAATGAAGCTGACGGAGACGACACTGGCGTGCTAGGTTCAGGTGTCACTGTCGTAGCCAGTTCTGGTGCAGAGATAGGCCTGGGCGGTGTGTAACTTGTTGCGTGTGATGGGTTATGTGAAGGTTGCGGGACTGGTGATTCGCTTGCATCGTTCAGCGCCTCTAACGAAGAGCTTCTCTCTGAGTAAATTTGTAAGCTCGGCCTAGAAACTTCTGCGTCAGGAGCATCGGAAGGTGCCTCTGAGTTGGCTTCATTGCTTGGGGGAGACGAGACATTTGAAGCGGGCGGAGGGCACGCCGCCTCTTCCAAAGGTACGTCGAATTGAATGATCTCAGCCGCAGCTTCGTCATATTGGATCGATGGAATGTGCGACTTTGGGGAAGCGGAGGACGCTCCTGGCGAAAAGCTAGCTGTGGCCTCAGCCTCTACAGGAAGTAGGGTCGGTGAAGACGAGTTGGGCAGGTCAGGCGGGAGCACCTCTGGCGACAGCTCAGATTCCATTGGACGATTTTCTGGAAATATTGAGGAAGATCTTGAAGGAGGTGGCGTTAACGGCGCTCCCGAAGGATTGGTAGAGTCACAAATGTCTGTGGTTTGCGACTGGCCTGGCGGAGACTTTGACCTCGGCGGAGTGAAGTGCCCGTCGGTTAAATGCCGAGTAGATACCTTAGCCTGAGTGGCGGGCCCCCGACCATACCCTGGAAGTAGTTCTTTATTCGAAAAACCCGAATGTCTAGGAAGGGGGTGACATTGGGTGCCATTACCGCTGGATGTTGGGTATCGAATGACTCGGGTTGGTTTTCGGATACCTTGAGTTCATGTGGCGGCTGAAGCTGGAGTAAAATAGTAGTCAGTATCGATTTACGAACAATCATATTTTATTGAAAAGTTACGCACATCCTGATATATGGCCTGAGGTTTGCGGCTCTGCATTATCAAAGTTGAGAGGTGTAGATCAGCTTAAGGGGAAGGAGCAAACCTCCGTCCATGACTGTGACAATGCCTCATATCCTTTGTCGAACGCTCAAGCGCTCAGTGCTGTGCGTTCCTCTCTCACTGCAAATAAAAACAAGAGATAGCCACATAACGGACGTGTGCAGCATAACGTGTTTCGAAGCAAGGAGAAAAAACACGACTTCATTAACACTGTCCGATCTAGACCGATCAGCGGGTTAAAACGTGCCCATCCTCATGTGTTTAAAATGAAGCGCCAAGTAAGATGCCGTCCGCGACTGAGAGAGATACCGTCTCTGCAAAAGTTTTATCCCGTTTACTACTTGAGTGTAGCTGCTGTGTTTTCTGTGCCATCCCGCCACGAGGATTAGAAGAGCTAGCGCTGCTGAAGGAACATAAATCAAATTCTCAAGCGTCTAAAAATACAACGAATTATCTGTGAGCGAGGTACAGGCAATGTAAACGAATCAACGCGCACGCCAAGCAACATTCAGGACGAGACAAAATCCCGCTGCCCCTTCACCCAATGGTAAGAGCTCAATGCTAGATTTGCTGTAGAGTTTTACTAACAAACAAGCTCGACACTTACCCACGACATGAGGGCACGCTGCGCGAATGACCGAAAAGGAGTACGAAGATCAACAAAGAGGCCAATCGCATTAGAGCTATGCTTGCTCAGGCTCTCCGTTGTCTAAGGGTTATTCTTCATGCCTGTGAGATTCCAGTACACCCCGAGATCGTGGTGTCAAAGGAGCACGTGTCCCCGGATTCCTAGAGAAAGATCGCCCAGCCCACGCGTTGTCAGAGTCATTGTCAGCCCCGTGTACACCTAGTGATCTTGGTAGCCGCTTACGATTTTCCCGAAACTTAAGGGTAAGCCTCTTCCTGTACGCTTTGTTTGAGCTCCGTTGGAGGTGTTATGATCCCATTTCCTCTGCAACCCTTCGGTGTAAACGTTCGCTATGGAGCTTCTTCTGGTCGTCTGGTCGTATAAATCATGTCACAATCGTTTTCCAAAAGCTAAACATACACATAGAGGATGTCATTCTGGATCGTGTTCACTGTCTCCTAAAGACCACCGTGTCAGCAAAGCGAGGAGTCACCCGACAATGGACAGATGCTATGCAAGCACTGCATCTCCCAGCTTTCCGCTCTGGAATCCGTAGGTACATCATGTGGTGATAACCTAGACAGGAAATTTCAGGCCATTGCGACCACAAATATCACACTCGTACGGTGGTCACCAAGAGTTAGTCTCATCTTGAAACATAGAATACGGCTAGCCTTTTCTCAGTATGTATTCCGAGGTCCTGTTTATCTCGCTCTCGATTGTCTTGATACGAGCCGTCAGTAGCTTCGAGAGTGCCAGTTTCGAGCTCGGAGGAACCATGATGAAATTGGCATCCCTTGGCGGTTTTGGGAAAATCAAGTGCCGTCGTGGAAGCTGAAGAGCTTACAGTTACAGGTGCAGCACTCATTGGACTGGTCACTAGCTGATCGCGCTTTGATAGAGCTGCGAAGAAGCCTCGTAGAATCTAAAGCAAGTGAAGTTCTCACACGAGGTAACGCCGCCGACCACTCCTAGGTGGGAGGCAGGACAGAGCGACATCAGGGACGTCCAATGACCAGGATTTCTTCAGATGCTGAGCGCACTTGAGATGATTCCGAGCGGACACACATGCCTTCCTATCGCGAAGTCGATCGGAAGGTAACGTGAGTGTTTATGCACGACGCCGAGGTTAAAGACGAACACGGAGACCTGCGCATGTTAGCAGATTTTAGCCCTTCTACGGAACTTTCCACATGACAGAGTGTTCCCTCGTACCAGAGCTGTGCGAAAGCCCATTCTCAACCCTTTACCCAGTGTTTCAACGCCACCTCATGTTTCGCCGACCGGGTTGTTGCATCTCGTCATCGCACAGACAAGCACTTGGTGCAACTTCCCGAAAACTATACAACCAACACCGAGACGTTGGGTATTTCGCAGCCAAGCATGCCTTCAGCACCAGTCTTGATGTCTCCCTATCCTGATGTGTGATATCAGAGCCCTGCGACTGCAGGCACACAACGTGTTTATCACAAATCTGCCGATGCAGAGCAAACGGTATCCTCATTGCCCAATAGGTAGAGAAGTGATGTATAGATGACTCTCGTCATCGCCAGCGGAGGTTGTCTCCCTGCGCAAAACCTTGATCTATGCCAAACGATAAGTTGGCTCGGGCGCGCAACGACTAAACGAAACCTACCCTCGGCGAGGAACCGGGCCACGTGGCGTACCCGACTGCCATGGTCTTCGTCGTGAATCCGCACCATAGCCGTGCTGCGGCACATCAGGGAGTATACTATAAGTGGTGGATAATAAAGCTCACCGCGTGTATCGCCGCTTTCGCTGGCCTCCTTCGTCAACAACAGCATGCCAGCTTGTGGATCACGTTCGCCGCGTGCCTGCAGGGGTCCTGCACGGATCAATTTCAGTTTCATTGAACTTTGTAGTCTACGGGAAGAAATATGAGCTGTAGGGGATAGGGCTTACTGCTGAACTTTCTGGTCAATACGTCCTGTAGGACTTCGTGTGCGTCGCAGGGATCGTGAAGCGCCTCTCCTAGTGCTCGGGCAAGACTGCAGCGTGCGATGTGTTCCCCGCCACCTGTATAAGCTCTTATTAGCATGAGAAGGCTTTCTCGAAAAAATTAACTGGCTGACCTGAAACACTGCACGCCATCCCTCCCGCTGAGGACTGCTGGGCCCAGCAGCCCGCACCAAAGATGGCTGCCTTGAATGTATGCACCCTTTCAGTGAAGGCCGCTCATACAAAGGCGACTTCATACCTCTCCAACGCGACCAGAGTACTTGAGCAGCAGCCCTCCGCTAGACCACCTCTCGGCTTCATCGTTCCCTGTCCGTTTGACAAGTTGAGCCTACCTTGACACGCACGCAGCCATATTCCCCCGCGCATCGAGCACGACAGCCCCAACAGTGTCCTGCATAGCTTCCTCCGGCAGGCTTTCGGAGTCATCGACGGCGGGCCCACCAGCTTTGCTCCGCTCGAGACGCATCGTCCACTTTGTCCAGTCTGCCTTGGCACGAGACGAGATGAGGGACTCGGGAGGGACAATCTCAATGCCACTCGAATGCGCAAAGGTGTGTGCTCCAGCACCGACTAACGTCCTGGAGCAGAATGAAGTTCCGATTCAATGCATACATCCAAGATTCGACCGAGCTGAAAGGACGAACATGGGCCGGATGCGTCCCAATGGATCTGGCTCTCTCGAGTGCTCCAGGACCGCTCTCGCAGCTCGGATGGGGTTTTTCACGCCTGAATGGGCGATACGAGTATAAGTAAGACGAGCGCCGAAGGCGATAAGTGCTAGGCCTGAAAGAAGAGCCGATCAACAGACCGCTCACCGCGCCGACGCTGCCAAAGTCCCCCGTGGAGCCGTCCATGATCGACGCGTCGCATTCGACTGTTCCCGACTCTGTCAGGTTCGATCCGAGTCCTGTGTGGCGTTGGTTCGTGGTTGAATTGATGAAAGGGAAAGGCGACGATGCTTCACCAGCGTTCAGACAGTCCTCATCTTCTAGTATCGTGACCGCCCTCTCCACGAGATCCAGCGCAGAACACATGGATACATCAATCGACTTCAGTGTTTCAGTGCATGCGCTGGTCGTAGAGGAGAGGAGTCCTCGTGAGTATTTAATGTTGTGATTGTGCCAGCTCATAGGCCAAAGAGTGGATTAATCACCGTTTCAGCGCGCGTTTAACCTGAGCCTCCGATTCGCGGCTATGATAGCCTGCTCCTCCGTGGACGGCAAGGTAGACTTGTCCGTGATGTTGAGCCATGTAGTTGAGTCGGACGTTGAAGGAGGTAGCCTAGAAGCTCAATGTTAACGCAGGTCGACGCTTGACCCAGACGTTGGAGAACAAGGGACTTAGGCGCCCATGTCACGATCGGGCCGACTTCCGAGGCTTTTGGAGCCGTGATGACGCTTGAGCGCAAAAACACTGGTAAGTACATAGATGTCTTCGATTTTGATATGGATCACGTCGCTAACGGCATTTACGTAGTGTACTTATATGATACAACGTCTCAACAAGCACACAGAACCTGGGCACTCAAGGGTGCTCGAGCAACCATCCTCCGTCGATCGTAAGGGTCTGATTCTGGCGTTAGTAATAGGAAATGCACTGGGATAAGACGATATCTAACCTGTCCGAATGCGTACTGGTTGACAGCAAGCATTATGGCAGCCTGAGCCATATCCTCATCCCGCCCTGCGCGACCGGCGGGCGGTTTGTTTTGCTTGACCCAGTCAGAATCGGTTGGGATGTTCGATTTGCCCTGGCTTGACTCGCCAGCTAGTCAAACCATTAGGGATGGTGCGACACGAGCATGAGGAAAGGTTTGCTTACTCGTCATTTCGGACGGGAAGATGCCCGGAGCGATGCTGTTGACGCGGATCTGCACAGCGTCTCTCCGGAGTTCTTGAGCGAGCATGTTATTCAGCTGGATATTGGCGCCCTTGGAGGCGTTGTAGTGGAACTGGCTCTGTGACACGCGCGTCACTGGGCAGGGAAGTCAGCGACCGAGATAGAGCCAAGGAGACGAAGGGGGCGCACTTCCAGACATTGAAGTGATATTGATAATCGACGCTCTATACTCGTGCCCGCCCACATTCTTTCTCGCAGCAGCAAGCAGCGGAATAAACGCAGACGCGACGAAGAAGTAGCCGATCACGTTCGTCCTATACACGGCCTCCCAGTCCTCCTGGCTCTCGTTGAACAGCGCATCCGCAAGCTTCTCCGCCGACTCGTCGCCCATTTCGACAGCGGTTTGCTGCAGCTGTAAGCCCGCGTTGTTCACAAGACAGTCGACATGGTCCTCCTTCTCGCTGATCTGCTTTACGAGCGCCTTGATTGACGTCTTGTCGGTAACGTCGCACGGGATAGGGATGAGGGCGCCTTTGGGGTGCTTGAGCGAGGACCCCCAGGTGCGCGCGACCTCCTCGAGGACCTCTCGGCGGCGGGAGGTGATGTAGACTCGGGCGCCGTTGTTGGCGAAGCCCTGGGCGATCATGAGGCCGATGCCGGTGCCACCGCCGGTGACGACGACGACCTGGTCTTCGACGTTAAAGAGGTTTTGGAGGGTGAATTTGGAGTTGTCGGACATTGGAGTGGGTGGTAGTAGATGATTTCCTCAGTATTAGGGTGTTTATATCCACTCTCCTCAGGGCGATCAGCAGAGCAGCGCATCGCGTTCGCCAGGGATGGGGTCATCCGTGAGGTCATAGTTTCAGGTGGAGAGAGGAAGCCATGAAGTCAATGGATCCGCTGAGGAATTCGGGGGGGTTCTTTCGAGCAATTCCAACTGTGAAGATGATTCATGAATGAGCAAACGCCGGCGAGAAACATAACAGATGTCAAGAATAACGGTGAACGAGGGATGGTCGCGGCCAAGTCGCGGCTGTGGCCCCCGACATTCGGCATTTGCCGAGGCATTGATCGGCCCGCGCAAAGCCGACTGTGTCGATATTGGTAAGCCTTGGTCTGTCGCTCCCCACATTGTGCTCGTGTCTCTCACAGATTCAGCAACCCTAAGCGTTAGAACGGCCATGTCGAAACGCAGGCTCTCGCCAGAACCCCTGCCACATCCCAAGCGACACAATGTCAACGGCACACCATCTTCAGCGGAGCGACGCATTCTCGTCACGTTCGAGAGCTCGCTCTACGACGAACTCCTGCTCTTCATCTTTTCCTTAGTCGACAGCCGTGATCTCTGTGCGCTCCAGGCAACGAATAGACATTGCTCAAGGCTGGCGCGCGATAATCAGGTACATATCATCCCTGCTCCTGCACAAGTGACGAAGTGATGTTTGAACTTGCCTGTAACGGCAAATGTTATCTTTCACACCCCTTGGCGGACACTTTAGCTGTGGAAGGCGCTGTACTTAAAGGAGTATGGGCGAGCACGGCTGAGAGGCGGAAGAGGTTTCTTTGGTAGGGCTGATGGCCGGGAGATCAAGCCGCTGCCACAGCGAGCTTTGGCTGGCCCCTCGGATGTAGAAGACTACAAGGATTGGAAGTGGATGTATCGAATTAGCTCGAACTGGCGCACAGGTGAGTACCCCATGGATTTGAATGCGTAGGGAGACTTAAATTTGTCAGGACGTTGCTCTCTGGAGAATGTGGACTCCTCGTACCCTCCACCCGGCCCTTCCTCGCCGTCACATACTGGTATTTCACGGTCACCTCGTCGCGATAAGACTCTTGTCCTCCTAGCGGGCAACGCCACTATCATCGCGGAGCCCGAGGCATCCATACAGCCGACCATATCCGTTCGTAGTGCATCTGGCGATGCTCTTACATTGATATGCAAATCGACTTTGCACGACGAACCCATATGCATCACCGCCCTCGCCATCGACCAGTCCTCACGTACAACCGAGATGCGCCTCGCTGCCTTCCTCTCCACCGGCGAATTTAGCGTCTTCACGCTGCCCCTCTCTTCCTCGTCTTCATCTTCTCCATCGACGCTCACCATCCTCTCACCCAAGCTCACCTACATCCCCACCTCGCGTCGCCGCTCCAGCTCACCCGTCTCACACGCGGCATACCACCACCCGTTGCTGCTGACGCTCTCGCATGGGGAGAACTTTACGCTCGCAGTATACGACATGGCGCTCATGGCACGAGGCAAGATTGACTGCTGCCAGACGCTGACCTCGTTCACGAGTTACCCGCCAACGTCGCTCGTGCTCTCCGTGCTACCAAGTCTGGGGAAGGAGACGTACAAGGCTGTCGTGACGTGCGCAGTGCCTGTATACCCCAGCCATTGGAGTGTTGGAGCCACAGAGTTGATTGTTGCGAGGGCCGGGGATGGGACTGCTAGTGGTTCCTCTGGAGGTGGTCAGAAATTCGACGAGAACGAGTCCCTGGCTTCTTTGACTGAAACGGCGGAAGACGTGGTTAGTGGGCCGTTTGAGGTGAAGAGTACGCGCACGGCGCGAGCAAGCGATGTCCCCCAGGGATGGATCGAAGAACGGGTTATGAGTGCGATGCGCGCTCAGTACTCGCGCAAGGTCGAGTCCGTTGCCGATACGCAGACGGATGGCAAATGGGTCGTGCTCGCGCCCGGCGAGGCGCTTCCCACTGTCCATGCTCACGCTTCTACATCTGCATCCAACAACCGCACCCCTGTGTCATCGGACGACCCCTCGACATCCGAAGAAGAGCCCTCATCCCCGTCAAGCTCATCGCATTCCCCGTCTACCTCGCATAGCTCGTATATCTCACCACCGCACCACTCCTCAACCTCCTTGCAGCTGTACAGATTGTCCATGCCCCCTCTCTCCTCGTCTTTTTCTTCCCCAGCTTCATCCTCAACGGGGCTCAGCCCGCGCAGCACATCCGCACACCCGCCCAAGCTCACCTTCGTGCGCACGCTCCGGGGTCCCGTGGGCCCCGTCTCGGCGCTGGCGCTCGCAGACGGACGGTGCGTCGCGCTCGGTGCGCGCGGTGGGATATGGGTGTGGGACCTGGAGAACGGTGGAAGTGGTGGTGGGCGGGCGGCTAGTCCTGATGCCGAAGGTGTGGGAGTTGCGCAATCCATCGAGGATGCACAGTTTGTAGGGATTGCAGGCAGAGGAGGTGGAGTTGGAGGGACGGTCGCGTTCGATGAGCGGACGATTCTGAGTGCGGGGCCGAGGGGCGTGGAGGTGCGGCGGTTTGATGTTTAGGTGGTTTCGCTTTACTCAGATGTGGTATGTATTGTTAATTTAAAGGTTGAAATTTAAAGCGGAAAGAGATGTACTTGAGCCATTGAGAGGATAATTGTTTCAGGGGATAATTAGAGTTAGCGCCCGATTGGCGCTGAGATGCGCGACGCGACGCGACAACTGCAGCCGGCATTCGAGTGGAATGCTGCCAACTACGTAATCCAGCTCTCCCCTCTCTCTTTTCCCCTACCATGTCCGTAATAAACGCAGGCAACGTGCAGGCCACGCTCGGTGTGCCAGAGCCGCAGCTGTCTGAAAACCTCAGGAGGGTATTTGCGCGGCTGGTCGACCCGAACGAAGACCCGCTCTTTGTCCAAAACTATGTGGTGAGCATATGTTCCGCACCTTTTACGCAACCCTACCAGGATCCGCCCAACGCCTCTCGTGATCGCTCACTGGCGCATCACTACAGGCCGCAATCAGACGCACCCTGAGTGACGACGTCGACAACCAAGTGCCGCGTCATCCGCCTTTCACGCAATCATGTCTCAACGCGGGCATGGTGAAGACGCTGGTCGCCGTGCTGCGACAGGAGTGGTCGAGCGCGCATACACCCAAGATCAGATATATTGCGCAGTACTACGCGTCCCAGGCTCTCTCGTACACACTTGAAACTGGAAGTGTGGAGGAACGACAGCGGGAGCTGAATGCGATGTTGCAAGAGGGGCTTTTCGAGCTGTGTCTGCGGGTGGGCTTTGCTCCCTTTTCGCTAACTTGATTGTATGCGCTGAAAACGGCCTGTTATGCTCATTGCAGGACCTGAATCATCGCCTGTGCACCATGAGCCTGGTGGCCGTCAATATGCTCAGCTCGCTCGCGACGGAAGCCTGCCTCGCTGAAACAACGTCAGCGTCCACCGCGGCAGACGTCATCGAGGCCGTCTGTTTGTACGTTCTCCGTGGACCGGAGCATATCACAGTGCAGCTTCTCGACCCTCCAACGGCGTGGCAGACGCAGATATTCGCCGAACGAGGATATGTGAGATGCCCCATTATATGCTTTCACAAGCCCATACGAATCTGAAGGGCCTATCGCGGCCGTCCCCTTTGCCTTTTTCTTTCTTTGCATCGAATAGAAAAGCATGCCCAAGGACCCGGCACGCTGGGCGCCCGTGCTGTACGGCACGGCGCAGGAGAGCGCGATCTGGGCCGCGCAGAACATCCTGTGCTCGTCCCCGCCGCGCCCGCGCAAGTTTGTTTTGGACATCCTCAAGAGAAAGCCTCGCGTTGTCGATCTGCTATTCGACTGCGCAATCTTGGAGCGGCCGGCGTGGTACCCTGAGACGCAGGTGGACTCGACGGCGTGCGAGACGCTCACGCTGCTGTTCCAGTGGCCGAGCGAGTTCGTGCCCGGTGTGGAGACAATGCGGGTGGATAGGACGAGGCGAGCGCAGGAGTGGAAGGCGATGTCGCAAGCGCTAACAATCTTGACGTCGAGGAAGGGCTGGGCAGAGAGGCTCTCGGAGGTGTGGATGCGGATCGATGAGGAGGATATGACAAAGGTCCAAAGGTAGGTGAACCGAAAGGCGAGCGCGCGGTTTTATGTTGCTATGCGCATACTGATGTTGCTGGTATAGCCAGCTAAATGGGCAAGGAAAGGATAAATTTGCGCTGCTCAATCAGCACGAGGTTTATCGTTATCGTGGTACGCATCACAACGCTATTCCCGAAAGCGCACCCCTTGATCGAGACTTTCCTACAGGCAAATCCAGATCCACAGTTTTACGTCTAATCACCACCCTCACCCACGCTGCCGAATCCTGTGGTATCACAAACGCTCAAATCGAATCATTCCTTCACATCGCTTACCTTGGGTGCCGCAAAGTGAGGCCGCTCGAAGAATGTAACACCAACGCGAACGTACCGCTCACCGTTGAGCACTGGGAAGAAATGAACCGCCCCCCACTATGGACGACTCTTGCCAATGTGCCCGCCGAGGTCGTTCCCGTCGCACCCGAGAACGCCCTCGGGCCGACCGCGCTCATCCGGCTTTACGTCATCCTCGCGCAGCGCAAGGCGTTGGATGGCATACGGGCGCTCAAGAAGCCGCCCGCGGGGCTCATGCCCTTCACGTCGCTATCGCACATCCAGCAGATCACGCACCCGGACGTCGTCCGCCGAGCAATCGGAGTCGCGCAAGTGCGCCTGCTCGCAAGACTCGAGTACGGGCGCAAGACACTTGCGGGGAGGAGCAGCAGCGACTACCTCAGCAGTGCGCTGGCGGCGTTCACGAGTGCGGGCGAGCTCGCGGCTGCTCTTGTCGCGATGGATGTGTACACGGATGGGGTGTATAAGGAGGAGGTGCGCGGGGCGCGCAAGCAGCTTGTTATTGCAATGGGGAATGCGTCGCAGATGGCGCTGAATCTCCGGCAGTATCAGAGAGCGCTGCATTTTGCATGGGCTGCTGTCGAGGCAGCGGAGAATATTCCGGTTGATGAGGGGCTGGATGCAGACGTGATTAAGAAGAATAAGCGGAGGGTAGATCATGCAAATATTGGGATCAAACAGCGGGGACAGCCTCGGCGCTCTGATGCGTAAAGTATTGTAAACATTGCTGTAATGCTCGCGCCACTTCGACCAGTATGCTTGTAGATTCCAACCTGTCCTTGGTGTTTGAAACTTTGAAAGATGATCTACTCTCAGGCCAACGCTACGGTTTGCCATTCTCGGCCCGGCCAACGGCCCACGCTGCCGGTTTGATGATTTGCATCAACTCCGGCTTTTGACTTTCAACATGCATCACTGTCTCTACGTTTCCGACATCACGGGCGTCATCTGCTCCTTCCTTCCTCCGGGTCCTTTAAACAACCTTGCAAGGACATGCAAGGCGCTATCAGAGCCTGCTCTTGACATGCTGTATGCAGATCTTAGCTCGCCCGTTGATCTATTGCGATGTCTTCCTCCAGACTTGGTGGATTACCAAGCACGAAGCTTCGATAATATAAGTTGCTTGGTAGGTACCTGCCACTTCAACGTTTCATACCTCACTTTCTGTAGCTAACACAAACAATTGCTGATAGGGATTCAAGCGTGCCCTCGCCGAAAGTGACTGGACCGTCTTGCAGCAGTATGCACGGCGCGTCCGGGCGCTCAGCTACCACAGCGTCACCAGGTCCACCGAGTTCATCTACTCTGCCGTATTTCGTGCACTTTGCGAATCCCCTATCCGCCCTCTCTTACCTTCCCTGCGTGTCTTTCACTGGGATTGTAACGCCATGACAGACGCCAGAGAAGTCACCTTCATCCTCTTTATGCTAAGCCCATCCGTCACGGAAGTCTGCCTGGCCAACGCCTACCGCGCCGGTCCATCCTTAATGTCGTCCTTGCCGTCGGTTTCCCTCGCGCTGGAGAGGTTATCTCTACACGTAGACAACCTGGACGGCCTGTATCTCAACTTCAGTGCCCTCAGTGACGTGCTCCCGCGCTTGGGCCGGTTGAAGCACTTCGCACTGACGTACGCTGATCCCATGCGGAGCAGGCCGCCTCCGTCTATCATAGACCTTGCAGCTTCCCTGCCCTCCTTGGAAGGGCTTACTCTAATCCCGGTCCCCGAGCTGAGCTACGAAGAACTAGCCGGCGTTGTCGGGCTCATGCACACTGCGCCGATGTTCCCGATGCTCGGGCGCTTGCGCATCTGCGGTACGGCGGAGAGCTGCCTTGCATTTATGTATCGTGTCGGAAACTTCCCCAGGGTATCATCAGCCGCCGCCAACTTCGTAGACATCCGTGAACCCCTCTTGTTCGTGGAGTCTTTCGCGTCCTTCTTTTCGGCATCCGAGCTACGCAATCTGGACCTCAAGCTCACAGCCACATCCGGCGTCTCGGAGGAGGAAGCTCTCCGTCCTCGCGAATGCATAGGAAACACACTCCGCCCCTTCATGCGTTTTTCGCGCCTGGAGTCCCTCGAGCTCTCTCAGTCGGGTATGGTCCATCTTTGCGACGCGGACATTACGGATTTGGCACCTGCGTGGCCACACCTCCGCACCTTTTCAACCAGCTGTGTTATACACGAGTTGGCGGCGTTGGGATACAGGCACGAGGAAGGGCGGCTGACTTTTGAAGGGGTGGAGACGCTCATACGATGCTGTTCCCACCTGCAAGAGGTGAAGGTCAGCCTTGACGCCCGCGTGAAAGTGGCCGAAGGGTTTCTCGACGAGGCGCGAGATGGGCCTTGCAATCGTGCCATTTCGCGAATAGATTTGGTAGACTCGCCTGTGGACGACCCGCACGTCGTTGCACGGGTGCTTAAGCATTTGCTGCCGAGCCTCACCAGTATTCGGCATGACGGTGACGATGGTTCTCGCACAGCTTGGAAACAAATCGAACAGCTGCTGAACAAGGAAGGTGGCCCTGGACTGAATGTTGGGGTAGATTCAAGGTAGGTTCGGTTTTCCATGCTGGTTTGCGATTTGCGATTTTCTTTGTTTCAAGCCCTTATGCTGCAATGATTGCATGAGGATCTGGCACAGGAGCGTGGGAGGATGGGAAAAAATGACTGCCTTGCGATCCAATACGTGGTGTGCCGGGCCCCGCGCCAGATGCAGTACAAGATAGAAGATATTAATACTCACCTAGCTTCACTTGAGGTGTTGTTACAGTGTCCTATCAGACACCGACTTTACCTTCTGTACGCTATCAGCATTGATTGATGTGATGAACGTAATGTCTTGCTACCGTTTTCTGAGTTGCTCACTCGCCCTCAATCAGTATCGCCACAAACACAGTCCCACGCTGGAAGTTCGTCAAATAGAAGGCAAGTTAAATCGGCCGCGTCTCACAGTACATGATGCGCTGGAGGGTTCATCTCGTCTGGGCTAGGCTTTTCCAGGGCTTTCTCCGTGAAACACAAGCTATGTCAGAGGCGACAGATCATATACTCTACGTGATCGCATCTCCGATGTGAGTGGCTGTTGTGTAGTGACGCTGGTGTAGCGATCCACTACAACGAACATCACCGTTGTGGTGATTTCTCTGGTGGAATGGGTTCCCAATCTGTAACCACCGTCCACCTTTCTTGCACAGCCAGGAGCTCACATTGTATGTTTAAAAAGCTCATGGTTTCCACTCGATGATCCTCCAGTTATTCTCTCTGTCAATACGTTATGGAGTCTCCCGTGAGCTTTCAAGTATCTCTGTTCACTGCAATTGCACTGCTTATTCCTGAGTTGATACTTTATGGTACGTGTCTGTTATTTTAACTACTACTACCCAGTGCTGAGCATTGATGCGATTGTCAGGGACATTTGGAGCGCTGTTGGCCTTGGATATTTTCGTCATATCTGCTCGCCGGAAGAGCGCTGGTGGTGATTCTGTCAAGGGTCATAGACCCGTCTTAATCGTCGGGATTTTCATGTTTGTGGTAGCAACAATTGTGAGTAGTGAGCTGTTTCTTCGAACCATCATTGAAGATTTTCTAACGTTTGTCAGCACATCACATTTGCCTTGTGTGGCTTATACTATGATAACGCTCTGAATGGATGGGAATGGTCGTTGGGCATGGTAACTGGTCTGGGTCACGGTTGTGGCATGAATTGCGCTCCGCAAATTCCGTTTAATTTTGGTATCTTCTCAACAAAATCTGAAACAATGGCAGCAATGAAGATTGCTGCATTCGTCGTTCAGCTATGGCTTGGTGACGGGTTTATGGTAAGTTTTCAATTTTCGTTGGAACATAGTGACATTACATTATGCCGTGTCATAGCTATACAGGCTATGGAGGGTTTGGAACAATGACAAGCGAGTCACCATACCAGTTTCGATAGCCTTTGTTGCAAATATCGGTAAGGAGAATTTTGATCAATGTTGTAAATAACGAGGCTGATGCATATCAAGCTTTGGGTATTATCATGTTGTATACAACCACTGTCTACATACTTGGCCTCAAGTCTCAAATCAGCGGGACGGAGATTGTTGCCAGTATGCAGGTGACATACCCGGCATATATGTCTTTATTTGCATTAAGTTTTGCGGTTCATCTCAGCTGCACAGGTGCGTCGGATCACAATGATTGTAAGACTTTACGGAGGTAACATTACATACACAACAGTGATGATTGCTGCCAGAATCCTCTACGTTCATCAGAAAGTACGTGCCTTTGTGCATGACCGCCAAAGCACAAGCTCAGCAACAGTCGCTGTCGTTTTGCTGGAGTCCGGCGCAATATACTCAGCTTCCATGTTCTGCCTCCTCATTACCTACAGGTTCACTTCTGACACGTTGTATACATTGTATAGGTATTATGAATGTGTCATGAATGCTGTGAGTGGTCATTGACATTCTTGGTCATTCTTTACTTACCGTCTGAGTCTGTCAGATTGTCCCTTTGATCGTGAGTCGTGATTTCATAGTAACTTGTGATAAGCTTATTCATGTGGCTTCCAGGGAATAACATTTTCTCTGATTGTCGTCAGAATGGGTCTTGGCGTATCCGCAGAAACGTATTTGAAAGCGTGGAAGAATAGGATAGGACTAGCAACGACGACCACTTCAGCAGCCGCAAACTCTGTCATGATTTTCGCGCCAAGTCACTCCACTGTTACCGATGGGTTTCAACCAAAAAACATAACTGAACCCACATAGTCGACATCTTGAAAAGGGGTCCTACGTAACCAGAATTCAATCTCCACAAAGGAGCTATAAATTAAATATTCCAGATGTAAAGTCGTGTAACTGTAGGTAATTCTTCGTTCATTATCATGTTTGCAGTAGTATGTATAAGAAAGTGTGACGCTGTGAATGCTATTGAGACCTTGAAGGGGCCCTTGGATCCTTGCTTCACCACATGCCATGCACCGCTAATAAGCAGCACGCAGCCACCCCTAGTGCTGACCTGACATCAACTTGAGATCCGGTAACCCCAACTCCTAATGGACAGTGCTGATCTCACGACATTGACCTGGAAGATACGCCATCAGCTGTGGCTTGTATAGGTACTGTAACTGCCTCTTCAGCAGTTTAATCCTCGCAATCGGACTTAGCGTGTTTGTTCAATAGCCCCTATGTTTAAACGGGGTTTATTGGAATTTTGTGACAATATCAGGCGCTGTAATGTAACACATGTTACTATTGGGCGTCCGTCTTTTCTCCCAAGTTCTCTCCCTCACAGCCAACCCAACATACAGCACTCAATCCTTACAAAGCACACGATTGAGATGTCTTTGACCCTTGAGACACTTTCGCTCGACGTACTCATCAGCATCGCTATCTTTCTCGACCCTCCTGATGTCATCCACCTACGACTAGTGCGTACACTGGCACTCGACTTTCAGCCTTTTGTATTATGAGCACCGTACTAAACGATTTGACCAGACGTCGAAAAAACTTTGTGACCTGTCGTACGAACGAGTCGTTTGGATCAAACTATACAATGCCTATCGTCACCTCACACGCCCCGTTGGCCCCTCGCCAGCGCAGACGCGAGACGTGCTCGAGAAAATTCTCGTTACCTCGTATATGACCCATCAAAATCTATTCGTTACACCCAAGGAGCCTCTCTCTCGTCTTTACGACACTGGCGACCAGATTTTCCATGAGGTAATAGGGAGGTGGGCGCTCGCAAGGACTCTCCGAGACGGCACCCGGGTCCTTTGTTATGACCTCGACTTCCCGGACCACGAACCCCGCGAACCAACTATAGCTTGGCTGAATGACGAGGGCGACTTTCACATCTGGGACATGCGCTACCATGATGTCACGCTTTGCAATAGGAGAAAAATTGGCCTCGTACTCCTTGAGCTCCGAACGAAAGACTTAGCTCAGGAGGAATTCTTCGACAACCCTTCTCCCCAAGGTCACGGTGACACTGATCCTAACGCCTTCTTTGCAGCTAAAGTGTAAGCACTGCATTGACTGGGATATGTATGTTATAGATGACGTAATTTTGATAGAATCATTCTCAAGGTAATATCGACCGACACCTCTAGTGACGTTTTAGTCTTGGAAGAGTTGTATAGATTTAAACACGCCCTAGACAGCTCCGATCCTGGCTTACGTGCGTCACTGAGCCCTTCTGCCTTGATCATTCAGTGGGCAGGCGACCCCAAACAAGCTTTCGTGTGGGATACCGAAAAGCTGAGCGAAGACCCGGTGGCCGTTACCCATAGGCATGCTGTAAGTACGCGCCAGAATGGACAAAGATGATCTTATGCACGTTTTCCACTGTAGACGTCCGAGCAATACGTTCTGCATACTTGCTCCACTACCCACGTTATCTCGCGAAGGTCTTCCCTGGACATCCTTGGGACCGTCCTTGAAGCAACACCTCTACAGTCCGTGATCTCGACCACCATGCTCCGTCCTACCGCTGTCGTAAACATGCCCGGCGTCATATTCTTCCGCCTGTCTATCCTGCGTGATTCGGTAGTCGACCCGATCACGGGCTATACTGAGGTCGTCCTCATCGGAACGGAACAGCCCGGCCTTCGGAATAACGGAAATCAATGTCTCTCCCTCGTTCGGCTCCTCATTCCTCCTGCACCCGAGGGCAGCGGGCGCCCGGCTAACATAGACATGAAATTGCAAGAACTCACGGATATCCCTTTGACATCATTCACGGCGCAGCCGAGCGCGACGTGGAACGGGTGCGTTAGGGTCGCATCCCTGCGTGTCATATACGATCGTGAAGCAAGGGGGTACGGTACGAGTCTCCCGATTGATAGGGACCAGGAACAGAAGGAGCTCTACATTATGGAGGTCACATATGACGAGAAAATCCAGAGCGCGACAATACGCATCGCAGAGAACGTCAGCCTCCCAGCCGATGTACACGACATTTTCAATCGTCAGGGTTCGCGACTCGAGTCTTTTGAGGCTGAGCTGGGGTCTGGAAGGCTTGTCTACAGGTGCGATCTTGGGATATATGAATCGCCGCAGCGCAAGCTCGGCGTCTTGGATTTTGCGTAACTTGTTTCTTCTTTGTGTGTATGTACGTCTGTGTTTGTATGTACGTCTGTGTTTGTATGTTAGGAGCTACGTTAGGCTATTAGACGCTTGTGTCATATGACAAACAGCTCTGTGATGGTCCAATGAATAATGTTGGTATATGACGTCAGTATGCGGTACGCGCGATGTCGTCTTGAGAAGGGGTTAGTAACATAACGATCTACAATACAAGCACTAAGTGGGGATGCTAAACCATACATTAACATACACTATTTTAACTTAGATACGACACCGAGTAGTCCCTCGCAAGTGCTTCCATAACACCGTCACCCTCGGCTTTCCACGCTTCAAGTAGATCGCGCAAGGCCTCGTACGTCGTCGGACCCTTGAGCCAAAGACCGTGTGTGCGGAGGAGTGCCGCTGCCGTCTCAAAGTATAGCATACGAAGCTCCTCATCATCGGAGGGGAAGAGTGGCGCCTGCGTCAGCTTCCGGATGACGGAGACGATCTGTTCTTCGCGCAGGGTGTTGTGCACATTAAGGTGGCTGGAATAGTCCCTCGGGAAGTGGACGTATCGCCAACGCCGCCGGTGGACCATCTGGATGAGGTCCGAGAGGGCGGACGTGTACATGGCGGCGCGGTTTTCGGCGGGCGCTTGTTCGACGTCGAACTTAGCCAGTTCCAGCTACGTTTCAGGATAGTCAGGTGCTGTTCGGAGCCGTGAATACTAGCAGCATGCTCACCTTGAGTTGAACGATGACCTTCCAGTAGGCCGCTCCACCGTTGACCTTTCCACCTGTGCTGGAGAGTTGTTGTTCGTGCCGCTCTGCAGTTGCAAGCCACTCTTTCACGACTGGGAGTATGTGCACGTCGACTCCGGTACTTTGCAAAAGGAGCGTGAACGACTTGAAGGGAGGGTCGCCATGGGCTTTGGTGCGAGTGATTGGCTCCTGCATGTTTCTAGCCTCGAGCAAAAGGAGGCCGATGCGCTGTAACATAGCACCGATCTCGTCCTTCAAGTTCGTGGGAGCGTCGGGGTTGCGGAACACAGGGATCAAGTACGAGCTAATCTCGCCCCTCATGAGCCCTTCGTCAACGAAGTTCGTTGTCAACGCGTTGACGGCCTTGGGATAATCCTTCTCTTGCTTGGTGAGCCAGTCACCGCCATACTTCTCCCGGAAGATGTTATACAGCGCGTACGTTTGCTCTCGCTGCTGGAAGCAGGTGACCCTCTGCTCGAGGAACCGCCATATCCACCAGCGCCGGGCATCGTCCGGTTCCGCGCCGACGACCTCAGGAGTCAAGAACAAGGCGTACTTCTGGACCGCCCCCAAGAAGACCGTCTGCGCGGGTGGGTCGATGTACGCACCCTCGAACGATGTCTCAAACTGCGTATCGTTTTCGCCCTTCTCACGTGCAATCGCTGTCTTCACCCAGCGTATACGCTTATTGACAAGCTCAGCCAGGATAGGCTCCACGACGTGCCTCGTCCATGCCTTGTAGACCCGCGACCGGCCCTTCGCCGTGTCGCCCAGATCAGCTTCGAGCAGCGCCTGCGCGATCGGCAGCTCATCCGACATCAATGGCATGTCCCGTTTGCCCTCCCTCGCCTCCTCCCAGGCCCTCTCGGGGAGGTGCGTGCTCTCCTCCAGCCGTTGCGCGAGCTCGATGAACGGCTCGAGAACTTTCCACACGCCCGGGTCGTCCTCTTGCACGACAAGCCGTCCAAGCACAGCCTCGACGAGGACCTGCACGACATACGACGTCACGCTCGCGGGTGTCTTGAACAGCCCCGCGCGCACGAGCTCCTCGATGAACAACGCGTCCACAACACCCTCCTGCACCGCAGGCAAGAATAGTTGCACAAACGCCTTCTGCGTGCTCGCCTTGATCGTCGGCTCCTCCTGCGGCGCCTCCTCCACCTTCTCGCCTGCCGCCCGCGCCGCGTCTGCTCGCGCCTTCGCTTCCGCCGCTCTCTGCCTGCCCAGCTCCGCCTTCTCGCGGCTGAACTCAAGCAGCCTGCGCGCATACGCCCGCGCCTCCGCTGGCCTGCGCACGCTTAGCGCCGCGCTTGTGACCGCCTGACGGTGCCAGCTCGACAGTGTCGTGTCCTCCACAACCGTCCACGCCTCCTTGCTGCCCAGGCACGGGTCACCAAGCCGCCGCACGGCGTTGAGCAGCGCCATGCGCGCCTGGATGATGCGCGGCTCAGTGGACTCTTTCGCAAAGACAGCGTCGAGCAGCGCTTGGATGTCGCACGGGTGCAGCCGCGAGAGCGTCTTCTCGAGGAGCTGCGCGGGAAGCGTTGCCTGCCTGATGTAGGTGTTGTTGAACTCCGGCGAGACGCGTGCGTGGTGGAGCGCATAGGCGGCGGGGAGGTCGAGTCTTGCTGAGCCGGTTGACGAAGAAGCGAGAGGTGCGAGAGAGGAGACGTCGATCTCCATCGACGTGAGCAGCCACGCGACGGCAAACACCGTGAACTGGTGCACAGTCTTGAGGGAGGCACGGACAAGCGCGGGCTCGTCCTCGTCAGGCACAACGAGCGCGAACTGGTTGTTCCGAGTCAGCTTCGTGCTGCGCAGCCCGAGCACCGTCTTCGGCAGGCCTTGTTCAGGGTGCAAGACCGGGAGGGCTGCGGCGGCCTGTGCAGGGTCGTGCGTGAATGCGCTTCCAGCGGGGCTGGGGAAGCTGGGGAGGAACACCTGCTTCGTCTGGCTCAGCGTACCATCGAGCCAGAGCAGATCGGCCGCCTCCTGGTTGTGCATGAGCAGAAGCGACGGGTCGGGGTTCATCCGCCCATACCGATCGAGAAGGGTACGAATCTTGTCGGGTCGCTTCTTCTTGGTCGTGTACATCGTGTACATCTCGAGCGCATTGTTATACTGCCGCGGGTGCCAGTCAAGCTGGTCGTCCGCTGACACGTCGTCCAGCGTTGTATTCGGGTCCTGGAAGATGACCTTGTCAATGTAACCCTTCAATCCAGGCATCAAATTTAGCCCGTCCTCGATCCCGACGCCGGGGCTGTCGAGGTCGCCCTTGATATTGACCCACATGGGCAAGAACGACCGTTTGCCGTACATGTTCCTCCGGAGCTCCATATCCTCGTTGCTGAGTGGATCCATGCCTGCGCGGGCCTCCCTGTAGAGCTCCTCTCGCTGCTGGCCCCATGCGTCAAGGAACGGAAGTGCGATCTTCGCCACTTTAGCGTCCACTTGGATATCGTCGAGTAGCCAGGGCAGCCCGCGGTAATATTCAAGGGCGCCCAGAACACGTGGGTGGTCGACAAGCTTTAAGTTTTCCCAGTCGCGCCAGTGCTTCAAGAGCGGTGTGAGCAACACATCACGCAACTGGGCTTCGTCGCGGCAGAGGGCGGGGTAGATCTTCTGGATGAGCTCTTACAAAAGTATAACAGGTCAGCAAGCTGCCCAGCACTTCTGGATGAGAGAGAACTCACCAAGTCGCTTCTCCACAATTGCAACGATAAAGTTCCCAATCTGATCATACTCGTGCTGAATCGAATATGGATGGTCCGGCTCCTTGATCCACACCCTCAGCAGATCCATCGCAGCCCCGAAAACCCGCTCGGTGGTCCTACACCACTCCTTAACCACATCCAAGTTGAACTTCCCACTCAGCCCACCGACAGGCTTGATCCCTTCAGGCCCGGCCAAGAGCCGCCTGAACGCCCGCGAGCCGCCTCCAGATCCGAAGACCGCGCTAAACAGCGGCGGGCCCGTGTCCGGGTCCTTCGCGTAGCGCACCAGCGCCCACTCGAGCGTGTCGACAAATAGCGCCGGGCTCTGTGCGACCGCAGCGAGCGCGAGCGCCGCGTACGTCAGCTTGTACCGCTCCTCACGGCTCTTGCCCGCCTTGCGCTTCAACGTCTCCACCGCACGCACCACCCCTTCGTCGTTGTATCCCACCACTGCCTCCGCCGTCGCTGCTGTCGCGGCATCGGATAACCTCAGTGCCGACCGCGACGCGCCAACGCGCAAAGCGCGGGGCAGATCCGACTGCACCTCCGCGTCGTAGAGCGCACCGCTCATCTCGCCGAGCCCCGCATACTGCCCCGGTAAGCTGCTATAGCCATAGGCGTTATCGCGCGGGACAAAATCCGCGTGCGCGCGCGTGCCGATGCCGTACACCGCCTCCGCGTGTGCGGGCTCGAGCGTTGCGAGCAAGGTCGGCGCGAGGCGTGGGTAGCGTTTCGCCGGGTCCGTCTCGGGGAGCGTGAGGAGGTCCGCGGACGTCTTGGCGTAGTGCAACGCGTTGAGAAGGGGCAGGCGTGCGGGGCGCGGGAGGGAGGTGAGCCAGCGGATGATGAATGTGGTGCTTGCGGCGCTCGTAGAGAGGTCGCCGAGCTCGTACTGCATGCACTTAAACACGGCGATTAGGAGTGCCGTCGGCGTTGTTGAGTCTGCGTGGGTGTATGCGGAGAGCTCGTCGGCCTTGAAGAGTCTCCAATCCTCTGGGCACCGCGCGAAGCGTTCGAGGACGACTTTAACGATGGGATCCAACGCGGTGATGGGCAGCTCGCGTTGCCTGTACACCTCCTGCAGCTGCGCGAGTGCCTTGCACTGCGCGAGCCCGACGCGGACAACATCCTTGGGGTCCTTCAAATTCTGCTTCTTGAGCAAGTAGCCTATGTACTTCGCCACTGTCACAAGCGCAATGATGTCACCCGCCGTAGACCGCGCCGTGTACGTCTGAAAATCCACATTCGTGTACTTGGCGTAATGATCCAAGAACACAGCGAGGAACTCGGGGCCCTTGCCGTCCTTCGCACGCATGACGACATCCACGGTGGTATACAGCATGCCAGGCTGATCCGCGACGATATCCGGGAAGTCGCGGAGATGTTCCGAGCTGACGGGTCCGCCGATGTGCTTGAGGAGGAAGCCTCGCACGACGTCCGGGCGCTTCTCGGCGAGCTGCTGCCATATTTCGTACGTAAACCACTGCGAGGAGCAACGTTTGATGATAGCCAAAAGGACGGGCTCCGAGGCGGCGGGGACCAGGTTGCGGATCGCGAGCCGGGCGTACTGCGAGAGTGGGCAGGTCTCCGTGGTCCTATTGGTGAGAAAAGGGTATATCTCATGCAGGAGGGCATCGACGAGGGCTGACTGGGCCGCGGTTGTCGTGGCTCGGAGGCCAAGAGACGAGAAGAGGCGCGCGGTGGCGTAGTGGGGGAGATCGTTGCGGATCAAACTGACGATCGCGCCGAGATCGCAGCTCTCGGGTTGGGCGATCCACGAGGCGGTGAGGACGTCGATGGCGGCATTGACCACGGGAGGCGAGGGGGACGTTTTGGCGGCAGATAACGCCCATGACGTTGAGTTGGATCTTTTGAGGAAGAACGCGTAGTCCTGGGTGGTCACATAAGGGAATGACTGGGCGAGGGCGTCATCGAGCTGTGCTGGGATGGCGTCGCACTCTTGAGCGCTGAGTTTCGACCAGAATACGGAGAGCTTTTGCCTCCTAAGCTGGAGGGGACAATCGTACACTTGCTCTAGGACCTCTTGCAAAGGAGTCGACATCTTGTCAGGCGACGCGTTGCTGGTGCTTGAATTCATTCGACGTCAGTAATTATTGATCCCGCGTCGGCAACCTGAGACTGGAGTCCAATCAGGAAACAACTCACTACGAAAAGAGAGTCGATATGGGCCGTCTGCAAGCGGGGAGAAAATGCAAGGAGTTTCTGAACAAAGACGACTTGGGGTTTTGAGGAGAGCAGCACAGGAAAGTGTGTTTCGGGCGGCTGCGAGTAACCACTTGACTCGATGATATCACGGGTCCAGAACGCCATGCTTGACTCGTCGGCGACACCTGCAAGGACCGGGCTGCACGCGTCACCCGCAGGGAAGATATGAGCAGCTCAGTCAGGAGCATCGAGTGCCATAAGTGTTCATCCAAATCCTCAGTGTCGTGGAAGGTGGGATTGTGTGTTTGTCGCGTTCAATGGCAAAGAAACATATTTTTTTATTGAGCGTTCGTTTGCGTCCGAGTCACCATCGGCCCTGAAAACGTTCAACTGGTCAAATGATGAAAAAGTGCGCGACGAGATGACTGTATGCGAAGATGCTGAGAGAATGATCCAGTACGCCCGCAGGCCAACTCTCGAAGGCGCGGGGGAGTCCGCACACAAAGTCGATGCACCTTCGGCATCATGGGCGTCTCGCTTTTTCTCGCGCACTCTCTTTCCCCTACTTTGACCATGTCTGTCCTCAAGACCAGCGTTCAACGTTGTAGACGACGAAGAGCCCCATGCTCGCCTCATCGATCAATATATGCGCACATTATCCCCGTTGACCCTCGGCTCGTCTTGTCCCTGACCCACCTGATACACTTAGCACCCGCTAGCATGCATTAGCGCACCCTGAGGGTGACATCCTCAATCCCCCCTCTGCCTCCAGCATAACACGTTTCCAGTCGGCTCAACACGGCTTTAATCCTCGCTTTTTGAAGCCCCCTCGAATCACTCACCCCCATTTCTCTCGTGCGCCTCAATTTGCTCGCTCCTCACCTCCAGAAGATTCGCTTGGACGTCATCGGTGAGAAAAGGGTATCAGAAGGTGCGTTATCGTGCTCTTTAGGCCGCTTGATTCCCAGCTAATAGAACCAATAGCAGCCCCGGCACATCTTGGGACCGCCTAACCACTCACGAGAACGCCAGTCGTGTGTACTAGTGCCGAACTGGGTTGAGTAGTTTGGACCTATGTACGTGGCAATGGCGCAATTTGTCAGCTCCAAAGGGCTCCATATTGGAATCTCATCTCTATATACCATCCCAGCTTCACCCCCTCGCTCTTGAAAACGAACCATCACTCGCGGTCCTTCAGTTCACCTTCAATAACGAAAAGATATCGAGACATTTCACTCCTAGACTCGACGAAGAGTTCAATCAAGCAGTTCTGACGTCACGAAGCATACTTTGTTGTCAAGTTCCCGTGAGTCTCCAGGAGTCGATTGCGGGGTATCTGCCCCTCGCTCACCGTTTAACCCAGATACTCCAGATCGCAGCTGATCGACAAATGTTTTCCTTCAACGTGAACTCCTCGAGTCCGAGAGGAGACATGCCCCAGAGGATGAATATACTCCTTCGGGCACACACCGCTCCCATTGGCTGTTGCTCGTACGACAGTAGCGCCTTATCGCCCTCCAACTCCCACGCACCCTCCTCCTCGCAAGACTCCTTCTACGACGACGACTTCCGCCAGTTCCTCAAGCGCATTCGGTCGTCCGCAGGGCCACGGGCGGCGGCATCCACCCCAGCACCAAAGAGCGCCAGCAATGCCAACCAGAAACCCTCACTAGGGCGCAGCATATCGACTAGCTCGGCTCCCGCCATCGCCACTCCACTAGCACATGTACCAGCACTAACCACAATCAACAAGATTCCCACAGAGCTTCTCCAGGAGGTCTTCAAACGCTGCCTCCCCAGCTCATTCGAATCCGCAGACCCCTACATCACCCCGGATGCACGCAGTGCACCACTGCTCTTCGGCCAGGTGTGCCAGCACTGGCGCGCGGTCTCTCATACGTCGTCTGAGCTCTGGTCGAGCCTCGCAGTAAAGCACACGTCCCGCGCTGCTCACCGTGCCCTCGTGCGCGCTTGGCTCGCGCGCTCAAGAGGACGGAAGCTCGCGATCTCGTTCGTGAGCAGTGTTCATCTCCCTGCTACCCTCGAGGCGCCCTCGGATCAGTCTGACGCGGGCGAAGGTGGCGTCCCAAGCATCGCAGAGATTCTCGCGTCGCATGCCGAGCAGATCCACACCCTCTCACTCCGCGCCTCCTGGCCTGTCATCGAGTCCCTCCTCCTGCGCCTCTCACACCTACCCCATCTCACCTCCCTGTCGCTACATCAGCACCCAGGCTCCTACTCTGTGCACATCACACCCGGGCTCCTCGCCTCCCCCAAGCTCCTCCCCGCCGTGCGCTCGCTCTCCCTCTCACGGTGCTCCGACGCGTGTATCACCGCACAACCCGCGCTCGCCGCGCGCCTAACCACCCTACGCGTCACCCTGCAACGCGGGTTCGACCTCGCTGCAGTCCTCGCCGCGTGCCCAGCGCTGGAAGCGCTCACAGTGCGCACGCCGGGGTACCCAGACAACAACCTCGTGCATCTCCCGCCCTCCAACGGGCACGGCGCACCCAGCGCCGAGTCCCCGCTCGTGCACGCGAACCTGCGCGCGCTCGAGCTCGAGCTCGACGAGTGCGCCGAGCGCTCAGCGTACCTATCCTACCTCGCCGGTGTGCTACGTGCGCTCGCGCTCCCAGCGCTGGGGCGCCTGGCGTGCACGCTGTTGAACGAGGACGACGAGGACGTGTGCGTGTCACGCTGGGCGCTGCTCGGCGCTGTGCAGGGCCTTGCGGCGCGCGCGGAACGCCCGCTCGAGCGCGTGGCGTTCGTTGGGTTCGCGCCGGTGCGTCGCGCGAGCGAGCGGGAGCGCGTGGTCAGGGCGACGAACGCGAAGGAGGTTGGGTTTGTGCCTGCAAGGGCGCGGGCGGTGCAGAGCGTTTGTCAGCGGGACGATACTAGAATGAGGAGTAGTGCTAGTACTGCGAAGCTGAGGATGGTGCAGGGGCTAGGGCTGGGGGAAGAGGGCCCGTGTTATCTTTGAGCCCAAGGTTAACGACGTAGGTGGATTTGAATGATGGCACGCACCCAAACGACGTATACCCGAATGGCACGCACAGTGGCCTTTGCTCTCTGCTCACTCTTGTTTCTTGTATGTATCACTACGTTCTACTTACTGTACCATAATAATGACGCGTTCAAGCCCCTGCATCATACCAAGCATTCCGTCCGTTCACCAATGAACCCAACTTCAGCCACTCGACATCGTATTCACTAGCATTTGGCTCGCCCTTGCTTTGACTTCTTGCACGGGTTGCCGAGGTTGGCGGAGATTCAAATTCAAATGGTGCGAACTTCACGTTGAAGCAAGCCACCTAAACCCAACTCTGCAATAAGTAATTAAATCCATTGACTTTTCGTTCTTGCAATCAGGCCTTCCATTGGATGCTGGCACAGCCAATCCGTATTGGAGTGTCCGTGTCAGCACATTGTGCTGCGTGCCGCGCTTTAAGCTTTAAGTTCGACGGTAACGATGGCCTTCAATTCAACTCGTGCATCATGCTATCCATTCGTGACCATCCTATCGCGGCTTCGTCCAGCTACCGACAGCCCTCGCTCGCGTTGTCCGCACACCACGAGGCCCGTGCCTGCTCCCATACCATTTGGACATCGGCCGACCGCAGCGTTCGACCTTCGTACGTGGAATCCGACATCTCCAAATTCCCAAACAGCCTCTACGCAGATCCTTTGCGACGTCGTGCCTGCGGTATCGACTCAGTACTCCGTGATATCCCAGGCGTCCATTGACGCGTTCAGCATGGCTCCGTGCGGACACGTACGTTTTGAGACGATAATTATGTGTCCATTTCTGCGGCTGGTCCACAGTAGTGCTGCTGCCTTGGCACGTAGACTCGAGGGACTCGAGGGATAGATAAGAAGACACTCTCCATCCCCGTGGCCCCACTCGGCATTCGAAGCTGAAATGCCCGCGGGCGGATCTCACTTGCGAAGGCTTATGAGCTCGACAGCACGGCGGAGTCGGGTCGATGAAGCCTGGAGTGCGACCAAGGGTTCTTGGAGAAGGACGGTACGTACTAGCCTACAACGTGCTATGCGCGAGCTTGGCTAATCAACCCCTTCGCGGTCTCCTGCCCACGGCGTTCAACTGCTTGCAGACCAATTTCCCGCTCTTCTTCACAAACGAGTGGCGTGAGGAGCGGTGCGATCTTCGCGAGAAAATCAGAAAAAGCAAGGCGAAGAAGAAAGCGCTGAAAGCTGCCTCCAAGAGGAAGGAGGCGATGAAAGGCTATTTTTAGTGAGGTGAACACCCCATGTTGCGTGCTTATCTTCTAGTGACTTACGCGAACTACAGTTCATTTATGGAGCTGGTATCAGCTCCCAATAAGGCGGCAACGGAGCGGTGGATGAAGAAGACATGGACATGGACCTGAGTCGTACCGAACAAATACAAAGGAGGAAGGAAGCATTTCTTGACGACGATCATTATTAATGATCGTGTCTGTTCATTGATTCGTAGTTCGACCGAAGGCGAGATTCGGGGGTGCACTGTCATTACATAGTTTGTGTCTATTATTACAGTTGCGCAACCGAGGAAGACACGAGCGTCTGTTAATACAGAGTGGCATGAGCTGGGAGTATTTGACGACATTATATTGCGAGACTCTCTGTGATTAGACGCGAAAGTACTACGAATAGGCCAACGCACGCTCGCGAATCCGTGCAAGAACTATGTAAGGTCTTCTTCTATATCGTGTTACTGGGTCGTGGACTGAGTGCCGTTGTTATCAAGGAGCTTCAACCAGATCCGAAGACGTCAAATAAATAGTACAACTGATTTACAAGTACATTAAGGATGAGAATGCTTAAAGCTTCTGCTATGGTATATATCGTACATACTGATGACACATTAATGTTCAAACATTCAAAATAGCTTGCTAAGTCAAGCAAAGTCCAAAACGCCCAACTTGCCCAACGGCGACCGATAGTCCCCCAGAGGGCAGCTATAGACAAGCCTCCCAGACCCCAGCTCGGCCTCAAACGACACGAATCGCATACGCCGGTGGTTGAAGACGTCCCGAGCGCTGTCCGGGAGACTGACCTTCTCAACAGCACACATCGTCGCGCTCCGAGCGACCCCATCGTACGTGATCTCCACAATGCTCAGCTGTCTCCGCTCTTTATCCGAACCGACATTCGCGACCGCTAGATTGCTCGCCTCGTCCTCGGTGGATGTATGGACATCACGCAAGTACGCTAGCCTGACGCGCCCGTTCCACGCTGGGTTCAGATGCATCGTCTGCGACTCCAGCGGAATGGTCGCGATCGTTTGCAGGTGGACGTCGATGTCGACCGGGCGCCTAGTGCCATCAATTTCGGATGCCGACGGAATGAGCAGCCGGACGAGGAGGATGCACGGCTTGTCATTATTCCGTGGCCCAGGTTTCTCGATCCCGAGCAGGACAGTCTCGGTGGAGCCCGTGATTGGATCGACGATCGAGTCGCGGAAGACGGCCAGGCGGTTGAACATGGTGCCGGGCATATTTGCCACGGCCGTGGGACGGAGCGCGCTGTCAGTAAAAACGGTCTGGAGAGGTGTTGCTTCTATGACGGTTCCTAGTATGTCCGTGGAAGACCTGCGCGAGATGATGTGGGTCTTGGAGCACGTATGCAGAACAAACTTTGAGAATGACTGGGGCGAACATGTGAGCAAGGTGATTGGCGCCCATAATGTAGCACGCTTACGGCATGGCCGTGGGTGATGGTCACCGGTTTGGAGTCTAGCTTCTCTGTGTCCCACACGAAGGCCTCTTCCGGATCACCTGCCCACTGCACAACAAGCGCAGAAGGGCTCAGCTCTACAAGTAAGCGGGACGGGGAGTCATAGATGACGTGTTCATGTCTGTACAGTTCTTCCAAGGCAAGAGCACCACCAGAGCTTTCAGTAGACTTCACCTTGAGGACGACGCTACAATAGTCTTGTCAGTATCAAACTACAAGCTATGTGCGAAGTAACGCTCACAGTTTGGTGGAGAACATTGATTTTGAGTCTCTCTTACATCCAGGGGAGGGGTAGAAGCCATACATGGCGTTCTTGATGAGGTCCTTCCTCCGGAGCTCCAAGAGCACGAGACTAAACTGTCGTCCGTCACGGAGGGTAACAGTCCGACAAAGCGTGTTCCAGATACAATACTCATCTTCGTCATTCACCCAAACCGTACTTGGCTCACGAGCGTCGTGGTGCATGCTGTCGAGATCATAACACAGGACTCGCGTGCCTTCGGGATCCTTTGAGAATGCCCATCTCCCTGTCACCTCGAAGTGAACCTTATCGCCAGTGTCATAGAGGCGGGATCGAGGCTCTTTCGGTGCAACGAATAGATTCTGATGGGTCGAGTATGAGCGTAAGAGGCGTTCCTTGAGCACTTGTCGCGTCTGCGTTGGTAGGGGGCCAATAGGGAGTGCAAGGCGGTATGCCTTGTAAAGCGCAACCCAGATGACACGCTCGTATGATAGATTTCGCAGGCGACTTGAAGTCTGATCGTCTCGATCAGTACAGGGTTCACGATACGACAGAAGCGAAACCCAGGTATACGCACACGTCGTAGATGCACAACATCAGGGGGATCGAGAAGGGTGGCAACGCTAATGAGTACGTCGAGTGGAAGCGTGTCGAGGGCGAAAGGCATACTTAAGTGTGCGTCTCAAGATACTGGAGCGCGTTGAGGGAGGAAGAGGGCTGGGGACGCTCGATGAGGCGTATAAGGTTGCTGTGCTTTATTAACACTTCTGGCAGGCTCCAGGGGCTGTTTGCGTCATGGGAAGCGGGGAACTCACGTTGCGCGGAGAAATCGGAAAACGTCCCGGAAATGAAAGGCGCGATATGCCGCTGCAGTAACAGGCGTATGCAGTGCATATACTCATCGCTGTATCATGGAACATCATCAAGATGACCTTGCGAAGAAAGCTTACGTTGAAACCTGCCGCGATGGTTGAACTTTGTAGCAGTACTACTCTCGCCGGCCTTCGCCGACCTTATCCATAGTGTAACCAACCACGAGTCGAGCGTGAACTTCACTCTATCATTCTTGACGTTACCGTCATACACGTCTGCGTGAGTTGTAAGTGTGTTTGCTCACGTCTTGCAAAAGGTGATCAGGAAGATAATTTGCTTCCAGTGCGTCGTGTATATCGGCATTCCTGAATCCTGCTTCCATCGCGCCACGATCAACAATGCCGAACAGACGGGTGTATCGCTTGATCTCGGGGGCCCGCTGCCAGACGGCCAGCCAATGCCGTGCATTGGATAGCGCTCGGTGTTCCAAGCTGGCTCCTTGTTGAAGCGACATACGTACTGCAGATGGGCGTGCGGATGATCCAACAATGTGGATGACAGGGAGTGACCAAATCTCTGGTGGCAACATACTTATATCGGATTGGTAAAGGCTTCATAAGCATCAATCTCAAACTGCGTACCAGCGAATTTGATACCAGCTTATCCGTTCTTAACCTTTTCATGTCTTGAGAGACGTGACTGCCTATGTTTGTTGGGAATAGTAGCACGTTAGTAATGGATTGAGCTTTAAATGGGGCTGAAGAAAGATGGCAAGAGGAAGAGGAAGACAGAATGGCCAACAGTATACCGTGATGGACGGTGAATCGGAGCATACAGGATAAACCGCACTCACCACGCTGCTTATCTCAGAGCTAATCGCCCTTTCTCATGTTATACCGACATGCAACACCCGAAATTCGGAAAATAGAGATTATAGGGGCTCTGGGTATAATAGGCAGGTACAGCCACAGTTCGCATATCACCGTAACGCCGAAGACGTCGGTGCGCCCACATTAAGAATCAGGCACGCACATTCACATGTATGGTGGGCGCCACCCCCTTTTCCAGCCACAAAGCAAGTCCCCTGAGTTTCAGCTGCGACGGGGCCTCCTCAGGAGCCCGACCAGGCAGGTCTGCCAGTTGTCCTACTCAGCTTGAAGAGAACCAAGCTGCGTTGACGGGGGTCGAACGGTGCGGCTCTCCTTCCATGTAGCTACAATGTTAACTTATGAGTTATCAGAGCAGCCACTTTAGCCAGAGTTTGACAGCGACAGCCGTGACTGGAATTGGTTGCATTCCAATTTTACAGCTTTCCCCAACCCGTCTCGGAGAGGACTTGAGACGCCGCTTTGTTTCATTGCCCCAAGTGTCCAAATTTGTCTATGGAACGACAATGGGAACGCGCGAAACACGCATGGAAGTCGACAGTGAGTACCGCTCACCTCGTTTGTTCTTCTAGTTTGCACATGTCTGACAGGCTCTTTGGTGCCGGCTCAATCAAGGCTGGTTTCCCTTTCTTCTTCACTGACGAATGGTGGAGAGAACGTGAACGACGCATGCAGAGAATAGAGAAGCGCCGCAAGCTGAGGAAAAGATCCTGTGTCCGTGGTGCGAACTTGAAGAGAGAGGAGACGTATGCCAGCGATATGGAAGTGAGTCTTGTCTCCCTAATTTCGCCACTTGGCGGAATGGGTCAGAACTGACGCTGTGTCCAAGCCTAAGTACCATTGGAGGGACGACAGTGGGACCCTTGTCGACGAGGAAGAGATGAAGGAGAAGAATGAATGAACTTGGAGGGATGGTATTGATGGCGAATTGATTGTATATGGCTAGAGAGTTGGACTGGAGGATCAGGTAAAGTCTCTGATAGATGACCATGATGGACTATTTGCGACCGTGAACCTGCAGAACGTTCCATTACTAGTGTGCGGGCTGTTTGACTGTAACATAGAACAGAAGTGCTGTAGCATAGCCACAAGGTACAAGGCAAGCATGTATAACCGTATCAAGCTCGGCGACATTAACACCAACAAACATTTCGCTTGAACTACAAGCATCTAATTTCAATGCTGACATGACTCTCTTAATCTAACGGTCACTCACTACATATGATGAAGAGCTTTCGCGAATACATCGGTTGGCGTTGCAACACTATGCTCCTGGCCATGGAACACTATCGGACTGATTAGGCGAATCGAAGTCAACGCCACCTCTCCGACGCCTCCTTGAGCGTCAGGTAGCTGCCAGCACTTCACTGACATCCCGTCTCAGAAATATTGTGCGCCTTCAATAGCAAGGCGTCCATGCCATTATACCGACAGGTTGGACCGTTTGTCCTCCTGCGAAACAGCATTGACGTCTGTCAAAGCGGCATCAGACAAGAGCATGCGCTTGGGCCTTGACTTGGAGGTTCGCACAGCTCCTTACATGCGCCACCACAAGTCTTGCAATAGAATAAAAGGGCCATGGATTGAAGCTACTGGTCCGACATTTTTAGCGATCCCAAGGCTCTCCCCCGCTTCCTCTCTAACTCGCCGCATCCGTCCCAATGGGTCGTCTCCCCTCGATATTCCGCTCCGCACCTTGGCGAAGTACCGTCACTGTTCAGTGCTCTCCATTATCCACATCTCGCTCGTCGTCATTCACGGCTCTTATTCCCCGCTATAACAAGTACATAGCGGCGAAAGTGGAAGAGTTCAAAGCGGGTGTGGAACAATGGAAGACCAACAGGCGGCGAGCCATAGTTAGATGCGATAGACAGAGACTGAAACGCCGGATGATCAAGCAGGTACGATTTATCCATCTCCGCTTGATAGACTTTCACGGGACTAACAAACTATGCATAGTCAAGGGGCCATGGCGACTGTAAACCGCTTATACCGAAGACGAGAAAAGTGTCAGCACGAAAGGGTGTCATTGTGTGTAAATTCATCAAGCTTACAGGTCTGAAAAGGGTTATTGAGCGACCTGAACCTCCGTTCTAACTTACAGCTACGTACGAGGAGAAAACTAAGGGCAACAAAGTTCGTGCAAGAGCGAAAAAGAAGGATGGAGCGAAGGGCGAGAAAGAGGTCCGAGAGGAAGCCGAACACTCTCAAACGGAAGTGTAGGGTGAGTTTTGATACCTGTGATATCCTATATGTGTTGACGGGTTATATCGCATCTAGTCAAAGAGAAGAGCCAAATACCTATGGTCGCTCAGGGTCAGAGCCGCAAGGAGAAGACGTCGAGCAAAAAGGGTGAGTGTGCATACCCACATCGTCAACTCATAGTAACACTGTCATTCACTGTGTCTTTGCAACCACCGCAGAAGTGCTCCTGTGACATATCACACAAAGTCGCCGTAGTCGCAGGCACTTTCTCCCAAGTGCCAGTGGGCATCAAGTGCCTTATCTGCAGGCGGTTCGAAGAGCCCAGAAGGAGGCTCGTAAGTTTCGACGGAAAATGCTTACGTATAGGGAAAAAACGGCTGAGCAAGGATCTCGAGTCATTGCTAAAAGCTAGAAAGATTCATGAAGAATATTAAACGCGACGTCAGCGATAATATAAATTCGTTTGACACAGATAATTTACCTCTTTATGAGGATAGGAATGCTATGATTATATGTAGACTAGCGCGAATATGCTTCGATTTTTTTTATGTTGCGAACAGAAAGCCTCTGTTGATGTCGAACCACGTTCCGCCCACCCGAGATCACCCCAAGCATCATGGCTTGCAAGACGACGGGATCGACGGACAGAGAGGGAGAAAGAACGCGGACATGAGCGAAGATGGTCAGAAGGAAGAGTGATACCTTCCGGGTGGAGGCAGTCCTTCGAGCTCGACCGCGAGGGCTGCAGCTGAGCTTATGGGTCCCGCATTCGCCGTTTGGGAGGAGTCGAATGCTCGACCAGGTGAAGACGATTAGTGCAACATTTGTGATTGGCGATAGTGATACAACGCAGAACCAATATTGTATGAGGGGAATGTTGAGGTCGCTGGTTGTACATCTTCAGTGGGTTGACCGCGGTCAGCGTCAGCGCTAGCCGCGGTCCAGTGCCCTGATGGGCGTCAAACGACGTTCGGGCCGACGGCGTTTGCCGTTTTCTCTCTAACCACGACCACCACAGCAGCGCGTTGGCGCACAAAAATCAATAAAACCACAGAAATTTGCTACGTGGACTATGCCATTGGCAGGTAGGTGCTCGGCGATTGTGAAAACGTTGTACGTTGGGCTGGCTGGTCTATCCGCTTTGTCATGTCACTTACAGTGCATGTCTTTCCTGCACTTTGGCATCTCTGGAGCGAAGCTGGTATTACTGTAGTCAACTTGACGTTTCCACATTGGCCGCATAACACCCTGCCCCACTGCGCAACATGTCAATGTTAAGCTCGACACGATCAGTCCTGGGATCCTCGTGCTCAAATTTAATATTGTGAAACGTGTGAACATACGCTCGAGCGGCACCGTAGACGATCATAAAGTACGAGAGGAGAGGGTTCGTCCACGGACCCGGAGGTGAGCTGTTCGTGACCTTCGACAAGCTCGTGCAGCTCGGGTTTGAACATTCTCTCGGCTTCAAATCGACTTCAAGCTGCAGCCTTAAGTCGAGTAACTTCGGCCAGCCCAATCGTTGTATTTCTTTCGCGTTTCTGACCAACAAGTTGAAGTCTCCCAGCTTGAACTTATAACGAGGCGGCGGGGTATCATCGTGTGCTGAACAAGTCTAAGACCAAAGTGAAGGAGGTCAACCTCGTTTCACGACGTTCATCGTTTTTCAACATAAAAAACACCTTTTCAGATCCCCTTCAGACGCTTGAAGATGATGTTCAGGCAGTGGCACGACTGACGGCCTTGGTGAGTTATAGCTTGGTCTTCTCAAGGTATAATGACCCTCATACGATGTAGACCCTCACCACTGTCTTTGGCTACACTACCCACCGAACCAAGTTCGCGCCCGAGGCAAAGCAATACCCACCCGACGAGATCGTCAACGCCCTCTTCGTACCTCCCCCGCTCCCTGCTCCATACCTCGGTACTTTGACCCCTACATCCCCTCTCTCACCCATTTCCGTTAGCTCTGGAGGCACCATCAGAGGGCTCACGACCACTTCACTGCAGCACCATCGTTCGCTTTCACGCGGATCCACAATCAAGCCCGTCCACGCCCGTCCCCCAAGTGATTCCTTCAGGCGGTCGTCCTCCTACCCTAGCGAAGCGACATCACCCACGTCACCCACAGGATGATCAATGTATGCACCGAGCGTGAGCACCGCGTATGCACCCAGTCCTCGCACAGTCACTTCTCTTGAAAGACCAGGTCTGCTAAGTCCCGGCATGGAGTCACATACAACCCCGGCAGTGCTGACGATCACATATTCCCCACCGCCAGAGCCGTCGGCTCCGCTTCACCCTTCACAGTCCTTCAATTCGGCTCACGTTCGGACGCGTACGGCGAGCACCACCAACTCCACGGCTGCTCGCTTAGGGGTATCGGTAATGGTCCCCACAGGGCTGCAACAAGCGGTGGTGGTATCTGAATTGGAGCACATTGGCATTGCGGCACAGCGAGACGTCGTCCATACCCTCCGGACGCGTGAGCTTGTGTGGAGGCCGTAGCCGACGAGATTGGTCAACTGAAGAAGGAGAGGCGGGAGCTGCGGGATGGGTTTCGTTGTCTGTGTGCCGGCTGGACCCAAGAGAGCGACCTGCGATCTACAAGAGCTTAGTAGGCACTGCTTTTATACAACTATGTTCTCGTCCTGATGAATCTATAGCTCGACCATTTTGCTCTTAGCGCACTACAACCCATGGTGCGCACCGCACTACGCCACCGACACCCGTCGACCAATACACCTCCTGCAGCCCAACCCTCTCATCGCTCTCTTGCAGCAGCCCAGTCTCCCCCACAGCTCCTTCTCCCTGCAATGCCTCCCGCAACCACTCCGCCTGCCGAGTCACCGTCGCGCCAAGCCCATGGCGTAAGCCAATCCACTTCGACCACGGGCACTTCGCCCGTCCCCACGCCTCTCCCTCCTCCCTCGCGACCCTCGCAGCCCGGACAGTCCCCAGCGCTGTCTACGCTCCCAGCCCTTCTCCAGCCCTCCTGAACACGCTCCGCTCGCTCACGAAGCATGCAAACATCCGCGCCCCGCTCCGTCTGTACCTCTCCGACCTGCTCACAGCGACGCGCCACGCTCCCGAGCTGGACGGTGCCCTCCTCACTGCTCGCTGTCGTGCTGGCATCGAGGCGCTCGCGTGCGCTGGACGCGTTCTCGGCGTAGACACGGAGTGCGGCGAGCTCGTTCGCCTTATGGTACCAGTCGACCCGGATGACGCGGAGTTGGGCAGTAACGGAGGCAGGTGCAACTCAGAGTACCGAAAGCTTCTTCACGTCGGAGGTCATTGCAATCGGCGGCGACGGCGATAAACCCCATTCGAACGGAAACGGCCACCCGCTACGGTTCCCGCGCACGCCCAGCATGTGGCCGCACCAGACGCGCGGTACGACCTTGACGGGCACGAGTGACACCAGCCGCCGCCTTCTGAACAAGGACGAGTTTGGCGAGCTTCGGCTGGACGTCGCGGAGGCGGACATCGCACGCGTATACCCGAGGACTGTATCACACCGCGTGCGTGTGCGACGGTCGCTGGCGGACGAGGTGCGGTGCTGTGGGTGGGGTGATGGTTAATGGGCGGGAGGTGCGTGCAGATGTTCCAGAAGCGTGCGTGGGGTCGCAGGTTAAGGACGTGTTGTGCAGGTGATGGCGGATGCGTGATGGGTTCGGTTTGACCGGGTTGAGTTCGTAGTTTCTTCACTGGGTTTTGGTGTGCCAAATACATTTTCATTGATTCCAAACAAAATAGGCACCAGGATTTGGAAGTTAATCGCGCTTCCCCCTAGGCTTACTGTACCTAGGTGGCCCGGCGGTATATCGGAACTCTGGCTACAACTGTATCGATGTCTCTATTCCAAAATAGGTCTTTCCCGCAACTCCAATGAATCGCATGTTCAAACGTTCATGTTCGTAACCTATAGAGATGATCATCTTTATTGCCCTACCCAACTCACACTTTCCCGTGCGAGTGACCATTCTGTGTACCCTCAACGAGCGCCATAGCATGTACACTGGGTCCTGCAATCTACGTTTCATCTATAAATGGGGCATTCGCGTGGACCATTTCATTTGCAGCCTCTGCTTCGCCACTTTGGAGAAGGCTATACTGCTTATTATAGTCTCAATCAGGATGGTTCAAGCACATGGTTTTGACGTGAGTGCATGTGCACCCAACTGTTCGTTATAGCCACCTGAGGCTGAAACCTGATATACCAGTGGTAGTGTTGCCGCGGTTTGATATACCAGTTCAAACTGACTCCTTGAAATACCGTTTCTTGCCACAATATCGACCAACCAAGTGTGATACTTCGTGATTTTTAGCCTCTATATGTCGACAAGGCGTGTCAGCTGAGATTATGACCAATGCAGGTACATTTTCCTTTGGCTTTGTTCCAGCTGGTTCGCCAAATGCAGCAACACTGACCAGTGGGGTTGTATGCAGACTTATTCGGCGTGTCCTTATTCGCATGATGATCAAGACATACTACACCGTGTATCCTGTCCCTGTCTAAACACTGCTCTTGGCATATGTGTGACCGCATGCTTAACCCTTTTCTCGCCTTGTTCGTCGCCAATAAATCTGAGTGATCAGCTCCTCTCTTTATGAAATGGCTGCTGTGTCGACTACGCCGACTTGAGGTGATGTTGTTAGTTCCGAGAAAAGCTCCATTATATGATGTTGGGAGTATTGAGGATTGCATGTATAAAATTACCCGATCATTGCCTCTTGAGCGTCCAAGGCTTGGACGATATTTGATGTACTATACGTTAGTTGTATTAAAAGCTGCCCTTGCCTTTCCACCTCTCCATCTTCCCAACCTTGTTCCTGGGAAATGTCCACCGCTTCTCTCGAGCAAGAGATCGTACAAGCCGCGAGTTCGACTAGAGAAGTTAGCTTGATATGCGGTATGTGATCCGGGCTCTCCAGACGCTCTCGTGGAGCTTAGGACATCCCAACATAGTTGCTGTTATGACTCTTGCAGGGTACGATTACTGTATGTTGATGGAGTCATATACCTGGCCCCTTGATCAGGGTTAACATACACTTATTCAGTGCTCAACCTTGAGGATGAGGTACGCAGCAAATATCATCATCGAAGCTAGAAACAATTAAGGTGAACAATACTTATATGACAGGTCAGATTCATTTGGGTACGTCTGGGTTCACCATTTCTGTTGAAGAGTCTTGCAACCTTCAAACACGTGATTTATACATAGGAGAAAAGACTTACATGGACAACCCTGCTGTATGCGATGGTTGGTCAACCGCCTGTTGTCTGGACCCGTCGTTGAGTTCACATGACGTCCAGATGCGTTACCTTGGCCTACTATTTGTGATGTGCGTGGGATAGTATAAACTGGCGCTGAATGTGCTGAATGTCACTCGGCCGTAGATCAAACTTTGGTAATGGCTCATGATTCGATTCGCATGGACATGTTTATCTTATTTTATCTCATCAGTGCCATCATTTTGCATGCGGTTTTCGACAAAAGCAAGTCCATCACGAATATATGAAACAAGACAACTGATCCTAAAACAACCCGGATCCTAACATGGTTATAGACGTCAGCTACGTATACATGAAGGATATAATAATCCTACCTCACCTTATTTCTTTAGGTGTAAGTACTAAATCTCTAACGTGCCGAAGTACCATTCTGATATAACATGTTTATAGGCTTTGGCTTGGTGTTTGCCACACAAGTATTAATCCTCGTCATCATCTTCCTACTCCAAGGTTCGTGTCTATTTCATCATGACAATAGTATTCGGCTCATGACCAGTGCGATTGAAACAGGAATAATGTCTTTGAGAGTATACATACTCTTTGGGAAACCAAAAATAATCCTTCTGGTTCTTGTAACATGCTTTAGTCTTACGCAGGTTGTCAGTTTTTTGATGGGGTTATGGTACGCAATACGCGAGAATAGCTACGTTGGTGAGTTCATCACCTCCATCGGACCATCTCAAACAATCATCACCCCACATCTTCCGTACCAACAGACACAGGCTTTCTCATTATCTATTCTTGCACCACAACCTTTATACCAAATCACATCTGGAGAAGTGCATTATCCAACTCTTTTGTCCTGGCATTTGACATTTTTCTTTGTGGGTTTGTTTTGTGGTATTCCGTCAAGCAAGTTCCCGTTTCGACGTGGCGAACTCCGTCACAAGGAGCAATCAACCTTACATGGGTAATTGTACGCGACAATCTAGTATACTTCTTCGTGTAAGTGCATAATATGGAAGGGTAACGAACCATGCCTTATGTGCTAGGCGTTGGTGGGCAATGTATTCAGCACTCTCGCAGCCATGGTGTCTGCCAGCATCACCGAAGCCCCTTCACTTGAAGAAGTGAGGACTACACTTAATTAATAATCTTTCCTCGGAAGCTAATGTTAGCCTGTGCCATTCCATTCCAGTCATTCATCGTTGCGGTGCTATATTACATTGCGCAGACCGTTTTATTGACAATGGTGGGTCCGTGGATGATGATTAGCTTGTGTAAGAGTCACTCTGCTGCACTGGAGTCCGGAACAGCCGGATCAAACGAGATAACGACCTTGGCTTTTGCGAGTGCACCACAAGAAGGGGAGAACGAGAACGCAAGCTTGCCCACTTAGCACACTACAGTATTTAAGATGTTGACACTACTAGTATCACCATCTTGACAGAATTTGACGTGCCCTCTTTTGTGATTCTGCAGGAGTGTTGCCACCTGCTACCAAGTGTGTGTTCGGCGCCAAAAATGCACCCGCCACTGCCTGTGAGGCGGGCGAGAGAGGGCAGAGCCCTTGTTGAAAGGGGAATGCGCAGAATGTCGAGTGAAGCGTGGTGTGTGGGTGTGCGGTAGGCGTCCCATGAGATGCCGATAAACTGGAGCCCGCGGTCGACGAGGCAGCTGGTGCGTGCATATGCGGAAGGATGTAAGTGTTGGGGGGTGTCCTGAAAAAGTACGCGGTGGAGAAGAGCGAGAGTCGAAGGCTGAGGCAAGACACAGCAACCTGAGTACGAGATGACATAGTCAGACCATACGCATAAGCGACAACGAATGATGACGCAAAGACAGCAAAACAACGAACTTGCACTTATCACACTGCACAGATCCTTGACGCGCTGCAGGTCGACGATGCCGGTGCAGGTCGAGTCTACCGCATTGAGGGGTGACTTCATTGCATTCCACCGAGAGTGCAATCGGAACGGAAACGGATCATTCGAAGACTTGGGGATCGCGATGTTCGGGAGGCGTTGAAGAGGGAGATCAGTGTTAAAATGAACTTCATGGCGTATGTGTGAAGAAGTGTAAAGCAGGATCCACCCTTCTTACTAGGGCACGACGGCAGGACGAAAGTGCCCAGCTTGGACGTCTGTCCCTTCTGCATTCGTGTCCTAGTATTCGTCCTCGAACTCTCGAAATTGCGTCTGGAGCCAGAGCCAAACCGGAGCTGGGATTGAAGCTGGTCGCGTGCGGCTGAGAGCCACTAGAATGACGAGGCAGCTCAAGGAGAAGGTTAACCCCAAATTGACTGACGTCGATGAAGTCCTAACGTTTATGATCAGCTCACCTCCAGGTCTGTGGTCCACATAAGAGGTCCATCCCTCGGAGTTTGGTGACACCGGTGCCGCCCGAGCGCAGGCCATGTTGAGGCTGCCTCTGCGCAGTGTAACCGTATAAAGAATGCAGGGCTGATCGCATTGTAGCTCAGCATCAACACCACAAGGTTAATAGTAGCGCGGCGCGATTCGGCCGATGTGGGCACCTTGAGCCAGTCAGTTACGAGCCTCGTCAGAGAGGTCAAAGCACAGGTGCTGCCTCAGACTGTTAGCGACACCGCAGAGTGCGCCACTGCAGGTAAGTTTGCGGCAGTCATTGAATATTGAAGCTTGAAGCCTGTTGAAGCACCTCTACGGTTCCAACACCAAAGGCGTACTCCAGAGCCCGCCGTGAGGGTGGGAGAACGCCCGACAAAGACCTACCGGCGCGGCGGCGGGCGCTGTTGACATGTCGATATTCAAAGTCCAGCGCGGCGATGAAGTGGTCGAGCAAAGGCACTGAGCTCTCGTCGCTGTCCGAGTCCGGATCATCGGGCGCGTGTCAAACACAGCGGTCACCAAACGCCGCTCGCCACTCGTCCAAGCATAAAAAGTCGGTGCCGTGTACCCTACAAGAAACGCTTTCGACTTCCCACTCCTCTGTACTCTGATTCTCTGCCCCGCTCCCACCCTTTTTACGACTCACCTTTGAACGACCTGCTTCTACGACAGTCACGTACCGATCCTTCACCCGAACACGAAGACGTGATAGACGAAAAAGGACAGGTTCGTTTATTATCCACAATAACAATGTTGTTACTTCTGATCTACGCTATAACCAGGTCTGAAATCGATAGTGATGTCAAAAAACAAGAATCGGCAAAAAGACAAACAAAAAAGGTGAAGAAAAAAAAGACAATTATCCAAGGTGACACACATGCCATGCACAAACCACAAGAGTACTGTAAGGTAAGTGCAACACAGACACACACAGTCAAGGGAGCGAGGGGGTAGCTAGGGGGAGTAGTAGGCGCCTGGAGGTATGTATGTAGGTACGTCTGTATGGACGCGCTAGGCTGAGCACTGCATGAGCGAGGTGCGAGGTGAGGTATGTGCTATGTGTGTCGTAAGCGAGATATACGTGTAAGTGCAAAGAGAAAGAGAGGGAGAACAAATCAAGCCGCCCATCAGATCATCAGCTCATGTACCGTACCGTATGCAGCAGGCAGAGACATCGTCCGGTCCGTTCCGTTCCATTCCGGGGACCATCGTCCGTATCGCGACACCGAGACACGCAATCATGAAGGAAGAAGAAGAGGAAGAAGCAGCGTCCAACTCGCAGACTAGAGGCTAGAACTTGCCCCCAGGATCAAGCGGGCCCAGCGGCCCCCACCGTTCTTGCGACGAGCGCGGCAACGGGCTCGCAGGATCGAGATGGCTCGGCGGGAAACTCGTGTTCTCCGCAGACGCGCTCCGCGCCGTGCTCGAGTACCCTCCCCCGCCTCCTCCAGTCGGACCGTCGCTCAGCTGGTACCGCTGCGCGTGCTGCGGCGCGTAATGCCCGCCGTGCGGTGCAGGACTCTGTGACGGCGACGGTGACGCAGACCTTGAAATGCCGCCGTCGTCGTCAAACCCGGCATCCAACATCGCCTCAAGCTCAGCGCCCGCAATCGTGCTCTTCCTCGATACCTGCCCGCGCGCATCATCGAACCCCGCATCAAGCATCGCCTCCAGCTCCGCGCCCCCGATCGTACTCTTCCTGCCGAGCATCGTTGAGTCCGCGGGCGAGAGCAGGCCCGACGTCGACCCGGACGCAGACGGCCCGAGCGCGCTCACCGGCGACTGTATCCTCGAATGCGAATACCCGTCCGCAGGCGTGAACAGTCCAACCGGCGGCGGCGGGTACGCCGCCCCGTTCTCGTTGTACCCGCCAATTTGCCCGCCCCACGTATCGTCATCGCTCGATGCGACCGAATACGTGTCCGAGCCGCCGTCGTAGAACGACGCCGTGCTCCCCGAGCTGCGGAACCCGTTGTAGCCGGCGAACCCGGGCGCCATCGGAGGCGCGAGGAGGTCGTTTTCCGAGGTGACAAACCCGCCGGGGTGCATGCGCTCCATATCTCTCCTCCGTTTCTCTTCTCGCTTGATCTTGCGCAGCCGCGAGCGTTCCCAGTCTTCCCACCGCCGGAGGGATACCTCGGACCCGTCGAACGTGCCCTTGCCCGCGCCGTGCCCCGCGTCTTTGCCTTCGCCTGCGACTTTTCTACAGGTACCATGGGTATCAATCTCCGTCGCACATACACATGATACAAAAACAGAGATGGCGCACCTCGTCTCTCCCCAGGAGAAATCATCAAAATGCCAAAACGCATACACCGGCAACACAAAATTCCACACCGGCAGCGCAACCAGATAAATCATCATCCACGTCACATACACCACCTTCCGCGTCGTAATCAGAATCAACACCGCCGGCAGCCCCAGCACCGACACGAGCAGCATCAGCGGGATCGCCTCCTGGAACGTATGCGGCGGGCTCAGCACCATGCGCACGATGAGCATGTACGTGAGCCCGATCGCAATCGGCAGCACCACCGTCCCGAGCAGGTCCATGAACACGACGAACTGCATGCTGAAGCAGAACGTGCCGCACAGGTTGCGCACGCGCACGAGCTCCATCAGGTTGTGCACCGTCGAGTTGATCCACCGCCGCCGCTGCGAGAGCAGCACCGCGAACGTGTCGGGCACGACGGTGCGACACCGCGCCTGCGGGAGGAACATCATCTTGCGGTTCGGGAACGTGCGCAGCAGAATCGTCGTCAGGAACCGGTCCTCTCCCAGGAGCAAGAGGTTCTTCTGGTGCAGCGTCACCACCTCGCTCTGCGAGTACTCCCTGATGATCTCGGGCTTGACGATCAGCGGCACCCAGTCGTCGTTGGACGAGCGCCGCGCCTTGAGGCGGAACATCGAGAAGCACCCCGGTAAACAGGTGACACCACCAAAGACAGACTCGAACGCCTTGGCGAGGTGGTGCGAGATGAAGTACTCGAACACCTGGATCGCGGTCACCCACGACTGGCGCTTGTTCGCAATACGCGTCTCGCCGCAGACGCCCATAATGAGCTGGTCGTGCTGCATGCAGTTGACGAGGTACTTGAGCGAATCAGGGAACACCTTCGTGTCCGCGTCGACCTGTACACACAAAATTTGCCATCCATCACTATAGTACAGTCGCGAAACTGGAAAACGCACCATCAGGCACACCTCAAAGTAATCCGGCGTGACGCCCATCAACACATGTATCTTGCGGAACAGGTCAAAGTCGAGAGGCGTCATCCGGTCGTTGTACGTCACGCGCGAGAAAAAGTTCATGAGGATGAGCTGCGAGTCGCGCTTGCCGCGGTTGCCCGGCTTCGGGTCGTGCGCCGCCTCCGCCTCCGTCCCGCACTTGACGATGATCACCGTCGGCGTGCGTCGCCCGGCTACGGCTGTACAACAACAAGAAAACATCGGTGTCATTTAGTTACCATCGCCAGAGCACATACGAGAGGAGACAATGGAATGATTTGAACATGAATAAAATGAAAAACGCACTGTAATGCCCAGCATACACCATCGCCCGATTATGCGCCTTACTCCCGCCCCCAATCGCAATATAACTCATCGGCTGCGGATTCCCAAACCGCTCGTCCGCATCCAACAAGCTCACACAGATATCCGGCGTACTCAGCTTCTCCCCGTGCCCCGTGATCATCCCGTCCGCAACCACAAACAGCAGCTTCCGCGCGTCCGCGTACTCCGTCGTGCTGATCGAGTCCAGCGTCGTCCTCAACGACTCCATGCCCTCGCTGTAGCACGTGACAAGGCACACCGCGAACAGCTCCGCGCCAATCTGCGCGAGCGTCATCGTCGTCGGCGGCGCGGTCGTCGGGTTCGCAGACGTGCCCACGAGCGTCGACGAGCTCGAGTTCGCAGCCGCGGAGGCATTCCGCCCGCGCCGCGATGGCGCCTGCGCCCCTTTCTTGGCGGCGCCCCCGGGCCCGGCCCACGGCGCGGTGCCGGTCTTGTTGTCGATGGAGATATTAGCGCCTTCGGGCATGACAGCGGGCGAGATGGCTTTCTGCTGCAGATAGCGCTGGTCGGGCGGGCCGCAGAGGCGCTTGGAGAGGAACCAATTGAAGACGCAGGCCATGGCGAAGCGCACGAGGACGAGCGAGAGGATCACCATGAGGCCGACGTACAGGAAGAGGTCCGAGACGAAGCATCCGGGCGTGATCTTGTCGATGTTGCCGGCGTAGTAGCGCTGCGCGAGGCAGGGCACGGCCTGCCGCAGCTCGTTGCGCGCGTAGAAGGTCATCGTGCCGTCTTTGCCGCCCGACGTGCGGTTGCTCGCGAGGATGAAGCGCAGAGCAACGTCGACGGCGTCGCCCGGGACCGCGTCTGGGTGCGCGGTGAAGTAGGGCTGCATGTTGAGCACCGCACCGTCGATCACGAGGTAGTTGGACACATTTGCGACACTGCCCCAGTCGTAGCCGGCGAGGAGCACCGTCGGCTGGATGTCGAGCTGCGCGAAGGTGCTGTTCTGCGTTATGGACGGGAGCGGGCAGGAGTTCGCCTGGGGACACGGGTTATCCGTCGCGGCCTTGAAGGTCAGGCCCTGGCACTTGTTGTACTGCGCGGCGGTGCGCGTGAACAACGGTGTGATGTCCTGCCCGGGTTCCTGCTGCGTGAGCGCGTCGAAATTGACGCCCGCGGGACTCTGCGCGGCGGTGACATTGTACAAGATACCCTGCACACCAAGCGTGCCCGCGACGGAGCCGACGGCGGCGTACCGGCCCGGGTCAGCGTTGGCGGCGGCAGGACAGAGGACGAGCTGGGTGCCAACGGTGATGAAGGCGATGATGAGGCAAAGGATGGTAATGATGAGGCAGAGGGCCATCTTTTCGCGCCAGGCCTGGATGACCTGCTTGTCCTTGCCGAGTCCGCCGAAGGAGCTGAGGACGAAGGAGGGCGCCCAGAAGGTGACTATCTTGGAAAAGATGGGCCAGACGGGCCATGATGAGTCGCCGGATGCTGCTGCTGTGGATATGGTGCCTGAGGCGGAGGGGACGAGGGAGCCCTGGGGGTTGATGAGCGGGACGGGGGCGACGCTGCGCTCGGGGCGGGTGAGGGTCTTTGCCCTGCGGATAGTGGTGGTGCCATTCTGGAGGGGGTTTCGAGCTGTGGGGATGGGGACGTCGTTGCGGGTAGGGTTGTTTTGTTGTCGCTGCTGCAGATGAGCGGCCATGTGGTGAAAAGGATCGTGGGAGGGCACGCTGTTCTCGACAGACGTGCGGATGGCGTGTAGGGTGCCGACTCCGAGGAAGAAGAAGTGCTAGTCGTTGTGGTCGACGTCGATGAAGGAGGGGAAGAGAAAAACGAAGGTGGTGAGTAGCTGCCCTGAACGAGGGAACGCCGTTGTCCGCTTAGACGTCGCAAAGGCTGGCAACGACAAGCACCGACGCCACCGAGGGACCGAGTAAATACTAAATCGAGTAATAAGGCACCACGGCCAATTAACAAGCCGGGCTAGAACAATTATAATTAGATTCTGATGATGCTCCGGACCCTTCAAGTTCATAAAGAAGCGCCGATGCTTCTCTGCTAGCCAAGCTGCAGTCGCCTCCTCCTCCGTGCTGTGATGAGCTCACGATCTGTCACAGCGGAGCCACCCTCGGCACGGGGTCCACCACCTGATATCGTCACGCTCCGCACCCCAGATTGCACAGCGACGATCCAGTCCACCAATGTTCTCCTCCCAAAACCGAAACCTCCCCCGCTGTCAAAACACCACTCCTCACCACTTCCTCGCACAACACATTCCTTTGACGCGTCTGTCTCCCAGGTATGCCCTTTTCTATTTCCTTCGCTTGCTCATATGCTTATGCGCACACAGCTCGTCCATCTCGCCTCCCAGCACCACCTCAGCGAGTATAACCGTATCAAACACGGACAGCAGGGTCCGTCCTCGTTCGTCATATCCATACATTGCGCGCTAACACAACACATAGGCTGTCCCCTTCTCTACTCTCCGCTCTCCCTCGCCGTCCCAGATACCGTCCGCGAGCTGCGCGACAAGCAGGCCCAATACGCACTCCAGACAACCTGGTGGCCCTGCCCCCAACCCTCCACCATCTTCCGCGCCCCCACTCTCATCCCCGTCATCCCAGTCACACAGCTGCGCTCCGCACTCCACAGTACCCCCGGCGACCTCGACCTTGACCTCGCCGATCCCACCCTCCAACACGCACTCTCATCCGCCATGGAAGAGTCATTCGCCAGCGCCCCGCCGACCCCCATCCTCCGCCCCAACAGCACCAAGCCCATCAAAACGTCCGAGACGCACCCCATCAGCGTCTCCTCGATAATACCCCCCGAGCTCCTCGTCGCCATCTCCTCACACCTCAACCGCACCGAAAAGCTCCCCGTCATGTTCGACCTCCCCCCGGCCTACACGCTCGACCGCGTCACCGGCTTCGCGACCGCCTTCCCCGCCCTGCCCTCGCCCGTCCCGCTCGTCCCCGTGCGCTCTGTCCCGCCGTCCCCGTCTGCCTCTTCTTCCGAGTCTGTGTTTGTGTCTACGTCTGCATCGGCACCGTCTCTCGGCACTTCTGATTCTAGTGAGGCAATGCGACCACCAAGCCCGACGTGCAACACCATGAGCGAGGCGCTGGAGGCTGCCATCGGGAGCACGCTGATGTTGTCTTCACCCGAGCTATCCAACTCGGATACAAAGGCCCGAGACCGGGACCAGACACAGTTATCTTCGTCGCAGCAGTCATCATCATCACCATCATCACCACCACAATCCTCGTCAGCCACAATCACCTCAACCTCCTTCATGACCTTCGGCCACCGCTCGCCGGCGGCACGCCAGCTCGCCCGGATCCAATCTGCCTACGGCAGTTACAGCCAGGGCGAGATGCTGTCCTCGCCGTTCGCGCAGCTGCATTCCGAAGACGCATTGGATAGTGCCAATGGCGCCGGTACTGGTTCTAGTGCAAGCCAGACATTCTTGCTAAGAGATCCGTGAGTGGCTCTCTTCTATCTGCACGTATTAGTGTCTCCTTACTCATTGGTTTCATCATCCACCTCGCACCATCTCCCATGTTGACGTGCACTACCTGCACCGGTATCCCCGTATGTCCGTGCGTGGCGCGATCGTGACCCTCAACACCGGACGAAATCGACAACGTGGCAACTTTAATATTCACCTCGGTCAACTCGGGCAACAAACTCGACTTTTGCGCTCTGCGCCGTGCCGCGATCGCCCTCGCGCTCCGCCTTGCTGTTCGGTTGCACGCATGGACAATCGGCAATTGCAACTTGCACGCAAACACGTTCTAGACTAAGAACGTCATTCTCCTCACTGCCCAGGAACTTTGGCCGGAAGCGCGGTGGCTCGAGCGCGTCATTAGCATCGTCTGGACTCGGTCACTGGCATTCCAGCGGATCGCAGGCTCACATGCATGTCTCAGGCTCCAGCGCTGGTTCCAGACGCGGTTCTGGGAGCTCGAGCGCGAGTGCTGCGACGCAGACGCAGAAACCGCCGCCGCCGTTCAGGCTGGGCAACTTGTTTCTGTCGTCGTGCCCGGGTAAGAAGGGTGAGTTTGTGCTCTTGTGCGCATACGTCATATTCATTATGCACACCGTTTTCCGTCCCCGGCTGGTATTGCATTTTTCCGTTTGAAATTCCTTCCGTTTCTTGGTTGGCGCTTCTCTTCTCGAATTCTTTCCCTCTTCTTTGGATTTCCCGGCGATCGCGTTTGCTTCCGTCCCGACGGTGCTCTCGGAATACGATGACGCACTCGGCAGTGCGACTGAATGGCCCGTCGAAGGGTCGAGGCGCGGTCTGCAGAGACCTGGACGTCGATCTGCAGCGCGTCAAGGATCTGGGTGCGCGTTGTGTGGTGTGGTGAGTGCATCCTCGTTGGTTTTGCTGTCTTTGCGTCATCGTCCGTTGCGACTCATGCGTATGGTCTGGCTGTGTTATTTCGTGCTTTCCGTGCCTTGCCTCGGCTTTCGACACACACCAGCTGCCTCGACGACGACGAGCTCCAGTTCCTCGGCACCTCATGGGACGACTACCGCGCGTCCGCACACCGCGCCGCGCTCGACGTCCTGCGCATTCCCCTCCCCGAAGGCCTCTGCCCGCTGTCCCCCGCCGCGCTCGACGCGGATCTTGCGCGCCTCACAGCGCAGTACACGCTGCACGGCGCGCACGTCCTCGTGCACTGCCGCGGCGGCGTCGGCCGCGCGGGGCTCGTCGCGTGCTGCTGGATGCTCCGGCTCGGGCTGTGCGGCTGGATCGCGCCGGTGCAGGCTGCGCTGACCCCGGAGACGCGGGCGGTTGTGGCGGGCGCGTTTATGGCGCCGAACACGCGTGCGCCGGCGGCGGGTGGGGTGCGCACCGAGAACGGGAAGTGGGCGGGGCCGCCGGTTGCGCAGGAGCTGGATGCGGATGTGAGGAAGGATACGATTGTGCTTGTGCAGCGCGCGATTGCGGTCGTGCGGAGGCGGAGGAGTGTTAAGGCGATCGAGACGCTTGAGCAGGTTAGGTTTTTGGTGGAGTATGTGGATTGGCTGAGGGAGAATGTTGTTGGCGGGGAGGTGAGGGTTGGCGCTGCTGCTGCTGGTGTTAGTGACGGCGCCGGTGACGGTGCCAGTGCGCAGGGGCCGAGGACGTCGAGAAGAGTGGATGGAGCTGTGACGTCGCTGGCAGCAGCGGCAGCGGCGGCCACGGCGATCGCTGCGCTCGCGCCGACTGTGCAGCCCATCGAGCAGCTCTTTCCTTCGCAGCCTGAACGGCCTTTGCCCTCGCCGACGCAGAGTTGCACGTCGCCGTCGTCGTCATTATCCTCATCTTTGGCGGCAGCGGTGGCAGCAGTTGTACCCGCCGTGTCGACGGTCGTGACCGAGTTTGCGTCTGCGCCTGATCCTACTTCCGCTCCCCCATCCGACACTGCGCTCAGTCCTACGCCGGCTGCATCCACACTTGCCTCAGACTCTCCTTTGTTATCTGCTTCAGATGCTCCTGCTGTCGCAAACGAAGCAGCCACGCACCAGGTACCTGCGGTGCCAACGTCCACACCTTCTCAAGGCGTTCTGTGCGCTGCGTAATTCAATTCGGCGCATCCACCGACGGCGCTGAGTCGGAGTTCTTCAATATCCTTTCTTTCCTTCACTTTATAATGTGTATACGTCTGGACCTTCATTTTCTCAGTCATGAGAACTTTCATTATCGTAGCATTCAACTTGGAATCCTCATCCTCTCAACGCTTCTTTTTCCCTCTTCATGTCGTTTAACCTGCGTATTTGCATATCTCCTTCGTTTGTCTCATACCGCCGACTTTGTTTATACTGTACGTCATATTACTTTATACCACGCATGTTATAACCCTGGTAAATCCTTTCTGGTGTGTGTGTGTGTACGTCGCGTTTGTTTGGAGTTCGGATGTACATTCGCAGTTATACCCAGTTCATAGCACTCGGCGTTCAAGAGTGTAGTGGGGGACGTGGTTATGTACATACTGTACGTTGTATAGTACGCTTGACTCAGTTTATATTTGAAGTCGGCGGGTTTCTTCCTCCACGCGTGTGTGTTTGCGGAGTGGAGAAACTAACAAGAAAGACCTAGTGACTGGTTAGCCTACCCAGAGGTGTTTCGGGCTCGACTTGTCGACGTCGCGGCCAGTCGGCTCATCTTCAGGCTATAGCAAGCCACGTTTATAATAAATAAACAAAACGAATACATATACGAAAAGTCTGTGTGGGAATGCGCCAATTGAAAAACCAAGAAAGTGACTATTGTACTCAAGGCTCTGAGCGATAAAGTATGCTGCCGCTCAGGAATCCATATAATCAGAATAAACAGTAGTGACCTCGTTTGATCCGACTGTCCCCAACTCCAGTGCCACAGAGTAACTCCTCCGTAAGCTGATCATCATCCATGGACCGGCCATTGTTAACAAAACGGCCTGCACAATAGAATTGACATATGTTACAATATATGACTGGAGGGGAGTTGGCCCAAGCTGGCATTAGTTATTAGGGAAGCAACGGTTGTGTATGTTCCGTACTTCATTCAGTGAAGGGATTTCGGTCATCATGGCAATAACCATGCTTGCGAGGGCGCTGGACAAAATATAGAAAATAACATGAAACACAGAAAATCGTTCTTTTGTGTAGTGCGCTCACATGAAGAAGTATGATAGATTATCACGGACGATTATCCATGTGAGATTGACTGCTCCTTGTGACGGAGTGCGCCACAGTGAGATAGGTGTTTGTTTGATGGAATACTGCAAGGCAAAACCACAAAGAAGGGTTTCAAAAGCTACGACGATGGAATTGATTACTGGGATTTCCCAAACTTCAGCTTGATCCGTAGGAAGGGTGTTGGTACAATAATAGGCAGTGAGCAACTCTGTGTCCTCTAATACGGAAAAGAGAAGGCAGTCATTACTTCATGATGGTTCAATACTTGGTAAACATACCAAAGTAGCTTTCCCCGGGTGATATGAGCGATATGCTCAAGGCAATAGTAACAACCTGTGCAAGACTAAAGCATATTAAAAGAACCAGAAGGATTGTTTTTGATTTTCCACACAGTACATATACTCTCAATGACATTGTTCCTGATCCACACTCATGAGTTAGATCTTCTTGAAAAAGAAAACCAGAATTGTGGATGCAAACCTTGGAGTAGCAAAATGATGACAAGTTCAGATATTTTGGAAACGACTCCCAGACAGAAGCCTATAGAAATGTTCACTTTATAATTAAAATGTTATTCTGATACTTCAAAACTTTGGCACTTATACCTAAAGGAAACAAAATAAGATATGATCAAAGGTATTCTTCATGTCACTGACGTCTATCGTTGTATTTGCATTCAGTTCAAGTTGGTTAAGCTTCCCTTGCCTATTATATGTATCCGCGGCAAACTCACTTCTGTCGACAACTGCAGACCAAAGGATTGCCCTGGTGACATAAAAGTAAGATAAACAAATTCGAGTTGTGAATCAAACTATGAGGGGTTACCATAAATTAATCTATAGCCGAAGTTTGAACTTGAGGCAGTTCGAAACCTCATACTATCTCACTTACACCGCACAAATTAGAACAATGTAGCGCATCTGAATAGCGTGTAAACTCAGCGGCCCTAGAAAATGGACGGTTGACTAACTATTGCATACAGCAGAGTTGTCTATGTAAGTTTCTTTCTCTGATAAAATGCTTGAAAATGTTGCAAATTTCTAGTAAAAATGACAGAAATACCCATATGAATTCGAGCAGGTTTCCAAGTCAGTGATTCAGGTCGATTGCCACCGAATAATAGTAATGATAATTGCTGCGTACCTCATCCCCAAGGCTAAGCACTGAGTAGAGTGTGTGTTATCTCTGAAGGTCCAGGTATGCAATTGCCTGAACATACAGTAATCGTATCCCGCAAGAGTCATAGCAGCAGCTATGTCACAATTCCTTCAGCTCCATAAGGTCGTCTGGTGAACCATGGTCACATACCGCACGTTAAGCTGTAATTTCTGACCAAAATTGCTTCCTGTAAGATCTCTTGCTCGAGAGAAGTGGAGGACATTTTCGAGGATCAGGGTTGGGCAGACTTCAAGCGAGGTGCAAAGATGAAGGCAGCCTTTAATAGATCTTCCGTACATCAAATGAAGTCCAAGCGTTGGATATCTGGACGTTCAAAGAGGCAATGTTGGTGTATTTTTATGTAATCCTCAACACTCCCAAAATTACTATCACGATGGAGCTTTTCTCGCAAATAAGGCATTCTGTATGTGAAGAAAACGTCACTCCAATCGGTGTAGCCGATATCGCAACCCTTTCACACCCAAGTGTGTAAGATAGAGATAGATGGCCTGAAACTCGGATTTCTTGGAGACGAACAAAACGAGAAATAGGTCGAGCGGACGATCAAGCATTTAACAAGAGTGATATTTGCACAAACACGGCTACACAGTGTAATACGCCTTGATCATCATACAGATAGAGCATGCCAAAGGATCTTGCATACAACCCCTGGTAAATCAAGTTTCAGCCTCAGGTGGCTGTCACGAACAGTTAGTTGCATTTGCACTCACGCATGGTCCATTCTGATTGAGGCTGGGAGCTATGAAGCTTTCACAGTAGCGAAGCTGGACTGCAAATTGAATGGTTCACGGCAATGTTCCATTCAGATGAAACATAGATCGTGGGACCCGGTATGCATACTATGGCGCTCGTTGATACGGTACACAGAATGATCACTTACTGCACGGGAAAGTGTGGGTTGGAGAGGGCGATAAGAAATAATCATCTCTAAAGGTTGCAAACATCAGCACGCGATCTAGTGGAGTTCCGGGAAACACCTGCGCTAGGAGCAGAGGGGCATCAATACATTTGTAGAGGGGCTTCCGGGATACCGCTAGGTCACCCAGGTACGGTATGCCCAGGGTAGAACGCAAATAATTGACGGGTACTAATGTTTATCGCTCTTAGAGTGGAGCGGCTGGGTCAACAACAATGCAGCGTCGGCTCGCTTTCACATCGCCTCAGCTGCGCAACGGTCATCGCACATCATACTCCTGAAACGGTGATGAAGGTATTATCGACGCACCGAAACTCCGTGAAGGAACTGCACTCAAACCAATCACACATCATACTCCTGAAACGATGATGAAGGTATTATTGACACACCGAAACCTTGTGAAGGAACTGTACCACGCTCAAATCAATCACACATCTGCCAACACCTGCACCAACACATCCTTCACCTGCGACCTCACCCACGCATCCGGGTCGTCCGCACGCACCTCCCGCCCGTTGACCATCACCCCACCCACAGCACCACATAGCGCGCTACTGAGCACCTCGTCCGCCGGCGACCGGCGCACGCGCACGCGGTGCGACACCGCCCTCGGAAAGACGCGCGCGATGTCCGCCTCCGCAACATCCAGCTGGAGCTCGTCAAGCCCGTCTTTGTTCAGAAGGCTGCTGCCTGTACCGCTTGCGCCCGTCGCGATTGTGTTGCGCGTCTGGTGCGATCGTAGGCTGGGCGGGCGCGGGAACGGTAGCGCATGACCATTTCCGTTCGGATGGGGTTCGTCGCCATCGCCGCCGATAGCGTTGGCCTCTGACGTGAAGAAGCTCTCGGTGCTCTGAGTCGCACCTGCCTCCGTTTCAGCCCAACTCGCGTCGTCCGGGTCGGCTGGTACCATAGGGCGAACGAGCTCGCCGCGCCCCGTGTCTACGCCGAGAACGCGTCCAGCGCACGCGAGCGCCTCGATGTCAGTACGACAGCGAGCGGTGAGGAGTGCGCCGTCCAGCTCGGGTGCATGTCGCGTCGCCGTAAGCAGGTCGGAGAGGTACAGACGGAGCGGGGCGCGGATGTTTGCGCGTTTCGTGAGCGAGCGGAGCGTGTTCAGGAGGGCAGGAGAAAGGAGTGCTGGGAGCGCAGAAGGGGCTGGGGGTTGTCCGGGCTGCGAGGGCTGCGAGGGCGGAGGAGAGAGAGATGTGGGGATGGGCGAAGTGCCCGTGGTCGAAGTGGATTGGCTCACGCGATGGGCTTGGCGCGATGGTGATTCAGCGGGTGGGGTGGTTGCGAGATTGGCGCTCACGGGAGGCGTTGCAGGGAGAAGGAAGGGCTGTGGCGGAGACTGAGCTGCTGCTAGAGACCGTGGAGACGGCTGGGCTATAGGAGGTGTGTTGGTCGATGGGTGTCGGTAGCGCAGTGCGGTGCGCGCCATAGGTTGTAAAGTGACCGATGCGCTAAGAGCAAAGTGGTCGAGCTGTAGCTACATTAGGACGAGAGCATAGTTGAATGAAAGAGTTGCCTACTAAGCTCTTGTAGATCATAGGTCGCTCTCTTGGGTCTAACCGACACACATAGACAACGATGAACCCATCCCGCAGCTTCCGTTTCACCTTCTTCAACTGACCAGTCTCGTCGTCTACGACCTCCATCACAAGCTCACGCGTCCGGAGGGTCTGTACAACGTCCCGCTGCGCTGCAATGCCGATATGCTCCAACCCAGATACCACCACCGCTTGTGGCAGCTCTGCGGGAACCATCACTGGCATGCCGAAGCGAGCAGCCGTGGAGTTGGTGGTGCTCGCCGTACGCGTCCGAACGTGAGCCGAATTGACGGATTGGGACGGATGAAGCGGAGCCAACGGCCCAGGCGGTGGTGAATATGTGATCGTCGGCACTGCCGGGGCTGTATGCGACTCCATGCCGGGACTTAGCAGACCTGGTCTGTCAGGAGAGGTGATTCTGCGAGGACCGGATGCATGCGCGGTGCTCACGCTCGGTGCATAGATTGAGCCTGCTGTGGGTGACGTGGGTGATGTCGTTTCGCTAGGGTAGGAGGACGACCGCCTGAAGGAATCACTTGGGGGACGTGCGTGGACGGGCTTAATTGTGGATCCGCGTGAAAGCGAACGATGGTGCTGCAGTGAAGTGGTCGTGAGCCCTCTGATGGTGCCTCCAGAGCTAGCGGAAATAGGTGAGAGAGGGGATGTAGGGGTCAAAGTACCGAGGAGTGGAGTAGGGACCGAGGGAGGCACGAAGAGGGCATTGACGATCTCGTCAGGTGGGTATTGCTTTGCCTCGGGCGCGAACTTGGTTCGGTGTGTAGTGTAGCCAAAGACAGTGGTGAGGGTCTACATCGTATGAGGGTCATTATATCTTGAGAAGACCAAGCTAGCACTCACCAAGGCTGTCAGTCGCGCCACTGCCTGAACATCATCATCACGCGTCTGAAGGATTACGTTCCGCCCACCCGAGATCACGCCGAGCAACATGGCTTGCAAGACGACGGGGTCGACGGGCAGAGAGGGCGCAAGAACGCGGACATGAGCGAGGATGGTCGGAAGGAAGAGTGGTGTTCCAGGTGGAGGTAGTCCTTCGAGCTCGACCGCGAGGGCTGCTGTTGAGCTCATGGTAAGTCCGCAAGTTCTGGATTCGCCGCTTGGGAATCAGCCGAATGCTCGACCAGGTGAACACGACTAGTGCAACATGTGTGATTGGTGATAGCGACACAACGCAGAACTAATAGTCGAGGGGATTGTTGAGGTGAGATGTATGTCTTCAGTGGGCTGATCGTTGTCGGCACTGCCAATGCCATGGCGGACGTCAAACCACGTTCAAGCCGGAGGCTTTTGCCACTTTCTCTCTCACCGCGATCACGCCATGGCAAGAACACAAACATTCGTGACATATTCATATCACTTGATCGCTGCCAACCTCGACTATGATGCTCTATGACGACACTGACAGGAATTGATATCAATTTACGTTTGTAGGCTTTTAGCCGGCCACGCTCTGCTGGCCAAGGCTGGTCAATGTCATTGCGGTCAAAATACCCCGATTCTAGGCGGAAAAAATCAATGCTCAACCAACCGAGGTATTCATTTCCTCATGTCCCTAATATCAAAAAGAGCATGTCTAACATCGTCCGACATTGTCCGACATACAGCTAACAGATACTCATAGTGTGCTTTGACCCACAGGCAGAAGACGAAGCTGCTGCAAACGCTAGACTTTCATTGAGACTCTGCCAGTGCGGAGGCTGACTCAGACTGGAAGAATGGGAGAAAGCTGGCGGACATACGCTTGGCGTTAGCAAAGGACATAATGACCCTGAACCTGGAGCATGTTCTGCTCCTGCCGCGTGCCGAACATGATATGAGTTCTCTGATGTTATTAACGCGGTTTTGCGGAAAGCGCATATAAACCCGGACGTCTCACTTCGAGATCACTTCCCTGTTCCCCTCACTTCTGCAAAGTGAAAAGGTAAGCAACCGTACTGGTACGGGGTCACGGATGGCCGCATGAACAGGCTTCTTTGCAGGTCCGTTGACGAATTTGTCGCATTTTTAGACTAGAAGAATGAACATGGCAATTCAAGAAGGTGAGTACGGACTACTCCTCGGTAGCCTAGCTGCTAAACGGTAATTGCGGTTAGCTTCCACCCATCCTTCGACCGACGCACAGGCAGCCCCGCGGAGCACCCATAGCCCCGCAGCCCTCCCTTGCGAGCTTCTCCAGGAGATATTCCAACACGCCTCCTTCTCCGGGTCGGGCCCGTCGTCCCTTCTCACCCAGCCACTGCATCTCGGCCATGTATGTCGGTGGTGGCGCGCCGTCGTCCACTCAATGCCAGAGCTATGGACAACGCTCGTCGTGGAGGACTATGGCTTCTGGACGAGCGACCTTTCGGTCGAGATGACTTCGAAATGGCTAGAACGCAGCGCCAGTCGTCCACTCAACCTCCACGTCAAGAGCACCGTCTCCGTCCGAACAGAAGCCCATTCGAGCGGCTACGACGTTCTTCGGCTACTGCAGGTGAACGTTGTCCGCATCCAGGAGCTCTCGCTCGAGGCCGGATGGAGCTACGCTCGCGCTCTCCTGGGACATACACCACATCTTCCGCAGCTGCGCCAGCTATCTGTCGACATTGACCCGTCGGTCGATTTTCCCGGAACGACCGATCCTGACGTGTCTATCTCCAGCACTCCATCTTCTCTCTCCGAAGTCCTCTTCACGGGCTTGACGGACCCGACTATTCTCGTTCAACCCTTCTTCGCCCGCATTACGTCCCTCAGCATCGTCCTCACCGAAGTCAACCTCAGCACCGTCCTAGCGCACTGCACCCACCTGCGCCATCTCACTCTGCAGGCGAAGCTCGATCTGCAGCACCAGCGCGGTGTATCTGCGCTTCCGGACATCACGCACGACAACCTGGAGACTCTGAGCGTGCATTGGACGGAACGCACGCTGACATGGAGCACGTCCGACGCGCTGCTGAGCACCGTCAAGCGGCTTGTTCTTCCTCGTCTGCAAGCCTTCGAGGTCTGCTTCACGGCGTTTGGAGGCAGCAGTCAGGATGGGAAAGTGTGGCCAACATACGAAGTGGATTGGCGCTCGATGAACACACTTGGAAGCTTGTGTCTGCGGTCGGGTAGCGAGATCAAGGGAGTTGATATCCGCGGGTTCATGCCCAGTCGGGGCGCCATCGTTGAACTCGAGGAGTACCCGTATAACATCTCTTTGAATGACAGGGCCATCTTTGCGCTACCGAGCGTATTGTATCGGATTGCGGCAGCTGGATCCTAAGCTTGAACTTGGCTTTGAGGAAGGTTTTCTTGGACTCGCATAATCTAGAGTTACCTTACGTTTTTTTTTCATAATTAACTCTCACATAGACATTTCCTCCATGCTAACGACCCAGCCAACTGGAATTGTGGCATTGACATGTACCCTGTCCAGCCGTATTCTATACTACATGCCACTCCGTATCTTTATCGACCAAAGCAGAATCTCAAACTGCGAAATCCAGGACACCCAAAATACGTTTCTTCGACCTGCCAGCATCATCGACATACGCAGGATAGTCGAAGACGAGCTTTCCAGAGCCATTCTCGCTTTCAAAGGAGAGAAGCAACGATCCGCCCGCGTCCATTTTGGCCAATGCCTCATCGGGTATGGAGACATCTTCTGAAACACTGCGCCTTGCCTGATGCTTTTCTTCGTCCCACACAACCTCCACAATGTCAAACCGCGGCCGCGTGTCCTCTCTCTCGACGCGTTCCTGGCCCCGCACGTGCATGTACACTCGGCTTAGTAGAATTCGCATGCTTCCCGTCCACGATGGGCTTATGAACTCCACAGAGCGTGAAGTGAACGGAACGGCCATGAGCTCCTGTATGTCCACGAGAAGATTGTTCTGCGGGTGTCCGGTCGGCTTGGAGGGGATGCGCAGACGAAGGATGACGATTTGCTGCCCAGTCTGAAGCGCGGAAAGAATGACCTCGGTAGTTCCAGTTTCGGGGTCGACGACAGCGTCACGTAACATCTGGATTTTGCTGAAATGGCCACGTACCATCCCGCGAACGGTGGGATGGATGGAGCCTTGAGCGAAGACTTCGGTAAGAGGCGCTGCTGCGATGATCGTTACGTTCAGGTGCACCGAGAGGAGAAAGGAGAAGAGATGTGTTCGGCAGGCAATGTACGACGGAGGCACCTAGAACCGGTACAATTGTCAGGGTCATCTTTACTACGAACTGACGAGAAAACGTACAATGGGACTGTGAGTGAACTTCACCGGTTCTTTGCTGAGGTCTTCAATGCTCCATAGAAAAGTGTTTTCCTCTCTTTCCCATTGAGCCAAAAGCGTGCTGGGACTTGCTCGAACACTTAGCCTGTGGTTTATATACGGGTTTTGTGGGTTCTTCAGGGTTAATGAGTGCTGACAGAGATTCTCCAGGTGCACGCCAGCTCCGGATGGCTCTGATTCTATGAGTCGAAAGATGTCCCTGCGAACTCGTCATTTATCTCTGAAAGTTTGGGAGGCAATTTCACTTACAATCTGACCGGACCATAATTGCGGAAGAGGAACCTATCGTCCTTCTCGCGCTGCTCCACAAGGACAAGTGTCGTCTTGTGCCCGCCGTACGTCATGACATCAAAGTGCCTCAAGTCAAAAACTCTGAGTTCGGTACCGTCTTCGATCTGCCAAAGAGTACTGGCCGTCGCGTCCAGTACTGCTTCCTGCTTGAGATCTCGACAAGTGATCCGAGTACGGGACGTGTCGATCGTGAGTGCATATCTCGAGCCTACTAACACCAGCCTCGCCGACGTCTCTTGACCGACGTCGTATGTGTGAAAAGATGGCGCTTTCATCGGCGTTGTGAACAGGTTGTTGCGCACTGTGAAGGAACGGATAAGCGTGTCCTCGAGCTCTTCTCTCGTCTGCGGGGGATAAGGACCGCGGGGCCTTGGAAGGTGGCTACGCCTATAGAGAGAGCTCCACACGCCGCGATCATAACTAGCTTGCCTAAGCTGCTCTGAAGTCTGTTGAAACGCTTAAGTGAGACCTTAAACCGGCACACAGGACGATTCGTTACGAGCCTGCCTGAGATGAAGGACATCCTGGATATCAAGATGAGCTGCGAGCTCTACAAGAACGTCATGCGGGAGCTGATCGAAGCTTGTAGGTTTTGAGGCCATAAGTGCGCGTTTGAGATGATAAACGCAGTAGACCTAGTTTCGAGAGTGCAGATCAAGTGCGATGTGAAATCGAAGATGACAGTACGATTGGTGTTGATAAAAGAAATAGAGGGGACAAGAGTGTCTCAAGGACTCGGAGAGCTCAAGTATGCGTGAGGGACCAATGAGGTCTAGGTGAGCCTCTGAACCGAACCCGATGGTGCGGAGAAGGTATGAGTGCACGCACTATTTATGCGCTTTTGAGCTCACCTAGTAAAACAACATCAAATGAGGGCGAAGGCGATACGAGCTTCGGCTATCAAAGGGGAAAGAAGTGAGAACAAAGAACTTACACAAACGTGACGAGAAAATCAAAGAGTGAACAAGACTTACCACGTACAATGGTCTAAACAAGCCAATTGGCTTTTGTTCAAACACGGTTGCTTTGACGTCAACAAGGGGCGAAGGAGGGTGAAAAGAAAGGACAGGGGTCAACCAGGGCCACGAGTATACAAGACGAAATAAGCGATGTCAAGTTTGTGTCAAGTCGTCTGTCGGCGAGACACGTGGCGCGGGCAGTGACCGGTGACCAACGACACTCTACGACACTCTCCAACTTAAGACGCACGTTGCGACAACGTCGCGATCCTTATAGATATTAGAAGCTATTATCGCCTACGCGCTTATGTTCTCTATGACAGGTCTTCGTGGTGCCAGTTGGTGTAGTTGGGGGAGATCGATGTTCAGGCGAAATTCAAACTTCACCTCCTCCGAGTCGTACATTATCATCATGAGGCTACGCGGCCATATCACTGACCACATATATAGAGGACCTTCCTCGTTCTGTACGATGTACTATAATGCCGAGTGTACACTACAATGTTCCGTGGGTTGAACCGTAAGCCCATACGCTCAGTTTTGAGGGAGAAGTTTCTGTCCTTTGCAATTGGCCTACTCTCGCCCTTACACTTTTATCACAACGAAATTTGACAAACATTTATTTTGCATTGACTAGAAGCTACCGCCACCATTCCTTGCCTTACATGTACGAGCGTGACTATACGGGGTCTATGCAGCTCGCTTATCTGTTGCACTGGGTATTTAGAGCGTGAAGTCTAGGACACCTAGTCTACGCTTCTCCGACCGGTCATAACCTTCAGCCTCAGAATAGTCAAAGAAGAGTTTCCCCGAACCGATCTCGCTCTCGAAAAACTGCAGCATCGCATCTCCCCTCTCGCCATCGAACTTGTCTATTGCGTCGTACGGAATGAGGACGTCTTCTGCCACGCTGCTTCTGGCTTGTTGCGTTTCTTCGTCCCATACGATTTCTGCAATGTCGATCTGCGTATACCAGCTTTCCCCTTGGTCTGATTCTGTAGATTCCGAGTCATCTGTGTCCCGGCCATCTGCCGGCATTGGGTGCGAGAAAGCTAGACGCGTGCTTCCGTTCCACGAAGCGCTCATGATGACCCCTCGAGAATCTGGCGGAAGGGTGATGAGCTCTTGGACCTCCACAAGAAGGTTACCATGCAGATTGCCAGTCGTGTTGGGCGGAATGCAGAGTCGAATAACGACGATCCTAAACTCCATATCACGATCTTCTTCGTCAAAGAAGAACACAGCCTCATGCGCAGAAAAGATAACCTCGGTGGTCCCGGTTCTAGCATCCACAAGAGAGTCTCGAAGGACTTGAATTTGGCTGAGATCGCCGGGTATAATCCCCTTGGCCGTGGGATGCATCGAACGACGAGCAAAAACCTCCTCGAGGGGTGCCGCCGCGGTGATCATTTCGTCCGGATCCAGCGAGCGGAGAAATGAGATGAGATGTGTTCTGCAGGCGATGTACGAGGGAGCGTAGCCGTTAAGTTCCTAAATCCGATATCATTGTTAGGATAATTGCAATCACTCTAAAAAGAACGCACGTGGGGATGGTGGATCAAAGGCAATGGAGCGCTGCCCAAGTCTCCAGTGCTCCACAGGAATGCTTTGTTCTCTCTCTTCCACCGAATGATAAGTGCATTAGGACTTGGCCAAACGTTCATTGTCGGAACTATGGTTGGGTTATTTAAGACCGCCGAATGCCTGTTGATCTCTTCCAAACGCACGCCAACGATCCCGGCTTGCTCAAATTCTATCAGTCGGAAGATGTACCTGGCAGCATGTAAGCATCCCCGGGGATTTTTGAAAGAGTCATACACACTTACACTTCAACGGGACTATTGACGAGGGGAACTCCGTGATGCTTCTCTCGCTCCTCCACAAACACAAGGCTCATCTTTTGCCCGCCGTAAGTCATGGCGTCGAAGTGATGGATGGCCCAGAACTTGAACTTGGACCCCTTCTCGATTTTTCGAATAGTCATTGGTGCAGTTTTCTCGGAGTTGAGATCTCGACAGATGATCCGGTTGCGGGACAGGTTGATTGTAAGTGCATACCTTGGTCCTACCACCAGCCCCACCTCTTGACCGATGTTATATGTGGAGAATCGCGCCTCTCTCAACATTGAGAACATGTTTTTTTGCACTGAGAAAGACTGCAGAAGCGTATCTTCAAGCATCTGACGTGTCTGCGTGGGACAAGGGCCAAGACTCCTCGGGAGGTTGCTGCGCCTGTATAGCGAGGCCCAAACATCGCGGTCGTATGTAGCGTCTCGAAGGTGCTTCGAAGTCTGGTCAAATCCGTTCAGCTGACCCTAAAATAGATTCATACGAGTTACACAAACCTGTCGGAGGCGAAGAACATCTTGAATGTTGAGGTGACTTGCAAGCTCAACAAGAACATCGAACGGAAGCTGATCAAGGCCTGAGAACTTTTCGGAACCCATCTCGCAGACGTGATAGGGGTTAGCTATCGCCGGCGCGTTGCTCGAAAGTGCGAGCGCGCAGTGCGTCCCAAGTGCGTCCTTGGAGAGTTTGAAGCTATTGATGACAGAATTCACGGGTTCAAATTTCAAAACCTGCAGGCGAGTGCCGCTCCCGCGTAATAAGGTTGCACAGCCACTTCAACGCGAACTGGAATTAGGATGAACGCGAACATCATTCTAAGCACAGGTACTTTGTCTCTGTGTACCAGAAAACAAGCATGACTGGAATTAACGTCGCAGTTGCCTTGATTCATGCAAAATCAAGGACGCCTAGTCTATACGTCATCGACCGATTGTACCCCACGGGATATAAGAAGCCAAGCCTTCCCGAGGGGCCTATCTCTGGCTCGAAAAACTTGAGGAACGCTCCGCCTCGCTTGCCATCAAGTTCGTCCCGGATGTCATCTGGAATGGGGACGTCTGGTGCGTTGATGCACCAACCTTTTCGGGCTTCGCTGTCATACACCACCTCAACAACGCCTATCCGTGTGCGCAGGATTGGCCGGGTATAACGTTGAGGTGGATGGTTCTTGAAGCCTGAAGGTAAGAACACGGGAATTGGGCGGGAAAGGTGGATGTTAGCCGACGAAGAGAGCTGAAACTGCCTCAAGGCCGCAACGCCTGAAGTCTGGCATCACGTCTCAGATAGACATAGGGGCTATTTGACGGGCGCTTAAGCGACTTGTAAGCGATTATCTGCAGGCGTCGAAAATATGCAAGACAAAGGCAGTCAACTGTGGCTCTTCGTGACCATATAAACAATACAAGTACAATGATTTGTTACAAAGTTGACCGTCAGATTCAATATGATGGAACCAATCACGCAAATTCCAGAACACCCAACTTCCAAGAGGTCGACTCGGGAACTCCATCGTACGAATAAACAAGTCTTCCAGAACCCACCTCTGACTCGAAAGAACGGATTCTAGTCTCCCGGAGATCAAGGACGGCCTGTACATCAGGCGCAACGCTGACCTTCGGGTTGCTGACTGCTGATGCGCTCTGGAGCTGTTCGTCGTACACAATCTCTACAATACCGAGCTGCGAGTACTCCCTGGGTAATCGATTTATGTTGTAGGGGACGCCGGGGTTGTTCGGAGGGTTGCCTTCGCCACCGTTGTCACCGTTTTCACTGCCTTCGTCGCCTTCGTCGCCTTCATCCGTTTCCTCGTTGTCCTCATCCGCCTCTTCGTCATCATCCGGCCCGAGATCTGGAGTTTGCATGGGAAATCCCTCATCCCCGTCAAGGAGACGAACAGTGTATGCATATCTGACACTTCCGTTCCACGCGGCTGTCAGATGGTTAATACCCATTTCAATAGGGAGATCTATGGGCGCTTCTGTGAGTATGTCAATACTCGCTGGCGAGCTGGCGGCTAGGGCTGGGGGGATAGAAAGCCGAATGACAACAATGCTGTAGCTCCTCCGACCTGCAAACCCGACCACGATCCCGGCAAGAATGACTTCGGGGTATAGCCTGTGGTAGGATCGACAACAGAGTCGCGTAAGACCTTCGGCGCGCCAATGAACGAGCTCTGCGAGATCGTCCCATTTGCGATGGGCCGGGTGTCATGGCCAGCAAATACTTCTTGAAGAAGAGTCGCCTCGATGAGAGTATCCCAGGTGCCTCGCACATGTCTTTGACATATGAGATGCGTCTTGCAGGAGAGATACCATGGAGAGTCTTCAGGCTAAGGTCATAGACGCATTGTGAGCTAAGGACATGCATGTCTGAAAGATACGCACATCCTCTTCGCGGCTGACGACCACAGGCCCACCGCCCAGATCTTGGACGTTCCATACGATGGCTTTTCCACTTTGCCCTATATGCTTTCTTTGCACAATAAGGGCTCTCGAGCTTAGCGAGGCGAAAAGGCGTGCGGCAGGAGCTACACGTCGGACATCACGGTACATCTCCTCGAAGCGTACTTCAGCGTCGCGTGTCTCCGGTGGGATTACCTTCAGAATGACACTTTTTCTTCAACGTTAACAACGAGGCTTTCCAAGAACAGATGGCGCAACGGAGAACTCACAGTCTTCTCGGCTGAGGGGTATCGCCCTGAACCATCAAGGCATCCAATGGCTGGGTGAAACGATCCTTGTTGCACAGCTCAATGAGCAAGAGGCTCAACGGCTGCTCGTGATGAGAGGCAACATCGGGGCAAGTTAGGCTCAAGATGCAGAACTCATCGCCTTCATTGACCGAGAATGCTGTTGTCGGTTGACGCTCTCCTAGCCCGGAGTCCGGACACGCGATATCTCGACAGAACACCTGGGTCCGGTCTCGACTAAGCGTGAACGCCCAGTTCGCGACAATTGCCAGATGATTGCCTTCTTCAATGTCGTACAGGCGCGAACGAGGTTCCCTTGGTGCGACAAAAACGTTTTGATGAACCGTGCGCGAGCGGACGAGGATACGCTCAAGCGTCAGTCGAGTCTGCGAGGGATGAGGCCCAACAGGCCGTGGGAGACAGCTAGCTCTATAGAGCGCGTCCCATACCGCACGTTCGTATGTCACTTCTCGCAGCCTCCTCGTGGTCTACCCCATTCAGTCAGCAGGCGTGGTCGAAAACATACTAAAGATAAAGTCAGGGACCCACCTGCCTCAGGTTAAGAACGTCCTGAACATCGAGTTGGCTGGCGATATTGATGAGCACATCGAGGGCGAGCTGATTGAGACTGAGGGGCATTGTCAGACGAAATGCTTTCAAGCTACAACAGAGATGGTGGGGGTTAGGTGTAAGGAGAGTTTTAACGCCGTCACGTATCGCCCATTTGATTCCAGACAAGTCGCGGCGCGTTTCTAACATAGGGGCTATTGACGAGCGCTTAAACTCCAAAGCGCATTATTCCAGGCAATTATTGTATGTATTAAATGTCGATGTCATACTAACTGCCAACTATGCGATCTTTACGGCCTTTATTCTCTTCAATGAGGTTAAGTGCCCAGAGGGATCGCTTGGTGTGATACCCCTCTGATGAACCGAGCGTTTGGGAACTCCTCCGTGATCTATATTATGCAAGTTACCACAACATATTCTAGAAAGCCGACGTCGCAGACGTTTGACTGATAGGTGCTACCATTCCGGCGAGCAACGTAAAACCCGAGAAGGGACCCAAAAAATTAGTTAAGAATGAAGGCTCTCAGCACTGTATCGGTCAGATTCCCTCGCCTCCGTCAATTTCGCCCTCACCAACCGTCAGCAGGCCTTTGCCCATCTTCCAAGTTCTTATGAATGTTAACGATCACGCTGCTTCTCTCCGAAGAGAATGCACACTCGACACGCCAGACATATCGGGATGCAACCAGATCTCGGCGCTGGTCTCCCCCGAGCACGAGCACGAGGACCTGCAAGCGCCTCCGACTGATCGGCGCGCACGATGCTTCCAATTCTTCGAACGGAACTAACTTATGAGATCTGCGTGATGAATGCGGAAGCATGCCCATAGAACCGGGGACCGGCGGCACGACTCCGTATTCTAAGACATGACACCGATCATTTCTCCATACCGAGCCTTGCCGAATTGGATCGACGGTATTACCCTAATCAGCGTCGTGCTAGTGAGTGGCTTCTAGTCACTTGTGGGCAAGCGCCACTGACGCCGCATGGATGCGGAGAGAATGTCCGTGTGGTGCCAAGGCGCGAAAGTGCAGTGGGCTTCTGAAGCATGCAGCCAACTCCGTCGAGTGCGGTGTGCATATGATTGAAGGTGGAGGCCATACTGGACCATGAACACGTTGCCTTTCAGCTGGGGTAAAACCCGAGGATTACAAACTCGAGAGTGAATGAGGAAAAAAGAAGAGAATATTATGTAACAAGCACGCCGAAGTGTCAGAACGAGAGCTATCAAAGATCAAACATAACAATCTGCTCCCCGCCACCCCGATCGATCCTCACAAGCTTCTTCGCCACGCATGAATACAGCGCCCGCGTCCCGCGCGAGCCGAGTGCCTCCTTGAGCCTCGGCAGCGGCATGCAGTATCTGTCCTCGCCGAGCAACGCCGTGAGCAGGAACGCGATGTGCACCTGCTGCGTCGTCGGCGCCCCGCCGCCAGGGCCGCCAGGGGCGAGTGAGGATATGGAGGAAGAGGTCGGCGAGGAAGGCGCGGGAGATTCAGAGGAGAGGGAAGTGAGGTATTCGCTGGTAAGGAGGATGGGTGTGAGGAACGTCGAATGTGTGTGAGTATGCATATGCGGGGGAGGCTCACAAAGTTTCAGGCCCGGTGGGCGGTGTAGGTCCTTTGACACCCGAAGGGTCATAGTTGTTGCCGGGCATGATCGTCTCGCCCATGGAGGCCCATATCTTCGCCTACAAATTACCCCATAAGATCTCCCGTTTGATTTGAGCAGAAAGAACGATAACGCACCGCAATACGATCCATCTGTGGGTCTGACCGTTTCTTCCGTCTCTTCCCAGATCCTGCAGCTGGAGGCTCAGCATCTGAGCTAGGCTCCGATGGCTGCGCCTCTGGCTCCGGTTCTGACTGAGCGGGCTCGCTCGCAAGCTCCGGCGCCTTGCTAAGCACAACTGTCGCATCGCCTGCATCCTCATCTTCGTCATCCTCTTCCTCCGCCTCCTCCGCCGCCCCCACCACAGAGTCATCTGCAGCCTCATTGGCTCCAAGAATATTCTCCACCTCCTCCTCGTCCCCAGCAACAAGCGAATGATGCGTGAAATCGAAAGACCGCTCCTGCGCACTCGTCAGCTCGCTAGGCAAGATACTCGTTCTCTGCAGATGCGGTACTACGCTTGCGCCGGCGCCCGCGGGGCTCATGAACGACGTGTCGGGCATCTCCTTGCTCAGGTCGACGTCGTCACTGATGAGGTTCTCCGTGAAGCGCAGTATGCGAGCGGGCGCAGCAGGTGTCAACCAAAACGCGTCTTCTTGTGCGTTTTCGGCTGGTTGTGGCTTGGGTGTGGGAGGTTCGCGGCGCTTGGTGCGTGGAGGAGCAGGTTGCGATTTGTTAAGCAGGGCTTCTTTCTACAATACGGAGGGTCAGTAAAGTGGGAGACTGTAAAGCAAATAAAACGAGAATACGCACCCGTTTACGCAGCTCCGCTATCCGCTGATGCAGATCCTGGATATTCTTCTCTTCTTCTGCGATCGACGAAGCCTGAAATGTCGACGAAGAAGGACCTGCTTGGGTAACCTCGAGTTAATCGTCGAACCCGACGCTATTACTATCATAACAAATATTTGAAAGCACTGACTTGCTCGAGCGTCGCGCTCAGATTCTTAATGTTCTCCCGCGCTTCCGCGAGCGACTCCAGGATCGCAACGACCTGCGCCCGCGCGCGGGGCATCGGCCTGATCGACTGGCTGCATTCGATGGATCATAAGCCTCCCCCGCCAGAGACAGGCGCAGACGGGCAGGCATCAAGAGACTCACTATCGATCCAAATACTTCAGCGCAGCCCTCGCATACACCTCCGGCTCGTACTCCCCCCTCGCCTTCCCCACTCCACCCGCACCCATACCCATCTCGCCCCTGCCCCGCCCAGGCGGCGGTCTCCGCAACGGCGTCGCCCCCGGAAACGCCACACGCCCGACCTCAGGCGGACGAGCCTCGGAATCGGACGCGGCGGCATGCACGGGCCTCTGCAGCGTAAAGAGGCCCATCTCAGACGCGTCGACGTCGCGAATGAGGTCGCCCAGAGGCGTGTCGAGCACGGCGCGGGTGAAGGGCCCGCCCCGCGCGCGATCGGGCTCGGAGAATACGGCGTTGGTGGTGATGATAGAGCGCGAGACGGCGGTGAGGCGATCTAGCTGATCGAACAGCGAAGGCATTGTAGATGAGTGAGAATGTTCAATCAATAATGCGGTAAGGAGGACAGGGGTTGATGAGTGTAAAGCGATCTGATGAGTTTGACAAGGAGCAAACACAACATGGGGAGGCCTCAGTCGCGTGGAAGCCTGCCCTGAACTAGCGTTGCGACAAATCAACAGACTCCCTCACCAAGCAAATATTTGCTGAGACAACTTCCCATCCGACTAAACCTCTCAGCAAAAGCACATCGATCGTTACATTCAGTCATAAACTATCCGAGATATCCAGTACTAGCGTATAAGTAGCAATCCAAACAAACATCTTTCAATACCCCAGAGGGATGCATCCACGTTTGAGGTCAAACAGCAGACCACCGTCTACTGGTGTAAAGTTACCACATAAACTTAATCCGCCTTGGTCTTGGACTTTCCACCAAGCTTCTTTCCCTGGGCACCACCAAGGACCTTACGCCTCTGCTGCATCATATACGTGTACATCACATAGAGACCTATAACACCACCTTCGTCAGTAATCTCCTCACATCACGACAACAGCAAACATCCGAGAAAGCGGAAAATGACTCACCCGGCCACCAAATCGCGAACAAAACCGACCTAGCCCAGTCCTCCACCCCGAACCTCTGCCATCCCCCCTTGCGCCACTCGGGCACCGTGCTGAGCATGAGCATCGCCTCGCTGCCCGCGCCGAGCGGGTACAGCACGTAGAACGTCGTGTACCGCAGCCACGTGAGCCACTGCGGGGCCGCGGCGCCCGCGAGCCCGAGCGCGTAGAACGCGTAGCGCGGCACCTCGGTCAGGGACCACGCGAGCACCATCGTCGTGTATACGGGGTTGGCGTGTGTGTTGGGGAAGCGTGCGACGATGCCCCACACAAGCAGGAGGCGGGAGGCGACTTGCATTGCGGTTGTGGGCAGCGGGGAGCGCACGAGGCCGACGATGACATGGATGACTTCGAGGAGAGCGAGCGACTGCACGGGTGCAACGGCGGAGAAGGAGGCGGAGTAGGAGGGCGGGACGAACCGCGCGACGGTGGCGGAGAGGGAGGCGGAGAATTGGTTCGTTGCTCGAACTTTTGAGCCAACAGAGACGGGGAGGTAGGACAGGACGCGGGAGAAGAAAGACGAAGCCTGGGCCTTGATAGTCGGCGGGTTGGCAATCGCGTTCAGAGTGAGGACGAGCACGTATGCCCATCCGAGGGCAGAGACCACATTGAAGGCGATCAGATATGCACGACTTAGGCTGGACGGTCCTAAGTAAATAGCAACTTCAGCACAGTTGACGTGGTCAAGAAAGCGCAAGGACGCACCTTTGGACCGCTCCTTGGTCGGTGGTAGTGGTTTTTCACTGGTCCTTTCCGTATTTTTTGTGCTGGGCATGTTGAGGAGCGCGTCGTGAAGGGGGAAAGGAGGCAGCGACGACGCGTCGGGCGTACTGAGTATTTCGGTCTGCGCCCCGGAAAACCTTTCCAAATTCAGCCGTGACGCAAAGCTCGGTATATTTGTGACAACAGGGGCCGCCATGAGGCGCCCGTTTACATACACGTCCACAACGTCTCGACCGTCGACGAGTCCGATCTATCGCACACGAGCCCAATACCTGGCCTCATATTTGTAAAGGTCCAAGATCATCATAATCTACAAGATTTCTTTGACAAACCACTGATGAAACGCCACTACGTATACCGTACCGCACCTTTGCCTCTGAACGTTCCAGGAGTTCATTCACTACACCAAACATCTCCTTCCAAGAAGAAAGTTCGTAAATGCATGATCATGTACCGACGAAAAACGCCTGTTCAAGTCGATTGCACCAACGAGGAAGGAGAACGCGAGGATGTGACCACATTGCTGAGTCATCGCCGGGCGTGGACCGAGCGTGCCGAAGTTCCACGCACGGGCAATTAGCCAATTCCGGACCAAAATAAAATAAATAATCGCCGAGCAAATCCGGGTTATCGGCATACATAAGCACGGCAGCTGTCTCAGGTTGGGTGTTTCTTACTAATACTCGCGCCCCCCTCAAACGCGCCTCCCCTAGCAGAGTGGGACCCCTCCGGGTGCATATATCCTTCGCTCCCCTGCATCATCGCATCTTCCCCTTTCAAATCCGCACAGCGCATCGCGTACAATGCTGCACTCGTATGCACAGCCCTCTGTGCAGGCCCCGCAGTCCCAAGACACCATACCGCAGGGGACCATCTCGGGTCAGTCTCTGCGCCTCCATGATGACCCCATAAATCCGGCTGCCCCCGCTCCTTCTAACACATCTCCAATAAACACCCAAAACACATCTACATCCGCCTCCAACTCCGCTCCGTCCACCTCGGCAGCCGCAGCGCCCCCACAAGGCCAACAGCAGGCACAGGCACAACAGCAGCAAGGCCAACCACCACAAGGCCAGCAACCACCACCACAACAGCAGCAACAACAGCAGCAACCACAACAATCCCAACCCCGCTCCCGCAAACGCAAGTCGCCTCCAACAGCCGCCGCGCCCCCACTGCCTCCGCCTCCACCACAGCACCACCACCCACAGGCGCCGCCTCCGGGAATGCATATGCCGCACGTCCTCCCGCCGCTCATGCACGCGCCGCCGGGCATGCCGCCCCCGATCTACCAGTACGCGCCGCCCGAGTACCAGCAGCCGCCACCGCCACCGCAGCAGGGGCAGCCGCAGGACCAGAACGGGCAGGGAGGGGATGGCAGCGACGGCTCGAAGACGGGCCCCGGCGGGCGGGCGCTGAGCCAGAGCAAGAGGGCGGAGCAGAACCGCAAGGCGCAGCGGGCGTTCCGCGAGCGGAGAGACCAGTGAGCTTTTCCTTGCGGAGTGGAGACGAGAGACGCTGACGGGACGTTGTTGCCGTTGCGGGGGAAAGGCACGTCAAGGCGCTCGAGTCACGGTCGCAGCTGCTGGATGCGGCGTTGGCCAGCGCGGACGAGGCCAACAGACGATGGGAGGAGTGTCGTGCGCTCGTCGACCAGCTTCGGATGGAGAATGCGGCGTTGCGAGCGACGCTCAACCAGAGCCATATGGCGAACCAGAACCAGAACCAATCAAACCAGGGTCAAGGAGGAGGCTCGCCAGCGCAGCAAGGCCAGTCACAGACGGAGGAGAAGGAGGGGCAAGGAGGGGCTGCGAAGGAGTGACTTTATGGGCCCGCGTTGTAGCTTTTTGACGGTGCTTGTGCATTTTGCGCTTTAACTTGTATGTTCCGAGTATTTCCTTGAGACGAGTACTTTTTCGTCCTTTATGTGCTATATTATCCAACTGTAATGGGTACTTGCCTGCTTTGCTTTCTCGAGAAGAGAGGTAGGAGCCCACAAGTCCACCACCGCATGCTGCCACACCCCCGAGAGCGACATCGAGTCCACGGCTTTCGCGGATTCAGATACCTACCACACAGGGACACGATGAGGGAGACGACAAGAGAAAAGGGCAGTTGATTGATGCAGCGTGCCTCCCAGCTCATTGACAAGGTTATGTAACCCATGTCTTTGTCATACTCTCTCGCACTGACCAGGTCTGGGACCCTCGGATCGACGATACGACATCCGTACACTGCCGCCATGACCCAATCACTGCCCGTCCCCGGTTCATTACACGCCTTTGATAGATTGACAGTATCCCCAGGCCCTCGCCTTGGCGGCGTGAAGGATGAGACATGACTCGATTCCGTAGGTTTCAGGGGCTATATGTGCCTCTACGACCTCAAGACCTCGCTGCAGCCGATCCTACAAGATTCCCCGGATCCTACGCTTGGCTGAGGCTCCTCCTTTGCAACGGTTCTTAGGCTATCACACGAGACGAGCTCTGTTTCCCGATGTACTTGATTCGTCATCTGTCTTCGTAGGCAAAGAACTCCTGATTCACCAAAAGACGGGCGGAACGTCCTACCCGTCGCAACGCGAAACGCCCACATGAATGTTCCCCGCTCCACGCGAGAACCAAGTCAAGACAACTAACGATCCACCATTTTGCGTTCTCCGTGATTTACAAACTGGTTACATGTCGTGCTGCAAACCCCGTACAATAAAATGAATGACACACAAATTAAATATGAGTAAATGTCCCAAGATGTCTGATTTCTAGATGCGCTCAGCATAAATCACCGTCGGCGTCCATCACTGCGTCCGGTCAGTGTATATAACGTGAAACCATGACCGCAAACCTGACCTCGCAGCCCAAGGGAAGCAAGAAATACTCGAGAGGAAAGCAAGAGTCCAAATCTACTCGATAAGAAGCTCGTACTGCTCCCCATTGCTCTCATAGTGCTTCCATGGATCATCGCGCGCATCGTCCCACCTATCCACCCGGTAGTACTGTCGTTTCTTCTCTCGCCTCTTCCGCCAGAATATTCTACATCCGAAATTCAGGAAGGGTTGGCAGTTAGCGTCCATCTTATCTCGCAAAAAACGTCGAAACCAAAAAAAAAAAAACTCACATCCCTCCAATAGCACCCCCGATGAACGCCACCACGCCCAGCACAATGCCCGCCAACTCCGCCTTGTGCGTCTTGACCCAGTACTCGACCTGGGGTATCCCACCCAGAGGCAAAGGCTGCTCAAAGACAGTTTGTCGTCCAGGGACTGAGCTCGGCGGTGGAGGCGCGTTTGGGTTGTAGCAGTACTGCTGGAAACATTTTTGGCAGATTTCGGACCGCTGCGGAGTCGAGGTGGCCTGGGCGCGCCGGGAGCCTGCGAAGCGGTCGGCAGAGGCGGAGAGAGTTGGCTGCGCGTCCTCTGAGATGGACGTGGTCGCAGAGGAAAGAAGGGAGGTCTCTTGGTCAAGATACGACTCGGAGAGCGAAGAGGACACGAAGGTGGACGATGAGGGCAGGAGGACTTGTGTCGTAGAGGGGATCGTGTCTGTGGCCTGAGAGGTGGAGGAGGAAAAGGAAGAGGTAGCAGAGAGTAGCCCCTTTGTCTGCGATGAGGACGATGAAGTTGGGGATGGCGTGGCACTCGACGCGGCCTTGTATCGCGCCCGGTCAATCGCAGCGCACCTCAGACAGAGGCCCCAATCTGGGTCCGCGCCAGTCTTATTAGGCATGAATCCCCCGACTGCGTTGGCGTATGCTTGGTTCATGAATGCCGAAGTAAGATCGTCAGTGTAATTGAAGATGCTTGAGCTTGGGCTGTAAGTAAACCAATATGTTAGGTCGTGCTAAAAGGCAAAGGAAACGGCGCGAGGGAAGCGCTTACTTAGTGTATGGCTGAGTACCGTCCACAGGGGGAGAGTTGGGGAGATAGATGACTAGCGGCGACTCGGGTGGATTGTGCGCCGGGTTACACCCAAAGAACGTCGGGCGCATGTTCATACCATAGTTGATAAAGTCTCCTGAAGACGATGGTATTTGCGGGAACTGCTGATGAGAGGTCGAGAGGACGTTCTTGACACGGTTCGAGGTTTGTAGCAAAGAGGTGCCACTAAGCGGGGATCAGCGTCATCACCCTCCTTATTTTCGGAACAATCACATACTTGGGCCAATCATTGACTATGTCCGCCCCTGCATCGAGCGCAACGACAACATCCACGAACCGGGACTTGACAAGGAGACTCCCGAACGGTACGTGTTCGCCATTTGCACCTCCATCGACAAGGCCAAGGTAGTTTGAACCCGACTCGCTGAACGTCGAGGAGCTGACGCTCTGAAACGGCTGTATCGGGATGACTTTTAGCACCCAAGGTTCAAACTCTAAGTTGCAATGCACCTCACGTTTGGCACATTCGCAGCAGCATTGTTTGGGCTATTACTAGGGTCATTCAATTGGCTAAGCAGCACCTGCTGGTCCGAGCTGGAGAAACCATCAACGCCTCCGTTGTTTAGGTTGCCCTGTAAGAACATTGCCATATGTCAGCGCCCGCGGTTATCTCACCAGCTGCAGGATGCAGAATCAATTTGACTGACGTACACTGAAGTTATTTGCGCTTGCCCCTATGATGAAACTCGCCTGGTCGAAGCCCATTGTGCACTTTCCGTTTGCGGCAGAGCCGTCTGATAGATGCGTGCCGACATATGCGACGTAAACCATGGCAGCCAAGTTTGGGTCCCAGGAACCAAACTCGTACGGAGAAAACTAGATTACGAGCGGGAAAGCGTAGATTAGTGTCAGAGTACCTTAAGAGGCTGTAAATAGAACGGTATACACATACCTCATAAACAACATTATCTAGGGGCAGTACTCCGGAAACATTCTGATTCTCATGCAAAGAATCGGAGACAATGAGCGGGAATGGAACGGCGTACTGCTGGAATGCAGGAGACTGTGGAATGGCAGACCACAGCTGCCCAGCACCGTGCGCAGAGTCGTCGTACATATTCTTGGAGGTGGTTCCATTGAGAAAGTGGTAAGCGAGCAGCCGGCCCCAGGGGTCGACGATACTCGTTGGACTAGTGTATGTGTTATGAATAGTACGAGGGTACGCGAGGAATGGCCACCTACAGTCCAGTGGCTGCCTTTGATTTCACACTGTCCATCACTGCCTGGTAGTACTGCTGATTCTGACCACCACCATCAGATGGGTCGAAAAGATCTTGCTCCAGCATCCACCCGTTGAGCCCGCCCCCGCCGTACACGAGATTAGACGTCGTGGGCCAGTCGTTCATTAGCATAGACGCAGTCACCCATGAGCCGCCTTCACGAGGGAGTATTCAGGAGACAACGTTCGCTCAGTCGAGATGGAGACGCACCAGAGGACCCAGCAATATAGCTCGCGACCTGCAACAGCCCGCCCGTCCCGCTCTTCTTCGCACTACTGTTCCTCCCATCGAGAGCGTTCAGCACTCCAGCACCATACAGGGCGCCCCGATATCCACCCCCGCCGACGCCGATACCGATGCGCGGAAAGCTTCCCGCGGGGAAGTCAGAGAATGTGTACCCTATCTCAGACGCGTCGCCGAGCCAGTTTTTCCAGGCGTCCGGGAGAGTGTTTGCCTCGAGCGCATGGATGTAGGCCTGCTCTTGCGGATTCGTCGACTGCTCACTCGAGAACGAGCGGACGAGGGGCTGGGAAGAGGGATCGGGACAGGGCGCGTCGGTCGTGGGAGCGTAAGAGCCGCCAGCGGCTGCCGTATGGAGTTGGAGATGCAGCGATAAGACGCTGAGCGTCAGCGTCCAGAGGGAGAAGGAGACGGTCATGAGCGCGAAGGAGCGTATAGCATGTGGAACGCGGAGGGTGGAAGAGCGAGGTGGGAGGGGTGGGACAGTCTATGGTTGTAATAAGGTATAAATGTCGACGCACTTCCTGTGTGCATTGGCTGGGCCTCTCGGCTATGCCATCATCTGCACAGTCGTTCCCGTTGTCAGTCCAGGGTAGATCGCATCATGTCGGCGACTCGGAGTCACCACCTGCCGCTCCGTGACAGTCTCTAATTTGGATCGAGGACTTGTCAACTGACGAGGTGAGATAAGTACGCTCTCTGAGCTCCGAGTCAGAGCCACTCATTCCGTGACGTCCAAGATACGGAAAGCTTTGAACCATGCACATCGCGATCACCGCCTGTGATGAACAACACCATCCTTTGCCACACATTAAATTTAACATCTCGGTAATATGGGGACCAATGCATGTGCAGTTCAGTGTTGATGTATCATCCTGTGATAGATCAGAATCACATAACTCTAGTGTTAAATATGAATGCTCGTACCACCAGGCTCAGGCTTCAACTTCTAGTATGAATGCCGGAGGCCACAGTAATTGGTATTTGCGAGATCTTGCAACACCCTCATCAGAGACCAGGCGGTACAATGTTTAAAAACAGATTTCACAGTTCCTGAGGGTGACGATCACAAATACACGGTAGGCTCTCGTGTCTCAGCCCAAACAATACCATGTCTTATTTGATTTCTACACCAAACGAGCATTGTACAACCAAAAAATCCCGCAAACAAGACAAATAACGGCACACAGAATCCCACATGCGAAACGTTTTCAACACTATTGCTTAGCTTGATACCAACATAGGCCGTGCAAGCCCTGGCCATTTAAGCAGTAACGGAAACACTGTAAGAGGTGGTGTAGAGCTCGGCAGAGCCGGTGAAGGGCTCCGTGCCGGACTCGATGTCTTGCAAATACTGCAAAGAAGAAACCACACCCGGTCAACACCCAGTTCCCCGATGCGAAACACGATAATATCATAGCACTCACGAGGCTGGAGGAAACACCTTCGTTCTCGGTCAGGTACTCTGTCGAGAGAATTACCATGATCAGCAACAAGATCATCAACAGCACAGTAAAATCAAAAGAAGATCTATGCAGCTAGACCAGCACGCCGGGAGAGTGAGAACGCACTGAAGAAGTCGTTGAGGTCGACGTTGAAGTCGTTGATGTTGCCGTCCTGGCTGACGAACGAGATCACCTCCCAGTTCGAGTTGGGGCCCGTCCAGATGTTCCAGGTGTAGCCTGCGACGGAGACGCCGGACGTTTGCAGCGAGCCGACGGGCTGGATGCCGCCGAGGCCCGAGAGCCAGATCATGCTGCGGTGATGCGTGCGTCAGCCGGGTTGATCAACGGTGCACATGCATACTGGGTAGAAGAGGGCGTACATCTCATAGGAAGAGTCGGCAGAGGCCTGGGCGCCGTTGGGGGTCGTGCCGAGCCAAATATCGTAGCTGTTACACGAGGACAATACCAGTGAATAACACCCACTTATAAAGCGATCAGACGGAACTCACGAGACATCAGCGCGGATACCAGTGGACTCAGTCACGTAGTCCCAGTTCCACGCAGTCGGCGCAGACTGGATCGCGCTCAGCTGCTGACCCAAACCCGACGTCGGGGACACGTTGCTGTCTGTCAGTCACAATCCAAGCCACACGCATCAGCAACCACACTTCTCCAGCTTTGAGCAGTAAGAACAGAAAAATAACGCACAAGTCTTGACATCGTTCTCATTGTCCGCCCACGTCCAGGTCGTCGACCAAGTGATCGTGTTTCCCGACGTGCTGACGAGCGTCGCCGTCTGGCTGCCCGTGCCGTCGTCGATGCCCCACTGGTTGTTGCACAGCTCGTAGTTTCCCTGCGTCGAGCACTGGTACTGGCCCGTGAGCGTCGTCGCGGCCTTGGCGGACGCGATGAGACCGGTGACGAAGGCGAGAGAGATGAACATCTTCAAGTTTTTGAAGTAGTTGGATGCGAAGTGCAGCTGAAGCTTTGTAGCTGTGCTGAGGATATGCAGCTCCGTCGCGCTCAAGGGCTTTTATACGCTCCCAGGACACACCCATCGTGCCAGGGGCTTTCATGCAGATTCACCGGGGAGCCCTCAGGGCAGAGAACAAGAACACAGACCGGCCTCCTCTGTTGTCGCGAGAGCGAGATTCCGCCGGGGAATCCGAGAAAGCGGCAAGGGCTCTCATCGAGCCACTATGTTCAAACCCATGGCCCGCCGACAAATAGAGAACACTGCTCCGCCAGCGTGGTGTATTCAAAGTAGCATTGCATATTGCGCAACTCTACCATTACCCATGCCGGGGCCACCACAAGCCCGACCGCGTGGTGACACCATGTTCCCCAGAGTATTCCCGTTTAGCTCGAGCCAGGATGTCCCGAGGAAGACACTGCATGAACACTTAAGCCTTGGGTGAGATGAAGAAGCGTAGTCGAAGATTCAAGGATCGAAGAAAACCACGAAGACGGATCCACTGGTGCACATGTGACCGCTACCGAGTAGAGCCAGAGAATTGTCCGTGCTCGTTTCAACTCACGCCCGGCCATACAAAGCAGTTGGTTCCAGGGGCGGGCTCGGGAGACCACCCTTCAGACACCCTAGTTTGGGCGGATTGTCCCGCCTCGCCCGCCCTGCTGAAAGTGGACAGGCACAGGACGGCGATCGATTCAGAGGATAAAGGTTAAGGCTGCAAGACTCGAGGTTTTGCGCGGAGAATTACTATTGCGCAATTGTTTCGAGGGTGTGCTGACCGTGAAGCCCAGCCATCCAGGAGTCCCAAGTGGTCTACGAGAAAATGGTGAGAAACCACATGTTCTTGCGCGCTAAGAATGGTGACCGACTTTAGGGCAAGCTTCTATATGCACAACTAGCCCCTAAGTTAGCCCATCTTTCTACCACGCCCAAATTTCCAAGAACACCTATAGCATTACAGACGGTATAGACGAGAGAGATACAAGAATATGATATAGTAGCTACATGTGGATAGTGGATATATCCTCAGGGGGGTAGTTTGTGTGTAGTTGGGCAGCAGACCGAGAATACTCAATGGATCTGGCGTGCTCTAGGATGTGGGGGCCAAACTGATATAATGTAGAAGCGCTGTGAAATAAAGATAATGGAGGCTCAAGCGTTGTCGCTCATCGCTCATGAGAGCGTGTAGACGCGGAGCGAGTTGATATCCCAGTATGCTTCTGCGAATGCCTCTGGGTTGTTGTCGACGTCTGTTCGGACGTGGGTCAGTAAGATCACATCGAAGAAGCAGCCCAGCAGAGCAAGCACTCACAATCCTGGCACGAAGACGCCTTCGCTGCGCAGCTAGACTTTCCCCACGCCGATCCGGCCCAATCGCCCTAAACAATCCCTCAGTCATCAGTATCAAGGACCCCGACACGAAAACAACAGACTCACGCAGAGCGTCAAATCAAACACAATCGCATGCGCATTAAAATGCTGGCCGTAATCGCAGTTCCCGCCCATTGGGAAGAACGCATCTGGCGTGCCCCAGTCCGGGCCCGGGTGCACCGTCTGCGCGCCGTACGCGAGCTCGGCGGGGAAGCGCTGGTCATCGCGCGGGAAGAACCATGTACGGATGCCCGTGTCGCTCTTCTGGAGCACGTAGTGTCCCCCACCGGCGACGTTGAACCCCGTGCCAAACGAGTTGGACTTCTTGGTGGTAGTGCCGCAGCCCTGGTTTGTGTTCACAGAGGCGTCGCAGTCTGTAGAGACGGTTTCTCTGGGGAAGGGGGAAACAGAGAAACCATAGTCAGATTTTACGATCCTAAGTTAAGTCAAAGAGAGGTAAGGACGCACCCGCCTTGACTGCGCTCTTGCGGCATCGAGCAGCTCCCGGTGGTGTGTAGCGAGCTCAGATTCTCGTCGGCATCGTTCACGTTCTCGATGATGTCGATCTCGCCCCCAAGAGGCCAGGGCCCTTCCTGGCTAATTGTCCAGAAAGCGGGCCACGTCGCACAGCCGGCAGGCATGTGCGCGAGGTCGAGGACGAAGACGGCCTGGTCGTACGCATCATGCGACTGGATGCGAACGCTGTCACGTCCGCGGTCCGATCCATGTACAGAGTTGGTGTGATCCGCGCGCATAACAAATTGGCTGTCCGAGGCTGCATGTCAAAGAAATCAGCATCGGCGGGAGGAGGGTGCGAGGTTGAGAAGACGAACACCATGTGAGGTTTTTGCCGAGTGCCGTGCCCTGATCGACGAAGTTGACGCGTCCATGCGTGGGGTCATCCATCGTTTCCCAAGAGAAGCCATCGAGGAAGCCATGACCCATATAGGTCGTCTTCAAGCTATAAAGTTGCGACCTTGGCGACAGTCCCGTGGTGAGAGCGGCGCAGGCGGACGCGAAGAGGAGAACGGTTGGGGCGAACATGGTTGCAGCGAAGTTGGATGCTGTCGAAAAGGAGAAAAGACAGAGGTGTTATAAGGAACGAAATAGAAAAGGGTGCTGGAGAAGAGAGGAGAGAACAAGGGAAGTCCTTGCATAGTTGGGCTGGTTAAAAGGTTGCGTCAGCGGTTGCGTTTCAAACTGGACTGCACCGCGGCCCAAAGTGTCAGGAAGATGCCAATCATGGTGGCGCAGGATTATTGGGGCACGTCCGACGCGTCCTGAGTCGGCAAGTGTGAAAAGAACCAAGAGCTTTATCGGGTTCACGTAGAGTACCAAAATTTTAACTACACAAGTTAAGGCGTGGTCAGGAATCGTCGAGAATGGGGAACATGATGGAGGAAGACGAAAGGACTAGAGAACTTAAGAGGACTCCCCCGCCCGCGGCGCGACTTCCATCGGATATCGGAGGCCCGACGTCCGCGAGAATCTCAGCCATGACATCACGAGGTCATCGCACCAAATTGCTCCTCTTGTCCTCCTCATCGATTCATCTCCGGCCGTCGATCCTTTACACTGCCAGGATCCAGACGATGAAACGCCTTCACCGCTCCATACGGCGTCTTACTGTCTTCCCAGCAACACGTCACGAATGGATGAGTACCACAACAGACGGGGTTCATCGATATCCTCAATGGAAGTCACATCTCCAAACGGTCACCAGCCACCCGTCAAATGCACTAGTCTCTGCTGGTCTTAATTTTCTGTCCTTTGTAACGTTCCGAAGTACCATGGGACACGCACACATCATCTTTACGCCTCTTTACGCCTGGGACCTTTAGCATTCTTCTCACTCGTGGCGCCCTGGCTCCCGTCGGGCATCGGACATGTCGTCCCGGAGAAACTCCCGAAATAACGTTGACTTTGCTGGTTTCATCTTATTCTGAATAACAACCGCTTGCTTGCGATTTTGCCATGCGATGCTGTAATCATGTAAAGCACTGGCAGGCGACGCCTTCTGGTATCTGCCGACTCATGCCTCAAGGTGGGGCTTATCAGCGAGAATCGTGAGCCAAGACATTCAAGCTGTGATGGGGCGAGAGCAAAGCAGCATGTTTCTGACTTCTTCATTTCGACGCGCTCACCGTGTTTGACGGTGCTTATCTCGGGGACCTGTTTGTACCTGCATCACGGACGCTGGCGGTGGCTTGTATATCGCCAACACAAGTGTGCCCGACAGTCTTACGCAAAGCAGCTCATTGCACTTACCTTCCCAGCTCTTACGTACATTGGACAAACGCCTAATTCCCCATGTTGAGGGTCATCAAAATCAAGCTGTGCCATAAATAACCTAAGCCAAGGCAGCTTGGGCAATTGAATCTTGGCGCTCGCGAAGAAGTCTCCGCATAAGCCGCAAACCTCTGACTCGAATCATCCCGAACACTGCTTCTACCCTCTCACTTCGGGGGCACGCAGGAGGTATCGACAACATGCATCGAATTCATCTCATAATTGCGCAGGGCCACAGTACGGTATCCAAAGCTTCGATGGGCATCCTCGTGCATGGAAGCGGTGTACATTCGGTTCATTGACTGCCAATTATTGCTTACTCGGTTCTCTGCTGGAAGGCCAAGAGCTGCTGTACTTCGTAAGTATACACGTTTGCGCTAGATGCTATGCGCTATGCGCGCTCAAGACCCTCCACTCGGTATCGCCCTTCTCGCGAGCGCTAGCCAAGGCTTGGCGCAATTTGAGGATATAAAGGTTCGTGGTGGGGTGCCCTCGACCATACCAATATTCCGCGCTCGCAGGCCCACACAAACTTCACCAGGTATGTGAAACAAAACATTCGGCCGATAGCCGAAGTTGACGGAGATTTGAAGCTTCTTGAACATCTGTATAAGCTAGTCTGTTTGAACCCGAATCTCATGCCTGCTTTACTCCTACCTGGTGAGTCTGGCATGCGTTACCAAGTGCACACTGGTAGCCTGACGGAAGGAGCTGCAGGAAATGCTCGGTTCAGCAGCCAAAGCACAAGTTCATACTCATCATGCTCCCCTTCCACCTCGAAGGCCTTGCGCCAGGAGCAACAAGAAGTCACAGCATTAGACCACGAGTTAGCCAGCCTTCAATCCGAGCTCGCCCGCGTACAGGCGCTCATCCAGAGCCGAACCGCGAACCGCACCAAACTTCTCAGCAGCATCTCCGAAAAGAAAGCCCTGCTCCGCTCGCGCTCGCCATCAGAGCTCCACTCCCAAAGCCTGCCCGTCGACCTTCCCATCGAACTCATGCACGAGATCTTCCGCTTCTGCTCCCTCCCCAGCCCCTCCAGCACGCTCTCGCAGCCGCTGACGACCCCGCTGCTCCTCGGCCAGGTCTGCCGCCGCTGGCGCGCGATTGCGCACTCAATGTCGGAACTCTGGACCGCGCTGACTGTGTACGACTACGGACACTGGACGCCCGACACGTCCGTCGAGATGATGCGCGCGTGGCTTCGGCGCTCGGGGACGAGGCCGATTAGGGTCCACGTCAAGTCGACGGTGTCGGTGCGAAGCGAGGAGCGGGCCGCCAACTTCGCGGTGCTGCAGCTCCTGCGCGCGCACATGCACCGCGTGAGGGAGCTCTCCCTCAACGCGAGCTGGAGCTACACCCAGGCTCTCCTGTGCGGCGCTGGCTCCAGCGGCAGCACAGCGCACGCCCTCCCCGCACTGCGCAACCTCTTCGTCGACCTCGACGCGTGCGTCGACGCGCCCGAGGCCGTCCAACATGCAGTGGAGATATCCACGTCGGGCGTATACGCGCTCCCGAGCCTGACAGGCGTCATGCTCATCGGCGTGCCCGACACGCTCGTGTCCGCGCAGCCCGCGTTCGCACACATCACCGAGCTCAGCCTCGTCCTGCGCGACGTCAACGTCCTCCGCGTTCTCGCGCACTGCACCGCGCTGCGGCGCCTCGAGCTGTACGCGCGCCTCGACCTGCGTCGGCAGCGCAGCACCGTCGACCAGACCGACGTGCTCACGCACGAGAACCTGGGGTGCGTGACGGTGCACTGGGCGGAGGACTCGCCGCACTGGGCGGCATCGGACCAGCTCGCGGGCTTGCTGAGGCAGCTGACGCTCCCGGCGCTGCAGGCGTTCCAGGTGTGCTTCCCCAGGCTGGGTGATGAGGGCGATTTGCGCCATGGCAAGGGCGGTGTCCGGACGTACGAGACGGACTGGCGAGCGATGTCGCTGCTCTCCGGGCTGCTCGGGCGCTCGAGCCGACAGCTGAACGAGATCTTCATCAAGGGGTTCACGCCAACTGGAAAGTTGGTTGCCGATGCGACCAGCACGTGCAAGGTTTCTGTGGACCAGGAGACCGACGACGTCATACCGAGCGTGTTGTTTGAGCTCGCGGAGCGGGAGAGCACGTAGAGATTGTTGTCTTTAGGGTTTTGCTATGTTCTTATGGTTGCTATTATACCCTGTATCGCAATTTTATGTCCATTAATAATGCGAATAATATTAAGAGCCAATGTTACAAGGCTGCGCGCGTAAAGATATGTAAGCTACAGATGACTGAATGGAGGAGATTCTATAATGCGTGCGTCTTGCTGTGTAATGTCTTTATGCTCGTGAGTTGGCAAGTGCAAGGGCAAATATACGGCGGCTGATGGGGTCACCCTTGTCTGTACTGTCCGCGGTGTCCAACCACCACTTCAGCCGATGCTGCATGTCATCCTTGTCCTTGTCATTGAAGGGACTGAAGCAAAGTTTAGTATATGGGATTTCAAGGAAGGGAATGATGACGCACACTCCGCGCTCGTGCAATGCATCTCTCAGCTCAAGTTGCGTAAGGTTCTGTCCATACCCCTCCTTCGCGAGGATCTTGTCGTCCGCAGTGATGTAAGTCAGGTGGTTCGAAACTCTCCACCGTGACAAGAGGGATGGTCCCCAGGAAGGAAGGCCCAAAGAGCTATACGGATAATTAAACAAGGTTCTGCGATGGCCAAGGTCGTGGGCACGTACCTGGATATGGCCGTAAAATTTGTCACGGCAGCTGAAGGGGTGAAACCCGCCTGCTCGCCCGCTTTACGCATGTTCTCGAACAGACCCCGGTTTTCAGTGAGCGCGTTCGCCTGCGCCGAGTGGCGTTTGAAGACTATGCGGTTTTGCTGCCCGGGGAGCACGCATGTGGAGGGGAGCATCCTTGGCGCGTAAAGAGCGATGAACGGGATGATTTCTTCCGCAATGAAGACAATGATGATGAACGGAATGAGTCTATCCATATGTTACCACAATTTCGACAAAGAAGGAAATATGTTATTAGACTTACTTGAGTGCGTCCTGGTTGTACGTCTTCATGAACCGCATCTCCGCCCTCGAGGGAAGCGGCCCGCCCCTCTCCATCCGGTCTCGAATGGCCGAGACTTGCTTTCTGTGCGTGTTGATAGCCTTGAGCCCATTCCAGTAAAATTTCTGAGACATAGACGTCAGATCACGGAAGCCATGTCAAAACCCTGTCGTGAGAGGCAGACAACGTACGAATAGCTCCTTAACCGGGTGTATCCACTGCGTGACACGTCCTGCATCAGGAGGGAGTGGGGCAAGTACACCTTGCTCCATCGCCTCTGCTATGTCGCGCTTGGCAAGCTCGAGAACAGAAGGCTTGGGTTCATCAGCGACGGCTTCGGCCTGCCCGCCCACCGACCGGGTGACTTGGGCACCTTTGTGCGGGTGGATAACGGTTTTCTTATCGGAAGCTAGCTGCGAGGTCTTTGAAGGAGGCTTCAGGGGACCGGGCTTGAAGTCTGCTCTCGGCTTGCGAAGTGCGCCAGCTGCATTCGGTGGTGGTTCACGAGATTCAGCTCGTGCCGTAGAAGGAGATACATCCGTCGAAGCGAGTCTGACGAGCGCGAGGGTCCCGACGCGCTTATGGTAGTCTCCACGAGACAGCGTGGTTAGCAAAACGCCATTGCCGAGGCGGCCAGAAGAAAACGTTCTGGGCGTCTCGTGAGCAAAACTGCATGTGTGAAGCCCGACGAACAGACACTCACCCGTTCACGGCGCCATTTCTTGTGATTGTCCGTAACATACAAATAAAGAGGAAAAAGAGGGGCTAGGTGATGGGTGTATGCGGGGAGGTCGGCTGCAAAAATCGTCGCTGGAGTACGCGGCGAGGGGCAACTAATTTGCCCTCAGCACAGCCACAAATGCCTGTGGGGCTTTCTCGGGCCGATCCACCAACTCGGTGCTTAACTCAACGGATGTCGCCGGCGTTCTGCTTTCCAACACTACATCCTCGTCCGCACTTTTCGTTCAAGTCAATACCCACGATCCTCTTACAGTCCCTCACCGTATTCGCATAACACCACTAGAATACCTCGGAAGCCTACTCAAAAGATCTCCAGCAAGTATTCCGCTTGAACGTATGCGCCGAGCAAACGGTTCCTAGGGCCACGTCGCATCGCAGGCGCTTCTCGCAAGTGCTGCCACTTTTTTCGTGATTTCAGGCTGCCTGATACGAACAAGTGACATTAAGTTCTTGAGCTTGCCGGCCACATGGAAGGGCTCACGATCCCCAGCGTTCTTCATCATGGTGGCGCTTACTTTGTTCACGCGTCTGTCAAGAAAAACGGGTGCGAAGGATCGAAGACACGAATCCTATTCTCCGGATATGGGTGGGGCGCTGCGACCTTCCTCATCAACCAACCATCCATCAACGACATACAGCATGCCGAACCCGAATTTCGTAGACATTCATGTCCGAGGCGGGGCCCAACCAAACTAATGACATGTCGACAACGTGATTTCTGCAGCTCATCGGGCAGCCTGTCATATTGATGTCTACTGCGGCGGGATATGTTCGCCTCAATAAGGCGGCGGGTGTCGGCCTCTGGCGGCCTGGTGCTTCTGCGACGTCTTCGCTGCAATGACTGATCCGTTGCTTTGTGCGGGACCTTCCCCAATGGTTGCCTCTCCCGAGATGCCGCTGCCTAGCCGCAGCTGTTGCCCACGAGGGGCTCTAGTAGTCTGTTGAACCGAAGTGTATCACCTTTGTCCCGTAAACGCGTCCTGATTTCCGTTGACGTTCATATTCGGTTCCCCTTCAGCCGCACTGGCTATCTACACGGTGATCTCAATGGCAGCTCGTGGTGATTGGACAATCGCTTGTATGCTACTCCCGCGAACCTCTCGAACATCCTCCAGTCTCCTAGAACAGATAGGGATGCAACACGGATATTTGCATACTACGAGCGTTCAAAGATTTTGCTTATCGAGTCTTCCAGTGGTATCAAAGTGGTTGCCTGCATGGGTTCCTACCCGAATACACGATGGTGAGCTTGGAGACATCCGCATTTGACCCGCCAGATTCAGATATGTAGGAGTCCTATATAAAATTACCTGCGATTAGTCCCTTATCTTGGCCGCACATATCTACAAGATGAGATCCATCAACTCAAAGCTGAGAGGTGCGAAACGTCACTTCCATGGGTGATCTCGATTCCGTGGAAATAGGCTCTCTCCATCAATACTCCTTGTCCACACCGTAGGTCTGTTCCGCTTACCCGCCAGCGTTCAGATTCAAGACATATGCCACCAAATTTGCGGCGCCTCTGTCACTGGGCGTGCCTCGCTCGCCGCTACGATACTCCGGCTGTATGCTTTGATCAGGTGAACGAGGCTAGACGTCGGCGCAGGTAGTCGCCGGTGTTCAAGGTAGGAGTCGAAGCTTGTCATGTTTAGCGCTCATTAAAAACAGGGTGGACAGAGACTTGGCAACTCGGGTAATATTTTCCGAGAGTAATCATGGGGGGCGGCAGAGGGAGCTTTAAGGACACATCGACAACTATGGACACGATCGGTGATTTCTTTGATTCAATTGACGAGAGGTAGGTGCCTGTGGTACCGCTGGACAGCCAAGAAACCAGGCCTTCGCGCCCCACCCCAGGTTGGCCCATGTGCTCCTACACAGGCCACCCTGTCGTACGTCGTCCGCATATAGGGCACAATACATTGATGCATAAACTTACCCATAATGTCTAATGAGATTGAATTCCGAAAAGCCCGCGTTGACAGATAGAAGGCCATGGTTTGCCATAGGCACCACGTATGCCACTGTACACCACAAGTTGACCACAGGATTGTTGGCACCTAAGCTGCCGCACGATATGAACTTCAGGAGACGTCCACCCCAGATCAGTCGCTGACGCCGCGATCTATGTCGGACATCCGATAACACCCTGAACCGAGTATACCACCCTCAAGTTCGGTGGTCGTCGTCGAGTTACTATTGATGAGCCTTCCTCATCGGATGTTCCTCGAAGTTTGACCAGCTAATTACCTTGATGAGGAAGGCGTAAGCAAGACGCCGCGCCGTCGTCGAAGAAGTTCGACTCACATGCGAGATCAGTGTTCCAGCTGGAATAGCCGGTTGAAAGCCGAAGATGAGCACATGAGATGTTTGATGGCTGAGATGGCCTGAGGGTGTCCTTATTTGGCCCTTGTTCCCTTCAATGCCAAAAGGTTACTTACGTCGTACCACAAGCAGCTTGAAGCTTGAGGCGCCCTCGGATCACGTGAACCACTGATGGTTCGTAGATCTAGCCAAATCCGATCATCCGATTAGGAACCTTTCATATTTTGGTTCCGCCACCAAACGTTTCTTGCTTGTAATCACATATTCACCGAGCCCTGTTTTTCCTCGAGGCTGTCCTTCCATGCTCCATCTACTAAGCAGATTCCTTCCCAGCGATTGGTCTCTGTAAAGTAGACCTAAATTTACTCGACTCTACGCAATGGACGCTTTCGTTGCAGTATCAGGTTAGTTTGCTGTCATTCCCTCTATACTCCACCACCAGCCACCACCAAGGCACAGTTTCGTCGACATCCGTGAGAAGGAGGTCCTTGAGCCGAATCTTTAGGTGTTTTGTCCGTGTTTTTCGTCCAACGACTGTGGACGGAAGTAAATTGCGGATAAACCCATATGGAAAAAGCTGTCCGACGCTCCGTATGCCTGGAGTTATGATCAAAGTCATGATGCGATTTGTTGATTCTCGGATGACAGCCGCCGGAGCAGGAAAGTTTGCCTCTCCTTCGCGGGAGCGGCTGGGAAAGGGAAAAACGGTCCCAGGCAGCTGAAAGACGCTCCCTGATGCTCCAGACGCTGGCATGAAACTTGAAGCTTGAGCTTGAGGTTCAGCGTCCAAACATTCACAGTGCCGCCGTCGTAGGTTTACAAGATACAATACCTACTGTATGCAGATCGATCGTGAGGGATAGACCTACATGCTTTCCACCGAAACGTATCTCGCTACTTCGTCGCTTGATGTTGAGATGCGAGGGTTGGCTCTCAAGATTTCCATGGCTCTGAAGTTTGCCCCAGCCTTGATGGTGACACAAAACGAGTTTCAAAGGGCAGCTCACATTCTCTCGCATTCTGCCCACTGCTCACGATCTCCTGACCTTCTGACGTCAAGTGATCAAGGAAGGACCTAAAAAAATAGCGCGCATATATACAAGGACATTACTGTGTTTGACGTCAAGTACGTATCGTTAACCGGTCATCAGTAGTTCATCAGTGGAAACTGGCGTTGAAATGAGACGCCCGGGTCCATATGGAGGCGCGCGCGGCAATTCCCGGACGCGTGTAGACATAACCACGTGACCGGTACTCCGCGCGTACACCTCTTTTCCTTCGACGTTCATTGAGTAGTGGCCTGCTCCAGCTCCATTCCGAGGTACTTGGAACACACAAGGCGCCAGACCCTCATTCTATTGGTCTGTAGAGTTTCTATAGACAGAGTTCTTCTGCCGCTGAGAACGGATCTTCTCCCTACCAATCGGACGGGTGAAGGAAAACCGTAGTCAGACCAGACGCGTCCATACTTCGAGTCGGACTACGCGCTACATTCAAATACTTATGACTGCCAATGCCATGTCTTCTCCAGCTCAGCTGAATGCGATGGACTCAAACCCCGCAGCCGAGCCTACGGCCGCCTCTCTCGAGTCGACCATCCAAGGTCACATTCAAGCGCTGACAGCCCTTCATACACGCATACAGTCCCTACGCCAGGTCCCAAACCTTCTACTTCGACCACCCCATACTAGCAGTCCATCAGACTTCTCCAGCTCATTCGACGTCCCCCTAGACGGGCAAACAATCACCCATAATTCAGCTGCCAAAGACTTCCGAAATCTCAGGGACATCACAGACATGCTGCGCTCAGAACCGATGCAGGATGCGCTCCGCACCGCTGCTAAAAGCGAAGAGGGTGACAGAAGCGACATGGCTTTCTCGATACGTCGCCGCCAGAATAAGTTTGTCCTTTTGTTCTCGTTTTGCCCTCCAGACGCGGCTTACATTCATGTTAACCTCGGTTACTTTGATAGTCGACCGCCGTCACCCATCGGATCTCCACAGCCTTACGTTCCCCCTCCTCCGAGGCCCTCTATGATGTTTTTGTCCGGAGAGGATGAGCGCCAGCCACTATGCGCCGACGGCCTTGTGGAGTACATCAAGGAGTTCAATCGGGCAAACTCCGCTCAACCGGTCAGCGCCGACAGTGAGAACTTTACCCCGAAATGCAGGTTGCATATATGGAAGCGGTCCAGGTCGACGCCACCAGTCGACTCGGAGGACGAGGTGGCTGCTTTAGCGTCGGCAACAAAACTTGCGAGTCCGCTTATCCTTCGCTTCACCATCCTCGATGTGATGACGGTATACATGCCGCTCACGTTCTCGGACCTCACAGAACCATTGTCGATCGAGAGTGTTACTGCATTTGGTCCTCGGGAGAAGGTTCCCTACGCTTTCTCGCCTTCTACCGTTCAATCTGTCTCACCTTGTCCTCGCAGAAGCTTCCCCATATGCAGTCGGACTATCTGGCGTACCAAGTGCTTTCCCAACATGTGGCCAAGATCCTTGAAGCTCATCCACAAACATCAGTGCAGAAAGTCATCGTGAGGCATTGCTATGTGTCATGGTGATCGGCGGTCGGGGCTCAAATATCGATCTGTGATTTTTCAGGACCTCTTGGCGGCGTGCAAAGGCCTATTCACAGACCGCTGCACACGCTGTCAGCGCATCTTGTCGGAGGAGGACCACGTACCACCCGTGGCGCGATTTTGGAGGAGTGGGGCCTCGGCCACTCTCACAGACGCTTCTCAGGCTAGCGCGAACGCTTCTGTCATACAACCGTCGGACGCCGATGCAGCGCACCGGGGCGCTGTGACGGATCATAGCTTCTGGGAGCCGCGTCACGTTACCTGTCTGTATAGCTAAGTACTGCCCGGAGTTTTTCAGCATTGGCTGCCGAGCGGGCGGTCCTTTCATTATGAAACTCGACCCAAGACTAATCGAGCGTGTAATGCAGAAGAGTTCCATTGGAACTAGCACTGCAAGGTTATGCCCTGGTGGCGGAGCGGGTATCACTGTCCCCTCGGCTAAAGGTAAAGGTAAAATTTCATTATAGTTCTGCGCAATGCGGAGATGTTGTTGTGCTCAACCTGTGGGGAATCTGAGGGCTGGTATGCATGGTCTGGTCCATCTCTTTGGCAGTCCCGCAGGACGCTCTTGAGGATGGCATGATAAATGCGATGGCGTACGTGCACAGGATGTCAAGATCACGAAAATTGTCAGGCCACCGCCCATAGCAGATACCAGGGTGGCGATCAACCGTTCAGAAGCTTGCGTTACGAGCGGGTTTCCCGGGACCCATTTGCTCCAAAGGCTGCAGGCACGCACCCTGGCACACCAAGCTATTGTTCGCATTTACGGGCTACAAAGATAGCTCGGCATGTCACTGGCAATTGCTGGCAAAATTCGGGCTTAGGTAAGTGGTCGGGGACGCAGACGAATTAATCGAGTTTGTGAGTGCGTGTGAAATGTCATCCTTTCGCCGATAGTTTCGCCCCAGTGAAGAAAGGATTGACAGGCCCACCCAATGCTGTTTGACCTGCCATGTTGGGCGAATTTCCAACGAGGCACATGTCAGCCTGTCAAAGCGTTAGCGCGGTGATCTTGTAAAGCCAAATAAGGCATACAGTGGCACGAGGTTATCGAGCCGTTTTATGCATTCTCATCGGGCAGGTTTCATCTCTCGGTCGGGCAGTCGTCGACTTCCTTCTTCCATTGACCTATCTGGCGGCATTTAACTGAGTCTAGTCGCTCCCGACGACTACTCGAGAAGCCATTACTCTTTCTAGCACCGCTTCTTCGAGAAAATCCGTCAGCAGCCCTGGATCGTTTAAAAGGCCAAGTAGCTCTCCTCCTGACAGCACTCGGAGATCGCTTCACAGTCTGCGAACACCAGCCGCACGTCCCGTGATTCGACTCCATTCCCCTTCATTCTCCTATGTAAGTTGCTCTTGTCAATCCTCTTGTCGTCGTCAGCCGACCCCGATTTTAGTTTCGACCACTCAGCCACCCGCTGTCAGCCGCCTCCCGGATCCTTAACTTGCGCTCAGCTTCGTCCTCGAGGTCCTACGTTCCTTCTTCCTCTCACCTGTGCTCTCCCTGCCCCAATCCGACCTTCGTCCTTTGATATCTTCACCCCCACTCCATCCCATCGTCGGCACTCCTCAGACACCCCTATCTACCCCGCATCTCGTCTAAAATGCCCGTGAAGTCCTACTCTCACCCTTACCGCCAGTCGGATGGTGCCTACTGGCCCGCTAGCCCACCTTGCCGCTACGATGCTCTTTCCATCACCCCACTCGCCCAGATCTCCGCTCATCAAATGCTCAAGGTGTTGTCCTACACACCCGACGAAGGTACCACCGGAACCACCTTATCCGTCATCTTCGAGTATACCATCAACCGCGACGACGCTATACATATCCGCCTCGTCCTCCAGAACACCGCTGTCCAGACGAGCGTTCTCGAGATCAAGGAGCTTGGGAGGTGGAAAGCCGAGTGCAAGATCCCCGCTCTCCGCTTGAGCAATGGTCAACAGGTCCCTATCACGCTGCAGGCGCTCACCGCCGACGAGATTATTCTAGACTCTGTGCACTTCGGCCAGCTATCCTACTATGAGACGGGTAAGTCATAGCCGAATACGAATTAATTTTCACCGCTGACCACCGATTGAATCCATCTCAGATGTTGACTTGCGTCGGCGCCACAGCAGACGTATCCAAGGGGGCCGCGAACGTCCATCTTGCTACCGCCGCTCGTCATCTGGCAGCACTGGCGGATCTCTTTTCACCGCACCGTCCTTGAGTCTTCTGGGCCATTCCAAGGCTCCGCCCTTGAGGCGTATGAAGCAGGACACAGACCAGTGCGAGAGGACCGATAACGTCGCTCTCCAGTTCATCACTCCCCTTTCCGACTTGTCGAGTAACATCACGCAAGCGGAGCACCTTGCTGGCAGACGCCTCGTGCGCTTCCACAAGCAATACGACAGGAATAGGATCGTGGTCTTTGCGGAGGCGATCCGTCAGGAGCAGTATGATGAGCAGGACATCGTGGTATCCTGCATCATCCGTCCAGACACTCGAGACTGCGTCATCACTTCGGTGGATATTATACACCTTCTCCAACGTCTAGTCGACGACACCTTTGAGGTGGACGAGAAGAACCGTATCCGCCGCAACCTGGAGGGTCTCAACCCGCTCACGGTGACCAAGACGAAGCCCAGCCTTCAAACATTCTTCCAGCGCATCATGGATTTCAACGATCCGAGACCGCGCAAGATAGAGAAGGATCTCAAGGTCTTCGATTGGAAGAAGTTGGAGGCGGGGCTGGCCAAGATTATGGCTAAATATGTATGTTTTCTTCTGCAACCTATGTATAACGTCTCTGACGGTGGGCTGAACGGTAGTCGTTTGATCGTCACACCAACCTCATGGGCCTGGAGAGACGGCATGCGCACGACGAATCCCCATCGCCCAGCTCAGGCTCCAGCACGGAGGTCACCCCTCCTTTCCCCCAGAGCACGCTGCCTTCCGGCCACTGTTCAGTTCATCCGGAGCTGTCGCTCTCTACCCTCTCTCTCTCGCCGTCCGCAACCGAGAACTCGCCTTACTCTCCCCATAGCGAATTCGGCTCGGATTACGTCGGCTCCGAACTCCTCCAAGCCGAGACGGGCTACTATGTCCCGAATCCGGCAGCTCCCTCGGTATACAGCATGTCGTACGAGTCAAACCCGGTGACCGGAGGCTCGGGCTCGATTGACTCACCTTTGCCCGAGGATTGGTGCTCGAGTATCATCAGTCTGCCTGATCATTCCTATGGCTCGGGGCCAGCGTACGACTACCACCACCACTCGGACTCGCAGACCTCCCTCGACGCCTACAGCGCCGCCTACCCCCTGAGCACCTACGACTCTTTCGAACTCAGTCCTGGACTTGTCGAAGTCGCCTGAGCCACCGTTCCTCCTCCGATTACCCCTTCGTTCAGTTTTCATCATTTCATTGGCCATCCCGCGCGCATTGTGTATCTATCTCAGTCTTCCCAATTTTCTCCGTTGCATCTGTATGTACCCGACGAACACTCGTATGTAGGACCACCCCTCGCCGTCAGCGCTGCCCTTATCCATCATCTATGCCCATACATTTGTTCTTCTCTATGTGGCCCACTATGTATCCTCTTCGCGATTTCATGTATTGTACCCCTATTAGACATTGTCCAATCGCATCAGGACTTTTGCAGAGCATTGGACTTGCATATCCCACACCATCACCAATTGGCGGCACAGCAACAATAAGCACTCGGGTATCCGTTAAGGGATATATGACATGACGGCAGAAACAAGTACACTACTACCTCCCTAGATCATATTCGAAGCAATTTGATAAACTATACTATAATAAACACATAATAAGGCACAGATCAACATAAACAAGGCAGTGGCTATCATCCCCGGCGCTGGAAGCTCAAGCTCCCGAATCTCGAGATCCTCCCCTTGAACGAACTACTGCTACCGGTCACCGACGGCGTTGCGTTACCCGGCGTACCGTTCCCCACAGTGATCATCGAGTCGCGCGGGGAGCCTGGGGAGCCGTTTTCTTCCGGCTCAGGCATGCCCGTAGAGACGGCGTTCAGACCGTGCCGGGCGAGGTGTGTGAGACTTCTCTGAAGAGGCGTTTGCTTGTTCTGAGCATTGGCAGACGAGACGACGGACGCTGGCGACAGCGGTGGTTGATGCGAGTGGTGGGGACTTAGCTGGCCGACGTTCAACGGAACGCGTGACCCAGTATGCTGCGATGATATTGACAGAGCACGCTGGTGATTGAAGATGGAAGCCTGCTCGTGACCAATTGTGGATGTCGCGAAGTGCAAAGGAAGCTCTGTAGTGTTTGACTCGTCTAGACGCAATCGTCTGATCTCCTCTGCGTAGTTCTTCCGGAAGAATTTGTCGAGCGTATCGTGGAAAGGCTGCATCTCAGGAGGACATAACTGACCATGGAGTTTCAAGCAACTTGAGATGACCTGGGCCTGGGGAACGTATTTAGCAACCGGAATTGTAATATGAGGCGCCGAGCTTACCTGGTCATCAATCGCTGTTTTTAGTTTGCCCACGAACTCAGCCCGGCTCGGGAACTTGTCAACATAGTTCGAGTCCAAGAACATCTCGCGGTACGCCACGACCCCACTGTCGGGTGGGGTATCAACCGTGTTGTTGAGACACATTGACAGAGCATTGGTGGAAATCACTTGAGCAGTCTTCGCATGGGCCGAGTATTTGAGATGGAAAGCAGCCAGTTCTCGGGTCTTCGTCTCAATATCATTGAGGGCGACCTCGACAGGCGAGGTCTCGACGAGCGAAATCTCGGTGATATCGGATCTCCTGAGGACAGTCGGGAAAGCTTGCTCAGTAGTGAACATCGTCTTCTCCACCCAGATCTCCTCTGCACCGTCGATGCCAGGCTTGACGATCTCCCGTGAGCAGCTGAACGTGTTGATAGCACTGTGCGCATGGTTAGTCAGTCATGCGAACTTACGAAAACCACAAAAAAGGGGGACAAACCTATGTTCATAATAATTGCGAATCGCGAGAGGCACATCGGGACTCGTGAAAATGGGCAATGTTCTGTCCGGCTCCGGAACCACTGCTGTGCATTGTAAGTACTGATCGTGACCGAACCTAATGTCCGGAGGGGGGTCGCCGATGGTCTTGAGCAGCTGGGCGCCAGGATGCTTTCCAAGCATGCGCTCACAAAAGGCCCCGAATTTCTCCCACTCATAGCCACGATACTGCAAAGTTTAAACGTCAACGTGGCACGTGGCTGGATATGAATATATGAAGCCCCTATACCACTTACAATAAATTGCTTGTTCCGAAGGGCATCAGGGAATTCGCCATAAAACGCAACTCGGAAGTAGTCCGAATAGTAGCGCTGGTCGGTGATAATATGCTCCAGCAGTGCTGCTTGATGTCGCAAAATCTCTGCAAGACGAGCGCTTGAAAGGCGGTCAGACTAGAAAAATGCCGCGATGACGTTTGGCAGAACTGACTAGTTGAATGTGACCTCGGCGTGCTGTTGGGCCAGTTCCTTGCATATTTCAATGGCAGTTTCGTATGCTTTTCCTTTTCCTGTCACCGAGAAGTTAGGATGATGATCAATCCTCGGGCAATGACTCCATACCAAGGTAGTCCAAAATAAGGAGGCAGAGCGTTTCCTTTCGGTGGAAGTGGGATTGCTGTGGCAACCCTAAATCCTCCATCGGACCAACAAACGTATGAAGATCCCATTCGTGCAGATCAGAGTGGAGTTTGAGGGTAAGCGCGGCTTCGACATAGTTCTGGGCCTGGAGATGGGTCTGAAAAAACTTTAGCAAATATTACACGGCGGCAATGACAAGAGCTAGCCTTACGTTTACGAGCTGGTGAACATATTTGATATACATCTCCTCGCGACCTATTTCACGGACAAAGTTCATTAAGCGCAGCTGTAAATACAGTATGCGTTAGTGCTTGCCCAACAGATAAGATACTGCTTACAGTAGCAATGACGCGATCATCAAAGAATTCTTCGCCTTCAGGTAGTCTCCTGACGCTAAGCAGAAGCTTGAGGAACGCGTCCACTGAGCCCAAGAAATTCGCTACGTGATCACGTAAACTCTCATCAACCTCCTCCGACTCAAAGAGATGACGCAAATGGGCGATGAAGAATGAGCGCGAAATGTCGTCTCCCTTGGAATGTGACATGAACAGCGAGTCGAGCTTCTTGACTAGCTCCGTCTCAATATCATTGAAGTGGCCAAATTGCTGGTAGTCCGCGATGATCATGCCGTACAGCATGCCCACGCCGTTATTACGCAGAGACTCGTGATGACTGAAGCAGAGGTTGACAACTTGGCCAATAAGTGAGCTTAGGACGGCTTGATACGCCCCGGGAGGTATGCCCGCCTCTTCTTCTGGCTGACTTTCTGGCCATGCCAGTGCCTCCCACAAACGGAGCAGGATATCGGCACCTTCTCCCCGAATATCTCCACCCAGCCGCCATACGGCTCTGCGTTTCTGAATATGACAAGGAGCAATGTTATTTTTTGTTGTTGAAATTATTCACGGGTAGAATTGCTCACCTGCGGACTGAAATCCTCTATCACCAGCTGATCCGACGAAAGCAGCTTAAAGAGCATATAGAATGCATCCCTCCACAAGTCCTCCTTGAACGAGTCCTCGCTATACGGAGCAGGGATAAACGTTTCCTTGAGAATCGCTGCGACGGGGTCCATCATCTTGATGAAAACTTTGTGCATGAGGACGCTGATGTTCAGCCAGCTCGACGGGAACGCCTCGTTGTTGAGGATGGAGGTTGCGACCTTGAAGAACTGCGAGAGGAAGTTGGCAAAGTTATCTTTACGCTGAATTTGGAAGTATTCCTCGAGGAAATTGTGCAAGTGCTTCGCAGGCGCCGAGAGCACGAGCGACATAAAGACGACGGCACTCTCGCCGAGACCAGGGTTGAATATTGAATTTTCTTCTGCGGTGAGGGAGATGCTAATTGCGTTGCGAGGAGCATTGGGAAGCAGAGCCATGAGCGAGAAGGGATAGGATTCGGGAAAGGTAACAGGGATCGATGCAATAGTAGTAGTAGCCTCTCTTGTGCGTTCGACAGCGCGGTGGTTGGCAGGATCTTGGAATTCGCGGTAAGACTGAAGTAATCTGCAATAAAGTAGCATAACAACAGAATAAAATATCATAAGCACCCGTAGGTTCAGTACATTAAAAGAAGAAATGTGATTTACTAACCTTGGAACGAGCATAAGCATGAACTCCACATTCTGCTGTTCTTGCTGATACAAAACCCGGTCCGCAAGTACGGAAGACGAAACAAGCTGCTGCTGAAGCTTGTCCAGCATCACTGCCATGATGGTGACACAAAGCCGGATGCTCTCAAGCCAATGGACGCGCGCCTGGTCGCGCACGCTCTCCGAGTCATTCACTGCTGTCTGCGTGTACTCATCAAACCGCCCAAAATGCGGCTGTATCCACAGTGCAACATCTTGTACGAGCGTGGCGCGGCTCTGCGGATTATCGAACAAGAACCCCTTCACCATCTGGAGATACAGAATCAACTTCCAGATGACGATTTTTCCCTTGGTCGCGGAGACGGCAGACGCAAAATTGCTTGCGAACTGAACGAGCTCGATCGTGTTGAACATCTTGGCGAGCTCCGGCAATATGGAAGCGAAGTTCTGCAACGCGATCGTTTGTGTGCCGATGATCGACAGCGGCGTCGACGTCGTCATCATCCGGTTCACCTCCGACAGGTGCGATCGGATCTCCTTCTTGAATGCCTGCTCGAGGTGCTCCGCCGCGGCGCCGCTGCCGAGTTCGAGCTCGAGGTCTTTTTGCAGCTTGCGCGAGCGCGTGATAAACTTGAAGATGTAGTGCCAGACCTTGAGCGCCGAGCGCAGCGGTTGGGCCGTCTCGGTGCCCGTGGGGTTGCGGAGAAGACGGTCCATGCAGCGGATGATATGGGAGGCCGCGGTGGGGCAGTTGAAGTGCTTCTCAATATATACGTCAAGCACGGGCTGGAAGTTGCTGAACCGACGGTCCTGGACGATGCCGAGCACAGTGACAAGGGCGTTGAAGATAAGACCGTCCATCTCGCCGTCATGGTTGTACTGCGAGGTAAGAATGCCGAATAGCGAGTCGAAAATGTCGGACAGGAACTTGACGATCTCGCCCTCGCCGACGAAGGTAAACTTGTTCAACACTGCTGCAAGCACCTCTGTATCCGTCACCCGCTCCCACCGGAAGAGTGTCATCAGAACAGGGTTCTGCGTAAATTTCGTGGAGCAGAGCGACGACCGCAAGGTGACCGTGTCACGCATGGGCATCGCGTACCGCGAGAACTCGGGAGGGATAGCGAGCTGTTCTATCCGCTGTCCTGGCAGAAGCCATGGCGTCGCGCTGAGATAAACCTCCGCCGGTGTGATCATCGACCGCTCTCCGCGATACAGCACAAGCGTGTAACTCCCGTCCTCCAAAAGCGCGCTTTGGGTGGACGACAGCGGCAAAAATGCAAACGCAAATGGTTTATCTGGATCGGCACCTCCTCGACCGACGCGCTCCCGGCCAGAGCGATTCCGGAACGTGAAGTGCAAGTGCCAGTTTGTCTCCTGGTGCAGCGGCAGATTGAGTTTGATGAGCTCGCCAAATGTCGGCTGGCTGTTCCCGCGGAAGACCATCGAATGGAACTGTGTGACACTCGGCTCGCTGGCGCCCATGGAGATGGCATTCTCGATCGTGTGTCCATTCGAGTCGCGGACTTCGATGCTGACCTGGACATTTTGTGCTTGCTGACCTCGGCCCGGGAAATTGGCGATACTGAGACGTGAGCCACCGCCACCACCGTGACTCGAAAAGTCACCACTCCAAAGCTTGATGTAGAGCTCGTTGCGCACATCGCCCGGGAAAACAACGTCAGGGAAGCCCAAGCGCTGGGTGACAGGAATATTGTGCAGCAAGGACATGTTCTCGCGAATGATGGTAGGTGAGTCCCCATGGAAAACCTTGAGCGACACCGCGAGCATTTCTGCCCTGAAGAAAACAAAATTAACAATATATCTTGGAAGATAAACCCGAACTTACCGAGAGGATTTTTCATACTCCTTGACATTGTTGGCAATAATATCTTGATGAAGCATTGAGAATAGTGCCTCATTCGTCGGCACGTAAATGGGCATTGCATATTCGCGCGTCGGCGTCACATCCACTCCCTCCGCCATCATCTTTGTCAGCTGCGTGAGCTCCAGCACTGCACATCCAAATGGTCTCCGGAACGCCTGAGATTGATCGCTATACGCGCCCGCCCCCCTTGGCGGCGTTGGCGGGACCTGCATACCCGGCTCCTCCGCGATGGAAAACTCCGAAGGCCGGCGGCTCCCCATGTCGCTAGGTGCGCCCGAGCCCATGTTACGTCCCATATTGAGTGCACCACTCCGTACGATCTTGCAAACAAGGTACAATGGGTCCTGCGCGTCGCTCTGTGCAATGTCTGCAAACAAGGACCGGATGCGGGCGTTTGGGTCGCGTGCGAGCACACCGTTGTGGTTCAGTATGATGCAGCACTCCTCGGTGACAAAGCGCGCCTCGGTATGCTTGTAGATGGAGAAGAAGAGCTCCGCGGTTTCACCGGGTGCACATAGCGACGCGACAAACGCGCGGAGATCGAGGAAAATGTGGTAAAATTTGATTGCGGTTGGCTTGTCCTGCTGGTACGGGTTAAGCGTGCTCACGAGGCGCGAGGTGATCCTGCTGCGCGTCATGTCGGGGAAGGCGGGGTGAGCGGGGGTTGGGACGGGGTGGGAAGAGTGGTCGATAGACTGGCCAATGGTCTGCCGCGAGGTGTTAGCCACGTTGTCCGGTTGGACGTCCATGTATGCGAGCGAAACTTGCATCGAGTACATCCGGGGCGCGCTGACCCAACTCCGTGGGTCAATCTCGCCTTCAACGTCGACGGTGACGAGCGCGCCCCAGGTTGGGTGACGAACGATTATGTCGAGTCCCTGAATGACATTCCCTGAGACGAGACGACCGACACAGTCGCGTCGCAGGCTAACGGTCTCGTCTGCACTGAGTGTTTGCGCGAGGAGCTGGCGGCGACCAAGATGTAGCGCTTCAATATGCCCGCGCACCGTCTGAAAGAGCTTGTAGTCGCGCCTTGCAAGATACTGGAACATCAAGCTATGCCATTCGCGCAGCGCAGACGCGATCTCGTCGACAATTGGTTGTGTGGAACCTGAAACAGTTTCATCTCCGGACTTGAGAGAAGGGCGGGGTGGCAGTGGTTTGAGCGCTTGGGAGTCAGGGGATGGGGAACGGATGCTGGCTGGGTACACGGGGACGCCGCCACGAGAGGACTTGGCTTGGTCGGGTGGAGGACCTAGTCGGAACGACTTGCGCTCGTCTTCAAGCCCACCGTCACGCACATGAGGTGGTTCAGGGCCAGAATTAGCGCGATCTCGCTTCCACTGGGCAAGGGCATCTGCGCCATTGGCACTGCCTAGGGGGGTCGCGTTCATGTTGGTAACGAGGTCGGGGAGCCGGCCCTCGGCATCAGCGAGCTCATCGCGCACGAAGATATGGGATGCGGGGAAGATGCCCAGGAAGACTTGCTGTGCATCTTCAGTCTTGAGGGGCTTCGCGACGGCTGCAACTGACGGATCTGAGGAGGACGAGGGCCAAGTGACAGGAGGTCGCCGGTTCGTGCAGACAACGTAGCTGCACGGGGGGTAAACCTGATCCTGTCGTTGAACGAAACTGAGTCGAGACGCACCCTCTGTACCAGACACCTTCTACCTCCTTCCCGCGTGGCGTGTACTTCTCGAACACATAAACTTCATCACCAACCTCCAACGATACCACTTCGCGGTGTATTGCAGTTTCATCCGTAGAGTTCTCTGTTACGGTCGAGAGTGGGCGACTGCGGCTGGAGATACGCGTGTCGCGCTTTGAGGTGGAGAGAGGGTGGACCGCGTAGCCATAGACGATGAGGGGTAAGGGCTCCCAGACACCCTTTCGGCCTGTGGTGGAGGCCATCTACTGGGGTTGGGTTAGGAGGCTATTAGACGAGCAAGGGCAGATATGTTGTCGAGGGTATAATGTTAATACAGGAATTAGCACACTGGGTGTGTTTTGAGGGCAAGATAAACTTGCAGACTCGGAAGACGGAATAAGGGGCAAACGGAGCAACTTTCTGAGAGTCGCAACACAGAAATTTGGCTGTCCCCGGGCCTGTCAAACGTGTCAAACCACTCAGAAACTCGTCGACGATCAACATTTGATGATCTTTTTGGTCGACGGCCGGTCTATTCACTCATCCTCATGTCCTTGCCAATTGATAGCTACCCTCAGAGCTGAGAGCACAACATCTATCAGCATCGTGTCCATTATCCGCTTAGCACTTGCAGGGTTGTCTTTTACCCCCTGAACAAACCTGAGGTAATAACGGGGCGTAAGTGCGAAGCGACAGACATCTGAGTCGTATAGGTTGACAATTAGCGGTATTGAGACCCATAAAAAACTCAAACGGTTGATGTTCCTGTCTGTCCCTGCCAATAAGTCATCGGAATCAAACGGTTCATCATTGATCTCTCCCATTTTGTACCTCGACTATCGTTCATGTATACGTACAGTGATCAAGAACATATGCGCTAAGGAGGTCAACCTACGCTCCCTTAGCGAACGCACACAGGACTGTTGTTTTCCTCGGCGGTCGTAATTAACCGGTTAAACCAACGATATGCCGACCGACTAACACAAGCGTTTCGACTGGATGGCGATGACGATGCCACCTGTTTATCGGTCTATATGCACTCACAATGAAGGGGACACATCCCAAGTTCCGGGCTAGCGCCCCACGAGCCAATATCTGGTATGGAGGCGCCAGTGCCAACTGCGGCAGTGCAAAGTTGTCCGGGTTCACGTCCGACGGGCGCTGACAGACACAGACGGAATCATAGCGAACTTTATTCGAAGGCAAACGTTCCTTACCGGTCATTTATGCTGACGTTGATCGACATCTGCATCGCCCACATTGCCTTCGGGCCAAGTCGATAACAAGGATGAGTCCGGCATGAAGGATTACTCACCCAACATCATTTTGCCAGGAGGTACATCCAAGGGTAGTTTCCACGAAGAATTGAAGCACTGAACATACGAGCCGTCCTGGGCTCCGAATCCCAGAGGACGACCAAACAAAAGAATATCGGATAGGATATCTTGCGGTCATCGGCATACCCCAGAACTTCGGATCGTCTGGCAATATGAAATGTTGACAGAAGTTGACACGTCGATCGGTCCTAACCTGTCCCATAACGCTTGGAATGGAAAAGCCTACTTGTAGACACACAGTACAACCCGGCCCCATGTCGCCGAAAGGGCTAACCAAGCCAGCTGCCATGCTCGCATAGCGATCTGGAAAATGCGGTCAGAAAAGACGTCCAGATAAGCGATAAATACTAGTTAGGAGATCAGAAGGGGTGCCCGAGAAATTGAGCTGTGGCGGGCATTTTCGGCAGTGATGATACGAAGACCGTCGTGATAAAGCATCATGTAAAAACACAAGGATGTTATGTACTCACATGAACTCTCCAATGGTCATACATGGCCATTGACCTTACCTAAGTTTTTTTATTCCGGATGAACGATGTTGCAACGAGTTGGCATTGTCCAGTCGAGGCGATCATGAGGGTTTTGAGCAAAAAGCAAGACTGACCGTGTGAACAACTGGCAGACATCTTTGCCGCGCATACCCTTCAGGGGCTTTTCCTCTCTTTTCCTAGTCGTTCATCGAACTCTCGCTTTCACTAGAATTCAACATTTACTAAAACTTTCAATTAGAGAAACTCGTGCTCGACATACTCATCTACATACCAACGAGAGAATCAAGAAAATTACCCAAGCCAACTCGCGATCCTCCTTAATGTCTCGCTCCTTTCAGGCTCGAACCACTCGTAGCCTGGATACACGTGGATACCCTCTGGCGCCTCGTAATACCTTACTGTCCCGGGACTATCTCCCTCGCCCATGTCCGCAACCATCCGATCCCCCAGCTTCCTAATCTGATCCAGAAATATCTCTGCTCCACCAGCGTTGATGAACGTCTTCGGGAACCCAACGAACGAAGGAAAGGACGCGAGAGAGCCGGGAGAGATGTAAGGGTTCAGCTCGGCGAAGTCCTTGCCGAACGGTCCTAGAAATGCCTTTTTGGCATAGTCGAGACGTCCCGGAATAGCGCCCAGCGAGTCACAGTGCTTGCGCGTCTCCATCGACGTATTGGGACCGTCGTGTGAGTCGCCGAGGTCTGTCCACGGAGACATGAGGATGAGGGCTGAAGGAGGCGGGGGGACATTGCCTGCGCCTCGGTGCGCTTCTGCTCGACGAGATAGCGGGTGAGAGCGAGGGCGAGATTTCCTCCGGCTGAATCACCGAGGAAAACGATGTCAGACGGTCGTGCGGCGACGGTCTGAAGGAGGTAGTTGCATCCAGCGAGAGCGTCCATCTACGCTGTTGGGAAATGGTTGGTTGGAGGATGGGGCGATGTGGTTGATAGCCTGTACTCGATGGCGAACGCACGTCTGAAGGGCTCGTAGCTCTCTAAGAATCCCTTGGACAAGGGTGCGATAGGACTATCCGGGTGCGCTGAGAGCGCAACATAGCACCCACCGTGCATGCGGTACAAGATCTTCTCGTTGGGCTGCAGCGCTTCGCCGATGGATATATCTAAACCAGACTGGTCCATCCAATATACTGGAATGCGCACAGGCTGCACCTTAGCGTTTTCTGCCCATTGTGCAATGTTGCCGTGGATCTGATCCGGCACGGGGTCAACCCAGACCGCTTTGACTGTGGGCCCTGACTTGCGCTCTTCTTTGAGGTTCAAGAAGGTATGCTGAGCAGGATTTCCAGGGGGCGGCCCAACCCTACCAGAAACGTATTTGGTGCTTGCTGCTATGAAGACAATATATATGCTCACTTATCCTGGACGATCCATGCACGCCGAAGCATCAAGAACTTAAAGGAGCGCTCCCAGCTCCATGCTGGGCGAGGACGCCAGAACGAGATCAACGAATGGATGAGCCATATAGGTGTTCTAATAAGCCGTGTGCTTAGCGCATCGTAGAGTAGGTAGAGTCTGCGAAGTGGCTGGTGCCGCAGTTCGTGCATCGGGCACGGAGACCAAGCAGGGATAACAGAAGGTACAAAGGTGACCCCGAGGCCTGAGTACGTTTGAAGCTATCCATGGCCCACTGTGGGAGGCCTAGTCATTGCCTAGTCGCACGAGGATAAGATTATCATTTAAAGAGCTTGAGATCATATATATAGTCTCCGAGTTCGTCCCGAATATGATCAGGTAGGAGAGTGAGAAGGAAAGGGCTATCCAAGCTCTTTGTTGTCGTCATGACAAGAACTTGGAGGACTCTGACACGCATGAAATCGTTGCACCCAGCGGTGAAAAGCGCGAATTCCTGCTTGGGTCGGCGGTTGACGTTGAGGGTATGCCCTCACGTACCTACTAACTTTTCCTTCCTTCAAGTTGTGGCATAGACACGCGGTTAGATCGATGGCCACTTACCTGATCTTATCAAGTGTTTCGAAGCGCCTATGAGGCCGGTGATGTTCACCTGGAGCTCTAAGAGGCAAGTGGTAAGTTTGTAAGCGCCGTCTGGAGTGCGTGAAGCTTCACATGCCTGTACTGGTTTTGAGCAGGAGCAGAGAGACGGGTGTTTCTCCAAGCGTTATGCTACCACGGCCGAGGAGACCTCCCATGGCTCTGTCGGACGCCAGAGAGATGCCTTATCTCGAGGAGAGGGCATCGATTATCAGGTGGCCTACGCTGCATGTTCGTCCGCGGTCAGGACGACTGAGAGAGCATGCTATCGAACGTTTTTGGGATAGGTGTTCAGATAACCGGAGTTGAAGTTGTTTCAAGGTTGGTTTCCCAACGAGGACTTAAGAAGAGCTGGAGTGCTTTGATGATGATTATTGTGAAAGTCCAAACTCAAAGATGGTGTGTATGTCAGTGCTAAGGCCCGAAGTAATTCATACGTGAGCGTCGTGTTGTTGACGGGTTTCGGGTACGACTGTCTTCTGATATAGGGTCTGCCTAGGGGAGACTAGGTTTCGGGACGGGACGAGGAGACGGCGGGGTGGGATTTCTTAATATAGGCGTAAAACGCCGGGGAAGGATATTTGCCGGTACAGCCACCGAATAGTGATCGCATCGAACGTTGTTTCCTCACCACCAAGAGCTTATTTATGCTCCCACTATAGAATTGCTACCTCCCTACTGCTTACTCCTCGTTCCCGGGCCCTCCACAATCTCTCCCCAATGTCGACCTCGATAAAATTAGACTCTCCAGAACACTTCCGCGCTCGCAGGCGCCGCCGGGGATTTTCAACTAACGATGCTGCCCGCACGAATGTGTCCTCCCTGTGCCAGCGGTTACCCCACTCTCTCGAGGCACTCGACCTTTCATCTGCATCTGCCAAAGAAACCCTCGCAACCCTGCGATTGCTCATCCTTTCATATCTCGCTGACGTTGAAGCACGCCTAAAGAGCATTGAACCACCAACGCCAGGAGGCCTGAGCGAGTCGCTCAAGGCAAAGGGCGAGCTGAAGGCAGAGGAGGCCCGCGTCTGGGTGAACGATACCCTCGAGATGCTGCACAGCATCCGCTCAGACGTCCACTCCCATCTCCCCGAGCTCCATTTCTCCGACCTCTCTGTTGAATCTCTCAAGGCTCATCTACCCGACGTCCGCTCCCACTTCCCCGCCATGACCTTCTCCGACATTTTCGCCCTCCTCGAGGATGCCCGCCACCGCTTCTCCGACCTCGACATTTCAACATTCAAATCCCCCACCTCCTATCTCCCCACACTCTCTGACCGCCTTCACTCGCTGCAGTCGCACCTGCGCTCGGTCGATTTGAAATCTGGCGAGCTCTCAATAAACACCGGCCACCGCATCTCAGAGATATTTGATGCCATCATGTCGTCGGAACTGGTTACTGAGCTTTCGGACGACGTCACCGAAGCAGAAGGCATGATTGAGCGTGCCGCAAGGGACGTCGGGCTGGCGGTGAAGCGCTCTCTTGAGGGCGCGAAGCTCATTACGTACATGGACCTCCCTCCACAATGGCGAAACAATCCTTTTGTCACCGGCGGCTATCGGTGCGGAGCGTTTATCCCGACAGCCGTTCCAGTTGTTCTGACGATCTCTCTAGCTTTATACCCATAGAAAGGTGGCCGCTGATCGTGCTTTCTCTGTTTGAAATACACAACGAAACTCGTAGGTTCACCCTAACGCTGATTCCTAACTGAATGCTGACTTTTGTTCAGTCAATATACATACTCACCTTGTCCCGCTATTACTCTGGGTCCTTAATGTCGTCCCTATATTCAATGCGACCTCAGTTCAAGATATTCCGGAAGTCGCATTCATCTCATTTGCCCTCCTGTGCCTATCCAGCAGTGTCCTCTGGCATACCATGGCTGGATGCGCGCATTTCCGTGGCATGGAGCTCTGCGCGCGCATCGACTACGTTGGCATCGGATGGTAATAATATTTATCTATTTATCTGATACGCACCCCAGCACATTGACGCTGCTTTATTCAGGCTTATCAGTGCATCGGTCGGCACGGTCGTGCACTACGGCTTCCAGTGCAACCCCGACGTCGGGCGCTTCTTCCTGCTCTGTTGTCTTGCCACAGGCGTCGCCGGAAACGTCTGCCCATTCTTCCAATGGTTCGACGATCCCGCGTACAAGGTGAGTTGGCATGCCATCAATTGCGCCTCGACGTGCCGCTGACCGCAGTCGCGCGCTCGCAATGTGCCTACGTGATGCATCACTGCGTACCTTCAGTCCTGGCGCATCCTTTTCTTCCTCTGCATGGGCTTCACCGCTATCGGACCGCTCGCGGCGCTTGCGTACCTGCACTCGTATCAGGAGGTCATGGCATTTGCTGGTACGTCCGCCCCTTTTAATTCCAGGATGACGACATCTCAACGCCTCCTTCATTCTCCTAGCGCCTGTCCGGCCATCAATTGTGTCATACCTCGTCGGTCTCGTGTTTTACGCATCGCATATCCCTGAGCGGTTTCTCTCGGCGCGCTACGCAAAGTGGCTCGACTGGTGCGGCGGCGGCTCGCACGCGATCTGGCATGCGTTTGTCGTTCTTGCGATCAGCCAGCACCGCGTTGCCATCGGCGCGATGCGCAGCGGTATCCAGTGTCCCGCATGAGCTCGGTGCGCTCATTGGTTATCACCACGAGTTTCTTCTAGAGGGCAGGTCCTGGTTCTTGCAGCATTTGATTTGGGCTGCTTTCATCATCTACATCGTACATACTGTTACTTATTTGCTCAATTTGGAGCTTCCATCTCACCGGGACATTCACTCATTACACGGTATCTCACATGGTTTTTGTTGTCGGCATTGCATGGGCACATTGTACATATCTGCATTGCCATCATCATCGTGGTTCATTGGCGCCCTCGATCACTTCTTCTCGTCGCATAGTTTTGCTGTCGTATTTATGATACAGATAAATTGGATGCAATCCTAGGGGTTGATTCTACAATTCAAAATGGGAAGACATGCTTTGGGTATGTGTGACAAACGCGAATTGGACATAGGTAACCAAGAGACAATAGGCTAAATGAGCTTCGCTTCGCGTTTGGCTTGTTGTACCTGGGCAAGACGGTGGTTCCGCAACGTTGTAGATGAACTTTGCGTCCCTTTCTTCGCGGTACCCGTTCCCCCTGGAGGTGCCACTGTTGACTGTGAAAGCGCGATACGTGTGTCGTCCGACGCAAAACCGGGGATACGTATGTTGTGATTCCGTTCTAAAAGCACCTGTCAGCGAACGTACTCCACGACATTCTGGCCGGGTCCTTACCAAGATGCAGTTGCAGGTCCTTGACCTCCAGCGTGTCCCCGCCCCGGTGCTTAGCTAATCGGCACCCAAAGTTCGTCACCGAGTCAATGAACTCGTCCGCGACTTGTAACAAAAGCTAATTGTTTCCCCCTTCGTTAGCGAATAATTTCATGAATTGGCAAGGGAGAAAAGGCGCTTACGTCCTCCACCTCAGGCTCGATCCGCACACCCGGGTCTATGCTCGAGACCAAGTCCTGTATCGACCGGCGCATGCTCTGCTCGCCCGGCGTGTTCTTCCGCCGCGTCCGGTTGTCGTCCACGCTCAGCATCGTCGTGTCGTCCGTGGGCCGCGCGATCTGCGCGGGCGTCCCCGACATGCGCCCGCTCGCGATGCCGCCCGAGAGCGTCGGCCGCCCCTGCTGCGCGGTCTGCCACTGCACGGGCCCCGGGTTGGTCGTGTTGAGCGTCTGGCTGATGGGGTAGCCGTCGCCCGTGCCGGATGTTAGGACAGGGGCGGGAGAGCCGGTCTTGAACGCGGCTGACTGGGGAGTTGCGGGTGCGGGTGTTGGGGCTGCTACTGGAATTGTAGCCGCTGGAGTCTATGTCAACTAGTTAGTGTTTATTCTAAGGCAACAAAGTCGGGTCATAGTTCGTGCCTTAGGGGTAGCCGCTGCAGCAGGTGAAGACGAGGATGCAACCGTGCTCGTCGATGCAACAGCGTTCCCAGCATTCGCTGAGTTCTTGTACTTTTCAGCATAGTCTTTCAGCTGCAAATTGCAATACTTAGATTCCGCGATCCGTATGACTGCCAGTTGTGATCAGGAGCGCACCTGCTGTATCTGCTGTGGGTTGAGCTTTCCCTGCTTGGCAAGCTCGCCAATGTGGTTCATGTTCGCTGCCAAGAGCTGCGCCATCCTTTCTCCGGTGAGGGGGTCGCCTGTCTGGAGCTTGAATGCGTTGTTGAGCGCGATGACGATGTTGTTAGCGGATCCCGGACCCGCGTTGGCAGATGCGTTTGCGGCGGCGGTGGTTGCAGCGGCGGCGACGCTGGCGGCAGTGGCGGCGCTGGATGCGTTCGGGCTGGCAACCGAGTTGGAGTTGGAGGAGTCAGCCATTGTTTAAACGGCGCTTCTTTGTCCCTGTGGGTGTCGCGGTCCTCGTGTTGGCCCAGACAAGGGATACCGGTCTCTCGTGGGAAAACTGCTCAGAACATGCAAAGTGCCGTTTTGCGCCCATTCGTCGACACCTGGCCTGTTTATCGTCAGGGTGACCATAGACCAGCATCATCGAGCTGTCTTATATGCCTATGCTTGGTCTAATAACGTCCAGCTCACATGGCTGTCTGTAAGCACCTCATATGTCTCGAAATAAACACAAGTTACGTCTTGAGTTACGTGAAGCTTTGATTGAGCTACTGCTCACTGATCATATTCCGCCGAGAAAATGCAATTCTACAACTGCCTGCTCCCAGTGTCTTCCGGCTTGCTTGCAAGCCACTATATGTACACGGTCGTCAAAGGTCGTCAAAAGACTGTCAAAAGTGTGCGCATTGCTTCCCGTCAGCGCGCCCGCCGCAATATTCGTCCGCAAGTCTCCGCACGTTCAGAAAGCGTTGCCCAGCTAGCCGAGCTGTCATGATCGCGTCCCGCCTGGTCCAGTCAAATTGCTGCTCCGACACCCGTCAGCCAGTATCAGTGTCATAAACTAGCTATAAACAGGAATAGACAATGATGCGGGTTGGGACGCCATCCCTTCTCGAACCCCGTCCTCGACCCACACCGCGTCACTGAAGCCATCTTCCCCGCACTTCCCGGAAGCGCTGCGATCAGGGGATGCGAGATGTCTTCTCAGTTGGACCCGGCTATCCTCCAGTTCTATAAGGATTGGCAGACTGTGACGGTGAGTCTCTGTTAGCCATATATCCACATCATGACGCTCAATAATCAGCGCTCCAGTATAGCTACGGTGTGTACAAACCATTGGTGCTCTACGCGCTTGTGCCATGGGATAATGATCTTTCACTCAGTGGGCCTTGCAGTCTTGCTCCTCTATGACGCTGTGATTTCTTTCCCGAGGTCAGTGTCCCCATATATCGAATAACTCTGTAGTCTCTAACGTCTTCGCCCATGTAGCGAAGTGAGTCCATCTTCTACTGTTCATCGCGACCGCACTCCTGAACTGGCCATGGCGCTAGTATAAGCTCATCTGGGTACGTTCATTCCTCAGAATGATGGGGAACCGACTAAGCCAGCTTCTTGATCACAGCGGAGCTCATGGTCTTGGGTGAAAGTATCATACTTCTGCTTGAGATATGTGATCATAATCCAATTTGCTTTCTCTCTGCCTCGTAAGCACCCGCGTCTTCGTTGTCTTTATCAATGTTAACATCCCCCAAGTTTTCTTCTCTTATGGCCTATCTAAACAAGTGAGCACGGAAATTCAACTGGAAATCTCGAACAAATGCTGACGCGCAGTCTCTAGTGCTGTGAACGTATTTTCAACGTTTACGATTGGTTGTCTCCATTTCAAGGGATCCCACTGACAAGTACGTGGAGTTTGACATGCCTAAAGTATTTTTCAGAGCGCTTTTGATAAAACCTCGCTTGGCCCTGTTTAGTTGTCATGACCCTTCGAACATATGCATTGTACGAGAAGGAACGAAGGGCCAGGATATTCATAATCACCCTTGTCATTGTCAGTCCCGTTCTTCTTGGTATCACCGACCAGTGATCAGACCAGTCATTTTTGTTCGTAGATCGACATCATCGCTCAGCTGGCTGGCTGGGTCCTCGTATCCCTTGAGACGCATAGTGAGTACTCCATGTACTGAGCTGTGATTGATCTCATCATAAATATTGACACGACTCTATCACCCAGTCATGGATATTCCAGAAGGGCCGGGGTTTCTCTCAGCATGCAATCTCCGTATCGGCCCTCAGCCTACAGTAATCATGGTATTTAACATGGGGACGCTAATGGTATTTGACTTCATCATATTTGTGATGACACTATACAAAACACGTCAACTGCGTCAGTCAAGCGTTTCTCCCGGTTGCTTCATTCGTCGTTCACCAATAGCTGACCAAGCACACAGTCCGTGGCAGCAGGACAAAGCTCGTCTGGCGCTTACACTGCGACTGTATATTATATTACAGCGTGTTATCTGTGTGAGTAAAGAGACGAATTTAGCAGCACACCCCGTTGTCTAACAAATCTTCGTTTTTAGTATGACAATTTTGACCTTGATGTCGTATTTTATATTTACCAAGGAACGTCTAATCCTGGTTTACGTCCCCGAGACGATACTTCGCATACTCCTGACGACCCTCGTTCTCCGAATATTGCTTCAGCTACGCCAGGTCGCGAACGAGATCGGTGTGATGGAGGAAACAATAAATTTAGAAGACCTGGACGAAATGAGGTTCCCAGCTCTTGAACAGGTTGGTGGATATATGTGAAGGGGTCTTGATGAGACCAGCACGGCATAATTAGGTAGGCCCTCATGTTCACCGCTTGTAGTCGTCAATAACATAAAGAATTTTCAACAGCCTATCTTTTACCACTTGCGGTTGATCGATGGCTTAAACACAAAGACTTCGCCGCGATACCACCAGATAGACGGGGGTCATTTCAGACAGCACTTTGACCAGCTTTCCTGCTGCTTTCGCTCGTCTAACGTCACCGTTCAGACGGCTATGAAATGATGTCGCCTGTGATATCAGAACGTCGAGTCTGTCAACAATTCCGCTATTTACGCTCCGACTCGTACGCCTTCGCCCCCTGACCCCACACCTTGGCTTTCTCACCCCAGTCCTCTCTGACGCCCCACACATGGTCAGGTCGCAGCCGGGGCGGGTCCGGAAGGGGCGCCACGTTTCCATGAGAGGCCTCCTCCGCGAAATCGTCGTCCTCTCTCTCGGAGCGCACGTATGGGTCCGCCGAGCTCGTGTAGTCGCCTCGGCGCGTGACCTCCGCCTCCCACTGCCGCGAGCTCTGCGGGAGCGGCGTCCACTGCTCCTCGCGGTTGTAGGAGGTGCTCGACATTTCGATGAGGCGCGAGACGGCGCGGGTGAATGCGAAGCGTTCTTCTTGACCTGTAGTTATTTTGTTGAAATTTTTACGATGAATATACGGGAGTTGGCACATATTGTGTGAACGAGTGCGCTTACCGGAAAAAATGGACATGTTGTCCAGATCCATGGCCGTAGCCTGCGACGGTGTTTCTGGGGTTGCTCGTGCGTCGTATGACGAAACGTTGGGGCGGTAGGCTTCGCGCGTTTCAGAGATGCTCTCGGCATGCACTGCGTCTACGTCATGCACTGCCGAGGATTGAGCTGCCGTGACAGCGTCGGGGAAGAACAGAGCATCGGGTTGTGCTTCAGCGAGGCATATCACCCTGCAGCGTGCCTCGTACAAAGCGTCAACAAGGGAGATAAAGCGCCGCGCTTGGTTCTTGGCTGCAGTCTTGAGGATGGGGATGGAAGTGATTATGACGGTATGGTAATTCGACGCCAGGGTGAGATAGTCCGCTGGGCCTAATGACTGAGATATCGGAAGGGCGTTGGGATTGGTGAATGACATTTTTATCCCATAATTGACCTGTCCATACCTCTTCGCAGAGTTCCGCGAATGTGAACTTGCAGACGCCATCGGAGGACCAGGGGACATTCAGTATTCGCCCGAAGATGCTGACTACTTTGGTCTTGGATTCTGATCCTAAAGGGGAATAAGGATTCGTTGAACATGAAATAATGTGGTACAAACCCATGTCCTTTGGCGCGACTTTTGCCAGCTCAGCTTCGAAAGCCTTTTCTTGCCCCGGAACAAACCACGACTTCTTCTCAGCACCGGCCCCGCGAACGACTCTCCAGTCCTGTTCGGATATCAAGGAGACTACCGGACACCGCACTTTGAAGGCTTCCACGAAAGGCTCCAGCCGGTCCTTCTGCACGCCGTTCTTGTAAAGATCATCCGGCACTTTATTTGAAGTGCCGACCACAACGCCGCCCATGCGCCAGTACCAGGTGAGCACATCCGCAAGCAAGCCCGCGCTCGAGACGTCCAGAAGCTGCACTTCGTCAAAGACCAGCAGCCAGTGCCGCAGCAGCAGCCGTCTCGCAACAGAGAATGCGATCGTCGGCTCGCGGCCCCCGCCCGCGAGCTCGAAGCTCACACCGCCGCCCATCGGTCTGCGCGACTTGACGGGGAGCAGGCCCGAGGCGGCGAGTTCGCGCCACTTCTCGCGTATCGTGCTGTTCCAGCCGCGCGCGCTGGTCGTGATTGGCCGATCAGGGCCGTACTGTGCGGCCATCCTCCGCTGTGTCTCCACCCAGACTGCGCGGTAGATCTCGAGGACGAGTTCGTTGTAGTGCTTGCGAGTCTTGTGCCGAGCTGGAATAGTGGAGTACCACATGTTAACAAGGAAGCTCTTGCCCGATCCCGGAGGGCCCGTAAGGAGCATGCCCTAAATTTCGTATGAATATGAAACCAGTAGTATGTGAAGGGTAATGGGACGCCTGAGTTGGCTCGTACCTTTGGCGTGGTGAGAGCACGCATCTCCTCCGCAAGGCTCTTGACAGCAACCAACGCTCCAGCGTCCACTTCAATCTCCGCTTCTTCAGATGAACTCGCCCACCAGCGCCCGTCATGGTCGGTCTTGGCGTGTATGAGCGACTGCGAGAACGCCGGAGGCGCATAGTCCACCAATTCATTGTGCAGCCTTCTGAGCTTCGGAAACGGCTGAGCATCTGGAGAACACAGATGGCGGTGTCCGACATGCGCACCTGCATAAGCACGCGGACCTGCTCCTGGTCGTACTTTATCTTCCCCAGAGTAACCAGGCTGTGGTATCTGTCCAGTACGTCCGTCTGCTGCGGCAAGTTCGCATCCTTCTGAGACGCCGAGCTGTACTCCCTCTTGAGGGTGCTGTAAGCCTGTAATCGCGATGATGGCCTAACCGCCACAGCTCTTGTTGCTGCGGTATGCGCATAATGTGGCCGGCGTCGCGAGATGGACAGCGAGCAGCTCATGGTGGTTGAGGACATATCGAGGCCGCGGTCCGACCTCCGGCCCGAGGATTCATTCATCTATACATGGATGCTTTTCGGGGGAATTCTCATTCACTTATACTTGGACCACAATCATTAATCGACACTGGACCAGTGGTCGCACTAGTGGGAATTCGAAGCGCTGCTTGGACGCCATCAGAAAATCTCTAGAGATACCTAGGAATCGGAGAGTGTACAGTCATGCAGTGAAAAAGTCTTAGGCTTTAGTACCAGAACCTTTGAAACGATTTCCAGCTGCGTCATTGGTGCAGTTCGAACTGACCATCACTGTGAATTTTATGACGAACAGTGCTCATGTTATGCTGTCTTAGTCATAGTAATAATCAATTTCTGGGACTTACCAAGAGCTCTGAACCAGAGCTCGCACGATCGATGCGTGGTTTCAGGCCCCCCTGAGCGCTCCCCCGCATGCCGTCCGACCAAGTCATCAAATTGTCTCAGTCGACTTTGAGAGGGTGTTGAAATCATAAATGGATAAGAAGCTCTTAATAAAAGTCGCACATCTGACCACGCCATGCTAGACGCACGGGCATAACTTTGTCGCAGTTGTTGCGCGTGAACTTGCCGTCGCAAGTTGCAATTCCACTTGATATTGAGATCTCTGAGAACTGGGTACCAGGAGCTCAACAACAGGATGGATGAATTCATTCGTTTGCCCTCTAGGAAACCCTTACATTAATATTGAACGGCGAAAGAGATTCAAACATATTGCATAATCCTTGACAATGCCATTGATGCACGGAACTCGAGACTAGAGCTGTAGCTAGATGATATGCAAAGAGGAAAACAAAACAAAACAACCTATCGTGAAAATGGAAGGGAATCATTCAAAACATGTAAAAATGCAGCAGGCAGGAAAACAGGGGTAATCGGCCACGGAGACAATGAATATATGGGGGTGATCAAGGTGTACATCGGGCTAGGCGGTTAATGAAAACAGGGATAAAGGACATGAAGATGCAGTGATATATGTGTGTGTATGTCTTGGGTATTTCTGTGGTGATTAGACCCCTAGAATATGGATGGGGAGAAAGTAGAATGGAAAATGAACAACAGTGAGTAGGTGGGGCGAGGCCTAGGGAAACATGCAGCTGTATGCAATGTAAGCAGAATGGAACGAAGCAAGAAAACTTGGAGCTTAAGCCAAGAAAGAGAATATGCAAAAGATATAAGCAAGAAAAAGCGAAGAAACAATTAGCATGCAATGGGTGAATAAGATAACCAATTAAACGAAGAATTCAGTATTCCATAAACCAAGACACATCAACGCCCACATCCAGCCACCGTTCACGTTCGATGGATGTTATGAGACATGTCCCATGACGAATGGCGCCTGCGCCGTCGGCGGCCGCGAGAAGTCGATCGCGTTGTACGCAGGCGGCGGTGCATCATAATCCGTCTCCTCCATCACGAACGCGCGCTCGTCCGCCGTCGGCCCACCCGCTTCCCCGAACTCTTCCTCTTCGAGCCCCCTCCCCGCCTCGGTATCCACGGGCGACCCCGTATGCCCGTGCCCAGCAGGGACAAGGGCAGGGCCAGCCTCCGTGCCACCGTGAGGATCCATCGTACGCCGATGGTGCGCCCGCGCTGTCGCGCGCATCCATCCGAGCATCTCCTCCGCGTCCTTCTCCCTCGGCCTGCGTGCACCCGCACCAGCGCCAGATCCAGATGAGTCCGCATGCGCCGTTCTCGGGCGCTGAGGCTGCGCCGGAATGTGTGCCGGGCCCTCGTCCGTCGAGCGTGATGCGCCGTGCCTGCGCTCCTGGGACGCCGCTCGGCTCGCCGATGCAGAAACCGGTGGTGCGGGAAGATGCCGCTGCGAGACCGACTGGCGCTTGTGGTCCGGGTGAGCGGTGAACGGGCGCGAGATGGGCGCGCCGCTGCTGGATGGGTACGCGCTCATCGGCGGCGCGTGCGGGTGGGTGGGCGTTTCGGGCAGGGAAGGTACCTGCGGAAGCTGACGCCGCCGTGTGGAGCCTGAGGATAAGGCGCGGCCACGGAATGAGGGCCGTGGTTCGTCGGCGACGTCGTGCGGCAGGGGTGGTACTGGTGGAATAAGTACGCCATCCTCAGTCGTCGTCCAGCGTCCCTCGCGCGATGGCGAACCGGAGGGCGACGAGGGGCTCTGGTGAAGCCAAGGCTGCTTTGAAGGATGTATAGCCGCGGACGGTGGCGTAGGTAGCTCCCTGCGTCCATTTGACCGCGGAGACCACATTTGATTTGCAGAATTAGGAGCTGGCTCTGAGGGAGCAGAGGGAGGAAGCGGAGAGATAGGCATAGGTGAGCGTGACAAAGGCGACCTGTCATTACGGCCTTGTGAGTGTGATCGCGTAGTGCGATCACGCGGATTAATATCATCGAAGATACTTGTGTCGAAAAATCCGGTGGAAGGGGCGGATGACGGGGTGGGAGGACAATGAACAGACTCGGATGATATACTCGACGTGTCCCAGGCTGTGTTTGGGCGAAGCGGGATATCGAGTTTGCACGGGTTTTGGGGCTGCAGAGACGGGAACAATGGTTCGCCATATACTATCTTCCTCCATTGTTGTACAGAAGTCGACAGCTTAGGTTCTGACAAATCAAGTACATCCGGTTCATCTCCGCGTGAACTTGCGGACGTAGAAGGTGCAACACCCGGCGACTTGATAGATGGGAAGAGAGGCTCGCCGTACATGATTTTACGCCATTGCCGCGCGGTAGCTGGAGACTTGACAGAAGTGGGCCTGGGTGCGGTCATTCCTTCGGAGGACGAGAGGTCGGTGGAAGATGGGTGGTGAGCGATAGTTAACCAGTCGTCAGGCTCTGTTACGAGGAGCAGGGCTGTGATGAACAGGTGGTCGAGTAGGGAAAGGGAGACGCCAGCATGTTCGAGCTGAGGTATAGATTCGTTTCGACCAGGCAAATTCTCGTATACCTTAAGGCGGTAGGTGGAATCTTCATCGGATTGCTCTAGGCTGGCTATGGATGACTTGGAGTGACCGGCGGTGCACTTGAATAATGGGGTGCAATGGACATGATCAGCTATATTACAAGGAGACATAAATAGATAACGGACCTGATATGATGACCCATTCCGTTTCCACTTGAGGGAGTTGGGGTAGCTGGGTACACGGAACTTTCGGGAACTGATGACATGTGTTGGTCCGATCAGTACGACGTCACAGAAGGAACAATGGGGCACAATACTGCATACCTTCCTATGCCTCCAGCTTTGAGGAAGCTGTCGATGGGCTTGACTCGACAGCCGCTCATTTGGACGAAGGTGCCTTGGGTGGTGTCCTGTCCCTTGCCCTTTCCTTTGAACGCCGGTTCCCTGGGCCAACCAATCTCTGCGGTCTTGGAGAAACCATCCCATGGGTCGGATCTCCAGACGGTGGTGGATGATGACACGGTCTCGACTGAATAGAGCGGTTTTTCTGCTACCAGGTCGACAGCGATAGAGTCGAGGAAGGATTCTTGTGAGACTTTGAGTACGAGGAGGGGACGTTGCTGGGTAAATGGGCACATGTCATCCGATATCTCTAGACGGTGGAGGTATGGAAAGCGAGATGAGAGATTTGAGGCGGAAGGGCCCGGGGCGCAAGAGGAAGCGGAGGTGGAGGGCTGGGGCTTTGGGCTGGAGGAACGGCCGGAGGTAGAGTTGCCGTGTGTTGTCCTGGACGACGGAGCGGTTGCCCTCCTGCAGACAGATACGGAGGTGTGTTTTGGGCGCGCAAAGACAGCGGCAGCAGCGGCGGCGGGGATGGAGAGGCGCTTGACGGGTGGGGGGATGAAGGCAGCGAAGGAGGAAGACTTTGTGTTGCTGCTGTTGTTGTTTGCGTTGTCGTGCAAGGACATGGCATTAGCGCCCGTTGAGCCGCTGTTGTGGTGGGTATTCTGGTTCTGAATCTGAGTCCGCGCACGGTGCATTGTGTCCGGCTGGAAGGGGCAATTAGAAGCACGGAGGGCGAACAGTGGCGACTTGGATAAAGTGTTTCACCTAAAAGGCGACCAACATGGGGGCACGCTGGGAGCCGACAACCTCTGCCATGTCATCCCAGCACTCGATCTCTTACCAAATAAATGAATAAGGTACCACCGTGGCCTTTCCCATCACCCACCAATTACGTATCCACAACCCAGCCGACTCTTGTATGCACGCGCAACCCCAAGCGTATCTCCGCCGCACCCTCCTCGCTCGTCCAGCTCCTCGCGACCAACAAATAACTGCTGACATGCTCGACGTTTGATTGTAATAACCTGCCACTCTAACCAGCTACATAACACGCGTCTCCTCGGGCATAAACTCCATCATCTACCGACCGACCAACTGACCGACTATCGACCGAGCTCTGCAGCAAGTTATGATCAATCTCAGTCTCAATTCTACCTGTAGCTCAATCTCCATCTCGTCCGATGTGGATGATCGATGCGTAGATCACGCACGTTCTGTCTAATCCACGCTTCTTAAATTCCCCCGCCCCATCGCTCCTCCATCCCCCGTACTCCTCGGCCCGATCCTCTCACGCGGCGCGCCCTACTGACGTAAGCAAATCTCGGCGCAGTTTTTTGTTTTTTGCTTTTAGCTCCGTCTCAATTTTACCGCAGCCGAAACCGAACCAGCGCGTCAATACACGCAAACATCGCCAACGCGTCTTCCTTCTCCATCTTCAACCGCGTCCTCGTCCCCCGCCTTCACTTCACCTTTCCTGAACCATCGCGAACTATGTCTAACGCCGCAGGTGACCCGACGTAATGAACTTCCTCATGGATGTATGAAGCTTTGCATAGCTAATTTACGAATACTGTAGCGCCACTGGCAACACTTCTGTGACCAACTCTCCCGACAAGGGCAAGGGCAAATCCAAGGAGCCTGCCTCCGCCGACGTCTCTATGGAGGTGGAAGAGGAAGAGGAGGAAGAGGAAGATGACGACGAGGAAGAAGAGGTACGTAGTGCATTCTGTGCTAGGTTTCGCCTTATGCACCTCCGTGCTCACTCGTGTTAACACTCTACATTAGGAGGAAGAGGAGGAAGAGGAAGACGACACCTCCGAGCTTGATCCCTCTGCCATTCTCCCCCAGGGCCGGCGAACTCGGGGTGTCCGCGTGGATTACACTTCTACCGCCGCGCTCGAGAAGGCCGGCCTCAAGGCCGGTGATGACGATGAGGACGAAGATGAAGAGATGAAATAAATGCGCTTCGTTTACATGTGGGCCGTCAGACGGGTCCTTCTAGCGCGTTTGTGCCCTTCTCCGACGTGTCCGCATCAAAAGGAGCGGATGAAAATGTTGGCCGACTCGGATGCCATTTAGTTGTAGCAGCCACTCCGTACACCTAGGTGCCCAGTAATAGTTGTGGATCCTGCTTTCCGTTTCGAATTTCATCTTGTGGCTTCACCTTGCTGCGTTGATATGTTTGATGCCCGATCACATCTATTTCCAGAGTTTCATCCTGTACCAAGGAACTGGCAGGATTCCATGTCTCATCGAATCCTCCGCCAACCGGACGCATATATGCACTATCCGAAAGAACATGATCTGCCAATCATCCGCGCGTCGAACATGCCGCGAACGGCTGGAAGCATAAAATCAAACTCAGAATATCACAAGAAAACGATGACATTAATGAGATCAGACACATCCAGGCGGAGAGCACAGTTGCATTGAGACATCATCGTCTCACGCCCTACCACGCTCCGCAGGCACGACTTTACCTCGACCTATCTTGCCCTGCGCTCGCAACTCCACTCACATCGGCCTTATCCCCTCCTTCCTAAGTCTTCTATCTCATATTTTCAGGCATGTGTGTACATCGCGGCGCGCCGCTTTATGATAAGCATCGACGACATTGATGATCTAACGAGAGAGAGGCTCGCTCACGCATGACCGTGGTCCGCACCCTCGCTCACACGGAGATCGTAAGTTCAGGTCCGGGAAGGCACTCCCCAGTCACGAAGGATCATGGGAAGATTAATTAATATTCAACATTCGATGTACAACTGTTCAGCGCTCAGCGCTCATACACGACTTTTCAGCCCCTCTCAACCGATGCGTTCCTTCCCCGCATGAGGACTGGAGTACTCATCGCGTATCACAGTGGATCACAGCAGGCTACTGCAACGTTACCCACAACGGCCGCGATGATGTTGACATCTCGCCGCAGACGCTAATCGGCGCTCATGTCAATCACGGGTCCCTCGCTCCATATCCTGCTACATTGACTCTCCATGTCTGCTCGGTGCCAGTCTGTATGTTGAGGTATGTTCGCCCGCTTGCGTCCCTTGAGAGCAGCCAGCCGAGGCCCCGAGATAAGTATACTGCCACCCCAGCAGATACAACGTAGATCAGGTTCTGACTTCTGAGCATCTTGTTTCTCCAGGGGGTTTGTGCAGATCACCACAGCATTGACAGTTTGACATGCAGTCACTAGGCCGAATCAAAGTCAAGTCAAGTCAACCAGATACAGCATAGCTGGTTCAATGCTGCGGGGTAAGCCATTCGCTGTAACTGTACATACTGTTGGCCCATACCTCGGGCCCGGCCTCGGACTCAGACTCGGGCACATATCGCTGGCTGCGCCCTCCCAGGACGGAAAGGCTGGGTCGACGAAGCTGGGCGTTTTGGGTTGCGAGCCAAGATATCTGGGAATTTTCATGTAAGGCGTAAGCCTCTGGCTGACATACCCTTGCATGATGATGACTCAACGGCTGACTAGGAAATCTATTGACTGTACATGGGCGCCCACGAGCCGCTGTGACTCCGCCGTGCTATAGAGGCAACTATTGTGACGCATATACACTCTTGGAAGAGTTAGATGGAACACCCAGCCCAACCAGAAGTGTACGCGCCCGTCGTCATCGGCCGGTGGAGGCGCGCAGATTCTCCATTCTCCGCCTCTCTTCCTCGACGACCCTAGGTCACGGCGACTCAACCCAGCGCGCCGAGAGTAGCTAGCTGCGTAGCACCCATTGGCGCCCGGCGCGTGCGCTGACGTTCAGAAACACGGCCTTCGCCGAGCTGGCCTTTGCTCGCCTCCGTGCCCGCCGCTGCTGTATTCACTCCGAATACACCCACACGAAAGTTCCTCCGTCCCCGTTTCAAAGAAGAAAAAATAGCTCCGCTGCGTTCGGTTTTGTGTGCCTCGGTCCACCTGCTAGGGAAGCAGTCAAAACACCGAAAGAAAGAACAGAGACTAAAAAGTACATACTTATTCCGAGTCTTCTGTTGATCCCCAGTAGAGTGAGTGCCGCCGTTGCGCCGAAGAGCGCCCATGAAAGATGCATGGCAACTGACTCGGGGTCGTACGATAGTGGCGCGTCAGGATTGTTGGCATTTTTATGGCCGAGGCGGAGATGTGTAAGTTATGTCGTGGATGGATTTCCCGTTTCCGTGAAAGTTACAGTTGATGTTGGCACGAGGGCGGATGATTCCCACGTTCTGGCGTCTCATCGTCATGTTCAAGCCGCCACCTTCCTTATCTCACCTACTACCACCAACAATGTTCAATCAAACAGCTCACTGTTATGCACCGTTGTCTTCGTATTCTTGACGTAATACTCCAGATCGTACACTGGATTGATGATGATAGGTCTCTCACTAGACTTGCCAGGGTGTGCAAGTTGTTTCAGGACCCAGCCCTTGACGCGTTGTATGAGGAGATCGACGACTTTTCCAACCTTGTGCAATGCTTACCTGAGAGCGCATTGCCTGTGGAACCTCGAGGTTACTGGGTAAATAGAGTCTTGTACTGTTCTCTCAGTCTAGGGTGTCCATTGCTGATGTTCCCATTTATAAAATCTACATGACATAGGGCTTTCAGCGCGAGTTGGGGCCAAACGACTGGGAGATACTATCGGAATACACTTCGCGTGTACGCAGTCTCCACGTTCTGGGCGACGAGTGGTACCTCCATGCTTCAGGTCGGTACCAAAATGTCTTGAGCTCAAGATGTATATGTCGCGCGCTATCGGAAAAGACTATATGCCCTGGTACTCTTTTCCCAAAGCTCCAAATGCTGCGGCTCTCCAGACCCGATTCCGTGGTACTCTCTATGGTGAGATCGATGTTGCTTGGCAGTCGCCTCCTCCATCTTCATCTCCTGCACCCTTGTGGGGCGTTTCCTGAATTCTATCAAGAGTTCCCCAAGTTAGCCGAGCACTACCCCTTTCTAGAGACGCTCGTCATTGACCTTGGTCATAAAGACTATCTCTCTCAAACCCTGCCAGATGAATTGGACGTCGAGCCAACTCCTGAGCTGGTCGTGTGCGTTTGTCAACTCAAGCATCTCCGCGTAGTTGATGTCGGGACCGTGAACCATCGAATGTTAGAACGCTTCGCTACTCTCACCAGGTTCGACCAGTTGACAATATTACTCCTCTCCGATCACTTCACGTGGCTTTCTGTCGAGGCTTCATGTTATCGGATTCCACCGTCTTTGATACTTGAGGCGGATGCTTATGGAGTAGCTTCGCAAGCTCTGAGGAGGTTAACCAACTCAGCTTCTAGCCACGTCCAGCGCAATATCCCCCTGCCTCATCTTCACAGACTCAGGTTGAACGTGACATGGCCATATTCTCCAGGTTCACGCATGTCAGAGTTCTCCTCCGCGCTAGCACACTGCGTATCGTCACAGTATCTTACAGATATCTCTATCGAGAATCCCTGTGCTGGACTCACCGAAGAGGAGCATCTGCATTGGTCTCCAGTCAACTATGAAGACCTCATGCCATTCACACGTTTCGGGAACCTGACGCGGCTGTCCCTCGAATACACACAAACCCCAATTCTCGCCGGAGCGCGCGAAGCACTGCTCGACCTCCTTCCCCACTGGCCGTGCCTCGAAATGCTCTGCATAAATCCGTTTGTGTTGAACGTCACGATGTTGATAGATGTTCTCCGAATCTTGCCCAGATTGTCCGAGTTCCTGATAAAGATTAACATGGAAACCAACGAACCCGACAGCATACTGCATAACTCAAAGTACCTTGATTTACCCACAAACTATCGCATCACACACTTACAGCTTGACGACACTTTGCTACCCTCATTTTTCCTTCTTAGACAGCTGTTACCTAATCTAAAGCAGTGCATTCTGAAACTACTTATGACCGCTTTGGACAGCAACTGCATTCAAAAGTAAGCATCGTCGATGAGTCTGTTTACTGTTGCTAGTACGCTTGTCCAACGTCACCCAGTCAATGACATAGATTCCTGTGGGAATGCTTTCGCTCTAGTGGACTGCTAACCGGTACCCGATTACTCTTAGTGACGGTGTAATTGAACAGGAGCACTTTCACACTGATTGCACCTATTAACGAGTGGGACGAGGATTCACCCGTTCTTGCTGGAAGTACTCAAGCCACAATGCATTTCCCGCCACAGCTGCAAGCAGGGATACAGCATCCTCCTAGTGTACTCACCGTGATAGGCAAGTCCTCATAGTGCCGGTGAACAGAGTAAGCACTGACTCCAAGCCATGTCGAGGCCATGGTGTGGTTATCTGATAAACCATGTGGATACGGTCCGAGAGTCTGACTTTCTAACCGGGACCGACCTGGGGGGCCGACGTCGGCGTTGCCAACCTTTGCCGACCTCGACACCTCGACGACGTTGATTATCTGGTTGCTATGCACAGTACACACACAACGTCCGGGCCGATCACTGCACATACTGTACATGTCACCGGCCCTCACCGGTCAGGAGGAATCAAATCGCTGCATCCGCAGCTGCGAGCGATCCGACTTGCCTCCGAGGACGTTGCAAGACGCATGCCTCGAAAGCACATGGACCGGTGTCACTTCGACCACGATGCAGCGATGGGCGCACATGAGGACAGATGAGGACTCGACTCAGATTCACTGGGACGGATAAGGCTCCGAGGGCCCACATGGCGGGCTGAATCTGTCTGAATCAGTGGCAAAGACGACCAACGTGCACTGAATCCGTATCCAACAGCCATTGTATTGAGTTCGAAGCTCTGAGCTCTAAGGCCAGGAACCCTTCGATTTTCGCGTCTGAAGATAATGATCGGGTCAATAGCTAACAATTCCGAGTGAATGCATGGCCAGCAGAACATCAATTCGTTAGTACTTTGCCCGAGATTTTGCATTCAATCCGACGTGGCACACTATCGTGCTGTCTTTGGTGTGGTGGTAAAGTTCACGCTAAGCAGAGAACAGGTTAATGAACGGGTATTCTGGAGCATGAGATGAAATGATCAATCAGTGCAAGTCAGAAAGGCGCTAGGAACAAGGCTAGGAACGCTTAGAGGCTGAGTCCCTCCCCGTACATGCAGATGGCACATTTGGTTCTAAGACACCCTTCATCGCTTGACCTCACACTCAAACAACATGAGCACAGAAAACAATGCATTCGTCACTCCAATCTGACTATGTAAGCCTACGATTCACTACGCTAAAGTACCACAACCCCGCCCAGGATATCCGTCCCACCTAAGTACCTTGCTTCGGCACATCGAGCGCTCACTACACATGCTCCCCTATTTCATCAACCCAGTGAAGGGGAGAAACAGATGGAACTGTGCAGGAGACAGCATCGATACACGTCCACCAGGTACATGAAAAAGACCAGATGATCCGAAAGGATGAGGAAATGGGAACAACAACGAAGGAAAGGGAGAAGCTCGTAAAAGACTGATGGCAGGAAACGATAACAAAGTAGACAGTGCCAAAGAAAAAAGTAGAGAGAAAGAGAAAACCAAGCAAGATGAGACGACGATTAGGAGAGGTGATGTACAAGCCGGAGACTGATTCGCTAAATAGATGATTATAAGTCCGCGATGAGATGATTATGAGAGCTTCTTGGGATAGGTTTACAAGCCGACGTGCTTGACGCGACGATAGTTTTAGAAGGTGTCGAAGGGGGTATGATCATGGGACCAGCAGGCTCTAGATTTAGAAAACGCCGATGCTGTCCCACCCAGTAAGGCCTTGTTCCAGTGAAGTATTGATGTCGGTGTCCATGTCAAAGAGACCTTCTAGTTTCATGTCGACGTCCACGGACGAGACGTCCGGCAGCATCCCAAGAAGTTGCTCCATCTCCATTTCAGCGCGAACTTGATCCACCCAGTCCGAGGGGCTCATCTGCAGTCCCAGGCCAGCGCCAGTGGCGCTGTCCTTGCCGGCCGTCGACGTCTCAGTCAGGCCAGGCTTCACTGTCTCCGTGAGCGCAGGCGATGACGCAAGGCCATCGCCAGGAAGTGCGCTAGCGCCACTCGGCGGCGACGCGAGTATTTCAGCGAACAGCTGCGTGATGGCTGCATCTGACGCTGCTTCGTCTTCATGCTAAAGAAAACATTGAGCACCAACGAAAGCGAGCGGAAAGAAAATGACAAACCTCAAACTGACGGCCGAGCAACTCTGACCCAGAGGCCGACTCAATGCAAGCCGCGTGCTGCCCACCCGCTGCTGGGGCACTAATACATGTGCATTAGTGGTCGCCATCCGTGCTAGATGGCGAGCAGGAGCATGGGATTGAGAGAGGTCTGATCCAAGGGGAGAGGTCGTCGTGTCATTGATCGTGTTGAGCGTGAAGACGGGGGAGAGAGAGAAGTCGAAGGAGTCCTTGGGGAACACCGAGGGACTGTCCACGAGCGTAGAGTTGGTGTGCGTCGGGGACAGTGAAGCCGCCGAGCTAAGGAGAGAGCTCGGGTCCGCTGAGGATGCGGGAGACGGAGCGGCATGGATCGGCTGTGAAGGGGCGGGGGATGGGGCGGAAGACAAAAGGGGGGCAGATGATGATGATGAAGGGCCAGCGCCTGATGAGGTGGCGTTGACTGTGCCTTGGGCGGCTAGCGCCTTGACAACAGCCTCGTAGCCCTTCTCGAGAGACCGTATGCGCTCTCTGAGCTCTTGGTTCTCTTGTTCCCGTCGGTCGTCTTCCGACTTGCGTTCACAGTCACCGTCGCTGTCTGAAGTAGGAGCTTCGGGCGGCGCGGGAATGCCGGCGCGGAGGCGTCTGTTCTCCTCCTCGAGCTCTGTTACTCTGCGTTCAAGGTACGAAAACTGGGCTTTACGGCGGTCCCTGGAGTTCTGTGCTGCTATCCGGTTACGGTGAGCACGGGCCTCCTTGCGCTCCTCCGGGGTGACTGCGGAGCGGGGACGTTTGCGAGGGGGCTCTGTCGAAGTTGAAGGCTCTGGAGAGTCGTCTCTCTCTGGCTCGACAGATGAATACCTCTTGAGGGAGGAAGGGGAAGCTGCCGCGGAGGGCAGGGAGAGGGAAGCGGGGTCGACGAACCCAGCTTGTTGGTGTGCTGTCGACATTGGAACACGTATGGTCGTTGAAAGTCGTGCGAGGAGTAGATATTACGTGGGTGGTGACGAGGCGAGGTGGTGGTAGGAGGACAAAAGAAGGATAAGGTTCTAATAGGACCAGATAAAAGGATTTATGAGTCGAAGCAGCTGCGCATATCTTGAGGAAGCGCAAGGGATGGACGTGGCCAGCGGAAAAGCAGCAAAGGACACGTTGCCCGCACTCGCGCCACGTATACACCTAGAAACACAGCCACGCACAAATACTGGCAAATACTGCACTGCCGAACTCGGCATTTGCCAGAACACTTTGACATCCACGCTCATTGCTCATTGGGTTATGGGGTTATTTAATATCGAGACTTGTGCATGAGATAACTCGCACACGTAGACGTCCACTTTTTCTTCAATATTCTCATCCCATTCAAAATGCCCAAAGAGAAAGGCTAAGTTTGGGCCATTGTGTCCTCGTGTGTCCGCAGCCCCCAGGATTGCGCAGCACCCATACTGCATTGTAAGTCAAACTGGATGACTACGCAGTCGTCCGATTGACACATCTTATTCACTCCAGAAGTATCGTGGTCTTCTTTGAGCCTCCAGAGATGATCGTGATTCGTTTCAACCCTTCAATGTGGTAACAAGCTAAGGATTATCTTGGGCCATACACTCCCTCCTCAGCTCACCGAGATCCCGGTAAGCTTGGCGTGCTCGGCATCCCATGGTCCTGGGTCCAAGTTGCGGAGGCCATGGGAGCCAGTTTCTCCAAAGTGACTTTCAGGTTGACGCGACGCGTTTGTTTGCCCGTGCATTTGCTTCTGACAATAGAGGCATATGCCCCCTAATTACCACGCTTTCCACGATCTGCCCACCATCCTAGCTTAAGCAACCTCCGAGTATCACCTCACCTCAAGACTCCTCCACTACTCTGGGACCTTGCAGGTAAACATTTGACACGGCGGGCCCCGCCTACTCCTACCGATCCGCTCGCCTTGTCGGCCGTCTCATCGATTCCCCTTGAAGTTACAGTTTAGGTTCTGCGCCGCGAACTTGATGGCAAGGGGCCTATCTTTACCTTCGTCACATCAAGTATTTAACGCGTTCTACAAGCCAGTCATGGAGGAAGGTCCTCCCACCTTTGACTACTCACAGCGGTCTCTAGCAACACGGAGCATCGAGGACATCGACACCGAATTGGCCATGCTCACCAGCTATGCCTCCGTCCTCCGCAATCGCCGCAACTCCCTCGTCGCCATCTCGAAGCTCCCTTCAGAAATCCTAGCGGCAATATTTCAAGCATGCGCCGACACCTCCCATGGCTCTGCACGCTACTCTCCGGTTCACGTATGCAGCAGTCCATGTCTCTCATGGATCAGCGCCACCTACGTGTGTCGGTTCTGGCGCTCGGTAGCACTGGACCATCCGACGCTGTGGAGCCAGCTGCCCTGCTTCCATCGGCGGTGGACAAATGAGTTCCTCATGAGGGCGAAGAGCGCACCGCTCATCATACGGGCTGCTGCGAGTGCAAGTGCAAGCGTCCTCTGGGGCCCGTCCGGGAGTGTGAAGACTGCCCTCGCCCACATCGCCCAAACGCGTGAGCTCACGCTCATGGTGCCGTCCAAGGAGCTCTTGGAACAGCTGCTAAACAACGTCCGCGCCGCAGCGCCCACGCTCGAGTCGCTACTTCTGAAATCGTCGCATAATGGCTTCCACGTGTCGAACTACGCCTATCACGTCCCTATGCAGCTCTTCCTAGGCGCGACACCCCGTCTTCGAAGGCTTAGCCTGTACAAATGCAACATCGACTGGAACTCGCCATTGCTCACAAACCTCACACACCTCTGCATATCCGACATTGCCCCTGCCCTGCGTCCAAGTATTGACGCTCTGGCCGAGACGCTCTCCCGCATGCCTGCGCTCGAAGACCTCATCCTCGAAGACTTCTTATCACAAGTCTCACCCCCCACCTCTCCCCCCCAAAACCACACCCGCGCGATCTCAGTGAAACTCCCCCGGCTATCACGTCTCCACATTCACGGCAGCGTCACCGACGCCGCCTCCGTCTTCTCCATCCTCCGCCTCACCCAGCCGCTCGAACACCTAAGCCTCCACTGCACACACGTCGGCTCCCCCAAACAGGACTTCGCCGCCCTGCAGCCCATCATCGCCACCCTAAACCACGACTCAGATACCCACCCCTCCGAGTCGCACTCGCAGACAAGCCCGCCCCCGTCGCCATACTCCCACAGCCCATCCCGCCTCTCCTTCGGCAGCACATCACAGCGCTGCACCCGCCTCATCTACACCAGCTGGCCCCCCTCCTCCCCCAACCCCGATCCATCCTCCGACCTCAATTCCAACTCCCCAAACCACCCACCCACCACCTCCGCCATCCCTCCCGTCCTCACCCTCCCCACCGACTCAGCCCTCCTCCGCCTCACATACGACTCCCCACCCTCAACCGCCCCCGAGCTCATCGCCGCAGCCGCATCTGCAGTGGACCTCGGCGCAGTCACACACGCCGAGCTCAGCGGCAACGGTGACGGCGGCGGCGGCGGACTGCCCGGCCCATGCTATGCCCCGCTCCTCGTGCGCCTACACTCGCTCGAGACCCTCCGCGCGTCCCACGTCGACGTAGAGACGCTCACGCTGCCTCTGCTGCCCCGAGCCGCCGCTGACGACCCCACCATCGACGGACTGAATGAGAACGACGGAAACAGCAACGGCGACATGGTCATAGCCGCACCGTCCCTACGCAAACTCTCTCTCTCCCGCGTCTACTTCGGAGCCGAGTCCGGCCTCAACATCGGCGACATGCCCGCGCTCGCGGCGTGCATCGCGCAACGTCGACAATACAACTCCCTCCTTGACAAGCTGGAACTGCGCAAGTGCTGGAACTTTGCCATGTACGACTGGGCGTCGCTCAAAGGGCTCGTCGTCGACCTCGACTGGGACCACATCGAGAGGTGGGAAGACGAAGTGACGGTCATATCCGATAGCTCAGACGAATGAAAAAATGTTATTCAACAGGATCTCTGGATTTGATCACGTAGAGTACATACAGTGACTACCTGCGGCAAAGAAAAAGACTGGTATCATGGAGGGTCTAAGGCAAAGGTATAAAGAATACATGTGAAGACTCGAAGATCTATCAGTGAGAGAGGGTGCTTGCTGTCAAAAATGTTTGAAACGAAAGACTGACCGAATAAGAAGGCTAAACGTAAAGTGTACCTTGAATAATAACAATAATGCTAAGTTTAATGGGTAGCGACAGACGGTGGCAACGAAGCGAGTGGTGAAAACGGAGGCGATGGGTGTTGGATGGCGACCAGTGGTGAATCGCCAAGCCATCTAGAACAACAGAGCAGAGAGAATGCGAGACGAAAGCGAGATCCGACGACTGAGGATGTTGTTACAATATTGTACAAATGCCACGTGGGCATGCTTGAAAATGGGTGATCGCTGAGTGGGTATAGCTGCATGGATCGAGAGCAAGTCTACATTTCTTCTTCGGTGATTGAGATGGGCCTGTTTTGAATCGCGAGGTGAGAAAACAATGTTTGCGGACGCGTTGGGTCAAGCGGAGTGGGAGGGCGCTGCCCCAAGGATACTCGGGTGCGTGTCTCCAATAAGGTGGAGGGGCAAGGTTCCAATGGCGTCGGAGGGCGATCTTCTAACGCAGTCGACGGACGTTCAGTCTTTTCCGAGTCGGTCGAACGACGTCCTTCAATGGAGATGGTCACGAAAGAGCTCGAGCAAGTGTCATGGCTAGAGTTCAGAGTCATCAGGTCTGTTGAAGCCATAGAACCCGTGCTCGAACTCCACCGAGAGCATAACGCAGGCGGTGTTGACGAGTAGTGCACCCGCTTTGGAACTTGAATCTGAGCCATAGACATCTCGGGTACGGAAGGAGAAGACAGTCCACGAAGACCGTCAGAGTGCTTTGTCGGGCGATGAGCATGACGAGCGGGGAATTTGACTCGACGTTGTCGCCCAGCTTCAAGGTCCAAAGACTGAAGGAGCATCTGCGTGAGAAGCGCTTCACCTGCATCGAACGGCACGCGCTCCTTTGTCTTTGCGGCCGGGATTATTGAGGCAGCTGTTACTTGTGAGGTGAAACGAGAACGCAGAGAACCTTGCTTGCTTCGTTGCTTCTTGCCTTGACGCCCCTTTGAGGTCTGGGAGAGGGTATCGAAGGTGATGCGGCGTTCGGAGGACGTTCTAGGTACACGGAACGTGGATTGAAGGGTCGCGCCACTGGGATATGCGGGTAGAGCTTCAGTCCACTCGGTAGATGCACTTCGAATCGATCGGGGAGATAAAGGCGGGGGCGACGCAAAAGGGTCACGCAGAGTCAGAAAGTCGGCCGGATCAATGCTTCGTGGGGGTGAGATGGCTTGCTTGTTGATTCGAGGGCTCTGCCTTACTCCAATTGAACGTGTGTGGTTTTGAGCCATAGCTAACATCGTCGTTCAGTCAAAGGCATAGCGAAGGATGGAATCCGAAAGACTCACCGTGTATTGCCACCAAAATGCCAGCGACATACAAGAACAGGAATACAGAATGGGCAACGAACAAGCCTTTGATGGAAGAAGATACCTGCAGAGCGTTGTAGTCAAACGACTGAGGCGCATCCTGACCGTTACCCTGGTGAGACACGGGATCATAACGACTGCGATAGTAGGGCTGTCGAGAGCTAACCACCACAAAGCCGAGGCGTATGACAGCGTACACCAGAGCGGCGCTTTGAATTATCAACAGAGCTGCGGCCTTCCTAACAATCTGCTTGAGGCCATTATCGGCTTCAAGGGGCTGATCACTACGACGGCAGTCCAGACACGGACAAGCGCCATGGCAGGGAGTCTCCGAGCGAGCGGGAAAGCAAGTCAAATCCGACTTGTGTCCCATGAGGTGTATGCCTTGACTGTTCAGAAGTATGCCGATGATAAGTGGCATAGGGATGCAACATGCCACCAGTGCCAGAGCCGGGGCAAGTACGGGGGAAACCACCTCATATGAGTAAACCGAGACCACGGAGGCCGCGAAGGCTAAATGCGGGGATAAGCATCTGCGTCGCCGATAATGAGCTGCAAACTTACAAACTAGAATGACAATTCCCCAAAGCGCATACACCAGTCGCATGGTGCTTCGCCCAGCCAGGGACTGCGGGAAGTACTTGGCAAGCATGTACATCATGCACACAGAAGCTATTAATGAAGACGTAAGTAATTTGATCTTACCCCAGTGCACATAATGGCATAATTACTCACCATAACTCTCTAAGAGAGCGGCGAGCACTTGGTGCGTGTGCCCTTCAGATTGAGCGTGCAATGCCTCTTGGATACCAAATCCTGCGATCAACCCCGACAAGATGGCCATGGACGCTAGGAGGAGAAGGACCACGCTGTCTCTAGAGGGGCGGGGAGCGCGAACCGTGACGAAGATGAGGCCGATGGTCAGAACGAGGAGAACCAGCGAGAGGGCAGGGAAAAGGATCAGAGTAGGAACAAAGTCGGAGGACTCGGACATGTAGGTCGACAGCGTTGGCGCCATTGGGGCCATTATCGAAGACAGCGATGGGGGGAGAAAGAGCGCGATGTGATGGAAAAGAGAAAGGACCGACGGAGAGAAAAGAGCGTGAGCGTGCGGGCGACGCGAGCAAGGGCGGAGGATCTTGAGTGGCGCAGGGGCCAACGGCGAAGCGAAGAGAGGGCGGCGGCGTTGGTTAAGGAGCCGTCAGAGCGAGACCTGCTGGAAATTTAAACAGATCCTCATCCAAGAAGTCCCGCGGAGAGCCAAGTGCAATCAACAAGGAAGTGGGATTCCATTTGCAAGGACACATCGGGGCACGAGCGGTCCGAAATGAGGTCAACGGCCATTCCTCCTGAATCTGAATGTCCTGATTGGCCCCAGAGGCACCGAGAAGGTAGAGATCTGAGACTAGGTCATGTCGCAGATACCCCACACGCTGAGTCTGGAGCACATGATGCAGGTGGTTCTGCCTTCGAGGGTACCTCTTACACGTAAGGCACAACGTTGTCCATAGAGTATGAATTACAGCCGCTGCCCCAAAGTATCTGAAGTCCTCCCCAGCTGCAGGCCAAGTCTAGATGACGATTCGAAGACTTCAATATTTGCCCAAGGTTTCTCGAGCTCTGCACCCCGTAAGAAGCGCCAGAGTGGGTATTCCGCGGAGGTTAAGTTTGATTCTGGAATTCAACTATACTGCCACGACCGAAACTTCCGAGCCGCGAACGAAAGAGGGCAGAGGATGAAAGTGGAAAGAGAGAATCCATTTTCCGTTTGTGCAAGGTTTGAGTCTGATGGAAGCCCGGTTCGGCGCTTGCCGTGACGCGCTAAATGACCGTGTCGCACCGGTCAAGCGCGCGCGTTTTGCGTCGGTATGTATATATGCCAGAGTACCAACTACGTCTCGATTTGAGCGCAGTGAATTCGAAGGCGGGGTATCGGTCCGACTCGACATCGTTATGCACCTTCTCCTCGGCCGTTTCGTTCTGTAGCATACCATACCAAGTTTTGAAATCAGTTTAGGTCCGGTGGTCCGAATCTGAGGTAGTCAAAGGCCCGGTCCTCCGAATCCGAGCGTGTTATCCAGCTCACATCCCAAGTCTTCTCCAGCAACGTCTTGTCAATGTCAACCATGTCCAGCGTCCAGCGTCAACCAAGACTCGAAAGAGATCATGTAGTTCCAAAAGCACATGTATTCAGCTCAAATACAAGACAGAACTATCAATCAAACAGGCCAAAGTGCTACACCATCGTCCCCTGCGCGGCAAGGGTAGAAGCTAACAGATACCGGTCCAGGGTTGTAGTAGAAATACAGTAAAACGTGTGGGTGCATGTATGCGTACGTGCAAGTGTAAATGGATATATGTAACGTTGAAGGTGGTCGTAAGAGGTATAAATGCGAGGTATACTAGCAATATATGTGAGCAGAAGCGGCAACAGAAAGGGTTGGAAGGGAAAGGCGGAGAGGGGGGTAACGGTTCGTTGGATTAGTGTGGCGTGCCGGCGTCAGTAAGGTATATATCAAGGCAAAGGTTCGTCGTGCGTGTCGTCGTCAACTGTGAGTGTTCCGATCCAGTCCAGTCCAGCCACTAAGCAAGCAACAGACAAAGAGAACAACAAGAAGAAACCTTAAAAGCATGCTTCAAGCTCAGGACTCACACAGCCCACCCCCCAGCGAACGGATTCGTCACCCGCTTCCGCGCCGACGGCGTCGTCGGCGACGCGCCCGTGCCCGATGAAACAGCGTGCGTGTCGTCAAACGGAGTCGCGAACGGATCCACCGCCCCGCTCGACTTGCGCGCATGCTGCGTCGTGAGCAGCCGCGTCACGGGCGTCGTGCTCTCCGACCGCGGCCCGCGATCCGGCGACAGCGACACGATCGTCGGCTTGCGCGAGCTCGCCACCGTGCTCAGATGTAACTGCGATGGCGGAATTGCGGGCGGGGGTGCGAGGTGCGTACGCACGGCGGCGGGATAGAATTTGTGCGCGGGCGGTGTGGGTGGCTCGGGGTTGTGCGCGAAGCCGTGGTGCAGGGGTACAGGGAACTTGTGGCCTGGTGTGTCCGCGAACTGGAGCGTCTGGGGTTGCGTCTGGATCAGCGGGAGCCGGGGAGGCGGCGGGGGCATGCGGCGGGTCGGCGGCTGAGGCTGCTCCTGCGCGGACGTGGGCGAGACCGACCACGCGGACTTGAGGTTCTCAACAGGCAGCGGCTCAGGGCCAGGGCCGAGGTCGCGCAGTGTCGACGTGGGTGAGTGCACCTCGATGTCGGGAAGGTTCTCGTTTGACCTCATACCGGACGCCTTTCCTGTCGAGATCCGCAGGTTGGGGCGGCCGCGGGGCGACGACCTCGCGCTGCCGGTGTCAGGAGAGGGGGCGGGGGTGGAGTCGCCGAACGACTCGTCGCTGTCGGCCGTGGTCTTCCTCCCGAAGAGACCGCCGAGCCACTTGGACTTGGGCACGGACTTGGGAGGCGCCGCTTCGTCCTTGAAGCTGTAGTCCTTTGGAATCTCGCTGTCCCGCATCCTCCGACCGATGCTCTGAAACCACTTGGACCCCGAGGCCCCCTCGTTATCCCGCAAGGCGTTAGCCTGCGCCTCCGTGTCCTGGCGGTGGAAGCTATCCCAGCTCTTCTCAAACGCGGGATTCATGTTCTCAAGCGGGTGCTGCTTGGGCGTCTTGGGCGTCAACGGGCCCATCCTGAGCTTGGTAAGACTCCGGCCCAGGCTAAACCCACCAGACCGCTGCTGCTGCTGCTGCTGCGGAGACTCATCGAGCACAGGCGCGAACGAACGCAGCTGCACATCATCCCGCCCCTTCTCGCCCTTCTCCGCATCAGGCTTCTCAGCCACCAGCGTCGCCCGCTCGCCCGCACCATGATACCCGTACGCCGCCGGCTCGAACGCATCGATCCCGTCCCGCTGCTCGCGCTGCCACCGGCGCCGCTTATAGGCCTCGACCCAGTCGCGCGCGTACGAGTGCCAGAAGACGACAGCGAGGCCCATGACGACGACGACGCCCCACAGGCCGAGAAACACGGCGAACATGATACGCTCCTTGAGCAGCGAGTCGACGTACGTCGCCACGAGCCGCGCGATCACGCCGCCCGAGCTCGAGCCGTCGCCGCCGCCGATAGCAGCCGCCGTGATCGGCTGGGTGACCTCGTTCACGTCCGCGGGCGAGAGCACGAGCACGCTCTCGTTCACGCGCGGCAGATCGACGTTCAGGTTCTCGTTCAGAAACGTGAGCGCGTCCTCGAGCGCCTCGACCTTGCTCCCGATCAGACAGTTCACAAAGTCCAGCGCGGGGTTCTCGAGGATCGTGCCGTTGAACACGCTCGTCACCGCGCCCGTCACGTCCGCGTAGAAGCTGTTCAGCGTCGCGTTCAGCGTCGTCGTCGTGCCGTTCACCCACCCGAACACGCCTTGGTTGATCGTGTTCTGCACGCTCGCGACCTGGAGGTTGATCCCGCTGGCGTACACGGACGACTGGTTGTACATGCTCGCGTTCATCTGCGCCGCGATCGTGCTCGAGAGGTCGTTCACCGTCTGCGCCGTCTGCGCCGAGTACTTGGCCTCGAGCGGGCCGACAGCGAGCAGCTGCAGTTCGACGGAGAGGATGCCGAAGAAGCCGATGAGGAAGCACGCAAGCGCGGGCGGGTGGAAGATGTAGTGCAGGAACCAGCGGAGGTGGATGTGCTGCGACCGGCTGAGATGCAGCAGGGCGGCGAGGAAGTTGGCCATGCGCGTCAGCATCGGGTGCTGCGCGTCGACTTGGAGCATGAGGAGGTTGTGGTTGGTCATGACTACAGTTGGGACAGCCTGGTCCGGACCCGACCGATCGACGGTGGGGTCAGAAGCCCAGGCTTCACGGGTGTTGGATAGGTGGAACTGGAGGCAGCGCCACTTGTACCACTCCAGGACAGAGAAACCTGCAAGAAGCACGAGGGCCGCGACAGCGAGGATGATGGTGCCGATCTCGGCCGCTTTGAGCAAATCCTGTCCAAGGTTGTCCACCGAGGACGTGTCCAAGCTATCGCAGAACGTAATGGTATTTTGTTGAGGAATGGGAAATAGGGTGGGGTCGAACGTGAGGTTGGCAAACGTGTTGTTGATATCCTGCTTGACTGCCTCGAAGGGGGTATCCACCCTATAAACAGTTGCATCATTAGACACGACACACAAGTATGAGCAAGACAACTCACAAGCCCTGAATGGCATCCTTGATCGACGACAAAGTCGGAAGCGAGCTGTTCAACTTGATAAGCGCATTCTCAAAGTCGTTGGGGATCGTGATATTCTGAAGCTGGCTGAGGGACGACGTGTTGAACTGAGGCGCATTGATGTTCCCGAACGGGTTAACCTTGTTGACCGCGTTCACAGCGCTCTGGATGGCCGAGTTCACCGAGTTGGCATCGCTCACGAGGCCAGAGACGATGCCATTAATAGTGTTCTGCAGAAAGCTTTGGACCTGCGCGCGTTTGCTCAGCACCACAGCACGCGACGGTTTTAAAAAAGTTCGCACACCTCCTGAACAGCGCTGATCAAAAGCGACAACCCGCCCGACACAACGAGATCGAGAAAACACAAAAACGTGGAGCGGTAAATATCGATCAAGAAATTGATGATCGCCTCCATGCACGTGAGCGCGAGCACGAGCGCCGCGCGCGCGCCGTTCATCGTCCCGTTCGCGGCGTCCGCGAACTGCTGGTTCGTCGCGATCGCCATGTAGCGCGGCATGCTCGCCGCGTCCGTCGCCGCCTTCTCTGCCGCCGCGCACGCGGACAGCAGGTCGGCCTTGGCGTTCGCGGTGGCGGTCTGCGCGGACGCGGAGGAGAGCTGGAGCCGGAAGATGACGAAGATGAGGGAGAGGAGCGGGTATGCGAGCCATGTGAGCGAGAGGAGGTGCGGGAGGCGCAGGTAGGGCGTGAGTGTCGTTGTCGATGCGGAGCGGGCGTCGTATACGGGTGGGGGGGAGAGGGAGCGAGTCGGACGTGAGATGGGGAAGGACATTGGGTGTGTATGTGCAAATGAGTGGTCGGCCTGCGACGGCTAAAATGAAGGTCTATGGGTGAGTAGGAGGACGTCCGAGTCGACGTCGAGCGACGACGAGCAAAAGAGAGAAAGAAAAGGAAGAAAAAGGGCGCAGTAAGACCCGGGGGAAGGCGGACCCCTGCTGTTCACGAGACATGAGGCTTATGAGGACAATACGCATACAGGCAATTGTCTCTTGTTCGCGTCGGTCATTGTTCTTGCTTAAGGCGAGGGACAATTAGATGCCCATATCAGGAAGTCGTAGCGGAGTCGGCGCTTGCTTTTATTCCCGCGGCTACTCCCCCATCCACAGCGTCTTATTATACTCTGCCTGACAACTCTGACGAGAAATGCAGACCCACGCGTACCTTGACGTAGCAGACCGCACAGCACCCACCGGCCCTACTCGCCGAGATCCGTTGTTTACCTACAGCTTTAGGGGATAAGTAATTCAGTCCTCGCTGTCCTTGTAAGTCGAGGATGGCGACCAATAATCAGCACAAGGTAGTCGAAAGAAAATCACGACACAGCTAACATCTAGGCCACCTCACAGAAGATTCTTGATAGTTCTGATTACTAGCGTACCACATTACTACCAGAGGCGGGTGATAACACTAGAAGCAATAAATATCTTATATTTCATTCGCAGATGACCACGCAACTGCACTAGAAACGGGCGCCACCCCAAACCACCCAACATACTCAACAAACTCTTGAAAAAATAACGTAACGGCATCGCAAAGAATCTAGATGCTGCAAGCACATCAGGATCAAGAATCCAAAGCACGCGTGAACTCGTCGAAAATATCAAATATCAAATAAAAAAGGCAATGAAAACGGGAAAAGAAGCCAGCACGCGCGCCCGGTGCGTATATCATTGCTACGTATGCTACAACGGTGACAAGTATCAACGTCGCACGCAACGCAGAAACACGCAAAATCGACAAGAGAAGTAGCTCGGCAGTGGGTATGAAATTCTGAACATACGAGACGAGACGACGCAGAGGTATAGCAGACGGACACGAGGGGGGTATCGAATCGGGCTGGCGTCGGGGGCACAAGTGGTACAAGAACAAGGAAGCAGAACGGAAATAAAAAAAGTAATCAGACATGGCGCGCGACGTCATCGGGGTATTGACGAGAGGAGGCTCGTTAGCCGGACGGTAGGCAGGAGCAGAGGAAGGGTGGAGGGGACAAGGCGGAGAGGAAGGTGGCGATGATGGCGAAAGGATGGTGCCCGATGGGCGGTCAACGCGCAAGCAAGCGGGGAGTGACGACGCAGCGCAGCGCGGAAGAAAGAGTTGAACAAGAACAAAGATCTGAGGCACGTCAAAATAGCAAGTTACAATGAACAATACGTGCAACAACGGCGACGCTGGACCAGCCCGGGTCGCCATCTACCAAGGGCAGTCCAGCAGCGCGGATAACTTGATGATGTAGGGAGTTGGACATGCACATTTACATGCCCCCGTACGCATCACCCTCATCGTACATAGTGTACGTCGACACGGGGCGCGGCTCCTCCTTCTGGGGATGGGCAGCAGGAGCAGGCGCCGCCGCCGCCGCATTGGCACTCTTAGCCGCATGCGCATCCTCAAACGGACTCGGCAGATCAGCATACTCCTCCGGGATCGGGTGCACATACGCAGCAGACTGCGGGGCTGGGGGCGAGCGCATGCCCTGGCCCTGGCCCGAGCTGCTAAGATGGCGCGAGATCTCGGCGTACTGCTTCTCCTGGTACGGCGACACGCTCGACCGGTTCAGGTCGAGGTAGTGCTGCTCCGTGACAGCGGCGGGCGCGCCGAACGCGGCATTGGCGTTCGACGGGCGGCGCTGGACGGCGTAGCCCGCCGTGGCGTTCGAGGGCTGCCGCGCGATACCCGCCGCATCTGCGAAGTCACCGAGAGCCATAGGGTGTTGGTTGTACGCGGCAGGCGGCGGCGGGGCGGGCGAGCCGGGGTGCGAGACGACGTCGCCGGGGAGGAAGGACAGGCCAGATGACGGGAAGCTGCCGTAAAAGTTCTGTTGGCCGTATGCCTGCTGCTGGGCGAGCGCAGGCGACGCGTTCATGTGCCGCTCGACCATGTTGGGCGGGCGAGGGTTGTTGTACATGGACGGCATCGGCGGCATCGGCGGGAGAGGCGGCACCGGCGGCGGGGGGTCATCCATGAGCATGACCGACTGCCGCCTGAACTGGTTCGGGTTGAACTCGTCGTCATCGTCATCTTTGCGGGAGCGACGCTAAGACGCAGGGTCGTAAGTAAGCGAGAAATTTTAGAGTAAGGTGGAGCGTACTATGATCCTCATGACAACAAAGCCGATGAGAGCAAGCGCGGCGAGACCGCCGACGACTCCACCAATGACAGTGCTGGTGTGGACTGATGAGGTGCTGGTAGAGGTGGCAGAAGGAGAGGAGATGGTCGAGGACGGTTGAAGGTTCAAGCCGGTGGGAGATGCAACTGTGGGATTGGGGGTGACGACCTACGGGAGGAGCGAAATGAGCAAGTAAAATCTCGCACGAGCAGAAAGTAAACGAACAGCAATTGAAGTGGTCGGGGCACCGGTAGCAACGCTGACTGAGGTCGATGCCTGAGTAGTCGAGCTGGCCGACGAGGTAGTGGCCGGGATAGACGAGGAAGAAGCTGCCGACGCAGACGAGGTTTGGGCAGCTGATGCTGAGGTCGTCGCGGGCGTAGTCAATGCAGCCGAAGTCGCTGGGGTGACAGACTTTGAGGCATCCGGCGTCGAGGCAGAAGATGTCGCCTTCGGGTCGGGGGTTGGGGAGGCGGCTTCAGGTTTGGTGGTGGGATCATCTTGACCGGGGATGGGGATCAAGCCAAAGGTTGCGCCTGGGTAGGAGGCAGTGGGGGAGAAACGGGGATCAATTTTGTTTAAATTTGCAGCCCTTCGATGTAATCCCCCAGAGCGACCATTGTTGAAAGCGTGACGAGACATGACAATTGAATTAATGAGCGAATAGAAAAGAGCGTAGTGTTCGAGGGGGGGAACGTTGGTGCGGGGGGCCGACGGGTGAGGAGGGCGGGGTGAGGAAAGGTGGGAGCCAATAGAGGGCGACAAACAAACCGTTGTTTGTACTCCTGATGGCCGGTCGACGGTCCATTGTTAGCTTAGGACCGTCACCTCGAACACCCCATACTGGCCTCCCACCGCTCATCGTCGTCGTCGTCCTCGCCAGGCGTTGCAGCAGGCAGCGTCAGGCTCATGGACGGCCTCCTCGCAATCGGTGCAGGCCTCGCTCTCCGCCTCATCATCGACATTGCCACAAACCACAACGGACGCGTCGGAGGTCAGCCACTTTTATTTCTCACCCCGTGATCGCGCTCACTCTCGCGTGCTCCCCAGGCGTCCTCGTCGGTCTCTGGGAAGGCTTCGTCCTCCACCATTTCATAAGCCAGGCACCCCGCTCAGTAGACCCGTACCTCGGCACCTCGGTCAGAGTCCTCGCAGATTTCCTCTTCACCCGATCCACCCCCCGCGCCGCCCTCACCCTCATATGGACTGCCCTCGGCTGGCTCATCGCCGATATGCTCCCCACCGTATACCGCCAGACAGGCCTCAAGGACCTCTACCGTAGCCTGCGCCGCGCGTCCCGCCCGATCCGACGAGCAGTCCGCATGGTGCGCATGCCCAGCATGCCCAAGATCGCAATCAAGAACGATCTCCCCAGCATGAGCGTCTTCCTCCCCCACCGGCGAACACCCTCTTCCGCCGCCGCTGCCGCTTCCTCCACCCCACGCAGCACTCGCGTCGCACCCGCCCAGTCACCTCGTTCGATCCCAAGCAGACCGAGGCCGTCTTCGCATCGCCGCGCAGAGGGTATCACCTCGGAACCTACTTCCGAGTTCTCCTACCTCCGCGAGCGCGCACAGGTCGTCATATCTCCACGGCCTTCGCCGGCTATCATTCCAACTGCTGTCGACGCAGAGCTCGAGTACCTCGACGTGCCGCACTCCCCATCCCCAGATAGCAGCATCAGTCAACGCATCGAACGCGCTGAACGCGCTGAGCGGGTGGAGCGTGCTGGCCGTGCCGAGCGGGTGGAGCGGACTGAACGGGACGAGCTGCTTGAGCGTCTTGAACGCCTTGAGCGTTTGGAGCGTCTTGAACGTCTGGAGCGTCTGGAGCGGCTTGAGAGGGCAGAGCGGGCTGCACGGGCAGAGCAGACTGAAAGGGTTGAGGGGCCTGAGAGGGTCGAAAAGGTTGAGAGGACTGAGAGGAGACATGTTGAACGGGCTGAACGCACTGAGCGACCACCAGCGAAGCCACAACAACCAAGCTGGTTTGCCACGGCCGGCGTCGCCGCTCTTGGCGCTGGTGCCGCCATGCTCACCGACGCGATCGAAGCACGCCTGAAAAAACCCGCACGCAAAGAGACACCCACCATCCCCGCCGAACCCACACCACCCGTCGAAATCGCTACCCCTACCGCGCAGCCTCCCCCCGAAGAACCCGAACCCCACTCCCTTCCCAATCCCGCAGAACTCGGTGCCCAGCCCGACGACGCCGATAACATCCCCACCCCACGCATGTCCATCGTCCCCCAGATCCCAGACGACATGGAGCCCGCCGCCCTCCTCGCCAAGCCCCAAACCGTCCTCCCGCAGAAACCAATCCACATCCCCCCTCCCGAATCGCGCATACCCTCCGCGGCGACGGCGCGGCGGCACAAGACCTCGTCCGAGCTCGACTTCCGCCCGTCGAGGCCCCCGGCGCATCTCATGCACATGATCAACGCTAACGCTAACGCCAAGACCAAGATCCCGGTGTCCGCTTCGCCCTCGTCGGGGCTGAGCCCCGCTAGTCGGTACAGCAGGGTGCGCGAGGGGTCGCAGAACCAGAGCCAGAGTCCGGGGTCGAGCTCGGGTCCGGGACAGAGCCAGAGTCGCCCGTCGAGCACGAACGTGTTTCGTGATTCGATGGCGATGCGCGCGGACGCGCCCAAGGTGCAGGAGCCGATGCCGCCGCCTCCTGAGCCTGAGTCCGAACCTGAACCCGAACCCGAAGTCGAAGTTGAGCTTGAACAGCCTGAACCTGCATCTGAACCCGAGCAGGAGCTCGAGCCGGAACAAGAGCAGGAGCAGGAGCAGGAGCAATTAGAGCAGGAGGAAGAACCACCCGCACCTCCTCCCGAGCCTCCCGCCCCGTTTCTGCCTCCAAAAGCGGAGGAACCGGCACCACCACCTGCACCAACACCAGTACCAGTGCCCGTCGCGGCTCCTACGCCCGTCCGCCCGATATCGGTGGCCCAGCGGTCGATCGCGTCGTCGCAGGCCCCGTCGCGGAAGGAGACGCCCATTCTCGAGGCCGCTGCGGCGCTCTTTGCATTCAGGAAGTCGGCTACGCCCGTTCCTGTTGCTACGCCTGTTCCTGCTGCTACGCCCACGCCTGTGGCTACGTCCCGGCCGTCGACGCCGGTTACGACTGGTGCAAAAGCAGAGAAGGCGCAAAGCAAGGTTCTCGGGTCGCGGCCGTCGACGCCGGCAGGTGCCAATGCCAACGTCAATGCCAAGGGCAAGGACGAGAAGGAAAAGGCCCAATCTACGATTGGCGCGGTCCGGCCGTCGACACCAGTAGGTGGTGCCAAGGCGAAGAAGGCGCAGACTACGATTGGAGCTGGAGTGAGGCCGTCGACGCCTGCTCAGGAGGAGAAGGAGAATGCGCAGGCGGCGGGTGGAGGGGGAGCTACTAGGTCGTCGACGCCTGCGGGCAAGGCGCAGGCGCAGAATAAGGTCGGATCGAGACCGTCGACGCCGGTGCCCACTCCGCCTGTATCTGTGCCTGAAAAACGGCCGCTGTCCAAGGCGGGGTCGATCAGCAAAACTCCATTCGACGATATGTGGAACGAGGCTACTGGGTATACTGCCGGGGACGCGAAGCAGGCGGAAGTAGAGGCGGAGAGGCGGATGGCCAAGCAGAATGAAAAGGAGATCGAGAACGAGAAGGGGAAGAACGAGAAGAACGAGGCCGGTCGCCCGACGGTGGCGATTCCTCCTGAACGCGTGGCTTCGCTCGACCCGTTCGGCCTCGGCAGTGCGGCGCCGAGAACGCCCCCGCCGCCCTTCCAGGAGTTCGCGGGTGTGGACGATGCGTCTGGGCTCGGCGATGCGCCGTGGGATGCGCCGCCTGTGGATGACGGGGGAGAGCCGGCGCCGGCGCTTGAGCAGGAGCCAGAGTCAACGCCGGAGGCAGAGATGGAGGCGGAGGCGGAGGAGGAGGAGGCGGCGGCACCGGAGCCTCAGCTGGACCCTGAACCTGAATATGAATCAGAGCCAGAGCCCGAACCAGAGCCTGAGCCGACGGTGCTCACGTCCGAGCAGGTCAAAGCGGAGGAGCACCGCGTCAAGTTCCTCGAGAACGTGATCGCGCTGCAGAAGCCCGAGCTGATGCGGCTGGAGGAGGAGATTGACAGCCTCCAGCAGGCGGGGAAGGACAAGGAGGCACAGGACGCGCGGATGAAGCTCGAGGAGACGCAGGGCCGGATCGGGGTGCTGACGAGCAGGATCACGAAGAGGCATTTCTCGGGTGCGTTGTCATCTTCATTATCATTGACATTATAATAGTTGTGCTGACCCTGTGGTTTCTTTTGCCTTTATTTGCAGACGTCCCGCCGCTCATCGCGTCTGCCGCATCGCTCACGGTCACAAAAGAGGAAAAGGACAACATGCCGGAGCTCATCAACCACGTCATGCGCGAGGCGGCGAGCGCCCTGCTCGCGCGGGACGACGCGGGCCCGGTGCCCGTCGAGGTCGTCATCGCGAATACGAAGAAGGAGCTCAAGGGCAAGAATGCGCGCGTGCGCGACGGTATCGCTGGTGCGATGGGGGCGTACGTCGTTTTTTTTTGACCCTAAGTTTCCGAGGGTGTGGAGATACCGACGCTTTATTTTGTTTGTGCAGATTCGGCTTTAAGACTTCGACCTCGGCAGACAAACCAGGCACACTTACGATCACTGTTTGAACGACCTTGCATATGATATTCCTTTTTATTTATTTTGGATACACCGTTGATCAATCGATCACAACTCCGCTTTTTCTCTTCCTTCCTTTTCTTTTTCATGACCAGGGGTCCCGGTTGCTTAGGGCTTTGTACCGATATCTTTGCCACCGATTATTTGTTTGCGTTTCGGACTAGACAACCTTCTTGAATGACTGTTACGCATTATGATTGACTGTTTTCGGCACTTATAACCTTTACTTCACGAATACCACTTTTTAACTCGCCTCTACAGCTACGACTTACTTTATCCACCCTGCTTTTTATGTGCTGTTTCACTTTCGCCTTTTGTATATATTGCTGTGACGACCCCGCTGTATTTATATTCTCAAGTAGGATTACACTCACGGAAATGACAAATGCGATACCTTTCCCCCATGAATGTCTCGTCCGATTGCAAGTGATATTTCCACCGGAAGAAGGCCAGTATCACAAAAAATATGATTTAGCGTGCGTATGACACCATGGCGAAAGCTAGCAAGAGAACAGCACATCCCAGACCCGTCGCCCAGAATTTCCATGCCCAGTCGTCACCCGGTGCTGTCCAACACCACATGTCGAGCAGCGCTCCCATCCTGCTTAACTCGTAATCCGGTATCTGCCCGCGCCCCGCACCATGCTCGTCGTCGCTCTCACTCGTGCCGTTGGTTCTGCTCCCTCGCATCCCCGCTAGCGCCATCCGCCGGATATTCACGACGTACCACGCCATGTCGAACCCGGCGCCGATGAGCTTCACGTTCGCCGTCAGCGCAGAGACGGCGTTCTCGAGCGGGGAGGCGCCCGTGCGCAGGTCGGGGTCGCGGCCGAGCGGCAGGTCGGGTTCTGCGGCTGCGGCTGCTCCGGATGCAAGGAGCGCGGGGAGGTGCGGGCAGAGGATCGCGCCTCTGCCTATGCCGAGCAGGTCTGCGTGGCCGGCGGTAAGCGCGGAGGAGAGCGCGGCGGGGGTGCGCAGGCCGCCGGTGAGGAGGATGAGGGGCCTTTGTTGTTGCGGGGTGGGGAGAGAGGCTATGGTCTGGACGGCGAGGCGTGAGAAGCTGGAGAAGAATGCTTGTCGTCTTGACTTGGTTGGGGGTAGCGAGGACTCCATGAAGTCTGGATGTTGGTTAGCGCTGAAAAATATATGGGAACGGAGGTATGAAGTGCTCACCTGGATTCTCGTAGTCACCACCGCTGATTTCGATGAAATCCAAGGTGCCCCACGATGCCAACGCTCGAACATGATCCAACGCACGCTTTTCTTGTTCCGCTTCGACTTCTTTTTGGGAATGACCTTGAGTGCCAGCGTCATCGCTGTCCATGTAATCTGCAGAATTGATCTTGATACCGAGGATAAAGTTTTTGGGAGTGACAGCGCGGATGCCAGTGACGAGTCTTTGGAGTAAATTGAGCACGGTTTCCGGGGACGCTGAGTAGGCATCGTGTCGCTTGTTGGTTTTGGAAGACAGGAACTGAGAAAGTAAGTCTATGAGGAATATTCAGCATGTTGTTTGCCAACCGGATTGCTCTATGACTTACAGCCATGTGCTGCATGAATCTGCACGCCGTCAAAACCAGATCGCGTCGCCAAGATGGCGCCGTTAATAAACTGCTGCACGAGTTCATCAATGTCTGCGATGCTCATTTCGCGAGGCTTTTGGAACAGGAGCCAGTAAGAAAAGTTGGCGATAAGATCGTTTAGCAAGTAGGAAGCATGTCCTGACTGGCGCCGACGCTTCGAGGTACCAACACGTATGGAACTTGCGGATAATGGAGACTCAAAGAACCCTCGCCCTCCGATAATGTTCGGTGACTGTCGACCAGCATGAGACAGCTGCATGATAGCAAGGGTTCCGTTGCCGGTACCATCAGGGTTGGCGTCCGTCGAGGATATCCCAGAGTCCAAGCCGTGTATCGCGCGAGCAAGCCTCGCATACGGTGCTACCGCGTCGTCTGTTAACTGAACAGGTACGAGCATGTCCCGCCCCAGCGTCTGGTGTCCGCGAGCGACCTGCACGTTCCCGGTCATGACCATGCCCCATGGTGACGATGAATCGGCCCATGTCGAGTACAGGCCGAGATGGTAGTCATTTGGTGGGCCGCCGGAGAAGGATGCGAGGTGCTCATACATTGCGACCTGGGTTTCGTTACGGCCTTTCGATAGACTTGAGTGAGTTCGTCCCGCGACCGACCTTGACTAGCCTGTTTCGCATTGGTCGTCCGCAGGGCAGGGTGGCTGAAGAGAACGGGTTGGGTAGACTGTTGTTTTCATCGTGTGGCATGTTGTAGTAAAGTGGAGAGGATGTTTTGGAGGCGAAGTGCAACGCACCATTTGGGGAATCCGGGGAAGGACCGAATGGGAAAGTTTTGACGATATGTTGTCAAAGGCTTCGGAGCCGGAAGCAAGGTTTGGATAACCACTGACTCGCTGGTGACTCAGGGCAAATCAACAACACTTAACGCCTTGGATTTGCTCATCACAATGCATCATTCGAGGATTTGTTCGATCCTTGATTTGTCCAGTCCTTGAAGACGCGTAGAAACGCGTGAAACCGCGTCAACAGACTCGACCTAATAGCATCCGCTCCCACTGATAGGCAGGACTCAAGTACTCAGGTCTGACATCTGTAGGTCCCTAACCGGTGTGCCATGTATGCTGTCAGAATAGACTCACCATTGAACCAGGTAATACCCCTGATGATAGATTTGCACCTTCTTGCATCTGCTGTTCTTGTCGCCACTGCTGGCACAAGTCTCGTGCTCCACCTGCTCCTCGCACCTAAAGACAGTCAGATCAAGCTCCCCACAGCTACACCTGATGCGCTCTCAGAAAGTCCTGCTGGATCTCTCCGAGATGACCCATTTGACATAAGTCAACCTGAAGATACCATAGAGGGATACCCTATATATGAGGACAAATTTTGGGCCAAGGTAAGCGTACTTGTGCTATTTCAACTTATGCCGCATCATAAGCTTACATCCACCAGGTGAGACTTCGAAAGCATACGCTTTCAGCCACACTCGGTCTGGTCTTCGTTTTCCAAGAAGTGTCCTTGGGATGGTCCATCGTCGAACTCGACTTCGATATGATCACCGTCGACGTTTTGCTAACGGCCTATGCCATGTACACCTACATTTACGCTACTCGCTCCACGGTTCATACCACCATTGACTCCCATGTCAACTCCTTGATCCATCTCTCGGTGCTTACGCTGCTACCTTTTGTTCTTCTGCTAATTGTGTCTATCATCCCTTCTGGCCCACCGTTTGAAACGTCCATGTTACTATCCAGGGGCAAACTAGCATATTTCAAGTATATCGTGGAATTGCTCTGGCCTATCCTGTACTTTGTCGCTACTGTTGTGACTTGGACGACACCTTCCGGCCCGGCGTTGCATTTCCCACCTGAAGACATTTATCTTGACAAGACAGCCAAGCAGCGGACCGATCCCTCGCAGGACAACGTCTGCGGATACGTCAACGCGTCGAGTTGGAGCCAGGTGCTCTTCTCGTACACCACCAAGGTCGTCATGTTTGGCTATGCCTCACAGAGTCTCGAGATCAGCGACCTTCCCATCCTGCCTCTCGATATGCGCGGAGTGTATCTGTATACGAAGATGCAAAAAATAATGCAAAGCGTAAAGTTGCGCTGGGCAAAACCGGGATCTGGATGGCAACTCGGTTGGCGGATCTTCCGCGCCAACGCTGGATCTCTCATCGCGCTGGCATCGCTCTCCGCTGTCTCTGGGGTTTTGTGGTACACACCTCCGTTATTCTTGGAGCAGCTCGTGAAGTATCTCGAGTCGGACCCGGAGCGCAAAGACAGGAGTTGGGGATGGGCGCTTGTCGTTGGAATGTTCCTCTCTAATGCTCTGACTGTTCTGGGTGCGTTCTAAACTCTGGCTGGACAAGATAAAAACATGCTAAAAACGCCTTGTAGTGACGAGCCAGCTGTGGTCACTTTGCTCATCTGTCATTCAGTGCCGCATTCGATTGGAGTTGAACAGTATATTGTTCCAGAAGACACTCGTGCGGAAGGACGTTGCCTCCTCTGCCCCTCGTACTGGCGAAGACGGTAGCGATGGCGCAAAGAAGGACGAGGACGAGGACTTTGCGAGCAAGGCACAGATTATGACGTTGATGACGACCGACACGGATAGAGTTAGCGACTGCTCTCGCTCCATCTACTCTCTCGTTGGTAAGCTTAATGCATATTTTTGCCGTGTAAGTCAGACTGCTCATAGCGCATTAGATGTGCCCATCGAGCTTGTTATTGGTTCGCTCTACCTCTATAAACTACTCGGTAAATCCATCTTGATTTATGTTTCATACATAAGGAATCTCATCCACGGACCCAGGTGTATCATGCTTTGTCGGTCTTGCCTGCACAGTCGGGTTCTTGCCTATCAACAGTCTCTGTGCCAAGATAACAGTCCATGCGCAAGAAAAACTGATGAAGGCCCGCGACGAGCGTGTTTCTTTGATGAATGAGGTTCGTACAGCCAAGCTATATGTCGTACTCTCTTAACTCGAGAATAGATTTTGGGAGCCATCCGCATGCTCAAGGTAATTGAGATCAATACGCATCCATTATAGCCGTCTGATATCCATTATAGTTTATGGCATGGGAGCGAAGCTTCGAAAAGAAAGTACTCAAGGTCCGCGAGAAAGAATTAAAGGCTCAAAAAACCAGCTATATGATTGGCGTTCTTTTTGAGGCTGTTTGGTAAGTAAACCTCTGCACGCCTCTTGCTTAGTAAAGCTAATACTGTGTAGGGATGGTTCTCCAATTGTCGTCACCCTTGTCTCTTTCTGGCACTTTGCATTCGTTCGCCAGCAGACCCTGACTCCGTCTATTGCTTTTACTTCTGTAAGTTTAAGTCAGTCTATCGTTCGTATAATATCTCATGGACAATTGCGGTCGTCAGATCCTAGGTATGCCTTGCTCGAAACTGCACCGACTAGCTTCATCTAATGGAAGTTTACCAGTGTTCCAGGAAATGAAGTTTGCTCTGCACACTTTGCCAGAGCTGGCACTCAGCATCATGCAGGTATGCACAAATGTCCCTCAGCCCATGCATCCCAACTGACACCTCTTGCAGGCCTTTGTCTCCCTTCGTCGTATTGAGAAATATCTCAATGGCGCAGAGGTGGACGTTTCAAATCCAGAAGACCAACCCCAACATATCTCACTTCAAAACGCATCCATCACATGGCCTCAACATCGCGGTGTCAGTGCCAGCGCAACTTCTACGGCGCCACCCACCCCCCGGAATAAATTCGTCCTACATGACCTGTCGTTTACCCTTCCGCAAGGCGAGCTCTCGCTCATCTGCGGTAAGCTAGGAAGCGGGAAGAGCTTGATGTTGCTCGGTAAGGGGTATGCCATGGTTAATAGCGCCAGGAGCTAACTAGACTTCTACACAGCACTCCTAGGAGAAGCGGATGTTCTGACAGGACAACTCCATTGTCCTCGCTCTTCTCCAAATATTCTGGCTTATCTTGGCAAGGATCGTGTAGTCAAGAAGGAAGATTGGATCGTCAAAGGTGTCGTTGCTTACGTGCCTCAGGTATGCTACCGCCCCAAGTTTCTTTGGCCTCGTTTATAACTGTCCCCGGGTTATAGAGCGCGTGGCTTCGCAACGCTTCCATCAAAGGTTTGTCTTTTTCATTCCTGAAATGAAAAGACGACACAGTTAACTGAATTTATACAGATAATATTTTGTTTAATCTTCCTCTGGATGAGGAGCGTTATCAAAAGACGCTTGAGGTCAGTCAGATATAATCTATATTTGTGCCGCTTGCTGAGAGTCCCGTGTAGGCTTGTGCTCTGTTGAGTGATCTCCGGATCCTGGAAGACGGAGATGAGTCCGAAATTGGCGAGAAAGGGGCAAGTGGTTTTACAATGAGGCTATGAACCACCAAGTCTGATCTGGATTTCTCACTTTTAGGTTAACCTCTCCGGAGGCCAAAAAGCTCGAGGTGGGCACTTTAGATGACGATCCCCAAGGTTGGTTGTATTAACGCTACTTTAGTTTCACTGGCCCGAGCGGTCTACTCTCGTGCATCCGTAATTTTGTTGGACGACGTGCTTTCTGCAGGTGTGTCTCTTATTTTTTCTAGTGGAAAACATCTTCATAATTTCCTTCTTATAGTTGACGCGCATACCGCCCACCACCTATATCACGAATGTATCAAGGGAGAATTGATGCATGGCAGAACAATCGTCCTCGTGTCGCACCACGTTCAACTCGCCTCGTCCGGAGCTGGCTACGTCGTAGCACTTGACAATGGACGCGTCATCTTCCAAGGCGATCGGGACGCATTCCAAGCCTCGCCAGTCATGGACAGTTTGGCACATTCAGTGGCTATCAACGAAGACAAAGTAACGGAGGAAAAAGAGGGGCTGACTATCGAAGATCTTGAGGACGAACCTGAAACCTCGACTACCGGCAAGGGCTCCGAAGGCACTCCAACAGTTGCGGCAGGCGAAGGTGCCAAAGTGGAACATAAAGCTCCTCGCAAACTTATTGAAGAAGAAAAGCGCGTGGTCGGGCGCATTGGTCGAGACATATGGAAACTCTACGTCACTGCCTGTGGTGGTTCGATATACTGGACCATCTTCACGTTGTCCATGCTTGCAGGGGCTGTGAGCCCTGTCGTTGAGAACTGGTGGCTGAAGTACGTGAGCCGTTGTTTGTTGATGTATAGCAACCAACCGTCGACTTTTGTGCAGGACATGGTCAGGCGCAAGTGCCGAGGATACCGCCAGCAATGGAGTGGGTTACTACATGAGGATATATGCATTGGCAAGTAAGCAACTGGGGTCATCTTCCTCGTGCTGACTGTAATCTCAGGTTACACTTGTTGGCCTATGCTTCACGACTTTCCGTTATTTTATTGTCTGTAAGTACTCAAATCCCAAAGTTTGATGGTTAGAGTTAAGCTTATACACCAAATTATCAGATAGCGGCTCTATTACAGCGTCCACGAAGCTGTTCAAACGTGGGTATTTCGTCCTTACTACACATGCATGGAAGTAATAACATTCAAAAGGGATGCTGGAATCCGTCTTGTTCGCCGACATTCGCTTCCATGACACGGTATCTCGAGGTCGCCTGCTGAACCGATTTGGAAAAGACTTCGAAGGTAAATGTGGAGTCGTATCAATCACGTTCACTGTATAACTCTTTCCAACAGTAATTGACAGTCAGCTTGCTGATAACTTCGGCCGCTTTGTATGGTACGGCTTGGCTGTGGCGGCAATTGTTGTTACTGTCACCTATATCGGGGGCTGGGTGTTTGTCCCTGTAGCATGCGTGCTCGGGTGGATGTATTATCAAGGTCGGTGGTTGTGCCAGTGTAATGTGAAGACATTGAGCTAACATATGTTTAATCGCAGTTGCTAAGGTTTATGGCCAAACCTCACGCGACATGCGTAGACTAGGTAAGTATTGTATAAAGATGTTCTTTGAGCAAGACTGATGAACGGTCCGTGTGTAGACTCGGTCGCACGCTCACCTCTCTACTCCATCTACGGAGAAACAATCGCTGGAGTCACCGTAATCCGCGCGTTTGGTGCTTCGTCAAAGTTCCTGAGAGACATGATCCGATGCGCCGATACAGTAAGTTTATTATTTACCAGCATGGACCTTGACTCAACAAAATCCAGAACGCTAACCCGTTCTACTGGCTGTGGAGTGGTACTGGATAAAGCTTTTTTGTACGCTTACCACTTAACATGTTTTTGACAGTTAACCGCTGGGTTTCGACTCGCTTCAACCTGCTGTCTAGTGCATTGGTTTGCCTGACTGGCTTGGTTGCTGTTATATCGCCAAATATCTCAGCGGCGTTGGCTGGATTCGCACTTGCTTTCGCGACTAGCATCACGGGCAATGTAAGTTCTATCTCTTCGTTTAATGAACATCTCTTGCTAACCGGTCTATTTTGCAGATCCTTTACTTGGTGCGGAGGTTTGTTGGTGTAGAGCAGTCAATGGTATGTGTGTGCACAAAATATTGATACTAGTATAATTTTTGACGCAAAAGTTGTTCTCAGGTTGCGTTGGAAAGAGTCAAAGAGTTCTCAGAACTGAAGGCCGAAGCCCCCGAATTCATTGAACCTCGCCCGCCCGCTTCTTGGCCTGCACAAGGATCTGTTGTCTGCGAAGATCTCGTCATTCGCTATGCCGTATGTTTGATCCTTTATCGTATGTGCCAAATCACTAATGAGCTGTACAGCCTGACCTGCCAGACGTCTTGCATCACCTCAGCTTCGAAATCCGTCCGGGAGAAAAGGTGAGTAGAAACCGACGTTTCTGCATATTTACCAATCTTACTTGTTGGGCAGGTTGGTATCCTGGGACGTACAGGCTCTGGCAAGAGTACTTTGGCCCTGTCATTCTTCCGTTTCGTCGAAGCCACCGAAGGTCGTATTCTCGTGGATGGCATTGATATCTCCAAGATTGGTCTGAGTGACCTGCGGAGTGCACTCACAATCATTCCTCGTATGTGACACTCATTCCTTTTTACTGCAGCTTCAAAATCTTAACATTTTTGCAGAGGATCCTGTGATTCTGAGCGGCACATTACGCTCAACTCTCGATGTTTTCGGCGAATATGAAGACGCAGATATAGTATGCCTTCCCAACTGGTAACAATGTCTTACATTCGCTGACTCTTCGCCATAGTTTGAGGCTCTGAAACGCGTTCATCTCATTCCTTCGGACGAACGCGTGGTTGCTGAGGTAGCGGAATCCGAGGCTGCAAACGAGAATGTTTTCCGTAACCTCGACTCCCCTGTCTCGGAGGGTGGCGAGAACTTCTCGGCCGGGTAAGTGATCTTGGACGACTTCTTAGGTTCATGCTGACAGGAATGCAAAGAGAGAAGCAGTTATTGTGTATGGCGCGAGCAATCCTGAAGCGCTCGAAGGTGCTAGTTATGGACGAGGTGAGCCCTATTTGCTCCCATTGCGACGGTTTTTATTTAGACATTGTTTCTCACTATTAGGCAACTGCGAGGTAAATACAACTACCAATGTGTCCAATTATTTTTTGCTGAACACACCTCTAGCGTGGACTACGCCACCGACGAGCTTATCAGCAAGACGATCAGACAGTACGTTGCTTACTATGTTAAGTGAGGCATAGCTTAATTGTGTACCATTGCAGGGAATTCGCTTCCAGCACGATCATGACGATTGCGCACCGTCTCCGCACGGTCATCGATTACGATAGGGTATGCCGTCGAAATGTGCCTGCATATGCGATTGTTTGCTCACATCAAGCGTCCTCAGGTCATGGTTCTCGACGAAGGTCGTATCGTGGAGTTTGACAAGTAAGTGGGCGATCTGGGTTTCGGGACCATTCTGACTAGATAAACTCTATTTTCAGGCCTTCTTTGCTGCTAAGAGAGCATTCGTCCAAGTTCTATTCGCTGTGCAAGGCAACTGGGAAGAAAGAGTTTGGGGCGTTGAAGAAAATGGCTGGTCTCTAGATCCAGACCTTTTCTTGATAGCTTGTAATCTCGTAAAGAGTGTTGCACTTTAGTTCGGTATATGTAAACTACGACTCCTCTGTCATGTGAACCCAGTACTAGTGGTAGAGCTTAAGCTTCAGAATGAAACTTCGTTCGACAAGCCACAACATGCAATCTTGTTCTGTTGATGGTTAAAATTATAAATTGGAATCTAAGTTGTGTTCGCCACTATGTGCAGACTGGTCTACAAAGACTCTCAGCTTTATAGCAATGAGAAAATGTCCCTTCCTGGAATGCACTTTCTCCGAGAGTTTTGAGGAAATCACGGACCGAGGATGCGAATGCGGGATGGAGTTCGCACGCGTTTATTCGACGTGCTCCTACTTTCACCACCTCCGCTGACCACCTCCGCTGACCACCGCCGCGTCCCACTAGCTTTCCTCCTGGACGTCTGAACGTAGCCACCATGCCTTTCTACCAAATGCTATGCATTGCAAGTCACTACAGTGACTACGTACGCCTCTTTGTCTTTGTTGCACGCGCGCAAAAAGGCCCTAATGACGTCCGACTACGCAGAAACATATCAAAAACTTGGTGACTACGTCCGCACGACACGTCATGGATGCTGGGGGCGTCGTGCGCAACCTAGGGTACCAAGGTCACCGCACGCTTCCGCAGAGAATGAAGCGGAATAAGCAGATATACTCGGCCGGAGAGTGAGTGTCCATCCTATGTGCCTACCCCGCGCGCCTCCGCCTTTGCAAGGTTGGAATCTAACGCGTCGCGCTAGCTACTGGACAATGGACTTTGATGCCTCCCCAAACACTCAGCAAGCGCTGGCCTCACTCATGCGGCACGACCCGCGTGTCATCCGATACTCGATACTCAAGCTGGGTGAGAGAGCGGAGGAGGTGGCCACTACCCCGGAGAAGACGACGTTCCGGCCGACGACGTACGAACTCCCATCGCAGAAGCAAAAGGAGGAGGAGAAGAAGAGGTCGTGGAGGTGCGTATCTCAAACTCAGACTCATGCTTCCGTTGCGTGTATCCATTCCATGCCACATCATCTCTGATTGTTCCGCTCTCGCACCCAGTCAAGGACCGAGCGAACTGATCTAACCACCTCCACGCCCTGCAACGCCTCCGATTCGGTCTGGTGCATTCCCGGCTCGCTGTCGTCCGACGCCCTCCGGAGCAGCAGCGCGTGCATGCCCGCGGCCTTGGCGCCGTAGTAATCGCTATAGAGATCATTTTTTCATCAGCATATCACGTATGGCACTTCTAATGCACATCTTCACCCACCTTTCAAGTTCGTCCCCGACGTGCACACACTCCTCTGGAAGAATGGCCGGTGCTTCGCCGGTTTGTGGATTCCTCAGAGCCAGGCTGAATATGCTCGGGTTGGGCTTTTCAATGCCGGCTTCTTCGCTAAGAATTATGGGGTTTAACCAGGATGCAATTTGGAGGTCATCCAGGACTAGGCCTAGTTGTTGTTTTGGTTCAACTCGAGAGTTAAGTGTGCATGGTTTGAAGGTCTTACGCATTCTGGCATCGGTGTTGCTGACCATTGCAGTGCGAATATTCATATCATGAAACTCCTTCACTTGTGATGAAAGCTGTTTTCAGCCATTGACTTGCAACGAGACGAGACACGTACAGGCTGGTATCGTGTCATCATACAGCTTGTAGCCTTCACGCGAGCTGAAGCGCTTCAAAAGCCGGGGTACGATCTCCCCGAGGGAAGAGTCGACATCTATGGGACGATGATTGAGCGGGCTTTGCTTGAGACTATGGAAATATTACAGGCACCTCGAGGATCTGCGCCTGCGCCAATGGCTGTCCGCTTGATGACTTCGCCCCACCACCCGGAGGCAGCATTTTCTCCGGCGTACGCGGGCCGTTCTTTTTGGACGTCCCGCAAGGCTGAAACGAGACGCTGGTTAGGAAGTGCTCGTAAGGATGTTGATTAGGTCCTCGGGTGTGACATCATTACCTGTTTTGAAGGAGCGTTTCAGGGCATCTGGCTGGAGAGTGCCAAGATAAGGCCTGAAGGTGTTTGCGTACTGGACATAAATGGGGAGGCGAGGTGCTAGTGTTGTGTAGAGCGCATCAAAGGTGACTAGCTTGATTACCATGATGATGTTGGGAATGAGCGAATTGCAAGGAACTGAAGCCGGGACAAGCAGCCAATTGAAGCTGTCAAGAGAATTAGTTCCGAGTCCAGGAATAGGTTCTTGGCGCTTAGCGCGGTGTCGTATGTTGCAGGTCAGCCTGTTACATAACCCCGTTCCCTTCTCGCCCAGGGCCACACACGTCCTCACTCAAGAGAGGGCGAGTCCTTTGCTTGGTCCTCTTATCCACAGGATATGTTCGGACGCTCCATCGCTGACATCAGGACAAAACCCTAGTGACCCAGTACTAGTCCAGCTTGAACGTTGAACCCTAGTCCGGTCCACGCGCTAGCAGGCGTCTACTCGCCAGGTGCTTTCTGCGCTGCCTCCTCTCCAATCCCATTAAACGCTCGTTTGCCACGGGGCGTCTTGCTGTAGACCACCATGGCCGATTCTCCCGCTACTCCTCCCCCTGACCTCCAGTACATGCGCCGCACCCAGTCCCTCGGCGATCTCCCCTCTCAGACCGTGCAACACCCAAGTCGCGCCCGCGTGTCAGGCTCGCACCGCCCCTCGGAGCAGCTCAGCAGGGTTTCGGGGCCTCATTCGACCGGCGTACATACGCTCTCGGAAGGGTGAGTTGTTATTACTCCTATTATACTCGAGACTTATGTTATGCGGTGATAGAAGCCACGCGGATTGGTCGACAGCCGAGTCCCCTCAAGCAATAAATGGTTTGGAAAATGGGCATGGAGAAAGTGCAGCTGCGTCGATATCTAGTCAGCAGCCATGGCGCTCCAGGCTGAAGACGTTCTTTGGGTATGGTCCACATGCCACCAAGACGCGCAAAGCGCTTGTGTCATTGTGTGGCAATCTCGCCTATGGTATACTGCAAGTGAGTAAACATCTTGGATTGACCCAGATCAAAGGTGATGCTGATAGAAACCAGGTCATTGGCATCATTGTCGTGCTGAGCGTGGCTTCTGTCGTCAAAAGCCCAAAATCTGATCGATACCAAATAAGCACCTGCGACCGACCACTTGTGGCTTGGAATTGCATCTGGATAGCAAGGGTGTGCCTATCGTGTGTTCTTTCGTATTGGAATTACCTGCGGATGCGTGCTTCGTAAGTCTTTTGAAACTGCCCATGGCGTGTGACGGGGCTCAGGAATGTTATAGGGATGGCCCATCAGTCGATATCGAGTCCCCTCGCCCCCCTGACGAGCCTATCAGCACGAGCGCTCGCCGACAAGCGTCCAGACGATCAAACTCTAGTCCTGGCACATCTGCACCTGCACCTTCCCGTCGCTCGGAAGCTGGAAACCAGTCAGCTCCAAATCTCCCTCATTCTCAGCTTTACGCGCGGTATGCACTCTTATCGCAAGTCACAAATTACTGAGTAACCTAACATGACATATCTAGCCTCTCCTTGCTCTCCTCCATGCTCACTCTAACATGGTTTCTCACCGCTCACATTCTGGAGTACACATCAATCGAGTCCTGCCGATTGTCTTCTCCCCTGGTTTGGTGGCTCACATTCGGCGTCCTTTGTACAATGTATATCGTAGTCATGGAGGTTATCTTGTTCGGTCTCCTGGTGTTCATGATTCTTCCCTTCATTATGGTCCGTACCCCACTTGACTGCCCGTGAAGCCAATATTAACGTCCAGTATCAACAGTTATTCTACAGCATCGTCCTACTCTGCTTGGGGCGACACCCCTTGCAAAATCCGCACTACATAAAGCCCGAAATTGGGAAGCTGCCCAAGGCGCTCGTCGACCGCATCCCACTCGTAATCTACATCCCCACACCACCTGACGACAGCGCGTACTCGCACACGCTAGCTCTGCCGAAACCGGCGCATTCGTACCCGCCAAAACCACAAGGAAAGGCACTGCCTAGGAGACGTTTTGCATTTTTGCGGAGGGCAACGAAAAAGGACAAGGCTGGCAACCCCCTCGTCGGCGACGGGAAGAAGGCGCCAAAGGACAAGGAGTCAAAGGGCGCGAGCGAGGAGGAGACATGGGAGGACTTGTGGGAGGCGGCCGAGTACCCGTTCGTCCGGCTCGAAGGGAACCGCGCGGTCTGTGCGATTTGCCTGATGGACTTCGAAGAGCCGAAGCGGGTAGGAAAAGCGGACAAGGAGGCCGAGGCTGGAGCCGAAACGGGAGCTGAGGGAGAGGGCACGCTCGTACCCGCCGGTCAGGAGCCTACTACGGAGGGCGAGGTGCATATTCCCGTGGAGCGGATTACTGAGGAGGAAAGGGATGTGCCGCGGCTGGAGGATGCTGGAGAGGGACCGCAGCCGTTGCGGTTGCTTGCGTGTGGACATGTTTTCCACGTGAGTCGATTCTCTGCTTTCGGTGCGATGGGAGGGTACAATGAGCTGAACCATTGAACTTTCGCAGAAAACTTGCATCGATCCGTGGCTGACCGATGTGTCGGGGCGCTGCCCGGTCTGCCAGCGTCCGGTCGAGATCGAGGAGGACGAGAAGAAGTCGAAGCGGCGGCGGCGGCCTCGTCCGCCCCCCGAGGCTGAGGAGCCCTGATTGGCCGAGTCCTCGTGGGCTCGGAGTGCTGCATGGGACGATGTTTTGTGAATTTTCTGTTTTCGACTCTCGTGTCTGCTATGATGATGATGATGACGTTTGCAAATTCAATGTGTAACATAGTGCATTCTAAGATTCGGAACAATATTTGACGATATGTGGTTCGGGGAGTCATATGCCAGTCAGACGCTCGTTTGGAGATTCCATGGTGGCGCGCGTACATCCGGTTTATCTTTGTGGTGAGTCAAAGACGCAGGCCTGAAGATTGGATCTGGAATGACCTGACTCAAGACTCCACAAGCGTCTATATGCCGCCGGCTCGGACAAACTCCTCCATGGCCAGCAATTATGACGTCTGTCGTCATAGGGCTGTCATAAGTTTCCCTCTTCGGGGAGGCGTCCGAACCCTCCGATGACCCCAGTGCCCTCTCCAAGGAGCTCGATCAATTTTTGGCACCATCTCGCTCATACACTGGTGCTGGCGCGGAGGCGTCGCGCCAGACTTGCCTTCACCCTCGAACTAACCTGAAACAACCACTAAAAGTTATGCAGGGGCACAAACACGAAAATCCACCACCCGCGGAAACCAGCAACCTAAACTCACAGCACGAGAGCGACGAGTCGGACGCAACGACCGCGGCGGCTGCGGAGGGCGCGTATCCGGAGAACACGGTTGTGCCCGCCCCGCCAAAGCAGGTATTCGAGGACGACCGGCCGTTCACGCACGGTGCGCTCGACGCGGACGCGGGGACACGCGAGGCGCGGGGCGTCTACCTCAAGAATGTGGGGTACACGTTCTTGATGATCACGTTTATCGTCTGGGGCGTGCTTCCTATTTATTGGGCGTCGGTGGGTAGGATTATGGGGAATACGTGGAGGATGAAGGGGTGTGTTGTTGTAAGTTCGACCTATCTCTTCGAATCTTGCCGAGTCAAGCTGATTTGTCGGGTGCTTCCAATTGGCACATCATGTAGGATTTCGATGGCGGCGAGATCGGGCAGACCGTCACGTCGATGTACAGGAACATCTCGGGGATTTCTCAGCTGACTTGGCATATTCTTGATGCTGAGCAGTTTCCTGGCGGGCCGGCTCAGGTGGGCGACGCGGTCGTGGACGAGCAGTTCTGGATCGGAGTTGTAGGTGCGGCTTAATTTCCACTGGGGCGTGACAAGTACGCTTGTCTCATGCGTAGGATGGCTTCTTTAATGCAGTTGCACCGAACGCGACGAGGAATTTGAACGATGCCATCGACGCGGTCGATTCGTTTTATAACACCTCTCTCGCGCTGGCGGCGTATGTGGTCAGCGGGCGAAGTGAGAACGCATAGTTAGTGTTCCCTACGTCTCATCTGTCAGTGGTCCGTCCGCCTTCTGAGCTCATCTGCTTTAAGTCGAAATATCTTTGCCCCCATGGTATGATAGATATTACACAGGCTTATTCCATAGGAGCTAACCACACCACCATCGTTTTAGATCACCGACCAGATTCAAAAAGCATCTTAGCTATTCGCGGCAAAGTTCGTGCCCGCGCTGGCCTCCCGCCCAAATCTGCAGCAGTTGATGGCCGAGGCGCCGATGCTCGTGAGCCAACCACTAGGCGGAACCACGCGGGACGTCCGTCCGTTCGACTATGACGTGTACCTCGATATTCTCCAAGTTTCATCTGTTGTGTTGATGGACTCACTATTGACCACAGGGTATCTGCCGTGGACTTCGTGGGCATGCTCTACTTGCTCATCTTGGCGGTAAGTCTGGGCACGTTTGGATTGGGGACGTGCTAGGCTGACTCAATGTCTCGAGAATATCGTGATGGTGCGAACCAGCCGTTCATAGGGATGTAGTTTCCTCTCATCGTTGTTGCCTAGACATCGCTGCTCACGGCACTCGGTGGATCAGGCTACGCCCGTCGCTTGAAGCTTAGCTCAGTGATTGCGGTTAGGTTGCTTGTTCCGATAAGCATCTACTTTTTCGTAACTGTACGTTTCGTGGCCACCGTTATTAAACTTCATTGTCTCGTGCTGATGTCGTTTTATAGCTCCTGTACTGCGTCATGAGCGAGGCTTTCCAGGTGCCGTTTACTCGGAGGCGAGTAAAGATTTGCTAAGATGGAAGAACTCAAGCTCATCGAGTTTTAGATTCGGAAAATGGGGTTTCGTCATATATTGGATGCAATCCTGGGCCACGATGTGTGCCTTGTGAGTATTTCCTCCGCTACTCTTTTCTCAATCCCTCCCTCTGATGTAAACGCAAGGGGTCTCGCTGTCGAATCGGTCGTGACCCTGGTTACACTGAAATTTGTTCCGGTTTTCTTCATCTTGTGGCTTATTGGTGCGTACAGCAATTCTGCCCTCCTATCATATCTGATCCCTTATTCAACAAATGTTATTTATCTAGCCAATGTCGCTGTCGTATACTATCCCATCCAGACGCTACCCTGGATATTGCACTGGGGATATGCATCACCGTTTTACCAAGAGACCGAGACCGTACGCACGGTCATATTCAGCACGAAAAGCCACCGTAAGTCATCGGCACCGTAAACGAGCTCAAAGATCGCCGCGCGCTGAATCATTCGTATCGTTTGGCACGCCCTAGTCGGCAGGAACTTTGGGATCAACCTCGGCTGGATAGGGCTGTCTTGCATGACGCTGCCTGCGTTTCAGTGGTTCGCGCGTCGGCGAGAGGTGTGCGAGCTCGCGGCGAGCCGTCAGGCCGCGGAATCAGAGAAGGGGGATCCTTGAAGCTGATCCTTGGCTGATCCAGGCCACTCGGTGCTGCATTCATTTCTTGCCGAGTCTGGGCGTCCGATTGGTCTTCAGTTAATTATTTACCTTGCTTGACCTATTCAGTTGACTGCCATGGACGTTTTACTTGGCTGAGGCTCCTGTATACTACACCAATTGTAGCTTTAGTAAGGGTGATCTCCTTTTAGCACGGACTGCACGCTCCAATACCCTCTTGTATTACTTTGATACACCAAGAATACCAACAGGAAAACTCTCATGTTAGTGTAGCTAGAGATAAATTCAAGAGAATGAAATTGACTAGTTTTAACTGCGAAGGACAAAACGTTCGTACGGTTCCTTCGACTGAAACTTCGAGTTGGTTAAAGTTCCCACGGTCGGTTCCGAAACACTGGCACAACTCTCCTTTAACTCAAACACCGACTCTCCTCAAGTCGACCCTTTCTGAATCTGTTGAACACGCAGCTTGATCCGAAACTACATTCAAGTTCACCAGCCCCTTGCTAGTGAATTACTATGGGGCCATTCTATGCGTCCTCGGCGACTCTCAAACGCACTGGAACCAATCAACCCTCATGGATGTCAGGGGATTGTGTTGTCTCCAAGTCCTCTCCTTACCACTGGTGACACATTCATGTCATTATGATGCGGCACGCCTAGGATCCTGACGTCTGTTCACTCTCCTTGGGAACACTCCATTTCCCTAAGTTGACTTTTTCGTAGAGGATATAAAGCTCTCTCCGTGTCGAGGGGTTTGAAATCACTGCATTCTCTAACACCCTCTTGTCTATTCTACTACCCACACTCAACATGCTCTGCACCTTAACGGCAACGCTCAAACGCGTCTTTACCTCTCGACGCAAATATCAGAATCTCCGACTACTTGAAGTAAGTGATGCACCTGTTCCCCCATACATGCATTCGTCTAACCGTTAACCAGCGGGAAGATCTCCATGTAGAGGAGATCGAGCTGCACGCACCAGAAACGATGGAGTACGAGGAACTTCGTCACTGGGCCGACGCCCTGTCTGGCTTAGTCTGCGTACGAGGATGCGCATGCATCTTCTGCACACGACGACCCCAGGTAAGCCACCTTTCGCCATCTCGTTTGAGGATTATATCTCAACAATCTTGTGAAGATCGAGGATGAAATAGAAAGACGTCGTCGCCGCACCGGAACCCGCGACGGACGTACCCCGTGGGAGAGGCGGGCCCGAGGCATTGAAACCGTCGTGCCGCCCACGCAGTCGATCATGCAAGTTCTCTATCCTCCCGAGCTCACTCGGAGCCCCACGCAAAGGCACGCGCTCGACCCGCCGCCCCCCTACTATCCTCGAGTAGAAGACGAGAACGGCTCGCGGAGCTCGAGAGCCGAGTCGGCCCGCCACAGGTCCTTCCTCGATATGGACGACGACTCTATGTCCTCCGAGTCCTACGCATCCAGCGCGAGCTCCAGCTCCGGCTCTGCGGCGCCGACCTCTCAAGAGGAGGACGATGAGGACAACCGGCCGCTCGCAGCCGTCATGGCCGACTTGCGCGCCAGATCAGCGTCGCAGAGGCGCCAAGGACCGCTCACCACGCCGCCGAGAGGGTCGACCGCGCTCGTGCTCTCCGGCGGAGCTCCTCCCCCTTCCCCTCGGGCGGAAGAGATGAGGCGCTGGCGCTGCGGTCTTGGTATCAGCACGGACAACAACCCGGGAGCCCCTCCCGAGTACAGCCGCTACGACCCCTCTGCGCGGCCGCGGTTCCCCACTGCGGCGGATATTCTGGGGCCCTATCCGTCGATGTCGGCGCTGTATGTCAGTAGCCATTGAAGACACTCGTTGATGAAGATGTGATATGTGAACATGGACACGGACTTGGAAAGACAATGTAATTTAACGGATCGATATCATGTTTCTGAATAGTACCCCCTGCATTGTATGACTATTAACACTGGAATTTATCAATTCTATGCCCTATACGAATGTGCGAGAAAGCTTTCTGAACTGTCCATACCTTTTCTGGCTCAAGGCTTAAAACTCCTGTGGCGATTTCATTCAACCCTCCAAGGTCTCGGCGTGGACGTGAAAGAAGATGTCGTCATCCGCGACCTCCGCATCGTCGATGTTGGCCCGCACACGTGATCGTGCCGGTGAGCTCAGCGAAATTTCGCGTCCGTCCCGGCAGAACGCAAGGGGCCCGACGCCATCCCGGAGGCTTGGGTTGACGTCCACATTATTTAATACTCAGCTCGTCGTTCTCCCAGACTGCCACCTTTCCCACTGACGATGCTCTCTAGACTTCCGCGTTCCTCGACCGTCGCCCGATGCTGCAGGCAGTATGCTACCGTCCAGTCTTCAAGGTATCCGGGGAAAACGTGCGTCCTGCTCTTGCACTTCTGGCTCGAACGAATCTCATGTCGTCTGTAGTCCCACAGGTTTGTGCTGTATACTCACACCTTGTCTCTGCCTAAACTTGCCATGTAGCCGTTGTCATGCTTAACATGGGCGGCCCCTCGACCGTATGTTCTCCTATGCATATACACTCGACTCGACTAACGCCGCCTGGACGTTGCAGGTCCCCGAGACACACGACTTTCTCAAAAACCTCTTCATGGACGGCGACCTCATCCCCCTCCCCTTCCAGCGCGTGCTCGCACCCATCATCGCCAGGCGCCGCACGCCCCAAATCGAAAAGCAGTACGCGGACATAGGCGGCGGCTCGCCCATCCTGCGCTACACCGAGTTCCAGGGCGAGAAGATGTGTGAGCTCCTCGACGAGCTGCACCCCGAGACTGCGCCGCACAAGAACTACACCGCGTTCCGGTACGCGAACCCGCTCACGACCGAGACGGCGAGGCGGATGAAAGAGGACGGCGTGAGGCGGGCGGTCGCGTTCACGCAGTATCCGCAGTACAGCTGCAGTACCACCGGGAGCAGTCTGAATGAGATATTCCGGAGAGGGCGGGCAGGGGAGATTGGCGATATTGAGTGGAGCGTCATTGACCGGTGGGGGACGCATCCCGGGTTCGTGGAGGTTAGTGCCACAAACGAGATGTTTTGTCAACTGCTCACAGAGATGCGTGTACAGGCCGTCGCTCAAAACATCGAAGCGACCCTTTCTCAGTACGAGCCATCCAAACGGAAAGACGTCGTTCTCCTCTTCTCGGCACACTCGCTGCCCATGTCTGTGGTGAACCGGGGAGATCCCTACGTCCCGGAGGTCTCGGCCTCGGTGAGCGCCGTCATGGACCGACTGGGGCACTCGAATCCGTACCGCCTGGTCTGGCAGTCTCAGGTGGGGCCTTCGGCCTGGATGGGCATGCAGACTGGAGAGGCAGTCAAGGGTCTGGCGCGCCTGGGTAGGAAGAACGTTGTGCTCGTGCCGATTGCTTTCACGAGCGATCATATCGAGACGCTGTACGAGATCGACTTGGAGTATATCCATGAAGGCAAAGAGGTGCGTCACCGGGTGTCTATCGACTGCATCCCCTGGTTTTGATTTCCTTTCATTAGCTTGGTATGGATATTCGGAGAGCGGAGTCATTAAACGAGTCGCCCGTATTTATTCGCGCGCTGGCTGATATTGTCACGAAACATCTCAAGGACTATTCTGCAGGGAAGGGTCCTACGAGTGTGCAGCTGGACCTTCGGTGTCCGGGGTGCACCAATGTTACTTGTGCCCAGCAGAAAAGCTGGTTCGCGCGCGGCGGTCGTTGACAATGTAGTCGCTCTACTTATTGATAGACATGAACGATAATATGAATGTTGCGTGAGGCTGTGTGAGGTTATCAACGTTGGGCAATTCAGACTCAGCAGAACGCGAGTCTCTCCACGAACGATACACGCGTTACATGCCATGATCTTGTCATAGCTTTATAGCTCTCTCCATCACTCCTTGTCCCGACATGTCCTCCCCATCCCCGACCATCGTCTCCGCACCGGGCAAGGTCCTCGTCGCCGGCGGCTATCTCGTCCTCGACCCTGCCTACCGCGGCGTCGTCGTTTCGACGTCGTCCAGATTCTACTCCGTGGTGCAGGATGCCGCGGGCGGCGCTGCTGCTAACCGCATCGTGGTGCGATCGCCCCAGTTTACCGATGCGGCATGGCAGTACGATGTCGGCTTTGAGGGAGGCTTGGTTAGCGTCGAGCCGTCCAGTGGGAGGTGAGTGTGAACCGTGCAGGGTTGTGTCATGGAGATTCATTCGGTGTTGCGTGGTAGTGCGAGCAAGAACAAGTTCGTGCATCTGGCGCTGCTGCACACGCTCAAGCTCATCGCGGAAATTCGGGAGTCCAAGGGCGCTGCTACAGAGCCGCTGGCTGCGGCGCTCACTTCCGGCATCGACATCGCCATCGTCGGGGACAACGACTTTTACTCGCAGCGGGAAAAGGTGCGCTCCCCCACCACCCCCATCTCATCTGCCCTCCGATGTACTCACACTCACCCACCTCAGCTCTCCTCGCTCGGCCTACAACCCACACTCTCAGACCTCTCCTCGCTCCCACCATTCAGCCCCATCGGCGTCCCGCTCGCCTCGGTGCACAAGACCGGGCTCGGGTCCTCGGCCGCCCTAATCACATCGCTCGTGTCCGCGCTACTGCTGCACCTCCGCGCGATCGACGCGGAGCGCTTCGCAGACGGCGCGAGCGCGGACCGGCGGCTGGCGCACCACGCCGCGCAGTTCGTGCACTGTCTCGCGCAGGGCAAGGTCGGGAGCGGGTTCGATGTCGCCGCGGCGATCTTTGGGAGCCACATGTACAAGCGGTTTGGTGAGGGGGTGATTCGGCCGCTGTTGGGGATGGAGGGCGCGCAGGTGCGTTGAGTTTGAGGGAATTCAAAGTTGGAGGGAGTGCGTGTGTGCTCACTGGGGTCGATGGGTTTAGCTCGCAACGGAGAAGCTGTATCCGGTGTTGTCGCCGACGAACACGGCGTGGGACTATGTCGCGGAGTCGTTCACGCTGCCGCCTTTTGTACGGCTCATTCTCGGGGACGTTTCCATCGGGAGCGAGACGCCGTCGATGGTCAAGGACGTGTTGAGGTGGCGGAGCGCGAGCGGGACCGCGGAAGCAGGTATGGCGCCGTTTCGAGATTTCCCGGCTGTTCGTGTGTTCACCATCCCCGGGCAGCTAACGTGTTGTGGAACGAGATCAACGAGTCGAACCAGGGGCTTGCGAATGCGCTGCAGAAGTTGACGTATCTGGCGTCGCAGATACGCGACGAGTACGAGGCGACCGTTACTGAGCTGTCGTCGTTGCCGCCGTCGGAGGTAGTCTCACGAGTCTTTGGCATTGTCGTTCGTGGGCTGACGACTGAGTTGTGCAGTGGTCGCCTAAACACGGCGTGACGCCCCTGCAGACGCCCGATGGATCAAGGACAGTCGCAGCGGGGCTGTATGAGGTCCACCAAATTAGCGAAGTGAGCAGTACATCCGATCTCTCCCATGCATCATCGAACGCTCATAACGCGACCAGAACATCCGGAAACTCATGCGGACGATGGGCCAAGCAGCCAAAGTCGACATCGAGCCCCCGGAGCAGACGCGGCTGCTGGACACTTGCATGTCGATAGACGGCGTCGTGGGCGGCGGGGTCCCCGGAGGTGAGCGACCACCTGCATTTACCGCGCTGAATCTATCGGTATGCTCATAACGACGATAATAATAATAATAAAAACATGGATAGCCGGCGGATACGACGCTATCTGGCTGCTCGTCCTCGACCCGCCCGCCGCGGCGGACCCGCCCGTCGCGCGCGTGGAGAGGGCGTGGAGCGAGTACGAGAGGGCCAACGCGGGCGTGAGCGTCTCGCCGCTGCTCGCGCGGGAGAGCGAGGAGCAGGGCGCGCGCGTCGAGGCGCTCGGCGGGGTGCCTGGGCTCAGGGACGCCGTTGCCGCTCGATGAGGCGTCATGCTGACGGGCCGGTTTTTACGACGCTGTGTCCTGCCTGGACACGCTACGACTATGCGATATAGGTTTTCTTTTTGAGTTTGTTTCAGGCGTTCATTCTAGATCTGTATTCTACCTATTTAAATCCCTCTTGGTCTACTGTAACATGTCCATGACAATGGTATCGGGTTTCCAACGTCGTCGTATTATTTGCCCACACACGAATACACGGCATGTAACTATGTAAGGCTCCCGGTGTGCTACGAACAGATCTTGGCCCCGCCCTCGGGCGTCCACGCCTTGCCGAGCGCGAGGAAGAGCGAGACGGTCATGACGATGACGCCGAAGACGAGGCATATGGCGGCGGGGAGCTTGGCGCGCGAGCGCCACGGGACGGCGGGGTCGGTGAGCTTGAGGTAGCACGCGGCGGGGAAGATGTAGGCGAGCGCGGTGGCGGAGACGCCGCCGGTGATCTCGAGTGTGACGCCGAGGTCGCAGGTGACGAGGGCGACTGTGGGTGGGTGGGTGGGCGGGCGTGCGGTGATGGGGGTTGGTGTTAGCGATAGGGAAGGGGGGAAAGGGCATGAGGAGCTTACGTAGCATGGAGGAGAGGAGGATGGTGGATGTGAAGAAGACGTGGCGCTGGATGCTGAAGGTTTCGTGCGAGAAAAAGTATTGCTCGATGACCTGCATTATATGTTCAGTCTTTTCCGTAGACCAGCTTGGATCCTGGTGACGTACCTCGCGGCAGACGAAAAGCTCCAAGGGAAGAGTGGTGAACATGTTGAGACCGAAGCAGAACCGTGCAATGTTGATTAGGGTATCGTCCTACCCCTTCATAAGCTTCCAGAAACCCCATGAACAAACGCAACCACCGACCGAAGAAAAATTATTAAGAATGTTGCCCTGCGTCTTGTTCGTAAACACCGAATACCCCGAGATCGCAAGCGTGCAGCACGCGACGAGCGCAATCGCCGTCGAAATATGCGTCACCCTCGCGAACCTATCAAGTGTCGGCGTGCGCAGGCTGCCGTATATCAACAGCGAATTGTGGTGGCACACGAACGCGAAGCTGATCACGCCGATCGCCTGCACGACGCCCGGGCCGAGCACACTCAGCCGCTGCGCGGGGTCGCCCTTGAGCTCGGCGGGCGCGTGCGGGCCCTCGACGAGCACGGCGGTGACGATGATGAGCATGCCGACGAGGGCGAGCCCGGACGCGCGCGCGAGCTTGTGGATGTCGCGGTACAGCGAGAGCGGGTAGGAGACGCAGACGGTGCAGAGCGCGATCACGAACTGGCGGTTCGTGAGCAGCGAGAGCACGGGCACTTTGGACAGCCCCGGGAAGGCGGAGCGGATGGCGGGCGGGATGGTGTCGCCGATGATGATGCCGAAGGCGCACATGCCTGGAATTTGAGGTGGTTGATGAGTGTGAATGACGAGGGGCGGGGGTGGACTTACCGCCGAAGGCGAAGGCGAACTGGAAGAATGAGACGGCGGCTTTGCCGCTTGGGCCAAAGCAGCTGTCCATGATCTCGATATACGAGCTCCGTCCGCTAAGTTTAGCATTGATGACGACCAGGCGGATTGTCCAGTCTGTGACGGCACACAAGACAAAGAGGAGGACAACGCCAGTAAAGAAGCCAGCCTGGGCGACAGCATATGGAAGACCTGAAGAAACATGGATAAGATAAAATGAAGAGCAAAACGCGTTATCAGAGGCTCTGACCGATTATTCCTGAAGAAAGGAAGAAAAGTTCATTTCATTGAGGATAATTACACAGGAAGGATGTACAGTACCAGCTCCCAAGATCGAGTTGGCCATATTAGCCACCGAATCTACGAGTCCACCTCCCGCCCTCTGCTTCGCAGCCAGCTCCTCCAGGTCCACCGTGTCGGACCCGCTCAGCGGCTCATACGCGGCCTCGACGGCATCACCCCCTGGAGTTCGGAACGAGAACCCCTGGATGAGAGGCCGTATCCGCCGTCCCGAGCGCGAGGAGCGCTGCTCACGCTCGATGTCCTCGAGGGCGGCGTCGTCGGGGTCATCTGGGTGTGCAACAACGCGATCGGTGTGAACGTTCCGCTGGCGGTGTGTGCTGCCTCCGCCCCTACCTGCTGCCCCACCACCGCCGCCGCTGCCCACCGCGTCGAAGCTCTGCCGGACGGGACTGATCATCTGGACTTCGTCGTGGAAGCGGACGCTGCCGTGCTGGCGTGGGGTCCGCGTGCTCGCTGTCGCTGGGGTGCCATTGTTGATGTGAGCGGTGTCAAAGTCGTCGTGGGCTGAGAAGAGGGTGTGCGTGTCCGGGTCGAAGCTGTCGAGTTCGTGGCTGGCGAGCAAGGGTTGTCGTGCTTCGCCGTCCTGAGGAGCAACTCGTCCGCGATTTGATTGGGAGGAGAACATTTCAGACCGGCGTCATGAGCTGGGGAGGAGGAGAGTGAACCTGGAAAGTCGAGGCGCTTCTTGGTTCCACGTCCTTGCTATACACCCACGTGCTCACACAGGTTATTCGTGTCGCGTCCATTCCGTCCATCTCGGACTTCCTCATGTCGTCATGACTCTAATCAGACTAACTTTTCTTACTCTCCTTCAATGATGTGCCGGGAAGTGGGTAGGGTACATAAAACACAGGTGGCATAATCGATGACTTGCAAGAGTGAGCAGTACTTACTGCTCACAGGTGTCCTGGAGTAGTAGCAACTCTTTTATTTACAATTAATGGTAGTTTACATATAAAAGACAGGTAAAAGAAACCTCGCCAGGCTCTTTGTCTAGCACCTACAAGACCGTTACTGCTGAGCACATTGTAACGCCTGGACGATGACATCCACCTGAATCCTCAACGCTCGTACTTGGATGGTCAAGACCTTCCCTTGATGCTCAATATCCTCCAACGCGTTGCGAAGATTAACCAAACTAGAGGGAATGTTCAGCTCGAGTTTCGGACCGTGCACCAATACAGAGCCAGTGAGCACTTGCTGTCCCTGTGTAGGGTACAGGGCAGATGTAGGAGGATGCTGCTCAACATTGGTCACAGTGCTCAAGGTGCGCTTGCGTGAGGAAGTTTGACAGTGGTCCCCAGAAGTTGGTGGAGGAACTTGCGATGCCTCGTCAGGAGGTTGAGTGAGACTAGACGAAGGCGAGGGATTGAGCGGATGATGCAAGCCAGAGGGCGGAGGTGGCATCTGTTCCTGCCTCATAGCCCCTATGACTGGGAAAGAGACTCCATAGAGTTTGACTGTTCTCATGTAAGTAAGAGGAAAAAGGACAGAAAACGAATGTCGTACATGCTTTCACTTTCTTCATCTTCTTTTTGGGCGGCTCATCAATTTCGACAATATCGGGCTCTGCATTTGCTACATATACAACCTTGTTAGCCTTCCGGCGAATGGCTCCTCTTTGGCCAGCTACATGCGTCGCTGTAAGGCGCTGACAAGAAGAAGGCAGATACGCTACTTACACATGTTAGTAGCCTTTTTAGGCTTTTGTGGCACCTTTACTAATCTTTATTTGAACAGTTATACAATAAGCCAAGTGTTGTGTACGACTTACCATCAGGAGCAGGTGTGTTGAGGTTGGACATTGCTGCGAGGGAGAAGCAGAGGCGCGAGAGTTCGCGTCGCGCGTACCTGCCGCTTGCACGTGAGCGCGTAAGCAGACCCAGCTGGAGAAGCTCAGCACTTCTGAATCTGAATCCGCCTCTTGTATGTCTTCAAAACACTCACGCCTTTGTTGCTGGTTTCGGTTTGATGTCAGCCTACCCGCCTCCTTTGAAATCGCTTTCTTGACCAGCGACTCAGCGACTGCTCAAAGTCCCACACTCAGCTCACCCGTCCATCTTCGTCCACAAACACAACAATGTGGTACAGCGTAGCCCTCGCTGCTGTGGCACTCTTCCACATCTCTGCTGCACGAGCATCCAGCTCAACCCCACCATCCTCCATCGCCGCGCAATACTCTCTCTCAAGCAGCACATCCCTGCCCTTCCCCACCGCGACCCAGCCCGCCCCCGGCGCAGACAGCTTCATCACCTCCCAATGGTCCCTCTCGCCCAACCACCTGCAGAACGGGCAGGGTAACATCGCGTTCGTCGACGACCCCTTCCCGAGCGCCCCCGCCCCCGTCTCCGGCTCTGGCTCCACCTCTAGTTCGGGCGCGCCGAACGCGAGCGGGCCCGTGCTGCAGGTGACGTACCCGGCAGGGAGCTACTCGCACGACACGGGCGGCGCGCAGTGGTATGCTACGTGGGGCACCGGCACCGGCATCGGCAGCAGCAGCAGCGGCGGCGGTGGGTTCAACAGCATGCTGCTCACGTACGACGTCGCGTTCGACTCCAACTTCACCTGGGCCATGGGCGGCAAGCTCCCGGGTCTCCGGGGCGGGCCGGACGTGTTCGACTGCTCGGGAGGGTCGCAGCCCAACGGCTCGGACTGCTTCAGCACGAGGCTCATGTGGAGACCTGGAGGTGCTGGTGAAGGTGAGCTGTTGTTTTTTGTATCACTGGAGAAAATGAGACTGAGTATTTGTAGTTTATGGCTATGTGCTGTCTCCGGAAAAGCTTTGCTCGAAAGAAGACATCGTGTGCAACTCCGATTTTGGGGTAAGCATCGACAGGGGATCGTATACCTTCCAGACGGGCCGGTGCGTCGCTCCCAAGATCCCTGTGTACCTGCAGGTTGCTGACAACAAATGCACAGATGGGCACGAATCTCGATGCTTGTCCAGCTCAACAGCCCTCCGAGCAAGTCGAATGGAAACCTGATGCTCTAGTACGTTCCGACCCCTTGGGCACATTCCATTAATTGACTCTTCGATCGCTAGCTACAATGATGTCCTCGCTATTTCGCAGCAAGGTTTGCAGTTCCGGAACAGCTCAGACGTCAATATCGGCGGGCTATTTTTCTCGTGAGCAACACTTCTTCTGTTCATAAATTGACGCCTCAGCAAAAATTATCACAGGACGTTTTTCGGAGGCAACAATGCGAGTTGGGCAACCCCAATAACGACACATACGTACTTTCGAAACTTCCAGATGTGGGGAAGCTCGACGGCCTCAAGCCTTCCTTCGGGCGCGTCAAGTACACATTCATCTGCGTCAGGGTATACATTTATTGAGTGGACTATTTGTGTCATCTTTCTGGGACTTGTCGCACTGTTGTAAATTCTGTAATCATTGGGAATTAAGCATGTTCTCTTCATGGATACATTGGTATTGGGTTAGTCTACAGGGCAATGGATACAGCGTGCAAGGATAATACTACAGGAAATTTGATGGCGAAAGCTTCTTCAGATTGCCCGACTTGATCTTGCCCTCCAGAATCAGCTCTGCCAGTGCTTTCGCCGTACCCGGGGCGTTGCAAATGCCCTATGAAAATAATGTAAGCACATCCGTCCAACGATACTCCAAGTCAGCTCACCCAGCATGTGTGCCCAGTCGCAATGTACATCCCCTTCGCGATCTTGTCCGCCGCGCCGACGACAGGGCCCCCCGGAATACTCGGCAAAAAGCACGCCTGGCGCCTCTCGACGACCCCCTCGCGCAGCTCGCGCGAGATGCTCGCGACGTGCTCCCTGATACTCTCGCACGCCGCCTGATCGACCTCGACGTCATCCACACTCCCGGGCAAGACCGAGTCGTCGCCCGGCCCGCACGCGTACACCTCGTTGTCCGGGCGCGCGTAGATCTCGGGCGAGACCGTCACGGTGCGGCGGCTCTGGGCGGCGGGGAGGCGGATCTCGGTGAAGAGCACGTACGGCGCGATCGAGGCGGGGGGTCTGGGGCGGATCGTGATGCTGTGCGCGCGCGTCGCGGATATGGGGAGCGCGGCGAGGGGCGCGATGGTCGGCGACCATGCGCCGGCGGCGAGGACGACGTGTGTCGCGGGGAGCGTGTGCGGCTGCTCGCTGTCGCTGGTCTGATAGACGACGCCGGAGACGCGGCCGTCGTTGGAGATGACGATTTGGGTTGCGCGGCCCTGGACGAGTGCGGCGCCGTTCGCCGTGGCGAGGTCCATCATGCTCGTGGTGAAGAGGTACGGGTGCACCTGCGCCGTGTGGCCTGCGGGCGCCATAGGCGCGTATGCCGTCGTCTGCTCCCTCGCTACCCAGTCCAGATCCTGTGGAAGACCCGTCGTGTCCCCGCCACCGTTCACCTCGTGTTCAGGCTCAAGCCCGAGCTTCTTCTCGAGACTCTTCCGCCTTCCGCCCCCGCCCACACCCGTCCCGCTCTCTTTGTCCTCCTCGCGTGCGGGCACACCGTCGCCCTCCCACGACCCGCACCCGACGAAGCGCCACCCCCAGCGCGCGGCGCCGTCGTGCTCCTCCGCGAGGCGGACGTGCTCCGGGAAGGAGACGGCGACGAGCTCCTTCGGGTACGCCCACTTGGCGACGAGGCCGCCCGCCTTGCCCGATGCGCCCTGGGCGACGCCGTGCGCGGAGGCCTCGAGGACGGTTATCGTGGAGGCTACCGAGGGGTGCCGCGAGAGGTAGTATGCGGTTGTGCAGCCGATGATGCCGCCGCCGATGATGACGATGTTGCGCTGGTCTGGGGCGGCCATGGCGTTTGTTAAATATCGCCTAAGGGATAGAAGTAAAGTGAGAGCTTGAAGTCAGAGAGCCACTGTCAAGACGTGAGGTCACAGATGTGGAGGCGTTGGAAAAAGACAGGGGCTTATTGGCCGACGGGGCCGTTTCGGCTATACGCGGACATCGGGTGGAGGGGCCGGAGCGGAAGATGGGATTTGCTCAGTAATCTGCTCACCATTCGAGATGTCAGCCCTCACTACCTTTCCCTCCCCCTCTTCATGGCCTTCTCTGGTGCTCTGGTGAGCTCTATAGTCTCTTGCTGGCGGCTCAAAGGCTTACTGGTCTGCTAGACGCTGACCGATCTCAACGACTTTATAACACCATCGCAAGCATGCATAAAACCCGTCGAGCAGCTTAACAAGCCCGAAGAGATCTTGGAACCTGGAGCAGCATCTGTGGGCCCATATTGTGCTTTTATCGTCGTTTTGATATTCACATTGACTCAGACCGAAATACGCATCGACTCCTCTGGCTCCTACTACGAAGTAGCCAAAAACGAGCCCTCGCGACCCTCAACTGTCCCACAGAATCCAGAAAACAAGCTCCAGCAAGCCCAGATTAGCCTCAACGACTGCCTAGCATGCAGGTACGCCCCTCCCACGTCCTCACCCGCCCAACAAAGCGAATAACCACCCCCAAGCGGCTGCATCACCTCCGCCGAATCCGTCCTCATCACCCTCCAATCGCACACCGAGGTCCTCGCCTTCCTCGCATCCAACCCCCCGCCTGCATCCGCCGCGCACAAGGTCCCCGTGCTCTCTATCGCGCCGCAGACCCTCGCGTCCCTCGCCGCGTCCGTCTCCTCGGGCTCTCGCGCACCCGTCGCACCGCGCCAGATTCTGCGCCGCGTCGCCGCGTTCGCGCGGGAGGCGCTCGGGTTCGAGAGGGTGTACGATACGACGTTTGCAAGGCATCTTGCGCTCAGGGAGCATGTGCAGGAGTATTTTGAGCGCCGGGATGGGGCTGGACAGGACGGAAGTGGGAGTGGGAGTGGGAAGCTGCCGATGCTGGCGAGCGCGTGCCCCGGGTGGATATGCTACGCGGAGAAGGCGCACGCGGAGATGCTGCCGTTTATCGCGCGCACCAAGAGCCCGCAGCAGGTGATGGGCACGCTCGTCAAGGCGTGGCTGGCGCCCAAGTGGGGGAAACGGTGCGTCGTCCGCCTTCTGCGATGCGTAAACTGAGCTCATTATCATGTGTGGGCAGGCCGGACGAGGTGTACCACGTCGCGGTGATGCCCTGCTACGACAAGAAGCTCGAGGCGTCGCGCCAGGACTTTTACAGCGAGCTGTACGCGACGCGGGACGTCGACTGCGTCATCACTACCGGCGAGCTCGAGCTGCTCATGCGCGAAAAGGGATGGGACCTCTCCGTCCCCGTCGAGCACGAAGACGAGCCCCTTCCCCTATCCTCATCTTCATCATCGCCATCGCTGGGCACACCAGACGACGACGCAGCCCTCCCCGAACTGCTCACGCACCCCGGCACGAGCTCCGGCTCCTACCTGCACGCGCTCATCGACGCCGTCACACGCGCCGTGGCACCCGAACCCGTCGCGCTGAGCGTGAAGACGGTGCGCACGGCGGACTACGCCGAGTACGCGCTCGCGCGGCGCGACACGGGCACGGTCGTGTTCCGCGGCGCGACGTGCTACGGGTTCCGCAATCTGCAGAACGTCGTGCGCAGGGTCGGCCGCGAGGCGGGCGTGCGCGTCGGGCGGGGCGCTGCGGGGCGTATGGCTGGTGCGCGCGTGCGCAGGAGGGGCGGGGCCGCTGCTGCTACGACAGGCAGTGGTGGTGGTGAAGAGGATAGGGGTCTGGACTATGTCGAGGTGATGGCGTGCCCCGGCGGATGCGTGAACGGGGGCGGACAGCTGCGGCCTATTGCGGAGGCTGCGCAGGACGCAAAGGACCCGGAGGGGTTCGCGAGGAGCTGGGCGGACAGCGGGGTGCATCTGCCCGAGACGAACGCTGCGCCCGCGGGGGAGGAGGGTGCGGCGAGCGGGGATGTGGCTCTGGCTCCGCAGCAGCCGGCGTCGTGGGGGAGCAAAGAGTGGACAAAGGTCGTGGAGAGGTCGTATTGGCAGGATCTGCCAGCGTGGGCGCAGGCGGAGGACAGGCTGGCGGAGGCGGACGCGCTCGCGGCGAGGATCACGTCGGAGATCTACGCATCGCAGCTCGTGCAGGCTTCATCTGCCGATGCGCCCGAGGGCATCCAGCCGGCGCCGTTCAGGACGCAGTATCACGCGGTCGAGAGCGACGTCGTCGGTCTCGCCGTCAAGTGGTAGGTTTTAGGACCAGAGGTCGAGCAAACCAAAATGGAAGATGTATTATGATTACGAAGATGTTTTCGATAAGAATAGTGTGCGGCGTGAACAGTAAAAATACAGGGAGACATGGGACAGCTTACGATATACTACGGGAGACAAGGTGCGAGGATTAGATATGTGGATGGTCTAGAGTAGAGCCGAGTCAATCGTGCTGGCGGGGAATATAGGGGTGTCGCGAGGAAACGAGCCGGTCGCTGCTCAGCTTGCTGTAGATTGGTTCGAACTTTTGAAGTGCGATTGTCGTCGTTCACTGCTGGGCGCGGCGAGCTGCTTGGGCACCGCCCTTGAACCAATACGCGCAGTGGGCGCAGTAGTCTGTGACCGTCCGCGTGATGGTCTCCTTGCGATCGGGTCCGTAGTACTGTGTCACGACAAGGATGGTGTGAGCTGGGGGTGTTATGGATACGACAAAAGGTAGGAGGCTCTTACCAGGTCGCATTGGCAGTCGGGACAGTTTGGCGGGTGTGCGGCCGAGTTCCGGCAGTAGCGATTGCCGCAGTCGTGTTTCATAAGCTTCTTCGACTGCACGAAGGGTGTCTGATGAGCATTCTCTCTTCGGTCGAGTGCAGGCAAGCGAGAAACTCACAATCACGTAGTGCTATGGAGCGGTGGCGCAACGAAGAGTGAGCGTTCTGGACTCGTGCTATATCGAGCAGATGAACACTTACTCCGCAACCATGTTTTGTTCCCTCACTGGGCAGTTCGGTCAGGCTAATTCCCATATAGGGAGATTATGAATAGGACGACGCACGTTTCGAGATAGCACATCGCAGATCGTGGACAGGGGTGCGGTTGAAGAAGACTGAGAGAGCTGGATGCAGGTGTGGCAGTGAAATGCGGGGTAAAGATGTGAGTAGCGGACTCGGAGGGGTGCGGGGTGGGATGTGGGGGAGGTCTAGAATGTGGGTTGAGGATGCGGGGAAGGGAGGAATTAGCAATCCCGGATGCGGGGGGCCAATCGTGGTCGACGGAACGGGGAATGGAGAGCTGTTGGAGCGAGCGAGTGGGAGTCAAGGGAGCGACGGTGTAGCAAGGCTTTATAGTGCTTTGGGTGGTCCTGATATAGCGTATTAGTGTCGTCAGCTAGTGGTTGAGTGAGTGACGAGACTGACTGAAGCGGTTCGGTTCGGTCAAGTGACCGTGCAAGGTGCGATCGATAACAATGATCAACGAGTGTGCAAGGGGATGGGGGGAAGGTAGTGTGCTAAAGAGAAGATGGATGCCGATAAGTAATAAAGCGAGTCGTGATGGAAAGTGTCTGGCTTCCCTCCAGAATCTCTGCGCGGCCAACGGACCAACGGATCCACCCTCTCCGACTCCACAACTCCCCGTTCCGTCTTTCGCTTCCACGACCTTCCATCTCATCCGCCGCATCCCCAATCTATTCGGCATCCAGCTTCTTCGGATCTATCGATCCCAGAGATGAAATAGTCGAACATTCGGTCACACGAACATCGTTGGCCTGCAACTTTTAGACAAAAAGACAACGATCGAAACGGATCGACGGGGCGCGGGGCACGCTCATAACCTCGGAGCTGTCAAGATAATGTCTGCTGCCAGGCAACGACGTCACAGAGCCGAAAGACGCCGACCCGTATTTGCACGCGCTTGTCAAGCTGATCCGGCACCGCCCAAACAATCACACACAACTGCGCGGCCCCAGTAGAGCATCCCTTGCTCCCTCGCATGTCGTCCTCCCCGTCCCCCTCATCCCAGCCCACTACACGCTCCCGCACAGGCCTCTTCATCTCATACAGGGACTCTCGCGCCCCCTCGTCCCGCTTTTCTAGGCCCCAGTCCTCATACGATGAAGCTTATGGCGACGATTCAGAAAACGAGAGGCTCATAGGCTCCAGCTCTCGTCACGTAGCCATCGACGTCAACTTGCCCCCCAAATGGTCTGTTCCTATCGAGCCTATCGCCTCGGACTTTCGGAGCACTAACGGTGGCTGAAAAGGGTTGACGTCTCGGACGAAGTCGAGGAAATACTAGGAGGCACGCAGCTCAAGAGTGCGTACACACCTGCAGCTATCAGACATCGCGTCATCGTCTCATTTGTCTTTATCTTTGCACCACCCAGTCGCGTCCCTCGAAAAGCTGCACGCAAAGCACGCTCTGCCCGGCTTCGCGGACCGCACTGCTGAAGAGAGGGAAATTGAGACCGCGACGACCGAAATCACCAGGGTGCGTTCCGTCCTGCCCACGCGTCATAATCTCACCATTTCTCATTCCGTCCTCGTTGTCTGCCGCTCGCTGCCGGATCTCCAGGACTTCCGCAGATGTCAGGCCCTGATCCAGCGGATTGAGGCAGATCAGAAGCATGCCTTTCCCCCCGGGCGCAGTGCCTCCTCGCACGAACTCAAAGCTGCGAAGAACGTCCAGCGTGGGCTCGCGGCTAAAGTGCAGGACCTCAGCTCGACGTTCCGCAAGAAGCAGCGCGTATATTTGGAGAGTGCGTGTCATGCTCGTCTTCCGTCATCCCGCGCCGAGCTGTGGGGGCTGAATGACGTCTTCTTACCTTCCGGCTTGCCTTTGCAGGAATACAGGGCCATGCGATCAAGAATCAGGACTTGCTCATCGCGTCAGGGGCCATCTCGTCGAGAGGCGTGGACGCGATGACGGCGTTGGACGATGACATTGAAGCCGCTGTGCGTCATCCGATCGTTCTTGGTTGCCTTGTTCGCGCAGTAGAGCTAACCCTAAGCCATCGAACTCTTTTTTCAATACATAAATATAGAATCAGAGTCAAGTGCAGGCGACGGAGAGCGCGCCGGCTCACGACTTCCAGCAGCGCAACCGCGAGCTCACAGAGATTGCGAGCTCGATCGCGCAGCTCGCTGAGCTGTTCAAGGACCTCTCGGTCCTCGTCATCGATCAGGGCACGCTGCTCGACAGTGTCGAGTACAACATCGAGCAGACGGCGGCGCAGGTCTCCGAGGCCGTTCAAGAGCTGAATGTGGCTACGAGGTACGTTGTGTGCCGGGCCTCGGCTCATCGCCTCGTGTTGCTTGTCCGCTGACCGGTGTCAACTTGTTTGACGTTTGCAATAACAGATACCAGAAGAACACTGGGCGCCGGAAGATCATCTTCCTCCTCCTGCTGATCATCTTTGGGCTGATTATCGTGCTGATATTCAAGCCGCGCCGCCACGCGTCTGATTCGGACTTGTCTTCTACGTCTACGTCTACTGGTGCTTCTTCGGTATCCGAAGATGCGTCTGTGTCGCTCAAGGACCCTTTGCCCCCGTTTGAAGAGGACACGTTTAGATCTCCTGTATCGGTACTATTCGAGCGTGCACGGACACCTTTTTTACATTTACATTCGGATTCTGGGGATTCGTTCCGATAATATTAATGATATACTGTAGGCGGTCGGGTTATGGTGCCTCTTCCTTTCCACTTTGCGTGAATCCGAGTCCGCTTCGAACGGCTGTCCGCAAGGAAGGCTGTGGTCACAGGTCCACGGGGAGTGCATGTGGACTTGAAGTTCTGGCGAGCCCTTTCATTGCGACGCCCGGAACGACATGTTCAAACCTTCCAAGACTCCCGGGTCGAACAAGGTTCACGGGCCCATTCAAGGTTCCGTTGGACGAGCCTGATCTTCTCTTCGGCAAGAGGGGACTGGTGACGGCCGGATGAGGGCGAAACCTTGTGAGTACGTGTGCCGACTTCTGTGCACAAACATGATGGCGATATCTCATTCTGTCGTCACCGACTGGGCTGTTCGAGCTCTCAAGCTGCTGACTCCGTCTTCATCTGCAAGGTGTGTTGATGGCGTTACTGAAGGTATTAATGCGAGGCTCGTGTCAGCTCGTGTCGTGTGCTGATTGGCTCGCGCCACTTTGCGTCGTCTTTGCGCGTGTGCTTCTGCTTTGCGCCGTGAAGCGCGAAGCCAGCAGACGAAGGCACTGGTCACGGTAGTGCTGCTTCTCGATCATCGTGGCCGCAGGCAGAATCGGAAGGTGTATATACGGTATGCACTGCGTGTAGGTTGCAGCTAACTTTGAGGACTCGGCCGACTGCGACGGTGCCCGCGAGAGCCTAATGGTCGATACGATCCACGCTTTTATGCGGTGATTCAATTCTCAGTGATATTCAGATATTCAGAGTTCGCTCTTTGCAATTGCAGCCCGGGCTCGCCGCTGATGCATACATTTGCGTGAAGATGTATGTATATATGTGATCCTCAGGGCGATGAATATGCGCTTCTGGTGCCCGTATAGTGGAAGCTTTGGACTTAGGGTTCAGGTGCGTTCAAATAGGAAGTTCTTGTCATACGCTACTACTAGTATGAGGCTTCTGCTGCTGCGTCGTGGACAGTTGCGCAAATTGATATTGGAAGAGATGGTGTGAACCTTGACTGCATCGAAGCTTGCAAGCTTGCATGAACGGCTTCGTCCCACTTAAGCTTAAGCCTGAGGCCTGCGTTCGGATGCGAGCGATCGCCGTCGCCGGGTTCATTCGTTTCATAACCAAGGTCAGCGTCATACAGTATGAAGCAGGTCATTGGGTCTGACGGAACAGCGTACCCAATTTCGCTGAGCTCTCCGTTCATTGATCATTAATCATCGTGCAGATGACAGACGGATTAATCGGTGTACTGTGCTTCCCTTGAACTGTCTCATTTTGCGTTGTCCTGGTTCGTAGGTCTACTCCTGCTCAACCCTCCCGATCCGCACCCAATCACACGTCCACGCACGCTCCCAGCCCTCCGAGCCCAGGGAATCGAAAAACGCCTGTCCCTTGGCGTTGGACTGCATCGTCTCCGCCCACACCCACCCCGCCGCACCGCCGCCCGGGTCGCCGTCTGCAAGCGGACAGCCGCTGGTGGTGGTGGTGACGGCACCGGGGTCCAGCATGCGCCCGAGCTCGCTCACGACGCGCTTGCCGAGGCGCCTGCCGCGGTATCTGGTGTCGACGTAGAGCGTGCCGACGCCGCCGTCCGAGTGGATGAGCGCCCATGCGATCGCCCTGCGCTTCGTCGGGTCCGCATCTGCCTCTGCATCTGCGCCTGAGCTCGAGACGGCGACGGGGCCGGACGGATCGCGCAGGCAGACCGAGTACGGGAAGCGCGAGCGGAGGTATGTGGCTGAGCGCGGGATGTGCGAGGTGGAGCTGACGGTCGGGATGTCGTGCTCGAGCATCTGTGAGACGATCCAGTCCTGTTCATATAGCGTGGGGGACGACTGTGGATGCAGTTGAGGATTGGTATTGGAGCGCGAACGCTTGGCGTTGTCCGGGGAGAGGAGGTACCGCGGGCACGGGTTGCGGCTGAGGATGATCGGCTCTGTCGCGGTGCGCCATTTCTCGTGCACGGCGCCGATGACGATCTGCGGGGGGTCGTCGCTGTTGTTGGGCTTGAGGACGTGGAACCGCGGGTAGTGCGCGTCTGCGAGAGCGCGCAGCGCGCGGAAGGCGCCTGCAACGTGGGTGTTCTCGTCTGGCGTTGGGAACTTGGATTTGTCGCCAGGTGCAACTTCTGCTGAGCAGAAGTAGCGGAACTGTTGGGTGGATGGCTCGAAGGTGAAGACCGAGAACAGAGGTCGCGCGGAGACGCCGTCCGAGATTTGGGCTTGCAAGTTGGCGAGACTCTCGGTGCACCATGCTTGCACGGTTGGGTGGTTGTCTACGCTCAGAGGCCGCGTGCGATCGAAGGAGTTGACGATGCTCCCGAGCACTGAGAGGCTTTCTGGAAGCGCGTGCTTTTCGTCCGACAAGACTTGGATCAGCAGAGATGCAGACGCCTCAGAGGAGATGTCAACGTCCTCGAGATGGAGAGGTGGGCCAGTCATGGCGGGCTGGAAGTCTGGCATCAGTCATGAGATTGAGAGCTGGTGGAAGATATATTGTGCCAGTGGAGGTTCGAGTCAGCGAGTTCAGTAGTGGGATGACTCTGGGTGACATCAAGGCTCGGGCCGAATCTCCGACGATGTGGGTTGATGGATTTCACCCACTCGTCGTCAGTCACGATGAGCAAACGCTAAGAAAGTTTCTTCATAGCACGGTCACCCCGTATGTATGTCCAGTGTACCATCCACCCGTACCTCCATCCCTCCAAGCTCAAAAGCAGCTTCTGACTCTCCTCGTTCCAAACGTCCGCCTCGGTCCAGTTCCACCCGAGCGCACCGCCGCCCTCGTCCCCACTGGCGAGCGGCGAGTCCGGGAACCTGACATCCAGCTTCCTCACCAGCTCCTTCACCACGAACTTGGCGAGGCCCCGCCTGCGGTAATCGGGATCCACGTACAGCGCGCCGATGCTCCCGTCGGCATGAAGCAGCCCCCACGATATCGCTCTCCCAGGCGGACTCGCCGCCTCGTCCCGTATGCAGACCGAGGTGGCCGATCGAGACAGCAAATACTCCCTCGACCTCGGGATATGCGACGTGCTCCGCACCGCATCAACGTCCCTCTCCTCGATCTTCGAGATCGTCCAACTTTCACTCAGCGGGAGCGCCGCCGGATGGTCTTGACCGGTGACGCCCGACCTTGCCTCAGGCGCGAGGGCAGGCCTGATCTGCCTCACGGACGGATTCTGGCTCTCCGCAAGGGGCTGGAGACACGCGCTCCACCGCGCGTTGACGCACCCGACGAGCACCATCGGCGGCGCGTCTGTCCCCTTGGCCTCAGGCGCGTGCAGCACCTTGGTCGGCATCAGATCCGCGTCGTACGTTGGCCTGTGCGCCGCCGCGAGCTGCAGGAGCGCGTGGAACGCGGCGAGAACGTGCGCTTGCTCCTCCGCTGACGGGGCTACCGCCTCAGACGAGGGCGAGGACTCTGCGGAGCAGACGAAGCGGAACTGGTGGCTGACGGGGAGGAAGACGACGGCGGAGAAGAGTGTTGGTGTGCCTGGATGCAGATCGGAGAGAGGCGCGGTGAGCCACATCTGCACGGTAGGAGGTGAGAGCGGCAGGGCGACCGTTCGGTCGCGCGAGTTGAGGATGCCGCCGAGCGCTGCGAGGCTGTAGGGGGCGTGGGGCCGCAGAAGCTCTATTACCGCTGAGAGCGTCGTTTCTGAAGTGAGGTCTACCTCGTGCAGAGCAACAGGTGAGGTCATGGTAGGTTGAGGTTGAGTTGAAGATGCAGCTTTCTGGCTACTAAGCGCTCCTTATATACCCACCAGAGTGTCTGAGTCATATGTGCGAATGAGGGTGCCCGGATCCGTGGTAGCACACATAGCTCATCAGAGTTTACTTATTAGTATATCAAAACGGAAGAATCTGCATTCGGTAGAAGCAACAACAACCAAAACTGAGTAATCGTACATGCGGTCGCAAAAATATTGAGTGGGGAGGTATAGGCTTCGAGTTCGCTGTCAACCAAGATACTTGGATGTTTAGTCCTGGACCGGAGTGATGGGCTGAAGGTCTGGCATTCTGTCCAAGAAACCGGCAGCGGTCTGCAAGAACGTATACGCTGCGCCGTTGCCCTGTAAGTCAGCTATTAGCAAGAACGCTCGTCTGTCAACGAGCTCTGAAACTTACGAATTCGGTGTAGGGGAATCCAGCGTCAAATGGAATAACAGACTCCAGCTCCTTCACATGTTCCTTGGTCAAGGAAACACTAAGAGCCTCGATGTTGGCGAGCAGATGTTCGACCTTGCGCCCACCGATGATGGGGAACACGAAAGGCGCCTTGTGCATCACGTATGCGATGGCGATGGACGTGATGTGTTCCGCGCCAACCTCTTTGGCGATCTTCTCGAGGGCCGCGCTCATCTTCTTCTCGGTCTCAGTGCGTTCCCAGCTCTTGCCGAAGACAGTACGCCCGTTCTCGCCCGTCTCGCGACGGCGCTCCTCTTCCTCGTCGGTCCGCAGCTTTCCCTGTCCGAGCACACCCCACGGTGCGAGCGCCATGCCTGTTGAAAGAAGGAAGGTGGCATTAATATTGGTGAAGCGGGAGCAACCACTATCGCAGCGAACCTTCAGACTTTACCATCGGGATGATCTCCCGTTCGAAAGACCTCTCCAAGAGGCTCCATCTGCCTTGGTAGATGACGAACTGGGATTTGCCGTGGCACCTCGCGTACTCGTTGGCTTTGGCCACAACCCAAGCAGGCGTATCAGAGATACCCTGTGAGGATCCGTCATCAGGCATGATAACGAACTTATGAAGGGCACTAGGACTTACCAGATACAGAACCTTGCCTTGCTGGACAAGGGTGTGCAGACCGTTCATGACCTCCGGAATAGAGGTCTCGTAGTCCCACCAATGGATGTACAGGATATCAATGTACGACGTCCGCAACTTCTTCAAACTCGCGTCGACGCTCATGTGGAGGGACTTGATGTTGTTACCCATGTAGAGCACCTGCTGCTTGATGGACTTGTCTGCGAGCATATAGCTGCTCGCATACTATAGCACCAAAGGTTAGCGACAGCGCTATTTCCACGATAGCCTAGCACATCCATCGACGACGAAACCGCGCGAACCTTGGTGGAAATAACCAGCTGGTCGCGAATACCACGCGCCTCGGCCCACTCGCCGATAAACTCCTCGGACGCGCCAAAGTGGTACGCGTTCGCGGTATCGATGAAGTTGCCGCCGGCCTCGTAGTACGCGTCGAGCAGCTTGAACGAGGACTCCTTGTTCATGTCGCCCAGGCCGAGCGCGTGCCACTTGTCGCCGATGCTCATCCCGCCGAGCTGGAGCGGCGAGACGTGGATCGCCGCCGTGGGCGAGAGGAGGCGGTAGCGCCCGAGGCGGGTGGGGGGCTGGGGTGTGGCGTGGATAGAGGACATTGGTGGTTCTGGTGAGCTAGTGCTTTGAGCTGCAGTTAATGGCTTGCGATGGATGCTGCTCGATGAGGTGGTCAAGGAGGCCTTTTTATACGGCTTTCGTACTGCCTTTGAACCGTTCGACATGTGATGCGGGTCGGGAGAAAGGCCCGTTTGATCTCATCGTGCTTGCGTAGAGTCTTGTAGAGGGTCAGAGATTTTTGTCAATGAAAGGCTTCGGTAGAGTTGAGAACCCAATCGAAGTGCTAGTTTTGGGATAGGGGCTATAGCTTACGGATGCGGTTCGGTTTTTGCGCTCGGGGCTTGCCAAGTTCTTGCCCGCAGAGTCTGGCACGTGCCTGCTCTCAGCATTACAAAGACGGTGCGGTTCTGTCCTCGTGGGTTGACATCCATCCGCGTAATCTTGAGCACGTAAGCCTTTCCTTGGATTGGATGGTCCAACTCCTGAAACCAATCGAAGACAGTACAGTCGACTGTACTAGGTTAGTGCATTGGCATCCACGGTGACCAAAGACGAAGCGTTGATGTGGCTTGAAATGTACATTGTGCAATCGCGCGGTGCCCGATATAACGATCCAGAGCGTTATAAGTGCTGCTACATTCTTGAACACTAGAGTAGAAGGATCCTGTAGCCGCCTTTCTCTGTCTGAAGGACTCAAAGTCACCCTGAGACACAACAAAGACAAGCCACAAAGTGCTCGAAGTCGGACTATGAGTCTGAGGGACCTAGACTCCTAGACCTCGGCACTCCAGCGAGCTCGCCGCTCGTCATCTGTCTGCTCCCACCATGGCGGCGTCCCGCGCTCTCCAAGCGCGACCTTGGCTGCCTGCACGCGTGTTCGTGCGGCGGTGGTCTCTTCCTTGCTGGCTGCATGCTTGACAGCACGTCGCGCCGCCATGAGCGCCTTGCGCAGCTCAGCGGCGCGCTTCTCTGGAATGAGTGGGTCGGTAGCACGCCACTTGCGACCCTTGATGATGGCAAAATGCCCATCCTCAGTAGTCTGTGCAGCGTTTCGAGGCATTTAAACAAACGCGTCTGGGTTGTCGATGGTGGGTGTGTTATGGTAGCGAGCGATTGAGTGTGGTCAAGAAACGGGACCCTCAGGGGCTTACTTGCCTTATATGTCCGCTTGGAATACTTGATGTTCGTGCAAGCGTAGTTCTCTGAAGAACGCGGTCCGTTGACCAAAGTGTTTTGCCTTGACGTAGTGAGCGCCGCTATGTAGAGGAAATAACTGCAAAGAGACAACGGTCATGGGCTACGGAAATGGATTGCGATGGGCGAAAAAGGTCGAGAAAGGCCTCTTACATGTAAGCCGGTGTTTAAATGGATTGCCATGCCAATGAGGTATCACTCAGACCATCGGCTTAGTCTCCTGAATTCCTCTGCATCCTACTCAACCCGCTTCGTTTTCTCGCACTGTCAAAGGGTCGTACCACTGAATTACTGAAGTCTGAATCACGCCCACCCAAATCAACATATTGCGTACATCATCAGTGTCGCTTACTCGCCTAACCGTGGTTATGCCAAAGCCTCTCAGCTATTTGTTTCGGCGACGCCTTCTTCTGATTCCCCTCCTTCTGCTTGCCTTGTTCATCTACTGTGTCCCATGGTCGCTCCCAGACGGACTTGATCTTGGAAATCTCCACTCTCTCTCGCGCGCCAATATCGCCTACCTCATTCCCAAATCGCCCTTTGGAAGCTGGTCCAAGGACGAACCTGACGAGATTTGGGGTCTCCTGCATTTCGTAACCGCAGGAGATAACCGCATGCTTAGCCATAGCATTGATGTTCACCCAGATGAGCCGATGCCGATGAGCGTGTACCGTAGCGAGAAGGATGGAGCTTGGGAGTCGATAGAGAGACGTTTCGAAGGAATGCCTTTGATCGTATTTTCTAAGGTGAGCTCCGTTTAGGCTAGACACATAGTCTTTGTCGCTGAAGACTTTCATGGCAGACTTATTGCCCGTAAGTACTCCCCAATGACAGAAGCTATCTTGGAATTGCTGGCTGATTTCTTGATGTCCTAGATATTCACGCCGCGCAAAAGCATTACTAGCGTCGTATAACCTGTCACCTGCAGCCACTATTGTAGAAGTAGACCTCCGAGGTAAGTGCCTAGTCAAAACGTTCCCTGCTTCACTCTGCCGTCCATTACATGCTCAGAGCTCACGCAACTCAAGATGATGGCGACCTAATCAAGCATATCCTCACGCGCCTCACCGGACGTGGCACCTTTCCAAACGCTATCCTCAACGGTGTTTCAATTGGTGGCTCGGATGACTTGCATTCTCTCCACGCTCAAGGACGTTTACAAGAGATCATAGAGAATGCGGGCATACACACCGATGGTGGCTAGAATTAATGTGCAAGGGCTGGACTGCCAAACTAGGGCTTGTACTTATATTATGTGACTTTTTCAATCTATAACTTGACAGTACAAGTGTAGCTGTGGGCCGGGTCTGCAACCAACCTGGACAACGGAAGAAGAACACATTGCGCAATCCAAGTAGGGCGCTCTGGATGGGTTCAACTCCGGAATGAAGGTACCCGAGTGCAGTAGACAACACTGCAGGACACTGCAGGGTTGTTACAAGCGTGGCTTTTGGACGGCAAATCTGCTGATGGGCCAAAATCATAGACTCGTAACCAGTCGCCGCGTTTTGCGTTCCTAAAAGGGAACCGAGCCATAGGCTCTCGCGTCAGCGAGACTGGTACATCTCGACACGCCTTTGGCAGGGAACCCGCGGAGTGTGAAATTGGCTTCTGCCGAGCGCCGGCAGCCCCGGATTCAGGGTCGCGCGCACGACGCGACGCGTCTGGATGTACATAGCATACCTCCCAACGCCTCGTCCATATCTCGTCGTTCGTTTATTCGATAATCACAGAAATAATCATGCATGTTCTTTTCCATATCCAAGGCCCTCTGAGCGAAACAGCCCGCGAATCGCTCGACTATTTATCATTTGATTTTGTCGACAATCTCACTCTGTCTGATGCTCTGGTGGTGCATCAAGCTATCTCGTGGTTCGATTTCTACACAAAGGGCCAGGGACAGCTTCGTGAATTCCAGCTAAGGTCTACTCTGAAGACGCTTTCTGGAGAGAATGTCATCGTTCGGGCTGGAACAGGCTATGGAAAGACAATGACTATGATCCTTCCACTCCTCCTCAGTCCCCAGCCTTCGAAAATCGCATTGACAATCTCCCCGATGAAGCTCCTTCAACAGAACCACGTAAGTCAACTCCTTGCTGTATTTTCACCCCCTCACACTGCCGCAGGTCGAGGAATTCAATCGCATGGGCATCCCATCGATTCAGATCAATGAGGATACCCCGGACGACAAGGAGCTGTGGAAGGTGTGTATCTCAGTCGATTCAACGCATACAACGCTTCATTACCTTTATTTTTTGCAGAGAATCGAACGAGGATACTACAAGAACATATTCATCGCCCCCGAGCAGCTGTTTCGACTCAAAAACGGCCACATTCCTCGGCTCGCTTCATTAATGTTCACGAACCGTGCATTCCTCGAGAGCATTGGTTTCTTTTTTATAGATGAAGCGCACTTCATCGTTCTGAGTGGATTCCCTCAACGAGGTGAAAAGGATGCCTTTCGTCCGGTATACTCACGCCTTGGTGAAATCCTGCCTCTACTTCGCGAAAATCCGCCGGTTGTCATCCTGTCAGCAACCCTCCCTCCCCCAATCCTGCACACCGTCCTTGAGACGCTCCACCTCGACCTGAGTACAACTACACAGCTCATGGAGTCTGTGAACCGGCCTAATCATGCGTACGCTGTACACCAGCTGTACAGTGGCATCAAATGTCTCAAAAACTACGATTTCCTTGTACCTACTGCACCCAATGCTGAACGGCCACCAAAGACAGTCGTCTTTATCGACAGCCGTCTCTCGGCCGCCCGGATTGCCAGCTATCTTCGCTGGCGGATCTCTGACACGCTTAAATCAAGTAAAGTGGTGTCGCACCTCCATTCTTCCATGTCAAGGGATTACATTGATCGCGTTTTTTCCGAGTTCAAGACCTCGAGCGAAATCTCTGTGCTTGTCTCAACTTCTATTGCTTCAAATGTAAGTGGATCTTGATCTTTTATATGCCAAACTTATGCATTCAACTCTAGGGCATCGATGTCTCTGACATTGCACGTGTGGTGTGCATTGGAGCCTTGTCCAGCCTCGAGCTGATGCAGCAAGAGTTCGGTCGGGGTGGCCGAAACCCCACAATCGAAACCATCTGTCTTGCTGTTGTAGAGCCATGGGCACTAACCACTGAGGACAGCAAGCCGCAGAGTAACAAGGAGAAGCGAACTGACCCCAGTGTCCGTGAATATATGAGCCTCAAGACATGTCGGCGCGATTATCTGAGGAAAAAGAATGTTGATGACAGTCAAAAAGGTGCGTGTGCATGAGTTTGAATACTATCAACACTCATATTATCACAGCACTAAAGTTTACAGGATCCTACTGCTGCGACAACCACAATGATGGCTTCAGCCTGACATCATTTTTCCCTGGCGCTTTTTTATACAGTGATCCTCCAAAACCAAAGAAGTTGTCGAGGCCCACACGTGATAATCGGCCACAAGCACAACGCGAACCGCTCCGGGAACTTATCTGGGCTTGGAGAGACAAAACTCGCCACACCAGCACACTCACACTCATGTTTCCAACTAACTATCTTCTTCAAAAACGCGAGGTGGACAAGCTTGTTAAAACGAACCCCAAATCCCTTTCTTCCCTTGCTAACCTCGTCACATTCCTAGGAGAGACTCCGGGCTGGGCAAGAGTTTTTGGCCCAGGACTCTTCAAGGTTATTGAGGAGTACGACATTCGGGTTCAGGCCGAGATTCAGGAGAAAAAGCTGGCAAAGAAAACGGCACCAAGGAAACAGAAAAAACTCAAGCAGGAAGAGCTTGACACTGGTGATATCCCTCCTCCTCCTCCAACCGCGTTCATGCAGCATGTCAGCGAGTTTCAGATTAAAGATGAACCTTGGGCCAGTGACCCCGACGCTTCTCAGGCATTCTCACAGCTCCCTGGACTGTCTAACACGTCTTCTCAAGACGCTTTCACCTCCTCATACTCTCAGATTACATTTGAGGAGCCCCTTGTTGGACGGATGCATGTCCCTACTAGTACTATGCGCCAGCCAAAGCGTTCTGAGCCACCCTCCCAGCCTTCCCAGCCTTTAAAACGAGCTCGTAAGCGTCAGGAGTAGGGCAATTAGAGCATTAGATTATCACTGTAGCTATAGCCTGGTCGTAATAAATTAGAGAGCAACTATAACATGTTTGCAAGAGCAGGAAGTGTGACAACTGCCCGACCTGATATGCGTCTGAGCATTGAGATAACACTCTCATCAAAATCCTCATCAACCTCAGGACTCTCCGGCGTCTCCATGTCAGCATCAACACCATCATTACCACCTCTAGACTCCGTGTCATCAATATCTGAATGCACAGACTCTGACTCAGAGTCATCATCCTCTTTTGACTCGTTACCTGCAGGGAGGTCCTCAACGCCTCCACTTGTCAAATCTTCGTCAGGATGCACCGGTTCTGGTTCTCTGTCTTCGAAGTTGTAATGGTTTGTTCTAACCCACTCCCGGAATGACTTCTGCCAGCTGGGAAGGCCGGTTTTCATTAAATAGTCGATGCCTGCAGATATCACATCAACAGTTTGAGCATGAGTAGTTCGTCCAGGTATAGGTATGTGGATTCTTGTCTCGTAAATCTTGCGCATGAGTCGAGCAACATTTCGAGAGGTGTCTGGTTCAGTGTGAGTAGTCCCCATCCAGCATGTGTTAAAGAACTTGGTGAACTGAAATTTGAGCGGGCGAAGCACGGGGATGAGAGTGGCATAAGTCGAGAGCTGTCCCCAGTGTCCACGAACTCCTTTGGGGATGTAGTACGCCTGGAGAGCGTAAAAATAAAGTAAGAGATAGTGAAAAAAGCGAACCTTCATCGCGTTGATGAGGTGCTCAATATCCATGTCTCGTCCAGTTGCATGATTCGGCCGTCCAGACATGTTGATTAGCATAAAATGACGCATGACATCGCTTTGAAATGTAAGCTTTAGCTATAGGAAATGAAAATATGAAGCTTACGCGAACTGAGGTATCCAGATCTTCTTGAGGTTCTGGAGTAGGTGAAGCATTTCAGTCATATAATTGAAGCGACCTGCACCAGCAAAACCCTCAGTAAGTATACCCAAGAAGAGCTCAATCCGCCCGAAATCGCCTGAAGAAACGCCCAGAGAAAGCTCGTAGAACACCAGCAAGTCACGGTTCAGCAAGATGACATCCTTGAATGCCTGGTCGACTTCTAGGCCCTCTCCAAGGCGTTGTATTGCGTCGTCCGAGAAATATTTGAGATATATGCGCCGGCCAATGGAAAAGAGCTCGGATGCGCTCAGTTTCGCATCAGCTAGCTCTCGGATTGTCTTGCCGGTCTCAACTTCCCAGTAGACGAGTAGATTAGCTTGTAGCACCTGAATAAAGAGAGTGCACATGAGTTTATAGTCCGGTTTGTCGCCTCCAAGCCGAGAGAGCCGTAGTATATTGATACACCAAGCTAAGCTGCCTGGATCACGATAATCGCCTCGGTGCACTGCGATATTTTGCCAGCCAAGGTTCAAGAGAATATGAAAGGGCCCTGGACTGAGCTGGAAGACCTCAAGACGATGAAAAGCATTCAAATCGCCGGCTCGAAGTTCCATGGCGCTTCGGAGGCGTGCAAGCGTTGACTGATCAGCATTCAGAGGGATGTTGAGACCTTCAAAGTGGGTGGGCGATATTTTGAGCTGCACTGTGTATGTGACATTGGGAAACTCGATATTTCCGACTGTGGTGGACTCGTCTATTGTGGTTGTGGGTAGTGAGTACTGGTCAGCCTTTTCCCCAGCAGGTAAGGGCAGATATGAATGGTGTCGAAGCTCGTCTGGGTCGCCCAAGTAATCAAACGCGTTCCCAGCCGAGTCTCGAAGGATCTTGACCGTGTCAATGACTAGGTGGTACGAGATATCGATACCCTGCTCCAGATCAGTTCGAATATCAAATTTGTAGTCTATGAGATCAAGTGAAGCCCGGCGAGCGAGATGTTCATTTAGCGAGTAGGCCACAGAGTGTGGGACATGAGGTAGAGGGCAGAGAATGCCCTGTGTTCCTGTTGAGACCTTTCCGCGAGCCATGTCTCGCTGAGTTGGGTGTGCAGAGGTCGATATATGCACATTGTCCCACTGTATACCATGAATTCCTAGTGCCACCTCGCGCGCGAGAGCAATCCGCTCGTCAGAAAGCGCCTGGTAAGTCGTTCGCAAGGTTGAGTAAGCAGGACAAAGACCAACAGCTGCGAAGATATTGAAAGCACGAGTGGGGAGACCAAGACTTAGAAGCATAAGGCCAAACGGAACCTGAAAGACCATGTTATTTTGCGATCGGAGGTGCGATATCTGGGAGATAAGGGCTGTAGAAACCTAATTAACGCGTTAGAGGGGTAGCCAGAGCCAGTATAGCATAGGCAGAAGTACCGCCTCGGTTTTTTTACTAAGATCATCTGTGCGAACTCTCCGGTGCTGGATAATCGAAGTAACAAGTTCCCAAGCCACAGGTAAAGACGTCTTGACACTCCGAGTGAGGTTGCCAAGATCAAAAGCCTGGAGATACTGAGTATTGACAGTGAGGGAGGACATACGAAACAGTTCTGTCTGCATCTCCCGGTCCACCATGTCTATGACATAGCGGACAGCTCGCAGACGAAGCATGGCTGTAACCTTTCGATTCCAGCTTGGGAGGTTTGACAGAGTGTTCCAGAGGTAATCGAGTGCGCGTTTTTTGAGCAAACCCGAGCGTTTCAGCGAGAGATAGTGGCCTGTAGCAGGAGCCTGAGCAATGTCTGCCACAAGCTCGGCAGGAGTGGTTCGTGCATCCGCGAGAAGGGAAAGCGCAGCCATGATCTTGGCGTCCTTTGAGCGAAGGGCCGGATCGCGTCGTGCGAGCTCGATAGCAGAGGTGCCAGATACCGAGAGAGTGTTGAGGAGGAAGGGGTCCAGCGAGTTTTCAGGATACAACCCCGGTGGGCAGGGCCAGTATACTTGAGGCGAGGGATAATAGACAGGCAGCTGCCCTTGAGGAGCCGCCATTTCGCCCATTCACGCAGGATGAGAAGGGAACACGGACATATATTCAACGGTACGTGCAGCAGAACGCGTCTGCTGGGCGCGTCCTTACATCTGACAGCAGGTGCGCTTACAGGGTCACCTCGGCAGAGCTTTGCCGAGGTGACTAATATATTCTCATCTGCTGATTTTACACTCCGCGGGTTGCCTGCCAAAGGCGTGTCGAGATGCTCCAGTCTCGCTGACGCGAAAGCCTCAGGCTTGGTCCCGTTTAGGGTACGCAGAAGCAGGCTGGTCACGAGTCTACCAAAATCACTGGTATATTCGGTACCCAGGACCCGAAGGGTGAAAATACTGTTCATCTGTAGGCGTGCAACCGTCTTCGAGCTAGTGCGATGATCGTCACTGCGGTGGGAAGAGAATATATCAGTAAGGACGCATGAGGCTCCTGGCCGAGAGAAGATAAATAGAAAACTTCATCTGCAGGAATATTACCGAGCGCTCCGACTCTTTCTGGAATGTGCCTGGTGTTGACGCGGAGGACTTTGAGGGAGTAGGTCATCCTTGTTCCTGTTCTCGGCTGCATGAGGTTGGGGGCTCAAACATTGCATTGCTTTGCACATAAGTTTCTTCTAAATATATGTATAAAACATCTAAGTATTGGCTAAATTGAAGTACTTCTCCTTTCACAATTTAGCGTTCGGTTTCTTCGTGTTGCGAGCCACCTCCTCGATTCTACGATATTGATAGTACTGCTTCAGGGAGTCTGGATTAGCAACAGTTCCACTAGGCTTCGTGTCGACACCAGAGACGATTTGCTTCACGGCTATCTCAATCTTCTTTCCATTCACTGTGTACTTAAAGACAACCCTCGTTAGCTGTGCCTGTGGCGAACTTCGTACACAAGAACTCACAGGTATCTCCTTGACCTCGAAAATGTACTCGGGCACATGGCGCTTGCTCAACGCCTTCCCGATCGTAGCCTTCATGACCCGCTCCAGATCCTCAGTAAATGGCCGACCCTCCCTCATCTTGACAAAGAGAAGTACACGTTCGTCAGCATCGGATGGCCGTCGCTGGCCAACGCAGATCGCGTCATCGAGTTCGGACGAGAAGTGCTCCAGGATATTGTAAATCTCTCCCGAGCCAAATCGGACTCCGGATGGATTGAGCACACCGTCACTCCGACCGAGGAGGAGGAATCCTTTCGTGATGGGGTTTTGAGCAATGAAGTCACCGTGCCTCCAGATTCCTTATGGATATATGTTCAACATCAAAACATCGCGCCCGATGGTCGCGTGAACTCACCAGGGTATGTGCTATAGTACGCCTGGCGGAACTTCTGTCCATCATCATCACCCCAAAAGCCTATAGGGATACTGGGGTGAGGACGTGTGACCACAAGTTCTCCAGCCTCGCCAGTATGTGCAATGTTGACACCCGATGGGGAGAATATCTCTACGGCCATCCCGAGAGACTTGCCCTGTAATTCTGTGAAGAAAATGTGTCAACATGGATCTCAGCTCGAGGATGATACACAGAAGACAAACCTCCGGCATGCAATGGGAAAGAATTGACAGTTGTGACAACTAGATTGCTCCGTCACTGACCACACATTGGATCATAGTAAAGAACTTACATGCACAGCACACGTCTGTGCCGCCAGAAGAAGATCCAATACAAAGCTCATTCCCGAAAGCTGCATGTGTCCATTCCATGAGAGGCGCTGTGAGGACGGCACCAGTGACAGTCATTAGCCGCATTGACTTGAACGAGCCGAGTTCCACTGCCAGGTATACTATCAGTCGCACGAAGTAAGTGAGAAATCAGTAAGCGCACACGGATTGATGCCTCGCATCTGAACCTCGGAGAGAAAGCGTGGACTTGTGCCAAAAACGGTTACCCTGAAGGCGAGAGGCACTTTAATGGACTTTGGGATTATACTTCGTGAGCGTCATAAGCGTACCCTTGATCATTAATGAACTTGAGGTATGCACGAACGTCCGGGTGGAAGGGTGATCCGTCGTAGCATATAATTCGTGCTCCACATGCTAGACCTGTCAACATAAATGGCCACATCATCCACCCTGTCTGGTTCAAGTTGGATGTCAGCATAGATATCGTGGGCGAGCATAATAATCGCACAGTAGTATATTGAAAGAAGACGTCAGTGGGCAGAATGCCAAAGCCAATCATGCAATCCTTCTTCACATTCATGAGGACACCCTACAAAAGAAACCTTGACGTCAACACTAGCCTGGTTCTAGGACTTCGATGAGGTAGTTGCATACCCCAGCACAATGTACGATGCATTTAGGCGGCCCACTGGTACCGGAAGAGTAAAGGATGTAAAGCGGATGGTTGAATGGCAACTGCTCAAAAACGAGGGAGCGATTGTCCCCACTCGCCAGGAAGGCATTCAACGAAACACTGGACAGGGGCGTTTCGTCAGTTGCCAGACCTGACCAAATTTAGAACGTAGCGTACCTGTTCGGGATCTTCAAGGCGTCGGGAAGTTGTTGACCAGTTCGGACGCTCGGAAGCAAAACAAGTGACTGGAGACCAAGAGCGCGTAAATCCTTGGCGACCTCGGACACCTTGCCAACGAGCGATATCGCTTTGCCAGCATAGATAACTTCGGTCTCGGAAAAGACGAATTTTGGTTTGATTTGTCTATATCTGTCGAGGATTCCCTACGCGATGATGTGATGGAAACCGTATGATGAGCACGGTGGCACAGCGTAGTCGCAAGGGGTTGTGAGTATGCGATCAACAAAAACGCGGCTGGTAGCGCATGCGCATGGGAGGCATACCTGTGTGCCCATATCAGTCGCCGTGCTCGAGAAGATCGCGCCTACGCTGGCGGTGGCCAATGCTATGACCACAGCCGTAATCGAGTTCGTGATGATAGCTATGGAGTTGCAATAGTAAAAAGGCGGGACCGTTAGCAAGCAACATGGTGATATTTGAACGACTACACGAGGAGAAATGGTGCACGACACTCACCCGCTACTCGATCGCCGGGCTGGAGTCCGTTGGTACGCATGGCAGCGGCCATTTCTTGAACAAGGACTCGGAGCTGCCGAAAAGTGTAATGCGAGACCCTGCCTAACTCTCCGCCAGTCGTACATGCGAGTCCATCATCGTTACGATGCAATAGGTTCTCCGCATAGTTGAGGCGAGCATCTGGAAACCATTTGGGGACCTCTTCGCGCACACCCTTTTGAAGTATCTGATTGCCTCGAGCTCAGTACATGCATTGAGGAGCTCCAGAGCATCAAGAGCGCACCTTGGAAGGTGGCACGGAAGCTATGATGCCGAGAAAGTCCCAGAGGTCACGCCAGAAGGTGTAATCTGTAGTTGAGTAGTCATGGAGGTCATGGTAATTCCCTGTGAAATGCTTGTCAACCCGTGCGCTTGCATGGACATTGGTGTAGACTTGAACGCACGAAGGCTGAGTCCATGTTTCAAATTAATCTCCCGGCGAAGGCGCTCAACAACGGCGTCGCTTGGAGCTGGTGGCGACCACAGGAGGCGAGACTGCTCAAAGAGACTGCTGCTCATCGGTATACTATGTTCTTCTGGACTAGCAATTGTCCGTTAATGAAGAGTTTAATACGTCGTTGACTGGGCTTGTAGGACACAAACGGGTCCCCGCGTGACTTAGGACGGTGTTCCGTGAGACGGTATTAACGAGGACACGCCCATAGTAGCTCAATATTTCAATCATCGGAACCACAAGTCAACGCAGATTTAAAGAGGACGATTTCAAGAACGTAATCAATAAGAGACAAATGTATGATAGTCAAAGGTATACCCGAAACCAGCAAACTGCGGCAGCATCAATATTCTCTCCTCAACTCTCCCTCAGCACGAAGCGATCAACTCCTGATAGCAAGCGTCAGATAATTAACCCTCCCCAAAGTGGTATATGAGCAGCACGGCGTGTTGAAAGGATGCATGTGTGCGATTAGCTCAACACTGTCAGGAGGGTAAGTGGAAACCGGAGCGGAAAAAGGTTGATCGACGTACTCTACTGGGCCGGGGCCGGAGGAGTGGCATCCTGGGTGGGAGCGGGCTGCTCAGCAGCGGGGTCTGCGCCCTCTTTGGCGGCTTTCTTGGCCTCCTTCTTGGCCTTGTACTTCTTGTATGCCCAGTTAATGATCATGACTGAAGGATGTGTCGGGGGCAGGTGAGGGTATTGGGTGATTTAGGAAAGTGTTACGTGCAAGGTGACTCGCTTTTTATTGGTTTTCCGAAATGATGTTGTCAACACCACGCCAGTCTAACATGCATGTATTTTTAGCATCCGCACAGCCCTTAGCAACGCCGTGTCGCATTTTGATGCCCTCTTTCCTATTCCCAGCTCATTGAACCTTGCTCAGCAGGCCTTGTTCCAAAGTCCCAGGGCGGATCTGTTTCACCTTTGCTCGCTGAGCCTGAACTTACTTGCGCCTCTTGCTCTTGTTGTTCTTATTCACTGCCACTGAGATGATACGAGTGATGGTACCGAGCTCAAGCAGCGTTGATCAATACAAGCATATCCGGCAAGTCGAAGAAGGCGTCTCCGGGGTCTCTGTGGTCCACGCCATTGCCGTGCGAAATTCCACGTGACTTGGCGGAGACCCTTCTATTGCCTCCCGAGTCGTTGCGCCTGCAAGTGGAAACGTTGAGCGTTCATGGTACATTAGCTGACAGCTGCACCGTGTTCACTCTCCTGTGCTAGTCTCGGTTTTCATTCTCATTTATCGATCTACACTCTCCGCCATGTCCTCAGTCGACCCAATGGGCGAACCTATACCCGCACTACCAAGTTCTTCGCTGTCCAGTGCGCACGTCAATGGAAACGCGGCAACGGCAAACGGAGTCGCACTCAATGGCAGAGATTCACCCGCTGAAAGCTCTGAGCGACTTCAAATCGTCAACGACGAGAAGCAGTTCACGTATGTGCTTCCTGCGAATTTGTTGGTCCCCTCGCTGAGTGTCACAATTTAGTCAAGAGCTGACCCCACAACTTGAGCGGTGGGGTCTGAGAGATGTAGGATTCAATTACAATATTGTTGCTGTGTTCGGTTCGCAATCCACGGGCAAAAGTGACGGTTCTCACTCTGAGTATCCACTCGTACCTCATACCTTGTTGCAGGTACATTATTGAACCGGCTATTCGGAACGACTTTTGATGTTATGGACGAAACGCAACGCCAACAAACTACGAAAGGTAGATTTTCATCTTACTGCACCAAACACAACTAAATTGATGTCTTACTGTAAGGAATATGGATGTGTCGTGGTAAGGGCACAAGCATCATGGTCATGGATGTGGAGGGTACGGACGGACGGGAGCGAGGTGAAGACCAGGTATGATACTTGCAAGACTGAAATGAGAACAAACCTGACCTTTTACCAGGATTTTGAACGGAAGTCCGCGCTTTTCTCCCTGGCTTCTTCTGAAGTCATGATCGTCAACTTGTGGGAGCACCAAGTCGGCCTCTATCAGGGAGCCAACATGGGTTTGCTAAAGACAGTCTTTGAAGTCAATCTTGGCCTTTTCGGCAAGAAACCCCAAGACGGGTGTGTTATCCCTCTTAAACTCTGACCACCAATTATCTAACCAAGGTGTTCAGCACTTCGGGGCGTACGCTGTTGCTCTTCGTCATCCGTGACCATATCGGAGTGACCCCGCTTGCCAACCTGCAAACGACGCTCACCGCCGACATGAACCGGATCTGGGATAGCCTGTCCAAGCCTGCTGAGCTACAAGATAAACATTTGTCCGACTACTTCGACCTTGCATTCACCACGCTTCCTCACAAGATTCTTGCGGCGGACAAGTTCGAAGCTGAGGTGCGCCAGCTGCGCACGCGCTTCACGGATAAGGACCGCGAGGATTACCTCTTCAAACCTGTTTACCACAAGAGAATCCCGGCTGACGGGGTTGCGTTTTACATGGAAAACATCTGGGTGCGTTAGCCCCTTCATTTTCTGGGTTCCGACGTGAGGCTCATCGTGACGTAGGAGCAAGTCCAGACAAACAAGGATCTCGACTTGCCCACTCAGCAAGAGCTCCTCGCTCAGTTCCGTTGTGACGAGATTGCATCAGTTGCCATTGCCGAGTTCAATGAGCAATCAAAGTCGCAGCGCAAGCCCATCGAGGTGGGACGTGTCGTAGAAGGATTGGGTGGTTTGATGCGGAATTGGAAGACGCAGGCTTTGAGTAAGTTCTGCCACAATCTCCAGGTTATATTGTCTCATGCATATACTTAGCTCGGTACGACCGTGACGCGTCACGATACCACCAGGGTGTTTACAAAAGAAAACGCGCTGACCTGGTTGCAGTCCTCGACTCGACATTGTCGCCCCTCTTCCTCGGCCAGCTGAAGAATTTGCACAAGGCTTGTCTATCCGCGTTCAAGAAGGAGTTGCTTGAGGGCCTCCGAGGCGAGGACTACAGCTTCGCAGACGTGATGAACAAGGCAAGGGAGAAGTGCGAAACCCGGTTCACGCAGGGTGCGCAGGAGGCGCTTCTTGAAGACACGGACTGGACATCGGAGGAAGAGCTCGTGCTTTTGCAGGAGGAAGTCGCGAATGTTGGAGATCAGTGTAGGAAAGACGAGACGAAGAAGATGGTCAACTTGATCGAGGTAATAAAATTGCAGACAGAGATTAGTCTTCAGGCTGATCATTCTTCCTTCAGCGTAACTTCAAGCGTCAAATTTCGGAGCCAGTGGACTTGGCCCTCAATAAGGCATCAGCAGACATGTGGGACAAGGTGTTGTCAACTTTCAGGGAAACGCTGGAGAAGGCCGAGTCCAATTATCTCACCAAAGCCAGGAGTATGCTTCAGATTGCTTTATCACTCATAACTCAAGTACTGACGGAGAACAGGCTTTAACTGCACCGAGGAGGAGAATGAGGCGGCATTGGCGACGCTTCGAAAGCGTGCTTGGCTAGCACTGCGGGCAAAGGTCGATGAACAAACAGCCGATACCGCCATCCTTGGCAAGCTGAGGTCACACTTCGAAGAGAGCTTCCGCTACGACGAACATGGCGTGCCTCGCGTTTGGAAGCCCGATGATGACATTGACGGCGCTTTCAAGAAGGCTAAGGAGGAGGTTCGTCCTATCATGCTTTCCTAGGGACATCCTTATGAACTCACAGATCACAGACGCTCGAGCTCGTGCCTCGCTATTCTAAGATAGCTCCGCTTGAACCCTCTCTTGAAATTTCCCTCCCTTCCGAGTCTCCCGACCCGCTCACCTCGACGGATGAGTTCGACTTCCCATCGACACTCGTCATCTTCAGCGAGACCAAGTCGCTAGACCTTATAGCGCGCTTCCGCCGCGACGCGGATGCGTATTACGTCGAGGCGAAGCGCAGTACCGTGTCGAGTATCGCGCAAATCCCGTATTGGATGTATGGCGTCCTTGTCGTGCTTGGCTGGAATGAGGCCATGGCTGTTCTCTTCAACCCTCTATACTTCACGTTCTTGCTCATCTGCTTGGCAACTGCGTAAGTCCTCATTGTCCAATGCTGCTAATGGATGAACTGCTGATTCGTGGGATACGCTTTAGATACGCCATTATCCAACTCGGACTCACGGGTCCGCTGCTCACTCTGTCAAGAACGATATTAACCGAGATGCAAAGCCAGGCTGCCGCTCGCCTCCGGGAGCACTTCTCTGAGCCAGTTCTTACCGAGCCAATTCGTGCCGCCACCAATGGCACTAGCCCTAGCACCCCCAGGGTCAAGCGGGAGATTGATGGCGCTGAGGATGCAGAGCTATTCCGCCGCGCGAGTCCCATGTAGCAGGCTTACGGATTAGTATCTTCTCGTTTCGAACTGTTGACATAGATATATTGTAGCCCTGTCAGACAAGGCACACGTCTAGTTTACTTCCACGGATATTATGATAATTATTCTATGTATGATGCATATGATATCCATATAACATGACTCCGTGGAACTGCAGCACCGCTTGAGTTGTGTCAACATATGCTGGCTACTAAAATGTTAAGCTGCCTATAGGAGAGACTGCGCCAAAAATGCAAAAATATGACCTAACCCTGGCTCGAACAGGGGACCTTCTGTGTGTTAGACAGATGCGATAACCAACTACGCCACCAGGCCTTGGTAACGGCTCACAAAATGCTCAACATGTCAGCAAGCATCTTCAATAATTAGATTCGAACTAAGTTCTGCAATTCTGCATAATGCAAGACAGGCTCACCTGGTAGTAAATCTAGCCAAGGCCTCGAAGTTGAACGTTGAACGTTGAAGCCCTATACCGCAGCACATAATTGACTGGCGGTAGTAGATCGGGATACCTATGGGCTGATCACATGTCAGCAGTCATGTAGTTGCCTGCTGGTGCCAAACTTTGAAAAATACTTTTTCAATTCTAAGCTGAAGTGTGGATCTACAGAGTAGAAAAGGTAGCGTGATATGGGAGGATATGGGGCATGTTGAAGCATGGGTTGAACGTACGCACGTCAGCAAAAATATGACCTAACCCTGGCTCGAACAGGAGACCTTCTGTGTGTTAGACAGATGCGATAACCAACTACGCCATCAGGCCTTATGATGCTAGGGGGGTATAAATATATACCTCACTATCTCAATCGAGCTGGAATTAACCGAAGCCTACTAAAGCTTGCCCCCTTCAGGGAAATCTTCGGGTAGGATCTCGCGCTAATAAGGTTCGATAGTCGCCCTTACATATATTGTGGTTGCAGGTGGTCGCCCGAAGAGTGGAAGCCAGCGCCTGAGGTCGTTTGTCCGATGTGCGCGGGTGGAAGAAGCCATCATACCTCAGCTGAGCAAATCACTCAAGTCTTGTGCAATCCTCATGAATTCTGCCGTGCATAACCGAGCCGAAATGGCCGATTGATTCAGATTCTGCTGGTGTACAGTGCAAAAGGGCAGGAGGGTGCAAGGAATATTCTGTGAAGTTCCACGCCTAAGAGGAGGGTCGACGATCGCGATCTTAATCTTACCAGTGTCTATGTATAAATGAGAAACACGCGTCCGCCACGAGTACTCCTTCTCCGGAACGTGAAGTTTACGGACGGAATCAGGGCGTCCTCCTGCCGTCCTGAGAGTGTTGGAAACGTTTTTATTCCAGCGAAATCGCAAAGCGCGTCGGATGGTTGGCGACAATGATGCAAGTGCTTGTGACTGTCGGGGTGATGCGAGGTAAATTTGAAGGGATCAAGAGATTGTCAAGAGTCGACGAGGGCACCGCCGATCTGACGGGTTCGACGCACGTGGAGCGGGTAAATGGGTTCGATGATGGGTTATTTCCAGTGGGCTGATTTCTCGCGTGGTGGAAGCTGAAGGCAGCATGATGTCCACGTGGCGGAGACTGGGGTAATCATCAGACACGGATTCCGCGGCTTTGTGGGAGAAATAGCACGCATTCAGGGATCGCTGGGGTACAGACGTGGAATACTTGGTTTGCTACTGCCTTGGCTGCTACATTGCAGGAAGGTCAGGATGTACGTTGAAGGGAAGGATATCGAACACGAGGAGAATGTGGCTGAGCGGACGGCCCGAGACGAGAGGAAGGAGGAAGAGCGAGGAGTAGATCGGCACGCGTCTGATAGTATTGACAAGGGACACATGGGAGGGATGTGACTGTCACTGTGCGTGACCCATGTCAATGGGCGGGTGGTTTCTTGGCTGGAGTTGGTTGATGACCAAGTACAAGAAACCGATTCGCTCTCCCAACAGACTTACTGTAGTTCCCCTCTCCTCAAATCTCATTTGACATTGACCGTTTCCTTCTCTTCTCTCCTGACATCAGGTCAGAGTGTCTCCTCAGCACTGATCCGGTCATTGGCCCTCATTTCCCCCCTGCAATACGGAGTGAAATACTGGTCTAGATCATCCTTGTCTCCCAGAATACATCCTTCGCTCTCTTCATCCTGCATACCTCTTCCAGCGCCTTCCATCTGTTTCCTCGCTACTTTCTTCCTCTCATATGCGCTCGCCCGTATTCCGTCATTGCTGAATCCTACCACGAATTTCATCCGGACCCGTCACGCTTGATTCTCCTTCCCGTTCTGTCACGACTTTCAGCTCACCATGGAACCTTATGGCGTCGGAAATCACATCGTCGATCCCCGCATTCTCAGCGAGCAGGTCGAAGGTGGCATAGAGTCTGCTCAAAACCGTGACCCGTGAGCTGCTCGACCCTCAGTCAATCTGTCCGAGACCCTGACTTTTTGGAATACCATAACAGTCCTGTCGGCAGTCTCAGACCATCCCCGTCGAATGTAGAGGGACTCGATCGTCGTCCCTCCGTCCCATCCATACACGTCAGAAGGCCATCAGCCGTATCGTCTTCCACCACCTCAACCATGGTGGGAACCCCAACTGTTTCCGTCCAGCCTGTGCATATTTCTTCGTCATCTCCGCGATCCAACGAGATCAACAGTAACCTGTATTCTAACCTTCAATCCTTTCATTTCGGCGATGCCCGAGCACCCCACTCTTCGCCGCACGACACAGATGCCGATCCCATAAGTCCCTTCGACCGAACCCCCCGTCCTTCTGTCTCTGGGCCATCCGTGTCGCGGCCAACTCCAAGTCACAGCAGTCATCCGTCGCAGGGCCCGGGACGCCATGTATCAAGTTCTCCGTCGCCTTCTCGGCCTCACCGCCACCAGGGATCCTCTCCTTGGGGAGGTATGGAAGACAGTGAAGATCCCACTGCAGGCGGCGGTTCGTCTCAGGATGAACGCGTCTATCCATCTCGTCGCGGGAAAGGCAAGGAGCGCCAAGAACGCCATTTTGATGATGCTGCATCTCAGCATACATTTGGTCATCGTAATCGAAGCCGAATTGCATCACCGTCGGCATCGTCTTCCCGGTCAAGCTCTCGACAAAGCTCTCGTTCCAGTTCTTCTTCTGTGGATGTTTTCAGTGACGACGAACTCGAGTTTGATGATGATGCCCCTATCTCTCCCGTCTTGTTTGCTCGGGAAGGCCTGGCCGACATCGACGAAGACGTTGATGTCGGTGAGCGGTCAACAGCTTCCTATTATAACATGTACAAGAGGAGGGGAAGCGTGCCCATTGATATCCCTGTTACGGGGGATACAGCCAGCACGCGAAGCGGTGGGGGAACAGTCTCAACTATTCGCCGCCCCAGTCGTAGTCTGGACGACGAAATAGGAAGCCTTGATATTCCTCCAGATCCCTCAGAAGATACTTATGATACATTGCCCAAGAGTGAACCGCAAAGCCGTGGAGACTGGCGCAACCTGGAGGCCCACGCTCTGGCTCAACAGCAGCAGCAGCAGCAGCAGCAGCAGCAGCAGCAGCAAGAGCAACTGGAGGCACAAGGAGTACCGACACAAGAGCAACCGCCGTCTGTGGAGAACGCCTGTAACGGATTCGATGTCGATTACATCCTTTCTGCGGCCAATAACCTTGATGGCGCGAGCACCATGTCACGTCGGTCATCTACAACGCCGTCTATGGTACAACGTCCATCACAAGCGAGTGCTTCGAACTCTAGGCTGTTCGCCATTGCGCCATGGAACAATGGCCGAAGAACGAGTACTGCTACTTTGGCAACCACGGGTAGTAACGACGATCAGTTCATGCGCATGGTACGGCATCAAGATCCAAATTTCGACAAGCACAAAGAGCATTGGGGTTTTTCGAGAGAGAAGGCAGACGGTGAAAGCATGATGCGGGCTGGCGTTGCGCACGCCGTTCCTCCTGAATCCGAGCGTGCGCGGAGAACGATGCCACCTGGCGCCCAGGAATGGTGGCATAATGGGCAGGTTGGTCGGTTCAAGATCGATAGACATGCTTTCAGACGTAAGCCACCCCCCATGCTTTGTTGGTCATGTTCTAACATCTTGATCATCCGCAGCTAAATCAGCAGCCGCAGACAAGCCACTTCAGCAGCGTTTGAACATTCGCTCGGTCATTGGCCCATATTCCGCACAGTACGCACGAGGCATCCGGACGACGGGCCCTTGCAGTGTCATTCACAAGCACTCCAAGGCAACCGCTTTCTCACTCTTCCGTTCGTTTTACCTCTGGGGAAAGAATCTTCCGGCCAGCGACAAGAGACACATGAGTGTGGCAGGAGGCATCATGCTCGCGCCAAAGAAAGTACAGGAGCAATATACGAGCACAAAAACCACAGGCATGCTCAATGACCACGGCCACCTGGATAGCAACCTCCGTAATCAAGACAGGGGAGGCAGGCATAAGTCGCAGAACCCCAGCAACACTGACGATAAACCCAACAAGGATCGGAAGCGTCAACAGGACAAGGCAACCAAGCCGAAGGCTAAGAAGGGCCATCGTCCAGAGCAGGTCACCAGCGCAGGCTCCACCACTGCCTCAAGTAGTGTTAGCAGCGTCGATTTCAAGGCAGAGGAGATCATTCCCCCGCACAGCGTGGCCACTGTGAACCTCTCTTCCTCAACATCTAACACATCTACTATCGGAAAGCGTGAATCGACCAGCTCTGCATTTGACTCCTCAACCGAGGACTCATACGCACCGTCCATTCAAGACCAAGATCTTGGAGGTTCTGCCGAGATCAGAGAGGATAGCTCAAGCCGTTTTGTACATCGTGACTCGGTCGACTCAGATGAAGCCCACCCGATGCGGACACCTCATTCGGAGGCGTACTCAACGTTGGATCCGATCGACGTCGAGCACTTGCGTGCTGGGCAGTCTGGTCGACAAGGTAGCAGCTCCAGCGGACCCTTTGGCTGGAGGAGGTTCTTCAAAAGCGCTTTCTCGAGGCCAAACGATTCAACCGCGATTCCTCACCAGAATGCTTACACGCCGCCGTGGATCACAACCGCAACACGATCGGAGATCGAGCACAACGACCGCCTCATCGGCAATCTCAATGATTCCTTCCGGGATGTTGGCCTTCTCCACTCGCACTCTGGTAGATCGACTCACAAGTCCTCCTTGAGTCGGAAAAATCGTAATACCATCTTTGATACGATACCCGATGACTGTCTCTACATGATTTTACCTCTGTGGCCCGGCGAGGTAGACCCTCCAAAGCGTCCGCAGTCATACCAAAGCTCAGTCGCCTCATCATCATTCCACAACGTTCCCTCCGAGAGGCTGTACCTTCTTGTATGGTACGAACCATTCGAAGAGCCCAAGGAGCGCAAATCGGACGGCTCAAAGAAGCGGTCGAAGCCGACTGTTTCGGACGAGAAAGATTCAAACGACACCAAGGATATCTTCCTCGTGCACTTCAAAGTTCTCGCGCGTCTCGTCAGACACGACGAGTTTCACGGATCAGGCGTGCGTGTACCCAGCAGCGGGCTCGCCGTGTTGGGGCCTACTTGGGAGGCGGAGAGCTACTCGCCCGCCAACCACTTCCTGCAACACGAGGGCGGTGGATCGCTAGACCCGCAGAGTGGGATGTCCATAGAAGCCAGCGTTGTATGCCAATCCGACGGGCGCGAGAAAGGCTTCCAGTTCAACGCGGAGGCGTTTGACAAAATGGGACTTTGCATGCCACCGCAGAACAAGAGCGAGGAACTCACGAGAGACTTAAAGGAGGATGACCCGTGGCCCGATCGCGAGTATGCGCTAACACCTATAGGGTGTGCGGTGATTGAGATGATTTGGCTGGGCTGCCTTGCCGTTACGAGCTTTGGATGAATAGGTTGGTTGCTTGTTGCTGCATGTACTATGCTCTCAGTAGTTTTGGTTTAACGGTGGTTTTCGCTTGTCGCACACATGGTAGCTATCGTGTTATGGCTGGACTTAGACTCTTTGTACTAAATACCCGCTTTGGCTTTCACTATAATGACATGTCCAACACTAACTCAACTATTACGAGTCGTTGAACGTTGAGTGGAATTCGCGCTCATTCATCCAGAAAACAAAGTAACATCCAGATTCAAAGAGTAAGTACACGACGGTGATGATGCAATCGTACTGGACCATCCATCATTGTCCGAAAAAATGGGGTAATAATGCAATGCTCTAAGGCGAATGTTAGTTAGCTCCGCATATAGACAGCTCCCTCATTTCCTGCAAAACGCCCTCAACCTTTAAAATCAAGTCAATGAGAACTCGTCGCATCATATGTGACAACTACTTACCTGCGCGTCCAACTGACCAGCGGCGTAGTCGTCTCGTACGCTGTCTGCGAAATATCTGCAGGGTGCATCAATTCCAGCGTCATCAGGAGCTTCCCTTTGGGTGAAACCCACCTCTGGACATTGCTCATCTTCTCGTAGCCTTCCTCGGCGAATTTGCACTGCATGCGGATCATAGCCTCGAAACTAGGATCAAAGTAGGGTACCCGGAGATCGAGCAGTTGAGGCAGCTCCGCAATGAGCTGGTCGTTCAGAAGTTCGAACACCTCCTTGGCATCGTCGTGTTCCTGTTGAGCCTGCGAGTTATATAAGTCAGTATCGAAGCGGAGAAAATGGAAGGGTGGAAGTCCGTGGCATGGGTATACCTTTGGGAGCTTCGTAGGGTCCTCTGACGGTTTCTCGATGATCTTCCGTAGCCTGCTTCTCGCAGCATCATAGTCAAGGAGCTACATCAAAGTAAGTTCGCTTCGTGTTCTGCGTCGTAAACCGAGGTTCGACAAACCTTCTTGTTCCGCTTCGAGATGTGCTCGTTGACGACCGGGAAATACGAGTTGATCTTGCCCAGGGGCTCCATTATCGTCGTGCGGAATGGCGCATCCTGCCGCGGCATTGTGTCAGGCAGAGCATCGGAGTTATGAAAGACGATGAGACTCACAAGTTCCCGTTGCACTCCATTATCCATGTCCTCCACTGCACTCTTGAACGCATGACTAGCCATTGCCCCGTCCGAAGTCCGGTCGGACGCGCCGTAGAATGTCTGGATCGTGTCTGAAAGGCGGCACTGTGCCGAGGTCATAGCTAAGGAGTACTTTCAGGATGACAATTGGCTGGACAGGGTGTCGAGAGCGAACCTCGCATCGCGTCAATGTACTGCTTGCTGTCCTTCTGGAGCGCTTGACATTCCTTCTCGAATCTGTTCCTGAATCGAGACAATGAGAGAGGTATTAGGGGTATGTTACTTACGCCCGGTACTTGGCCTCTTCGTCGGCAAATTCTCTGTCCACTGTCCGCTCGATCTGGCCGGTCTTCTGCAAGACCTGGGGTTGGCTATCAGCATACCGGAGAGCTGCATGACGCAAATGCTGTACCGTAGTCCCAGCTCGGTTGAGAGACTTCTTGAATCTGATTCTCCGTGAGTTTGAGACATAACAAGCAGAGCTGGTGCGCATACCCTGTCCAGCTCATCGTGAGTTACTTGTAGTGGTTATAACGTGATACGTGATGGGTAGTGGGTGCGCATCCGTGCACCGACACCAATGCCGCGGTTAAAGTCAATGATTTTACGTAAGCAATTTGACGCTCGCTGAAAGCTCACGGGTTCACGCAGACTCAGATAGTTTTCTCAGTTCCGACGAAATAATCCCCGTAATTAAGATTGATTCCAGCATCCATTATGCATAAAACTTATAAAGTAGGCGAGAAATAAGTTATGTTCACAAGAAAGAGCATCGCGGAAGTTGGGATCGCGAGAAGGACAAGCAAACAGATGTTCGGGCTTCTGTAATCCTTCCGCTTCACCCCAAGCGCTCCTCCAACGACTTCGAGACGTTCGCTTTCGGGACGCTCGTTGAAAGTCGATCGAAAAGGGGAAGCCTGTTTCTGTTGTAGTTGTTGCGAGAGTCTTGTCGGCCCTGCAATACATGTGAGCAACCAGTTTATGGACAGCCAAATATATCACCTGCTGAGACCCTTCTTTACGATCACCCATCCGTTCAAGCAGCGCAATCGGTTCTTGCTGAGGTTGCGGAAATGTTACAGGATTGTCTTCTCGTAGTTGTTCTTGGGACACGTTATGTAGTGTGTCCTGAGGAGACATCTTCCGTCCTTGGACACCACCTTTCTTGGCACGCCCGCGAGCAGCTGCACGTTGTTGTCGATCAGGGATTGGTGCTTCTGGGGAGTGACCTGGTTCCCGCTCGTATATGATATTGCGAGAGCGAACTGGAGGCGGAGGTGAGCGCTTCCTGAAGTTGTTGACTGGCGATCGGGATCGACTATTGGGGTGATCACCGGCATCATAGCCGCGAGGCCACCAATTATCAAGCGTCCCATCAGGGCCGGAACCAGCATCGGCAGGTCTATATAAATCAGGACGCCGTCGAATGGAACTGTTCAAGTCATCCATAACACCTTCATCTTCTCGAGGGCGTTTCCTTGATTGTCCGCCCGACGGCTCAGACGCATCGGACGGAACATATCTATCGCCTGATGGTCTCCGATACTGAGGTGGCGAAACTGGAGGAGGCGAATAGTGATCGTATCCTCTCCGTGTTGTAGATTCAACGCGGGGACGAGCTGGCAGTCTAGGATTGACAGGGACCACGTGCTCGGCTTGAGTACTGGACCTGCTCCCACCGGCTTCTGACCTTAAAGAAGCATCATTTATGCTCGCTGCTTGCTGCTGACTCTGGTTACCGACGGGTGATCTAGAGCGGTCATTTGTAGGCGGAGGAGTCCTAGCGGGTGCCCACTCCTGAGGTTCATTAGATGCATCCATATTCCATGGGTTTGAGCTCGCATGACTGTGAACGTCGGCGAGAGGCGAATGGGTCTTCGCAGGCTGAGGTTGTTGTAAGTCGGGCGGTCCCGACGTGACAGGAGCAGGTGGTTGTTCTGGCGTTTTCTTAAGAGGTACTTTAGGTCTTGGAGGCGGAATGATGGTCCGCTGTGGTACAGTTAGGGGCAAAGGGGGCGAAGGCTCCCGTTTTATAGGCGCTTCTTGAAAAGCAGGTGTCTTCGCTTGCTGAGACTTGTTGATCACCAAGGAGCTCGCTGGAGGGGCGACCGGTGGAGCCAACATATTCTGACTTTCCTCCTGCTTCACGGAAGGCGCACTGGTATCTGCGGGTCCTGAGCGGACGCTCCGGTCGCCACCAGCACTCAACTCAGACCTTGAATGCGCGCGCTTCAAGTGACGCAAGTTCGCTCGCTGCTGAGCCGGAGAGACAGTACCAGGGGGGCCAAGTTCAAGATGCTGTCCACCGGACATATCATCAAGAACCTGAGCCTGCGACACCGGTGTTTTAGGACGACTGATCGCAGGCGAAGTTTGAGGCACGGTTCCAACTGAGTCCTCTGGTGGAAAGGATACAGAGCTGAAAGGCATATCTGTGCATACACGACGTCCAGCATCCGTGGATGCAGGCACAAAACCTTTTAACGTTGAGCTCTTTGGACGAGGAGGTAGAGCAGAGCTGCTAAGAGCCTGAGGATTGGTGGACGGAGCCTTCGCAACCTTCACGTTACCGGACAAGGGTTTCGACGGGTTGGTCGCTGCTGCTGGAATACTCTTAGAGCTCGTCGCACCGTTCAAGTGAGCCGAGGTAGACGCCGATTTCGTAGATGACGCAGAGGCAGATTCTGTGTTGGCAAGCGGGGTGCTGGGGAGACCGTTTTGTGCATGCTTAGCCAGAGACGTGACAGGAGGGGAAGCCTTTGCCGTCGACGCTCTATGAGCCTCCAATTCAGCACGAAGGCGCTGCTGATGCCTCTCAAGCTCACTGGGGGCCGGAGGAGCACGGGCTTGTACCTCCACCCGGGCCTGCTGGGCAAGAAGTTCCGAGGTCGAGGAGCGAGGAGAAGCTCGAGGGAAATTGTGATTGTGGCCGTTAAATTGTAATGTAGGGTGCGCTGTCGCGGAGCTTTGGACGACTCTGGGAGAATGGACGTTGGACATTTGCCGAAGAACCTCTTCATTAGCGGCTCTCCTCCGCCCTTCTTCCTCAACAAGCCTTGCTTCTTCTGCGACTCTCTTCGCCTGTTCTTCTGCCCGTCGCTTTTCATCTTCAGCTGCACGGCGCCGAGCCTCGGCGATAGCGCGAAGACGCTTTTCCTTGAGTTGTCGGAGTGTCTCTTCGTAGCGCTCGACGAGCTGCAGCTTATCTTCGCGACCTGTTCTCATAGCATCTGCCTCTCGGAAGATATCATTGCGGCCACGAACAGCCTCAAGTTCCTCGTTGCTCATCCCATCTTCAGACTGGATGACTGGCTTCAAATGGGTGAAGCGGGCGTCGCCGTTTTTGTTCTGATAAACTTCTTCCCTGGCCTTGGCCTCCTCTTTGGCCTTAGCCTCTTCCCGAGCTTTGGCTTCTGCAGCGGCCCGAACTTCCTGGATGTAGACTCTCGTATCATCCAACTCTCTCATCTTCTGTCGCCAAGTGCCCTCCAGCTCAGCAAGCTCCTGGCCCTTGGCACGCAGCTCGCTCTCGATCTGTCTGTGGGATGCTTCGGCAGAACGCAGCTGCTGTTGTAAAATCATCGTTTCTTCCTCCTTCCTGCGAAGCTCCATTTCTCGTCTATCGAGCTCTTCGCGCGCATGGCGTTCGTTTTCTTCCAAAGCGCGCTGCTTATCATCCAAGAAGCGATGGTAACTCTCGACGGACTGCCACCGCTCCGCGAACTCCCTCTCTGCCTCCGCTTGACTTCGTGTGTTAGCCTGCGCGTCACGATGCATAGCTTCAGCAAGTTGAAGAAACACTGCGGTATGTTCCTCGAATGCCCGAGAAGCAGCCAGGCTTTGAGAAGGTGGGGGAGCGAGGACCACAGCGTGATCCGGCGACGTATGATCGGAGGAAGGGTGATGGTTGGACTGTGAGTGGGGTTGGTGAAGTACCATAGTGCCAGCACCGGGCGGCGCAGGATCATTAGCTGGTCGAGGAGAGTTTGCGTGGCCTTGTGCAGGAGTGTCCTGGCGGCAAGGAGCGGTGCTTGCTGGCAGAGGGGACGTCTCCCAGTTACTTCGTATTTGCTGAAGGCTAGTCTCCAATAAGTCGTATAGCTGGGAGCTGCTCGGTGCGTTTTGGTCACTTTCTGTAGTCATCGGAGAAGTTCGCGCAGGAGCGGGAGCGGGAGGAGCAGAGTCATTGTTTGGTGCGGCAAGTTGAGAATGCCATTGTTCCGGAATGCCGGATTCTTTCTTCGGAGAAAGACGTTCGCCCGCTGCTTTCGAAGGAATACCGGCGTCTGCTGAAGTCGCTGGAATGCTATGTGCCGCGTTTGGCTCCCCAGTACCCGCATCCGGAGCAGCCGACAGTGCGGACGACGGCCTCCCTTCAGATTCAGGATACCGAAGAAGAGGTGTCTCCATTCGTTCCGGCAGTCGCATTGTTTCGACACTCCCGCCTGCGGAAGGAGATGGCTTGCTCAGAGATTGAAAAAGCGAAGGGCGAGATAGGGGTGGCTGCATGGTCCCGCCGGGGGACTGCGGCGGAATCGGCGACGGAGAGCGATAGGGGGCGCTCATGGCTTTGGAGTCTGATAAGCGCGAGAGCAGGCTGGGCTGTTTACCTATGACTTGGAAGTGGATGTCGTTCGCGTTGAGGGGACGGTTGGCAGTGACACCTGTTGATGAAGCAATCGAGTGAGGTGGCTGGGTGCCACTGGCGAAGGCACCTGACGGTGAATGCGATGAGGCACCAGAAGGACCGGGCTGTGGGCCACCGCTAGCATTTGAAGTTGGTGAATGTGATAAAGATTGACCGAATGAGGCGGGCTCAGGCTCAGGCATGTCGCCTTTGATCCAGTATGTTGGGGTGTGCTGGACTGTAGGAGTGTTGGTATACTGTGAATTGGCGTCAATCTAATCGTATGGATATAGAAGAAAAGCCCTAATTTACAGGTGATGAGGACAAGCCTCAAAGGTAGTCTTGAAGAAAGGGGGATGGAATTCGCTGCGCAAAAAAATGTTAGTAAAAAAGATCGGGAGAAATGTGGAACAGTCTTTATGTCACGGTGGCTTGCAGGCGGTTGTGTATGGATATTGTCAAGGCCGGCTTCTACCGATAAGGGCTTGGTTACCTCAACTCCGAATGTACCTTACTTCGTGTTCAAGCTTTCTGTGTCGCTCGATTCATATTGTCTCGTACAGAAATGAACAGTTATATCTAGCCCGCGGCGGGATGCTTTGTCCTGCCACTCCTTCGCCTTGACCGTCTGCCAGTCCCAGGCAGATCACCGTCAGCCAAACACGAATTGTCTACCTCGATGATGTCACCAGCGACATAAGCTCCTCCTTCGCCGCCTTCGATGCCGATTCCTGTCTCCAGCGCTTGATCCTCAGCCTCAAGTTCTTCTTGGGTTAGCTCATCATCTGATGTCAACTTCTTCGCCTTCGCCTTACGCGGTGACTTCCTGCCTTTGGTCTCCTTTGTCTCCTTCTCGGCGGGTGGACGAAGAGAAGCTACAAAGAATATACGAATGAATTAATTTCGAGCAGGACAGCAAAATATACTAACCGTGAATCACAGGCTGCAGGCTGTATATTCGGTACAAGTGGAGGACCGCCTGTTCCTTGTCCTTGGCCTAATCAGGGATATCAAGACAAGTATAGGAAAGATTCAATAACAGGAACAAACCTCAATCATGAGATCTTGAAATGAATCATACGTCAGTGACGAAATATCAAGGCGCTTAAATCGACATACCCATGTCGTCAGGTAGGTCTACCGGTAGATTCTGACACCTATCGGCATGCGCACGACGCTCCATGATCGTCTCCGCTCCATTCCTAGGCTCACTAAGGTGTTGCTTCGGCTTTATGCCCCGAGCGACCCATATTTCGTTCGCTTGCTTGATAATCTCAGCAGGTGGCAGATCTGGTGAAGGGTAAAGCTGGTCGTGATGATAGTCAAACACCAATGGCACTTGGAGGGATTTGCAGATAGGAAGAAGGTCCGCCGCATTATAGCAAAGCTGCCGGTTTTGTTAGCATATTGAACTTCTCAGTAGATCGCATGGCTGCTCACCTCATCATTCTCCAGTACCAGTCGAGCTCTTACAGCGGACGGGAGCTCGGATATGTTCTTGTGCAGACGCTGCAAAGTTGGCTCCTTGTCACCATACACGCCTCCGCCGTGGATGATCATGACACTGTCAGGACCCATGCCTATCAACCCGAGCATTTGCGTGTGATACTCCAATTCACGGATGCTTGCACGGACCACCTCGTCGCGAGGAGAGCCTAACTGAGTGAACTGGCCTGGATGCGTTGTGAGGCGGTGTCCATATTTCCTTGCCAGTGCACCGACTTCAGCGCATATAGGCGCCGCATATTCTAGGGAATAACCGTAAATCTTGTGCGAGGCGAAAGGGAACATTTCAGAAGATCTGAAAGCATATCAGAAAAAAATCTAAGCATAATTTCGTGACTTACAATCGCATAAAACGGATGTTCTAGAGACAGCTCAGCTCTATAGTTTAATTGCAAGAAATCTATAAACCTACATTCTGCTCATTCCATTCGATGATAGCCAACATGTCGCGCATGTTCTGAAGACCGAGCTCCTTCACCCATTCCATGCCGTTCTTTTTGATGGATTCAATCCTGGGACATACATGAGACACTATCAGTCCACCGAAAAAAACAACGCGCACCTGCATGTCCGAGAACAAAAGATCGCTTCGCTAGCAGGCTTCTTGTTCCGCAAGACGGTATTCAAGCACGCATACCCTTCTCCACATCAGACAAAACTCACAACCAAGGGAAGTAAAGCATACCTAGCCGGCCTTTGAACGTAGATTCTTTCTTCTCGACGTCAGGGATGACGTAGACGGGCTCGGGCTTGGGCGCCCTGGGCTTCCGCTTCTTCTTAGGCGCGACCTCTTCGCCCTCGATGACAGAGTCTTCGGGGGCAGATGCCTTTCTCTTCCTACTCCTCTTCTTGGGAGAATGAACTTCAACATCTTGGTCAGACAGTGCCTCCGGCTTCTCCTCTTCGAGTTTCTTCTTGCGCATCTTTGAAGTTACCTGCGCTGCTTCTTCGGCGACGACGGCTACAGCTTTCTCGACCTTGCCTGCCTTTCTCTTACGCTTCGTGGCGGTGACAGGTTCCTGACCAACCTGCGCAGTCTCGACAACTTCATTGGCAGCTTTCTTCGCGGCCTTGCGGTGCGGCTTCTTGAGAATTAACTCGTCGTCCACTTCTGACTCTAGGGGGGTGAGGTATGCATCCGCGCCATCTTCCAAGTCCTCCTTAGCTTTTAAGGCAGCAGGTGTCTTTTTAGCCCTACCTCGCTTCTGCGAGGGTATAGCGGCGACAACGTCCGGATTGGGCTCTGCAGACACGATAGTATCAACTGGAGTCGTTGTCAAAGTCCGGCGGCTACTGCGCGTTGGCAGTGGTTGCGAGTTGACAACGACAGGGCGAGAAGATCTAGGCATGAATGCAAAGTGGATTCGTGGTATGAGCGTGCTCCTTTGACGTTTGAACAAGGGAAGAAGAGCAGACAGGTGCCTCCTGGATGTAGCCACAACTGCAAAATATGAAGGTATAGATCAGTTACCGTGTCCGAGTCAGTGTCGTGAAGTACCTTTGAGTGTACGATATTTTCTCGACAAAAATGCTCAGAGTTTCTGATATTTCCGAGAGTAACTCGAGACGGCGGACAAAGACGAGATGGTTTATAGCCTTGCATTGTGTCAGCGACGCAAGCGGCCTGGAGCTGCTGTCGATCCATTCCAGAGGAGGTTCAGGAGTGTCATGTCGGCATCGGATCGAGACCTCCGATCAACATTTGGCTCCGCCGCGTCAGACAACAGAGCTGTCGCTGTCTCAGCTGTAGACGAAACAGAAGTTGGACAAAACATCCATTTTACAAAATATCAATTACTGCGCTTTGCAATAAAACGCGGAATCGCGCGCGTTGACCAGGTCGGACCCCAGAAGCGACGTGTTATTCTCACGCTCGTGGAGATGCTCGCTCGCACTACTCACACGCGACGCGTGTCGCGTGTTGGGGAACTCAAGAAAGTCAACAGCGCTACTAGTTTACGGGGTCTCTCCGGGAAGTTCCGACACGCGGCTTCATCCAAAGTTGCGATTCCGCGTTTTATTGCAAAGCGCAGTAACAAAAGTCGCGCAGGGGCTGCATAATGACCGGTAGGACTTGGTCGAGCACATGGGTACCTGAGCGGCAACCAATCATGGCGGATGGTTTTTATTTTATTGATCAAATATTGATAGCGTCATTGCTATTGCTAAGTCGTGAGATGAGTAATCGCCATTGTCCTAATTAGTAGAACAATGGCTTCCCTCAACCAATTGCATTATTACCGCACCATCACGTGATCAGTAGTTAAACAGTATATAAAGGCGCTGTACTGAGGTTTGGCCCCTAGACTTCAGTCTACTCTAATACTACCAAGTATTTATCTAAGAACAACCGTTAGCCTCGGGCTAATAAGATCAAAT